CTTGCTAAATAGGCCTCTAATTTATTCACTTCAGTATTTAGTAATAAATTCTATAATAAATTCAAATAATAAATATAATCATCTTCAGGAGTTAATTCAGGTGACTATTAAATTTAATCAATAGTATTCTATTTAATTAAATAAATATCTGTAATCTCAAGGACTTCATAAATCAGGCAGTGATTAGGGCTTTCTAGGCACATAGCCCTAGAATTAAGGTAAATACCTGATTACCTTACCTTAGAGGCAGATAAAACATTAATGTGAAATCGTGGAACATAGGCACAATAACATAATTCAAATATTATTTCATCTTTATAGGGGTTTAAAGGTTTTAAATTAATTATTCTGAAACCTTTAATTAATGTCTGTGTATTTCTTATAAAAATTAATATAGATGATTTATAATAATCACTGAATAATAATTAATTATTACAGATATAAGTATCTGCTGCAGTATTAAACGCCTAATTAGGACTAGCATGTTTTTTAATTAGTCTTATTAAATTTGAAGCCATTACAATTAAATTAGTTAAAAATTTATTATTTTAATTTATTACTTGATTTATTAATTTTAAACAATTTTTCGTGGCTTTAAGCACTGCACGGAATTTGGGGTTTCTAAAGGCTCTATTAAATCATTAAATAGCCTCAGAATCATATAACTAATTTTCTGGTTTCTTTAATAAATCATTAATATAAAAATATTAGTTAAATTCATAATAGCCTCCATTAAAGTCTGATTAACAGGAGCAGTTTCTTTCCCTTTTAGGAGTTCTAGGGTTAAACCTAGGACTTAGGATATTTTCCAAGATATCTCGTTTAAAGATTACCTGAGCGATTCAGCTCGGTTAATTTAAATATTTAAATATTAGAAATATCTTCACATGATCTCTAAATTACTTAGTTATATCAAAAAATAACAGTATTTCATCACATAATTTAATTTTATTATTCAATTTTTCGCTCTAATAATTTACAAATATTAAATAAGACCTATAAATAGCTTTAATAAAGTTATATTAAACTCGGTATAGATCATTCACTTTACTTATTTTAAGCGATTTCGCTTCAGTATAAATATTTTCCTATAATAAAATATATAAATTAATTAAATATTTATTCTGCAGATTTTTAAGTATATAATATTACTTAATAATATTATGTTTTCTTAATTCATTTATGAGAGCTAGTTTCGTTTAAAGGATCCGCAGCACGTGATATAGGATCTCTTTATCAAATACTAAAACCCTATTAGCTAATAATATTAAGTTCTTAATCAGAAGTAGAATTAGGGCTAAGCCCTTATTTATATAGCGATATTCTTAAAACACTAATTTATAATCGTGTAAAAGATCTCAATAAAGCACTCGATTGTTTTAGATTAGATTAATAATTAATCTAGCATTCCTATTAAGGTCACATAGTTCCGGGTAACTAGGCTGTACAGGTTAATCAGGCATAATCATGTGACTAGTATCAATAAATTCCTAAATATATTTACTTTTAGTAATTATTTTAATCATATTAAACTAGTATATCTAATTATATGACTGGTTTAATTAAAAATTAAGCTTTGTATCCATAGTAATAAGCTTAAATAATTAATAAAATAATTTAAATTATTTAATCTTTGTTTTATCTTATTTTCACCTCACTTTCACTATATAAATCAATAGTAAAAATAAAAGTTCAATAAAGTAAAAGTAAACTAGGTAAGTAAGGGTCAATTAAATCAGACAAATAAATAATTTACTACAATAGTAAATAGACAAGTAATTAATTAATTCGCGTGTGTGTGAATTTAATTAATAAATTAATAAAATAATTCAAATCAATCAAACACTTCAGACAGGTGAAATAAAACACTTGAAGTGAATACACGGGTTAAATAAATTAAATCAACATAGATAATAAATAGTTCATTGCAGTAGTAAGTAATCAAATGATCAATTCACGTATAGGTTAAATTCAATCAAACAAGTAAATAATTAATTCAGGTGTAGGTGTGAATTCGATCAAACATATAGTAAATAGTTCACTGCAATAGTGAGTAATCAAATAATCAATTCACATGTGGGTTGAATTCAATCAAACAAACAAATAATTAATTCAGGTGTAAGTATAAATTCGATCAAACATATATAAATTTAATCAAACAGGTAAATGATTAATTCACGTGTATACATAAATAATAGGAACAAAGGGCTAGACCGGGCTCATAACTGTCAGATGAAATACTAACACGGGCTTATAACTTTCAGATAAGATAAGTAGGTCACGTGGGTTAAATAAAAATTTCAAATAACTAAATAAAATAAAGAAAATCAATCAGTCAGATAAAGTAAACAGTTCACCTGGACTACCTAGATCTGAAATAGATAGACTAGAGGTCCTACCATTCGCTATACATATAGATAAGTGAAATTAATTAATAAATGAATAAATCAATAAGTAAATTAAATAGATAAAATTAACTTGTCAAATTGAAACAGTAAAATTAACTTGATAAAAAGAATAAATTAATACAGATCATTAACTGTATATTTATAAATAATTAAATTAGGGCTAATTCAATCTGGCCTTAAGCAGACATTACAAACATAAAATCATCAGATCCTTCTAGGCCTTCACCTATAAATCATATTATTAATCTAGGCCTTCAAGATCAACCTCATAAATCATTATTAAATTAATTTAGATAATCAAATAATCAAAATTTTATGATCAGAATAATTAGAACAATCGAGATTCAACACATAAATCATAATAAAATCATTTCAATAATATCAGAATAACCAGGATAGCAATATTCACTTTATAGCTTATAAAATGAATAGGTGAGATATTCTGGACCCTTTGTATTAATCATCTGAATAAAGCCATTAACTACAGTGGTTGAAATAAACTTTTAATTTCCTAAATAGGAAATTCATTAAATTATATTTTCTAACTTCCATAGGATTCTAGCGACCGGTGATTTCCTAATTAGGAAGATATACTAGTCCAAAATAGGAAACTCTTCAGAAATTTTTCTTTTTTCATTTTCCGCTCACATTAAGCTCAGTTTTACCTCACTTTTCCCATACAATTTAGTGGTGGAAGTGAGAGTTCAATAAAGTGAAAGTAAAGTTGTAGTGAATTTTGAATAATTTTGGTTGTGGGGCTAAATCAGGTGATTCTGATGAATCAGATGATGTCAGGTGACCCCAATTGACATTAAAAAATTAGTTATTATCCTGCTAATTTAAAATGATTTCTTTAATTTTAATAACCTATTTTCGCCTATTATTATCTTTATAGATTCAGATAATATAGTAATAATTGTTAAGAAGTCTAGTTATATTACTATTATTAAATAGTTTGATAATTAATATTTTTTTATAAAAAATTAATTTAAAAAAAAGGCTATTATTTTCTCTAAGATTAATATTAATTAAAATCTTACTAATAGCCTAACTAAACCCCTAGATCTAATAAAATTTATAATATTTTAATTTCTCTTTCGCCTTAGACCTTGCGTATAGTATTTTATATTATATAGGTTATATTACTTATAAATTTAATAAATTTTATAAAATTTAGTAAATTTTAGTTAAATCTTCTATTATAATAGTCTAATATAGTGAATTTATTTAGTTTTTATTCACTATAGGTGGCCGCGTGAAATTAATTAAATTAAACCCCTTTTTTATTCTTATTTTTTTTTTTATATTATTTTAATTTTTTTATTTTTAGCTTAATTAATTATATATATTTTTGTTTAAGCCATACTTATAGCGTTTTAGCCTAACTAACTATATATATAATTATAGGCTGAATCTCTGTAAAAATATTTTACTATTTTTTAGCCCCTTAGATACTTATTTATTTTAAAAAAAAATATTTTATTTTATTTTTTTAATATTCTGTCCCCTGTGTGGGATAATTTAGTCTTTTTATTTTTAAATAATAGTTCTTTACTTTCGTAAACATAGAAAAGAAAAATCTACTATAAATTTAATAAAAAAAATATTTTAATTTTTTATTAAACCCTAGTATATCCAGACCCCCCGGCATATTTTTAAATCCGGGTTATAATATTTTATTAACTTATTTATTTTTGTTTCCGCCTAGCAGACGCCTCTACTATTATTCTTAGTTTATTTTATTCTTTTTTAATAAACTAGGAATCCTTCTTCTTATATAGGGGGCTAATAAATATAAAATCTATAAATATAGTTCCTTGCGCAGGATCTATAAATATAAATAGGCTAATATTTAGCTGTTTAAATTAAATACAGAAAAAAAAGATTAGAATCCTTAATAATATCCTGATAAAACTACGGGTATATTTAATTTATTTATAATTATTTATTTATTAGTTTACTCCCTTTTTTTTAATACCTTAGTCTAGGTCTTTTTATATTTAGTATATTAAAAAAAAGACCTCTCCTGTTCCTCCTCCTAAGAAGAGAAAGTAAAAAAAACTTGCCAGAATTAAGAAGGTAACTTTATATTTTAATATTGTGATTATATAATACAGTTCCCCGTTTAGATATCTTGTTTTATTATTTTATAAGGACAACGCGAGCCCTAATTAACTAAAAAAATAAAATCTATAAGTAACTCTGGTTTATATTTTTATAGTAGTAAAATTATTATTTATTTAATTTAATAAAGTTCTATATAATATTTACAGTTTCGGAGTGTGGTTCCTTAGGTAAAGTATTTAATTTATTTAAAATTATTTTTTTACTTCTGTTTTGTTATTTTCTTTCTTTTTTAAATAAATCATATATCCTTGTGTTTTATTTCTCTAATTCAGGTAATTTCTGGCTTTATTTTGCCCTGAGGGGGTGTGTTAGAACCTCCTATTATATTGGTAGTAGGTTCCGGGAGTTGTATGGCTTATTCCGCGATGCAGGTCATGTGACCATGGCTATATAAGCCATGGTCCACCTTATGTAGGTAGAGAGATTATCTAATTCTATCATCATTCTCTTTGGAGTTCGTTCCCAATAGAATACGTTCGAGGGCAGACTTTGGAACAAGCTTGGGATATAATGGAACCCAGTGAGCGGGTTACGATTTGCCACGAACTGCGAACAATATATAAACATCTATGTCGGCTTCAACAGGACCCTTCAGACACATTCGTGGGTAAGTACGTTCTATCTGTAAGCTGGTTTACCCTAGGTTTAACTCCTTTTCGACAGGGAACATTTCCCGGGGTCCTCTCTATGATAGAGCGTTGCATGAAAACTTCATGCATGAAGCGGGACCATTTACGACGGTCAAGGATTTCCATAACTGGTTCACGTTTCTCCACCGGAGACCGATGGCTGATCCATACTCGGTACCAATAGAGCCATTTCGCCACGAACTGCCAGACAGTTGTGCGATCAAGTTTACCCATGGTGATCTTCATCGCAGCAACATCATTGTCACTTCCCAGCGGCCGTATCGTACCCTGGCTATTATTGACTGGGAGCAGTCGGGCTGGTTACCTGCTTACTGGGAGACACGCAAGGCGCAATACACTGCAGATGGGCGCGAAGAATGGTCCACAAAGTTTTTGCCGATGATATTAGATGAGTACACTGCCACTTGGGATCCGTGGGATTACTATACTACGGAGATGGGCTGCTAGAATCAATTTCGTCCCTATTCGTCTCGGCGCTTAAAAGTATGGGGTGATACTTTGAATAACGAGCTGGAACTTTTAAGGTTGGTAAATACACATAGACCAGTTCATCTCTTGTGAGAAGCCCCGCCATTCTTTGGCTGCCATATAAAAGCATAATGACCAGAATATAGGCCAAGGAAAGGGCTTCAAGGGGCCCTATATATCACAGCAACTTAGGGGCATTTTGTACAACCAAGCCAGCGCTACTGGCAACGATCCCTTCCGGTTTGGTGTACATACCCAAAAATGGAGATCCACCATTTCTAAGCTCGCCGTGAATCAGAAACAGCCGCATTGTATCCGGAAATGTAACCGGTTCGGCTATAGCCAAAGACTCAATATTTGGCATCGGAACGTGGATTGCCCTCGTCAACCCGTGGTCAGACTTCCTCTACCAAAAATGGGCAAAGGTCATCAAGATCGACTCTTTGCCCTAGGAAGCTATCACCAACGGAATTAGCGCGGTGTAGCTCGGCGAAATTTGGGTGCCGCACAGTGCTCTCTTTGAAAACAATGAAATAGTGTGGATTGGGCTGATCGGAGTGGTCAAAAATTATCACATATGAATAGATATCACTGCGACTGCAATTTACAAACAACAAAGCTAAACTGCAGACGACGCTTTCTCCTGCCCCATCTTGCTCACCAGCTTCTCACAAAGCGCCCTCAAGGTTTTCGCACCCACCACCTCCAACGTCGTAATAGCAATCTGCAGTTCCTGGCGGGCCCAGTTCCGGAACTCCACCGCAGCCAGTGAATCCAACCCGTACACAGCTAGGGGCTTCGCCGGCTCCATGGGCTCCGACAGCCCCAGGGTGCGCATGAAGTGGCGATTGACGACTGCCACGGCAGCGGTGATCTGGGACTCGAGCTCGGTGCTTGTATCACTGCGCACGAGGTCAAGAAGTGCACGAGTATCCTGCGAGGCGTCCTGCGCCCTTTCAGCGACCGAGCCGCCGTCGGGAGCAGCGAGAGCGGCAAAGCGAGCGTCGCGCAGGAGGGCCGCGTCTACAGGCTGTGGGAATGGAATCCTTGTGACCATCTGGGTGGCGCTGGAGGGATTGAGCGGCGACAGGGCGTCTTGTTGGAAGATGGAGAGGCGCAGGATTTCATGCAAGAGCGGCTCGTTAATGGGCGTCCAGATGTTGATGTCAAGACGGTTGGCGATCGATTGCCGCTCGCTGATGTATTCTACGTCTTCTATCACTCCTAGGTCCACGGAGCAGGCGGGCAGTCCTAGACTGTGACGGTGGGTGGCGAGCGCATCGAGGAACGCGTTGCCGGCGGCGTAGTTGGCCTAGAGGCTGGAGAGCATGGTGAAGAAATCAAGAGATACGGCCTCCTTCTCCTCGATCGAGACCTCATGCAGGTTCCATGTGCCTTGGACCTTGCAGCGCAGTGCTTCGTGGAATTGTGTGACAGTCATCGAGGCGTAGATGCCATCCTGGACCAGTTAGCCTGACGCCTGATCTTCGACATAGCTGGCGCGATGTGCAGCCAGGCAATGGGGAATAGAAAAGTCTACACTCACCCTGAGCACCATGGCGCCTTGGATTATGCCTCCAACGGGCAGTGATGATTGTCGAAAAGCGCGTCGGACGTCCTCTTTCTCAGAGACATCGCCTTGCACGAGTGCACATCGAGCGCCCAGCGAGGCGAGGCTTCTCAGAACGCCTTGGGACTTGTCGTCAGAGTACTCGCTGCGAGACATTACGACAAGGCTTTTAGCCTCATGACGCGCGAGGTAAACAGCCAGGCTTCCACAAACTCCCCTTAGTCCTCCAACGATCAGATACGACCTGTCGGACCGAAGACGGAGCTTTCTCGGTGCTGGTTGGATCTAGAAATCGGAATGCCAGTTCATCTGTTTCCACTGCGCTCATCGCGTTTTCCTAACTGCGAGTGTTTGAATGGTGCCTACTAACCTTCATCACGGCCGTCTCCGAGAAAATGTCCCTGGAGACAACGATCTTCCCAATGTGAGTGCCACCGCGCATGTATCGAATGGCATCGGCGATGCCAGCATAAGAGAAAACGGCACGCGGCTGAATCGGTTTGATATGTCCTCCATCAACCAGATCAAACATCTGACGCATTAGTCTAGAAAGGAAGAACAGTTAGTAAACGCTGTGTTACGTGTTGCTCTGGATCAACTCACCGTGCCACGGTGGGCCGTGTTATACTGTCGTGGGACATGTCTATCGCGTGGTATGAGGCATTGCGGTTGAATGGCTCCATGGAAAGCGAGTTGCGATCCAAGGTATCCTTCTTCCCCAGCTCGACCATGGTCCCGCAGTCGGCAATAATCCGCCACGATTCGTCAAGCAGTGGCCCAGTGAGGGAGTTCAGGACAATATCCACTCCCTTACCACCCGTGATCTGGAGAATCTCTGCCGCAAACCGAGTGTTGCGCGACGAAATGATCCGGTCAGCGGGTAAGTCGAACGTCTCTCTTAGGAATTCGCGCTTCTCCTCGCTGCCCACAGTCGCGTAGATCTCTGCGCCCATGAACCGGCATATCTGGATGGCCGCGATCCCAACACCGCCAGCAGCGGAGTGGATCAGAACAGACTGACCACGTTGGATGTTCGCGAGGTCGAAAAGTCCGTAGATGACGGCTAGGTATACGACAGGGAGAGTGGCAGCCTCTTCGAACGACATCCAGTCCGGAATTGCATGCCCGCCCTCAACAGGGCACTGGACTTTGTTCCCGAAGCTCCCCCGCCGGTAGACCAGGACTCTCTGGCCGATATGGAAGGACGAAGCTGCCTTGGCTCCGACCCTGCGAACCACCCCGGCGCCCTCCAGGCCCAACAGGTATTGGTTTTCAGGCATGATGCCGAGACACATCGCGACATCTTTATAGTTCAGACCTCCCGCATGCATGTTCACCTCCACGAAGTCGTCCGGCAGTGGCATGTCTCCAGGGGCTACCTCCACAAACTGGAGCGAGTCGAGCATTCCTGGTTGGCGGCACATGAGACGGACACAGGAAGGGTGGGTATGCAAGTTGTGCTCTTCGGTGGCGGCTTCAGCGTTCGTTTCCTCGACAAACCCCAAGAGAGCCGAGTCCGGCTGAACTCTGCTGACTTGCAGGAGGCCTGACCTTTCGACGTACTCGTTCTCCGTAATATCATTGAAACAGGACCCCGGCGACTGCATGGCAGTGAGCACGCGAGTAATAGCCATGTGTGACTCCGCGCTTGTTTCCGATCCCACGTCCAAAGTCACCAGCCTCGCGCTGGGATCCTCGGCCCGAACGACGCGAGCCATTCCATGGATCAAGGCATGCTGGGGATTGGACACTTGAAGCTGAGCACCCGCTGTAACCCATAGGACGCGGCATTCGGATGGAAAGAGGCGACGAATCGCTTCCCATTGTGCGTCTTGCACCGTGGCCAGAATCGGTGAATATATCTCATCCAAGACTAGCACCGTTGAGCCCTTCGGACTTCCAGCGGCAGTTCTTTGGCTCGAACTACGAGCGACTGCGCGCCGTCAAGCGCCGGTATGATCCAGGGGACGTGTTCTACGGGACGTTGATGGGGCAGCGAGGGGTGGACGGTGGATGAGAAGGATGGGAGACTGTGTAGGGTTTGATATAGAGTCGGGAATGAATCAAATGTAAGAATCAAATTTAATACGATAGATCCAGATCCAACCTAATCAACGAAACCCCTCCACCTGCTTTGTACACCACTCCTCAAACACCCTCGCGTATCCCTTCCCGCCCTCTTCCTCGTCCTTCATCGCATCGAGCTAATCCGGTCTCGGACCCGGATGCCAGCGTCCAAACGGGATGACGAACCGTCCGCCATCCTGCACCGTCACCTCGTCAGCCAAGCCAGCCCACAGCATCGTCTGCGCGCCCTCGACCGGCGTATAATAGATTGTTTCGACAACCAGACCGTGAGGCGCGGCGCCTTGTCAAAGATACTAGTGTAGATATTGCCCGGGTTCTGCGCGAGACTGACGACACCGTTCCCACCCAGGTGTCTCGCCAGACGATCAGCGAGGAACCAGTTCCCCGTCTTGCTGACGGCGTAGTTGCGGTTGGGGTCCGTGGAGGGAGTGTCCAGCTCCGTCGGGGGAACACCCTCAGTCGGCGCTAGGAACTCGACCAGATGACGCGGACGCTGTTGGGGACGGTGTCCGGGCGGGCGGCGGTGGCGCAGAGCAAGGGCGATAGCAGCTGGGTGAGCAGGTACGGCGCGACGCAGTTGATACCGACGTGAGGTTCTAGGCTATCTGGGGCCAGGCGCGCTTGAGAGTGTCCATGGCGGTTGAAGACAGTATTGGATCTGGTATATGGTTGGTGTGGAGGGAGATGAAGGAGAAGGAATCACGGAGAGCGCCGGACGGGAATTCATAATTTATAAGAGGAATGGACAGGGATGGCGTCAGGCTAATCCAGTCGAAGGTAGCGTTGCAGACAAAGAAATGCAAGCCAAGCGGGTCCACGGCATTCTAGATTCAAGATGTGTCAGATTCTCTAAGAACAAATACATACATTCATGGTATTCTTTGTTATGAATAAAGGAATCATGAGAATTGCATTAATATGCAGGATGCTTGCACGAGTTATTCCCACCCTGCGTAGAAAGAATAAAGACAATTCGATTATATCCTGATATATTCCTTCTTTCTATCTGAATGCTTGGCCTAAAGGGGTCTAGTCAGTCCAGTGTATAAATATCGGCATTCCTGCGATGCCCAGGCAATCTATCTATTTTATTCTCATACTATCTTTTATCAAATCGCCATATCTTCTTCCAAACACTTCTTCCCATTACTAAACACACGATCAATTCCCACCAGATGGACCACGCATAGCACGAGATGTCTCGGCTTCTGCTCCTTCCAGCAGAGCTACGCCTGCAGATCTACAACCATTTTTTCTCTTCCACTCCCTTTACCTATGGCAAACTCAACCAGATGGCGCCGGCATCCAATCACCTGGCGATCCTGCGCTCGTGCCGTCTTATCAATCGAGAGATCGATGACTCTTGGCTCGGTCAAGTATTGTTTGCTTTTGAAAACGTCACAGATCTGCTCAACCAGCTCTCCCCAGCGCCTAGAAGGATGATTGAGCAGATTCGTCGAGTCCGCGTTGGCTCCAGCCCGCTCACACAGTCAATAGGCGATGGCCAAGAAACAACATACAAACTCCCCTGGGCCCTCGACCTGATTCCCGGTCTATACCTTGATACACTTACAGTTATCAATACCGATGGTCCTGAGTTGGCTTATGAGAATGTGAACTATTTAATTAGGTTCGGCAGTGGATGGAGGGAGCTGCACTTCATCACAGGAAACTCGGAAATGCTTGCCTTCCCTCGGAGATCGATCGAGCATAATGAAACCACACAATTCCAATGGCGCGATCCTCAGCCTAGCACCTGGATCAGAGACCTAGCTTTCCGAGATCATGTGCACTCTGATGCTTTTGTCAAGATCTACCGGTCGACTCAATCGAACGCCCCAGGCTCGGTCATGGACCCCAACTCTCGCGAAGTTTTCGAGCAGAAGCCTCCATCCCCTGAAAATTCCGAGTTCTTTGGGATTGACAAAGACGCCCAGCTTATGCACCCAGATGAAATCGGTAAGGAGTTACTGGTGATTGTAAGACGTGGAAAAGACGTTGATATTAGCGCAGATGAATTGTACATTGAGTCTCCAGGAAGACGTCGCTTAGTGATCCAGCGGTATGGATTGGAAAGAGATGGAGCAGTCTTTTCGGTCGCTGGCGAACAGTGATGATGATCTTGAGCTTCCTGGATCAAAGACAGTGGTTGAGATCGATAGCTACGACGATACTGATAAGTACACAATAGCGGCCTTTAACTCCCCTGCAGAACCGCTTTCTCAAACCGGGAATCCTGATAAAAGGGTTTAGGGCCCCACTAGTATTCCAGGAGCCGCTTTTGAGAACCAATTTCGGATCATTTAATGAATTCAATAAGTCATCCCGAACCTTGTTCATGGTCAATTTTATCTTCATGCGTAATACTAAATCTATTTAGGGCAATCGTAAAGCTTTGTAAGGCACTAAATTAAGTAAACTCCCATCGTCGAGTGCTTTAACTTCATAAACCTGTCAAGGCTGCACCTCTATGCCCTCAAACTGCATAACTTTCACAGCAGCATTGGAACACTTAGGGGACTAATGAACTAGAAAACAATCTTATAATCGTCAACTTCCTCGTATCGAATCCGAAAAACATCAAGGATAATATCAAAATCATACAATCTTCATGTCTCCCTTTGCTTTGTATAGTACACCTACATCCACCAACAAAGACGCTATTAAAGTACACAAACCCCCTAATCCATCTTTCATCAAACTGAAAAACACTCTCTCCCCTCATAACCATCAGCTAGCTATCACCACCACCCGCTCGATCCAGCTTACTCCTGACCAAATCCGCCAAAAGAGCATCTCGGTCCGCTTCATGCTTCTTTAAGTCCACCTGCGCCACCCACTCGTTTACCGTCTTCTTCAGCGCACCCACCCTATCCTCAGAACCTATGTCAAATCGATGCTGATCCATATCATCCAGCCAAGACTTCAACGCCGGACCTAGGTGGTCCATAAAATGCGTAAAGTCGCCCCCGCCGCCGAGAGTATTCGTCATGATCGGCCCCGTCAGCGCCCATCGCAGCCCAAGGCCTGACGTGACGGTTTTATCTGGGCAACAAGTTAGAACCAGCCTCGGACGGAAAGGAAACAGTAGGTAACTCACCAAGATCCTCCGGCGACACAATCCCCCTTGAAACGAGACTATAAGCCTCAGCGCAGACAGCCGCTTGCAGGCGGTTAGCGACGAAGCCGGGTGTTTCACTCTTGACGACCACCGGGTCTTTCTCGAGGCTTTGGTAGAACTGGTACGCGGCTGATACCGCTTTCTCGCTTGTTCCGGGGTGCGGGACGATTTCAACGAGGGGTACCAGGTGGGGAGGGTTGAAGGGGTGTCCGATGAGGATGCGCGATGGGTTGTTTGTGCATTCTGTGACGAATTGGGAGGCCGGGAGGCCGGAGGAGGACGATGCGATGAGGACGTGCGAGGGCGTCTTTGCGTCTAGATGGGCGAAGAGACGGCGCTTGAAGTCGACTCGCTCGGGTCCGTTCTGTGGTTGTGTTTGTTAGTATGAGATTGATAGAGGGATAAGATCGGATGATGATCGGCAGCTAACTAACCTCTTGGATTAAGTCTAAGCTGTCGAGGTACGGGTCGATGTCGGTGACAAATGTGAAGTTATTCAGGCAGGAGGCAGGTGATAGAGTGGCATTCGGTACCGCGGAGCAATACTCTTGCAGATATTCGCGGATTTTGGCCTCAGCTCCTGGTGCGGGGTCTGTTACAATCACTTTGAGTCCCTTGGCGAGGAAGAGGGCCGTCCAGCTGGCGCCGATGACGCCTGCGCCGATCACACCGACAGTTCTGATTGGGGAGGACATGATGATCCGTAGATTTCTGTGACTGATTTCGCGCCTTCACTGCCGTTGGACTTCGTAACGACTATATATAGAACCAGCGGGGCGTAGCATCTCGCCAGCCTCGGTGATGCTCTGGTGGTAACAGCCCATAGTTCGGAAGAGCCCTTCCGTTACCTGATTAGGTAATATCCACAACAGGCTCGATGACGACGATCTGCCGCGAAGCCCCGGTACTCGGGATTCCCCCGGCATTGGCTCGGGAAGTTAAATCAATCGTCAGGGCAAGTTGCCCTTTTGGGCCAGATGTCGTGCATTCCGAGGTTTCGGCTTGCCGATATCCGGGGGTTCCGAACTTCGGGTTTCCAGATGTGAAACATCGGAATCAGGATTTGGATATGCATCCCGCGTGCTCAACGGTTTGATGGTCCGATGGAGCTGTCGCGAGAAAGTATAATACTGCGCGGTAGCTGTGCTTTTCGCTACTCAAGTTGGTCTCTATCAAAACTCTATCTCGTTTGCTCTTTTACAGGATTCATTGTTTCCACCACCATTGCCACACTTCATAATGCCTTCTCACGAGACAACGCCGAGTCCAGAAATCTACGGCCCCGGAACCTTTGTGGACAAGGACTTCCTCCCGGCGCCACAGGATGCCGGCCGTATCTTTGAGTACATCGCCAAAAGCACACCTGGGTTCACTAAGAACGAGGAGCTATGGAAGACCGTCAACTTCATCGGCAGCGAACTGCCCGTTATCCCCGGCCCAACGAAGGCACCTCTTGTCGCCGCCGCTCTGCACGCCATGTGCGGTATTGTCGCCCACGAGATCGTCGAAGACCGTGACGGCACCGCAGCCAGTTCCCAGAAGGTGACCGTGAACACCGACCACGCGGCGATCTGGCTGGGGACGATCTTCGCGGCGGCCGTCGAGGGAAAAGATATGACCGAGCTGGTGCGATCGCGGAAACTACCCACGCTCTTCGATCGTGATTTCGAGAAAGGCTGGCAGGCCACCCCCCTCAGACAGCGATCGACTGCCGTCTACAAGACCAAGACCCCCGGGGTGTGGTATCAGATTCACGGCTCCTTGGACGCGGCACCCGTCCTGAGCGCCCTGGGAATGGACCCCGAGTACCCGGCCAAGACGCCGGAGGAAGCGTACGAGTACATCGGCAAGCATGTCGAGCAGTGGACGGCGGATGAGCTGGAGATGCTGAATGTTAAGAACGGGTTCTGTGGTAGTATCTGCTTCACGCCGCAGGGGTGGGCTGATACCGCGATGGGAAAGAGACTCGCTGAGCACCCGCTGGTCGGCTACTCGCGTCAGTCGCATGCCATCCCCACTCCTCCTGTTCCTTGGACAAAGGTTGCCGATGATAAGCGCCCGCTGGCAGGGGTCAAGGTGGTGGAGCTGGTCCGGATTATTGCTGGTCCTGTTATCGGCAGCACGCTCTCAGCACTTGGTGCCGATGTTATTCGTGTTAACTGCAGTCGTCTGGTAGATCTTAACGTAAGTCCTACAAACCCTGCTCAAGTCGTGTTGAGAATTACCGTATGCTGATCTCAAGCCCAGGTGTTGCAACTTACCTTGAACGCCGGAAAGCGCACTATTGATATCGATCTCACCAAGGAGGACGACAAGTCGCGGCTCCGCGAACTCATCAAGGACGCCGATGTCTTTGTGCAAGGATTCCGCCCCAACGCCATCGCCAGAAAGGGTTTTGGCGTCAACGATCTCCTCGAGATGGCCGGCAACCGCGGCAAGGGCATTGTCTACGTCGAGGAGAACTGCTACGGCCCCGACGGCCCGTACCACGAGCGACCGGGCTGGCAACAGATTGGCGACGCCGCTTCCGGCTCCTCGTACGTGATGGGCCGCTCCCTGGGCTTCACAGACGGGACCAGCGTTCTGCCTCCGCTGCCCATCTCCGACATGACGACCGGGCTGGTGGGTGCGTTGGGAGCGCTGATGGCGCTGCGGGATCGCGCACGACACGGCGGCTCGTACCGCGTGACAAGCTCGCTAGTGAAGGCCGACACGATAAACCTGGAGCCGGAGATCGGGCTGTACTCGCCTGAGGCCGTGCAGCGGAGCAATGAGTTGTTCAAGTGGGGTCACATCGGGCCCGCACAGTTTGTGACGGAGATTTTGCTGCTGGTTATGGATGGCTGGAAGAGTGTTTTCCCGCAGTACTTCGAGGCTGGGCCTGAATCGCTCCTCACTAGCTTTCAGGAGGGGCCGTGGGGTCAAATGGATCTTCTGAAACCGGTGGTTCAGTTGAGTGATGCCAGTCTCACGCCTCGCTGGTTGACGCCTGCTGTTCCGAATTGCTATCATGATCAGAGCATCGAGTGGCTGTGAATGCGTTGAAGTGGTGCTAGATGGTGTCAAGCCGGTCAATAATTCCCGGGATAATGGACGTGTGTGACTGGAATTTGCATCGTGTTTCATTAATGTCTCCTGTATGATAATCGCGAGGGTAGTTCGTTGTTTAATGAATTTAGATTTCAAATGTGCAGGTATTAATCGGAGATAAGGGTTATATCCCCCAACCGTCGGCAGGCGTAGTATCGCCGTCTAGCTGGGCAAAGAACATAGGCCACTCGTTCCAATCGAAGGTATAGTTGTCCACTATCGCCAAATCATCCGCCATGGTAGTTTGAGGCTCATGGGCTCCCGGGACAAAGTCGCGCACAGATGTGTTCTCATGTCCTCTGACGACTTGCGATGTTTCAGAGGAAACAAGGTCTGCTACCGACTCGCGCCTGCCAATGTTCTGTTCGATTAGTTTGAGAACGGAGCTGCATCTTGAAGCTAGCGTGGCATGTTTGTCGTAATCTTTAAGAATCCCACGGGCCTGTTCCAGGATGCCCTGCAGACGAGACGCAGAGAAGTACTCCACTATCTGTGGAGATGATTGGGCTGCGAGCAGATTTGTTACTGCCATGTATACGTCTTTCATACATTTAGCACATAACATTCACTTGGATTGACAGATTAAAACTCACATGAGACAGTGTACCAGTTGGATGGTAAGATGTACGCCTGTTTCTGCTGCGGGGAGTTCCGGACAATAAATTCAATCATGTCGGCAGCCGCTTTTGTGCAATTTACTTGACACTGGTAAACTACGTGAGGCATGATCTGGTCGTCATCAGCGTATAGACCGTTTCCTGGGGCACTATCGGTCGTTTGCTGGTGGATTTGTAGAAGCAAGAGCCTGTAAAGGAGCAGTCGGACTGAAAGGTACCTTCGACAAAGAATGGCTCGTTAGTGCTTTTTGATACTAGGATTTCAAGGAATTTGTGGTACGAACCGGGCGCGCAGGATATTTGCTTCGCGAGTGATATGTTTAGTTGGCGTAGGGTCTTGAAGCTCCGACGGCATTTGGAAAAACGAGTGCAGACTACGGACCCAGTCGTTCAGTGCCGAATCGATGCGAAACAGGCTGGCAAATTTGTCAAAGACCGAGGAGGCTTTCTCTCGATCGTTGGAGTTTCTTCCAGACTGGTGTTCGGTTTTGCTGTCCTCGAAAATATAAAAGGTCTCCAGGACTTCTGCAATGATATGATGTAATCGGCAGAATGATATGTAGAAATTGACCTTTGAGGGTAGACTTGTGCTCACAGTTTCGCTCGAGGAATCCACGGAACTGAGCACCAGAGAGTTCAGTCCTCGTTCTGCGATAGATCGAGGGACTTTGAGGGCGCAGCCAAACGTCATGGCACAAATCCTAGGACCGGATTCAGCTTACACTCTATAATCTCCAGCTCTTGTGTCATACCTATCCATAATCACACATCCATTCCAGACCTGACGCGCAAGATCCCGCTCCTTGGGGTTGTCCATTGCCTCGGTTGTTTCAGGGATATGTAGCCCCAGCTCCTGGGCAATGTGAATCGCTGTTCCAATAATCCGGAAGCACTTCTGGGGCTCTTTCTCATGTTGAACGTATACTGCTGTCAGCAGGAGGATCTGGATGATTTCAAAGTTGTAAAGATCCATCAGTTCGTAGGACATCAATGACTGCGCCCTGTCAAAGAAGATAACTGAGGATTGATAGCGGGCAAGAGGAGGCTCGCCTTGGGAGGCAACACAAGATGTGGCGAACATGAGATTCAGAAGGCAATGCAGGACCTTCTCATTCATGTTCAGTTCACCATCCTTGACCCACAGAGTCTCATATGCGCTTTCGATCGAAGGCCTGTCCAACCAGGGGTAAGCGCTGTCGACATAGTCCCAATAGAGCGACAGCATGTTATCGGCCTGCTTCCTTGGAGGTATCGCAAACTGCAGGTCCGATGGATCTGTTCGAGAGTTCGGTTTCTGCAGCTTCGGCAGGCGTTTGAGCGCTTTCGGCAGGACCTGACTTCGGTTTTGTGTTTCGTTTATAGGGGTGCTTGGTAGGCCGGAGTCATTTCCAACATTCTGGAGGAACTGCGCACCACTGGATGCGCCAAATAGACTGCCAGTTGGAACGAATGCACTGTAGGAGCTCGCCCTGTCATCATCGTCGGCTTGTTGGGGATCATTTGCTAGACGCCCACTTGTGTATTCTGACTGCTCACCGCTGTCAGTCTCGCGGTAGATGCAACTAGCAGTATGCGATGTTCGTTTCCGTCTTGAACAGGGTCCACAGACTAATGCAAGGTGAGCATTACGGCGTAACTATTCCCCACCACGCGACAGGGGTATTACTGGTTCTCTTACTGGGCTTGGCACCATCGCATTTCGTTTTCCTGGCCTTGCATACATTACAGGCGATTCCGATCTTCGCCCTTTTTGGTCTTGGCTGTCTAGACCGGTCGTGTGGAGAAGAGTGACCGGTGTGGAATGAGAACATCATTTTGCGGGAATCACGGAAGGAATTGAAAGTGAGAGAATTCCGAGTTTTGGCCCGGAGATTGAGGCAGCATCCGGGTGATTATGTCATCCGTCTTCCGTTCCCATTCGGGTATTCCGACATTCGGCACGTCTCAACTCCCTGCTATGGGCAGTCAATCAAGGAACACTCCGGAGCAGTTTCAGTCTCAAGAAGTGGGAACACTCGGCTTAAAAATGCCGAAAGATGTACTTAAAGCCTAAACTGCAGAGTAGAGCCCCAAATGTGCTTATACAAGACTTTCCTCCCTCAACTGCTATAGATCGGTACCACTATATACTAGCATTCTCTCTATAAAACTTTCCGCAGAGATTCACTACATGGCTCCTCGACCCGACTTCTCCCAAAAGCCCTCAGGGCGACTCTACTTCCTCGATGTCGGCATCACAACTCCAGAGATCAACGGGCGTCTCCTAACCTGCAAGCCCGATGGGTCCGATCTCCGCGAACTGATCACCCATATCAACACCATGCCGGACGGTATCGCCATCGACACGGACCGCCAACATATTTACTGGACAAACATGGGGGTTCCATCTGCAGACGACGGGTCTATCCAGCGCTGCGATTTGTCCGGAAACAACATCGTGACCATCATTCCCAAGGGATACACGCACACTCCGAAGCAGTTGACCATTGCCTCACAGTCCCAGAAGCTGTACTGGTCCGATCGCGAAGGCAAAAGGGTCATGCGGGCGAGTCTGGACGGGAGTGAGATCGAGGTGCTGTATCGAGCTGCTTCGAGTGACGACACTGGTAGACCGCCTGTTTACGACTGGTGCGTGGGCATCGCGGTGGACGAGGAATCTCAGAAAATCTACTGGACACAGAAAGGACCATCGAAAGGGAACCAGGGCCGGATCTTTCGCATGGGGCTTGAGATGAGACAGGGGGAGTCGGCGGAGAGGAGGACAGATGTTGAGTGTCTTAGGGATGGTCTTCCAGAGCCCATTGACTTGGAGTTGAACCACGCTTCGCGCACGCTCTATTGGACGGATCGAGGAGATCCGCCGCGCGGTAACACGGTCAATTCGATGAGTCTTGTAGATGGGCTTGAGAGCAAACTGGAGTCGAAGATTCTGGTGCGTAAGCTTCATGAAGGGATTGGGATTGCTTTGGACTTGAAGAATGGTCGCATGTTCTTCGCGGATCTGGGCGGTTCGTTATACAGTGCTAACCTGGACGGGTCATGCAAAAGTACCATCTTGTCTGATGTTGGGGGGGCCATCACTGGGGTGGCGTATGTTGAAGAATAGAGGAGTATACCCTTGGATAGGTTAATTTCTTTGCTCGCAGTGACTACGGGCAGAGCATCGATTAGATGTGAATATTCAGCGAATTCATAATTCATAAGACCAGATATTTAAATTCCTCAAAAACTAATCATTACTGAAGCATTGAACGGATTTATAGAGTTTCTGGAGTCGTTCTTAACCGCGTTTCAGGAATGAAAGAAACAGTGTGTAACTAGAATTATAGGACAACTTAATTATGACATGCCGCAATAATGAGAGCTGAACTATGATATAACCTCGGAAAACTCTTAAGGCATTAAAATATCCCATCAATTCTTGTCTCCTTCTCTTTGCTGACATGATTCATACTACCATCAAATGGACAATATATCGCCAGCTTTTCGACATCACTCATCTGGTTCAACTGCTATCCAATGAAACTCTACCTTCGTGCCCGGCCTTCCACTAGAGCCACCGCCCCAGCAACCAACAACAAAGTACGTAGGCGTTGAGACGGGTTCTGACCCTTCGCGTATTAGATATGGTCTTTGGCCCCAATAAGCTTTTGAAGACTCTACGATGCCTGTTAAAGTGACCATAGGACTCCGAGCAAAAGGTTGCTTGAACTGAATCTTCGTGCCTCCCCCGCCTTGTTTCCTATAGAGAACGGCGTGGCCATACTCGATGCGGGGGCCACCTTGATATCATGATTAGTGTTTAGAATGGCTAGAATGGGGGCATTTATGGCTTGATATGTAACTTACTTGCTCCCTTCGTTGACTTGACTGCTTCAAGATCGTCCGCAAGTTTCTGTGTACGTTTTTTAAGCGCCTCTAATTCGTCTTTCAAGTTGCCATTGGTATCGGACTGAGGCGGAGACGGAGTCGGTTGAGGATCTAGGAGATAGTAAGTATCATACAGACCTCACGAGCATGTGGGCTTAGAAAAACCAAAGTTGGGTAGAATTCTGGTCTGTAAACTAACCCTTCACTGTATCGGTTGCCTTCGGTGTCTTGTCCACATCGCCGGCGTCAATCCCCTGCAGAAACTCCTTCGCATACGCAGCAGCGGTCGAGGCCGCGTAGTTATGCCAGAGGTCGTTCTTATGCGTGTCTGCGTAATCACAAATGCCCCGAATGACAAGGCAAGGGAAGCTGTTCATCAACCCCGCTGCCTCCATCTCAATACAGAAGCATCTCTCCCCAGCGTCCTCGATAATGGCTTTCCGGGCCGTCGGATCTTTAACAACCTTGTCGCCGGAAGCAATGACCCCGTAGAAGATCCGCGGCGCGGTGGTCCTTCGCGGCTTGCGCGACTTGAGATACCCAGTGTCGCAGCAGCAACAGCTATCCGGCCCAACGTGGTTGTAACAGTCCTCGAATAGCTTATCGCTAGTAGAATCCGGGCGCCCATACGGCATCATCTCATCATCATCGGGGTCGCGCATGTAAGGATTTCTCTCGAGCATTTCCTCGACGTATTGAGCTATGTAGTTGTTTCGAGTTTGGTGATTTGATTGGATCAGGCTAAGCGCTGAAAGCAGAGCCGTCGGAGGAGCATTCAGTGACCCTTTGCGTTCGAAAGTGCCATTGGGCCTGAGCTTGCCGAGGTCATATTGCACCACTCCGCCACTGGTACCATCGGGCTGGCTAACGACCACATCTCCAAGGCGAATATCCTTGCTCTCGGGCACTGCTGCCCCGATGCCAACCAGGAGACCGATTCGGATGTTAGGGAAAGACGCGAGCATGTATGACGCGGTCGTCGTGGCTGATACCTTTCCGTAGACGCCAGCGGGCAAAGACGCGATGACGACGTTGTGTTTGCCGATACTTCCCCAGCTGTAGGCGTTGGGGTCGTTGTTTACTTTGGTAAAGTCGCGGGGTCTTTCATGGATGACTTCGAGCATCTTTGTGGCGGCGGCGCGCTCGTTGGGGAGAGCTGCGATCCAGCCAACAGTGTAGCATTGGTTACTCTCCAAGCTGGTGATCGTCATGGTGGAGTCAAAAGATCCAGGTCCGAAAGTGAATGGTGTATGAAGGCAGCAGCTGTCAAGCTGGGTGTTCGAGTTGTTAAATAACCACTGCTTGACATGAATACTTGGGTTATGTATGCTGGTTTGGGCACTTGCTGAACATGTGCTTTCTGTGAAAAAGGCGTGGATAATTCTATCGTTAGTTGAATGATGCCCAATTTAACTATGATGTCCAAAGCTCAGCTGGTAAAAGTAAGGGTTACAAGGATAGCATCGTAGGATGTGAAAACTGCAGGCTAATCTGCACGCATAGCACACTAGCGATTTCACCGTTACCCCGCCTGCTGTCACACGTTTCACGATATAGTGTCTTCAAACCATCTCTCCATCTAACGGTCTTATCTATGGTAGATATGACAAGGTAAAGCTGCCTGATCTCTCTCCAGCCTTGCCGATCCATGTCTCTTCGGTGAGGCGGGGGATCAGCTAAACCATTCCACGTCGATAATTTCTTAAATTAAGAAGCGCACGGTTACATCGTCTAAATGTTAGGCATCTAGATGAGGCAACTAGTCGGTCGGTCTTATGTTGCCAAATTAAGATTAAGCTTTTAGCTCGCCAACGCCAACATGTTTACTGCCCAACCTCAACTGGATAGTGAAGACGTGAACGAATAACAAAAAAAAAAAAAAAAAAGGAATGGGCTCCTCTTTATTCATAACCGCTCAATACAGTATTTGATCAGCAAAGGGCCAAATACCTAGGTTGCACCAGTTCAATGCTTGTACTGGTAGTAGAAGATTCATGCACGAAAGCTTCCCAGAGAGTCAAAAATGCAGTCCGGTATACAGAATAGCCGACTTTTTCAGAGCAAGCCACCCCCTCCTCTGCTCGAGGCATCTTCCAGATAGGCGCTTAAACTTTCCAACTCCTTCCGAAGCACTTCCTGATCATCACACTTCTAAGCCGTATCAAAATCGATCAACATAGCTTTCGAACCACTGATGAGAAGATTAAACTGATTTATATCCCCATGTATCACCCCCAAACCATGCAGTCGAGACAAAACCTCCCTGCAAGTGTCAATGTCCTGAGCCCCAGCGTGCTGTGTACCAGTTATGTACTCCATCAAGAATCAAATAACCCGACCATTCTCAGTCAAGTGCCCAAGGAACTAAGGCCTAATATTATGCCCGGATATCTATTAATATACTGTAGTTTTGTTCTCCATATATTAAACCTCCTAGGGGAAACAGGTAAATTTAGCAATAATTATCTTATCAAAGATTGGACAGGTGGCTTTGTAGATACCCGTTCGTAGTCTTTGTCTAATCAAAAGATCTAAGTAGTTAATAAAGGTCTTATGCCAGATATTCTGGACTCCAGGGAATTTAGTCACGCAGATAGATGTAAAATGTAGTTAACCGTTGTTGTCGTCTTTGGCAACCAGGCTATCATTCCAGTCTCCAGGGGGAAGCTCGGGCAAGACGGACACTAGTGAAGGCTCGAAGCACATATCTTCGAAGCTGTAGATGCCAGGCTCGACGGTGATGTATTTGATGGACCGACCGTCGACTAAGAGACGGAAAAAGCTTTGGTCGTTCTCATCGACCTCTGCCTGGAGTAGTAGCTCGATTTTTGATTGTCCACTCATTTCGAAATCAAAACGTTTGAGTCAAAGAGTATATTCGCAAGGACTATCAATTGAAAGAATCAAGCACCACCAGGGAAATTAGTGAATTTATAGCTTGGTAGTAACCAAGCAGTAAGATGCTCGGCTGAGGTCGTGAAAGTTGAAGGATGAGTTGAGGGGGCGCTAAAGCCATCTGACAGCAGCCATCACAGAACTAGCGCCTCTACAGAAACATAGAATGGTTGTCTTCCTCATGTGATGTACATATCATTTGCGAGTTTCTTCGACATCTACCTTATTCACTGGTGCCTATTGACAGCATGAGGTGCCCTATAGTTCGGGGCCCTGGTCGTGGTCTGCAGGTCAAAACGTACGTCTCCAAGCAGAGAACAACCTACAAGACTGCAACTTCGCCATTCGATTCTCTCCTCCAAATAGCCACCGTCCCTGAGCTTTGCCGTGAGGATACATAGGCAAAGATATGTTTATTCGATCCAATCGCAATACAATTTACATAAAATATCTTTTGCTGACTGCCCTAGACATACAACCGAAAGACATCAACCCATCTCAGTCCCAACATCGCAGCATCAACCCCGAAATAGTAAGATGACACCATTTCAATAAACTTTGGTGCTTTGTTAATCGAGTATGAGTTGATCAAAATGTGTATCCAATATTACCGGAAGTACACATGTGGTTGTAGAAGGAATGAGACGTTCAAACAATGCGAGGCACGGCAAGGCACGAATGTCAAATGTTCTCCCGTGAAGCGGGAGCCATTGCAGAATTCAGTCCACATGTGTGCACGACATATGGTGAAGCCCGGCAAAGACGAAATGCGCAGACAGGAGAATGCTGGACAAGGAAGGTGGATAACTGGGAGGAGGGAACTGAGAGGAGGGAGGCCTTATGAAATACTACTCTGATATCAGCTGTGCTTATTGTTCTTTGGGATATGCGTCAATTGCTAAAACATATTTCATACCTTCTGTTTCTCCTTTCAACTTACTTGAGAAATATGTTTACCCTCCTTTATCTCTCCACATTCTGAAATATGATCCTGAAACCCCTTTACTGTAAACTCACGACGCCAGTGAAGCGGCCGATGATAATGATGAGATTCGCAAGCAATGCAATGAAGTCCCCATTCAAGAGACCCAGTTTGTTGATTAAAGAACGGGGCGCGTATAATGCCCATGAAACGCTTCGGATTAGAACATTGTCCATCAAAAGAATCTTCAAGCCTGGGAGGCCGCGGGCGCGCTCCGCCTGTTCTGCGAGTAGACAATTTCGAATTGTAGGTCGCCAGTCTCTTGGCTAGCGTTTCCGACGCGTATTTCTCCATGGAGTGAATTGTCCCATGGGCAACAATGCCAGCTTGTCGTGCTGCGGAATAATCGAATAATGTTTGTCGTTGTCGACATCTGAGCTCTAGGGGCGAATAACAGCCAGGGAAGCTTTTCATGCAAGGTAAGCCCGGTAAGTGTTGAGGGTAAAGTCCAAATTTGCGGATCGCATCAGTCCGCAGTAGGGGGAGGTATTCAGTCTTCTCAGTGAAACATAGAAAACAAACGCGACGACAGGTGACCAAATAGATGTATCCGCCGAAATCACCACAGCTATCACATTCAGCCGTACATAGTTTCTCGTACAGTTCCTGACACGAAAAGAACCGTGCAGTTTCTATGTTGAGGCTCGCGCGAATTAATGCCGGTGCGTGGACGCGGATATGCCTATATTGTGGAATGGAGTTCGTTATCAGCCTTGCGCTCTTGTTGACGCGTCGAAAATCAGTCAGCGACTGCATGTCGAGGAGGATGAGCGCCATTTGAATCATCTCAAGAGGGAGTATTTCAAGAGCCCCCAGCCCTTGAGCCGGGGGTTGTAAATCCAAATCGAAAAGGTCAGTCCGATAAGAAGTTTGGTCAACGTCATCTAGTGTACTGTCCTCGATTTTGAGAAAGATATAAGTCGATTCACTTGTCTTCTGAATTTTAGGCATGGAACTATTATTGCGAGAGGTACCGAGCAGTTGCGGGATATCGCCCCCGATTCCACTGAAAGCCACAAAAGGGGCCCCTTGATGCCGATTGATTGGAACTGATTACCGAGTATTGAGGGTGGACGAAAGCCCCTTGGCTCGGAAATCGCCTACTGGACCGGTTCTGCCAAGACCGCTCGGAGCAGCATTGAAATCACCTAGGTAGTATGTTGACATGAGAATATGAATCTTCAATCGAGGTAGCTCAATGAAATCAGATGGATGAATGATTGAAGTCGACGATGGTCTGCAGCGATCTACGCTGTGGGCCACTGTGGATCACGGACTGCACTAGACTAGATCGGGTTACTGCCGCCAGATCCCTAGCCGAGAAACCTCAATTGTCTATGTTCATGTATATGATTTGAACGTGCGAATCCGATTCTCTATTAGACACCACACTCAGTTCAACCCCAGCCTTATGACAGCCAGCGCTTGATCTGCGCCAAACAATTCCATGGCCACGAACAGGGAAGAAGTCGCCCACAAAAGGCGACTGAAAATATTATCGGAGGCAACATCAATAAACGCCCAAAGCCTAGGCAGATCCTGACATTGAGCGTATAAATAGAATCGCCGATGGCTTGACAAGGAAAGGGGGAGCGCCCATATCCCTCGTTAAGCGCCTGGTCAAGGCCGCGAGAGCTATTCACTTGCAAAGCACTTCCTTGTGTTTAGGTACAGGAATGTGATTACGGTAGTTCTTAGGCCATGGTTTGTATCAAAAGTCCTGAAAGAAGCAACATCATGACTACCGATGTATCACACGTGTGCCCAACCATTGGAAATGAGAACTTGCATCTCATTGATCAAACAGAACTCTCCAGGTTCCTCTCTGTCGTCGAGGTCTGCTTTCCAACGATTCACTCGTTTCCGAACGACGAATCTCTTCAGAAGCGATGTCGTAGCCCAGCGTCGAAATCTGTTTTCCCAGAGCGCTATAGCTACACTTTGCAGCCCTATCCAGGCGGAAGCAGGGTGAACAGAATCGTATGCTTGTGCATTATAGCCGACACGAACGTTAGGGTTGAGATAGACGCCTCTCGTACTTGAGAGAGGGTTGTCCGCATGAATCAAACAACATTCGGAGCCCTCGAGATGTTGAAGCGCAAGGGAGTCAGGAATACCTCGAAATCGCAATGGTTTATCTGACACAAATGGCTCTATCGGCATGGCCACTGTAAGAGAGCATGATGAGCAACAGCCTCGCCAGAGTAATTGAACAGAGAAACATACCCATGCCATTCCAGCAGCTTCTGACAGGCACCGGGGACATTGCCAAGAGCGCGTTTCTCGAAGCTGCAGCGCGAAAGTAAGGCCATTTCTGCATCACGGTCTCGCTCCCCTCGGAATCACGCAGAGCAAATGTATCGTAATATTGAGGCGGCTTCGAAAAGTCCAGAGAACAAGCTGCTGCGTACTGACCGTCGTTCGTGTTTAGCAAGGACAGCACATCTTCAACCTGCAACGAAGCGTGGCTTAGTTAGAAGCGTTGTGAGAAAGACAAGCCCGCGCATAACAAGCGTCTTACCGTGAAAACCACATCATTCAAAAAAAGAACTTTATCAAACGTGATACCTTGTCGTATCAGATCTTCCAAAGGCTTCACTGTCAAGTTCCGCAGCCGAGCGAGATAAGGTATGCGTCTAAGCTCCTTTTTGTTGCGCGGCGTGTCAATCCAGCCTTCGTTCGAAGGCGCCGAGATTTCATCTTGATGAGTTGTGTCGGAAAGCGTGACGTTTCGTCGGACACCCAGCCGATCCAACTCATTATCCAGTTGCTGGAGAACCCCCTTGGTATTATCCCAGCTTCCACTTTCAAATACACTGACGAAGACGTTCTCTGCACCCCATGTTTTGACAACCTGGATCAGGGCATCGTTCCAGTGGCTTCGAAGAATAGCTTCATTGTTCCAGTGCATGCTTGCAATGTAAATCCGCTCGCCCCGGCGCGTCCCTTGACGCTGTATCTGCTCGACGGCGGAAATTCGATGATGCACAAACAAGCCTTCTAGCCCTGTCCAGGCTGCTACACAGATTAACAGCCCCTGGATGAGGCGGCGATAAAATCCATAGCGGTAACTCATGATGTGATATTACAGCCACAAAGGCCCTATGAATCACACGACACATCAGGAGATTTGAAGAATAGGGGGTTTTCTGCGAGTTTCCTCTCGAGCTTTTGCCGCCGACGCCAAACAGGGATCAACCCTTGTCGAACAAGGGTTATTTCTTTGTTAGTGTTCAAAGCAGTATAGCGTCATTTTAGCGTCACTTCTTCGATCCACCCCGGTGCGTAATTGAAAAGACTCGAACTAATACTAATAATATACAGCGATGATTGCTGAACCGTTGTTGTCAGCGGAAAGGCGTAGACAGTCTCCATGATCGCGAAGGCTTCGTGATAATTTTTGATGCAATAATTCGAAAGTCCTATCCAGTCTGACAGGTGGGGCTGTTAAACTCCTTTGTTTGATTTCTCTAAGAACTGAGTGATGAAAGCTTAAACGCATCAGATATCGGAAGGCGACGGGTAACTTGACTCACTTTGTCCCGAGCTAGTTCTCGTGCGCTTCTTGGTTAATGTCTACATACATCAACACGGAATCCTTCCGAAATCCAACAAATCCCAGTCTTTATTGAATTGCGCTTTTTCTAACCTTGGAATGGATATCAAACTGACACCTGCAGGACGGGAACACAATATAACACGAGCATTTCACTATGCAGATTCTGTCAAACCTAAACCCCAAAGGGGTTCCCAAGATCCACAATTCCCCCTGTCAAATACAACTCGAAGTCTCTTTGTTATACTTATCTCATTTTGCTCAACGCTGCTAGCTGGGACATGAACAATCACTACTAAAAGCGCACATTCGAAAATAAGAAGAAAGCTAGCTGCAATTTAAGGCCTATGGAATCTCGCCGCTTCAAATATCGAATGCTTTCCTTCTCCCCTGAGACGATCAACAATTAAAAAATTCCAGAAATCAAAATAAATCAAGGGACAATTTGAAAGTGTGAAGGGAAAAAATAATAAAAGAAAAAGACACCCGCGCAGATCGCGACGATCAACCTGATGAGCAGTTTTACAACACCTTACAAAATACGTTGCATACACATCAGACACCCATGTGAACAAACGCAGCCCAAATGTAGGGATTCTCCGCCAGAAGTCCAGCACCTTTTACCTGCGGTTGATCACCAGGCTGGTTAGATGCCCCTGGGTGAGAGAGGTGACAGATGGCTTGGTGCAGCGCCTGGGAAACCGAATCGTCGGTCATATTTGCCTCCACAATACGTGAATAAACAGCCTTGGCGACATCCACGCAATGGCTGTCCGACACAGGCCACAAGGATCCTATGACGTGACGAAATCCAGCCAGAATAAAAGCCCCCATTACATGGAGACCTTCTTCGTCTAAGCCATTCACCACGTTGCTCCCGGATGAGCAGGCGGAGAGGTAGCTTAAGAACGCATTTGTAGGCTTACCAGGGACTCTTTGCAGGATGTCGAGAACGCGGATCGGGCCGTTGGAGAGCAGTAGACGGCTTTTGGATGGATCGGACTTGTCTGCCTCACCATGGCCTGCAAAATGAAAGATATCACATCCTTCTAGGCTTTTGAGGACTGTTTCTTTCGATGGCTCGGGAAGAAGCCTTTTGCTGGATTGCGGAAGATTGTCATAGACCGCCCGGGCCTCACTCTCTACATGATCCAAAGGAGACTTTCTTGGGGTTTCTCGCATATACACGATGACTGCCTTTGGCTCAGAATCGTTGCCCGATGAAGGTGTGCCTTCCTTCTGAGCAGGAAGGTTGGTTTGAAATCGTGTGTTATCCTTTCGACTGGCATAGGCAAATAGCAGCGATTTGAGGGTTGGACTGTAGGATGAGGACACCCTGTTCAATACAAAATTGCCAGAGTGGTAATCGCCTGCGGCATGAATCGGAAGATGGGCGAGCTTTCCAGTTGGAATCCACCAAACCCGGGGCAAGTCATGGTTAACGGGACCTCCATGCCCAAGTCTCTCCAGAATAGGACTTGCGACAAAATCCCAAAGCCATTTCAGCATGTTGAGCATCACCTGCTTTCCCGGGGAACCGGATGCAATCAAGGAAGCTTGTTGTTGTACCTCCTCTTCATTAACTCCCTTTAAATGTACTTGATCGAGGCCATTTTTGTCGAGAAGAAATGCATCACAGCGAAACGAGACATTGATGAGGACGATGGTTCCTGATGGGTTGCTGTCCAAGAAGTTCCTCAACTCACAACTGAGATATGGCTTGTATTTCGCACGTGGATCTTCCGACGCATTTGCAACCTCAACATAATTTTGAGTCGAGGCCATGCATGCTTTCAGTTGTAGATCGGGGGTGTGGCATTCACCGGGTGTGCTGAGAAAATCATGGACCCAGAGCCTATCATCTCGTGATGTCAGCAGCTGATTGGCAATCACACCACGACCAGCCTGCAAGAGTCTCAATGCGTTGACCGGACCTTCGTTCATATCGAGCGCTATAGCTGCTGCTTTACGGGCAACGCCTTCAAACTCCACCAGCTCGTCTTGTTGATCTTTTTGGCAGCTCGAAGAAGCTACGAGAGAAGGTATTAGGCCCATGATAATCTGACAGATAGCATAGACCTCTTTGTCATTTCCCTTTGACATCATGATGTTGGCATGAAGCAAAGCGCATTGTATTAGTTCTCGAGCGGGGGAGTGGCTTGAGAGAAGTGCATCACGGAGTATTGTGTTTGCCAAATCAGATGGCTCTTGGTTAACGTTGGCCTTGGACTTCTTGCGAAGTTTGAGCGCATACAAATACACAATTCTAGCTCGCATGGGTGTGTCAGGCATCTGGCTTAGGAGTACATAGCTCCCTTCTGCTTCTGTGACCGCATCGTTGATATCTGAATTCCTTCCAAATAAGTCGAATCTTGTCTCGAGATAGTTTGCAAGGTTTATACTGTGTATCATCCGATCGTAAGTCAAAACTGAAGCTTCCAGAGCTTTCCTGCCATGAGCTATAGCTTTTTCCAAGTTTTCAGGCTTTTTGCTGTTCATGAAAAGGCTGTGGTATTGGGTTGCAAGATTATTCAAAACCTTGGCCTTTCCAGTAGGGTCATTGACAACGGCGTCCAATGCTTTCTCATTCGAGTCGATTGCTTCTTTGAGACAAGTTATCTCACCAGTTCGTTCGTACTTGTGAAATAGACCCGAGGCCAGGCCGTTCTGGGTCAAAACCTGCAGGAACGGCTCCGAAGGCATGAGTTCGACAGCCTCCCGAAAATACTTTATCGCACCATCGAGTCTAGCTTCTTCATGAGACTGTTCATGCTTTGCTATCAACGCATTCCCAAGGGTGTGAAGGATGTGTACGTGATCGACCTTAGACTTCTTCTGAGTTTGTTCCATAATGAGAAGGGCCTTCTCGGCTTTGGAAACCGCCTCGTCCAAGCTTTCACATGACCCATACACTTCATAGCCGGTTAAGAGCCTGTTTGCGAGATTTCCCAAGAGTTTTGCCCTTTGCAGGTCTCCCTCGGCAGCTTCCACGGCATCACGGGCCTGCTTTATCGAATTGCACAGATCGGGCTTCAATCCATTTCTCTCAAACACCCAAGATAAATGTAGGCTGTATCTGCTCAGAATATTACCTCGGGTGCCTGGAACTGTAGACACACCCCGTTCACTCAGTTCCTCTAAGGCACGAAGCGCCCTTTGATCGATTTTGATGCATTCCGTCAGATCCCGCTCCTCGTGATGTTGTTTATATCTTTCACCCAATTTACCTGCCAAGTTGCAGAGCCTTCCGGGGCGGTATGGGCTGTTGTTGCCAGTCCCATCCACAAGGTATTCGTATAATTTTATTACCCCCGTGAGGGCGTTCCCATTTGAGAACATGAGGAACTGTTGGTACTGTCTCTGAATTTGACCCTGAATGACAAGGGCAAAGTCTGGATGCTGTTTGCGAGAAGCATGCTCTTTCTTGACCAATCCCACTGCCTCTGATCCTAGAGAGATTGCAGAATCTAGGTCCTCTTCATTAAGAAGGGCCTTAAATCGCGCAACCAGTCTCTGTGCGAGACAATCGAGTATTTTGGGGTGGTTATGATGTGTCGTTAATGACAGCCTGACAGCCATCTGGCAGCAGGAAATACCCTCGTTGATATCTTGCGGATTCCCACTGTCATCGAAACTCTCATTCCACCATTTACCGAGGGTGCTGAGATTGATAGCCTGATTGTATGGTGGTATGGACTTGATGGACCTTTCTGCGCACTTTATAGCCTTCTCCAAATCTGCCCTGACAGATGACTCCCTGTACTTTTCGTGGTGCTGTAGAGCCAAGCGCCACTGATCAAACGACAGTGCCTCGTTGCCAAAAGTCTCCCGCTCCTTCCAGAGAGTGCGAATATCAAGCTTCTCCACACCCCATTCCTCGACATGGTCGTCGGACGGGTCATCGCCGTGTCTTTCTGGTCGTCTCAATTTATTCACTAGACTCTTTAGAGTGTCAAGAGGATTTTTGCCACCTCTTGTGGCACCTGTTTCTGCACTCTGGAGGTCTTCCAATGTGAATCTTTCTAGGGAGATAGATCGCGGCGCAAAAAAGAGCTTGAAAGTATCGAAGATTGAATTCTCCTTATGAAATGCTTCAGGCACCCGCATCCGTAAACACAATAACTTCTCTCCGTTCGGATCCAAGCTCTCGGTCACGGAACTCTTTGGATAATACTTTGTGATCCCAAAAGCGGGGTTTAGGTCGAAAATGCTGAAATCGAGGACCTTGTCTGACAGGTTTTTGACGTGTACCACTAGAAAGGCACCATGCGTAGCCACGAACATGCCATCCACATACTGCACCATCTCCCATTTTGACGGATTATTCACCTCTTCCTGTTTTTTGCATTGCCCAACAATGGTAAATGAGACCGCGTTTCGCATGGGTAAAACGGCATCCGAGCTTTTCAGTGTCTTCATGAGTTGGAACGAGGCCAGATGTCTGAGTCGATAAACCAGCCTTTCTACAGACATGATACTGCCATCAAAGGGCATAGACGGAGGGTCCCTCATATTCACCATGTCCTTGAGAACGACATTGACCTCGGTTTCATCGATAGTTAAACGGAACATAAAGTCTTCATCAGGGGCCTGTCCCATCAACATGAACTCTGGCCGCTTTTCTTCGGGGAATTCATTCCATGCTTTTTCGAGTTTATCCCGGTGCTGAGATTCCTCGGGTAGGAGGACGACGAATCTCTCCGCAGGAGGAACGTAGGAAAGAACAGCCTTACATCCGACATCCACTTGCTCTTTTGAGCACATAGTTTTGAGGGTAGTTGCCTTTGCAGTGGAAGGCGATACCTCAAAAACTCTGACCTCCACAAGTTCACCGTTGGTTGTCCGGGACCAAATAATGTACTCGGCATTTCTAACCACGCCATGGATAGAGCCCGAGTCGAGTGTCAGGTTTTCCCGGTCGCCATCTACACTGTGTACAGTGATGGCAGGAACACGGGGAGGGATATCTGTCCCGAAGAACTCTTTGTCAACCGAGCCTCCGATTACTGGGTTCTGGAGCTCCTTAGAAGCATTCCGTATCTTGGGTCCCAGCCTCTGAAAAAGCATCTCGGTAGATACAGGTGTCTTGTGCGTCCGAGGGAGACTTTGAAGGGTGTCGAGCAACCAGTAAGTCAGATTCCCACTGTGGATGTTATCAGCCTGCTCAGGCTCCATGGCAAACTCGCGAGGACGGCAGGCCGCCAGGAGCGTGTAACCCTGGATTTCAAGGAGCCACGGCTGGCTCGTTCGGTCTCCTGAGTAGACTTGGTTTGAAATATCACGTTCAAAGCCAAGTCTATCAAGATCCTGGTCAGCTCTGGCCTTATCATCGGAGGTAGATTTGTATATGCTGTCAACTTGGCGAGCATTATCTGGCCTCGAGCTGCCCCGTGTGATACTACCAGAATGGCAGCAGTCCATGACGACCGTCAGTACTAGCTTTTTACCCAGCATCTTCTTGATGTAGAGCCCCAGCTCAATATCACGAACAAGAGCGCCCCCGGCAGACTTAGCTAAGTCAGAAGGCAGAAGGCATTCGTCGATTCCATCTTCCCCTTTTAATTCGGGATACACGGTTGTCGCCTGTCCTCCGTGTCCAGAATATTGCAGGTAAACCAAGTCACCAGCCTTTGCATTTTCGATAATCCAATTCAAGCCGCAAATGATATTGGCATATGTAGGATCACCACATCTTGTGTCTGGGTCTTGTTTCAACGGAAAATATGCCTCTGTTGTGAGTTTCCTGATATTCCTTTTGGCAACGCCCATTTCAGAAAGCAGGTGACGCTCGACCCTGTCAATATCCCTAACGCATCCTTTAAGATCAAGAAATTCCATTTTTCTATCGTGGATACTGATGAAAGGACTTTTACCGGCGTCGAAAAGATCGATGCCTATCAGCAATGCCCACTTGGTAGCGGTCTGGCATGGAATGTCGCTCGTCATTTTCCTTTTCTCTTGTTTTTTATTTCTTTTCTAATCTTTGGTGGAGGACGCAAGGAGAAGCAGTGACTAAAGGAAGAACGTAAACAGGCTTGATGGTAATGGTGTCTGCGCACTTGGTAAAGGAGATCATGTAGATTGTGCAAGGGTATAGCGTAAAGGCCTGAATGGACTGAATTCGTTGTGCATTCGATCACGTATTCCAGGCCCACCCTTCCTCTGTCTACTATCTCGAAGGCTTACAAAGAGCCCGTGCGTACGCGGCCCTCCAATTTATTGCTGGGCAGATATTGATCCATGTATGTACTTTTTCTCGAACATGGACTAATGCAATGTATCTGTCAGCGCAACCAGCAAAAGCAGTGCACTATTGTAGGTGGCCTTTTAGGCATGCTACGTGTCATGATTCGCATGGCTATTACCGAATACACATGCCTTTGCGAGACACTAGCCTTTGGCTTTAGGCATCGCACCCCTTTATCGTGGATGTTTAGCTGGCCTGACGCTCATCGACCTCGGGATTTGGCCATACAGGCCTGCATCCTGACTAGAAATCTGCTAATAGCGACGGAGCTAGCCCAAACGAAAACAAAGAACACTGAGAAACGTAAAACCTGGGAATTAGATACCGTATGGGAGGAATTCTACGAATCCATTGGAAACCGTAAATGGCCTACAGAAATAATCACGCCGTCCTTCGTTGCAGGCAGCATACCCCGCACGAGGCTGCAAAGTCATGCAGCGCAAAGCATCCCTGAATCTTGGGGCCCAAGCCCGTACAAAATTCATTGTCTTAACAGGCAATGATCTGTAAATGATCCCGCCATTGGGCCTATGTGCATACGACGGAACCTTACTCCGATCAAGGCCCACATGTAAACAAGACAGCACAGTCGGTTTGGCACCTTACATGTCTCTCTGACATAGCGCAGGTCCTACAGTACGCTCGATTGGATTTACGATCAGCATGTGTTTTCCTTATGAGTATGCCCACTCACGGCTCAGTCCGTGGATAGGCAAAGTGGCGGATGTGTATAGCCCTCGGTGAAACTACACTCTCTACCTTCTAAATCTTCTAGAATCATCATTCACCGTCTAACTGTCCTTGGTAGTATGACCTTCATTTTATTCATTTTCAAATTATAATCTTGATAAATTAGCAATTACTCTTGACATGATGCAGACTATAATTAACCTCTCATATAAATACTCGGTTCCGTCTCGCAGCGCAGCATTTGTTGCGTGGCACCATAGATGCCTCGTGCAGAAGGCTGCACTTTCCCCGGACGATCATATACTATCAGAGCTCTGCATGCATGTAAACTACCCGTCGACAGGGGTGAAAATCCAGGCGAAACGGAACACTAGGCATGTTCTACCCAATGGGAAACCAATTGGAGGACTGACAACAGACCTGCAAATAACTAAGTAGGTAGCATGAAGTTGTCTTCCCCGCGCCACGTACATACGCAGAGGACACACTCTGGATAGCATGGGAATTTACTTCACATCTGCGTTTGTACGAGGTGTGCCTCATGCAACTAAGCGTCTACGTGGCCGCTGTTATCACACACTGCAAGATGCACGGTCCTGTCGAGTACAGGAGACATTGAAATTTTACGCAACGTGTGCTCTTGTGCAGAATTTTCTTTTTCATATTTATTTTTAGGACAAGATCTGACACCATGGTGATATATAACTAGAAAAAGAACCCTCCGCAGGGAATCAATCCCCACTTATCAAGTTTGAATATATCAACCGGCCCATTTATCGTGCACCCCAGTTAAACAGTCCCACGATTATGGTATAGAATCCTCATCCCCAGCTTTGTGTACCACGCAACATGACAACCAAAGAGCAATCCGAAAAGCCATCATATGCCATCACAGGCATACCTATCAAAGGCGATGGCGGCAAAGTCCCTGTCCGCAAGGACATTGACATATGGTATGAAGAACAGGCGGCTGGGAACCGCATTCAACTCACCCTCTTCCTGGAGGCCTTGACTCTGATGCAAAGGCGTGGTCTGGACGACAAGCTGTCGTATTTCCGACTGGCGGGGATCCATGCCGCGCCCGGGGGTGAATGGGATAACGTTGACCCTGCGCCCACAAACTCTGGCAAGAAGCAGGGATTCTGCGTGCATAATCACTACACCTTCCCTACCTGGCACCGAGTCTATATGACGCTGTTTGAGGTAAGTAGTAAGCCCTGAGCCCAGAGACAGGAACTAGCCTGACAACCACATCACGACACGACAGCAAGCTACATACGAAGCAATGATTGAGTTTATCAATACTGAGGGAAATGTCCCTTTGACCGAGCGAGACACGTGGAAAAAGGAGGCAGGCCAGTGGCGTCTACCGTACTGGGATTTTGCCCGGTTCCCAGACCAGCCACAAACCGGGGGACGGGAAAACGAAAATAGGAAGCTGCGGTTGCCAAAGCTGGTGACGGAGTCAAATGTTGAGATTGAAAGGATGGATGCGACTAAGAGCAAAATGGAGCGCACGAGTGTGCCCAATCCGGTTCACAGATACGCTAGTCCAGTGCCAATGGGTAAACTTGACGGTAAATACGCCATCGACGAGGAAAAGATCTATGAAGGCAACCCTCCCGATCAAAAGTTGAAGTTCACGTATCCGGTAAGGAACCATATGTGCAGGAAACGACCTAGTTATCTAACACATTCTCTTCATTCAGTGGGACAAGTGTGTCTCAACCACCAAGTACGGCCTTATGGACGACAACAAACCGGCTGCCTGGGAGGATGCAGGTCAGCATTGGGAGAAGTCGAACCTGGCGTTGAATGAGCACGCGTGGAGTCAAAACGCCAGGTTGGGAGACTATCCACCGACACTCCAGGAAATGACATTCCGTCTTCTGAAGAGCCATATCAAGGACTGGGGGTCATTTGCAACGACTCGGTTCAATCCACGCGGTGACAGAGAAGATGGGGGTAAGGAGGACGGGGCAAAAGATCCTTTGAGCACGAAACCAAACACCTGGCTGTCTCTGGAGTCCATCCATAATAACATTCATGTAAGGGTGTTTTTCTTTCGACTCCTTGTTCTTTCGACGGTGATATTGGCTATCGAACCCTGTCTAACAGATACAGAACTGGGTTGGTGGGTCCCAATTCCAACTTCCGCGAAACGGAGATACGAGGTTCTGGGGCGCCGGGCATATGAGCAGCGTCCAGATGGCGGCGTTCGATCCTCTCTTCTGGGTGTATCACTGGTAAGCACAAGTTGATGCAACGCTGTGACTCGGCTAACAAGTGGGCATTGGGACTTTCCAGCAACATCGATCGTTTAGCCGCTATCTGGCAAGACCTCAACCCCCGTAAATGGTTCGATGATGATGATAGTAAGGGCTTCTTGGGCAAGGAGCTGCGCCCTTTCAGTCGCAAAGAAGGTGAAGAAATCATCTTTTACAAGTCAAGCGACACACAGAATTGGACGGACTTGAATTATGACTACGAGATAACCCAGCAGAACAAGCTGACAGGACCTGGGGAACGCAAACCGATCGAAAAGGCCGTCGAAAGCCTTTACGGTCAGGGAGTCAGGAATATCTACGATAAATTAGTCCCCAAGGATGAGAGATTAGAGGATTACGTGCTCTCCGTTGAGTATGACCGGTTAGTATCGTCCCTTCCACTAGACTATGTTTCGATCTGACGGTGCAATGGCAAGATATGCGCTGAAGGGGGAGGCCTTCAAAATCAATACGTTTTTCGACGAGGTTCTCAGAGACGAGTGTCAGGTTCCAGACTCCAAAGGCTTTGTTGGCAGTACATACAATTTCAGCGCATCAGTTGAGGCGGGGAACTGTTCGAACTGCCGGGAACAGATGGAAGAGGGCATCAAGTGTATTGCGGAGATCCCAGCGACAATTCCAGTGTACGCATACCGAGCCGTACATGGGGACAACCCAAAAGCCATCAAATACGTCGTGTTGAATTGCCTGGGCGAGGTAGGGTGTCCACTACGTTATGCTTTTATCCTGGCTGACCCGTTCTATATAGCCCGCGAAAGTCCCTGCCAATATCACGCTCAGGAAACTGGAGGTTCCATTCTATGAAGCTCCCTCGAGAGGGACCATCCCTCATTACGAGGAAGTAAGTCATGGGGAACCGGCAATGAACGTGTTTGATTAAGATGAATTGCGATTGTTGGGTTTGGACACTCGCTTCAATATCTGTTCCTTACAGGCGAATATGCTGGATCCCCAGACTGTTATTCTATACTGGAACCAGGAAGCTAGTCATTTAAGAGAATCCGAGCGTTCGTTCAGCTGCGTACAAACTAGATATTAAGTCCACAGATGGCACTCGTGGGCCAAAGAACTATCAATAGAGTTCCTCTCCATTGCCTGAATTACTCCTGGAGGGGGTTCACGGCGTGAACTTCAGACCAATACAAGCTCTGGGGATAAAAGCGAGGGGCTTTAGGTGCCAGAACAAGTCACTCCAGCATCAAACCTCTAGACTCCGACATGCATAGTATTATGCAGCTAAGACCAGGATCCTTGATTAGGGCAGGCTCCCGGGTCGAGCAGCGCCGCAATAATACCTACAGCCCCGCCGAACGCTTCCAATCCGACTTCCCTGCATAACCGACCAACCCAGCGCCCTCAACCCTCACCACCACCTACCCTCATATCGCACCATGTCTCCTCCCGCAACTATTATCCTGAAACAACCCCTCCCCACCGACGCAGTCAGCCTCGGGCGCCTGGTCCAAAACCCCCAGGACCCCTCCCAAGACTACTACGAACCGCCCACCCCACCGACTGATGTATCAACGCAACGCCTGGAGAAATTCAACGAACTTCTCACCAAAACCCGCGACACGCGGCTCCACGCCTTCCTCACTACGATCATCTCCTCCTCCACCTCGTTCAGCAACGAGCAAACCACGCAAATCGACTCCGCGCTCTGCATCACCCGCCAACTGCACAACTCATCCGACTATTTCCGAGACCTGTGCCTGGTCCCCCGGGCCCGCAGGTGGCTTGAGTACGCCATCACTCGGAAATTCAAAGTGTATCTGGTTGTCGGCTTGAAGACCGTTACCGACGCCACCGTCACATTGCGAGAAGGCCGGTCCCGAGAGGTAGCCGCCGAGGCGCAGGTCCCCGTGGGGGCGGCCGCTGCCTCGGTGGGTGTGATGTTGCCGGGGGTCGTGGACCCGGGGTTCGGAGTATCGAATGCGCGAGGGACGGCATCGGAGGTGGGGTTCTTTGCCCCGGGGGAGCAGGTTTATGCGGTGCAGTATCGGCGGGTGGAGTTTGCGAGGTTCTCGGGAAGGAAGATCGAGACGAGTTGGTTGGAGAGTGGGAATCGTTGGGAGTTATATATTGGGTCGAGGGGTGCAAGGGAGGAGGGTGAGGATAGGGAGGTGAATGGGATGGAGGTGACGCTTGGGGAGGATACTGGCGAAGAGATACTTGGGGGACATGGGGAAGTCGTGGCTTTAGGAGATGAGAAGGTCTATTTTTTTCCATAGTTTCTCACAATTTTATAGATCGCCCCTGGGATCCAGTCAAAAGATATTATGTATGTGATATAGTTGTGGCTACTAGAGTTAGTTGTATTCGGTGCCTATTTGACAGGAGGCATGGTAGGGACCGCCCGGTCCAGACCCGATGTATAGGAACCAGAGTAATGGTACAAAAGCTGGCCAGCAGCTTTGATACCATCAGGGGTATAGGAGGTATCTGATAGATCAAGTGGCAAACAGCCACCATTGTATAGGTCGCATTCAAGCGAGTCATGATAGACTTGGCAGGAGGAATTGCCTGCGACAATCAGTACAACGACATGCCAAACACGACCAGAAACTCTGACCTCAGAAAAAAGTTCCAAATCAGATGGATGCACAGAAAAATCAGCGCATGTATCAACACTACACCAAAGTCAGCACCCAAACCCTCACACTTCCTCCACCATCCACCCACCAGACAGAAAAACAAACCTTCATTCCCAACATATCTCACGACCTTCAACCTCCGCCCCCGACCCTTCAACCAAGCCGACACCAATCCCACCTGACAAGTCTCCCCGGGGATGACAAAACACCCGCCCCGTCCGCGCTGACACTCCAAATGCCGCCGTCTACGGTCCATGATGCGCCGAATGCGCCAATTGCAGAACGACTCGTCCGTTCGAAACGAGCACTTCTCCATCGGACACTCGAGTTTGCGCTCGAATCGCTCCACCAGCCAGTCGACTTTCAAGTGCACGCCGGTGTACACGAGCGAGTAGAAGTGCTGGCTGGTGTGTTTGAGAGCCAGAGCGTCTGGATATGAGAGGTACGAGGAGATCTGCATGTGGAGCTCCGTTGGGAGGCCTGTTAGGTTGAAGGTGCCGGTTGGTTGTCGGGGAGGGTCTTGAGCCGGGGAGTAGGAGTCCATTGCGGCTTGCGAGCAGCGAGCGTGATCAATTAGGGTAGATAGATAGGGGCTAGAAGGGTAGCGGATCGACGCAGGATGGGTGGGTTCAATCTCAAAAGGTACAAGGGCATTCAAGACTATATAACAAAGGCAAGGCAGCGAGGTTGTTGCCTAAGGACTCAGACACTGATTGAGACCAAAAGATAACAGACCAGTGGCAGCTGGCGGTTATTAATACACCCAGAACCACCGAGATAATATATATGAAATTGAAGAAATGTCTCAGCTACTGCAGGGCTGTGTGAGACTCAGCCGCAAGAAACGAGCCTGTCGTCATTGATTGGACTGCGAGCTCAAGACGTGAGGGACCGATTCAGGGCGACTGCAACCATGCCGGGAAGGAGCATGATGGGAGGCCTGAGGATCAGCAGTGAACCGAGAACGAGAGGATCAGCTGAACGTGAGGTACCCCGTCGCTGCAGGAGTGGTGTCCATCCGATACGCCAGGATGCGGGATGAATGGAGCCAGCAGGAGATGCATCGCATCGACAATCGACCGATCAGATCCGATGGGGCGGTGTCCAACTTCTCACCGCCTACCGCTCTCGGTGTCGCCGCTTTATCGCCGCAAAACTTCCCCGACGAGCTGCCTTGATCTATCGTCATTCATCTGTCAACTATCAAATTCCACAACGTCCTTAATTAATCCCCCATCTTCCTCTAGCCTCCTACACCCAACTTACGCAAATTACCTCCACCATGTCAGGCAACCCCTCCGCGCCGTCGGACACGGCCTTCCGCAAAACCTGGGACCGCGAAGAATACGCCAAAAAAGCCGCCGACGACGAAGCCAAACGCAAAGAAGAATCCAAAGCGCGCTACGAGGCCAAACTGCTCGGCAAGAAATGGCACGCCCCGGTCGACTACAGCTCTCTTGAAGCGACGACGTCGCGGAAGCAGCGTCTCGATGTCGCGTCCATGGTGGGCAAGACCACCATGGTGTCGTCGGCAAACGCGATCGGCAAACGCGGCCGCGGGGCGGGATTCTACTGCTCGGACTGCGATCTTACCTTCAAAGACAATCTGCAGCTGGTGGAGCATTTGAACAGCAAGCAGCATTTGATCGCGACGGGGCAGAGTGGCGAGGTGACGAGGGCGACGGTGGAAGATGTGCGGGAGCGGTTGAGGATGCTGGCGTATCAGAAGCGAGTCAGGGAGGAAGAGGAGCGGCGCGCGTGGCAACTGGATCTGGGTACTAGGTTGAAGGAGCGGGAGGAACAGGATGCGAAAGAGCGCGAGGAGAAGAGGCGGAAGAGGAACGAGAAGCGGCGGAAGGGTGGAGAGAATGGGATCAAGCAGGAAGAGGATAGTTGGGAAGGTCGTCTGGGAATCATCGCATAGTTGGAGACTTGCTTGGAGATGCTCTCGTTGCCTGTGGTGAGCATACATTGGTGTCATGATCGATAAACAGTTGCAGTATACCCATGGCGTTTGGCTTTGCGTTGATATATCTTTTATGGGACCGGGATTGGGTGTAAACATTCAAGTGATATGAAATAAAAAGTTGCATATAATGTACTGACTGCTATTGCGGCAAAAATTGTACTCCAGATGTTGTAAAGCACCAATATTAACGATTTATCCAACGCCGTCCGTCCATATCCCATGCCCTCCCAATCCGAGAAATGTAGTAAATATCAGGTCCTAATCCGTGCATTCAATTCCCTCCAGCACACGCATTGCCCGTGCCCCTTCCTTTTCGAATTGACCAACAAGCCTCTCGCATTCGCGTCGAAGTCTCTCCTCTCCGTTCTTTGCATTCCACGTGATCCATTGTTCCACGGTCATCTTCTTTTCTGGGCTTGTCAAATCGCCTTTGACGCTGCTCAGAGCAGTGGTGATGTCGACGTTTTCCTTGTCGCTGTTGCCGGCTAGCAGAATCTCGTCGATGTCAATCGCTTTCCAAGGACAGGATGAGCTGAGACCGCCCGCGTTGGCAGTGCGTTTCGATGGTGAAGGGGTACTCGGCGCCAACGGAACCCGGAGAGATGGCTGCTTAGAGGGGGACGCCGCAACGGCCCGGGATGCTGATGGTTTCATGAACGGCGGTCGGTTTTCGGCGTCCGAAGATTGTGGTGATAGCGACGGAGTGCTCTTCGAAGCAGATGGAATGGGGGAAACAGCTTCAGGCTCATCTGCCTTGACATCGTCTTCTGGAGCGGCATGGCCACTGGATCCGCGTGATTGTGCAAGCGACTTAGCAAATTGCCTCTCCTCGGGAATGTCACTGTATCGCTCGGCTGTCTTAGGAGGCACTCTAGAAGATCTGCGCCGAGGTGGCTGTGAATCGGGTTCGGGTTCGGCGGCCTCCTGGGTGTCCTGAGGCTTTGGGGGCTCTTCTGGCTGGACTCGTTCTTCGGCCTTGGGCTCTTCAACCTGCTCCTCGACCTGTTCCTCGACCGATGGGACTGGCTCCGGTGCCGTCTTTGACGACTTCTTCGGCTTTTTGGTCTTCTCTAACGAAGTCTTTTGTTTCTGTTTCTTCTTCGTGCCCTTGTCACCAGGCTCGGCCGGAGGATCTTCCACGGGTTTCTTATTTGTAATTTCCACAGAGACGAATGATTCGTGCCGGGATACATCCACATCCCTGTCATCGTCCGATTCATGATCCGGTTCAGGAACGGGTTCGGCAGGCTTCGCTGGTTCTGTCGGTTCTTCGGTTACTCGCCTAGAGCTGCTTCGACCCCTTGACTTTTCCCGCTGGCTTGATTCCCTTTTTGTTTTCGGCTGAGCAGGTTCCTCGGGGACCGGCGACTCGGCCGTTTGAGTTTCTTCAGGAGCGCCCGGATGTGATTGTTCCACTTGGTCGACAGCCTCAGCTGGTGGTTCCGGGGACGTGTCCTTCTTCTTTTTCTTAGACTTGGACTTGGACTTCTTCGCGGTTTTCTTTTCGGTCTCCTCGTTGGACTGTGCCGACCCAGCGTGGTCGAGCTCTGCTTCCAGGGCGGCGTACATATCGACGTCTTGGGGCTCTTCGGACTTCGCAGTCTGCTGAGCAGTCGACGACTCGCTCGCTTTACGCGACTTGGATGATGTCTTCTTCTTGCTGGTTCCACGGGTCTTTTTAGGCTCTTCTTGTTCCTGGGGTTCCTGGGGTTCCCGAGCGGCATCCTCATCCTGCTGTGCATCGGCAATCACGAGATCCTCTTGCTCGCCGCGTTCTTGAGCACTCTCGCGCGACTTTTTGGCCTTCTTTTTCGTCGGGGCCTCGGCATGCTCGACATCCTGGGTATTGGCAACACCGGATCTCTCCTGGTCAGAATCGACTTCACCGCTGGCCCGCTTCTTGCCTCGGGTGGCTCGCTTTGGTTGGGGGTCCTCAGGCTGAGGTTGTTCACCGTTGTCGATTTCCATTTCTGCGGCGCTGGGTTCGGGATCGGCTTTCTTCGACTTGGAGGTTTTCGTCTTAGTCTTGGACGACTTCTTCGTGCTTTTCGATTTTGTAGTTGATTGGGACATAGGGGGGTCGATCACGTCGACGTCCGACACAGGTGCCTCGGAGATAGTAGATTGAGTCGATTGGCGGGAAGCCTTGGAGGTGCGCGCTTTTTTCGAGCGAGATGTTTTCTTCTTGCCACCTGACTGGGCAAATACGAAGAACGAACAGTCCGATGAGCGGCGATAATGTTCATCACTGCAAATGTCAGTACTCGAAAAACGTATAAAACACGGTCTTAACTGACAAGGGGTTGTCCTTGGGTTCCCATCCGTCGAGCGACAATTTGCAGTAGGCACAGCTTGCCAGGTCGTCGCTTTCCTCGGTCGGGCAAAAATACCACCCGCCGTCAACCATCTATCCCACTCAACAATCAGCAAGGGACATCCAGCGCATGATATTTTATCGCGATCCACTCTACCTTTTCCGATTGACAGACCCAGCCTTTTTTGCCGTCATGTGGCCACAGTTCACCAAACGTGGCCAATCGCGCCTGTCTTATCGTGTCGCTTGTTGGATCTTCAATCTCTGCGGGGTTGGAACTGTGCTGCTGAATGTCCATCATGAGAGCCCATCCGCAGTCTGGGGAATGCTTCAGATGTTCGGTGATCGGATTGTCCTCTTCTTCCCATCCATCGAGCGCTCTCCGACAGAGGAAACATGTTGTATTATCGGGGTTGGTTTCGTAGGGGTTATAAAAGAAACCCGCATGCGCCAACTGCAGAGGTTACCAGTTAGCAGCCAGAATTCACCAGTTCGATCTGCAAAAGCATACTTCAGCAGGCGAAGGCCTCCTGTGAGGCCAGGCGATCGCTTTCGCGGTCTTCGCGCTCGATCCTCGTCGCTTCTCCGGCTGCAGCACCAGGTCGAAGCTGGCAAGGCGGGCGCTAAACGTTTCCATGTCCTGGGTCATTGTGGGCAACGCATGGGAATCATGAGGTGAAAAAAAATGAGGGCCCAGTACGCGCTGGGAATTTCGATGCGATGAATGTCGCACTGAGTCGGCAGGGTCGGCGTTGAAGTGGTTGCTATCCGGGCGCTTGTTTACTTCCTGTTGTTTGGGTCGCTTCTACGCAACGCGCCCGCGGAGAGCCTGGTCACGTGCTGTGGCGCATACCGTGGCGCAGTGGCAGCCTCAGGCCGCAGCCGCAACCCCGACGAGTACGTCAGTCTCTCCCTCTCGTTGGCCCTTCCGATATCCCGCAGTATCTGCCGGTGCTCTGTTTTCTCCTTTCCTCCATCTGATCTCCCCGGAAATTATGATCTGAACCTGTCGTTGCAGATGGTCTCTTGATTTGTCGTCTTCCTACAGCCCTCGCTGTGCAATTCCCTCCTTTTCTTCTGTTTCCTCCCTCCCTGTGCCTTCCTTCCTTTCCTCCGTGGAGCCGCAACGATGCGCGAAGCTACGGTAGGCTACTCTCCGGGGGCTGTTCTTGGCCCAGAATAAAATAAAAATAGAATGCTGATCAATGATATTCGTGTATAGTCCCTCCTTATGAACTCGTCGGGCTCCTTCCGTATGCATTTACGTCCGAACCCTCCGTTTGCTGCGCGATGCTCTCGCATTCCGAACGCCCTTCGCTCGTTTCCCCTGCAGACCTCAACAGACTACAACGGTGGCTCTTTAACGCGACGACTCTACACCGGTCAACCACATGGCTCTCGTTCGAGCTCTACGGATCGTCTCCTGGCGCCCTCGCCTGCCTCGTTCTCGACCTCTTCGCAATATTCCGATCCCGGGGACTGGGAAGTCAATTCCAATCTTGCGATCTCGGCATTTTCGGAGCTGCCGTCGAAGGATTTCGGAGTCAACCAGCATATGGTCATTAACCAGGAATTCAAAGAGGCCTTGCGCCAGATTCTCTGGGGGTTCCGCGCTCCGATTCGGTATGCATTCGCCTACGGGTCGGGAGTCTTCCCGCAATCCGGCAGCGCCCCCGGCTCCAGTCAATGTCACCCATCAGCCCCGGCGGCCATCAAGAATATGCAGCAAGGACAAGGGAAGATGATCGACTTTATCTTTGGCGTTTCGTACTCTCAACATTGGCACTCACTAAACCTTAGTCAGCACCGTGATCATTACTCCGGGTTAGGTTCTCTGGGATCCTACCTGGTTTCGCAAACGCAGGACAAACTCGGCGCCGGCGTATATTTCAATCCGTATGTCACGGTCAATGGCACGTTGATTAAATACGGAGTCGTAAACTTGGACACGCTCTGCCAGGATCTCAGCCAGTGGGGCACCTTGTACCTGGCCGGGCGATTGCAGAAGCCCGTCAAAATCCTGCGCGACCATCCGCGGGTGCGACTCGCCAATCAGATGAACCTGCTGTCTGCCGTTCGAGTAGCCTTGCTGCTGCTGCCGGAGCAGTTTAGCGAGTTCCAGCTTTACAGTACCATCGCAGCGATCAGCTACATGGGTGACATTCGCATGTCGCTGCCGGCCGAGGACCCTCGCAAGGTCAACAACATTGTCTCCGGACAGATGGCCAACTTCCGGCGGCTGTATGCGCCGCTCATTGACAATCTTCCCAACGTGACTTTCAACGACAAGCGCTGCACCCAGGAGGACTGGATCGACGATCCGGGTGCCAACGTGCGGTTAACACAAGACATGGACCCCGTCAAGCGTGGTAACATGGTCCGCCGACTGCCCGAGTCCTTCCGGGAGAAGCTGTATTTCCAGTATCAGTCGCGCTACGAGATTCCGCGTGCTCAATTCAACCAGATGATGAAGGAGAACAACGACAAGGACCCCGAGCTTGTGCGTCGCCGACAAGGGGGTGAATTTGAGCAGCGGATCGCCAGCGATTCGCACCTGACACAGGAGGTACAAAACTCGATCACAAAGACCATCCGATGGCCCAGCCTGGTGCAGACCGCCAAAGGACCGCTCACCTCGGGCGTCAGTCGTACCTGGCGCTACTTGCGAGAAAAGCAGAACAAGTACAAGACGTCGGGCCAGAACCCTCCTCCGACGAGCGAGGAGTCGTCGTCCAAGGCCTCCAAGCAAGAATAGATACTCATGATTGCAGATATAGCCGTGTTTGACGTATGTTTGCCGTTGCAGACTGCCGTGAGGGCAGCCCAGCATTCCACGACGTACCGAGAGTCGACTCGATTCGGCTGTGACCTGTAGTAAATATGTGGAAAATTGCATCCATGATCGTTATACGTCATGAGCATAAATATAACGAGCAGTATATAGAAATGGAGTTGCATTGATTGTTTATTTCGTAATCCCTTCTTATCCTCTGTATGGACCCGGCGATAAGCCTCCGACACCGGTTCCGGTGATGATCGGTTCCTCTTCCCCGCCGCAATCCCCACCAACATTTCTTCTCTCCTACAACAAACCAGCAACAGATCATCTTGCCCAATATGGCTGCCCGGCAATCTCCTTTTAACCTCGCGACATGCGCGCGCAAGAACATTCTCCAATTGCAACCCTACCGGTGCGCCCGAGAGTAAGTCGAAGCTCCTCGCCGGTTGAGTCATAGCGACGAAAACTAACAAATCAGTGACTACAAAGATGACGGCACGAACGTCCTGCTGGATGCGAACGAGAATGCCTACGGGCCTGGTCTTGCTCTGAACTCCGAAGGCGCGCTTCAAGAGTCCACGGTAACTGGCGGGTCGACTGGCTCGTCCAAACCCGAGATTGACCTGCTGGGGTTGAATCGATACCCGGATCCGTGAGTCATTCGCCCTGACATCTCTTCCCAAAAGCAATCATACTTATCGTTGGATGGCATCTAGTCACCAGATTGAATTGAAACAGCTGTTCTGCCAATTCCGCAACACCCACCACCACACCCAGAAGACCCTCAAGCCGGAAAACCTCTTCGTCGGCGTCGGCTCCGACGAGGCCATCGACGCCCTGCTGCGATGTTTCTGCGTACCCGGAAAGGACAAGATCCTCACCTGCCCTCCCACCTACGGTATGTACGGCGTCAGCGCGCAGGTCAACGACATCGAGATCGTCAAGGTGCCGCTGGACGTGGACCGCGGGTTCCAGCTGCAACCGGAGAAGATCAACGAGACGCTGGCGGCCGACAGCTCCATCAAGATGGCATACATCTGCTCGCCCGGCAACCCGACGGCGAACCTGATCAGCAAGGCGGATATCCAGAAGGTGCTGGAGCACCCGACGTGGAACGGCGTGGTGGTGGTCGACGAGGCGTACATCGATTTCGCGCCCGACGGGTCCAGTCTGGCCGAGTGGGTGAACGAGTGGCCGAACTTGGTGGTGATGCAGACGCTCAGCAAGGCGTTCGGTCTGGCGGGCATCCGTCTCGGCGTGGCGTTCACGAGTCCCCCCATCGCCACGCTCCTGAATAGCCTCAAGGCGCCTTACAATATCTCCAGCCCCACCAGCGCCCTGGCCACCGCGGCTCTGTCCGAGACGAACATGGCCGTGATGCGCCGGTACCGGGAACAGATCATCGCGCAGCGCGAGCGTCTGGTGCGCGAGTTGCCGAAGATCCCTGGCGTGGGCCGCTTCCTGGGCGGGCAGGAGTCGAACTTCCTGTTGGTCGAGCTATTAGATAAGAGCGGGAAGCCCAGCAATGAGATGGCGTTGGGTGCGTACGAGGCGATGGCGGAGAAGCGCGGCGTGGTGGTGCGGTTCCGCGGCAAGGAGCTGGGATGTCTGGGATGTCTGCGCATCACAGTGGGCACGGAGAAAGAGGTCACCAAGTTCCTGCAGGAGATGCGGGTGGTGCTGGAGGGGTTGCTGAACGGGGTGGATATCCAATCGTTGAGAGGTTAGCTAGACGGTGCTTTTTATTTTCTACATAAATAATAGATTTCCTGTTCTCTTTTAGTTGGGAGCCTTCTTGGATAGAGCGCAAACCACACGTAGGAAACCCTCGGCGTCTCCCGATCAGATAAAACGACACCGTTGGGGTCCTAGAGTCGAGCATATCAGGGGCAAGACATGATAAGACGGTTGCATTTCGTACTTTCTTTTTCTTTATTTCTGAATTGATCCTTGCTAACCAATCCCAGGTGACATGACCTGCTACATGACATGCTCCTATAAGAAGGATCGCAATCTAAGCCAACAAATCGAGGCCGCCCGTTACGAGTCAGGCCAGTCTGGGCACGATGACACTGCGCCACGTCCAAGAATCCCGTCGCATGTGAATGGTTCGCCTGGCACTAATCAGAGGAGCTCTATCAGCTATTTGATTACCGGTTTGGTCTACCTCTCGGCGCGGAGGTTTCGTATTCTGAGCTTCCGCTCCAGACCTTGGAAAGGACTCGATCTCTATCCACAGATGAGACCATGTCATTCTCTTCATTGTCCAGCGGAACAAACTTTCGGGGCCTGTCTTCTCTCCGGCCAATTTCGTCGGGTTCCAGCAGGACAAGCACTGGCGACTTCGTATCCGTCATCGCAAGCCACGCACACCAACGGGGATCTTCCCTGTGCGGTCTCACCTCCCCACGTCTTAGCTAGCTGGCAACATTTCTCCTGACTCGAGTTCTTCCCCTCGGTGTGCTGTCTTGGGAGGCAAAGCGAATCCTCGAGCAAGGAAATGACAAAGGCCATTCATGCCTCGAGGATTCGAAAATGGCGCTTCCCGCCCGGCGTTATCGCAGCTGGTCGGGTGTTCATTGGACGCCATGACCCTTGGGGGGGTGCTATCGTCGGGATTGGCCATTCAGAGCGATCGTGGCCCTTAATTTGATGATTATGATAGTGATTACGTTCAGTCCTCCTGTCCGATGATGGCGACAGCTCCCCAGGCTCTCCTCCCCCCTCGGCTATCTCCACCCACTCCGGATCCATGGCGCCCTCGCACTAAATCACCGGTGCCTGTCTAGTCTGCTTATTAGTTATATGATCGCGCTCAGAACGGCGGTGAACTGCACTCCGATCGTGTTGTTTTCCTCCTTCCCCGTTATCCAAGCTGTGGATGTCTGCGTACGCATACGGAGCACATACTGCTGTGTTCGCTACTATCTGGCCTCTCCTTCCTCTGTCTGACTTCTCGGTCGCTGTCAACCTGGTCCATCTAGACAGCTCCGTCTCTGACTGTCTCCTCATCGCCACTCCCACGCATCGCAGCTCATCCTACGGCGGGACTGCGATCGCCTCCCCCACATCCGCTCGGACTTTCCAGGGTCTTGGGCACGTGCACGCCGGACTAACAATGTGAGGGCCGCAAAAGAACTTGTTGAATCTCCTGCAGGCCACTGTGCATTACTGTTAATATTCCGACTTGACTGGATTCATCCCGACTTGCTGCTGCCTACGGCCCCTCTGCGGAGGTGGTGCGGCGCACTCGACGGCTGCCTCAGTATGTTCAGCCCGCGTGGCATTTACTCCGACACTCCGCCAGATATCCGCACCAAGTTGGACGACAATCCGACGCTGCTGGTGAGCTGGTGGACGACCGGCTTTTCGTTGGCCATTATCGTGACGAGGGTCTGCGGTCGATATGTCCGCATCGAGCGCTTCTTTCCCGAGGACAAGGTCATGATGGCCAGTATCATTCCGCTGTTGATCCGCATGGCTTTGGTCCATGTCATTCTGATCTGGGGCACCAACAATACGAAAACGGAGGGCTTGACGGACATCGAGATCCGGCATCGCGTGATTGGGAGTAGATTGGTGCTGGGGGCGAGGATCTTCTATGCGATCTTGTAAGCGAGTGTTTATTCCGAACTCCGGTGGTTCATGATGGTGTGACTAAACTTCTGTTTGATATAGTATCTGGACGGCCAAGTTGACGGTCTGCGAGTTTCTCAGGCGAGTGGCTGGCATGATCTGGCGACGATCACTACGGCTGTTTCTGCAGTTTCTCTACTATTTCCTCGCGTCGACGCTCGTCGCCGTCCTGATCGCCACGCTGGCCGAGTGCCAGCCATTCCATCACTACTGGCAGGTCGTGCCCGATCCCGGTCCGCAGTGTCGCCTGGGTTATGCCAACCTGATCACGATGGGCGCATGCGATGTGATTACCGACATCCTGCTCGTGGCCTTCCCCATCCCCTTGATCGTCATGTCGAACATGCCGGTGAAGCGCAAAGTCTCGCTCGTGGTCCTCTTCGCCCTCTCCCTGATCCTCGTCGGCATCACCTGCTACCGCGTCCCCTCGGTCATCCACCACAATGGATCGCAACAATACCGCACGCTGCTCGCCTCGCTCGAGATCCTCGCCGCCACGGCCGTCTCCAACGCCGTCGTCATCGGCTCCTTCGTGCGCGACAAGGGCGTCAAGAAAGCCAAGTACAAGAAAGCCCAGGGCTCCGCCTCCGTCAGCGAGAGCCTCGACCACACCACCGTCCGCCGCGCCACCATCACCCATCACCAATGGGGCTCCGACTCCGACCTCGCCGGCGACCTCGGAATCCGCCTCGACTCCGATCTCTGCTCCTCGGAGAACCAGGGTCCTAGGCCCGCCCCCGTCGCAGGGCCCTATCAGCCGTACGGAACCCCCACCGGCACCGCCGGCCTCAACCCAGCCTGGTCCTTCAACCACCCATCCACCATCGCCGACGACGACCGCACCTCCACCACCGGCAGCCTTGACCTCAAAATCAGCCCCCACGAGTACATCGAAACCAACCGACCTCGCCACTACTCCCCCAACTCCACCCCCCACCACTCTTCCCCAGGAAAGGTCTCCTTCTTCGACGTCGGCGGCCTCCTCGATCCCTCCCCATCCACATCCACCCTGCACGTCCCAGGCACCACCCCTCCAGACCCCAATCTAAACCCCAATACCCATCTTCACCCCCATCTCCATCCTCCCCCCCTCCTCTCCCCTCCCCGCCGCTCCCGCTCCCTCGGCGGAAGCCGCGCCTTCCTGCAAGACGTCGGCGGCCTCCTCCCAGGCACGAGCACAACAACAGCACCATCCTCACCAACCCGCCTGTCTTCATTCTCATCGTCCTCCCGCCCCGGCGCCCTCCGCACATCGCTCTCCTCGGGCCGACGACGCGGCTCGAGCGTCCATTTCGACGACATGCCGTCGCCGGAGTCTGATTCGCCCGTGCCGTCGTATCGCTCGCAGCAGGATTATCTGCGCTCTTCGATTCCGATACCTGAGGGTGAGGGGGCGGATGCGGTGGAGTTGCAGGATGTGGGTGGGCTTTTGAGGGGGAATGGTGGAGGTTAGTTAGGGGGGTTGGTTTGTATGAATGTTGTGGTGTATGTTATGGGGTGTGAGATTGGTATAGGGATGAGGGAGTTGGGTTGTATTTTTATTATTGTTACCTTATGTTGTCTTTGGGGTTCAAGGGTCTGGATTGGGTTGGATTGGTTGGTTAGAGAGGATTGTTTATGTTTATTTGCCCTGGCGATGGATGGGCTCTGTTCTTTCTGTTCTGTCTGTTTATTGGGATATCCACCTAGCGATGGAGTTGGTTGGTTGGCTTTTGCTTTATGTTTGCTCATTTTGGATTGTGGAGTATATAGGTTGAATATTTCCTGTAGTTAGGGAGTTGGGTTGTTTTGTATTTGTGGAATATATATTGAACTATATGTACTTTTGGAGATATATATATCCCATGTAACGAAATAAATAGCCTTAATTTGTGGCAGATGCATACCTTTTAGCCAATTGATCCTGTTGTTTGGCTTGGTTTATATATCTTACTCCACATGTGCAGCCTCTAGGAATTAAATTCCCTAACCTATTGAATAACAACCACCATTCAAATAAAGCAGCTCATCCAACCCTACAAAAAAATCACTAGAATCAGAACATGAATAATACAAATTTATATACCTAGCTAGCTAGGTAGTAGTAGTCGTTAACTCTCACAAAGATAACTTGATAACTTCTTGGTAATACATCAATCAGCCAAATAAAAATTCATAAATGAAGTAAAGGTCTTTTCTCTTCGCCGTTACGCCTTGCTGTGCCCCCTATGCCTGGAATATGGACACGATCCGATCCTCGTCGAGGGGTCAGTTTTCCAGATTTTTGGTTTGCTTTCTAGCTTCGGTTGTGGTTCGCTTTGTCTTTGTTCTCGGATGTTATCGCGAGTGGGAGGTCGCGGGTGCAGGACTTTCCCGTCTCTTTCTTCTGAGAGAAAAAAAGATAAAAGTCTGCCCATTGATATATCCCCACCCATTAAATAACCCAGCGATAACTGGCATACCGACCCGCCGTCTCACTCTTCCGGATGATCTTGACGACCTGACCCCTCCGCAGACCCAGGTATCTCGCCACGGGGTCGGAGACCTGGATGCGCGGCAGCTGCGACTCCTTCAGACGGTAACGTTCCAGCAGGCGCGCCTTCTCCTGGGGACTCAGCAGCACGTGCTTCGGCACCAGCTCGTGGCGGGTGATGTTGACCAGCAGATCCTGCTCCTGGAAGTGCTCGCAGATGCGGCCGGGGACGCCGCTGAGGAGGCGCACGGCGGACGGCGAGATGGGGGTCTGGGTGATGAAGACGCCGGTGTGGAAGTTGTTCTCGTCGATGAAGTGGTTGAAGGCGCGCACCTGCTTGGTGCCGACGCCGGACGAGTCCGCGCAGAATTCGACGTAGATGGTGCCGCAGTCGGGTTGCGGGTCGGGGTTGGATTTGCTGGGCAGGGGCGTGTATTTGGCTTGCATGGCTTCGGAGGGGCGCGCGCTGACTTTCATTTTATTGCGGCTATGGAGGAGAGTTTGTTAGAGAGGCAGGGTTTGAGGGGCTGGGGTGGGTGCTGGCGTACTCGGGGTATCCAAGAGGGTCGGCATATTTCTGTTTGAAGTCGTCCAGAGACAGTTGGACTTCTTCTTCGGTGACTTCGTAGCCCTGCAGATGGTTAGCTTCTCTCACTGGGAAGCCTCTGAGGCAATCCTACCCGGTCCATCAGCAGTTCGAATACCGTCCTCCATGTGCGCCACAGTCGGGTCATCTCGCGGTCGGCATCCACGGAGCCAGCAGAGTAGTCTTCGTCCATGTTGAATAGGGCGCGCGAGGCGCGAACCGAGAACCAGACAATGAAAGAGAGAGAAGTGACAGGAAAGTGAAAAAAGGAACAAATGGCAGGCTCCGAGAAAGCGAGCAGTGAAGTGGCGGAGGTGAAAGTGACGCTTGATAGGAAGAACAAAAAGCGTCTCGAAAAATCGGCGGACCAGCGCTAACTGCGCCAACGAGGTTCGGGTTAAGCGCCGCCCAAGAAAGAAGAGCAGAGAAAAGGCCAGACCAACCGGTGCCTCTTTTTCCTCCGCTCAATTGTGTCTTTCTGTCTTTTCTCCCCCCTTTTCTTTGCTTTCGTCCCCTCTTTTTTTTCTCTGGATTGACTCCCCTCTTCAATCCATTTCTTTTGTTTTCTCGGTCTCCATCATGGCCGCTGAGACTAAGTCCGCTCCTCCCACGGAGTCCAAGGTGAAGCCCACCAAGCCGAACGAGGAGGCTTTCAAGGCCGATCTCGCCCAGGCCGAGAAGGAACATGCCGCTGTGCAGGAGAAATTGGTTCGTATCCATTGACATCCATTGACATCCATTGACATCCATTGACATCCATTGACATCCATTGACATCCATTGATTATTCCATTGGGTTTCCCGGACACATTGGGGATCTGCATGTGTCCAGTTATGACAATTCCCTTGTTTCCTGTCCAATGCTCTCGCTTGACATCCATTGACATCCATTGACATCCATTGACATCCATTGACATCCATTGACATCCATTGATTATTCCATTGGGTTTCCCGGACACATTGGGGATCTGCATGTGTCCAGTTATGACAATTCCCTTGTTTCCTGTCCAATGCTCTCGCTTATTCTTAAATCACAACCACTCTATCTCCTGACTACGTACTAATTGTTTCAGACCCAAATCAAGTCCAAGATCGAAGCCGCCAAACCCAACAACCAGGACTCTCCCGCCGCAAAGAGACAGCAGGAACTCCGCGCTGAACTGTCCTCGATCCGCCAGAAGCAGCAAGGATTCAAGTCCTCTCGGTCCAGCACCCAGGAGAAGATCAATGCCATCGACTCGACCCTGAAGGCCCGCATCGCGGAGCAGAACAACTCCCGCGGCCGTATGTCGTTCAAGAACGTCGACGAGATCGACCGCGAGATCGCCCGCCTGGAGAAGCAGGTCGACTCGGGGACGCTGCGCCTGGTGGACGAGCGCAAGGCGCTGTCGGACGTGTCCAACCTGCGCAAGCAGCGCAAGAACTTCGCTGGTCTGGAGGAGGCCCAGAAGGTGATCGACGACCTCAAGGCCCAGATCGCCGGCCTCAAGAAGACCCTCGACAACCCGGAAGCCAAGGCCCTCAGCGACAAGTACTCCGAGATCCAGAAGGAACTGGACGCCATCAAGGCCGAGCAGGACGGCGCGTTCAAGAACCTGAACGCCCTGCGCGACGAGCGCACGAAGCTGCACGGCGAACAGCAGAAGAAGTGGTCGGCCATCCGCGAGATCAAGGACACCTACTACAAGAACCGCAAGGCGTACAAGGAGTACGAGGACGAGGCCTGGCGTGTGCGCCGCGAGAAGCAGAAGGCCCAGCGCGATGCCTTTGAGCGCGAGAAGAAGAAGAAGGTCGCCGACAAGAAGCTGGAGGAGGCCTCGCGCCTGGCCTTCACCGACGAGATCCTCACCGCTCAGGGTCTGATCCGCCACTTCAACCCGTCGTACGACTTCGCCGCGCTGGGTCTGGATGACAAGAAGGACGAGGGATCCAACTTCCGCGCCGAGGTGGGCCGCACGGTGGACGACTCGAACCTCAAGGGCATGAAGGTGCTCAAGAAGGACGACCGCGAGGAGGACTACTTCGTCGGTGGCGGCGGCAAGAAGGGCAAGAAGGGTAAGAAGGGCACGGGCTCTGCCTCCTCCGCTGCCGCGGCCACGAACGCCGCCGTGCCTGCCGACAAGTTCAACATGAACGTGGGTGTGATCGAGGACTTTGCCAAGGTCAAGATCGACCCTCCCATGAACCAGAGCGACGTTCCGGCCGCGATCGAGAAGCTTGCCGCCAAGATCACGGAATGGAAGAGCAGCCAGGCCGAGAAGACCCAGGAGGTGAGTTGATCGCTAGAAGAAGTTTTGGATATCCACTGACCCCATGCAGAACATCAAGAAGGCTCAGGACGAGATCGACCGTCTGGAAGAGGAGTCGACCGCGGCCGAGGCCAATGGACGGGCCACCGACGCGGCCAAGAAGCCGGCGCAGGAGAACAGCGGCGTCAACGGCACCGTGTCGGCGACGGCGGAACTGAAGCAGGAGAAGGACGCGGCGGCCGACGTGTCCGAGGAACTGCAGAAAGCCTCGATCGAGGAGAAGGCATAGATATATAAGATAAACGCACCCTTTGCATGATGGCATCAGCGAATGTGACGCTTTAGACGCGCTAAAGTTGAGCAGGTCTTTTGGTTATGCATTTTCTTACGTCTTCTTTGTATGCTTTTCTTTTCTTTTCTTTCTTTTCTTTTTCTTTTTCTATGATTCCAGTTCATACTTATTTCCTTTTATTCTTGTGGTTATTTGGCAACGGCATGTCTCTCGGTAGACACTTCTGACATCTTGTCTGCATTTTAAAAGTGCCACCGCTGGTGAGCGAGCAATCTGATTGATCTTGAGAATATACGAGAGTAGATTTATCTGTACGGAGTAGAATCATAGAATGTCATCGAGTGGAGAACTCCACTGCGAGTTCGTCGTCGGCGTGGCGGTGCAGGGCGCTTCCGTGGCGCCGACAGGCAGATGCCATGACAGCCAGTCGACGGACGAACGATCGCATATAAAAGCATCAGGGCGTCAGCAGTGGCAATCCAGTACTCTCGACTCGTTCTGCCTCATCCACGATTTCGAAAAGTCCCAAGAAGCGCAGGCCCAGCCCCTTGCCGAATCCGGACGCCAAGTGCTTGTCATTTTCTCCTCTTCGACTTCCTTCTTTCTCTCTCTCTCTCTCTCTCTCTCTCTCTTTCCCTCTCGCTCTCCCTCCAGACCGTCCGTCCCTCATCGCCAAAATGTCCTACAACAAACCCGTCCGTCTCTCCCATCCCCTCCTCCCCTTCTCTCCAAGCTGACCAACCATCCCAGGACGGCCCACCTCCCTCGTATCCACCGCCCGTCCACGACGCCGGCCCCTACTCGCCTCCCCCCGCCGGCGCTCAACAAGACTACTACAACCAAGGCGGCTACTACGGTCCTCCGGGCGGCGACCCCTACGCGCAGCAGGGCTACGGCTCTCCGCCTCCTCAGCAGGGATACTACGGCTCGCCGCCGCCCCAGCAGCAGATGTACTACCCGCCGCAACAAGGGTATCCGCCGCAACCGCAGCCGGGCTACTACGCGGGTGATCGCGGCGGCGGCGGCTCGACCGGAGGAGGTATCTGTGCGGGTATACTGGGGGCGTTGGCATGTTGCTGCTGTTTAGATATTCTGTTCTAGGTGCTGGACTGTTTGTGATGGGTGTTTGGAGTTGCTGCGTTTGCAGGAGGACGGACTTGTTCGGATCCTGTCTGCTTGTCTCTGTCGGGTTGTTTGCTTGATCTGGTTCGTTTGTTCGTCCGTCTAATGAAGACAATGATTGATTGATTGATTGATCGCATTCGTTTCTCATTCTGATTACTTATCTAATTATAATTCATATACGCAATTCATGATCTCATATCACATAACCCCTCCCCTCCCTCAACCCTCAACTGAACCGATGAAGATTAATACCTCACCGAACTCCCATACTCACTATCCTCATACCTATCCCTCCTATACCCCCTCTCCCCTTCCTCCCCGGCCTCTCCCTCCCCTCCTCCTCCTCAATCACCTCAACCAACCCTTCATCGCGACTCCTCCCCCCACTCGTCATGCTCTCCTCCACCACAATCCGACTATCGCCATCACTGCGCCCCTCCTCGACCTCGACCACGTCGTCTCGCCGACGTGACCCCGGCCCCCGTCGAAAGCGCGACGACCGCCGCGATGACCGCTCTGACACCTCCGTCCCGGTGCCGGCGACGGTGGACGGCGTCGACGAGAAGCGGCGCCCGGAGGATATTCCCAGGTAGATGAGGTAGAGCAGGAAGATGAAGCCGCACACCGAGCCGAGGATTATGCCGGCTACTGTCCCCGGGGCGGGGGAGGAGTCGAGACGCCCGTAGGACGCGGGGATCGAGATTGCGGCGTACTTCATTGGGTTGCTTTTCTCCCGCCTTATTGTTTTTTTGGGTTGGTGGTCGGCGTAGAGATGGATTGGATGGCTATGTTGAGTGGTGATGGTGGTGGTGGTTGTCAAGGGTCGGTCGGTATCGTTATCGTTATCGGGTGGTTGGTTGGTTGTTGGTTGAAGTGGAGGTTATTTATTATTTATCATAGAAAGTGGAGGTAGAGGAAGTGCACATTCTCGAGGGTATTTTTCTGAATATGACTGCAGGATAATTATCATGGGGTAGATAGATTAGATGGAATGAAGATGAATGGTGAAAAGAGGAGATGATGATGCGACGGATATTCCGGTGGCTGGGATCGGCAGTTCATGGATGGTTGGTCTGTGGTCAACACATGTCTCGGATAGAGAGTAGGAGATATAATCGAGTATAATATACTCCGTAGGTGGAGTCGGAGATTTATATACTTTTTTTGTATGTCTGTTTGTTTGTTAGTTGTTAGTTGTTTGTTGTCGGCGATTTAACTCGATGATCATGATGTATTGTAGACTTGTAGACCTGGCTGGGCGGGTCCACTTAATAAGATGGTCCAGATGTCCGTCGGAGTACAGGACAGGAACAGGAAATAAATGGAGCTTATTTGGATATGCAATGCAATAGCGATAGGAGGATTAATTATGTTGTGTTCATGGATTCAACTATTACCGTAGGAGACTCAAGTCCGATCGACTGCCAAGTATGAGTATCCTGCCTAGATCGATAATAACTGAAGAGTTGTTCTTCCATAACGATGACTATATACTCTGGCTTTTATACTCTAGCTTTTACTCTTGTTCTTGTTAAGAAAAAAAAGAAAATAAAAGGAATCACTCCATCCCTGACAGAAAACAACACACAACCCTACCCACCCTATATTCCAAACACCCTAACAAGACAACTCACACCCCAATCAACTAACTCCCTAGGTAGTTATCCAACGGATCCTCCACCCGAACACTCTTATCAAACGCCTCCGCATGATGCTCCATCGCCCACGTCCGAATCGCCTCGAAATCGCGACACGTATGATGATTCGTCAGAACGCCCTTGGCGGACCCCGAGCTGTCGTCCCACGTCCACGTTATGGGCGCGATGTCCGAGTGACACATCACGCTTTGGCGCACCGAGTCGAGACAGTGGTCGATGTGGTTCATCTCGGTCATCTCGGCGTCGAGCGTGTGGTTGATGTACGCGGGGGATTCGCCGGCCCAGAGCTTGAGGCGGATCATGTTCTGTCATGATTGATTTTGTTGTTAGTTAGGTGAGTGACCGGGAGATTGGGAGATACGGAATAGGAGAAGGAGAGGAGTGGGGAGTACTAGGCAGTGGAGTTGGTGGAAGACATCTAGCGCGATAGCATAGTCGCCCGGGGAGTCGGGGATCGGGACGGTTTTGTCGACGAGCTGCGCGGCGGATGAGAGGGGGATTTTGCTGAGGGAGACTGTGTTTGTTAGTCTGTGTATAGGGTGTAGACATGGGGTAGAGAAGAGGCAGGTACAGTCGTATAAGTCCTCCCAGGCCGCGTAGTTCTCGTCGCTGGGAGGTCCTTGGTATTTGGTCAAGTCAGGTTCGAGACTACGTGTGAAGGTGACGTTGTGATATCGGACGACGTCTTGAGCGGGGGCTTTTGTTGATCAGTATTAGATGGTATTTGAAGTGGTATATCGAAGAGGAACGTACAGTATATCTCTCCTGGGACCCGACATTCTCTCTCTGAGGGGAGAGGACATTGGTGAATATCGTGAACAAATACACCGGCTGCGACTAACAACCCCAGAGCTGTTAGGAATATCAGAGTTAGAAGAACCCATTGGAATATCAGCAGTCGAGACTGCTTTCTCTGGCTAGCCTTGAGACTAGATATCAGGATCAAGAGATCCTCAGGTGGAATGTATCCCTCGTCGGAACTCGAGTCTAACTGCTCGTACTTCGCTGACATTTCGAATAGGATCAAAAGACGAAGATGAAGGCAGACTGGGAATTTCAAACCACAGCTCAAAGCCTGCTATCTCTACCCAGTAAACCTCTTCCAACATGTCGCTCACGAAACACACCGCCTGTTCTCCGTTTACTTCCATAGACAGCGGCTGTATCCTCCCCTCCCGCTGCGCAGGGACTAAACGCAAGGCGTTAGAAAGCAGATACTCAACTGGTCATTCAAGACCTCAGTGCAAGGGATGGCGTGGTTCTTGGGCGCTTACTACGCGGACGGTCAAAGGTATATGTCGTGCTCTAGTCCCATATATTGCCATACATCGCGGGATTTGATGTGCGTGTCTGCAAGGACAGTCATCCACGACAACATGGTGGGATAGGACAGCTTTGTTGACATTCCAGGCGCAATGCATTTGCTACATGCATATCTCCTATCTAGGACAAAAGATGACAGCTCGTGGACCGGCAATCCTCCCGAACTGACAAATCCACACTTTCCCCTCATCATGCAAGGACTGGATTGTAGATCCATGAAAACAAAGCTGCTGTTCTCGTGTCACGAGCGCAATTCACCTTGCCGGATGGTGAGCAAAATGCGGTGTGATAAACAGCGAGAGTTTGGAGAATGAGGGGATATACGATATACAGAGACGGCTCAATATAAAAGATCCTTTCTTCTCAGGTCAACAGCCATCTCTCATCAATTCACTTGACCTCTACAACCCTCCAAAAACATTTCCAAAGTCGTAAACAAATCAACCACCATGAAACTCACCATCCTCGTCTCCTTCGCGGCCTTGGGCCTCTCCATCCCCATGAACAATGCAAGCATCAACCCATCCCATCCATCCACCGTCAAGAAAAAAAAAAACTAATACCCAGCAGGAACACCCCGCAGCCACGCACTCCATGCAAACCCACGCCGACCAAGCCTGGGCCCGACCTGACATGGAAGCGCGAGACACCATGGACCACAGCAACCACGCCATGAACCCCGCCCCCTCAGCCCACGAGCACACTCACGACTCTATGAAGAGCTCCGACCCCGACGCAAACTACAACATCATCGCGTGGGGAAAGAAGCGCGAGGCGGGGACCAGCTCGATAGAAAACACCAACCCCGACGTGAACCTTGCCCCGATCGCCTGGCAGCGGCAAGAGAACAACGCCCCCTCGGCCCACGAGCACAATCACGAGATGAGCGCCAACCGTGTGGAAAAGACGAACGCCGACGCTCTCTCTGCCCCGTCGGAGTGGAACAAGCGGGCCAATCCTCCTGCAGCCCACGAGCACGCTCACGACATGACAGCCCACCATGTGGAGGACACTAATGCCGACGCGAAATTTGGTGGATCGGGCTGGGCGAAGAAGCGCGGCATGGAAGCCACCATGGCGGATCAGCATATGGCAGACCATGCTGAGACGGTAGCGGACCAGGCGTACAAGGTGAAGGAGTGGGTGTCAGACAGAGAGCAGAAGCGGGATGTGAGTTCCAAGCAGACGAGTGATGACTGGTTTCCCCTCGGGGGGTGGGCGTGATTCAGCCCGTGATTGCTTGTGGTGGGTTGATGGTGACAAGGCTCTGATGATTGAAAGGGCTGAAGTGATGATGGTGATGACTAGGATGAGTACGATTGCAAGGGAACAAGTAGCCAGAATGCCATTCTTTTTAAACTTCTCTAGGTTGAAGTTCAAGTACTTCAATCGCAAACCGTTCTCAGCAAAAGAGCAGAAGGCAGACTAATCATGATTATTAGATTAAGCATTACCGAAAGATCTATCTACTCTATCTAGCTGTATCTATAATATTTGGCGTAAGCATCATCATCATCATATCAATCACCATCACCACCACTATACCCCAACCCAACCCAACCTAAACCCTCACCTCCCTCTCCTCCTCCCCAGCATCACCAGCAGAATCCCTCATCCCCTGACAAAACCGACTCGCCGCCCTAACCCTGGGCCCAAAAACCACCAACGCAAAGGGAATCGGCGCACACAACAAACTCAACAACCCCACGAAGCTCGTCGCCCACTGCACCCCCCAAGCCGCATACATGGGCTTCACCGCCATCGGAAACACCGCGCCCATCACACTCCTAATAATCACGGAGCTGGCCAACGCACTCGCCGAGTAGATCGTATACGCGTCCGTGACGTACGTCAACAAACTGACGAAGATAGTCTGGTAGCCGAAGCCGAACAGGAAGCCCGATGCCAGGGGCACGGCGTAGGGAATACTGGGCTGGGCCGTCCACGCGAGCCAGAAGAGCGAGATGGTCAGGCAGATGCCGCCGAGGCAGGAGACGGGGAGACGGTGAAGTTCCGGGCTGGCGGTCCATTCGCGGCCGGCTTTTTTGGCCCGCTCGTAGTATGTGTCGTAGGTTAGGGCGAGGAGGCCGACGGTGGAGGCGCCGGCGCCGACTGCGTTGTGTTAGTTTGGTTTTGGGTTTAGCTTTGGGAGATAAGAGGAGGAGATGGTACCTGGTAAGAAAGCTAATGAGGTTGTTTGGATGCTCAATCCGTAGACACCTGCTTCTGTCAGCCCTAGTCCTAGCCCTAGGTGGCTACAGGGGGAACCAACCTCCAAAGATAATCGGGTATGCTTGAAAGAAGAAGAACACGAGACTGTAGGCCAGGGAGATGAAGATCGCAGTGAACGAGATGATCGGCTCCGTGATGATCATCGTCACTGGACGCGAGAACACGCGCAGGAAGTCGATCTTGCCCGCCGCCGAGGAGACGTTGACGCCGGCTTTGCGGAGGCGAGCGGCTTCGCGCTTGAGAATGACAGGGCCGAATGTTTCTTTTCCAGACTGTTAGTATCTGGTTGGTCTTGGGTAAAGAGAGGAAAGAGGAAATGAACAAACCAGGCATAAACACCAACCCTAGCCAACTAACCCCCGCAAAGATCAACTCGATCCAAAACGTCCATCGCCAGGAATACTGCGACGCAAACCCGGAGATGATAGGGCCCAGGATGGGTCCGAAGCTAGCTGCCTGTGATACATCAGCACACCCCCTTTCAGAAACTCAAGCTATGCAAGACCAGAACATACAGACATATAGCAAACCATGGCCCTCCCCCTCGCCCTCCCACCACCAAACACATCCGCATAAACACCCCCAATGACCGTCTGCGGCGCCGCGCCCATAATCCCACACACGAAGCGAAACACCAACAAGGCGGCCCAATTGGGCGCCAGCGCGCACCCCAGCGTGCCCAGCACAAACACCGTAAAGCTCGGGACCATGACCCAGCGACGACCTACCGTTTCGCTGAGCGGGCTGAAGATCAAAGGCCCGACGATGTACCCGATCAGGAAGACGGCCGTGGGCAGACTGGACTGCGGGCCGTCGGGGACGGAGAACTCCGGCTGGATGTAGGGCATTGCGTTGCTGGGGAGGGCGGAGGAGATGCCGCTGTTCATGATGGCGAGGAGGGCGATGACGAAGATGAAGAGTTTGCGACGCAGAGGCCAGTGGTAGGGGTTGCGGGGGGAGGAGGGACTGAAGGAGAGGGTGTAGGTGCCGGGGGTGGAGGTCGTGGTGAGGATGAAGCCGGGGGTGGGCTCTATGTTTTGGTTAGCTGGGATGGATGGGACTAGAGTGGTAGACGTGCCTGGTAGAGAAGAAGACTTTTCTGAAAGACTTCGCTCCGAAGAGACAGGCTGCTTCTTGGCCATTGTAGTGGTAGGATTCGATATAGAGCTCATTCTGACAACAGTCACAGGAATAACAGCAGTAACAGACACAAAATGTCTTTCATATCAAGCAATCCAAACACAAGACAGAACTGAACAGAACAGAACAAGACAAGACAAGACACTCGTCACGATAAACCAATCTCCAAAATAAAAAGCCACTTTCTGCTCAATATCAACCACCCAAATCCTACCTCCACCCCCATATTTATACCCATCTGACTCACTCCTGCGACAAAAAACCTGAATCCATTACTATACACCCATCCGCCACAGACCCAATCGCATCGATCCCTTTGCAATCCCCATATTTGCGCCGCCGACCAGCCAATAACAATCCGGCGCCACGGCAGCCCTAACCGGCCCCGAGTCCGGCGCCGGACGACTGCAGAATCCGGACCGGCGCCGATCCCCCGACTTGATACTTCACGTTCTAGATCTCGCGACTGTCCAGCGTCGATAGGGTCGGGCTGGATGGGGTTCCATGCGAAAGTGCCTTAAGGGTCTGGGTTTTGGATTCGTCGAGTGATTTGCGATGGGATCGTGATCGTGCTGGATTGTGTATGGGAGATTCAATTGCTATCTATCGATCGATTGATATATCTAACTATTTACATGCAGCTATTCACACCCGATGCTCTGCCCTACTACTGACTGAACGACTGAAGATAATGACTACATACCCGCCATGGCAGGTAAAAAATCAAACACGTCCGCCTGGCCCTCCTCGAACAACCCAAACGAGTCCGCAATCGGCGTCGACAGCGTCCAGTTGGGCACTTCCATGCTCATGATCGGCGCCCCGGTCCCACTGCTCCCCCCGGCCCCGGCCCCGGCACTCGCGGCCCCATTCGTCGCCGCCTGCCCGTTTCCTGTCCCGGTCCCTGTCCCGCCTGCAGACACGGCGGTATCCTCCGACGCAGCGCCTGACAGGTTGGCGTTGGCGCCGGGATCGTGGGTCTCGAGCATGCTGGGCTCGTATCGCGTGCTGGCGCTGGTCCTGGCGTGGGTCGGGCCCTGGGAATGACCATGGGCAGGAGCGTGTGGTCTGTCGGGCTGTGACGAGGATGGTGGGCCAGCGGTGTGGCAGGATCCGCGGTTGGCAGTCAAAGCGCCGGCGTAGCGCACGAAAATCGACACCGTGCGGTGGATGTCCGGGTAGGGCGGGAGTTTGATGAAGTCGCTGATTTGCTGCACGCGGTGCAGGAGCAGGGTTTGGTCGATGAGGGCGGGACGCCAGCGTGCGATGCGCACGGCGAAGGTAGCTGCCATTGATCGTTAGTCAGATAGGTCGAGTGGGATGAAGGGTGATAGGGTAGAAGTACATACTGACAAAAGCAATGGTTAGGGCCGGGTAGGTCGGCGCCCAGGTCAGTTGGCAGCGGTAGGCGGTCTCGGTGACGAGCAAGGCCAGCTGGTTCATGATCACCTCGACGAGGGATTTCCATAGGCCCTGGACGATGTCGGACTCTGGCTCGGATGCATCGGGGTCGAGTTTCTGGATGCGCGCGATGGTGGCGCAGAGCACGTAGATTTTGGCGTAGTTCAGCATCATTTTGAGACTGCAGCGCTGGAAGGCGCCGGCATGGAAGCCATTATCTTGCTCATTAGCATAAAGGTATCACCGTATGTTCAGATAGACACTCACGATCATGAATCTCATCCCACGACGTCCACCAATTCTGCAACCGCGTCATCACAGCCGGCAACTCCACGCCCGTCAGCTCCGCCGCCGACGAGCTCTCAATGATTTGTCGCGAGCGCGCCCTCAACTGATGCAACTCGATGATACAGACATTACGCATATCACTCGGCAGCGAGAGCGGATACTCCAAGAACCGCCTCAACTTCACCACATCGACCTCGCTCAGGCGCGACTTCCTGCCCGTCCCCGACGCCACATCCAACTCCAGCGTGAAACTAATCAACCACGTCCGCGTCTGCCAGACCAACTTCCGATCCTCCAACGACGCCGCGATATAGCTGCGGGGTGTCTCCGTCTGCGCCAGCAACGTATCCAACGACTTCTCGAGCCCGGAGTCCAGCGCCGTGCGCAGAATCAGCGCCGTCGAAAACCACGTCTTCTCCGAATACGCCGCCAGCAGGATCATGCCCTGCACGGTCTCCAGCTTCGTCGGGCGCTCGAAGAAACTATCCTCGGCCAGACGCTGCGCCTCGTCCTGCAGCACGCGCTGCAGGTGTCCGTCGCCGCGCAGCTCCGGAACCGCCCGACTGGCCAGGTACAGGATGACGGAGAAGCAGAACAGCGAGCGGCTGCGGATGGAGTCGAAGGTGTCGCGAATGGGGTCGAACAGGGGCAGGAAGTTCTTGCTGCCCGTGACGAAGCGCTCGTAGATGCCGCGGGCCTGCTCTTCGGGCAGGATCCCGCGCGCGATCACGTCGCTGGCTGGGTCGCCGGGCCCGGACGAGGGCTCGCCGACGAAGATCTCGTCCGTCGATCCGCCCAGGTTCACGGAGATGGAGTGCATGGCGGACTGCGGCGCGATCATCTCCTGGGGGCTGAACTGCTGGATTTCGAGGCCGTGGCGGCTGTTGCGACGCGAGCGGGACGGCGGCGATTCCAGCAGGGAGCTCTCGCCTGCTTCGGGGGAGAGACGAGAGCTACCGGGCGAGAGAGGATCTCGATCGCGTCCGTATCGTCTATATGGATGATTAGCTGTGCTTCGGGGATTGCATGAAGGAGAAATACCGGTGGTCGTCTCGCTGCGAACGCCCGCGCTGGATGGGATCCACCAGGCAATCGTGGCCGGCGGATTTACAGCGCGAACAGGGGATTTGCTGGCGAGCGTCGCAGCGCATCTTCTGCTTGCGACAGCGACGACATGCTTTAAACAGTCGGGCGGGCGGATGATCGGGACGCAGAAAGATGGGAGTTCGCTCGTGGCGCTCCATCGCGGAATTTAGGGAAATGATGGGGGAAAGTCATCCGATGGCTGCAGGACGGGCAATCGCCACTAATTTAGTCTCGGATCGGAGGATGACCGACTGTACGTCTTGGTTTGGATCATTGGGACTACTGCGTATGGTTGGGATTTAATAGAATTCACAGGAACAGAATTTGGTTGCAGAACCATCCCGACCACTGCCGGATTCATCTACCTGCACTATTTACACTTTAATACGCCCCCTTGCGAGCCTTATACTTCGGCTGATCCGCCGCCTTGATCTCTCCCAGCGCCGTCAACACCGGCGTCGTGTGCGTCAACTCCAAGCTCTCCACCTTCGCTCCGTCCGACTCCAGCGCAAACAATGTCAACGCGACATAGTTGGTTCCCCGGTAGTTCAAAACACCCTCGGGAACCGGGTAACTGGTCTGCGGGCCGACGTTGCTCACATACTTGCCATACTGGTATCCGTTGACGTAGAGCTGCACTCGATATGCCGCCTCGGTGCTGTTGCCGAAGTTGAAGTACAGCGGCACGTCCCAGCCCTTGGGAATGTCAAGGTCGAATTGGGTCGCATAGAAGGCAACTCCGGGCTTCGACAGGCCCTTGAAAGGACTGCCGGATTTCCAGTTCTTGCTGGGCGGCTGCGGCTGGTGGTAGCCTTGACGTTCGGCAAAGAGGCCACCCTCATTCAGCGGTCCTCGGGCCTTGTCGACATAGTCCTCGCCGCCGAGATTGCCGGTCAGCTTCCAGGTGATGGCGCTGGAATCCCGGCCGGAGCGCTTGTAGTTGAGAATTCCGCGCGGGTTCTTCATCTCGTCCGTGCCGACTACCCAGTTCTCGTCGAGACCCATGGTGTCAATCACCACGGTGAACACGTAAGATTTGCCGCGTTTGAGCTTGGGCAGTTCATACGTAGCGTTGGAGTCTTTGTTCTTGTTCAGGCCGGTCCAGGAGCCGATGTTGGTCTCGTCTAGCCAGACAGCGCTCCCAAAGGCCGAGCCGCCCTGGGTGCGAATGAAAAGCTCGCTCTCGTCGCCGTTGGCCTTGAAGTGGCCGCGATAGACCAGGTACCCCGTGTGGAAGCCATAGTCAGACGAATAAAGAGACGTCGGGGTATTCTGAGGAAGGAGAGTGTTTTTGGTCTTCTTGATGTCTGCCTTAGGCCATTTTGAGTCATCGTACGAGGACTTGATCTCGGGCAAAGTATCCAGATACTTCCAGTTCAACTTCTTCAAGTCCGGGAGTTTAATCTCGGGGGCATTGTACTTGATCTGGCTGGACCAAATGCCGTTCTTGCCTACCTTATGGCTGGCCTTTTTGCCGTTGATGACCAGGCTCTTGGCCTTGCTGGGGGCTCCAATCACCTCGATCGGAGTGGTGGCATTGAAGTCGGCAGTAAGGTGAAGGTCGCTGCCCTTCAAGTAGGCCGTCCGGACGAGGTATCCGGCGTTGACGATGATGGACGAGGCAATGTTCTTCTGAGTGCTGTAGCCGGGCGAGGTGCCTTCCGCAGGGAGCTGCGGCACCCAGTAGTTATAGGCGGAGTTTCGGTCTGAACTCGTTAGACTGGTTGGAATCGATGCTGAAAGCTTAACTTACCAAGAAGAATCACCCGAAGGTCTCCAACCTGAATAATGCGACGGGTAGTCGAAACATCCCAACCGATGACAATGGCTTTCTTGATCTGCTTGGACACGATGCCGGACTCGGGTCCTTCAATGACCTTCACACTCGATCGACCGGACACGGCCAACTCGTGGTGCTCGCCAGGCCCACCGTACAAGACCAGGGTCTTGGTGTTACCGAATTTCTTCCAGGTAAACACTTCTGCGGTAGAGTAGAGAATGTTGGTGTCGGACACATTGTAGTCCACAACGTGGACCTTGGAGTCACGCCCACTGAGAGTGAGAGATCCCTTCAGCTGAGGGATTGTCAGTTTGCCAGCACTGGTAGGAACCTCCAATTTATACGACACGGAGTTTTGGCTGCTGTAATCCTTGTGTCTAACCACAAAGTACGAGCCAGTTCCCCGGCCAATCAAAGGAGTTACGGAGAGGTCGGACGAATCTGTGTACACGCCCGTAGTGAGGTTCCCAGGAGTGGCCAGCAAGTAAGATGGGGAAGACTTGACAAAGTTTCCGATGAGCTTGAGCTCGCTGTACTTCTCCCGAGTGATGTTGCGGGTCTCTGTCAGCGGCGACCCATAGTCATAGGATGTGTAGCCACCGGGGTGTCCGAGGTTTCCCCAGTTGGTTCCACCGAATGTCTGAAGAGGTTAGTATTTTCCACAGCTCAGGGTTTACGGCCATACCATATACAGGTTCAGGATAGCCGTTCCGAAAGCAAGGTCGTTCTTATAAAAGACTCTTTCGAACTCATGATTCACGAGACTAGCACATTTTTCGAAGCCTGGTCCTCCCCATGGATCGAAAGCACCAGCTTGGAACTATACAAGTCAGACATTAATATCGCGTGTGACCTCACTTTACTTACCTCGAGAAGAGAGTAGGGCGTTGAAGGGCTCTGTTCGAGATGCTTCTGACGGAAGTCGGTAGGCAAGTTACCTTCGGGCCACACCGTTGGGTTGGCCTGTTCTGGTTAGATATTTCTCAAAATACAAGCAGATAGACATACACAATCAAATCCAAGCCTAGAGCAATTAGTCAACAAGTCCATTTCAATGGGAGATGCGTACTCACGGGTAGCTGTCATGGCCATAAATATCCGCCTCACCAACGCCAGTGCCCGGGGCGTTGTGCCCGCCAGAATACGCGTCGTTGCTGATCATAGGAACGACGATTCCGGCATCGCGGGCCTGGTCAATCACGTACTGGAAGTACTCTCCATCGGGGAATTTCTGGCCGCAGCAGGCGCCACTGTATTCGTTTTCAGGCTGGTAGAGGATGACCGGTCCACCGTTGGTAATCTGAGCTTTCGCCACGGTAGCAGCCACATTGGCAATGTAACTGGCAGACATTAGCAGTTATCAAACATTCATTCGGACGTGCCATACTTATCGGTAGCCTCCAGGTAAGCCTTATCCGCCGACCGAAGAGTGCCATTGACCCGCTGCAACCATCCTGGAAAGCCACCACCCGAGGCCTCGGCATTGATGTACGGACCAGGACGAGCAATGAGGTAAATACCTGCCTCCTTCGCAGCATCGAAGAACGGCTCCAGTGCCAGAACTCCATCGGCTCTGTAATCGCCGTGCTTTCCTTCCAACAGGGCCCAGTCGATGTAGATCGAAACTGTGTTGAACCCGGCCGCTTTGATTTTCTGCAGGATGTCGATCCACAGGGAGGGAACGGGAAGTCTTGGGGGGTCAGCAGCAGCATATAAAAAGACAAGCCACGTTATCTACCTGAAGGGGTGGACTTCGCCACTGAAAATCATAATCCGCTCGCCATTGACGAAGAGGGATTTATCATCCCAGGTAACCTAAAGCAATCAGCCTCCACTTGTCTCAAAGCAACACGTCGGTCAATCAGCGTACAATCTTCTGCAGCAAGTCCCGCTTTACAGGGTCCGGATGCTCTGTGATCGTGTAGCCACTGAGCTTGTGTTTAATCGAAGCCCCTGCTGCCTGCGCTGCCAGCAAGGCCAGGGCCCCGACAGACAGGAATTTCATGGTGAGTGATCCGCTCGACACGAATTGAACCGGGGGAAGCTGTCCGAGTCTGAATCGCCAGTATGCAGAATGTCGGCAGCTGTTCTCTATTTATTCCCTCCCTTCTCAGGGCCCCCGCATTATTGACCGACTAAACCGACATGGATCGATTGAGTTCCCGGCCAAGCCACGAGGAGCCCAAATCATCGACAAAAGCACGCAGCGGGGAACGGAGAATGAAGTGGGACCGCACCAGGCCATACTCCGAACTATCGTAGGCCAGGGTCTAGCCAACGCTGCATATTCTCGTGCTAAACAATGCCGAGATGGAGAATGTAGGCGGAAAAGCGGCCGAAAATCCTCCACACGGAGGCATCCCGATGCGGACTAGCGCCGACGATCACGGGGACAATTTCTCCGCAGTCGCTTTCAGGCATCCTCAGGCCATCTGTTCTCTCTCCCTTGCGCTCCTCCACGTTCAGCTGGATCGTCAGCCTCTTGATCTCCCGATATGCAAGGCACGGCGGTGTCGAGCCGTAGACGGGGTATACCAGACGATCTTTCCAGGGTGGGATCTATAAAGAGTGCCTGTGCTGCCCGCCTTGACCCCAGGCCTGACATGTCAGACACAAATCTCACCACCGTGCAGTGACGCCACCACCGAGTACTTTGATTCCATCCCACTTGGCACAGTATCCATAAAAAAGTCCCAAGCTTTCCGGATGGCCTTGTCCGTGCGGGGCTCCTGAGACCCGGGCAAACCTTGGTGTCGCTTTCGCGCTAACCAACCCACTATGATATAATGCTGAGGAAAGGGCTGTTCGTATACCCGAGTAGATGATTCGGTTGGAGTGGATGGATTCGTTGTCAGCGAATGCAGTAATAGTCAGCCCACGGCAGACAGTACTTGTAAACACAGTCTAGACGACCCTCGCTTGGAAGTTGGGACCAAATCATGCAACTCTCCCCTCTCGATATATTGCATCTGGCGGAAATGAGGGGCTAATTACACCATGCAGGAAATATATTAGACACCTCTGGTGATTTAGCCGATATACTGAGACATCCTGTGTTTTGTGCCGTGTTGCCGATATTTATCCGGGTCTAAGGACCTTGCATAGTCGGGTAGTTTCAAGGGGAAAGATGTTATGGATGATGCAACACATAGGTCATTCAACTGCCGAATTCTGGGTTGTATTGCTGTATTGTTGATCTCCTGTCTTATGGCAGAAGTCCTTGTCAATTCTGAGCAGCCAAGAGATAATAGGGACAGTACAAGTGTCTACGCGAACAATCCCATGAAAAGAATTCCATACGGATATGCATTGCCAAAAACCAGTAAGTAAGCAAACACCGCCAAGGTCTAAATGGCAGACTCTTTTATATTACATTTTAAACGTTTGCGACATGTAATTGGACAAACGAAAATGTGACTGGGTATACCATCCTGATGTCCCCCACATTATACAGTCGTATTGAACCGGTCCTCCTCATCTCCGGCCTTGGTGTACGTCTCCCGCACTTCCGCCTGCTCTTGCTCATCCTGCCCCAATGCAACGTTCTCCTGCTGGATCGCCGCCTCCTCGGCCTCGGCGGGCGCGGTGGCGGGGGTCTCCTGCTCGCTGGCAGTCACCGCCGCCGGCGTCTCCGGCGTGGCTTTCTGGGCGGTGGCCCGCTTCTGGGTGATGTTAATCAGCGGCGGGTCTTCGTTGAAAAGACGGAGGAGCATGGCGCGACGGTCTTCTTTGGGAAGCATCAGGTTGACGGAGTGCAGGGAGCGCCACAGGGGAAGAACCATTCGCTCACTAAATAAGATTAGTAAATGCCATTGGGTAATGGGGAGGGGAAGAGGATAGAGGGGAAACATACGTCCAAACGTCTTCGCTTCCATCGGGCTCAATGTACAGAATGGAGCAACCCATGCTAATGTCGCGCACGCGCTCACCGATCTCTCCGAGATCCTTCCATCCGTTGTCGTCCACCTTGGGGAACATCTCCACGAGAAGCTTCCGCATGGTGGTCTTCTGGTGGAGGGTGACGGCTCTGTCGGGACCCAGCGTGGGCTCGAGGATCCGCAGACCGTCGGTCTGAATACGCCAGCGGCAGACTTCCTGGCGCTGGGCGTCCTGCTTGACGAACATCTTGACACCGCAATGCGTGATCTTCATGCCGTGACCTTCGTTGGCCGTGAGGATGTCCCGAGCCAACCCACTGGTGTAGTAGATGGTTCTGGATGGGAATGCCTGGGCATTGCGCACCATGAAACGATCCCGTGGGAATCGTTCCGAGACCTGGTAGAACTTGAAGATAGACTCAACCTCCTCATGTGCGGGATCCAGGTACTTGTAGGGCTCCTCAATGGGCTGGCCTGGCTTGCGCTTCTGGGGAGGCTGGGCCTTGGGCTCGCTCTTTGCCGGGTCGGCGGTCTCTTGAGGGGCGGGCGTGGAATTGGCCTCCGACATCTCAACGTTGTCGGAATCGGTGGCCGGGGCGGGTCGGTGGACAGGGCGATCACCCAAAACGATTTCAGTGCCGTCCTCGAGCTTGGTCCTCTTGCTGGGAAGCTCATCTTCCAAGCTGTCTGCGTCTCTCTTCGCCGGCGAGATCTGGCTCGTGGCGGAGTACGGGGGCTGGTGAGTCGACTCGGCAACTGTCGCATTCTTGCTGGCCTCTTCGGCGGCGGCCTGGTCGGGAGTAACCAGATCATCCAAAGCCTCGATCTTCTCGAGCGGCTGCCCGTCGGCGTTCTTCTGCTTCTGATCAAGCTCTTCCGTAAGGGCGGCAATGGTGCCCTTGGGAATGACCTTGGTGGAATCCTCAGGCTTGGCCTTGATTTCAGAGGTCTTCTCCAGCACAGTGATGAAGAAGCCACCGGTGTCCTGCAGATGAGGGTAGATGCGGATGCAACGGTCGAGGGGCAGATCGGCATTCTCGCCACTGGGCGGGAACATGCCTTCAGCGATTCTACCCAGGCCAGAGATGCCCTCCTGCTCTCTCTTCTCCTCGATCTCCTTCCAGTTGTTCCAGATACGGCCCTCGCGATCCATCACGGTCCAGGATTTCATGCCAGGAACCCGCTTCAGACCGGGCAGCTCGTTGCTGCAGTCGATGATCTTGACGTTGGCCGAGCCACCGCACCGGTCGATGGCGCTAGAAATCACAGCCTCGTTCTCGATTGGGTTCATACTGCACGTAGAGTAGACAACCCGTCCGCCAACCTTCAGCATCTGCAGCGCACGCACAAGGATGCGGACCTGCGTAGCATGCAGACCGATCGCGTTGTTCGGGGTCCAGTCCCTCCAGACGCCAATGTTCTTTCTGGCAGTTCCGTCACCAGTGCAAGGAACATCGGCAAGGATGCGGTCGAACTTCAAGTATCTGTTCTGGGAAGTCTTTCCCTCGGCGGCGGGAAGGGGAGGCAGCTTGATCGAGGGGTACATGGTGGCGTCGTGGTTCGTGACAATCAAGTTGGGAGAGCTGAGTCGCTTCATCTGGTGGATAAGCATGTGGGCGCGCTTGTAGTCGGCGTCGTTGGCAATCAGCAGACCAGTGCTTCTGCCATCGTCGTTCAGACCCTCGGGGCCCAGAGGCTCGGCACCCGCATTGCCCTCCTTCACCTGCTTGGAAACATCCTGCATGGCCTCCTCTTCGCCGGCGTGCAGAAGCTCCATGAGCTGCGCGGACTTACTGCCGGGGGCGGCGCACATATCCAGCACGGTCATGCCAGGTCGGACATCGATCAAGAGGGGAGGAATCATGCTGACGACCTCCTGACGGCTGATGTTACCCACATCGGTCTCGGCGACGAGGAACTTCTGGAACGAGGCGAAAGGCGCGAAACGGCGAACGACGTGCTTGGGAGTGGTCATCCACCAGGCAAGCTGGTCAGGATACCAGGGCACGGGGCGAGGGGGCTCGACGGGGTTGCCCTCGTACGTGATGGAGGTGATCTCGGGGATGAAGTGGTTCTGGAGCTTCTTCTGGACGGCGAGAGCGTGGCTTCGGGGACATAAATATTAGCACGAGGGAATCTCAACGACGGCGCATAGCAACCAGCCGCTGCAAGGCGCAGATTCACATACCCTCGCGATCCGGTGAACCGGAAGCTGTTAGGCAGATCTCTGCGCATCGCCTCCCAGAACGCCTCCTTATCCTCCTCGGGGATAAATCCTTGCGCGTTGTAGTAGTTCTCCAATTTGGCATTGGTCCTAGGGACATCTTGCCAGTTTTGGCGCACGCCGCTGGCCGGGCCGCCCTGCGACAGAGTTAGATGAATTGAACCGTGGATAAGGATTGATCGTGGGAAAAAGAATATTATATGATCTCACCTTCTTACCGCGCTTGCCTTTGCCCATTGTGATAAGAGTCGCAGGGGAAAAGAACCGAGCTGCAATGATTTTCTCCGCAACGGAACATTTTCATATCGCGATCGACGATTTTCGGAAAACATCCCACACCGGATCATCGGTCGGCCCGGTGATTAGGTAATGCTTATCTTATCTATGCCTATCTAAGTCCCTCTTCGTCTCTCCAGTCTCCATCTACATTTTTATTTCAGTCTTCGATTTATCCTTTGAAAAATGACCGAAATGACGGGTTTGCTTGAGTATTTTTTGTAGTTGGGCATCTGCCATCAAAAAGTTGAACAGCAATCTCTTCAACGAATACTTTTCAGAACATTCCAATAAACTAGTACTTGGTTTATATATCATGCCACTAGTACCAAACACCCGCTGCTGCGACTATGTTATACTTCTCTCAAATCCAAAGCCGGAAGAACCACAGCACGACATTCCCCGAATCCAAACCACTTGCCACTATGAGGACTACGACACCAGCCTTCGAAAACAACCTCATCGCCGTCTTCCAAGAAGACAATGCCATCACTCTTCAAGGCACTCAGCATGTTCCTGGGAATAGCCCTCTCAAGTAAACATGCAAGACCAATTTTCTCTCCGGTCGGACCCACGCGCTACATTCGCATGCTAGTCAGCCAACGATCTTGAAGAGAGAGAGAGAGAGGGAAAGAAAACGGGAAAGAACGTACACTACTCGACAGCGTCCCCGTTCCGAGAATATCACCCGTGCATAGACCCTCCCCGGCACTAGCCAGGTGAGTTAACTGTTGATACGGAGTCCAGTATAGCTCGTTGAGATTGGTCGTCGTGACGTGGTAGGTTTTCCCGTTCCCTTCTCCAAGGTCAGTCCACACATCATTCCAGTCACGAAGCAGAAGGGATCAATAATACTCAATATCTTCGCCGACAACTCCACCGCAATCGCCTCCCGCTCACTCACCCCCCTCCAAGCAAGATGTCCTAATGGCCGGGGATCCTGCACCACCACCCTCTCACACTCCACCGGCTCCAGGGCCTCCATCGTCACGATCCACGGCGAAACCGTCGTCCCAAACCCCTTGCTATGAAACGGACCGAGCGGGTTCATTTCAAACGCCTGAATATCTCTCGCCGACCAGTCATTCAAGAGCACCAATCCGAAAATATGATCCCGGGCTTGGCGCATGTCCAGGATCTGGCCCGCCGGGAGAGGCTTGGATACGTAGACGCCCATTTCCAGCTCGAAGTCGAGCCGTTGGCTGGGGCCCAGGTTGCGTGTGGTTCGCGCCCAGGCGGTGCAAGGACGCCCCAGGGTCGACGGATCGGGTCGCCGGATATTCTGAGGCTGGAGGTTCGTCCGTTGTAGCATGAGGGAATGCAGTACCAGTTTGGGTTGACTTCGAGGCCGATGACTTCGGAGCACTAGGGAGAGTTAGGCGAGCTTGGTTGGGGGGTGGTTTGGAAGAAATGAAATGGGGTTGCGTACATTTCGGGCGTGTTCCAGTGAGCAATAGAAGTCCGTGTAGTTGGCTGTGTTCATGGGCAAATGGTTTGTGACTTGACTGAGCAGGATAAAGGACTTCTGCTGTTCCTCTCTGCTGATGTCCGCGGAGGCCAGATAGTCGACCAGTTTCTTTCGGACTTCAGCATGGATGGGCCTCGGTAGGGATGCGAAGGTGTTTAAATTCGGCTGCAGGTGGAGAATCATAAGAGGTTAGATGACCGTTGTCTGTTAAAAACAATGAAGCGAGAAATGATAATATGGGAAACTCACCTGCGAGAAAACACCCGTGCCAAACCCCGGAATAGAGGCAAAAAGCCCATCCTTTTCCAAACAACTGAGATCGACGGCATGATCTTCGAATGCGGTGGCACATCTGGGGGCGGGGTTGTCGCGCGTGGAAATGACACCAAACGGGATATTGTCGATGCCGAAGGGCGTAGAAGACGGAGGACTAGAAGAATCCATTATGTGAATTGTGCTAGCAATTTTCTGACAAGATCTGGCATTTCAGGCGTCAGGAATGGTAAAACCAACGAGGGGAAACGGCGGTCCAGCCTACTTATGTATGTTGGATTGAGTTACACATTGTCTGGATCTGGGCAGACGTGCAGGACCGTGGTTCCGTCACTTATGCCCCTGCTGTCTGAGCGAGATATCCCCGCATCAACACGAGCATGCATTAGAGACTTGCGATCTACTGCACCAGCGCTTAAAAGTGTGGTCAAACATTGGATAAATCCGGTTTCTAAGGACGTAAGACGCCTACACGTTGAATTAACACTGCATTATTGCATTATTCTATATCGTAGCCACATATCGATCGCTGCGCAGGTTGGCTGGGAAGAAGAGCCCAAGGGTACTCCAGTGTTGTCGTTGCCCTTGTGCGTTCTGTTTCGCGCGGCCATACAAACCTGAACCCAATCACCAGGACTCAATTGGTGGGTAAGGGGGATTGGCCTCTCAGATCGGAGAATTCGTAGTACCGCGCTGTAGAGGTGTCTTATCGCAAACGTTTCGAGAAAGCCCCATGCGCGATGGAAGTAAGTGTCCTCTCTAGTGTCCCCTGTCAACCCGCAAATATCTTCAGCTTTTGATCCCAGCCCCCTGTCGCGACAACGCAGCGGATGTCGACTTTTTGTTCCTCACCCTCTGCCGACCCGCCTTCTGCGCCGGTCACCTTCTTCGAGACCCCCGGAGCCCATCGCAGACAGGTCACGAACCCGTCGTGGGCATTGATCGTTTTGACACACCTCCCCTGTTGGCTCAGGTCCCAGCATTTCAAGTTCTTGTCATCTGATACCGAAAGGAGGAATTTTCCGGCCGGGTGGAAAACGAGACCCTGGACCCAACTGTCATGGCCGACTAACGTTGCCAGACATGTCCCACGAGCATCCCAGAGCTTGATCGTGTTGTCGCGCGATCCCGTTGCCAAAAAGTCCGCGCCGCCCGGGGAAGCGCGCTTTGGCAAACCGGCGAGGGGAGCAAGGTACTGGTACGAGGTCGGCGGGGCAAGAGCACAGCATTCGTTGAAGTTCTCGTGGCCAACATAGGTCCGCTTGAGTTCTGGATTCGAGATGGTAGAAATATCCCACAGGCGAGCGGTCATATCATGTCCCGAAGAGAGGAGGAATTTCCCATCAAGCGAAATCGAGATGTCCCGCACCCAGCCACTGTGACCGTTTATCGTCTTGACGCAGTATCCTGTCGTGACGTCCCAGACTCTGATGTCTGTGTCTCTGCTTGCGCTGATAAGCAAGTTCCCCCCTGGCATGAACCGGACCGCGCTGACAATATGGTCGTGGCCCTGCAGTGTGCGGATGTTTTTGTAATCGTCCGTCGGCTTCCATAACTTGATCGACAGGTCGGAGCTGCAGGAGGCGAGGAGGACATCATTGGGCGGACCACCATAGTCAATGTCCCGGACTGCTCTTGTATGGCCTTTGAGTGTTCGCTCAAGTTCCCCCAGTTCCCAGTCCCATATTTTGACCATGCAATCGTCGGAGCCGGAGGCAATTGAGGTGAACGTCGGGTGGAACGCGATGCAATTGATCTTATCCCGATGCGACTCTAGGGAATAGCGAGTGGTGCTGGGAAGCCATGAGGCCGGATCTTGGTTGCGTTTTAAACGAGAGGCCGGCGTGGTGTTTTCAAGTTCGGATTGCAGTTCGGTATTTCTTCCTTCCAGTTCTGTGATCTGTCGCGAAACGCTGATTAGATCGCGGTCGCGGCATGTGGCAAGGAGAGCTGTGGAGGGGCAGGGGGGCTGGTATGCAGATCTACCTTCTTCTGTAGGCGCACGATGCTCGTCCATTTTTTCTCCAGCATTCCTTCGTATTTCTTCGCCGTGGTTGCGCCGAAAACATCTTCCCCGAAATTCACCTCCTTTCTCAGTGCGGCTGCGGTGTCGGGGAGGTTGTTCGCTATGAGGTACGCTATCATCGCCTTGTGACTACCGGAAACCTTAGCTTCGCCGGACGGTCGCCTCGTCTGGAATATACTCACAGCTCATCGGCTTGTCGGTCGGTTAACAAGCGAGTCATGGTGATGTAGGATCGCGGAGGGATCCCCTGGCGATGGATTCCCGGTAGCACAATGCCGCAACCCTAGAGGGTACGACGAGGGTGGTATACTGAGAGAAAAGAGGCCGTGACGAAGAGGACTCGATCGCAAGTAAAAGTGTCCAGCTAATATTGGTCGTTGCAGCAACATCTCCAAGAGACGCGTTCTCCAGCGCCCCGCGTCATCCCGAAACGATGTTGTCCTGCTGCGCCCGCGAGGAAACCCACGATTGGCTATCACGGGACTGCGGTTGATCCGCTCCGGTGCCCACCCGCGGCCGTTGATGCCTGAATTGCGATCGGGCATCTTTTTCTGAAGCATAGCCAGTCAGTCTGAATGCCTTGGCAGTTCCAAGTCAACAATATCATTCTGAACAAAGTAGAAAAATTAAAAGAGCATCTCTACCAGCTAAGGATATCAATCTATAAAAGCGAACACTCGGTGCTCCGAGTAAAGACCGCGGCAGAGTATGATAACAATAGCATACAAATCAACATCAGGAAGACGCCTGCGTTTCCCTTCACCATGTTAATTACCGTGCTAATCCTAGCAGTATCTAGGCGGGGGTCCTTGTCTTGCCCCGCTGGCATAATATTCGTTCGCTAGCCCGCCACTGTGTGGCGCCGGTGGCCCTGTTGAGAATCCCGTTGGTGGCCCTGCCGGAAGCTCTGCTGGTAGTCCTGCCCCCTGGTGATGTGCAAGATCCTCTGGTGCATAGTCACTAGGAGTTGGCCCGGTAGGAACCTGCATACCAGCAGGCATTTGGTCGAAAGGCTTGTCGCCCTGCGCCGAATGGATCGTATGCATCAACATTCTCACCGAGGGATGGTCAGACCAGACCTTGCCCCTCAGGATATCTTGCACAGGGATCTTGCGACCATAGAATTGCTCATTCTCGTCCATCCGCTCGATAACAACGGTTCCATCCACCTGGACACCGGCGTAAAACCCTCGGCTCTTGACGTATGACCAAATGGGAGCCCGACGCGTGTGCACCTCCGATTCCAACACTCCTCCTATCCCGACAGGACCAGCCACAACGCTGACTTCACTGCCCAAGGTGACGCGGACCTTTGTGAACGCTTCCAGCGCCTCGTATGTATTGAGGACCATGACACAGTCGTAGATATCTGCACCAACAAGGAACCCCAGTCCGGCTGTATGCAGCAAAATACCAGAGGGAGCGCTCCATTCGCCAGTTTCCGGGATCCTGGCCAGCAGGATTCCGCTACCCCCAGCACCGCTGAACCATAGCCCTGTTCTCATTGCGGTAAATATCACCAGCCCCTTGGCCTGTCGAATAACCTCGGATGGGATCTTCTGCAGCACCTTCGGTTTTCCACGCGGCCTGTCGATTTGACTTTTGGATGCGTTTTTCCCGTTGGCTGGTGGGGTCGTGGGCTCTGTAGACTCTTCGACGTAGACTCCGTCTTTGCAGAAGCTACGCAGAATGCGAGCAACCTTCTCGCTTTCTTTGTCTATCGTCATTGGCCAGAAGGCTTCGGAGCCGAGTTTGTTGGTGAGGCGGTTGACAGGCGCGCCGAGCTTGTCTAGGGCGCCCCAGGCTTTGTCGAAGTTCTTTTTGCCGATGTTTTTGGTTTTGGACCACATCGTGCCTTGGGAGTTTGCCGGTTGTTGAGACATTGTTGGCAGTTCGGAATTTTCCACTAGGTATTGAGGTTTACAAAACAATAAGGTTGAAAGTTCTGTATGAATCCGAATGGAGAGAAGCGCAAATTCTTGAAATAAAACGTAAATGAACGTCGACGTGTTATATAGGGGAAATGAAGGCTGCCTGGATGCCCGCGATGGAAACGCTTTGTAGGCTAAGCCTTCGGAATGTCGTCATATCGCCTTCATCAGGACTAGCGTGCTTCAAAATAGAAAAGACCGGCTCTCCACGGCCCCACGTGCCACGGGCTGATTGGATTCCAGTGCTCGCTGGAGGATGGCTTCTAAAGATACGAATACGACGGCAGGGGAAGTTTTCTGTGCAGCCGAGATACAATCTCCGCGTAGTCCTTTTCATCCTCAGGCGTGATGAGACCGTGTCGAATGAAGAAATCCAGCATGACAGAGCCACTCGCTGGTTTGAACCTGCCGCTCAGCAAAGCTTGCTTCACCTCTTCCGCATCCATCAAGTGAAATGCTTCGATATCGTTATCCACCGGCTGGAAGACCACGTCGGGCTTCACTTCCAGATCGTAGACGTACAGCACCCCGGGGTTAATCAGCCCCGGCTGGCCTCCCGATCGCTCATCGCTGATGTTGATCCAGGTCACTGTGCCTGCGGCTCGTACCTCCTTCCGAAGGCTGTCTTCCGACATCCCAGCCTCCTCTGTTGCTTCACGAAGCAGGCACTCCAAGGGCTCCTCTCCTGTGGCCATCCCACCGGCGACTGTGTTGTCCAAGCAGCCCGGGTAAGTCGACTTGTTGGCATTTCGCTGCGGCACCCAGAATTTGACTCCCGAGTCGGTCTGGGTGTACACCGTCATGTGGACGCCACGGCCGATAACACCGAACATCGAAAAGGCAGAACGATCGATCCCCACGGGAAACCGAGCCCCCACAATAGGAAACTCCTCGTGTCGTGGTATCCCTAGGTTTGGCAAAGCCTTTGTTTCTCTGGCGACGGCTATTTGTCTCTCGATGATCTTGGAACACTGATCTTGCCAGTTTTGTTCGCTCTCGGGTCGTAGAAGATGGACTTCCTTTCTGTCTGCCGTAGAGATCACCCGGAAGTCAGATGTCCATGGCATCTGTGTTACTACCGACTCGACCATCAAACCATGAGGTCTGGGGTCTTCGGGAAGAAAGAACTTCCATAGGGACTCATGGCCGTACTGTCGCTTATGTGTCGAGTCTTCATCTTCAGCGTAGGGAAAGCTGCAGAGGTCAGCTAGGCGGTCGGTACTTGAGGTTGTCATTTGTTCTCACTTGTCACAGTCCCTGACCACATCCAGCCATTTACCCATTGTCGGTACTGTGGAGTATTTCGGGGCTGTCACTGTCGGCGTGAAAAGGCGGGGAGCCGTGAAAATTAGGTGTCGGCTGCAGAAGATCGCACTATGCCGCATTCGGTAAGGTCAACGTCGACCCCAGAGTATAGTACGACTGAACTATAGTAGTTTGTAGAATTCCTGCAGAACGTGCAAGTTACGAGCTCTGTCTTTGGCTGTAAAGTTATTTCCTCTGTATGTCAATAATCAATACACAATTGACTTCGGCAAATCCTAACTTTGAGCCTAAGGCCCAACCAATCGGCCAATGAGATGGGCCAGCAGAGCTTACTCCGAGCTGTTGCCGGAGTAAAGTCAGACTGTTTGAAAAGTTCTTACTCTAAAGTAGGTAGCAAGCTTGATTTCTCGCTTGCATCTGCCAGTCCGACTTTATCATTTTCGCCTCTGGCCTACGATTTGCGGAGCCTCTCAACCGTTGAGCATTAAGATTCAAAACCTGACAAAGAACGAAAGAAGATTAAACCGGGCGACTTCACTTCTGGATACAGGGCGGGATACCTGGTTTCCGACAACACGTCCATATAGATTAGTCCCTTTCTTACAATATCTACAGATGGTGTTAGCCTACGCGCATGCATGAAGAGAGATCGGAAGCCGGAAGCAGGGAGTGACTAGCATGCGCGGCAGGGCTAAATTGGCTACAGATGAATTGCGAACCAAAAGCAGCGCAATATACGATAAGGAATGTGGTGCTTCTAGACAGCTATATGGCCTAGTGTTCTCTCAAAAGGATAACCGTACTTGGAGATATAGAACTTTAAAATAAACACAGAAAAATAGCAACATGACATTAAAAGCCTAACGAAAAAGGTGGAGAGGCATGATAGCCAAAGCTGCTGTCGATAATAGTGAATAAAGACAACGAGAATAAGTGAATAAGTAAAGGCGAGATATTATTATATGACTGTGACAGCCCCCGCTAATAAATAAAGTGCAGCAATTATTAAACAAGCAAAATGATAAAGTTTTGAAGTAATCCATGTAAAGACAGAAAGGGCAGAAGGGTTCCAAGGGGGCAAGAGAGGAGAGGAAATATGAAGAGGGAATGAAGACAGGGGAGGATAAGCAACGAGATGTCCGAGAACGGACCCAAGTGTTTCCCTCAGCCAGAGGTCCAGTCGTGTCGGGGAGGGCACCAGGTTTCTCCATTAACCAGAGGACCAAGCTCGTTATCCCGAGCCAGTCTATCACGGAGCGCGCGCATCTCCTCAAAGAAGCCTCTCCGCGTCACAATCCGGAAGTTCAAAGAATCCCAAGCACGCTTGAACCTAGCTCTAACATTCTTCTTTGTACGGCAGGGAGCTCTATCCGAAAGCTCTGTCAACATATGTCCCCATAGTACTTTCAGGTGCTCGTTCCGGGCCCAGTCGCGACAGTAGAGCATTATGCATGCCTCTACTAAGGAATTCTGATTTAGAATCTTGATAGGATGGTTGTCGCGCTCACTTTGCCCTGAATGAATTTCCGAGTATTGAGGTAGATCCTCCCATATCGCTGGTTGGACGTATAGCGGATCTTCCGAATATGACGGTAGCAGGCTGTCGGTGTTATTCCGAAGCCTCCAAAGCATGAGATCTGGGTCATCAACAGCAGGTGGGCCAATTCTCAGCTCCGGCAACCACCAGAGAAGCGCAGACTGCACATGCAGTGACAGGATGTTTGTGCCACCCATATGGAAATGAGCGGAGGGCTTGGGGTGGTAGTGGTGCTTCCATGTGAACGGAAATTCCTTTTGACGAGCATAGCCTGTAAGTCTGTCAGATTCGAGTTCGCCACACTTCGTGTCTGTGCAGAGAGGGTAATCGGCTGCAACCAGAGAAGCAATGGCGGCGGGCATCTGAGCATCGGGAATTACGAAGTCAACCTCAGAAGAGTCCTTGCCGGTGTCAGCCAGACCTATGGCTAACCATCCGAAGAGCAGGTTGGGGACATTGGCTCTGTCAAGATAGAAGGCAACATTAGGTGCTATCCTGTTGAAAATGGGGGCACCAAAAACCATGCTGAGAGTTCAAATGGCTTAAGCAGTGTATGAGTATCTGTTTAATTGCGTCGACACTGACCATGTATTCGAGGACTCGAGAGGCTTTTATAGTTCTTTTGACCAGCATCCTTCTACATGAGGCTTTTTGAAGTTTCTGGATTCAGCGGTCATCAATGACTCGTCTCATTCACGTTGCCGGATACATCAGAGTTACGGTGAATGAGACTGCTAAATTCAGATTGGACGTAATTGCAACCCATTCACATTGTCTTTTTTTGAACAAGAAAAAAGAAAATAATAAAAAGAAAAAGAAAAGAAGAAAAAGGCCGACAATCCGAAACCCTCCATTTTGATGAATGGGCCATACCGAGGATCTGGGCAAGGCTTCTTTCAGCTTCTATCTCTTACGAGTCCCTTTGTTCAGCTGGTTTCGAACCATGTCGAGTTTCTCAAAAACAGGCTTTCATTCATCATATGGCAAAATACCCTACGCTAGAAATCCGACCTATGTGAGAAATTCTGACCATATAATCTGTACTGTCCTCACCTTGGTTTCTGTTTCATCGCCAGCCAGCTTCCATTACGCCGTCGGTGTTGGCGCCTCTGCCATCAAAGCAGAAGGATATTACGAAGATGAGTGCAGAAACCCTGCTCGCGACCCTTACAGCTGTGTATGTGGAAGTGAGCTATTTTTCATCGGTACTTTTTAGGCATCCAATAGCCGCTGTGATGGAAGATAAGGTATGGCTATTGAAGAACGCACCCAACTGGTTACTCTTACATGCAGGACCACATGGGACAGATAATAAAAACAAAGAAAAAAAGTAAAACAAAGCCAGCGCAATACTCTTGACAGAGACCTTCGAAATCACCCGGAGATTTTACATGTAGAGTTGCTTAGCGTAGAGATTGTTACACAGTATTTAGAAGAGATAAGCCTATAAGCCTATAGATTCTGCAAGGGAAGAAGGGTAAGATTAAATCTTCTGCACAATCAATCAATGTCATGCTAACGCATGAGCCATCCGTCGGTGCTGGAGGAAAACTAGTCTATATCGAATTGTCGATTGTTTATCCATCCATCCCTCTGGTGCTAATCGCACATTGCAGGACGGACCCCCGGCTTCCTCCGGAGTAGCTAGATACTGGTTTTCTTACAGAAGCCTTATGCAATGGAAACAATGCGGGTTTCTAGATCATGCAGAATTGGGTTCTTTGTCGGTTCCTCAGAGGCTGCTGAGCAGTAATCATTTGACAACAATTTATACAACATACGTACCCATCGGGGTTCAGTCTTAACTATAGAACAACAACCGCAGTCACGTATTGTCAATGCATTGCATACTCGATGATAAAACTCCTAATACAATTTGATAGAGTCTTCAGAATATCCAAAATCCACACAATTATTGTTGGCGCGTGCCCGTTGGTCGAAGGTAGTCACATTGTTTGCTGACAACCTATCCATTGGCAATCTGTGTCCTAGTCAAGTTTCTGCCTGTGTTCCCCCAAACATTCCATTCCTTTGGTTGAAACAGATGAAGTGCGCATCACCAGACATGGTTCCAATGACAAGAGTGTTATCATGCATAGCCCACTGCGTGGGCCTGTAATCCGGGGGGAGCAATAGAGCTCTCTCTCCTTCAACAAAAACCCACTCATCGAAGGCATTAATGGGCATTTGACTTTCTGTCAGGTAATCCCGTGCATTTGTTGTTTGAACGCTCTTCGTAGAATCTTCAGTAACCCGGGAGCCTGATTCAACATCCCAGAATTGAGCGTCCTCTCCACATTTTGCGCGTATCAACTGATCATCCTGGGAAAACTCGACATCATTGAGCTCGTGATATTGAGCTCTTTCGAATTTCTTCGTGGGCTGACTCTCTTCGATATTCCATACTGCAAGTGCATCTCCCTTAGATACAGCTACTAATAGCTTGCAATTGGATGAGAAAGTTACTGATGTCACAGTTGCTGAGAGACCGACAAAGCTGCTTCGGAGATTCCCAGTGCGGAGATCCCATAATTTTATGAGTCCATCCTCTCCACCGGTTGCTACCTGTAAGCCGTCTGGAGCAATCTCCACGACTTTCACTGAACGTGAGTGGCCGTCCGAGTCCTCAGATGCAGTGTTTTGTATCATCTTCGGTGTTTTCAGGCTCCACTGGGGGGTTCCCTCTTGAAACCTGCGTCTCACGATGCTTTCCTCAGGGGAAAATACGAGCGCCGAGACATACAGCTGCAGAGGCGCCTTGAAATCACAAGACAGAAAGCTGACGATAAGTCGTCTTCCGTCACCCAGGAAGTTCAACAACCCGGGGCACTTTTGGGCCTAATATTGCTATATTAGCGATCTCTGTGCAGTACGTCGGGTTCATTCGTAAGACCTTACCTCCGAAAGTGATTGCAATTGATCCATTAGTCCAATGCTATACGGAAGGTTTCCCAACAGGCTCAACGCTTCTAACCAGCACAAGAAATTCCTTTCGAGGAATTGAAGCACATTTTCCATATCATTCGAGCTGGGTTGGCTTTGGACTAGATGACTCACCCAGTGTCGACATGCGTATTGGACTGGGCGTAGTGGGTTGGGGTCCGGAATTACAATCTCGTCAGAAAGAACTCCAGGCCGGCCGAGGCTGTATATGTCTTGGTTCAAGATTTTGTCCATTTCCTCAAGGGACCTCTGGAAAATTTGGTGATGGAGGCGCTGTGTCTTTTTGGAGTTGACAATTTCTTCAGACCCAGTGAAGAGCTGTGCAGGATGTTCCAAGAGAAAATCCCGGGCAGATTGATCAACAAAATGTACAGTGTCGTCGCGAATTGTAAGGAAAGGCTCGCAGCCTTGGACAATTAGTCGTACTGCATTTCGATTCTTGGGAAGATCAGCCAGTACTTCGACGTCCGGGAATGGCAACGGCTCTAATGCGACCATTGTAACTGCCAAAACATTTTTCCGGTATATAGACATCTGGATTGAGTCCAACTGGCTGTCTCTTCGTTCGAGACAAAAGGTGTAAAGTTCTCGCAGCTTCGGGGGAACATTTGTTAGGATCTCATCCCAGACCGATTCAATAAAGATATCTTTCTGGCACAATCTGTGCAGCTCGTTGCAAACCATGGAGATGCATAGAAACGTGTTGCTTCTTTTTGCTCTCAATCTGTCCTCGACAGATCCGATGTAAGCTTCATCAAATTTGCTCTTTCGAGCCCGAAGCATCCTTCTCAGCTGGATGGTCTTCCGTTCAATGTAGACGTTGATATCGTTGGAACGGTCGTACCCGTCAAGATCGATAAATTGAGCGAATCGCATAGATTGTAGACCGTGCGGTCTGCCTGAGATTATCCACTTCACTTTCGGGAGTGTGTGTGTGGCCTCACTGATAAACGAGAGGAGTTGTTCCCTAGACGGTTCATCGCAACGGTCCACCCCGTCCACAACGAAAAAGATTTGTCCCAGAGAGCCATCTTTTAGAATATCGTGAAGGATATCACACAAACAACTAAAGTGCAGCTGTCCCTTGGAAATCTGCTCCGCCTTTGATTGTATGGGGCCAAACAGTTGTGGGTGCTGGAGCAGCAAGAGCCATATCAGGCCCCGAAGTATGGCAACACTGTTGTTTGCCCTGTCATCCGTACTTTGGCAGAAGAAGTACAGCGTTTACCGGAAGCGGTCATCAGATAGTCTCTGGTCCAGAAGGGCTTTAATTGTCCCCGACAAGATCCTGGTTTTCCCAGTTCCTGGGCCCCCACCGAGGTATAGGATCGGCGGAGAGTCTTGCTGTTCCCAGTCAACGAACTGTTGGTATTCCGGCCTCTGGAAAACCCATGAGTACAAGTCTTCGATTAACTCTTCTTCGTCCTGGATTCTGCTGAGCTGGGATCGTGGATCGGCGCTGCATAGGCTTTCGAGGAATTTCTCATATTTCTCATTGACCTTGGCCTCCTCGTCGCTCGCTTTGTGTCGCATTTGTTCATAACGAATGGAGTTCAGTTGGAGATCGGTTTCTGCTTTTCTTATGTCTTCCAAATCGCCATCCCAATCATCGAGCTTCAACAAACCCCGCGCAATGATGAGATACTGGCCTCTATGGAAGTAGCAGACACTCTTTACTTGGTAAAACAGGAGCAATTCATACATGTCTAGGACCTGCCTTTCAAGGATAGAGCGACACTTCTGAAGGCATGTACCGTCTTTCGCATAGTCGAGGGACAAGAGCTGATTAGTGCAGTTGCCGTGAAGCTTCATTGTATTGGTGGTGTAGTCGATCCCATCGCAAAGGTCTTTCCCTGCTTTAGCTGGGTTATACAAAAGCTAGAAGACAGAATTATCAGCAGCAGTTTCTGAAAGAGTTCTCAAGGAGCAAAGAGACATACATCAATCGTTGAGGAAATAACCGCCCAGGGTAACGCAGCTAAGGGAACCTTTTTCAAAGGCCCATCGAGGAACGTTTTCAAAGGCTTCATGGCCCCGATCACCTTCTCGCATTTTTCAACGCCAGTCTTGAAGTTTTCGATTCTCTTCAGCCCGTCACTGATCATGTCGTTTAGCCGTTTTTCTTGGACGTCTGATGGCGCACCGGAGACTGAATGCAACGTGCCAGTATCGGAATTCTTCCGGAGGTATTCCGCCAACAGGGGCTCATATATTTGGACATACTTCCCCTTCTCCGGGTCATCTTTCACATTCCGGTATGCCTGGAGCCAGAGGGTTTCGTGGACTGGGGTTATCGAGCGTAGACTCCTGCTCGAGATGTTCGGAAATGTTTGGGTTCGGAGGGTATTGTTGATTTCGATGTCTGGAAGAGGCGATGGTGATGGGGAGTTCTGATCGTCTTGTTGAATTTCAGCGACACTCCGGCAATGATCGGCATTCTGCGGCTTTTTGGGCTTCAATATCCCGAACAAAGTCGAAAGATGTCTAGGTGTTGAGGGGCTCATGTTGAAATGTGGCCAAGTACGTCTGAAAGAAATGCTAGGATGCGGAAATGAGGAAGTTGGCTATTCAGTGGAAGGGAATTTGATAGAAGAAGGGTTTGATATCGAGATGTTCAATTTGGGGAGGTTTACAGTCTTGCTAATGCAGTTCCATGATCTGTCTTTTAGAGCCAATGTTGCTTGACTCCAGGAGACTGAGGGAGAGTCCATAATGCCAGAGACATCCTTCCTGAAAAGGAGAGATTCCAAATCTCAACTCAAAGAGTGTTCACTGCCTCCATTGCCCCGGCGTGTCTTACATATGGGCAAACTCAAATGAGCGATTGCATCGTACCCTGACGCCAGAATACGATAGAATGAATGTCATGGAAAATAGCCATACTTGTTGAATTGCCGATTCTTTTATGAGGTAGCTGGTAACGAGAATCACATTTCACCAAGAAGTCTATTGTCAAAACGATGAGTAGGTCTGTTCCTGAGTTTGGTGTCAAATTTCTACTCACCATACATACATTCAAGATACGAAAAGAGCAGAAAGAAAATCCAAAATAAATCACAGCTTGCAGCGGCTCCAATACGATTGGCCGGCTTCAGCCCACGCTAGTTCAACGTTGTCTTGCTACCTGCCGATGCATGAAGACCAGTAGAAGGAGCCATGTCTTGCTTTCCTTTGTTCCACGTTCCTGGTCACGCTGTGCCAAGTAGCGGGTAAGGCAAACTTTCACCCCTTGCCATCTTCCTTTGCGTTTCCTTTTTTTCTTATTCCTAGTTTTGTTGAAGGATGGGTATGCACTGATGACTTCCTAGAATAGCATCGTGTGTGCCATAGTGTTACGGACCTGATAGATGGATGAAATTTTCAGTAGTAGCATTCAATACTTGATGATCGAATTACACATTGATCGAAAGGTCAAGATAGAAGTACAAGCCCAACTTCCCACACAACCACAAGATACTCTGAGACTTCGGTATCGAATTAGCGTTCACCATGCATAAACAAGACATTACCCACCAAGAATAACTATGGAACCCAATCAGGAAAGCCTTCGCAAACAAAGAGATCAAAATGGAGTTATGTTGCTTCCGATTTGAAGGAGCGCTTGGTACATGTCGGGGTTATGCGGCCTTGCGTGTCTATGGCTGGATAGACCGAACTCTGATCCGGAACCTCCTCTATTCATGCGCTTGGTGTCGAACCGAATTCGCTTTTGCTTACAAGCAGCCCTCAGCTTGCTGATCGGCAACAGGGCGCAGCGTTTTCCAAGTAGTTGGACATCAATCGCTTTGGGCTCGCGATTCATAGCTAGAGCCTCCAGCTGGCTTTCCATCTCCGGGACCGCCCAGGGACCCTGAATAAATCCCGGGTCACCATAGAGGCCGAGATAGTCCAGTCCGCACGGAACATGCTCCATGAGCTGGAAGGGAGCTCTATGCTTCTTGCAGTTGCCCAAAAGCATGGCGGGCCCGATGCTGAGAGATTTGAGATTGATAAATTCGTGGATGGGAGGACAGAACTCGGGTGGACTGGGCTGGTGTTGAGGAATGTCTAGGTAGTAGATATCGAGCTTCTTGAGCGTCTCTTTAAACCGTAATAGGTGGTCCCAGAGCGCGGTTGGACCGTAGATGTCCCATTCGGAGCGAGGAATGCTGCTGAAGTCGATACACAGGCTGGTCAGTGCGGTAAGGCCGTCAAGGAACTTCAGCAACTCCTCAAGCCTGGTGTTTCGAAACAGGTCGATGGTCACTTTGGTCAGGTTGCTAGACAGACCGGGCCGTGCTTCTCCGATTCCACCGAATGACCAAGAGAAAAGTTCTACATTAAATTTACAGTGCAGAAGAGTCAGCTCGCACAGCTGAGGGAAGTAGATGAAGGGTTGGTAGCGGTCTATCTCGAGAGGAACGTTTCCGTATGGCTGATCGTCCGTGTCCAGGAACAGTCGCTTGACTTGTTTGAAAGCGAGGGTACTGCGCACTGACTTGGCGGGGAAGATATCTTTATGAATGGGTGCATTCTGTGCAACAGCGCGGAGATAGATATCGTTGTTGGTAACGTGCATGGACAGTGTCTCGAGGTTGGACAGACAGGCGAGGATGATGGATACGATGGGTCGTCGATCATCGGTTTGGAGTGCTTCCAAGATGTCATTCTCGTCTTGGTAGCGATCAATTCCAGACTCTTGGATTCCCCGAATAAGAGCAGAGCGATATTTGGTGCAGAAGCTCTCCGCTAGAAACGGGCTAGCAGGCCCAGTATATTTGAAACAATGGATCAAGTCAACCGCCTTGACAATCTTGGCCAGGTCTGGCTCCTCAACGACTGTCCGCATGAATTGCCACAGACGCTCACGGTCTTTCAAGTCGCCATGGTTTTTGAAACTGTGGTAGAGCTGTTTGGTTGCGGCGGAATACCAGGAGTGGTTGACGAGACTCAGTCGGTACCAGTCATGCATGTTACAGTTCTCTGCGACGTGGGAGAAGATCGATTGGATTATCTCCATAGGCAAAGCCGGTGCCCATTTCAAAGCATCGCCGAAAGGCTCATTGAAATCCTCCTGTGGCTGAGCCATTATGGTTTCAGGGCTGAAAACGTCTCAGTTCGTCGGTCCAATAGAAGGTTCAAATGGTGGTTATCGCGTAGGTGGACTCTAGCGGTCGGAAGACTGAGAGGTCTTTAGAATACAGCTTGAAGAAGATAGGCAGCAGCAAGGAGGAGAAGAAATATATTGTGAGCCTGGAGTAGATGATATTTTAGAGGGGAGTGAGGATTTCTGGGAGTTGTGGAAGGGATAGAGTGAAAGGAAAGCTCCTGAAAGACATCCGCATTGCCAGTTCCTGAGACACTTACACTCTGCCTGTTGGGCGAGGGGCAGCTGCGTCGATGAGTTCCTGAGTGAGCTGTATCAATTCACAATCATATTCACTCTTCTTTCCTTGTGCGCATTTCATTCCCTCCATGTTGTTAGTTAGTGGTTACACTCCTAAGGCGTGCAGAAAGTTACAACTGAGAGGGCCAACAGGTAAGCGCATGAGGACAGCGAGTAGTTGAATTCACCCAAACACAGCTAGAAAGAATTATGAACATGAAGGAATACAAGCGCATCTCATATACCCCCACGATTGCGAGTGCCGGCGTAAAAGATGTCTCTTGCACCTCACTCCACCAGTTCCACTCGTCGTGCTTCTCCATCTCCATCGGGCAACTTGAGCCACCCGTTACTCCCCGCATTTTGATCGGTGCCAACACATCAATAAATACTGCACAACACCCCATCTTTCGGTTCCGATCTCAATCTCTCTGCTACTACTCCACTTCTGACTATAAACTATGGCTCCAGGAGAACTTATCCACCCCGTCAACGAGACCGACCGGCTCTTGTTGAATGATACTACCGGCCATTCGCTCAAATCCCGCAGCAAATTAATACATCCGCCATTTGCCAACCCTTCCTTACAAGTCACTGCAGACCATAACCTCAAACAGGTCGACGCTCCTGTATTCGCGCCCCAGGAAGGCGAGGTTTTGTTGCAGATCAAGGCTACTGGGATTTGCGGGTATGTTACCGAAGTCGAAGACAGTTCATCTTGATCGGGGCTGATCGATATAAATTTCAGGTCCGATGTTCACTTCTGGAAGACCGGGCGCATCGGGTCTTTGGTTTTCGAGGGAGATTGTATAATTGGACATGAAGCTGCTGGGATTGTGTTGAAATGCGGCCCGGGAGTTAAGGGTCTATCACCTGGTGAGGGCTTGATGATAGTGTTTGGAATATTACGAGAGGTTGCTGATATGAAAACAGGCGACAGAGTGGCAGTAGAACCGGGTGTTCCCTGTGCGAACTGCTTTCTGTGCAACGAAGGCCGCTACAATCTCTGCGAAGATGTTCAGTTTTCCGGCGTCTACCCCTACCATGGCACGATGCAGCGGTACAAAGTCCATCCGGCGAAATGGCTACACAAGTAAGTCCAACAATTCAGACTCTGACCACTCTTTGCCCTAACCAAGATAAAAACAACCAGACTCCCTGATAACGTCAGCTATGCCGAAGGAGCACTCCTCGAGCCACTTTCCGTCGTCATGCACGGGATTCGCTCCGCCGGACTAACTCTCGGACGAGGCGTGGTCGTCTGCGGTGCTGGTCCAATTGGTCTGATCGCTTTAGCAGCTGCACGTGCCTCCGGAGCCCATCCCATCGTCGTGACAGATCTCGAGCCCCGTCGACTAGCCTTCGCAAAAGAGTTCCTCCCGTCTTGTCATACCTACCAGGTCGACCCCTCGCTGGATGCACAAGGAAATGCAGCTGGCATTCGTCGATTCTTCGGCGACGATGAATACGTTGCTCCTGAGACCGTGCTGGAATGCACAGGGGTGGAGAGCAGTGTCTGTACAGCGGCGTATACGGCACGTCGAGGCGGGACTGTCATGGTGATTGGGGTTGGAAAGGCGATGATGAACAATCTGCCCTTTATGCATTTGTCATTGGCAGAGGTCAGTCTTTCCTTCTTCTTTCGGCTGATGGGTTGAACAATCTGCTGACTGACTCACAGATCGATTTGAGATTCATCAACCGGTACCGAGACACCTGGGCGCCCGGAATCGCGTGTCTAAGCGGGGGTATTCTCGATCTGAAGAAACTGGTCTCCCACGTCTTTCCGCTCGAGAAGGCGGACGAGGCGGTTCGGTTCTCGTCGGATACGAAAAATGGGAGTATTAAGGTGTTGGTGGTGGATGAGGTAGAAGCGACTCTATAGGTTTTGATAATTGCATAGAATAGATTTCTGGTGAAAGAATAAAATGCTATTTGTGTGGAAATCCGGGTTGAAGAGGTCGAATATTTACTGGAAACGATAGGATTGGCTTGGGAATAGCTTCATGAATCGATGAATCGATGATTATCTAGGAGAAAGAAAGGATTCAGGGGTCAAGAGGTGTCGGAAAACTTTGCCGCCCGACCGCTCAACGCGCTCAGGGGTTTGTACGACCTGACAATCCCGAGGGCCGCAACGAAATTACTCACAATTTGCTTGAAGTTACTGCGATCGGACGGAAGTGTATTTTGCTACTGAGTCGCAGGCGGAAAGAGTGAAGCAATTGTTGAATACATATTCAAAACATCCGACACTGTCAAAGCTGGAGGGATTATTCTGCTGACACGGAAATTGTTATATTTTTATGACTTGATTAGGCATTTATTTTGCGACGGAGAATCTCATAATTATCTTTTCTGCTATCGGACCGCCATGGATAAGCAAGCCAATCGCGGATTTAACATCTTGCCCAGATAAAATCCGGGGTAAAGTGCAGATATTCCGTGGTGGATCGCGGCTTCCCAACTCGGCAGTTCTAACCGCGGGGAAACAGCCGCCCGGGAACGTGGCCAGTTTGGGAAGGTGATCCTCTAGGCGGTTGCACCTACTTTCTTAAGAAGTCTGCTGATCTCCATTCTGCACTTCCAACTTCCCAGCCCACAATCATCTTTACCTATGCGTCGCCCTTCCCTATCTTTCCTTTGTTGTTATGGCGGACTCGGGTCACTCTGGTCAACCGACGCCGAAATTCAAACGATGTCGGACTGGCTGTCTGCGCTGTCGGGTGCGACGGCGGAAATGTGAGTGTTTTGTTTATTTTCGTCTGGTAGTTTGCTGGAGCTTCATGCTGATTCTACACCCGAGTTAGGCGACGAGGGAAAACCGAACTGTCAGAACTGCATCGATAAGAACTTGGTGTGTCAGTATGGGTTGCAGGTGTCTTTCCTGGAGAAGAATATCTTTACGGTGTCGGCGCTGGAGCTACGGACGCCGAAGAAAGATGCCGGCTACGAGAAGATCCAGGTGAGATTGTCTTAAAGATTCCTTGTATTGATGCTGATTCTGCAGCTTAGTTCGTGAAGGAAGACCCTCTCGCTTGCGCTACGGACGCGTCGACGGACGAGTCGCCCTCTCCCGTGCTGAGCCCGACTACGGATTTTGCAGTCACACAGACGGATATACAAACTACACAACAAGTCAATGATGGGGATACTCGCAATGTAAATGAGCAACATGACAGCGATGTCGATGAGGACATCATATTTCATAATCATCAGCACTTGCCTTCGTCTGTTGATCGCCTTTCCGACAAACATTTTCAGTCTGGCACAGCTTTCAGCGACAGAGATGAGTCCGCCGTACGTGGCCTGCTGGCATTAGGGTCAAGCAATAATGTGAGCGATATGACGACCGTCACAGACACCACGCCTGGTCTGTCTGATTTCGATTCCAGCCTCATATTACCCCCCTTGATGAGCACCTATACAGCGGGCAAAGAAGGCCGGAATCACATGGATATTCCTTCAAATGATGCGGTACAAGGGCATGCTGCGGTTATGCTGGACCCCGAGCCCGCTATCAACTACCTTTCTTTACCCGAGTCCGAGCGACTGGAGCTCTTACGTCATTATCGCTACCATGTAGCTCCTTGGGTGAGTCCGACCATACCAGGCTCCGTGATAAGCGGCGCTTTAACATTTTTCAATCCAGCTTGATATTTGCGATATGCGACAGCCATTTGGTCTTAGTGGTCTTCAATCGGCCATGGGTTCCGAGAAGCTTCTTTCTACGCTAATGCAACTTTCGAAAGCGTGTATGATTCAAAGCGTTCCTGAAAGGGGCTTTCTGGCAGACTTCACCGAGCCCCTAGCCAATACTAGCGCGTGTGGTGATTCCACTGAAGACTCCCTGCTATACGTCCTCGATGAAGTACGACATCTCGTCTCGAATATTCCGATGGCCTGGGATAGAAACAGATACCTCGACACTGTTCATTATTTGGTTCAATATGCGCATGATACGGATATAAATGCAGCGATGTACTGGCTGGCACTGCGATTTGGTAAGTGCAAATTGCGCGGCGATGAATGGGATTCTTTGTTTATTTAACATGCAACAGATCTGGGAGCAGCGCTGGCGAACGATAGAGCTATTCAATTACCACTTCCGATGAGCCCTATTCCTAGCATATCTTTGATCTCTCATTCAGAAGATACCTATGAGAGGATCCGATATTACGCCCATTCGATAATTTGGATTACTGGGAAGGCCTTGATTATATGCCATACAGAAGACATGTCTAATCAGCTATCTGTGCCACATCAATTGATGGACAGTTGGTTACAAGTTTTTGAGGAACTGAATCAATGGTATCATTTGCGCCCGCTCGAATTCCAGCCAATGATAGAGGTTGAGGGGGATGACCAAATGTTTTATCCAGACGGCGGTTTCCCCCTTTTGCTATTCGCAAATGGGGCTGGTGCATTCAGCAATCAGTTGTACCACACAGCCATGCTATTACTGCTCCAGTCAAAACCGCGGACGGTCATGCTGCACAACTCTCCATCTCGGTTTTCGTCTCCGCTGTGGCATGCTCAACAAATTTGTGGTGTCGCATTGAACAATGATCGCCGGGAATGCTGGGATCCCTGCTTGTTGGCGTCGTTTCTTATCGCCGCTAGACTAATGACTCACGAGTCTCAGCAGAAGGAGATTTTGCAAGGATTTGACCGTATCAAATTGCTAACTGGGTGGGATGTTGGTGAAAAGCTGATGCAGCTATGTGAAGAATGGTCATTTTCCGAAGGTGGGTGCTGAGTAAGTGGGTCAAATCAATTCGCGATTAGCCATGGGACTCAAGAGCGATGGTATGCGATCTGGTGACGGCACTTCTCGTGCTTCGACGAGTATCGTAACCCCACGCGACTTCCAAATCCCGAATACGCCAACATGTTCCCCAGCCCGTTTCGGCTTCAATATCTCTGATCAACTGGATGATCTGTTGGTGCTCCGTTATATGACTGAAAAGTCTCCCCGCAATCCAAAGCGGTTGGATTGCATTATTGAGACAGCCTTGGTGTGGGTTCGCTAAGGATATGCCACAGATCCGACGTGCATGCCATAGGAGTGACAGGGTGGGCGATCGGGAGAGCTTGGTGCCCTTAGGCATCATTTTGAGCAGCAAAATGCATGCAGTGTGATATAGCTGGTTTGACGAGATTGCCGCCCAGTGGATGAAGAATATGTGTGGGAAAGGCTTCCGACTGACAGTTTGCACTGGAACCAACTCGCTGGGGCGTTCGGAAAACCAGCATTGTAGCTCACCCCAAAGCTGATGCCATTTAGAGGTGAACACTTCCGGTGTGCAACCGTTGTCCTCTCCGAGCTCCACGAACTTTGTCCGATCAGAGACGAGCTCGGTCACTCTCATACACAGATACACTGCATAGTTCGCATGCATATCTGGGCTTTTGGCTTCTTTAAACAATCCATAAGCATCGTTCTCGTGGTATCCTGGAGGAAGCCACTTGGAGGGATGCAGAAGTGTCGTTTGAGTGCCATCAGAGATGAGGGCTCCACACAAATCTAGACAAATTTAGATATCATGTCATATAGCCAGTACAGTCCCATAAGAAACGCCTTTTCATAAGACAAATAAGAGGAGACTTACCCATCCTAGCATAACACCAAAATATCGCCTGCAAAAGCCCCTTACTGAATCCATGAATCCCAAACGCATCGAACAACGCCGCACAGCCTTCTAAATGGCGCCTCCAGTCCTGCGCCCGCGCCGACATCATCTCCAAACAGCACAGAAGCACACAAGCTGCGACAATTTTCGGATCGCGGACCTGCAGCACGGGGCTTAGGAGCCGGATGGCTTCCTGGTAGAGCTCCAGACTGTCGAAGAAATCTTGAATTCCTTTTTTGCGCTCCATCTGGCGCGCAGAAATGGCTAGGATTGCGTATGAAAGCGCCGGGAATGTTCTTGCTAATGCGGGCATCTGTTGTTGGAATGTGTGTTGGGAGTCGAACATGTCAAGCTTTTAGACAGAGGGTTAGATATTTATGATCTGTGGGTGTAGGAAATGACATGATTGATCGCATATCAAAAAGTACAGCCAATCCGACAGAAAAAGAACATGTGACCAGGAAGGAATAAAGCTGCCGCAAGAAAGGGAAGACAAGGAGGAAATGAAAAGAGCTCACCCAAGGCGCCACTTGCGCGACATAATTCTTCAAGTACTCGATTCTCTTCACGCTCGAGACCGGCGCGCGTAAAGACGATCCTGGAATTCCTCCTCTATCGCTCGCATCATTTCCATCACCCCGACTTGGTTCTCCGAGTCGATTTGGATCCTGATACTGGTCCTGCTGATCGGGACTCAAACTCCCGACCCTCGTCGGAATCGCCGAATGAGCTAGCGAAAATAAAATACATCGTAGCTCTTCCTGCGAGGCCAGGAATCCTGGATCTTGCGAGAATCCATCCTGGGACCAGCCGCCGGCGGGGGAGTGGAAGGCTCCGTTGCTGCCGCCTGCTCCTGTTCCGCTGAGACTTCCGCCAATCGACGCGGGTGAGCCGTAGCTCTGGCTGTTACCGTGGGCTGGTGGAGCGGAGGTGGTGTAGTCGGAATGGTGCCATTCCGGGTTGTTGGTGGTGTGGCTCTGATTGCTTGCTTGAGTCGGTGGCTGGTGTGAGGGGGAGGGATTGCCCTTCTCGGCTCCGGTCCCGGTTTCGGGCTGCAGGGTAGTGCTTGCCGTTGCTGTCGGTGTTGATGTGGATATGGATGACGGCGAATGATGGGGATGAGAATCTAGAGAGACCGCATGATGATGGGGGTGGGATTGAGATTGTTCAATTCGTCGACGCTTTTGCGGTGGTGATGACAAGGGGAACATTTTTCATCATTCTTCTTCGGTACCTGTTCCCAGGCCGAGGTGTAATGGATAGCCAAGGTGGGATTGAGAGGATGCAATTACTGAAGAGGGACGAGGCGAGGATCGATAAAGCGGAGGTCATGTGCTGGGAGTGCCTAGTGTGGAGAGTGGGACTGGCGGCCTCAGGCAGAAGGGTCTGAGTATGGCATCGCAACTGCCGATTGCGGCGGTGGAAAAATGCCAAGCGCGAAACAAAACTCCCGCTGTTGGGAAGAAACGGGCGGGTTTGAATTTCACTGCACAGTTCAGCTTGTTTGTCCAGTCTACTGCCAAGCGAAGAACTAAACATCCCATCCACTGGCCAACATCGCCAAGAGTTGTGGTGGTGCAAAAAGGTGGTACGATGCTACGATCTCTTCTGACCCAACTAGGCGAGATCAAAATCAAGGAGAAAGGCCGAATCTAGGCATCTAAGCGAGCAGCCACTTGAAACGCCAAATGACGTCGGGGTAGGAAAATAAGAAAAACAGCGCATCGAAGCGACGAAGCATTAATTGGCATCAGATTGGCAATTGGCACATTCCTTCTGCCCGTCGATCTCTCCCCGTGTTGTGCCTGTTTGGGCTTAGCTCCATGCGGGGTAACCCTATAGTCTGGGGTAATTGGTGGCTCGGGTTGCCAGATGCGGTGCCGTCTGGGTCTGATTCCGGGGAGAACTTGTCATAGACCCCGGACTTGGACCGGGGGGGAGGCTGCCGTGACAGGAGAGTGGCATGGGCCTATGCGGAATTGATTTGGGTTCCTAACTTGGTATATATGGGGTGGTTTCCGGACGAAACAAATTATTAGGTTATGAACTTTCTTATTTATACATTTATAAATACACACTTGCACAGAAGGGAAGGATTTTGAGGTCCGAACCATCGAGGAGGATTGGATTGCTTTCGTGATGGTCAAGATAAATATGTTCGGGACGGGGTTCGTCCTTCAAGCTGCGATCTGGGCGGCCTGTGGCATGGCCTTCATTCTGTTCGGTGAGTTCAACAAGATTTAATCCGATTTCTCGACTTATGGAGAGGATGTCGGTTACTGACTGATATAGGCTACGACCAAGGCGTCTTCTCCGGAATCGTGGAAAACGACGACTTTCTGGATACCATGAACCACCCCAATGACAGCTTGATGGGCATCATCGTCTCGATCTACAATCTTGGCTGTTTCTCCGGATGCATTGTCAACTTTCTCATCGGTGACTGGCTTGGAAGACGCAAAGCTATGTGGCTGGCTATGGTTTGGGTCCTGGTATGTTTGGTACAGGGGGTGCATGCCACAGCCCAGTTTCTAACGCGGTTAGATCGGTGCAACATTACAAACATCTGCCTTCTCGGTCGCTCATCTGATGGTTGGTCGATTTGTCACGGGCATTGGCACCGGGATTGAGACTTCGACTGTGCCTATGTATCAATCCGAACTGTGCGAGGCTTCGAAGCGTGGGAAGCTTGTTTGTAGTGAGCCCTTGCTTGTTGGTGTGGGCATTGTCATCAGGTAAGGAGTAAAGCTGATTATGTATTGGCGATTGGGTAAGCTAATTCGAACAGCTACTTCTTTGATTATGGAATGAGCTTTGTGGGAGGCCAAATTGCTTGGAGACTTCCCATCGCGTGCCAAATGATTTTCGCTTTTGTGGGTTTCCGTTTCTTTTTATTTCCCTAGCATGTTCGATGTCACCTTTTGCTAATGAATCAAGGTCGTCATTGTGCTTGTATTTGGACTCCCCGAATCTCCAAGATATTGTTACAAGGAAGGCCGGAATGAGGAGGCGCTACAAATCCTGAGTGATGTGTACGGTCGACCTAAAGACGATGAGAAAATCTTAGCCGAGCAGGCCGAGATCCTTGAAGCTCTTGCTGTCGAAACAAAGCATGGAGAGTACAAATGGAGGTATGTTAACTCTTGTTACTGAATTTATCGAAATTAGGAAAGCTGCTGATCAGATCAGAAATGTCTTCAAGAAAGATGAGGTTTCAACCGGCCATAGAGTGTGAGCGCTATCCATCAATTTCACTCCATAGCTGTATCGAGCTAATTCAAACTAGCCTACTCGCCTACGGAATGCAATTCATGAACCAAGTCGGTGGCATCAATCTTATTGTGTATGCGGACTTCCCAATCCCTTTTCAATTGATCATCGCTAATCGAAAACAGCTATTTCATCCCAACCGTCCTCAGTAACAACGTCGGACTCAGCAAAAACCTCTCCCTCATCATCGGGGGATGCGTCCAGATAATGTTCGTTGTTGGCAGCTTATTCCCTACATTCTTCGTGGACCGAGTCGGTCGAAGAACGCCAATGATCTGGGGCTCGTTCGGCCTGGGCATTTGCATGATGATGGTTTCAATTCTACTCAGTTTCAAGGGCTCGGACGTTGAGAAGCCGACAGCCTCGGCGTCCATTGCATTCTTCTTCGTTTTCATGCTTATCTTTGGAGCCTCGGTTAATTGTATACCGTGGTGCTATGTTCCCGAGATCTTGCCTCTTCATGCAAGAGCCAAAGGGACGGCGGTCGGAATTTCGTCGAACTGGATTTGGGTGAGTATAATTATTAGAATCTCTCTGCACTTTTCTGCCTTGCTCATTCAGTGCTTTTTTGTTCCTCCTTTCTTTCCTGTTTTCTTTGTCTCATTCCACTTCACGATAATTTGAAAACAGACTGTGTACTGACCGAGATATAGAACTTCTTCGTCGTCATGATCACTCCCGTCATCATCAACCGGCTGCAATGGAAAGCGTATTTGATTTTCATGTGCACCAACTTTGCGTTCGTGCCGCTGGTATACTTCTTCTATCCAGAAACTGCGAAGTTCACGCTCGAAGAAATCGACTTTCTCTTTACGAATCCAGATAAAGGTCCCGTGCAGCTTTCCAAGGAGCTCCAGAAAGAGAGAAAACGGGGACAGGGAAGGAGTATTGTTGCTGATACTGGAATCATGAGACGGACGAGTGTCGCTGGAAACGGGAAGCATTTGGGGAGTGACATGTATGAGGAGCAGGTCGAGAAAGTGTAGATAAGCTAGAAGGCTGGGCTGGTATAACTTTTTAAAGAGCTGGGGATATATGAATTTCTTTTACAATGATGATGAAAGGCTTTGAATAATTTATTCTATCGTGCTTGTGAAAGATTCCAGAACATCCCTTGGTTTTAACGGGCCAAATGTGTTCCAGATATCGGTAAACCAAGAGGCCTCAACAGACAGTTTATTTAGGTACAATCCTCAGAATCTGATAGCTGATCCCCCACGCAGTGACTTGCTGTCTTAAGCGAAATGACTATCTTCAATGAGACGTTCCAGACTGAATTCAAAATTCGTATGCATCGATATCATCGGCCCAGCGAGTAGCGCCTATGCGTCCCCACGCCTCAGCAAGATCGCGATGACTTCTCAGAATACTCAAGGCGCCGTCTTCGCAGGGGAAAGTATACTCCTGGAGCTCATTGGATGATTCAAAAAAATCAATGAGCCCGTAATTCGCCAGCTCCTGGTAGGTTTCTATTATAATGTCTCCGAGCTTGAATATTTGCCCTTTGGACCTCCCATGGAATTTCCATATTTTATGCTCAAATGGAGTACTGGTGACATTCCCGAACTCGCTTAGTTGCCACCAATTCACCCGCAGAATCATTTGGGGCTATTCAATATCAACACCAAAAGGCGTAATGACCATGTCATACAAGGCGCTCATTTTGACACCTTCCTCGAATGGAAGATGAAATCGTCGATATTTGTCCGTGCCATATTGAGGTATCCTTTGCCTTTCGACCCAATGTATGGATCGGAGGGGAGGCTGCCGAACGAGCATGTTTCTCTAGCTCGCCTCCTGACGTAGGAAGACACTTTTGGGTGGGTTTTGATATATTCCGGATCGCAAGCGTCGTACGGCCACCCATGACTTCCAGGTCCAGGCCATGGAGGAATAAAGAAAGGAAAGAATTCGGCCAACAGAGGATTGCAGACTATGGGTTCTGATTCCGGCAGGGCTTTGTAGAAGAGTTTCTGCTGGATAGGGAGGGATTCGTGAATACAGGTCTCCCATTTTTGACAGACGCGTTGAGCGGTGACCAGCAAGAACTGCATTCCCAGTTGCAACAAAATCATTTCCAATAGCTCGACTGGGAGGGAATCGATCCCTACTATGATGCCGGGGTCCATGATGCCTTTCTTGTGGTTGGATGGAAAGAGATTCGAAGGTGACAGGCCAGTAGGAGGTGGTAAGAGATCACAAGAGAAATGAGGTAGGAGAGTGAAAGCAAAGAAGAGTCAAAAATGAAGTGACAAAGTACCTATACTACCTTTATGTTGACCTTACTTAATCCGGAATAGTGCAGTCGTCACACCTCATGGCTCCCACCTTATTCACTCTAATGTATTAATTTAGAGGCTGGGCCTAGTTGGGTTTGTTTACTTGGATTCTATAGGCTGTCAGAATCTCCCTTCACTTTGGGGAAGGAGGATTCCAGTCGCATAGCTCTTCATCAGCCTAACCACCTTCCATTTTCCATTAATTCATTCATCCATTTTAAGTCAATCCTACTCATCTTATAGTCGAATTTTAGGCGCTGCCAAAGTCTGGTCCATGGTAATAAAGCTAAATGTATTCAATCCAAGGTTGAGTCAAATTCTCCCAGACTATTTTAGAGTGGATTGTATTTTGAGGAAAATATTTTATACTATTATTTCTTTCTTTGTTCTTATAATTAGCCCCATGCTATCCTGCATACCAGGGTCTGAGGAAAATGTTGCCTGCCATACTTCCGACTGAGCATGCTTTTCACTTTCGTATTTTACAATGTATACTACCATAAAGACCCTAGCTTGCAACTTTCTTACGTACTGAGCGTTCTACCTTCTAATAATAAATAATTATTCCTGATCACTCATGGTGTCAACGGCTGGTTCAATGACCCCCGAGGAATCAACTAAGAATCTAATGATACGTGAACAATAAATTAGACATAGTTTCTACTGCATAATCCCTAAGTGAGAACACCATTACCTAGCCCTTTTCCGGAGTAAGCAGTGGGTCCTGCAAGCTGCGATTAGCATCGGAGGGATAGTCCGATTAGGTACTCGATACAGACTAATTGTCCTCTAGCGCCGACAGATGGCTCATGCGTTAGTGTGGCATTGATTGTGCAGAAAACTGAATCTCACCCTTCCTTTTTGCTTGCAGAACCTGTAGACTGATCTCTTCTCGATTCTACACGATAAACCCTCTGTTACATGAATCAGCAAAGGGATTTTCCCAAGCCATTTCTATGGTCTTTGCCAAAGTGAATGCTCTAATCAAATATTAATTTCCTCCAACTCTGAAGGATATATTGGCTTTGACTCCATATTCCGTTCTGGGAACGGTCCGAAGCCGGCCAAATCTCTTGGCAATATGGGGTTCTTCCATCCCGCGGTAAGAATAGCCGATATACACCAAGATAGCAGACTCTTTTGCCTCATTTATTCCCAATCCGGATACCTCAATTACGCCTGTCTCACTTTTAGTCCCTCGCTACAATATCTACTCGCACACCGACTCAAACCATCAGCACTAACATAACTAGTCAACACCAATCCCACTATCACCACTAGAATGAAAAAGACCCCCCATACTCCTAATCTGGCCAGAAAGAACTCACAATACCAACCCCAAGAAACACTATATAAACCCCCCTCCCTCTCTCCCAACCCAACCACTCACCCCATCAACACCAACCAATCCTCAAACACCCTTCTCCTCCACCTTTCACAATGCAGTTCACCCTCCTCACCTCCCTCTGCGCGCTCGTCGCCTCCGTCTCCGCCATCCAAATCAACTACTACAGCGACGGCGGCTGCGAGAACTTCATCACCTCTCCTCCCAACGTCCCCATCGGCCGATGCTACGACTACGCCTGGGACGGGCAGAACAGCGCCAACATCGCCAACTGCGACAGCAATGTCTACGGCTGCAAATGCTACTTCTATGCCCAGGCGGGCTGCAAGGGCGCCGTCGATTCTGCAAACACTGGTAGCTATGATGGCACCAACTGTGTTTCGAACTGGGGCCATGGGTTTAAGTCTTTCCACTGCTTTGTCGATCATGGGCTTTAAGAGGTATGTTTTCTTTTTTTTTGGGGGGGGGGGGGGGGGGGGGGTTTTGGGGAGTGAGCGACGCTGATATTTCCTTTTTTAGATATCTCTTCTGAAGTCGGGAGGAAATGGTGAATATGTGGAAGTGGCAAGCTGAATTGAGGATAAGCGGTGACGGAGCGGACTTTCAGGGTAATTGATTGTTTTTATTCTCATAATTATATACTCCAATAGACGTCAAAAAAAGATTGTCTCTCGATACACCCGGAGGGAAATTGTTGCCTTGGTCTTCAAAGATACGGAATTTAGTACGAGAATATCAAAGCGCCTTTGGGACTAGATTGATAGGCACTATCGAGTGGCTGAGATTCGTAAAATGCCTCAGGTGCCATGAGCCAACGCCGCATGTGAAGATTGAGCTTCGATTAACCCGGTGGGTCAAATCAGAAGGGCGGCGAATGCGTCTACACGCCTCTGCGGGCGATGGGGTAGCATTTTTTAACCTCTGGCAGTGTTCCAAATGATTTGCCTACTCCAGACGTGGAGCTTGGCATATGAAAGTTCAAGAGATAAAGACGAACTAAGTAAAATAAAAAATTCAAAGCAAAAACATACAACAGCCGGGATTCGCTGGTGGTCACCCACCCAACTACTAACCGGCCGGCGTGAGGCTTAAGTACGGCTGAGCGGACGGGAAGCCCTGTTCTCCTCACCCTGTGGTCGTATGTACCAGTGATAGCTGGGTTATGGAATATATAGGACTCAAATGAAGTTAGGAAAAGGTTTCAACTATTATTTGGCGGTGCATACAATGTCCATACCTACACACTGCCAATGTATGTATCGTGATTAGGTTGTGTCCTCGCTGTTCTGAAGAGTAGCAAAAACACAAAAGTTGTAAAGTCCGGAGTGGAGCTGAGAATAGCCGCTGCTAAATTGAATTCGGATTCGGATAAATATAGTGTTCACCTAGCATAGCATACACCGATAATATACAATCTAACAGCCAATCATATGACTCAAGTGTCAGATCAAGACACTTATGAAATCTTAACATTGTTCATGCAAAAGTGATGCTTTATTCACACCAGAAAGCAATGAGTTGATCAGACACTGGAAGTCGTCAGAATCAGGGATTCGACCCTCAAGTGAAAATTTTGTGAACTTCGGGATATTTCTCTTCATTACCTTTATCTCCCATGCGCTGAAAGGCTGCCTTCATGGTTTTGGCCTGTTGCAAACACTGTCCACATCCCGGCTTCTTTCCCCTATCCTGATCCACAGGGTCAGCACAGAGGATGATCAAGGCAGCGAGGCCTGATATGAGGGCAGTGGCAATCGAAATTCCACTGAGAGCCTTTGACTCCTTGTCAAGGTTCACGAGGGCATTGAGACTCAGGAGAATGAACTGAACGTTCCCTGTGTCTCCGGAATAAGCTTTGACTAAATTGCCAGTTTTGGTAGCGGAACCAATCTTGAACACCCCATGCACGCTGACTTGGGAAAACCTCCCTTCAACAACAAACAGCATCTTCACTCTCTCGTAATCCCGCAAACAAGAGACGCTTTTCACTGACAGCTTTGGCTTATAGCCTTTTTGAATTCGTCAGTCGCCTGGGTATTCGGGTCATTTTTGTCAATTGTCCAACTCATAGAAATGATGTCAACTTCCTTGCGTAAAGCCCAGTTCACTGCCTTGAGGCATAGTCAGTATACACGGTCTATTGATCTTGACAACATGCAAGTGTGCTCTGTGCAGTTGAATGATCTGTATCTTGCAAATCTCTGTACCCTTTAACTGGGAACGCACGACGCTGAAGCAAAACGTTTCGACTTTTATGAGACATCTAATCTTTGCAGAGAGACAGTCTATAACATCATGTACGAAATTCTCCTGGTTAGACCCTGATTGACTTATCCACTCATGGATAGACATCGCGCTTACGGATGGGTGTCAATGAGCTATCAAGAGCCTTCCAGTTGAACGGCATCATTACACCATCTGGCAGGACCATTACATTCAAAGAAGGGCTTATATCGAAGGTGGTTCATGCTGAGACACAATACTAGAAGAAAACTGTGATTGATTATATCTGGATGTAGAATATGCTTTAGGTAAATACAGGAATGTATATAGTATGACTGACCACATCACTAACGAATTTAGTTAGCGGACAATGAGGTAAATGAATTATTTCACATCAGATAGAAGGCCGAAGGCATTACTATAAGTTAAAAGATATCTTTTTTAATATTTTCTTCTAACTATCAAATTCATTTTCTACTTTAATTTACGCACAAGATTTATTAAATAATAATCTAATTAATATTTTTCCTGTTGATCTATTACTACCTTACATAGAGTTTTTATGCAGAAGGAAATTTGGTGCCTGGATGGCAGAGCTACGACCGATAGTATTTCATAAAGATCATGATTCCCATCCCAGCGGCCAATCCGACAAGAGCTCCCTCAAAGAAGCCTTTACTCACAATATTCAGATACTGAGCGAATAATCATCAGTAATTAAAACAATAGGAAGGGCAAAGAAGACATCATACCTGTAGCGCTGGGCCACCCTCCTCTATCGGCTTGAGAGGTGGTTCTGGCTCATAGCTCACATTGATATCATTCCCAAGTTCCTGGTTGTATTCCCGAAGCTGCTGGACTTTTGAATGAACGAAATCCTCCCGTCGCTTATGCATTTCTGGTGATGTCGTAACTGCATGAACTCTCTGTGCTATGCTTGACCTCGGCCCCCAGCAATATTCATCGAGCAAATCCCAGTACAGAAGATCAACGGAAGCGACCATATGCGACGCAAGCGTGAACCATGCAGATTTGTCTTCAATGGACTGGCGCATCCGAGCTGACAAGCGGCAATCTTGTCCTGTCAAGCCCTGAATCTCCTCTCGTTTCTCTAGCGCCTCCAAGAAAATGGTGGCCTTCGGGAGAAAGGATTCAAAGAAGGCGTCAGGACCATATTGATTAACAAGCGAATGAGGTCGCCGTAGGAGTAACCACCAAGGAATGCTTGCCGCAAATTGAGAAGGAGCCGCATAGCTGAACTCCCAGTCAATAACACCCACAATCCGCAGTGAGTCATCTACAAGAACATTGCCAGGGCATAGATCATCGCAAAACAACTTAAAGGGGCCACAGTCGTCCTGGGGTATGAAATTTAATGCGATAGCTTTCATTAACTGGCGACAGGCATATTTCTCCCTGCAGTCCTTGGAGTCATACACGCTATTGCGCTGCTGATCGAGGTGTACTGACTGCAATGTCAGAAGAGATGTGATATAATCGACAGAAGTATGGTAAACTCTTCGCGGTGTGCAGTCTTTCAATCCGCTGATCCGTATCAACTCGTTCAGCTCCCGGGTCAAGGGTCGCCCATCAACAATCGGCTTCCCATTCATGCTGTCCTCACCAATGCTGCCGATCTTGTCGAAATCGAGCTTCCAGAGCTCAAGCAGAACTTCCGCCATCTCGCCATACAGCGTTTCGAGCGTCTCGGGGCCGATAGCGAGGTCCAGAACGTCCTGTTTGTCGGGTAGATCGCTTTGCCTTAGCACGTCTGACATCTTTTTGCCGTCAATCCAGGTCATTATGATAAAGGGGCCTAGGCCGGTTGGATTCTCATCCCCCGTTCCAGAAGCGATGATGCGCGGCACAGGAATGTTGGTCTCTCTGGCGATGAATTTCATCAATAACGCCTCGCTACGGACCTTCTCGTCCAGGAACATGGATTTCCCAGGAAGTGGGAATCGAAGTAACCAGTCCTCTCCCTCATCCTCCCAGCTAAGACGGAAGCTGAAGTTGAACGACCCACAGTGCATGGAGCATAGCTTGCAGTCATCTCGTTGCCGATAGCGATTTGCGAGGTCGCAGATTCCTGCACTTGAATTGGAAGCCAGTTTTATCCATTCCAGTCGCAGATTGTCGACAGCGGCGAGATTGAGATCGTCAAAATCCATTTTGCTCGTTTGCTTGGCTACAACTTCAGTTTACAAGCATTCAATAAGGGGCCCCTTTCCCGGGGCAATGAGATATTCCGCGCCGGGCGGTGCTGCAGTCACCTGATCCCTTGGCTTTCCCCGCTCTCGCCAAGAATTATCCCTCTTCCTACTCTTATTTTCGGCGACATCAAGTGGGCATACCACAAGAGGTCTTGCATTTAGCATGTGCATTATTGACAGTCAATACTAATTTCCCCCCTTTGATTTGCTCTTGGCAGTAATCTCTAGTCCACAAAATCCTGTGGCTTATCTCGCAAAACATTATACATCCAGTAGCCTGAGTCTGCATAAATCTCCTCAGTTTGCTCTTGTTCGAGCCTCCCTCTCAGCTCTCTTGCGCTCACGTTCTTGCTGTGAAGACCGCCCAGCCGATGATAGTAGAGTCATGGTGGCTTGGTCCGTCAACGCCTCATTCAAGGCCGCCCGGTCCTCGGGTTTGATAGTTTTCGGCTTGCTGTCGGCTCTTTCAAGGGTTTGGAGGGTCGCCTCCCGGTTTGCTGGGTCATCGTTCTGTAGGTCGAAGCTCATCACGGCCGAGGGTCGAAGTATCAGTTTGATATTCTTATTCAATTTCGTGCAAAGCTTTGAATATACCTTCTTTTCGCTGGATGGTTTGTTTTGAGGGGAGAGGGCTCTATATCACAATCGTTGGAAGCACGAATATTCCTTTTACTAGACATTAGGGAAGGCTATCGATGATATAAGGCGGGGTCAGGATATTTATCATACGGCTACCCGCTTTGACCTCGAAAATGGCCTTTATCCGGTTGGCTCGTAGACTTAGACTAGGCTGTGCCGCACCGCAATCGGGATTGGCTGATGCATCACAGGTGAAGTGTCTTTTATGCAGAAGTATACTGCGGTATCACAACCTTTATTTTGCACATTTTGATCTCTACCAATAATTGGGTATCGAGAAGAATGAATAGCCTCCTATTCTGATAGCGGAAGATAAATCGTCCACCTAGTTCTGGGATTTCTCCAGGAAGAAGATCGAAGCCCCAAGTGAATTGGTTTGGTATCAGGAGCATCGATGGTGGCAGTGAGGCGAAATGGGCCAGTAAGTTTTTTTTATTTTCTTTTTCATTTTAACAGTATTTATTAACATTGTTTGAAGAAGTCAAAAATGGGTGGTTAGTAGCATTTAAAGATAGCTGCCTCTTTACTCCATGTCATTTACTGCATTCGTCTAATTGTCCAGGACAGAGCTCAGGACACAACACTAAAGTGACCAGTAAAAGATCCTTTGCATAGCCGGCGGCGGCGGCAGCAGCATACCCTTGCCATTCCTCATTTTTATGAGAGTCCGCATAGTCACTGATCCCTCTGATAACCAGGCATGGAAAGTTGTCCATTAACGCAGCCGCTTCCATCTCAAAACATAGGATGCCATGTTTCTTAGCCAGTCGGTCCCGCATCACGCCGTGTTTGACAACTTGATTTCCGGAGGCTATCAGGCCATAATGTATAGTTGGGGCGTTAGTTTCTCTTTGAGAACGATTGACTGCCCTACTGTCGTCGCAATCCTGACAGGCAGGTGCAGAATGGACGTGCTCATAATTGGTCTCCAAAAAACTATCCATCTCCTAGCCAGGATGAGCAAACCCAGTCATCCTCATGTCAGGATTCTTTGCAAGCATTTCTGCAATAAATTGATGGACATTGCTCCTTCCCATAAGGTGCTCCATCCTTAGTCTTGCTATCGATATCAGGGCAGTTCGTGGCGGCTTGTTCAACATGCCCGTCATCTCGAACTCTTCTCCAGTAATTTTTCCAAAATCGTGTTGTAAAACTCCTCCACATCGCTTTGTTGGACAGCTGACCACAACATCGCCAAGTCGAATATCGGCTGTTCCGGAAGGAGCTCCTCCCCCAATTCCAACCAAAAGCAAAAGTCGTATATGCCTGAAGGTGTGGGTCATTTGTGATACCATCACCGCTGCTGGAGTCGTTCCGTAGTGTGGTAAACAAGTGATCACAATGTTGTGGAGGCCTATCCTTCCCAATATGTAACTATTCCCATCGCCCGGGTGAGTCTGTAAGCTTTCCTGGACTTCATCTAACATTCCCTTGGCGGCTGCCATTTCAGTAGGGAGTGCGCAAATCCAGGCAATCGTATAATCCATGGCAGTCTTATGCGTTCTAGGATCAGCTGGTAAGTGGTCATCATGTAGATCATTCATGGTGGGTTGACTTTGTCGCTCCGTCAAAACACTCGTGTTACTGACGTTCGAGGCTCCTGCTTTCGTTGACATATGTGAAGTCCGCACATAATTATTTACATTCGCTATTGTCATCTCTTCGTCCAGGTTAATAGCGATTTCATCCAGTTGCTGATTTTGGTCATCAGATGGGGTAACCATAATAGGAATGGTATTTTCTCGATTCGAAAAGTGATGAAAGCGAAACCATTTATGATCTTGTCCTTTAAGTCGACCATTCAGATTAACCTTCAGGGTGAAGGGTTCCATTTCATGTTGGACAACAAGCCCCAACCGAAAAATGCCACAATCGGTGGCATTTTTTAATCAGCCATTCAACCCGCCGAGAAAGGCCGGTGGCATCACCATGAGCGGGCCAGGAGCATCCTTGTAATGACCATTCATGGTCATGGCTGTAAAAAGTATATGGTTGCGGGTTGACCAAGATACATTAAACAAAGCCTAGAGCATGAAACCTTTTCGACACAAACATGCTGCTTCGCGTATTTCTTTTTTTCTGGAGGGGAGGACAAAAGAGAGAGAAGAAGAAGAAGAAGAAGAAGAAGAAGAAGAAGAAGAAGAAGAAGAAGAAGAAGAAGAAGAAGAAGAAGAAGAAGAAGAAGAAGAAGAAGAAGAAGAAGAAGAAGAAGAAGAAGAAGAAGAAGAAGAAGAAGAAGAAGAAGAAGAAGAAGAAGAAGAAGTACTCTCAGTAAGTCAATGGGAAAGATCGTCATATCGAAGTAGATTTAACACCTCCTCGTGCCCATACCTTGCAGCCCACGATAATGGTGGTTGGCCACCCATATCAGTTGAATGTGGGTTGACACCATCTACAGTCAGAAGATGCCTCTCCACCTTCTCATTTCCATACCTCGCAGCCCATGACAAGGGCGTGAGGCCTTCATAATCCTTGGAGTTGAGGTCGACGCCATTCGTTGTAAGAAGCGCTACTACTTCTGCGTGGCCGCATTCCGCGGCTAGCGAGAGCGGCGTTTGGTCACCAAATGTAGTTACTTCGATTTTCAAGCCTAGGTCCAGAAGTCTTCGAGTTGTCGCCTCGTGTCCTTTTTCGGCGGCCCACAACAGTGCTGAGCCTGCGAAGTACTGGGCATTATGCCGGTAGAGATAGGAGTTCAGGAGATTATAAATGCGGCGATTCGTCTGAACGAAGGCATTCAAATCGCTCTCTGATCTGAGGAGCTCACCAATAGATAGGAGCAACTCATTTGCCAAGCTACAAAGCGACATCTTTGAAAGGGGCTTGTTGGGTAGCAAAACGAACCGCGAACAGTGTTTTGCCTGACAAGCGACGGGCAGTCATTGGATTTAAATGACTCGTTACCGCGATCGGTCACCTGACGCAGGAATTTGACCTCGACACCTAGAAAGAGAATGAGGCTTTTGAACTACCTGTAATTTGAGGTGTATGAAAACTTCCGGAAGGTGAATTGAAAATGTAAAAATGAAGCTATTCACGTTTTCCTTAACTGCGAAAGCGCCGTGGGGGCCTGCTGCCTACCTCTGCGATTGAGCGTTAATGGGGCCTGTTTAATTGAAATCATCTTAACATCGGGAGTAGCGATATTGTTGTTTTAGGGGTTCTAGTGGCCCTGTTCTTGCTTTCTCTGAGTAGATGTGTTTCGCATATTATCCCGTGTTGGAGCCTTAGGCCTTTGCATGCCTGGCCCACAGTGGGTTTTAGCCATTCAGCGGTCTTCGAGGCATTTTATCAATTCAAGACCTCTACGATTCCGCGGCCTCCCCCAGCACTTTTTTATATATGCCTGTGTTCAAAGGGAGGTTTCAATAAACAGTTGTCATACGGAACTTAGAGAACGTTTTCAAGTAGCGATTATGAACTGTGAGACCTAACATCTCCAAAAGTATCAACCCTGCTTCAATGCCAGGGGCTAGTAGCGCATTCGGTTGGAAAGAAGATAATCAAAATAAACACTTATCCGCTGATCATTAATATACATAGTAATCTCGAGACGAGAATCTCATCTACAACAACATATCACTTCCCTTCCGATATCTTCTTCGCCATCTGACCGGTGCCTGCCCTCCCACGGCTAACTTCCCCATGGTCTCCTCTGGGTCTTGATCCCCCACCCAGCCAGGAAGCTTATCAAGAACCTTTTCGTTGGTTTTCCGTATAACTTCAGAGTAGAATGGATCTGTCGCCAACGTGCTGCCCATTTTTAGCATCGCATAGGCGTCCAGTGAGTCCGTCCAGCCAATCCTAACACTAGCCCAGCAGGAGAGGGCCAGTAGTAGAATGAGGTAGGTCCCTAAAAGGGAGGAAAAGACGATCATAGACAACTTCGATATTGCGGGCTTGGTAATAGGCGCCACCGATTGAATTTCGACGGGAATACCCTTCCATAAGTTATCCATATCGGACAGTATGGCCATGTTCGCAAGCATTAGCCCTTGATCAAAGCTTTCTTTTTTGGCCAGCGTTTGCAAAAAGTATACATGCATGTTGCCATTCATTGGACTATCGTTTAAACAGCCGAAGCTAGCGCTAAACGCCATTGGGCCATACTCAACGCACTCCAACCCGCTAGATCGGGTTATATTCACAGTGGGCTTTAAACGTGTATCGAGAAAGGAGCCTTCACCAAACAGGGCGACCGCCAGAAGTGCCAAGGGACCTTTGCCAGGGACTAGCTCCAGCAAAAACTTCCCAGATGGATCTTCACCAGGTCTCTTCGACGAATCAAGCGGTTCGGCGGGGGGCCTGTAACTATACGGAGAGAAAATTTAGATCGCTGGGCCTTACGAATGTCTCGCATTAAATGGACACGTAAATACCGACCGGTGTACCGGAATATGTTCATCTGTTTTCATGGGGTCTTTTTCCAGCAGAGGCCCTGGTTTGTTCGCATTCCCAATGTTAGGGAGCCGAAAGTAACCGATTGTTGTTGAACAGGTCAACATAAAGGTAGTCCAGATATTGTAGGACCTAATTGCAATGTATAGTACTTCATCAAAGTCTTGTCGATCGCGTGTTTGCGTGAAGGGCGAAGAGCTCAGGTTACCAGGCATGCATATGGATATTTCCCAATCTCTTCTCAAGGTAATGTTCCTGAAGAAGCTATCCCCGGAGCAGTCAGACGGAAACTCTGCGTCCTGCAGCTCCTGTTTCAGGACAGATGAGTTAGCTCGCGGAACGAATTGCTGAAGTCCCTCGGTATTTGTATTCGATGGGGCCGCAGCGACGAAGAGATCACTAGATTTGTTGTACGGGTCCCCCCAGAAATTCTGGCGGGTTTTCACTTCCTGTGGGTTGCTCAAGAAGGCTCTGAGTAGGGCAGTTGTCTTTCCACTGTCCGTTGTTGTCGATTTGTATCTCTGCACTAACCCGGGAATATCGCTGACTTCGCCCTTGGTTTTAGAAGTACCTCTTGGTACATTCAAGTCTTCTTGACCTAGAAGCACTTGCTGGAGAGGGTTTAGTATTCCACCTGCAGCCTACTTAGCACCTATCCCGATGGTGGAAGTTGCACCACATACCTAAAACGTGAAGGGCAATTGCACCATACAAGAAGGAGCTCCCTAAGCGCTTATGTTGGAAAGGCAGAGTCAGTAAAACAAAAGGGCTTGTCCAGCCCTTATTAGCGAGAGTCACTGTTTGCTTTAGTGTAAGGCAAGACTTTGTACCCCGGCTCCTTGTTTGGGCAAAGTTTACTGCGGCAGAAGCGCAGACTGAAGAAGTCAGAGGAAGAGCCAATACACCAACAGTACCAGAGAGGAACTTGGCCGTCTGGTACCATTTATTAACTTGCTGACTGAAATCTTCGAAATTGTCGTATGTGTACTTATAAGACTGATAGCTCGTACTTCCTATAGGCCTCGTGTTGAGAATACATAGTAAGGTCCATGCTGTGAGTGAAAGGGCAGCATAGACAAGGACGAGAATGACAATATAGACTCGAGGTCGAAGAGCGAAGATGGTCGGGTCGGGGCGTGGACGTGGGTATGGTCTGCGCGGAAAATGGGTCATGGTTAACCTCAAGCTTGATTTGTTATGGATAATAACTCCCCAAGTTCGAAAAAGGAGCATTGGATCTCTATAAGAATGGGGTTTGTCCAGGCTGCAGTGATACGCTACCCCGCTCAGCGCCAAGTGCAAGAACAAAAAGCTGCATCTGCCAGTCAATTGCACGTTGCCTTTCTCTGTTTCAGCCCAGCCTCCCTTCGGCTTGTCCGGTTCCAAGTTAGGGGTGCTGATCGCCGCTCTGGCCTCCCCTAGTGGCTTGGTTAGGGTTACATTAATCCTACCTTGACCAAGCTACCGAGTCATGTTCGTTGAAATCTGCACCGGGGGGCTGGAGCAAGCAATAGCTTTATCACTAGGGTGTTTGTCCCTCATTATGTGGTTGGTATCGCCGAATGAGTGGCCTTGAGCCTTACTGAGCAACGAGAAAGAAGTGAGACTTTTTCCACGCCGAGGCAATATAATTGGAAGTGTTTATGAGAGGGTGACTCTAGTGGCTATTAGGGTGACAAGGATCTGACTTAGAACACACAAGGCCGTGTCTTTTGTGCCCAACCTGCCCTGCTCAGGACCTTCAGCCTTGTGCCACCAAACTTATGATTCGCTTGATTATGCAGGGGTTTTGCGTACCTGGTGGACCGTGTATTCATCACTTAACCACGGACAATTGCTGAATGTGCACATTTCTCGCCAGAATCATGAAAAGGCACCACGTCTAATGCCAGGGAAGCTTGTCCCCAAGCCCCAGGTTAGGCTATCAGTCTACTCTTTATTATCTTAGTGGAATCATTGAGTCTGCTTTCAGGTGCGGAGATTCCCCTGAGATTTTTGCTTTTTTGATTCCCTGCCCTTTTAGACGTGTCGAGTTGTCTCTGATTAGTGTCTATAGACACGCCAAGGCTTGTACTGTAACCAGGATTAGTTCACCGCTGAATCCATTGGCCCAAGGAAGCCTTCTGTTGGTCATACCTTTATCCCACCTCAGGTCCGGAATGAGGAAGTGCCTGGGTTCTAAATATAGTTCATGAATTTTCTAAGGTTATCTGTCTAATTATTCTGTTTGTTTTGTAATCACAATCTTTAGTTGATATAATCAAACATATGTCTTCCAATGCAAACAAACCCTAGATCAGAGGCAATTGATCATCAACAGCTCTATGGTCATATGCACCTCGGATTCAAAGAGCTAGCTGGCGTGATTCATTATTTACTGGAATAACGTGTGTTATCGTCCCTGTCAGTCCAGTGACATTGTCATATTTTGAGGTCGCGACGGGCACTATGGTATTGTTCGAAAAGGCCTGTCATAGAGAAAGCAAAAACTCACACCATGACTTACAATTACTAGGTGGAATAGAGCGGAGGGAAGGCAGCTAGTGCGACCTACCAAACAGCCTCGACCGTGTGGGGCATTTCGGTCCAAGCCATCGATCATTCAATATGTCGACTAGGTCCAACATGATATCCCTCCACGATATCATACACCATCATCGCAAGCTTTTGGTGAACCCATTGCTCTGGACCTCTCGCCACCTAGACGCGCTCAGATGTCGGTTCCAGCACATTGGCGACGCCCCGACAGACGACAAGGCACTTCGACAGAGCAACGATAAGCAATCCTCTCCTACTAAACAACAAAGCAGAATGGGTGGTGCGGAGATGCTTGCCAACAGTGCTGTGCCTTCTGTGAAATACCACATCATGTGTCGCTTCCTGCTACATCAGGGAAGCCTCTTTAATAAGCATAGGTGGGGACATACTGTGGATATGCTCTATCGAGATCATTTACACCTTGTGGTGATAGTAAAGGACCCGAATTCTTTTTCGCTGGCAAACCCGTTCATACCACACTACACCGTGTTCTATCGTCGTAATCGGCCAAGCCAGCCTAGTCAAAGCTTTCAACCCTTGATCGGTTATCTTGACTACGTAGATGTCACTGGTTTTCGCATGAAGAAGCTTGCACCTTGCACGCATCTGGGCAAGGGCCATAATGCTTTTAACACACGCCTCTATGTAGAAAAGCTGTCACAAGTCACCCCAGCGAATGGACAGAGGTCCCCTATTTTATATGTGTCTTGCTATCTATTGCGCAGCTTCAGGAGCGTGTTCTCAAAAGTTCACCCGCAACAAGCCATACTGTATGTACACTTGTCAAACTCCTGTTTTCTTTTTAGCGCTGTGTGGCTCTGACTCACATATCCTAGTCACGCCTTCTTGTAGTGAATAGGGATGATTTTGACTTTGCATATCTGTATGAGGGCAATTTCACATGCGAGTTCCTCAAAATGCTTGACAGCCCTATGGCTGCCACTTGTATCAATGCTCCGGTAATCCATTGTTTGGAGACTTTCCAGAGCGACTACGAGCTGAGATTTTTGCTCCCAATTCAGAGAGTTTGAACCTTCAATCATAACGATTCTGATCGCAGTATCGCGAAAAGGTTTTTCTTTACGCTGGCATTTCAGCCAATGGCTCATCTGCCGGAAATGATCCTCCGTGTTCGATGGGCACTCAATAACGAGCCAAAGTGCAAGACATGGAAGCGCCCTCGGCTGCCCAATTCCAGCGGCTTTTCCATAACCATTTCCTGCAAACAAAACCCGGAATATACCAGAAACATGACATTCTTCTAATTGATGCGTTGGATGAAGATACCTCCATCACGACTTCATTACGGTCAGCACAGGATATTTATTGGTCATAATGAAGAACGTTACTCTACACATGAGGTGTAGGCGACCTACAATGACAAGAATAGCAATGACCGTTCAGAGTGGTGGAAGTACAATAGGGACTCGACAAGCAAACTGCAACAATTCCCTTCTCAAATTCAAAAAGAAAACCATATGCAAAGAGCAAGATAGCAGAAACCAGATAGATAATTCTGCCAGAATTCATTTATTTCCTCCCTAAAGAAGGTCAAAACGAGGAAAGAATCCCGCAGCAGAGGGCTAAAAACATGCGTTACAATACGATACAATTGCGATCTGCCGCTGAGCTACAGGAAACATTATCAATCGATTTTTCCATATTCTTTTATAGATATTTAATGATTTAAAGTGATTTATGATAGAAAACAGAGTGTTAGAGTTATATTCCACCAAAATAATGACCTAAACCCCTCGTTGTTGTCAAAAGATGCAAAACATATAAATCCCAGCCACACTCTACCTCTGAGCCATGAACCACAACGAGGGCTTTTCTGGAAATAAATTACCAAAAATGCGACTCCCGCCCACCAAAGGGGGACGCCGGAGTGGTGTTTCGCCGAAATGAACTGTACCACCGCGTATCAAGGGATTCACGCAGCATCCCAGCCTCAGAACCAGACACTGACGATCCATCGAAAAAGCCCTTCCGCCGTAGAGCCTCGACAGAACACGAGGCTGGTGTCATTTTAGCTTCGACTTAGTGTCCATCCTCATGTCCACTTTATTCCCACATAGCCACTCCCTACCCAGTCGAGACTAGGGTAGAACCAAACACCTGTAGCACCCAATTTCTTCCTTCCTGCATCCACATTCCAATGGCATAAACAAACTGATAAGAGAGAGAGAAAAAAAAAAACAATCCTCCAGGCAGCCGTCCGTCAGCAGTCAGCACTTCCGTCGCGTAGACCCAAGGCTGAACCAAACTAGGGATTTAGTCCAAGTCTTGTCTTTTTAGCGTGTCGTTTGGAATTTGGCCCCCTGGAATGCGTCGTACAGCCCTGTCTGCTTAGTCGATGGTTGGTCTGCTCGTGTTCCTGCCATTGGGAGAGGGAACCTGTCTTTGGCCCCATTTTCTCCTTTCTGGAATTTTTTTGAACCTTTTTTAGAGTTGGGTCCGAGGTGTCTGTCTTATTTAAAGGAGGGCGATCTGTCGTGAGGAGTTCTTTCTTTTGGTTGTTTGTTTTTTGGTTGAGAGATAGGTTTAATTCGTCGCTCTTTTATCATATCATATCGTCTCTTGCATACTATACTATACTGTTCTCTACTCTACAGAACGTATATCCAACCACTTACCTACTACACTACACCACATCTAATATCATCTCACAATGGGCGCCCCCGAAGGTCACGAACACAACCATGAATGGACCCATGGGTTCTGGGACTGCTGTTCCCCAGCTGGAACATGTGCGTTATACCCTCTACCATCACCATGCCATACCATACATACTAACAAAACAAAAAAAGGCTTCATGGCCTGCTGCTGTCCCTGCCTCCTCTACGGAAAAGTATCCTCGCGGATGGAAGACCCCGCGCTGAAAGAATACAGCAAGATGAATGGAAGCGTACGTCCCTTCCCCCCAGGCAAAACCCCCCTTCCTCTCCAGCCCAATCCCAACCCCAGTGCTAACAATGACATGAGGACAGTGCTGCGTCTACGCCCTAACCTCCTACTGCGGCCTCTACTGGATCTTCCTGATGCTGAAGCGCGGCGAGATGCGCCACCGCTTCGGCATCGGCGGCAACGGCTGCAAGGACTGCATGGCCGCGTTCTGCTGCCCCTGCTGCGTGCTCATGCAGCAGGAAAAGGAGGCCGTCGCGCAGTCCGAGAAGATCGAGCAGGCCGGCGGTGCGGCGGCTGGGTATCAGGCGCCGGCCGGGATGGCGTATCCGGCTTCGAATGGGAATTTTTAGACTAGTCTGTTATTCGGGTTGTTGGGTTATGTCGTTCGTTTTGGGTTATGATTTGATGGGCTGGGCTGGCCCCCCTGTTTTGGTCGTTCGTTTCTCTTGGTTGCTCGGATGGAGGAATCCTTAGGTATATCTACGGGAAAAAGTAGAACAAAAATACAAGTTTTGAGTATATCAGCGACAGTTGATACTGTACAAGACACGCTACCTCAACTAACGTCCTCCCCTCGTCTGCGATCTATTAAATCACCAATAACACAAAAAGAAAAATTCCGTAACTCTGAGACGCAAGCAAAATGTATAAGATTAAACATACACAACAGTTCCGCGTTTACAGGGTGTTTCGGCTCATGTCCGCACGGATGCGCTGGTAGTCGAGGATACCCTCGACGCTACCGACGGCGCTCATGGCGATGTCCTGATCCCACAGGCGGCGGTTGGCGAACTCCATGACGTCCTTCTCGGTGATCTGGCCGATCGTGCGCTCGATGTCCTCGGGGGACAGACGGCGGCCGGTGGTGATGATCTGGCGACCAATGTCTTCGGCAACGGCGGTGGTGCCGTCCAGGGAGAGGAGGATGGAGGCCTTCAGCTGGGCCTTGGCGCGCTCGACCTCGGCGGAGGTGACGTTGAAGCACATGCGAGACCACTCACGGAGGGTGAAGTGGATCAGGTCATCGAGGCGGGTGAGGTTCTCGGAAACCAGGTAGATACCCCAGAGACTGTTCAATTAATTAGCTTTATTCCTTTATTTTGTATGCATTCACAAGGAAGTGCTAGGATAAAGTGAGAAAAGGGGAAAACTCACCCAGTGTCGCTGTAGCTGGTCGAGAAACTCATGAAGCTGTTGGCAAGATGCTGGTGCTCAACGGTGGAGCTGAGCTTGCTGCCAAGGTAGGGGGAGTTGCCCATGGCACGGTCCCAGTTGCCAACGATGGCCTGGGCGACGAGACCGGTGAAGTAGTCGTCGTCCTTCCAGCTGACACCCTCGACGGCGAGGGCGATGTGGGCAGAAGGCAGGGTGTCGTCACGGAGACGGACCTCGGAGCCGATGAACTCGGGGGTGCGCTTCTGCTCAGCGGTGAGGGCCAGAGCCGCAGAGGTAGGGGGCTGGCTGGGGAGGGAGCCGAAGTGCTCCTCGGCGAGGCGGACGAGCTGCTCGTGGGGGATGCCACCGGCACCGACCAGGACCATGCGGTCGGCGGTGTAGTTGGTCTTGATGTAGTCGACCAGGTTGTCCCGGGAGATGGTCTGGATGTTCTCCTTGGGGCCGAGGATGGTGCGGCCGAGGGGCTGGTTCTGGTAAGCAGTGGCGTGAAGGTGGTCGAAGACAACCTCCTCCAGCTGCTTGTCAACCTCCTCCTGCTCGCGGAGGATCACATCACGCTCGCGCTCAATGGCACCGGGCTCCAGGCGGGAGTTCTGAAGGATATCGGCGAGGATGTCAACGGTCTTGGGGACATCGTTGTTGAAGGACTTGGCGTAGTAGACGGTGTTCTCTCGCTATAGGCACGTTAGTTGTCAGTAATCTTATATCATATGTATTTTCTTCATCAAGATGGGTTCCGGCCGTACCGAAGTGTAGGCGTTGAGGTGACCGCCCATGTTCTCAATCTCCAACTCCAATTGGTGCTGAGTGCGCTTGTTGGTGCCCTAGACAGAAATGTCAGTACATACACGTCAATCATCCAGAATAGTAGATCATACCTTGAAGGCAAGGTGCTCCAGGAAGTGGGCAGTTCCGTTGGTCTTGTCAGTCTCTGCCCGGCTACCGGCATCGATCCAGACACCAACGGTCGAGGTCTGCGCCCACGGGGAGTGCTCGGTGGCGATCTAAACAGGCCAGTCAGCAAGTCTGCGACGCAATTGACGCCTTTTCTGTCGATTGATTGCGTACCGTGAAGCCGTTGGAGAGGGTGGTCGACTGGGTGGTGGAGGGCAGCTTGACGGGAGACGCAAAGCCACGCTTCACGGGCTGGACAGCCTTCAAGGCAGCCCGGCTCCGGAGAGCCTGGTTGAGGTTAAACGCTAGGCGCCGGGAAGCCATTGTGAAAGATGTGTGGGAGAAAAGTGGGAGAAAGGGGGGAGGGGGGGAGGGAGATGAAGCAAAAGCAACGGCTGTTAAGACGGGCAGCCCTGGAGATTGCGAGGTTGAAGTTCGGGAGTCAAATTGTTCGCCTGCCCGTCAGCCAATCACATGACCCGCTTTTCCAAACCGGCGTTCCCTCCCGACCCGGCTTTTCCCTTACTTATGCTTTCACTTCCATTGCCTTCATTGTTTTCATTTGATTCTCAACACATAATTCTACTAACCAATTACTCAAACCCCCTCGCAAACTGCCGAATATTCTCCTCCATCGACACATCCGCCGAAAACCCCAGTCTCAGCGCCCGCGCCGTATTAAAATGCGGCGTCCACGTCTGCACAATCCGATCAACATCCGCATCGAACTCCTCCCTCACCAGCGCCCGCCTCTCCTTCCCCCCGATCTTCTCCAACGCATCTAACATCTCCTGCACACTAACCTTCAACCCAGGCAGATTGACCGACCGAGACTCGCCGCCAAACGCCTCGGGCGGAATCTCACGCGCCCGCAGCAAGTTCCGCACGACCGTATACGGCGAGCAGATCCACAACTCCGTCTCCCGACTGACGGGCAACACGGCGCTCTTGCCATGGAACGGCTCGCGGATGATGTCGCTGGCGAAGCTGCTGGCCGCCTGCGTGGGCTTGCCCGCTCGCACGGTCACCGTGGGGAGACGGACGGCGCGGGCGTCGAGGAAGCCGCGCCGGGAGTAGTCGTTGAGGAGGGTCTCGATGATGAGTTTCTGCGAGCCGTACGACGACGACGGGATGGGTGGGAAGTTGCCCTCGTCGATGAGGAGGCCCGGGGGTGCGAGGCCGTACACGGCCAGGCTGGATGTGAAGACGACTTTGATGCCGGGGGCGGTGGTGCGTAGACGGTCGAGGATGGAGCGCGTGGCGTCGAGGTTCACGCGGATCCCGAGCTCGAAGTTCGCTTCGGAGCCGCTGGACATGATGCCGTGGAGGAGGTAGACGGTGTCGAAGCGCTGGGTTGGGGGGAATAGCTCCTCGATCACGCTGGCGTTCGTCAGGTCCGCTTGGATGCGCTTCACTCGTGATGCGTGCTGCGCTGCTGAGGCGGGCACTTCGGGCTCGACTACGTCGGTCAGAGTCACTGTGATATCGGGGGAGCTGGAGAGGAGGGCGGCGGCCAGCTCTTGTCCAACGTAGCCGCTGGCTCCTGTGATGATTATCGACATGGTGTTGAGGTGGGTTTAATGTAGAGCGTAGAGTTCAATGGACCTCGCAAGAGTTGTTCCAATATCGAGTCTAGCGGAGCATGCAAGTCTACAGGTCTTTAAATAATCGCGATCATCCTAAACTGCGGGGTCCTGGATGAATCCCCCACTCCTCGGTTTCCAATCCATTGTGGTTGATTGTCTTCTACTAGTACTTTAGTCCAGTTGAACTCCGCAACAAATCCGATGACCTGCTCTCGGGGAGTAATCCGACTGCCGAGATACGGCGGAAGTCCGATCTTGCTCAGGACCCTTCGCGAGGAACCCACATTCATGCAATTGCACAGGCAGGAAGCTGTCGAACTTGAACTGTCTCAAAACTGAAAAAGAAATGACATGTTGGAAATTTTCTGAGTCAAGCAAAAATACATTTAGAAGAAACCTTGAATTGGGAGCACACAAAAAAGAAAGCATTTCGACATATCACGGAACACTCGACGCCAGAAAAAATAGAGATCACAAGAAATGATTAAAACATGAAAAAAAGATCAGACCACCGATTTTACGCAAAACCTTTATGCAGAACGCTTGTAAAGACCAGAGACTATACAGTGGTCACGTTCGAAAGGCTCCAGGGTCAGCTGTTCCCGGGGCTTGATCTTCTCGTCTCTCATCTTCTGCACTTCACGAGCAAACACCACCTCGGGCTTGGCCGTACTGTCGATACAGTTGGCCTTGATACTGACGATGACACCACCCTCGTTCTTGAGGAACAGGTGGGCGTTGAGACCCACGATACGGGCCTGGTCGGGCTGGGCAACATCGGCGAAGATGACGTCCACCATGGGCACAAGCATGCGGTAGCGGAGAGGGTGACGGGCATCGTCAACGATGGGGATGACGTTGGTACGGTGGGTGGCCATGCCGATCAGGTCACGACCGGAACGGTGAGAGAACTCAACGGCGTAGACGTTTCCAGTAGGTCCGACGATATCAGCAACGTGACTGACGGAGGTACCGCTGGCGGATCCGAGATACAGGACCTTCGCGCCGGGCTTCATGTAGATGTCATCCAGACCACCCAGGATACCGGCAGCCATCTTGGAACGGAAGGGGTTCCAGACACGGTATTCGGTCTTGGTCACGGCACCATCGGCCTCGGGAGGAGACTCGACAGCAATGCGCTTCTCGCCGTAAACGGCCTCTCCGGGCGTCAAGTTCTTGGTGACGAGCAAATCTTCCTTACCACCACGGGCAACGAAGACACCGGCGTGACGGTGAGGCTCCTAAAAGACCATCCGCATTAGCTTTGCCATCGACAATTTCACAAGCATCCAGGTGTCACAATCACTTACAATAACGACCTTAGCACCGCCCTTGGCACCGGCAGCACCACCACGGCCACCGCCGCGACCACCACGTCCACCACGTCCACCGCGAGGAGCGCCACGGCCGCCGCCACGGGGAGCACCGCGGCCACCACCGCGAGCACCGAGACCGCCTAGATGGGGAAAGACCTGGTTAGCAACTCGGATTCCTGGAGGGACGATTCGCAGGACTCGATTTCTTCAACGCCGATGCTGAACATCACAACACGAGGAATCTGGCAACAAGTCGTGAACACAGATCTCACGGCCGATACTGAAAGCGAAAGCGACAATGCTGATCATCGATAGACCTGAATTCCGTCCCAGACATGGACTGGAATCGTGAACAAACCTCGACCACCACGGCCACCACCTCCACGGGGGGCACCACGTCCACCACCACGACCAGGAGGTCCACCGCGTCCTCGGGGAGGTCCACCGAATCCCATTGTGTTATTTAGGTTGAAATTGGTCGGAAAGTTGAGAGATGGGAGGTAGGGAGGATTCGTCGCTGAAGGAAGAGCAACGAAGAGGAGTTTTCGGGCGAGGAAAAAAAAAAAAAAAGTCGGCAGAAAGGTAACCAACCGGTCGGGAGCGGCAGAACCTTTAGATCTCAAGTACCACGGGCAATGAAACAAGCAGCTTTTCACAACGAAGAAAAAATCGCACCCGCACTGGCTTTCGGTGTTCGGTCGAGGCCGTGCAGCTCGTAGTTGCGGTCGAGATTTTTCAGTCGGAGACTTGGGGATCTTTGAAAATCAGAATGCGCTAGTCTACTCTGGGACTAGGGCGGTTAGCGGATAGCGAGGTCACCTGACTCGGACAAGCCCTGCTCCAATTGGCTCCTGTCATCGATGCTTGGCGTTATTCCATCCCTACAGGTAGGTACCTAGGATTACCGTATGGGCTTATATAGGTGACTTACAGGATTGTTACAGGTTAATGGCTACGGTTGGATCCGTGGTGTCAACTGTGTATGTCATGCCAGTCATAACTATGTCCATCCCAAGTGATACAAATGAAAAACGCCCTATATATATTGTGTACAGCACACTCCACTTCACCGTTCATAAAAGTAGTAGTTGGCAGCATACTGCACTGTGAACTGCGACGGCATATTCTTACAGGTCTTTGGCGCTTGACCCGCAGCCGTGTCTACCCGATAGACACTCTTGTACCGACCAACCGTGCCATTGACCGTGGAAAGATAGAGCCACGCAACGGCGCCATTGCCACCCTTGACAGCACTGGACGGAGCATCAATCTCGGCACCCTTCTTTGTAAACGCGATACCATGACGCGTCGAAGCAAGATCAAAGTTAAAAACAGGCGTTGATCCCGCAAAGTAGTGATGGCCAAGCAGATCGATGTTGGCCGGTGGGAGAGGGTCATCGTCGCTGTCCGGCAGCTGCATCTTATACACGATACTCGGGAGCATCTCGATCATGTCGGGGTAACTGGCTGCAATGCACGTGGCGTTGTAGAGACGGGCAACGGCGCCAACGGCTTCGGGCTTCGAGTCGGACGAGGACGTTGCACAGGTATAATTCTATTCGAGTTGTCAGCCAGGTGGCGTCGGGAGATTGTTTGTTGTGTGTTTGACATACCTGTGTACCACGACCTACTGCAACATAAAGGGGTTTCTGGCCGGACGGAGAGGGGAGCTCCGACGCGAAGGACGGCAGGGCAATTTTGGACGCGTCGCACGTCGTTGAGGTGTCCATCAGGTCCTTGAGCTTGTCGATATGCTTGCTCACTTTCCCTAGAAACCCCGCCATGTCGTCGGAGTAGTCGTAGGCATGGTCGAAGAGGGTTGGCGCCGCAATAGATGTTACCGCCAAGCAGGTAACAAACAGAAGAGTTGGACGCATTCCGGATGCTTTATCCAAGTCTGAGGGTAGAGAGTAAAGATAAAGGAATGTCTTTTCAATTAAAGAACACAGCAAATAAGCAATGCTCTATGGTGTATACCAAAGAGTATAAGATAAAAGCAAGAAAGCAATGGGTATCAATAAGTGGCTCGCCAACAGACAAGGGAAGGAAGGTCAAGAAGCAAGATCAAGGAGAGCGGAGAGGCGAGAGAGGTCTGAGGAAAAAAGAAAAAGATCAACATGAAGCGGTCACAGGGCACGCATATATAGCCAGAAAAGAGGAGGCAGCACGCCCATTCCCTCAGTACGCCCAGTTGCAAATAATAGAAACGACTATCCTGCATTCGAAACTTGCAATGTAGGATCTATAAACAGCCTCGAGTCAGGGAATCCCTGAAGCCGCCTACCACCACCACCAGAGATCGAGCTCCCTCATTGGCGCTCGGTATGCGCTGGTGGAAATCCTTCAGACTTCACGGCATATCTCCTTGTCGGTGTGCCACGCGAAACAGGAGGGATTAGCGGGCGGTTGGTGCTGCTGAAGATTGGCCCTTCCGGCACGGTGATTGGTGTATCTGGATGGCTGGGACTTGATTGCTGGTTATTTGCCAGGGATTCAAGTGGAGAAGAAACTGGCGAGCATTCATTCGCTCAGGCCGCATTGAAATCCCCCGGTTGGTGTCGGTATCTAATAATAACCAGGTCGGCGCTTAAGGATTGCCAATGGCGGTTAGTGTGCAGAACAGGATCTCGGGGATTTATCACCCCCTCATTGCGCTCTGGTCATTTGGGAGAGTCAAGAGCGGGGCAGGATATTAATAGTATCCACATGAATACTGGGGACATTCCATGGTATTGCCAATTAGGGCATGTTGATGTCGGAACCTTGGAAGATCGTGGGCTGCATGTAGTCGGTTGATGAGCTTGTCTTGCCTCGGGAGGTCTATAGAACACTATTTCTGGCGTTTCCTTGAACAACGCCAGGTGGTCTGGCTGTATAATTCTGGCTTAGAGTAACATACAATATTCAATATTTCTGTTTGACCTAAAGATACTTGCGAGAGGTCTCGCGGCTCGGGCCGTGAGTTTTTGTTTTTTCCTGTTGTGTTGGTGGTTGTAAGACAAAGGAATCCATTTTTGTTTTTTTGTCTGTCGGTCCCTCTTCGCCTCCGATTGTTGTTCATTAATTGTGTTTTTCTTCATGTCTTTGTTCCCTTGTGGTACAATTTCTGGAGCAAAATATACACCAGTCCAATCCATCTACTCCGACTTGGGGCGAGTTGGATGTCCTGCTAGAGCACTCATAGGTGCAGCATCTGTCACATTTCTCTGAATTAGATCAATTAATTCCCTCAAAATATACTGATAGCGTCGTCGAAATTGACCTCAAGGCAACAGCATTTATAACTCAACGACACTAGTAGGTGCATGGAAACTGGTAAGGTGGGGAACCCACTCGTCTGCAGAAATGCTACCAGGATGTGCACCTCCGCGGGGATTTGACGATTGTCCTGAGGGATGATGCCAATTAAAGTAACACCTAGAATAGAACAAAATAAATGGCTACAGCTACATGCTCAGACCCAGTACATACAGATACACCAAGAATATCAAAGCAGCTAATCATGACCTCACCACGACCCAACGCCAGATTGCAAGGACTTCCACAGCATTAGACCAGGTACGTCCAAACAGGAATACAACAGTGTAATGTAACGCAACCTATGCAGTTACCCTGCATGGTTGAAACCTTCTTGCTGCCAATCATCGCCATTAACTGCCTGTCCCCCCGTATAGCCGCTGCCACCTCCGGCTCCGGCTCCGACGGCGGCGGCAGTCGCGAGGTTCGCGCTGTGCTTTTCAATGTCCATGGTGCTCATAACGTAGAGCATGCTGAAGAGGAGAATGTGGATGGCAAAGCAATACCCAGCAAACAAGTTGCGACTTGTTCGATTGGCCAAGATGATTCTCGTGAGAGAGAAGACCACCCGCTCCGGTAGGCTCATTCGTTTGTAGGCGCGCGCGGATTCGCGGCCTCGGAAGGCAGCGAATGGCGAAATCTGGGCCTCGTAAGCGGACTGGTAGCGGTCCATTGAGAGCCCTGATGGTGTATCTGCGGAAAGGTGCACGGAGGATGCGCTGGGCCTGCTGCCATAGGACGACGCGGACGTCGAGGCTCCTGGACCACGGTTGTATGTTGATACATAACGGGTCTTTTCATAGAGGCTGAGATTGTCTTTCTGGAGAGAAGAGACCTCCTGTCTTAGAGACTTGACAGAGTCGTACATCTTCGATAGTTCTTCTTCCAATTCGGTATTTTTCTTCTTAAAGCGGTCCCGCTGCGCCTGGATCATAGGCAGAATACCAGATCCGCCACCGACAGGCTCGCCCGCGCGAATGGAATCCATCGTATTGGCCGAGTTTGCTGTCTGGTCGAACCCTGAAATGATGGACGACGTCGGCGACGTCGCGCCCCTCCGAGACGAGTGATACTTCGACGCATAGGTGCCTGCCACTGACATGGCAGTCGAGGGGAAGGTGTTTGCTGCCTCTTGCTGAACGTGCAGGAGATCATTCTCAAGAGTTGTGGAGAGTTTCTGCGACTTTTCGAGTTCTTGCTTGGTAGTCGACAGATCGTCGCGAAGAGTTTCAAGTTGTCCTTGAAGATCGCGATGTGATACCCTCAGAAGAGTTAACTCATCCGTAAGTTTCTTATTCCTAGCCAGCAGGAGCTGTTCCAAGGTGTTGTTCTTGGAGCCCTTCTTTGGCTTGGCCGCGTCTCCATTGGGGCTTCCCGCAGGATCGGTGAGATCTGCCGTGTCTTCATCGTCGCCCGCTGAGAATTCAATAGACTTTACACAAATGTTAGCATACGCGGTCCGCAGCTCTTTTTGTGCCACTTACTTTGATCATCTCCAGTTCTCGACGAATATCTTCATAATCAGCCACCTTCTCCAACTTTGTCCGTAACTCGTCCCGCTCGGCGGATGCTTTGGTGAATTGCCTCTCGGACTGGGAGATCTTGGACTCCCACGAGTGTCGCTGGGAATCCTTGTCGAATCGCGCGGCATCTAGTTTGCGCAACAACGATGAGTTCTCCGACTGAAGACGAAGATATGCAGGATCGTCTTCGACGGAGGTTATCTGCTCTGGCTGAGAGTGCGATACGGCTTGAGCCAGCTCAAGCCTCAACTGCTCGTTGCGCGCCTCAACCTCCGCTAGTCTGAGGCTGGCCTTCTCCAAATCGGCGGACACCAGTTCCAGTTCCGCCGCCGTGGCGCCCTGTTGCGAACCATTGCCGCTGTCGTCGTCCTGGCCTAGGCGTTGCGAAACCTCGTAGCTCGCCTTGAGTTCCTTCAGCAGACGTTCTTGATTCTCGACCTTCTCTTCCAAGCTCTTCTCCTTTGCGGTCCAGTTGTTGGATTTCTCGGATAGTACGGCGGACCAGGACGTCTCGATTTCTTTGATCTTCGTTTCTTGGTTGTCTTCCAACTTCTTCCTCGCAGCCCGCTCTTCTTCGAGTCGCCGTTCGTTATCCTCTAGCTGGGAGGTAAGTCGGTCAACGGACCCTTGTAGTTGATCCCGCTCAGAAGTCAATCTGGGAACCGTCTCTTCGGAGTGGACGAGGGAATCCACGGATGTTTCGAGAAGAGGATAAGGGTCGGGGGCCTCGGATAGGGAGGAATAGAGTTGTAGGAAGGCGGACGACGAGGATTTGTTCTGATTTGTCAAAAGATCGATGAATCCCTGGTAAGCTGTGAATGAGAGCGATGTCAGCCTGGAGAGTGGAGAGCGATCGTGAGCCCGTGTGGAAATAATTTGTACCTTTCAAAAGACCCTTGTATTCCGACAATTTGGCCGCATCCTCTAGCTTTCGGAAATCCTTCGTCTTCTGGGCCAGGTCCTTCCTTTGAACAAGCGCATCACGCTGTTGCGAAACGATGTCCGAGGCGGTGCTGTCCAATTTCGCGACGGTGTTGGTCAGGTCGATCCCTAGACAATTAAGGTCAGTCCTCCAATATCCGATCCCGACGATCAGGCGACTTCAAGAACCATACCTCTCCACGCAGCGATCGCACGTTGGAACTTGTTCGCACCCTCGGGTAGCTTTGCGGCGTTGTCCTTTTCGGAGTCGTGTCCATCTTCAGGCACCATGCCCTCCGTGATGTGGAACGTATCCATTCTGTGGATTTTTGAGTTTTCAACTTTTTTAATTTCGCTTTCGAGACCTCAATATTTAGAGTAGCACCCCCATCAAGAAAGACCAACAAACTTCGCACCTCAGCGGGGGAGGAGACCACCAGAACCACGGAGTCGCCAGTTCATGCGATACGGAGGCCGACCCGGGCCGAGGATGTTCCGACCGCGTCAGCCGTCTATGTTTAGATTAAAGTCAGACACTCCGCCAGGGGATTTGATAGGGACAATCCGTTGCAATTAGGGAGTAGGGCAGAGAAACGGTACAGTTCATGGAATGTGACATGTCGATGCAGCTCTGACGGGGTGTTATCACGTGTCACTACAGAGCAGGACGGTAATGACATCAACTCTGATAGACTATCGTGACAATACTCCGTAGTTACATCAGTACAGCATAATAACTAATCAAATATGGACTATACAATGCATTATTCTTTCTTTGTCTTCTGTTGAGTCTGTCGATTAATATGGAGTATCAAAAAGTCCACCATAATAAAAGACTATCGGATGAAATGAACTCTACCTGAGTATATTGACGAGCATAGAGTAGTCAATCATATACTTCTGTCTCTAACTGCTGTATATACTCTAAACCAATCCTACTATTAACATGTAATGAAATAGTAAGTATACTATAGTCTGTCTGTCTGTCTGGTATACTAGGCACGTGTCCACGCTAACCCCATCGAGCCCCCCCGGGTCCACCGCCATGAGCTCCCGCCGTTCGCTCCGCAGCCGCAGGAACGTTCCACTCTCCATATCGCCGTGACTGAGTTGAGAGACACCAGAGCTGGTCTCACCATGGTGTCTGAGGATGACGGCACCAGTCCCCGCAAAAGGCGGAGGATTGGCCCTCCCAAAGCTGCCCCTTATATGTTGCGCCCATTGTTCGACCAGGTACCGCTGACGGCCGACGATCCCAATGACGATGTGTACATTACCTGCGTCGAGTACTGGAGTGAGTCTGCGGCAACTGATCCGACCTGTCCTTCGCTGACCGTTGGCGTTACTAGATGATAATTTGTATATCGGAACCTCCGCCGCCGAGATCTTACATTTTGTCTGCCTTCCTCCGGATCCCTCGGACACTTCAAACGAATCATCCTTCATCCTAGCCTCGAGACTCCCGATCCCATTCTCTCAGAACTCGTCAGCCACGTCAAATCCACCGGGAGTTCAACAGATCGTCCTCCTTCCCACTGCGAACAAAGCGTGTGTGCTCTGCAATGGAACCGTCAGCTTCTACATGCTACCGGAGCTCAGCCCGGCTTTTGGAAACACCAAGGTCCACAATTGCCACTGGATCGGGGGGCTTGATCTCAACGCGGATCCAGAGGATGGCGAAGACCCGGTGATCATGATCGGTGCCCAGAATAAAATCATGCTGGTGAGGATTGGCGACGGGGCTCGCCTCAGAAGGAATATCGAGTTTCCGGGCTGCTTGGTGGCGTCACGCAGAGGTATCATCGCCTGTGCCGCAGACGGACATACATACTCGCTACTCGACGTGGAACACCAGCAGAAAATTCCTCTTTTTCCCATTTCCTTCTTGAATGAAGCCCTCGGATCCGGCCAAGTGGAGGACATGCCCCTGGCATCTTCACCACCGCTCGCCAGCTCTCCTCCGGCAGAGAGCCCTTCGCATAACAGAAGCTCGAGCCTGAACACATTAGCAGGCATGCTGCACCCGAACCCACATTCGACCTCTCAAGATCGGTCAAGTTCCGCAACGCCTGAACTCTCCCCGGACTCAGGGACGCCGACTCGGTCGCGATCGAGAGAGCGAGACGCCAGTGCCTCACCCAGAGTATCTTCCGAGCAGCAGTCCAGCCCTCGTGAAGACCCAAAACCGCTCCCATCGTTGCCTAAACAGTCAACACAACTGAAGCCGCATGTCCTTTCCCCCACTCCCTCGGAATTCTTACTCGTCAGAGGAACGGATACGACAGAGCCGGGTGTCGGGATGTTCGTCAACATGGATGGCGACGTAGACCGCGGCACGATTACGTTTCACCGGTATCCAGAGTCACTCGTCATCGACAAGGGTGACGAAAACAACCTAATCCAGGCCCCTGATGACACCAGCGACGAGCTCATCCTCGCCGTGATAGAATCGAGCGAAGACGGAAACCGGCGCAAGCGCATCGAAGTGCAACCGTGGGACGCCGACCCAGCGGAGGCCGAGGGCCAAAAAAGCTGGGTAGATATACCCTCCCAGGACGAGCAAGTTCCGCATGTTGGCCTTGCTCATACAAACAGTCCTAGTCAACTGGAGATACGTGAATTGGGCAAGGTGATGCGGATGGTTCGCTTGAAGACACCGTCATTGTCCCCGCATATCCCGGTCATCGACCCACGGACTCAGGCGTCCATCGAACAGCTGCAGAAAGAAAAGGAACTTTTTGAACCACAAGAATTGACACCTGATGGGTCTAAGAAAGAAAGCTCCGGCGGTTGGGAGGCTGAACGAAATGCAGAAGAGGCTAAAATCGCGCGCGATCTGGGCAACGCTCGAAGCAGCCTGATTATGTGGTCAGGAAACACTATCTGGCGGGTTGTGAGAAACCCATTGACTACGCAGCTCGATAACGCGCTGGGCAACGCTCAAATTCCCGGGGACAGGGAGCACAAGGTCTTGGATCGCGACGTGATCATGGACATCATTGATTTGGTTCAAGAGGCAGAGCCGAAATCGGAGGCGGAATTTCTAGGTCTGAATTATATCAAGCAAAAGTCGAGCCTACTCCTTTTCGGCGACCTCGTCTTCATGGACCCGCACCGACATGAAACTGCCACGATTAAAACCACGGAGAAGGCTCTTACGGATGGAAATCTGGATCCCCGTATAGCTTTGTTACTGGTGCCCCTCCTTCGCTGCGAGGTACTCCAGGGCCCTCAGGGTATCTGGATCCACGCCGGGCTTGCAGATATCGTGGAAACCTACATCCAACGGGAGGAAAAGGACACATCCGCCAAGGATGCCACCTCTGACCCCGGCATTTTGAATATGGTGAAGCGCTTTTTGGTTTCATGGCAACAGAAACGGGGATACGGAAGCATCACAGACGAGACGTATGTTTTCGACAGTGTTGACGGGGCTCTTCTGCACCTTCTTCTTGAGCAAGACTCGAAGTTCTCACCAGAACAACGCTCAGCTTCGCCGATACGAGCCGAGCTGAACCGGCTCGTCGACAATTGGAAAGGAAATTTCGACCGGGCCGTGGCGCTGTTGGAGAACTACAAGCGGCTGTTCATCCTGAGTCGTTTGTATCAAAGCCAGAAGATGTCCGGAAATGTGCTCAAGACGTGGCGGCGGATCATCGAAGGCGAGGAGGATATCGGTGGTGAGGTGTCTCCAGCCGGAGTCGAGATACAGATGCGCCGGTACCTGGTCAAGATCAAGGATGCGCAGCTTGTGGAAGAGTACGGATCCTGGCTAGCTCAGCGAAATCCAAGTCTTGGAATCCAAGTCTTCGCAGACCATACCAGCCGAGTGAAGCTGGAGCCTGGGGATGTTGTTCCCCTGCTCAAGGAGCGGGCTCCAAATGCGGTCCAGGAGTATCTTGAGCACCTCGTCTTTTCGAAAAATGTGAGTGATCCTGCTGCCTTTGAGGTAGCCATCTAACCATGAATAGTTAACCCAATATGCCGACGACCTCTTGTCATACTACCTGGACACCGTGCTTTCCGTCCTCGAGTCCTCGCCGTCGGCGCGAGAATCCCTCTCGGAATCTTACTCTACCTATCGCGCCCTCCAAGCGCCCAAGCCAACCTACATCAACTTCATCATGGAGAACACCCCCTCCGAACCGTGGTGGCAATCCCGTCTCCGGCTCCTCCAGCTCCTCGGCGGTGGCAGCAGCAGCAGCACTAGCCAATTCTCCTCCATGCCCACCTCGACCCTCACATACTCCATTCCCGCCGTTCTCGCGCGGATGGAGCCCTTCCAGAACGAGCTCGTCTCCGAGTCGATCATTCTCGACGGCCTGCAGGGCCGTCATCGCGAAGCGTTGCGTCTTCTCACCCACGGCCTAGGGGACTACGACTCGGCCGTACGGTACTGCCTCTTCGGCGGGCCCCGCAGCACCAGTGCCACGGGTGCGCTGGTCGAGTTCGCCGAGCGCGAGCTCCAAACAGAGCTATTCGGATACCTCCTAGACGAGTTCCTGCGCATCGAGGATATTTCGGAACGACTTGAGCGCACCAGCGACCTCCTCGCCCGGTTCGCCGCGTGGTTCGACGTCGGTGAAGTCCTTCGCGTCGTCCCGGACGACTGGAGCGTCGACATCCTCAGCGGTTTCCTGGCGCAGGTCTTCCGGGTGCTGGTCTCGCAGTCCCGCGAGACGCGCATCGAACGGGCTCTCAGCGCGGGGCTGAACCTGCGTGTCGGCACGGAATACATCGAGGGCGTGGAAAAGGTCGGCGGCTGGGTCGAGGAGGGGGATGGTGTGCGTCGATTGAAGGGGGGAGGTTCAGGTCAGAGTCAGGGTCATGGTCAACTCGGTCAGCCCGAGGAGGGGAGTGAATTCGGGGATATGGTTGGAGCGGGAGATCCACGTTGAGTATCTGATTGAAGTTGACATGACTACCTAATATGACCGGAGTATGTAGGATACTCGTATATAGCAATGAATACATGAACTGGGTTGAAGTATAGCATTGTATCTGCAAGACCTAGCATTACAAGACTACTCTACAATACAGCTCAACCATCGGGCCACCTACACCCAAAAATTAAAACCCTATACAGAAAACGAAAAAGATAAATAAATCAATCCAAATCCGGCACCGGCAACCCTCCCACCATCCTCACCTTCATGCCCAGCTTATCCAACGCGATCTTCGAATTCCGCTCCCTCAGCGCCGTCGTCTCCGCCTCCGAGACGAGCACGAAATCATACCGCAAGAGCGCATGGTCCTCGGGGACGTTGTATTTCGTCGCATACTCGGGCCCGGCGCGCTCGATGTCCACGACCAGCGAGTCCTTCACGCCGAAGACCGCGTCGGTGGTTTCGTAGGGGTCGTTGCGGAGGTATAATGCTCTGTTTATTTTTTTTTGGGTGCGTTAGCATCGGGGGTACTGTATCTTCCGTCTTCCTTCTTCTACCCAGTATAGGGTATAATATGGGAAATGATAGGGAAAAGAAAGGGAAAACCCACGTAACCAACTCCTCGAACCCACTCCCCTGCATCAAAAAATGCATATGACTCGGCCGATACGGATGCCTCCTCAATGCCTTCAACAGCCTCCCCACCGGCCCATCATGCGGAATGGGATACGGCACCGGCGTGATCGCCCGGAACCACAGGGTTCCCTGCTCGTCTGTCCGCAAGATGCACCGCCCATCGGGCCCCTCGCGCCCCGCGTACTGCACATCATAGTGGCCCGAGCTGTCGGTCTCCCATACATCGACCTTGATCCCGGGGAGGGGGTTTCCCGCGGTGTCTTTGACAGAGCAGACGACGAGGAGGGGCTGGCCGTTCGGGTCCGCGGACATGGTCGACCCGGCGGGGAGCTCTGAGGCGTCGTGGGTGTGGAAGGGCCCGAGGACGGTGCCTTCTGTTGCTGCGGAGTTCGGGGGTTTCGGGTGGTCGATGGAGTCGACGAGGATGGAGAGGCCGAGGATGTCGGAGAGGAGGATGAATTCCTTTCTTTCGTCAGTACCCACTATCCTGCTCATCCAGTACATGGGAATGGGGAAGGAAGGGGGAGACATACCTGTCTCACATCACTACAGATCTTCCCGACCTCGGTCAGGAAGAGCAAGCCCTGCATCCACTCGTTCGTGCTGAGGCGGGTCTCGCGCGCAAAGTCGTGCAGGTGGGTGACGAGGCGCTCGAGGACGTATTTCATGCGCGGGTCCTCGCAGAGCGAGTTCATGGCGATGGCGTTCTCGGTGATGTTGTCGACGGTGAGGTCTTTCATTGGGGGGAGGGGGAGGGTTGAGGGGTCCATTTTCTTTCGTCTTTCTTCTTTCTTCTCTTCAAGGTGAATGGATTGGATTGATTGATTGATTGAATTGAGTTGGTTAAGTTGGGGTAGACAATTGATATAGTATAGTAGTATACAGTATGGGGAAGGAGAGGAAAAAGAATCAACCTCGACAAAACAATCCAAGACCAAGGAGCTATTAAAGGAAGTAGGTAGGATAATTAATCACCCTGTCCTCAATGGACAATCCCACAGAAATCCCCGCATGCCGGCTGAGCAAGAAACGCATAAGAGGTGAATAAGCACTCCACTCCGGGGGAAACCACATAGAAAAAACCCCGCCGATCTCCGCCGCGAGGAAGAATTCCGCGCCGCATGTGGGGTGAAGCAGCCTGAGGCAGGCGGATTGTGGGAGGAGCGGATATTTCTTTTCCCGTTCACTCCGGAAGGTAAGTTGGTGGTTCAGGCTGGAGAGAGGAGAGGGATATAGAGCAGTAGAATGCCCGCCCTTTCATCAAATCAAGGTGCTGTAGTGTAATGGTTATCATGCGACGTTGTGGTTTTCCCGCAGTCCCGTCTCGATCTGGGTTCGATTCCCAGCAGCGCCAATTGGCGTTGAGAACTTGATTTGCTTTTTTCCCTTTTTTGCATGTAGGAAAAGAGGATTGTCATTTTTTGTTTTTTTCTTTCTTTTCTTTGTTTCTGGTATGTTGATAGTAGAGTTTATCTTGCATTGGCTGGCTGGTCTGTTGTTTCAGCAAATGACTTTCGCATGTTCGGTAATTGTGTACCGACTACCACATTATATATCTACCACCAATCTCGTCTACGACCCACACGTTGCTAGACAATACCAAAATCAGTCTGTATATGCAAACTACCAATAAACAAACTGCCGGGATATCTAAACACGCTCAAACCAGTACAATCATAGATAGATACAGACCAAACCGGCCGTCCATGCTCCTCTTAACCCGAATGAGTATACAGAAAGAAAATCATTATGCTCGCACCACCTTTCGCTCGCGCTCCAGTTCTTGCTCATGCTCATGCTCTCGCTCCCGCTCCCGTTGCGATTCACGTTCGCGTTCGCGTTCTCGCTCCCTCTCTCGATCGAGACCGTCTCCACCCTCCTTCACGGCGGCGGCGACGCGCGCGTGGTGGTCCACCGTGTCCATGATCGCCTGCATCAGCCGGTGGTTGGCACCCTGGTCGTCGTCCTCGGCGGCATGGTCGTGGTGTCGGTGCACCATGCGTCCATGACCGAGAGATGCACTGCTCTGGAGTTCGCTCACGGCCCGCCGGGGAGAAGGTTCCCTCCCCAGCGGCGTGCCCGGAGAGGGCCCCGTGGTCGGTGCGGATTCGCGGCGGACGTTGAATTCGCGATGACTATCCCGAATCATGTCCCGATTCTCGCGGCTCTCGCGGCTTTCCCGGGGGTCTCGAGGGTCTCGAGGGTCTCTGTGCTCTCGATGGTCCCGGTGCTCGCGGTACATCTCACGGTCCACGCGGTGCCGATCCGGGTCCAGGATCATGGCGGTCGACCCCGGAGTCGGCGCCTGCGACAGAGTCCCCGGCAAGCTGCTGACCGGAGGGACTCCGGCGGGGGTCTCCTTCAGAGGCGCATCCTCGACTCGCTCCCGGGAACTGCGCTCGGCCCGCGACTCGCGCAGTTCCTCCTCCTTGACGTCCTTCCACGAACACTTGGCGTGTTTTTTCGTGCAGCCCATGCAGGCGGTCAGATTCTTCAAGCAGTCCATGTGCAGGCGACGACACCGATCGCACGGGGGCAGGATGCGCTCACCCCGCTGTAGCTCCTCCATGCGCGCAACCATCTCCATCTTGTACGGCCCGCCGTCATCCTTCTCGTGGTGGTGGGACTTGGGGGGCGGCAGTAGCGAGGACGGCGTGCTGGGGATGGCCACGGTGGCGGGCGCCGGGGTGAACATGGCGCTGTAGTCGGCGGCGTCCGATGCGCGCGGCCGAGGACGCGACGACTGCCGGTTGGTGGACCCGGGCGTTTCGTCGACGCTCCGAGCTTGACGGTCTTGAGTGGTGAAGAATTTCTTCATAAGCTCGGCGCGCGTGGTCGGGGATGCCCCCTTGATAGACGTACCGTTGATGATAGTGACATTGTCCGTATTGGAATGCGAGAACATGAATTGCGACGACAGCGCATTGGCATTGCTCTCCTCCGCCAGCGCGTCTCCGCCGCTTGCCCCGGGCCGGCCGGTGTTGACGGCGACGAAGCCCGTCGAGGGCGAGTGCGCGTTGGAGTTGGGGTGGCTGTTGCCGTTGAGGGGGAGTTGACTGCCATTGGCGTCGCGCCAGGTGGGACTCATCGAGCGCTGCTGTCGTTGCGAATGCAAAGTCGAATCGTTTTCCCGACGAGTGACGATGGCGGTGCGGCGATTCTTCAGTCGATGATTCAACTGTCTGGCTCGGGCCGACACTACGGAAACAATCGATTAGTATCTGCTTTCTCGCACCACGGCGAAACAAAAAGGGAGAAAAAAGAGAGAGAAAACCCTACCCTGGTCGGCGATCTGGATGATCTGCTGGAGATTCTTCTCCAAGATTTCCAACGCGCCCAGTTCCTTCTCCTCATCCTCAATGATCGGCTGAGGAGGGATCATCTTCTGGGGCATTCCCGAGGCGATGAGAACAAAGTCCTCCTCACTGATCTCCACGCGACACTGCTTGGTATAGAACTGGCAGACTCGCACTCCGTTGCGAGACTTCTCCAGGTTGAACTGTTCCGGCTTGCTCTTGGCAAATTCCACGACGTCCAGCCAGGTGACGTTGGGGGAGTCCTTGCCATGCGACTTGAGGACGCGCGGGGGCCCGTCGAACAAGCGCTCGAAGCGCTTGATCAGGATGGGACCCAGGGGACATGCGCCCAGGTTGCCGGCGATGCTCTCGTGTCGATGTAGGACGCCGTCGTACTCCCCGATCAAGTGGATGATGGCCGGCATCGTATCCTCGACGGAGACCAGAGGCAGGTTGTCTGGATATTGGCGCGCCAGGTAGTTGATCTGCAGGTGATTCGAATGGGTCTTGGGGACTTTGGATGCGATGGCCGGGAAGTCACCCGACGGCGATCGCGGTCGTTTACTCGACGACTCTGTGGTTGTTGTTCTGGAATCCATGGCGACGTGAAGCTGGCAGTCCAGCGGGAGGATAGAAAAACAAAATGGAAGAAAAGAGGGAGGGAAATGGAAGGGAAGGTGGACGATCAACGACCGGTCACACCGCGTGGTTCACGAGGAGAGGAAGAGCGGGGAGGGGAGGGATGGGAGGTGGAACAGAGAATTCGAAGGGGACGATTGAGTAACGCCGTAGCCGATGGCGGAGCGTCAGGCCCCAGAATGCGGGATGCAGTTAGGTAATGTTGCTGCTGCCCCAACAAAAATATGAGGGAGGAGGGGTTGGGAGGGGAGAAAAAGAAAAAAGAAAAAGAAAAGAGGAGACAGGAACAAGGTAACGTGCAGGACGATGAAGGGACGGAACTTTTGTGACAGAGAGAGAGAGAGAGAGAGAGCGAGAGAGGAAGAAAGCGACAGGAGGGAGGAGAGGAGCAAAAGACGGCAGAGGAATTAGTTGGTCTCCAGGCGGACACGCTTTTTTAGCCGTTGGGCAGGTTTGGCCCGGCCGGACCGAGCTGGAGATAGGAGGGTCGTATATGAGGTTCGCACTTACGGAGTAGGATAGAGATGCTTGGATTACATGCCCCCTATGCTCCAGTCTCACTGCATTCGAGGTAACCCGGAGAACTACAGACAATCATTCCGATACTCTTCCTCAATTGTGAAGATTTAATCATACGAGGAGGTTTTAAACAGAATTAGTGAGTTAAAAAAAGACCGCAGGAGCCAATGACAAGGCTGAATGACGGGAGCGACGCTGCGGATGGCGGAACGGGCGCTCCAGCGAAAGCCCGGAGGAGTCTGGATGTTCCGGGCGGATCTTCCAGTCCGCCTTCTATCCATGTAGTCCGTGTCTTTCCACTCCCAATGGAGATGATCAGTACAATTCATGAACTGGAACGGACACGACGCTCGTTCTCCCACGGCGAGTGGCAACTGCAGGCCGGACTAATCAATCCTGACGGTGCAGGGCGGAGTCCCGCCGGGCTCTTCCGCCGACCACTCGGTGAGGCCCGGCATCTCGGAAGCGTCGTCTTACGTCCACGGGTCATGCCTGGATAGGATTAGAGGAAGTCGGTCTCATAATTAAGGAAGCTATATTATGAAGAACGGGAAGATAAAATAAAAAATACCAAATAAAATCAAATAAAATAAATCAAATAGAAAAAGGATCTGAGTCAAGATGGGATTCGCGGACTCTCATTGGGCGAGGCGCGTCAGCTGCAGACCGTCGCGCTCCGCCGGTGCCTCAGGTTCTCGATCGCCGACTCTGGCCGAGTATTCTCTGACAGGATTTATTCTTGATCTAGTCTATAATTCTACAGTGCTACAGTATACAATTCTACAATATACAATTCTACAGTTCTACAATCTACAATCTACAATCTACAATAATACAATAATACAATTCTACCACGTACAATCCTAAAGGCTGATCTCTGATGAAGGGCGAACATGAAAAATGCCTCATACTGACTAACGGCCAGGCGCGGCCTTACCTCATCCGACCGCACACCGGCGCCAGTCGCGGTCTTTTCCCATCGGCCTCACTTCTCCTTCTCTTCCCACCGAATCGTTTTCCAACTTCGCCTGTCCCGCTTACATAACCCCCTCTCTCTGTCGCCCCAGTTTTATGCTCATTCCGACTGTACCTTATTTTCGTGCTTGACTAATTGCCATCACCCCGGCTGTCCCCCCTCCACCCTAATCCTATCAACCACAGACCATGTCCGAACGAGGCTCATTCCGAGGTCGTGGCCGCGGCGGCGGCGGAGGTTACGACCGGTCGGCTCGTGGCGCCAGAAGTGGCGGTGCCGGTGGCGGTGCCCAGCAGCAGCAGCAGGAGAAGCCCAAAAAGGAAAACATCCTCGACTTGACCAAGTATATGGACAAGGAGGTGCGCGTGAAGTTCAACGGGGGCCGTGAGGGTATGTCTTCCTCTCTTCCCTCCCCTCTTCATCTGCTTTGTTTTTTTTTTTTTTTTTGTCTGCTCTGTCGATCATCTCTAACTCATCCCAGTCACCGGCCTCTTGAAAGGCTACGATCAGCTGATGAACCTGGTCCTGGACGACGTCAAGGAATCCATGCGAGGTATGTTCCCCTGACTCCCACCCTCTGTTCGACCAAACTAACCACCGCAGATGACGAGGGCAACGACAACACCCGTTCCCTCGGCCTGATCGTCGCCCGCGGTACTCTGATCGTGCTGATCTCGCCGGCCGATGGCAGCGAGGAAATTGCCAACCCGTTCGTGCAGCCGGAGGAGTAACCTGTCTCATCCCGTTTTCTCCGGGGAGTTGATTCGATTCGATCTGAATCAATCAATCAGTCAATCATGTCATGATGGTATCAGTATCAGGTCAAGGAGAAGATTCCCGATATGTGGATTGTCTGTTCACTGAGAGCTGCGATGCGATGCGATGCTATTTCTGTTTTTGTGTTTCCGTTTCCGTTTCGTGTTTCCTCGCTCGTCCTTTGATATGAGCGGGTAAACTAGCCATGCACGCTCTGGACAGATCTGAGACAGGAAGTGGACAGAGGTTGATGACTTTGATTACTGGCCTGATCGGACCGATCCTATCGTGACCCGAACTGAACAGCCTGGAACCCTGTATTAGCCAAGACCTTTCCAATTTTGAAATCAAAATAATGAATCATGAGTCATGATTTTTTTCTCTCCTGTCTGTATATTCTAAATGACTCTACGTACCGAGTACCGTGCACATACTGCGACTCATCCTGAATATAAGGCGAACTATATGAATAATAATCTGTAAATTGCATATTGTATCTTCATTGTATGTTGCATATCACATCATATCTCCACAGTCATCCGGCCGGAAACAAACAGAAAGATATAAGCAAAGTAGGACACATCCTCCCGCAAGATTGTATAAGCCGGAAACAATCCAACCCGGCAGCAATAGATACCCATACTCATACTCAAATTTCCGCCGACCAAGTTCCCAAGATAAGAAACCGACATATCCATTTTCCGAGATGTGTAAAAAAGAGAAAAATGAAAAGAAAAATATCCCCAGGCTTCAGAGAATCCTGAACGGGTAGACGATCATCGTGATCGTTTCATATCCATAGCCCCTTCTCGTGTATATAAGATGGTTCTCAGCAAGAGAAGAAGGGGGTTCAAAGGTTGATCGTCGAACTCGACGAATTTTCCATGACTGAAACAAATATATCATCTAGTGGAGCCTCCGAGCAGGTTTGAGGAGTGCCTGGAATGATGATTCCAACGCCTTTTTAAGCTCCTTGTAGCTGACAACAAAACAGCTCTGCTCGTCTCGACTCACTAACGTGACCTTCTCGTCGCTTCCTGCATCCAGCTTGTTCAGGCATGCAAGTACGTGGCCAATATCAACGACTGGATCGCCCTGGGCGTCCACCTGATGGAAAACGTAATCCCGGAAGATTTTGAGGAAGTATCGCTCGCCGTTCTCGGACCATTGCCGGTCATGCTCATACTCTGGGCGCTCATTCACGAGATTCAACTTGGTCATCAGTCGCACGAGGCGGCCGTTTTCGAGTTCCCGGCTCAGATCCGATGTTAGCTGATCATCCAGGTGGAGGGCCGAGTCAAACGTCGACATCAACTGTGAGGAGATGCCCGTGATGAACATGTCGATGGTACGCTCTTGATCCTTTTGGTGTCCATTCAATAGCCAAAACAGCGAGTTCTTAAGCTGAGGACTGTAGGCGCGAGTGAAGTGCTCCATGGATTTCGTGGGATTGTGCATAACTGCCGGCGAGTTGGCACCCAGGGTAAGGATGAGCTGCCCAAAGCCAACTAGGTCCTGGCGCTGAAGATCCGCAACGGTTCGTTGGCTGTCATATTGAACCACGTCAAGGATCGCACAGGCATTAAGGCGAAGGCGGTTTCTGCCGGTCAAGAGAATCTTGCTAGGATCAATTACCCTCGCAGCAAGTCCGTTACTATGAATAGCTTTGAGACCGTTGGCAATCTGGGTCATGTAGCCCCACAGCACCTGCTCAGGAATATGTGCATTATGTCGGCCTTGGAACCTGTTACCCGCACCCAGGTGTTGTTCCGCGAGTGTCTTAGAAAGTGGATGGTAGTCAGTGACGAATATCAACGAGCTGTCTTGGAAGCTTCTGCTGGTAAACGCGTCGTGGACGGTCACAACACTACCGTTGCAGACTCGTTTCCAAGCTTGAACGGAGCGGATGGCCTTTTCGTTTGTCAAGCGGAAGCCTGTGCTTTAGATCAGATACTGCGACCCCGGAGATAGACTAGATAGGCACCCACCTTCCAATCGTCGAAGAGCGTAGAAATTCCCATCTTTACTCGACTGCGCCTTGTAAACCCAGCTAGGAAAACCAAAGATTGCTGCATTTTTTTGGTGATTCAAATCTAGAGGGACCAGCGAATGGAAGTAATCAACCTGCGCGGGCAGTTGCGTATCTGTTTCTGGTTAGTTCCAAGTGATATTCCTAGCACACAATCGACATACTGGGCAAGGTCTGGAGAGCTGCTGCCGACTTCTTTTGCAGTTCTTCGCGAAAGTCATTCGGAAGAAAGAGATCATGAACATTTCGCTGGTAGCCTAACGTGTTTTGACTATGAGGACCGATAGGAGCGTACATATGATATTGGACCTTCGGAAACAGAATTAGCCTCAAAGTGAGGTCTACTTATCAAACAACTTACCGGTTGCTGGAAGCCCGACTGCCCGGTAAAAAAAGCGGCTCCGCCTAGAGCGGCGGCGGCGGCGGCAGTCTCATGCGAGAATGCGCCTGCCTGAACGGACCCAACGGCACTGGCAGCGGAAAGAGGATTCGGGGCCGTGACAAATGGATCAAAAGGACTCGATGAGGGTACTCCGCCATTGCCATTCCCTTGTAGAGAGGCCTGAAATCTCCCGTCAGTAATTGAACAGCCAAAGATTGGAAACATTTGGGGATTCCGAAGTTCTGCGAAGATAAGGAAACCCCCAAAAAGTTGACAGAATGAAATGCGGGGCAAGTGAACTGGTCGGCGGACTCAGATATGGTGTGGGAGCATTCCATAATCGTGAGCAAACGCAGCATGCGGGACCTTGCAGGACTCCCAATAGCAAACGTACAAGTATGCCGCCATTTCGTATGCATGACGGCAGAACGATGTACGTGGGACAGAAGTAGTTGTACAAACGGGCGGGCACGCAAAATCCAGGATCATAACCAGGCGCATCTTACCATGTGGGATGTGTCAAAGGTCTGAGGAATAAATTCCTGTGCTTCGGCTACAGACCAGTCCGGGGTCAGCGTTTCTTGTCGACCAGACGGCGTGCTCGTATTGGAACCTTCTTGCATCGTCAGCGAAATGGCGAAACACAGCCATGCGGGAGAATGTACTTCGAGGTTGGAAAGGAGCAGCGTTTGCAGCTTTGGGAGATATCGTGGCGGTCTTCTTCGCGGTTGCTGAAGACATTGTTGGGGAAGACCCGTTGGAGGATAAAAGGGAAGGTGTGAAGCTCGGGGAGTCGACGTTGAGTCGCTTTTTGTTGTTACTGTTGGTACTGCAAGTAAGTCACCGCCCACTCAAAATGCTCAAAGCTCATAATTTCATCCAACAAGCAGAAAGGGGAGAGGGTTGCGAACCTGTCCGATTGATATGCTGGATTGAACTTTTGTGGATCGTGGTTAAAAGCGCATCCTTCAAACACGTTAGATCTCGCCCATACTCTAAAACCGCACACAAAACTGGTATCTAATCCCCGCGGTACCTTTATCTTCATATCGACACCGGCCATAGATGGTCACGTTACGACAGAGAGTATCTTTCGCATTTTCTGAAAAGGCGCATGGAAAGTAATGTCAGCATACAGGCGCCCCGAATTCGATACAAACGCAATTCCAGACTTCAAAAGATGGAATGCATTGTCAGCGGCGACACGAACCTCGTGACTTGATTTTGGGTGATCCCGTCCCACGACGGGAGTCATCCAGCGGGGGCTTCCCAGTTGAAGCCATGACGATCTTCTATCCACAGAACGGCGCGGATCAGGGAAGAGGGATATCCATTGAAGGACGAGAAAGAGAGACCGGGCGACCGAATGTGTGTACAGAAAACCACATTCCTCTATTTCAATAGTCCGCACACTAATCCAAGAGGAACAAGATAAGTCCACGAGAAGCTGTGGAAAGATAATCGCTGCCACTCGGGTGAATTGGCGTGGGAGCGCAGGGGGAGGGGGCTCGCGATAATACAATAAGTTGCCGTCTCTCGCCGAGTCGACTCAAAGGGACAGAAACGAGAAAAAAGCCGGTAATCCAGTATCCGGAGACGAAGGTCTCAAAGACACCTTCATGCCACGGATGGAAGAAGGGAGGCCACAGCAGTGACAGCACAGGGCGGCATCAGGCAAAAGGTCCGCGGGGGAACTCGACCGGTCGGGCGGTACGTCGGCGCACGTGCCACCCAGGCAGCAGGCGCGCGGTTGGCGCTACGGTGCGATGACGGAGCTCCGGCGGAAGAGGCCAGCTCACGGAGGGTTCCTTCTGCATTGCTCCTTCAGTGTCCTGGTGTCTTCGTGATCTCACATCCCTCGATGGCCTGGAAATCCCCGTAACTCTCATCGATACTTCAGTCTTTGTTTGACCTACACCCTGGTCGCTCATCGGGCACCTCTGTTTCTAGCTTGGGCGTTTATGGATTGACAAAGCAGACGACTATGTCCTCCCCTGGGCTTGATATCTCCGAACTCTCGGACACCGAGAGGTCTGCTCTCGAAACCTACATCACCGTGACAGGTCAGGAGCCGTCCGAGGCCATTCCGCTGTTGCGTCGATGCCAGTGGAATGTTCAGGTATGATTGATGATGTCAACTCGGAGACAAACGTGACGGCAGAAAGCTAACGGAAATAATGTTATAGATTGCAATCTCGAAGTTCTTTGATGGCGAAGGGCCAGATCCCGTTGAGGAAGCCCGCGCAGCAGTCGACAACACCCCCCCTCCTCGACAGAATCGGCAGACGCAGAACCTCATGAGAGATGACCTCACCGCGCAGTTAACCCCGACCCCCCGAGCGGCCGACCCTGCTCCTCGGGTCGTGACACAACCGGAAGACCAGCCGGTCTATCGCCCGCCATTCCTACTGGCACTACTGTTTACTCCGTTTAATATTCTTTACCGGATACTTTGCAGCTCTTTCCGCTTGTTTGGAGCGTTGTTCCCCTTCCTGCCCCGCTTTTTCAACACGACTGCAAATCCCGCTCTACAGGGTGCCCGGCGAAACACTAATGGGCGTCGCACTCTGGGACCGAAAGACACGGCCGCTCGATTCATCCGGGAATTCGAGGAGGAATATGGCACGAACGCGCTTGGATTCCTGGAGAATGGATACAATATGTCTCTCGAGAAAGCCCACAAGGACCTCAAGTTCCTTCTGGTGGTCTTGCTTGCTCCTGAACATGACGACACCAATGGCTGGGTCCGCGATACGCTTCTTTCCCGGGAGGTAGTGGACTTTGTTAGCGACCCACAGAATGGTGTTCTCGTCTGGGGAGGCAATGTCCAGGACTCGGAAGCTTACCAGGTGTCCAACTCTCTGAAGTGCACCAAGTTTCCCTTTGCCGCTGCTATAGTGCACACCCCTAATGTGTCATCGACGGCGATGTCAGTGGTGACGAGAATCTCCGGAACTACCTCTCCGACGGAATTCGTGGACCAACTCCGGTCTGCGATCTCACAGCACAAAGAACCCCTTGAGCGGATTGGCGCTACCAGGGCAGAGCAACAGGCATCTCGCAGCCTCCGAGAACAACAGGACGAAGCCTACGAACGGTCTCTGGCTACTGATCGGGAACGAAAACGACAGCAACAAGAAGCGGAAGCTGCTCGCCAGCGGGAAGAACAAGAGGCCGCCGAGCGTGAAGTGGCCGAGCAGAAACGGATACACGATCTTGGGCAATGGAAGCGGTGGCGCGCACAGACCATCGCTGACGAGCCGGGCCCGGATGTCAAAGACGCAGTCCGCGTTAGCATTCGTCTAACTTCCGGGGAGCGAGTCATCCGCAAGTTTGGACCTGCCGAGGGAATTGAGGAGCTTTATGCTTTTGTGGAATGTTATGACGTTCTGCAATCGCAAGGTGAAAACAGTACGGATGTTGAAAAACCCAATGGTTTTGAACATGAGTACAAATTCCGATTGGTCTCGCCGATGCCTCGGGCCGTGTATGAGATCGATGCCGGGGGCACGATCCGCGACCAGATTGGTCGGGGAGGCAACCTCCTTGTCGAGCCGATTGACGAGGATAGTGACGAAGAGGATGAAGCCGAAGAAGAATCCTAGTTGTCTTGAATGAATGCATGTATTAATAAGTTTTGAGTCCATGACCACTGGAGAGTTCAACAATTTCCTAGGTACTACGTATGAGTTTGCGCCACCCACGGTTAACATCACGGAGTAGTGTATTATGACAGCAATAATGACATCCACTAGTATGATTATTTTGTGCCTTCTTCATAGTAACCCGAGGAACTACTAGTTTGGCATAGTCTGCAGACCAGGGGTGGCAAGTAGCCGCACCAGATCCAGACCGAAACTTTCACCAGGTAGATCTGTATCACCGTGATGCTTTATATAGCCTGATAGGTGCTTGGCACGCAGATTCAGAAAATGATGCATCGAGTGTTCGGCGTCGGTGAGTCGTCGTTCCAGCCGCGTTGTTCGACCTGCATGAAGCCACGAACCCAGGATACGCCCATCTCCTGCCGGAGTCGTGTTACCATCCCAAGCAGCGTAACCCCTGAAATACTCCATGCATCACCGTGACGTAACGAACCAGTATCGCGCAGAACATGTGGATGACTTCCGAGTCATAACTACAAATAGTGCCAGTTCCACGAGCCCGAAACACATCATCAGGATGATCGCACCACGACGCCAAAACAAAACAAAAACACACACGGTCAGGGAAACGCGTTTCAGGAACAAAAACAGGTCCCAGACTTGGGGAGAGAATGGGACTGTCCAGTGTCCAGTGTCCACTCTGGTCTCCTAACAACTACGGAGTAACAACGAACAAATCTTGGTTCTGCAGGCATTTGTGCGAGACTGAGACTATGCCGAACAAGATCCAGTTTTTCGCAAGCGCAAAACTCGGTATAGAGCCATCTAGCGCGATGCTGGGTGATTAAATTAGTAGATCGGCGCCGATCTTCCACTCGGTTGATGGTTCTTTTGAGTTTCTCGGGCTACTATTTGTAGCAGGGTTCTCCTCTGCGTGGAGATATGGGACTCGATTGGGTCATTGAAGAGAGCGATCGATTCAGCTGGATCTGGTCATCTGGATGATCATGATCATAACTCGAGCGTGAGTTTGGGTCGTTATGTTGGGGGGTTATGCACGAGGGGTTCGAGGGGTTCGTCGCTCGGGATGTCGTGCGGCATTGCCGAGAGGACGGAGGATTGATAGCCGTTTATACTTATCCCAGTGCACGTACATAATAATGCAAAACACAAAGTATAAGTAAGGGGGCTCGCAATCTTAAAATTGGATCGAGATGACAGAATTGCACCATTAGGCAGACGGCCGCGCAATCCAGAGACAGACGCAGTACAGTGTAGGTGGCTGTTATCATGGATGTTCTCCGGAAAGAGATATCTTGTTTATGTCTGGATCTCGGATCTCAGGCTCTCCGATACGGTACGGTAAAAGGGGCTGAGCACGAACAATCCACCGGATTCGGATCGTTGGCGAGCCGCCCCACCAGACGGCGTGCAGGTGCCATCCCGTCTGCCGCTAACCCTATCGGGCAGACGGGTATTTTCGCCACGTTCCCGTGCAATACGCTATACGGAGTACGGTACTACCGCGTACGTAGTATAGGTATTGTGTAGTCTTCTAGTATATGTGTTCACAGAACAAGCCTTTGTTGTCATCCCGTAGATGACTCGACCCAAATATAAGGAGGCTGACTCATGTCCATTGTCGATGAGACATCAGGAGTCATTTCACACAATTGGCGTATGGCGTTTGTTTGCATGGCCTAGATTTCGGGTTGGACTCCAGTAGGTGCATGCATGGAATTGACACCTGGACTGGCAGGCAGCCAACCTTACGTACGTACGATGCAATCAGGAGGGATGCCTACCGGATTGATCACTTGGATCACTTGGACAGTGGCGACGTTCCGTGCGGCTTGCATTTCCATCCAGGGCAATTGACCCTGTCGCCCAAGAGAAAACTCGGATGCTGAATTTTAACCCAATCGGCTTCCCGTAAAAAGTCCTCACCCTCCATCAGCAAATCCAGGAGACCGCGGAGTCCGAGAAGACCCCTGTCCGGAATACGTAGTCAAGTGTTGACTCTAGGTGAGTGATTGCTGACACCAAAGAAAAGTGTTCACAGACTCAGGGTCCACTATGACTGGTCAGCCTTAAAACGGAAAAAGCACAGCCGTCGGGAGTGGGAGTCTCAGGCATCCGCCCCCAGATATCGGGTTCTCGAGCAACCCAGGGCCAAGGAGCTTCGCTTAAGCCGTGTACCGTCGATACCAGGAGGACAGAGCTCGTACCTGTAATCATTACCACCGGAGAGAAAGAGGTCTACGATCCCGTTCTGGAGCCGATGGGTCCGGATCCTCGTCTTCCCTGATCCCGATTGGCCTCACTGCTGGACCCTCGTCGTCCATTCGTTCAACCTAAAAAAAACAAGGAGCCATTCGCGACCCCCGACTGGTTTTACTTGGCTTTTTTTCAGGTTGGATTTGATTTTTTTTCTCGGACCCACGAAAGATTACCGTCGCGGTACATACGGGGATAAGGTCGTCCTGGCTCCGGCCTTAATCCTTATTCTATCGCATCCTTCGAGCCTTTCGATCTTCCTGCATCTTACCTGTCACTCCTTAAACCCTTCTTCCTCAACCTACCTTAATTCTCTCTTTACATATATTAATTCCTTTTCCCCCGCCTGTCACCTTCTATGGTTTTGGTTTTCCGTTCGTTACATCTTGTTATTAATTCGAGACTAGACGTCTCTGGACATCTTTAATCATGTCTCTCCTGGGGACAATAAACCCTAATCTTAATCCTGCACGCACGGTAGGAGCCCAGGGCTCCCAAGATCCCGAGAACGAGGTGGAAGCCGCTGCCCGCGAGACCGTCCACCACACCGAAGACTATGAAGAATCCTACGAGATGCAAGACGCCGGCGAAGGCTCCAGCAAGGACGACATCAAGATGAAGGGTCGGGATCGCAGCAGCAGCTTGAGTTCCGCCGAAACGGCCCTCGAGAAGGCTCCCGACGGCACCGACGACGAAATCCGCGAGGAGGAGATCCATCGTCTGGCGCGGCGCCTGACTCGCAACTCGACCCGATTCTCCACGACCGGTCTGGAGAACCCGTTCATCGAGTCCAAGGAGGACTCGACGCTGAACCCGCACGGCCCCAACTTCAAGTCGAAGCACTGGATGAAGAACCTGCTTGCTTTGTCTTCTCGCGACCCGGCCCACCGCAAGCGCGAGGCTGGCATCGCTTTCCGAAACCTCAGCGTTCACGGTTACGGTAGCCCCACGGACTACCAGAAGGATGTCTTCAACGCGGTCTTCCAGGTCGCTGCTCTTGCTCGTGCAATCGCTGGCTCGGGAAAGCAGAAGATTCAAATTCTTCAAGACTTCGCCGGTGTTGTTAAGAGTGGCGAGATGCTGGTCGTTCTTGGTCGGCCTGGAAGGTATGGATTATTTCTCTATTTTGCGTCTGACAGTTCTAAGTGCTAACGAACGCCCAGTGGTTGTTCCACCTTCCTGAAGACCCTGGCCGGTGAAATGAACGGTATCCACATGGACGCCAACGCTGAGATAAACTACCAGGGTATCCCAGCCAAGCAAATGCGGAAGCAGTTCAAGGGTGAAGCCATCTATACCGCAGAGACCGATGTGCATTTCCCTCAACTGTCTGTTGGCGACACCCTGAAGTTTGCCGCCCTCGCTCGGTGCCCCCGAAACCGCATCCAGGGCGTCTCCAAGGAGCAGTATGCCCTGCACATGCGAGACGCCGTCATGGCCATGCTTGGTCTGTCGCATACGATCAACACCAAGGTCGGTAACGATTTCGTCCGAGGTGTCTCCGGTGGTGAGCGCAAGCGTGTCAGTATCGCCGAGGCCACCCTCAGTGGCAGTCCGCTCCAGTGCTGGGACAACAGTACTCGTGGATTGGATAGTGCAAACGCCCTGGAGTTCTGCAAGACCTTGAACCTTATGACGAAATATGCCGGTGCGACGGTCGCCGTGGCCATCTACCAGGCGTCCCAGAGCGCGTACGATGTCTTCGACAAGGTCACGGTCTTGTACGAAGGCCGACAGATCTACTTTGGCCGCACCGACGAGGCCAAGGACTTTTTCGTCAACATGGGATTCGAATGCCCCGACCGTCAGACCACCGCCGATTTCTTGACTTCCCTTACCAGCCCGTCGGAGCGTGTTGTCCGCAAAGGATATGATGGCAAGGTCCCCCGCACGCCTGACGAGTTCGCTGCCGCCTGGAAGAACAGTGCTGCGTACCAGAAGTTGATGCAAAAGATCGATGAGTACAACCAGGAATTCCCCGTTGGTGGTGAGTCGTTGGATCAATTTATCGAGTCCCGCAAGGCTATGCAGGCAAAGAACCAGTGAGTGCTCAGTCCCGATCAACCGCGGATCAACCGCAATTGAACTAACATTTCCTAGGCGTGTCGGTTCTCCTTACACCGTCTCTCTTTGGGAACAGGTGAAGCTTTGCATGGTCCGAGGTTTCCAGCGTCTCCAAGGTGACGCTAGTCTGACAATGTCCCAACTGATTGGTAACTTCATCATGGCCTTGATCATCGGAAGTGTCTTCTTCCGAATGGAGGACGATACTTCTAGCTTTTATTCCCGTGGAGCTTTGCTCTTCTTCGCCGTTTTGCTTAATGCCTTTTCTAGTGCGCTGGAGGTATGTATTCGGCCATTGCTTCTCAACGTGCAATTGATGTGCATGAAACTGACCATCCCCTTAGATCTTGACTTTGTACGCCCAACGTCCCATTGTCGAGAAACAGTCCCGTTACGCCATGTACCACCCCTTCGCCGAAGCTATTGCCTCGATGTTATGTGATATGCCCTACAAAATTCTTAATACGATCATCTTCAACATCACGCTCTATTTCATGACTGGTCTACGCCAGGAGGCGGGCGCTTTCTTCACGTTCCTGCTCTTCTCCTTCGTCACCACCTTGACCATGTCCATGCTGTTCCGTACGATCGCCTCTTCGTCTCGCAGTCTGTCTCAGGCTTTGGTGCCTGCCGCCATCCTTATTCTCGGTCTGGTCATCTACACCGGTTTCACCATCCCCACGAGAAACATGCTCGGGTGGTCCCGCTGGATGAATTACATCAACCCGATCGCTTATGGTTTCGAAAGTTTGATGGTCAACGAATTCCACGGCCGGACTTTCGATTGTGGCCAAACGGATTTCGTCCCGCGTGGTGATGGTTATACCAACGCGGCGTACCAAGTTTGCTCCCAGGTTGGATCAGTTGCTGGTGTGACTACGGTCGATGGAACCACGTATCTTGGCCAGAGCTTCCAGTACTTCCGCAGCCACAAGTGGAGGAACCTGGGTATTATGATCGCGTTCATGATCTTTTTCATGATTACTCACCTTGCCACCACCGAGTACATCTCCGAGGCCAAGTCCAAGGGTGAAGTCCTGCTCTTCCGTCGTGGCCAGGCTCCTCGCAACCCCGAAGATGTCGAGACCAGCACTGGCGTCGGCGCTTCGCAGAAGACGGACGAATCTGGCCAGCGTGAGACCGCGGCTATTCAGCGACAGGAGGCTATTTTCCACTGGCAAGACGTGTGTTATGATATTAAGATCAAGAACGAGCCCCGACGTATCCTTGACCACGTTGATGGCTGGGTGAAGCCTGGAACTTGCACTGCTCTTATGGTGAGTCTTTCGACCTATGTTTTTGGCTGGTCTCGCTCAATACTAACGACATCAGGGTGTTTCCGGTGCCGGTAAAACTACGCTTCTGGACGTTCTCGCCACGCGTGTCACGATGGGTGTCGTGTCCGGTGACATGTTGGTTGACGGTCGCCCTCGGGACCAGTCTTTCCAGCGGAAAACAGGTTACGTGCAACAACAGGATCTTCATCTTCATACCACCACCGTGCGAGAGGCGCTGCGCTTCAGTGCTATCCTGCGCCAGCCCGCCCACGTCAGTCGTCAGGAAAAGCTCGACTATGTCGAGGAAGTCATCAAGTTGCTTGGCATGGAAACGTACGCCGACGCTGTTGTCGGTGTTCCTGGTGAAGGTATTTTCGCTCTCAGCAGTTTATAATTTGACTTGCATTCTAACATGATATAGGTCTGAACGTTGAACAACGCAAGCGTCTTACCATCGGTGTCGAATTGGCCGCCAAACCCCAGCTCCTTCTGTTCCTCGACGAGCCCACCTCCGGTCTTGACAGTCAAACTTCCTGGTCTATTCTTGATCTCATCGATACCTTGACTCAGCATGGACAGGCCATTCTCTGCACTATTCACCAGCCCTCCGCCATGCTCTTCCAGCGTTTCGATCGCCTTCTGTTCCTCGCCCGGGGTGGAAAGACCGTGTACTTCGGTGATATCGGTGACAGGTCTTCTACGCTCTCCAGCTATTTCGAGAGGAACGGTGCCCCGAAGCTGCCCGCCGATGCCAACCCCGCCGAATGGATGCTCGAAGTCATTGGTGCTGCGCCTGGATCTCACAGCGACATCGATTGGCCGGCCGTCTGGCGTGAGAGTCCCGAGCGCAAGGGTGTTCTGAACCACCTCGCCGAGCTGAAGTCTTCCCTCTCCCAGAAATCGGCCGAGCCCACCAAGACGGACGCAGGCAGTTACAACGAGTTCGCCGCCCCCTTCTCGGTTCAGCTGTACGAGTGCTTGGTCCGTGTGTTCTCCCAGTACTGGCGAACTCCCGTCTACCTCTACTCGAAAGCCACGCTCTGTGCCCTTACCGCTCTGTACATCGGATTCTCCTTCTTCCACGCCCAGAACACCAAGCAGGGTCTCCAGAACCAGATGTTCAGTATCTTCATGTTGCTGACCATCTTCGGTAACCTGGTGCAACAAATCATGCCTAACTTCTGTACCCAACGTGCCTTGTACGAAGCTCGTGAGCGACCTTCGAAGACCTACTCCTGGAAGGCATTCATGACCGCCAACATCATCGTGGAGCTTCCGTGGAACGCATTGATGAGTGTCATCATTTTCGTCTGCTGGTACTACCCCATCGGTCTCTACCGCAACGCCGAACCCACCGATGCCGTCCACGAGCGTGGCGCCCTGATGTGGCTGCTCATCCTGTCCTTCCTCCTGTTCACCTCGACATTCGCACACATGATAATCGCCGGTATCGAACTCGCCGAAACAGGTGGTAACCTAGCCAACCTGTTCTTCTCCCTCTGCCTGATCTTCTGCGGTGTTCTCGCCACCCCCGAAACCCTCCCCGGCTTCTGGATCTTCATGTACCGCGTGTCCCCCTTCACCTATCTCGTGTCCGGGATGCTCTCGACCGGAGTCTCCGGCACGGATGCCATCTGCGAGAGCGTCGAATTCCTCAAGTTCACGCCCCCGCCCGACACCACCTGCCAGGACTACATGAGTCCCTACATCAAGCTCTTCGGTGGATACCTCGACAACCCCCAGTCCACCAGCGACTGCTCGTTCTGCGCCATCAGTAAAACCGACACCTTCTTGGCCGGCGTGCACAGTGACTTCAACGAGGCCTGGCGCAACTTCGGCCTCATGTGGGTCTACATCGTGTTTAACATCTTTGGTGCTGTGTTCATTTACTGGCTTGCTCGGGTCCCGAAGGTCAAGAAGACCAAGAAGGATTAAATCATTGTTATATTATGATTTTGTGAAGGTTTATTTCTTTTGATTTAGATTGTGGATAGATTTTTTTTGGATCGCCTTCACTTACCCTTGCATGTTTATAAAGTGCCTAGAACATACTTTTTTTTCTTCCACTTTTGGTCTTTCTTTCGTCACTCTCTTTAAGTTCGTTTACCGATTGTTAGACTGCTCGATTTGATTCTTTCTTGTCTTGTCAATTTGGTTGCATCTATGTCAGCGTACATCATCCATTGGCATTGGCATTGGCATTGACAAAAATTGGGCTTGGTCCCTACCCCACGCATTGCATTACATTCTTGTCTTTCTTTTACTCTTTTTGATTGAACACTCTTCTCTTTGATTTGCTTCTGAGCTACCTGTCATTTATATATACAAAAACACATACATACAATATACATTGTACATTCAATTAGCTAGATCGGACATTTCCAACCTTAAATCATACTTGTTTGTTTTCTAACAATCCCATATCTGTATCAACACCGACTCACCTCGATCATAATTTCTTTTCCCAAAGGACGGAGTAGAAAGAAAAAAGGGAGGTCTGGTCTCCCTCTGTCTCATGCCCTCTGTACTCAATTAAACCAGATTAGATTAGATTAGAACGGAACAAGATAGAACGTGCTCTATGCGCTCTCGTCAGAACTAAACAACTAACTAGTCATCTAGACCTAGGTAGGTAGAATATAGCGACCTTGACCCCATCCCTAGCCGCTACCGACATTAGGAGTTAGAACTCGATATGTAAACGGTAGACATGCTATGTTTTGAGAAGAAAAGGAAAGGAAAGAAATACGAAGGCAAATACGAGCGCCAAGATGGCAATAACCACCTACCTACCTATCTACTCCGGACGGGGTAATAAGTTTATGTTGTGTTGGTTTTGGTTCTATTATATTCTCTGCTTCTATAATACTACAGCGTCGTAAGACTCAGAAATCGGCTAAATTACGCAACGAATATACGGTGTAGAATGAAGGATCTAATTAGGATATCAGCTAGGCAGGAAATAACAAAAGTACACACACAATATTCCATTCCCCTATCTCATTTCTCCCTCCCTCCGTTAATAAACCAAGAGCATGTGAACAGAGTTTTTCTTTGTCCTTCCTCCCTAGTCCTTCAGAAAGGATAAGCTGAGAAGAGAACTAGCGATACTAGTCATAGGGCCGAGAAGCAACGGTTAATTAAAGTATATTAACTCGGAAATTAGCGACAGCCGACAAACACCCGCTCCGCAGGATTTCTATTTTCATTCATCCCATGTCTAATTTCTACGCTGTCATACGATATGGAGATTAATTGAACTGGAGAATAGAATGCAGACTCGAGACTGGAGAGCCAAGAAGATCGAAAAAAATAGTGGATTAATATGAATAGCAGGCAAAAGAAAAATTTCTATTTTGGTCTAGAAAACTCTAATCACCTATGCTCGGCGTCCTCCGCTTTTGATTCCAGTGGAAGAAATTAATTCAGATCAAGGTCGAAAAGACATGATCTAGTTGGCGTACTCGAGCAGGCTCTTGAAGAGGCTGGCCACGAAGGTGAGCTGCTCCTCGGCGGAACCGTCCTTGGGGATGCCGGTGACGGAGGAGTCGGAGGCAGCAGCGGTGGTGGAGGCAGCGGGGGCAGCCTCGGTGGTGGCGGCCTGCTTGGCGCTGGTGGCCAGGGTGGTAGGGGCAGCGCTGGAGACGACCTGGTTGCCGGTGCTGGGGGTGGTGGTGATGGCAACGGGGGCGGTGGTGGAGGCAGCGCCGGAGGCAGCAGAGCTGGAGGAGCCGGAGCCGGAGGAGCCAGAGCCGGAGCCGGAGCCGCCGAGAGTGAAGTCAACGCAGGACTCGTAGGTCTGGTCGATGGACTCGGCGAACCAGTACCACTGGAGCACACAGGCGCCGGCCTCGGTACACTTGTCACCGAGGTCATCGGGCATAGTGATGCTGAAGCTGGTCTCGGTGTCCTTGACACCGGTGGAGGTGGAGGCGTACTCGTCCCAGGACTTCAGGGGGCTGCCGATGACGGAGTGGGAGGAAGTGTCGACGACGGAGACGTTGGCAACACCGGTGTGAGGGGCGCGGATGTCGACCTCGAAGTCGATCTTCTGGCCGGCCTTGTAGGAGTAGATGTTGTCCTTGTTGTCGGCGAACTTGTAACCCTTGCAGAGCCAGATGTCACACTTGGCGTCATCGTAGTCGTCCTGGCCGCTGGCGACCTGGAGCTCACCCTGGATGTTGCCGTAGTTGTCGGCCTCCTGGTTGGTCTTGACCTGCTGACCGCAAGCAGACTCCATGGCAGAGCCGGGCATACGGGGCTTAGGGCTGGTGACGAAACCGTGGCCGTGGGCCATGGAGACGAGGCCGGCAAGGGCCATGATAGATCCGGTGGTCTTCATTTTGGTTGGTGAAAAGTGGTTTGGACTGAGAAAGTTCCGAAGAGAATGTGGGTTTGACAGAGAAAGACAAGGTATACCAGTATACCGGAAGTCAAGATAAAGAATGAATGAAAGGTGAAAGAATGAGATTGGTCACGGACCAAAGTTCAAGAGAATGTGGAATGAAAGAAGACAAGGCAAGCCTGCGTGCTAAGAAGAAAGAGAAGAAAAAAAAGAGTCAAGACGGGCGTTCTCTCTGCATGCCTATATAGCAAGTTCCCATCCGTGAGATGACGGCTGACTAGGGTAGCTCCATCGGAAGGAGGATCGTGAAACACTACTCTAGTCCTGACCAGGGACCAAGTTTCCCTGATTCAGTCCCGGGTCAACTCCACCGAAATAACGGCGGTATAACTGATGTCGGTCAAGGCGTCTGGAAAGATGGAGACTGACAGTTCACTAATCCGCCAAGCAGCGTCGGCGAGAAGCCGACCGACCTGCCAAGCGTCAGCGCCTGTGACGGGCACGGCGCGTGTAGTTTCAACTTAATTGGAGTGAAACAAAAGTGGAGGATCAAAGAGGAGCTTAGAAGCAGGTCCGGGATGCTTGGCACTCTTAGGGTTTCAGCTTCATTAACCCGGCGCCTGGTTTAGCCCCAGGTGAAACCATGCGCGGTTCCTGGCTTAATTACCCTCGTCCGCTGGCAGTTCTGTGATTGATCATGTCTGGTTCATCCGTTAATATAAATCGCATATGGATAGGATGATTTCTCCCCCCTTTCCCAATTTCGCCCCACCCACTACAGCACCAGCGCGGTCCTGGAGTCTCCTGTGTTTAATGACCGTTGTGATCGGTCGCATTTCCTGGGAAAAGATCAGCCATCTCCCAATAGTCTCTGCATGGGCTCGGCCTTACGGAGGAGGCACTGGACTCCACTCAAGCCCTCAATAGTTGCTTGAAATCTTTCCGAACGGGCCTTATTTGATCGTCCCACCCGCCGGCGAAGTACTTCTGTCCCGTCCACGGCGTCTACCAGACCTACTCCGGAGCATACATGCAACAAGGAAAAAAAAGTGCATAATCCAATCAGAGAATGTAAATGAGTATTGATCCGCAAAGAGGTATCATAGGAGTCAAAATAAACCGGTGGGTACTCGGTACAGCTATACAAAATCATGGCGGAAAGCATTCAATCGTCATGTCGCCCAATGACAGTAGAGGGATAACAAATATAAAAAGAATCAAGAAAAAAATAGAACACAATATGAACGGGGAAATAATGCCAAGAAGCGTGCTCAAAGCAGTCAAGTTCGTTGGATAGGCCGTTGCTGGGGGTCGCTCCACCAGTCGTTTGACGGCCCATCCATCCGTGAAGTTTCTGCATGGGTCGGTGCGTTCACAGGATGAGGCGAACTGAAGTTATCCGCAAAGGGGTTCTGGACTTGGAAATCCTCGGACCGATACTCATGCTGTCCAGCGCCATTGCTTGCCGACGGTGGATATCCTGCTGCAGGGGTCATCATCGGCGCTGCAGGTGGTGGCACCGGTGCCGCGGAGGGTCCAGGAGGACTCTGCGCTTGCCATTGTGATACAGGGGGTGGTGGAGGGACCGGCCGCAATGCCCCCGACGCCGATGCATCGTCCGACGAGGAAGGCGACTGGCTCCCGCCTTGGCCCAGGGTCTTGCGAGCCTTGAGAATGGCATGCTGATGCTTCGACAGAGCCACCGACAATTCATCATTCGCTTCGATCAACGTCATCAGCGTATCCTCGTCAGGCGTTGGGTTGGTCGAATGAATGTAGTTCTCCATGGCGCGGGATGCCACCCGGCACCGATCGGAAAACTCCTTGATAAGCTCATTCTCCAGAATCTCCGCGGGCGGAGTCGACTGCACAAACTGGATAAGGAGCTTCGCCGACGTCTTGGCTTCGGAAACACGTGCGGCCAACTCATCCGGGGGTGGGAGCGATGAATTATTCTGTCGAACATTAAAGTAATTCGATCGGGAACCCTGTGGTTGGGGCGAAGGCTGAGACCGCCAAGTGCTCTGTATTCGGAAGAGAAACGTTAGCGCTGTGCTTCAAGAGACCACGGTGCTACCTTAATCGCCCGATGCGGTTCACATACACCACTGTTGCTTCTCGTGAGTTTCGTCTTTTCCTTCCTCCACATCTGTAGAAGCAGTGTCAAGTCCTCATCCCATTGTCGCTGCGTATCAAACGTGTCCAGAGTGTCCCGCAGGAAGTGTTGCACATTGGGGTCCCTCCCCTGTCGCAGGAGATCCTTCACGGTTGCGACAAATTTGGCATCGATGTTGCGCGTGAACGTGTGACCGGGGTTATCGATGAGGATGCGAATCAGCATGATCGCATTGTACTGCGCATTGGCCGGCGGCGTGGCGGCCGTGTCCGAGAGCAATTTGCGAATGCGATGGGCGGCTTCCCGGGCGGCATTGGGACTGGACTCGGCGCTTTCGACGATACCCGGCAGATGAACGAATTCATTACTTTGCTGTTGATATCACAATTCGTAAGCCTCCTGTCTGGCATTGGCAAGGGGAATCGCAGTTCCTCCATGGTGAGGGTAGATACGTACGGAATTGCCGGGGCCAGCACCCGCTTCGCAAAAGGCATTCTATCAACCACCACAGATGTTAGCGGAAATTTGTCCGGGAAATAAATTCTTCATCTTCTCGCAATATGACACATACCACTTCTCTTAAGATGACACCCTCCGGAGAGTCATCGGGATACGATGCGGGGCTGTCCAGCGAGGACGCTGTGTCTGACGATGAGTAACCGCCGGAATGATCGATTGATTAGATGTCGCAAAGACAAGGAAGACCTACTGGACCGCTTGCTGAGTGAACCAAATATGCGTTTCATTATGCCGAGCGACAATCAGGAAAAAAGAAAGCAAAGCAAGACAAAGACCGATTCCGACGAGCGAGAAGAAGAAAGAAAGCGCAGACTGAGGAGGTTAAGGGCGATAAACACGCTTAGGTAAGGAGTTCTCACCCCAAAGGTCCAGGCAGAAAGAAGTTCCAGGCGGCGATCTCCAAGTCAACGAAAGTGGCAAAGACGGCGACACGCAAGCCCTTTTTCTATCCTTAGGTCTTTTCGGACTCCCCCATCCACGGCGCCTAATTTGTCAGGAATGGTGATGCCTGGGAGTTTGCTCGGCGATCCGGTCAAAGGGTGCAGGCAGCCGTTGGCACATGGCATACGTATGTATGCTTGAGTTTAAAGATCTTACACCGTCATCGGTCTTCTTCAGTACTGGCTACTCTATCTCCGAGTCAGTCGATTCGTGGATTTCCATCTACCTCCGAAAGCAACGAGGCCTCGACCTCTGCCCGGTCTCGTGGCCACTGTTACATGGTAGCACAGCCACCCTTGGCCTTACAGACTTCGGAGGCATCAGCCATAGATCGTCCTGTTGGTTGGAGATATGCAGCTGGCTGACAAGGGTGGATATAAACCCGACGAGTGGTTTACTCTTCTGTAGGGCTACCTGTAAGCAGATCCATGGGGATTCGATTACTGTGCGCATGCATCCAACTAGGACTACGATAAGGCTGAGGACCGAGTGATGCAATTCCTTGGCCACGATAATCCAGCACAACAGTCAAGTCGTAGATATGATTCCGTAACCCATTCATGAAAAAAAGACGCTCAATAGTATTTCGAAGTATATGAGAAGATGTCCGGATCAAGCTGTACCTCGGTAATGACATTCGTTCGTCGTCAAGAGCCGTGTGCAAATCGCCAGGCTCGTCGAGTCCAGAGGCAAAACCAGAGGGAGACCGGAACAAGAGTCAAGACGCAAGGAACACGTTCATAACAAAACAGTTACGAGCCCGAGAATCATCATCGGTGCCCGCGATATTCGAATTTTTTGGCAAAAATTTAATTTTTGTATTCCTTCCGTGACCAGGTATTTGTTCCGTACAACAGAAAACTCCGGCTTTCCCATTCATTTTCCGACTACTTTACTACTTTCCCCCCGACACCCACAAACCGCTTATGCCTGGATGGCACGGCGGATCTCAGCACCGCGCTGGCGAGAGCTGAGGCGAGCCTCCTCGCGCTTGACAACGTGAGGGCCCTTCTGGACGAACTCCTCACCCTCGGTAAGGATCAGCTCGATGTGGCAAGGGTTGGTCATGTAGGGGTTGATCTAGAGTCCGAGTCAGCGTTTCGATTCGAGCAGGTTTTGCCGGGAAAAGTTTCCACATACACGACCGTGAGCACGGTAGGTACGTCTGCGGCCCTTGGGAGCCTGGTTGACCTGGATGTGCTTGACGATGAGGTTGCCGGTGTCGAGACCCTTGGTGTCGGCGTTGGCCTCAGCGTTCTTGAGGAGGTCGAGCAGGAACTCGGCGGACTTGACGGGCCAGCGGGCCTTGGAGACACCCCACTGCTTGCCTGTAGGATGGAAAAAGTTGTCAGCCGTTTGGTCCCTTCTTTACATCTGGTTGATGCATCTGGTTGATCCACGAAAATCTCTCCCATGTCCATTTCTCTGAATGATGTCGGTTCGATTTCCATCCATCGGCCACCTCTTTCTTTCCACCATCCAGACATTCCTCATTTCGTGATCCTCAATCCAGACACATCCACCGCAATTCATAGGGTTTATCACTCACCCTGGGCGCAGCGACCGGTGCTGCCAGCGTACCTCCGCATGGGGACGGCCTCAGCCTTGTTGGTGACGTTGCCGAGGAAAGTGAGAGCGCGCTGCAGCTTCATGCCGTTGATGGCCTGGGCGGTCTCGCGGGTGTTCTTGAAGCTGACACGCAGGTAAGAGCCCCGGGCGCGGGCGCTCTTAGCGGCCGGAATCTCCTGAGCAGCGTAACGGACCTGAAAAACGCAAGAAAATCCCGAATCAGCAAAACGTGTCCCTTTATATCCTCCATGCTAACGCAATTGACGGTCTCTTGTGGTGGTGCTCATGGTGGGTTTGGGTTGCCAGGGCCGAAAATTTTCTTTTCTGTCTCTCGCGGGATAACGACATCGCCCATATTGGGATGGGCAGGATCGAACGAGGATCGGGATCACAACGGGGGGGTTTTTCAAGGCAATAAAAGGCTCTCCATGGGGCGATCTTGTCCTCGCCGAAATCAGCAGCGAAAATAGCACTCACCATCTTGATGTGGTTGCCGGGCGGGGTGGTCCTCGATGTCGGGTGAGAAGTTTTGTCGCTTTTCTTTCGGCGGCCACTGGAACTTGAGATCGCGAGGCTCGTCTCGTTGTGGTGCGCTTTTTCACTCTTGGCATTTCCGGCCCTAAGCGAGCCCTAACGCTAGTCCGGTACTGGCTCACCGCCCGGCAGTTCGTGCCAAGTCTTCATCCGTTGACTTGTCTCTTGTCCTTGTCTACTCCGTAAGTTGCCTTAGTTGTCTAAGTTGCTTGACGATGTTGAAGATGTTGAAGACCCGATCCAGGTTACATATTATGATTCTGAATAATTTCATTCCTCTATCCAATTCTATCCACCGCCTACGCCTTCTGCTCCGGTACTAACGTGATCATTTCGCCCTTCTCGACCGCCGACCGCAAGTTGTTCAGCACCAACAGCTCCATGTCCTTCTGCGTCTCATAAGTCATGGTCCCGATATGCGGCAGCAGCATCACCCGGGGGTTATTGACCAGCCCCTGCTCCACCACCGGCTCATTCTCATACACGTCCAGTCCAGCCGACAAGACCTACGTAGTTCACACCCATCAGCCACGGTCGCAGAGGGAATCCAGTGCATGCTTACCTTGCCCGACTCCAGAGCCGTCACCAACGCCTTCTCATCGATCAGCGCGCCCCGGGCCGTGTTGACCAGCACCACCCCGTCCTTCATCTTCTCAAACTCCTTCGTGCCGATGATATGCCGGGTGTTTGCGTTCAGGGCCAGGTTCAGACTCAGGACGTCCGAGGTGGCCAGCAGCTCGTCGAACGACACGTACGTAGCGTCGCCTTCGAGTTCGGGCGCCAGTCGCGACCGGTTGTGGTAGTGGATCTTCATGCCGAAGGCTTTGGCGCGGTTGGCCATTTCCTGGTCGAGTCAGCGGGTTTTTCCTTGTAGATATAGATTCGTGTCAGCGGGATAGCGTACTCGGCCAATTCCTCCCATTCCCAGGATTCCCAGCACCTTGCCCTGGGGGTCGCGGCCTAGAGTCGTCTGTCCTTGCCATTGGCCTGTTGCTTGTTAGGCTTCGAGATACAGTAGGTGAATGTAAATAGTACTAACCTGCTCGCAGAGCAGCCAACGGCACGTAGGCCTGTCGCAACGCGCCAATCATCAGGAAAATGCCCACATCGGCCGTCGCATGGTTGACTGCGACGGGCGTGCTAGACACAAGAATGCCTAGGACAATCAGTAAGATGCTGGCTTCATATTGCCGTCGTAAGGGAGCAAACCAACCTCGTTGCGTACACCCGGGGATATCAATATTATCGTACCCGGCGCCATTGTGGCAGATATATTTCAGAGACTTGGGCAGCACGGAGAGCAGCTCTGCGTCGAACGGACCGGTGAACTATGTTGGGGACAATTAGCCATGATGATATTTATTTTACTTTGTTCTATATATTATTGCGGGGTTCTCCTACCTTGGTCGATGCATTGGACCGATAAATCACCTGGACATCATCATACTGCCCGTCTTGACAATTGCGGACGAAATCCTCTCGGGTCCCCGAGGGAAATTCCTACACCTGATTAGACAACCATCCCTAAAAAACATCCCCTGTAAATCAAGCGCACTCACCTTCAGCGTCAAAAGCGACGACAGGTCCTCCCACTCCTTGCGGGCATGGGTGATGGCACCGATCAGCAATGCGGAGGGCATGATGTCAGAGACGCGGGGTATAGGAATAGAGAATACGGAGTCGAGGGGAGAAAAGAGGATGGAGGGGAAGTCGGAAAGAGGGAAAAGAATTGAACGGAGCAGGAAATGGAAATGGCAAAGGAGAAATGTCCGATTAGGCCATTTAAGATGGTTCGCTGGAAAGTGGAAAAGTGGTCGCGATGTCTGGCGTGGGGGGAGTCGGCGATTCTTCCGAGGCTGCACGTATTGATGTGATTGCGGTATTGCGCTGGATACGTGTTTTTGGGATGGGATTCCTGGGATTGACCATGCTAGATGTACTATTTACTCTAGAGTACAGCTATACAATACTATCATATTACATTATATCAAATTATGGCATTCTAATTGAGGTACCCGCCAGAAACATATCCTGACCGTGATACTATACAGTCTGAACCCCACGATGTCGGCTATTGAAGTCAAAGGCCGACGCAACCCCACGCTGTTTTCCGATGGATCCATCCACTTCTCGTTTCTACTGCGATAATGATAAATGATATTTATTCCGCCAATTTATATCTGCCTCCGCCGATGACGTCTCATTAGCTCTTCTCCCTTCTCCCTTCTCCCCTCCCCCTCTACCAATCCATCTCCCTATCTCACAATTCACAATGACATCTACTACCTGTGAGGCCCTAGTCCTCCACGGCGCCAAAGACCTCCGCCTGGTAAACAAACCCATCCCCTCCCTCTCTCCAGGACAACTTCACTAACCCCCTCAGGGATCCAAACCCGTCGCCCAACCCGCCCCCTCAGAAGTCCAAGTCGCCATCCGCGCCACCGGCCTCTGCGGCTCCGACCTGCACTACTACAACCACGGCCGCAATGGCGACTTCGTCGTGCGCGAACCCATGTGCCTGGGCCACGAATCCTCCGGCATCGTAACAGCCGTCGCCCCGGACGTAACCAGCCTGAAAGTCGGCGACCGCGTCGCCCTCGAAGTCGGGCTGCCCTGTCGCAAATGCCTGCTCTGCCAACAAGGCCGCTACAACATCTGCGCAGACATGAAGTTCCGCTCGTCGGCCAAGATCTTCCCCCACCTCGACGGCACCCTCATGGAACTCACCACCCACCCGGCCTCCATGTGCCACAAGCTACCAGACAACGTGTCCTTCACCGGCGGCGCCCTCGCCGAGCCCCTCGCCGTCTGTCTGCACGCCATCCGGCGCTCAAGACCGCCTAGCGCCGCGGACGTCAAGCTCGCCCAGGAACTAGGCGACGCGTCGGGGTCGTCGGCGCTCATCTTCGGCGCCGGCGCTGTCGGCCTCCTCCTTGCCGCTGCGCTCGCCGTGTCGGGCCCCTTCACGACCATCGCGATCGCCGACATCGACGCCTCGCGGCTCGCGATCGCCGACTCCCTGAACCTGGGTCTGCGCACCACTCTCATCCCCAAGCCATCCACGCCGCCTCCCGCGCGCGACGCCCCCGCCGCCGAACAAGCGTCCTATGCGCTGTCCAACGCACAGAGCCTCGCCGCGGCGCTGAAGACCGAGCACGGCGTCGGGGCGGGGTTTGCGCGCGTCTACGACTGCACGGGGGTTCCGGCGTGCGTGCAGGCTGGGATCTACGCCGCCGCGCCGGGGTCGGTGCTGGTGCAGATCGGGATGGGGAACCCCGTGCAGACGGTCCCTGTGGGGGCGGCGGCGCTGCGCGAGGTCGATATCATTGGCGTGTTTCGGTACGATGGGTATGCTTATCCGGCGGCGATTGAGCTGATGGCGAGTGGGCGGTTTGATGTCGTTGAGGAGAAGGTGGTCACGCATCGGTTGGGGCTGAAGGAGGGGGAGAGGGCGTTTGGGTTGGCGGGGAAGGGGGTCGATGAGGAGGGGAGGCCGGTGGTGAAGGTTGTTATTGAGAGTTAGATGGGTATGGAATGAGTGTGTGTATGTGTCTGGGATTGGGATTGGGTGGATGGTGTATAGTAGAGGGACTCGGATGAGTGCATCCTGGCGATGTTCACGAGATTAACTTACGCTTGGTTTACAAATGGAATATAGCACGATTACTCGATTATTTGCTCTTTGGCAAGGTATCTATCTGCGTGAGCTGGTGGGAAGAAAACACAGACGATAGATTAATCACCGGCTCATCAGTAAACAACCCAATAGCCGAGACCGGCAATTCTCAACCCGTCCTCCCCAGCAACATCTCCAACTGCTCATCGCCCGCATACCTACGCAAAGCGACCTGCCTCCAATCCTCCCAGCCCAGATGAGCGTCTCTACCCAAACCATCCCGGAGGCCTTGAAAAAGACCCAGAAAACCCTCCCAGTCGGAGAAGTCGTATCCGCAACAGAACTGGAACCGATGAAGCAGGCGCCCGTTCCTCACGATTTCTGCCAGACCCGTATTGCCTTTCTCCTCTAAAATGGCTGCAAATGTCAACTCATCCTCACCGGTGTCATTGACCCCGTTGTAAAAGTCCGCCACGGGAAGAAGCATCATGGGGGATTTAAACGCCGCGGATTTGCTGTCCGTGTAGGCCCATTCCCAGTCGACGATTCCTGTGATGTTATACCCGTCGTCGATGAGAAGGTGGTCTCCTTTGTCGTCTGCATGGCGGAGGTAGAATCGCCCGTCGTCGAAGCCGTGTGAGACCAGGACGTCGGGGATACAGTCGACCAGGAATCGATGGACTAGGTATGCGTCGATTTCTCGCTCCGCGTAGCTTTCTCCTTTCGTAATCAATCGCATATTGAGCTCAATGCTGGAGCGGAGATAGTCTCGAGGATTATTATAAGGCCCGAGAGGAACCATCCGCGAGTCGATGTACTCCGTCAAGGACTCTCGCGCAAAGGGTCCAATATGGTCAGTCGCTGGTTGGCCAAGAGACCCCATGACATCGAAGGGGAATGATTCCAACTCGATATAAATATCCGCCAGCTGGGTCATGACTTTTCTCCGTTGCTCCGGAGAGGCAAGGGACCAGCGCAAGGACTTCCCTGGGAGCTTCTCCATGAGGATGTATCCGACCCCGATAGGAGTTTGCCCATGGAGACCGTAATCAAACACCTTTGGCGCAGGGACCTTTGTCTTTCCCAGAAATTGAAGAGTTGCCACTTCGCTCTGCATGATATAATCACGCAGGTCGAGTGGCGGTGAGGTCGCGTTGGATCTTCGGATCCGTGCTAGCCACTGAACCCCGTCCTCGAAGTTGATTTCTACGTGGTAATTCATGCCTCCCATTACGGACGAACGGGTTGACCGGTCGTACACGAGAGGTTGCGGTGTAGAGCAGGCAATGCCGTTGCGTAAATCGCTTGCTCGCGACAGGAGCGCAGACAGGTCAAGAGATTCCAGGAGTCGTGTGATTTCTTTTTCTTCTGCTTCTCGGGCGGCGGAGTCGTATGGTGCCCCGTCCTTTATTCGATTTTTAGTAAAGTTATGTCTGTCTGAGTTGAGAATGGCTTATTTTGTTACCTGCCATGTTAGGACAGCCGTGATCAATATGTTCGACACAGAGGTGGCGGTCACAGATGAGGCATTCTCCATCCGTACGCACAGAAGGACGGTCACAGTTCTGGAAATCACACGCCCACAAGGTCGACTCCGTCCTGGGAGGATAGTGAGGTGCTTGGTTTGACACGAGAGTAGCTGACAATGGCGGTCTGTCATGTGACTATAGAATACGTGAAAGAAAGGCATAATTTGACAGCAGTCCCAAAGCCTAGCTAGTAAACATGGATATCATGCGAGTTTCCCTAAGTCGTTTCTCATTAGATCTACTTCAACCCACCTCCCAACAACAAGCTCTGTCCCGTCATATACCCCGTCGTCACCAGCATAGTCACGACATTAGCAACCTCCTCGGGAACCCCGAGCCGACCGAGCGGAATGCCCGCCGCGACTTCGGGAATGGCCTGCGCGCTGGGAATCATGCCCGTGTCTCCGATCATGGCGGGCGCGACGTCGTTGACGCTGATGTTGTGTTCGGCGAGCCGAGTGGAGAGGTTCTTCATCATCCCGGTCATGCCGCCTTTGGAGGCGGCGTAGTCTGTTGTTGATTGTTAGTGACAAGAGATTCTAGTATATGATGGGTTTCTGATGCTTGGTGCCATGTTCAGAGCAAAAGAGGACTTACGACATCCGTTGATCCCACCCCCCTGTCCAGCAATCGAGGACATGAAGACAATGCGACCCCAGCGCTGGTCTTTCATGTGCTCGACCACCCCCTTGACGAGGATGAACGATGCCCGCAAGTTGACGTTAATGGTGTAATCGAATTCCTCGAGTGGGATGTCCCAGACCTGCGGAATGCGCTTGCCATGACCGGCATTGGAAACCAGGATGTCCGGTCGCTGGCCATGCTCCTTGTCGATCTGCAGGAACATGTCCTGGATCTGGTCGGCCGAGGCGACGTCGACCTGGTGGATGGAGATACGCAGAGCGTTGGCGCCGGCATGTTTGGAACGGAGCTCGTCCACGAGACCGGTGATTGCAGTGAGATTGGAGGAGTACGTTAGGGCGAGATGCACCCCTCTCTCGGCCAGCTGGCGCGCACAGGCGGCCCCGATTCTATGCAAAACAGGGCGTTTAGCATTCCTGATCGGATCGTCGCGGTGTTGCGTTGCGGGTAAATTAATGTATCGGCAGAGGACTTACCCGCCCGAGGCACCGGTGATCAAGGCCAAACGGCCGCGAATCTCGTTCAGCTGCGCCATGACTTGAATGGGGGTTTCGGATTGGCGTTGGGTCGATGTTGTCTGCAGCAGTCGATGTGGTCATAAACCTGATGAGCGGATTCCGCTCCCTCGGCAAGATGAAAGTGAGGGTCGGACAAGATTCCGAGTGATAAGGCCCTTCTCCTCCCCCCCCACATCGTCCCCGCATGGGCGCCGAGTGGGGGGTCAAAGGGAGACACGGCAACTTCTCACGACTTGCAGCAAATTAGAAGATCGCTTATTCAACCGTCCCCAATATGGAACAGTTTCACGTCCTTGCATGACCCGTTGAAATACTCCATAGACCCTCCCTCGTATATACAATACGACTAGAACAGAAGACTGCTGCTCATGTCCCCCGACCACGGAACTTGCCATGTTTGTGAGCGATCCTGAAAGGGGTCGGGGTTTTGAAACGCATCGAATGCCAGCGTGTTTCCAGATATTTGATCGCCCGAGACATAATCTCCAACGGCTTCCAGATCGAGCCAGGAGAAGTCGTTGGCGGGGCTAAAGTGTACATAGTTGGCCTGCTCGGCCATGCGATGCGCAAGAGAACTGCTCTGCAGGCGAAGGTCGCTGCCCTGGTGCGTCCCTGCGGGAGATGTGATTGACGTTGACTTAGACTGCCATAGCAGTTCAAGAAGCCGGGAGTAGCGTGAGCCAATATCATCGGGGCCGGCGCTCGCTCGCTTCAGGACTTCGGTTGTTCGAGTAACGAGATCGCGAACATTCATTTCTTCGGAATGCGGCATGACGCCGAATGACCGAGCCTGGTTTTTCATCAGCTTGCGTTCGTTATTTGAGCGAGAGTGCGTACCTTGTATAAGAAGACGGCGGCGTAAATGCCGTACAGGTAGAATCGTAGAGGCATGAAATGAAGGTGCTTTTCGGGATGAACCATATCAACAAGAATGGTCAAGTATGCTTTGGCAGCATCCACAGATTCATAGATGAATCTGGCGTCCTGCATGGAGGCCACGTTGTTGAATGCTGAGCGCAGATGTTCTCTTTGTGTTTGGTCATCGTTTTTTGTCTTCGATACCAATGACTGGGATATCGCGGCTTGAAACGCAAAGGCATTCGTGTATAGCCTCAGGTATTCATAGGATAATTGCAAGGTGACCTGGATCGGTGTGGAGCCTGAGGGTGTTAGTTTAGAGGTCAACGGATTCACAGGTACTAGGGTGTCGCTTACATGACAATGTGCCCCAAAGAGACTTCCATCGTAGAATTGCCAGCCGGAAGTCATCCACATACTTCACGTAGTCTCCCATGAGCATCATCTGATTGCTGGTCCGCATCCCCGAATAAAGAACGTCGTGAACGTTTCCGTAGAGCTGGGTCAAGTCCAAAGTCGCCTGGAATATCCGGGCATAGTCCTCGTCGCCATCCTTCATTGGCTGTAACGAAGGGAAGTCTTGACTGACAAGGCCTGTCATCGGGCCTGGGCCTCGCGACCAGAATGCACGTCCAATGCGAACAGAAATCAGTCGATCGGAGATGTAGCAGCTCGTCCACGCTAATCGTCGACGGGCCTCCGTTTCGGTATCTCCCGAGTCGCCTCGAAACGACGTCCGATCTAGTCCTAGAAAATAACCCGACCGTAATGCAAGACCGACGTGCATCCAAGCTGCTCGGTCTTCTTCTCCGCGACCTACGCGCTCTATACGAGGCCGAAGACCCTGCGGTTCCCACTCCGCGAGAAGAAGCAGAGCCTCGACGGCCTCCACGTCGCAGTCGATGCCGGCAGCGATCCCGGATATCAATTCGTGCATGTATTTCGAGCAGTACTCATGGATTTCGGGTCGCTCAACTAGATCTTTCGATGCGATCGTCAGCACCGCAGTGAGCAGGTGCTTTTCATTGCTGGCAAACGCATCTAGGGCGCTGCGGTGGAAATATTTCCGCGGGACCAAGGGGAGGAAAGGGTGAAAGTTCTCCGCATAGCGAGCCACTAGCTGCCATACAGTTCCGGGGTCCAAAGATCGTGTCTGGACCAGTCTGTATGCCCTGATACCACTGGTGGGCTGAAAGTTGGAAACGCCCCCATCTTGGAGCACATTATACGAGGTAAACCCACTGGAGCCGGTACGCAGAGGATCAGCGACCGCCTCGGGGCTAGGGTCGTCTGCACCCCTTTTGGCAATACCAGTCAGGCACTGCCACGCATCTGACGGATTCCGCGGCACAGAACCAATCGAGGCGGTATCTTCGTCGTCGACCGATACTGAAGCCGTGGTTGGGGGATTCGGAGGTACAAAAACCACCGGGCCGGGATAAGAACCATTCGTGCTCTGGCGGTTGTCGGAATTGGTGGGACTGGTTGTTTCGAGCATTGAATCTCTTCGAGCGGTTAGACTGGTATCTGGGGTAAAGTTTTTCATTTTGTTTTTGCGAATGCGACGGCCCCCACGATTCGAGCTGCCTAAGACGCATTCCCGACCATCTCGGATACACCGCTGGCACGGGGGAACTCCCGGACTGCCGCTACTGTCTCTGTTGTCTCGATTAGCTAGGCCTTTCCAATTGAGTGAACAGATAATCGAATCAAACCGAAGAATGACCCGATCGATTGTTTCCCTCTGATGAGCAACTTACAGATCGCACTTTGATTTGCGTTGCCGACAATGCAAGCATGCCCTCGACACGCGTTTCATCAAGTGATCCGAGCGAGACTTGGGCCTCGACGCCGGAGTGCTCTCCAGCGGAGATTGTTCATCGGTATCCATCGCTTCCTGCATGGACAAATCAATTCAATTGACAACCAGAAGGAAAAGCACAGCGCAAAAGCGGCATTTTCATCCCAGCGTCGTTGGCAGCTCGGTCTTGGCAGAGAAGCGCGTTTGGGGCTGGGGACGGAGCAGGCAGGCTGGATTCCAGAATATCACGACGGCGGGGAGAAAGGTTCACCCATCAAGCAGAGTGAAGTGAGATCAGACAAGACCAAATTCCAGAGTAAAGATAAGATGCTTTTTTTGTTTCCTTTTTCTCCGCATCTGCTTGGTTTTTTCTTTAGCTGGCCATGTTGGGATCCCGAAAGGGTTGGATCTTCGAGGTTCTCCACACTGAGGGTGCTTTCAGTCGGGGGGCGTAGGCTGGGTAGAGACGCACGCTAATCCCAAGCCTCCTATTCCAAATCGTCCAGCCAACGGTCAAGGATGATTCGAGAAGAGAGCGTGGGGAGGAATTACTATGATGGATGTAGATTCGTGACCCACGGCTTGTATTACTCAGCCCGTACATACGGGGTTACGGGATGTATTGGAGGGCATTGTATTGGACGATGACCTCATCTGGATGATTATTATAGAGTAATGATAGAGCAGATGTGGATTTGAAGAGGCATTTCTCTCGTTGGCCAGATGATCCGGGGTCTTGCAGGCATACGGGGTCTTGGGTCTGCGAAAAAGAGCTGCCTGGATCTTAGGGGTTGCCTCTGCCAGGGTATCTGCCAACATGTAGAGCAGTCCTTGGACATTCATTCAAGATAAAGACGTGATCATCACTCCGGCAAGAGTGCATGCAGCATGATGAAATGATGTTGTACATTTGCCGGCATGCTGGCGTCAATCTACCAGGATCCATTGGGGTAGCACTGCTGATTGATAACAGTAACTAACGGGCACTTAAGATGTTACTATCTGTCTGTTGTGCTCGCTGTGAGAAATGTATGGTAACCAACCATCCGATACCGTACGCATACACATCACGTGGCTGTTCGGAGGCGCGCCGAGGGTGTTTCCGTTGCCGACTGCGGGGTATCGGCCTTTGAAGGGCGCGTCGGCTATCGATGCCTCTCCCTTTGGAAATACCCATGGCTGCCCCGCACGTGAGGAGGCGCCTTAAGGTGCCTGGCGTTCGCTGAACAGGTTTTGTCTTCGAAATACTGCTTGGTGGTTCTAGCGGCAAAGATATCTTCAACAGTGTTCGCGCAGGAGCACAGTTCTGGGAATTCTCGTTACAATTGTATACCTACCGAGCTTGGTACCCTTCACAATGTCAGGAGTCACGTCGCTCTTTTCGCTAAGCGGGCAAACCGCCATCGTCACGGGAGGAACAAGAGGCATTGGGCAGGCCATGGCCCTTGCCCTTGCCGAGGCAGGCGCCGATATTGTTCTAATCCAGGTGAGTTTGTCCAGGAGCGACGCATTCTGCCATCTGGCCGCGAAGACGGTCAGGGCAAAGATTAGACGGACCTAACGGGAACGGAATAGAGAGACGAATCCAACACTTCAACCCGCGACGAGATTACCAACCGCCTCGGTCGAAAGGCATGGATCCACGTGGCAGAGCTGTCCGATCGAGAGGCCATCAAGGGGGTTATCCCGGCTCTGACGAGTCAAGGGATCAAACCACAGATTCTGCTAAACTGCGCCGGTATTCAACGACGGCATCCGAGCGAGAAATTTCCGGATGAGGACTGGGACGAGGTGAGTTGTGCAACGGCTGGCCCGTTTCTCTTTGTCTCCTCCCGCAATTCCTCCCCCAATCCCGAATTGAGACGGCAGGGACTGCGCATGGCGTGTGGGCATGGCCTCCTTTCGTCCGGAACTGGAAAGCTAACTGAGAATGTGGGGTGATCTAGGTCCTGCAAGTCAACCTAACGTCTGTGTTCACGTTATGTCGTGAGTTCGGGGCTTATCTCCTGGCTCGGGATGCCTCCGAATTCCCATCCGGACGACGTGGTTCGATCATCAACGTCGCATCGCTTCTCTCGTTCCAGGGTGGCATCACCGTGCCGGCATACGCAGCATCCAAGGGCGGCATCTCGCAACTGACCAAGGCACTCTCAAACGAGTGGATAGCCAAGGGGATCAACGTCAATGCTATCGCCCCCGGATACATCGCTACCGACATGAATGTGGCTTTGATCAACGATAACAACCGCAACGCGGGCATCATGGCTCGGATCCCTGCAGGACGATGGGGCAAGCCGGAGGATTTTAAGGGCGTGGTCGTATTCCTGGCCAGTCAGGCCAGCAGTTACGTTTCAGGAGATGTGATTTGCGTCGACGGCGGTTGGATGGGACGATGAAGTCGAAATTTGGCAACGAATCCTGCAACCTTGATACAAAAAAACACACCACGAATAGATCAATGGAATATTATGATTAGTCGTCGAACTCCTCGGAATGTGACCGTTCCGATAAGAGCCCTACCTAGCTATCGGCGCAGGAGGGGGGTTATGTTGGGTCAGGTCATATTTGCTTTAGTCTGTCATACCACGGTGCTAGTCCCTGTTCTGGATTGATTACGGGCCTCATTTCCACCAGGGAAGCTCAGGGCAGGGCATCTTATTATGGCTGACCCTAGGCGCCGAGACATTCAGGGCGACCGAACCAGGAACTATCGGAATCCTTCACGGAGTAGATGAAGGGGACACCCTGCATACTGGTCGGAGCAAACCACGTTGTGAAGCGGAGCTCCCTCGCTAGGGGAAAGATAATCCAAATCCAATCGGTTCGAGCTTGGACTACGGAGCACGGAGTCGGGAAGGCAATAAAGCCGTTGCCCGTTGGCGAGGAAAAGAAGTCCCAGGAGGCCATGAGAAATTGATTAATAGTAGAAGATCCATTATAATATGCGAATAGATTAACGAGTCCACAATTAGCGTGAGACCCGTGATCCGCCATGTGACTGGCCAGCGTCCGTCGGAAATTTCCCTTGTCCAACGAAAACCTTCACTTTCTCTCGCAACTCGCCCCGGCTAAAAACCCAACTATTGTTTCATTCTGGATCATGGCTCGCACAAGGTGAGAAATCAGAATGGGAATCCCCAAGTTGGTCAGCCTTTCCTAGTCTCCGGCCCATGCTTTTTCCCTCTTTCCGCTTTTTCGCTTATTTTCTGCAGGGCTCAGTTCACTCCTGGCCCCCTTTCGCGCTCTCTCGGTGGGGTCGTGATGCTGCCTAGAGTCATTAGCTGCTATCGACAGGCCAATATCCGTGGCCACTCGCCCAACATGAAACACACAAATGCAACTTCAGGGCCGATGCAACTGGGGCTGACCGCATCTCGAGGTGGCGAGATCTCTGATGACTGAGTTCCTGCAGGAAAAAAAACAAAAACTGCCTCCAGTGCCGGGCGCGTAGGCTGGGCGCTTCCTTCTTCAGGCACTCACACCACTTGCATCTGCTGCAGGCACTGGATGGTCGGAGATGCACTAGCATTCACCCAGGGGAGGGGGGGGCCCACGGACCCCCCTGTCTTTCCAAGGTTATTTATATTCAATGGACTGCCAAGGCACGCCAATTGGAGCTAAACGACTCGTCCGCTTCCATTGGAAACACCGATGTCCTGTCAGCGCCCCTAGGAGAGGCCCCGATAGGTTCAAATCAGCTCGCAGACGCCCGCCTTGGCGCTTGAGATGAACTCCTCCCAAGATGGGACCACGCCATAAGTCGCCATGAATTTTTTTCTTGCTCAGGTTGCTCGGAGTCTCACGCTAGGAAAATACTGCCTTGGAGATCCGATCCGCAGTGGCCCTTCCCTGTTGGCCTTTTAAGGTTTCATCCTGCTCCATGGATCTTCATTCAAGGCCCTTTTTTTGTCTTTTTCTCCCTCTCTTCTCTGCCCTATTATTCATTCCCTACTAACTTATTCAGCTGGCTCTGAGATTGTCCTTTCCTTTTGAGGTTTTGACATCATATTCCACTCCATTCACTCGTTCTGTCAAAAGCTTGAATACTTTTCGATCTATTGGATTGTGGTTGAAGTTATTTTCTAACTGACTTGGTCTGTTCGATAATCACAATCGTCAATCCCCCCCTTTTGTCAGTCTCCACCATTGGTCGACGCGTGTTGAGACTTGAAATCCATTCGTTCATTCCTTCATACTGGTAGTGAAAGATCTTAGGCCTGTCTACTGTTTGTTCTTTTTCTTTCCATTTCTCTCTTTTTGCCTGTTCGGTCGCCCTCGCGCCAAATTCCGTCACTCGCGACGCTGAGCGTCTCTTGAGCCCCTTGCTGGATTCCTCGTCGTACGATCATGCATGTAGGAGAGTGGAGGTAAGCGTTTGGGATATCTTGGAGGCTGGCTGTGGACCTTATTGACAATCGGTGATGTGATCAGGTCTCAAGTTCTAAGAAGATCTCAGACATCGAATCTGCTCAATCTTGCCGCGGTGTCCATCTCCTTCTGGTATTAGCGAAACTTGCCGGTATATCATCAGAAGCTGTCCTTGGATCACGACTGTCGCCATTATCTCCATTGTCTGGACAAAGCAACGAAGCTGCTCCGGGGAAAATCCATTGTTCTACAAACAATAAGCTCGATTTTATATAAATCCCGGGACCTGGGCACAAGACAAAAGCTTTGTTCTCGCCTGAATCCTCAGTCACTGTTCCTGGCATTTGCATTCCAAACGTTTCCCCGCCATCCACCAAACATTCTCCGGACCGTCATACCGCATACCAGACCCGGATCTTTATTGACATTGAATCAATTCGCCCGGCTGGACTCTTCCATCAGAATCCAGCTTGTTTCATCTTTCTCGGACTCATTTCCCGCTACCTTCCCACAACTCGCTTCACCTTTGGTCTAGACCAACCCTCGAGATCCAATGGACGACGTTAGTCGGCTCGTTGCGCGAGACCATGGATCGACGGCAAATGAAACCTATGTTTACGAATACTCGCGAGGGTTAGGCGGAGTCAACGTTTCTCGAGATGTTTTGTTCACGCGTATCATCTTCTCGTCGGTGTTAATAGTCGGTGTCATTCTTTTCTGCGGTCGAATCGCTCAAATCAGCCATTCCTATCTTCGTCACGTCAGCTCCTTGTCAGCAACTGCGAGGCAACAATCTTACTGGAGTATCGAAGAGTCGCGGTTATGGTCGAACATGAAGAAATATGTCCTCTATTCACCACTGGGCAGCAAGCGACACAACCGGGAGCTGCAGCTGTCGTCCGCCCTCAACGTGGGCACTCTGCCAACCCGATTCCAGACCGTCCTCATCGTCTTGTACTTCCTCAGCCAAGTCGCCTATTGCACTATTCTGGATTACGCCGTGAATGAGAAGGCAGCTCTGGTGGCTGAGCTTCGTGGACGATCGGGAACGCTCGCGGTCCTGAACATGGTTCCTCTGTTCATCCTGGCTGGACGCAACAACCCATTGATCTCGGTTCTCCATATCAGCTTTGACACCTACAACCTTCTTCACCGTTGGTTGGGCCGAATGGTTGCAATTGAGAGTATCGTCCACACTGCCGCCTGGGGCGTGAACGCGTCCGCCGAAACGACCATCTCGGATATGGCCCATCGTCTAGTTAACGAGCCTTTCTTCGCCTGGGGCTTGGTTGGCACCGTCGCAATGGCCTTCCTGGCCGCACACTCGCCGTCTTCCATCCGACACGCTTTCTACGAGACGTTCCTGCATCTCCATCAGCTTGCCGCGTTTCTGGCCTTCCTTGGTGTCTACGTGCATATCGACCTGGACAAGCTGCCACAGAAGCCCTGGATGCTTGCGATTGGCTCTCTTTGGCTGATTGAGCGATGCGCTCGGCTTGCACGACTGCTGTATCTCAATGTCTCCTGGAAGAAGGGTTCCACGAAACTCGTGGTCGAGGCTCTTCCCGGCGAGGCCTGCAAAGTGACGTTCTATCTCCCCAAACGTGTGCACATCAACCCTGGTGGCCATGTGTATGCATACATCCCCAGCGTCTCCAAGTGGATGTCTCACCCATTCTCGATCGCCTGGGTTGAGCCCAACAGCTGCGTGACCTCGTCTGGACTCGTGGACCAGCCCTTCAAGTCTCCGTCCCGCGGTTCCATGAGCCCCTCGCTCCTCGAGAAGCAACCGATGGTCGACATTGATCAATATATGAACGATAGCAAGTCTCCCACCTCCGTGTCCCTGATCGTGGGTGCTCAGAAGGGAATGACGCGAGCCTTATACAACAAGGCTCTCGCCGCGCCCAACCAAACGCTTCATACCACCGGCTTCATCGAGGGACCGTATGCGTCACATGCGTGCAACATGGGTAGCTACGGCACCGCTGTGCTCTTCTCTGGCGGTGCGGGCATCACGCATCACATGCTACATGTTCGAGACCTGATCATCCGGGCCTCCGAAGGCCGTGTCGCCACGCAGCAAATCTACCTGATCTGGTCTGTTCGCAGTACGGACAACCTTGCCTGGGTACGGGAGTGGATGGACCAAATCCTACGGCTCCCCGGCCGTCGCGAGATGCTCACCATCAAACTTTTCGTCTCGAAGCCTAAGAGCAGCCGTGAGATCGTCTCCCCGAGTGCTACGGTTCAGATGTTCCCGGGTAGATGCCGACCACAAGTCGTCCTCGACGAAGTCCTTCCCAACCGTGTTGGTGCCACCGTGGTCTCGGTCTGTGGGCCTGGTGCTTTTGCAGACGAGGTACGTGCCGCCGCTCGTGAGAGTATCGGCAAGGGTGCTGTGGTGGACTTCGCCGAAGAAGCTTTTACCTGGTGAAATCATAAAATGAAAAATATTTGTTTGACTGCTGTTTATTGCTTTCCCACCTTTTTTCTCTCTCTTTCTCTATCCCATCTTTCCGACATAGATCTAGTGCCTTCGTTACCTTCGCTTAAATCCTTTGCTCAAACGACTTTCTACTTTTCTTCTCCATGGATGTACAGTACCATTACCCTCTCACATTGTGTCTTCTGTCCTCCAGCATAATCCCCCCTTCTGATTGCATATTCCCTGCCTTTATTTGCTATTGCATTTGACAACGAATCTTAAGGCGTTCACGAGAAGTGCATGATCTGGATCTGAACTTTTTACTTTACGCACGTCTCGGATACATACAAGCATACATAACTCCTTAAATGCGGGTGCAATTGTCTTATTAGGCAGGTAATGTCTTTTCTTGTCTTTTCTTGGTCATTTCCCACAATGGGTCAATGTACATTCTCCTTCTCTTGTCCTTCATGCGTCGCAATTATACTCCATCTCCTGTTTTGATTTTTAAGATACCAATAATACTTTGATTTGAAGCCTTGACAAACAGCAAAATGAAAGAAAAAAATCTGGAAAATATATCTATTGTACCCTTTTGGGTATTTCATTTTCTTTTCTCTAATGTAGATGGTAGATATCCGGTATGTCTGATCGAGATACAAAGCCTTTGAGGCGGACACAAAAAATGAAACAAAGAAAAAGAGTCTTGTGCATTTGAATAATATCCTACCTGACTGCAATTCAAATCAAACCAGGTGCCGAGGCAGCTTAAGCAAGGAGGGGCAAACGCTGTGGGTTAAAAATAGTATTAGGGCTGTTCCCTTGCATACTGGCGGGTGGGATCTGTTGAGGAACTGCGGTTGCATCTCTAATCTCGATATCCTCGGCTCCCATTCCAGATTTTTCCTCTTCGTCAGGATAACCAGTCGTAGGAACTAAAACTGTTGCAATTTCGCCTGCTCCTGGCCCATCTATACTCCGTGGGCTTCGCGCGGAACCTCTCCGACTTCCTAACTAGACACCACAGGCCCACCCCTCGTTGCAGCTAATTTCCACTTCTTCTGGACCTCGGAAGTTCCGATTTCATCCAGCAGTCGGCTCTAGTGGCCTAGGTGGGCTGAATCTTGAATCCACTGTGCCACTTGATGCCCTGCTATGTTGACTTGCATCTCGTCCGCGCAGATTTAAAAGGAGAAGGGTAGGGTGAGACGAGCTGTCCAGAACCACCACCACCGATGAACAACCCCTTAATAGTCGGATGATAATTTGCAATGAATTTCCTATCTGCAGTGTCCATGGACTAGCACATGCGTTCCTGTGACCACGCTCGACTCTTCACCCGAGGAGCTAGGTTCTCCTCGTTCTCTGCGTCAGTACTGCGTCAAACGGAGGATATTCTCGCTTTCTATGACAGTCGCGCTATTCACGGAGTGGAGATAGTTTGATTCTGATTCTCGAGCTGAACTTGCGTCTCGAAGCCTTGTCTGTGGTGTTCTAACTCAAAATCCCTGTGTCCGCGAGAGAACGCCATCGTCGCATCCAGATCTACCAGGCGACAAAGTCCCAGATGCCACACTCACCCCGATCACTTGGATTGGAGCCCCTTTCCCCGTGATTCGTTAAGGTACCCTGAGGACTCCGATAGTAGAGGAATTCGATTTTTCATTAGTTACCCAGTCAGAGACTAAATCTTGATTGACTGAGTGACAGACTATGCGAGAAAACATGTAAACAGTCCTTGGGTAGCCACGAGGGTCGGTTTCCAATGTCTGGGGATAATTGTCGCAATACTACCTGTTACTTTGTGTCTATTCCGAGTCCTCAATCAACTAATTATCTTGGAAATATCTTTTACCTGTTGTTATGTTTCACCAGTTAGAATCGAGTCCGTGATTGGTTTGATGGCAATTAAGCTACGACGCTAAGGCAGAACATGGAGATACTCTTGGCTCTTACAGATACATCCTGAGGTCAGTCTTTCCAGTCGTTCACTGCAACATGCATCCCCTAACAGTCAATCGTACAAGGAGCGTGGAGTGAAGCAGACAAAGAGATCGGTGTGTTCTTTTCCAGTCCAGAGCAAGTGGCCCGATAAGATAAGCCTGAGTCAGCCAAGCACGGGATCCCGCCATTTTGCGCTTTTGCTTCTCCCTTTTCCTTTTCCTTTCTTTCCGGATCTCAACTCCATTGAACCCGATAAAGGCCATTTCCATCTTCAAAATGGAGGACAGTCACTTCCGCCACAGTGCCTCGCACCATCCATCCCCTTTTAACTCCTCCCAATCCCACCAACTCCAACACCTCCCCCGAGACCGATCCGCCTCCATGCTCTACAATGAAGCCACCACCACCGCTCTCGAACCGCATTCTCCCCAGCAACGCTCTGGCTCCTTCAGTGACGAGGAGGGCCAGCCTCCGCCACGATACACGCCCGAAAATGACCCCTTCCGGCTAGCCTCCAAGCTCAAGACCGCCGAGGAAATAAAACAGATTCAGCCACGAGCCAACATGGCCCGCAAACGCGACAGCTGCACCCCCGCGGGCATCATGCGCATGACGGCCTCGACGACCAAGAACCCCAAAGAGGCGCTAAGTGGAAGCCTCGCATCCAAGTCACAATTGCAAGGCTTCTACCAAACGCAGAACGAGAACATCGAGCGCATGCTCAAGCCCGTGGAGGAGCACGTCCGCACCGCCCGCGAAACCAACGCCAACAACCAACTCAAGTACAAGATCGCCGTGTATGGCAGTTTCGCCGCCAACATCATCCTCTCCGTGCTGCAGCTCTACGGCGCCATCGCGTCGGGATCCCTCTCCCTCTTCACCACCATGGCCGACGCCGTCTTCGACCCCATGTCCAACCTCACGCTGCTCCTCTGCAACAAGGCCGTTAACCGCGTCGACCCGCGCAAATTCCCTGCGGGGAAAGCCCGCATCGAGACCGCCGGCAACATCTGCTTCTGCTTCCTCATGACGGCCGTGTCGTTCATCATCATTGCCTTCTCCATCCGCGAGCTGGTCCAGGGCTCCGAGTCCGAGACCGGCGAGTTCCACCTGCCGTCCGTGATCGCCGTCATCGTCGCCTTCTGCACCAAGTTCGCCCTCTTCGTCTACTGCTTCGCGCTGCGCCACCAGGTGTCCCAGATCCGCATCCTCTGGGAAGACCACCGCAATGACCTGTTCATCAACGGCTTCGGTATCTTGACCTCCGTCGGCGGCAGCAAACTGCGCTGGTGGATTGATCCCATGGGCGCCATCATTTTGTCGGTCCTGGTCAGCTGCCTGTGGCTGTATACCGCGTATCACGAGTTCCAGCTGCTGATCGGCGTGACCGCCGACACGAAGATGCAGCAGTTGATCACTTATATCTGTATGACCCCGTGCCCCTGGCCTCCTTGCCGGCTTATACTAACACAGCCCCAGCAATGACCCATTCTCCCCTCATCACTGCCATCGACACCGTCCGCGCCTACACCTCCGGACCCCGTCTTCTTGTGGAAGTCGACATCGTCATGGACCCGAATGACTCGCTGCGCGCGACGCACGACGTCGCTGAGGAACTGCAGATGAAGCTGGAGTCTCTGCCGGACGTCGAGAGGGCGTACGTTCATGTGGATTACGAGACGACGCATAAACCGGAGCACTTCCTGAAGAAGGAATTGTAGAAAGTGCACCTGAAAATTACTGTATTCGTGCATTGTTTGATTATACTTTAGATTATGATTATTTTGCTACTCTGGACTTAACATCGGAGATAAAACCACTTTACGAGAATAGAAACACGAGAAGGAAATACAACTAATCGAGAGGAATGAGAAACGGAATCTAATTAACCAAATTAATAGGTAGTAAGTATACTCCCTAGTACCGTGGTGTCCACAAACAGATGAATTGAAATTTATTTCCTTTCACATCCTCCTAACGCACGCCATGCGACCACTCTCGCAACATAATCATGATTCCAATTTTACTCAAATCTAAATACGGTAGCTATGGTATCTAAAGTCCCACGAAGGTAGATCCAACAAACATGGGAAAGAAGAAAAAAAAAGACAAAAAGACAGACCAATGTATACGAACAAGAAAGAGAGAGAGAGAGAGAGAGAGAGAGAGAACTTCATAAACCCAATGAATCACAGTCATCTCATCCCATTCCAGTCAAGGAACCAAACCAAACCTAGCCAAGATGAAACATAGCCCGGACTCCCTCCCGAAAGACCCTAAAGGGTAGGTAGGGGATCACGACTGCTCGAACAACGCAATCGTCGAGCAGAAGTTACTCTCGTTCTCATCCTGCGGCACCAAGCCCTGGCCACTCGACGAGGTAATCATATTCGTACTCGCCTTGGTGCTGAGCCCGTAGATCCTGACATCCGAGCAGTCCACCTCGACCATGTTCTCCTGACAAGACTCGGTATCCAGACACGACTGGCCGTAGTTCTCGAAGAAGCTGTACAACCCGGCGCCGTACACGTAGGTCTCGCTGGAGTTCATGACCCGCAGGCCCCATGCCTTCTTGCACCCTTCTGTCGTGCAGGTCGAGAAGTCCGGGTCGTGCCATTTGGATTGGCTCGTGAAGGGGACGAGCGCGTTGGGGTTGGACTGGTAGTAGGGGGTTTCGGACTGGATGAGGCCCATGTAGACGTTCTTGGCGTTGGTGATCTGGTAGTTGTAGAACTGGTTGTGTTCGGAGGCGGTGCCGTAGAGCCAGACGGGCTTTTGGGATTCGATGAGCACCCCGCGCCCGTTGTAGATGTTGATTTGGTTGTGGTCGGGGAGGTCGAGTTCGTGGTCGGCCGTCCAGAACCAGGAGTTTTCGATGTATGCGGAGGCGGTTTCCGTGAGGTGCAGGAGCATGAATGCGCCGATGCATTCCTTGTCCGGCGTGGTGGTTTGCTTGGGCGTTTTGGCGCACTTGTCGGATTGCAGCTGCGTGCCGGCGGAGCCGCCGATGCGGAAGTGGACGTCCCACATGGCGGCGGAGCCCTGGGAGGACTCGGCGAGGTTCCATTGCATGAGGATGGCGCCGGGGGCGGGGCCCTTGGTTTGGATGGCGAGGTCGGAGATCTCGACGGCGCCGGAGTCGCCGGGCTGGCCGATCTGGAGCATGGGGATGGGGTTGAGCTCGTCGGAGAACTTGGCGCCGTGGGCCATGAGAACCGGCCAGATCTCGCCGGTGATCTTGATGTTCTTGGGCACCTTGATGGTGTCGGTGATGATGTAGGAGCCGTGGTCGAAGTAGACGATCTGGTCGGTGGTCGCGCTGTCGAGGACCTTTTGGATGGCCGCCGTGTCGTCGGTGGTGCCGTCGCCCTTGGCGCCGGCGGAGCGGACGCTGACGAACGAGGACGCGGGGATGTCTTCGTAGAGGGGCTTGGAGCGCTCGAAGACCTTGCCGTTGGAGCCGGTGAGGCCAGCGGCCTTGGTGTGCGCGGGTAGAGCGGTCTGGAGACGCGTCTTGGTGACGGTCTTGCTGGAGCATTGGAGGGCCGCGTGGGTGCCCGCCGCGGCGGAGGAGCCGGCGGGAGCGGAAGTTCCAGCGGGGGCGGAACCGGCGGCGGAGGTCTGGGAGCCCGCGGAGGGGATCAGAGGGGCGGAGGTGGTGACCGGCTGGGCGGGGGCGTTGGACTGAGGCGCCGAGGCAGCCTGGGTGGCCGCCGGGACAGACGTGCCTTGCTCGACCGATGACTGGACCGCGGGGTTGGGGTTCTGGGCAGGCTGGCCAACGGGAGTCTCTTCGGCGGGCGTGGAGGCAGAGGGCTCCAGTCCCTGCATTGTGAGATCGTTACCGACGGACGGGAAGACGACGGACTGCGAAGGGGCAGCGGCATTGGCAGCGGTGGTTTGAGCACCGTGAGCGGCAGCGTCGGTGGTGGCCGGCTCAGGGAGAGAGTCGGTGGCCAGACCACATGCGGTCACGGTCTCATAAACGGTTTTGATGACAACTTCCGCTGGCTGCTCGGCACGCTTGTTCAGCGAGGTGGATGGGGTGTAGCTGTTACCCTGGACCCAGTTGGTGACGACGGAGCCGCCTTCGAGGATCGCCCCGCCATCAACGCCCTGAACGGCGGTCTCGGAGCCGCTGAAGTCGACGTTGTCCAGGATCAAGACACCACCGCCGATGGGAATGCTGTCTTTGGTGAACGCAGTGACCACGCCGGTGGGCGTGTTGGTGAGCTTGCTGTCCAGCAGGAGGACAGAGCCAACGGTCTGGTTCTGCGGGGAGTTGGACATGTTCAGACCGGTTTGACAGTTGTTGATAAACACGGACTTGAAGGTCCAGGCCCAGTTCCAGTTCATGAAGATGGCAGTGTTGCAGTCATTGAAGGTCAGGTTGCGGGTGGTGAACTGCTGGTTGCCCAGGAACACTCCGTAGTTACCACCGTTGAAAACCAGGTCGGACATGAAGCCACCGGACCCGTTGTCCATGAAGATACCCTGCTGCTTGTTGGCGTCGCCGCCGCCCTTGACCATCTCGAAGCGGATGTTCTGCAAGCTGGTGGCCTGGCCGACCTGCCAGTGGATACCAGCGCCGGAGCCCTGGGGCACGGCAGTCAGGTCGATCACGAAGTTGCGGATGGCACGGAAGAAGTTGTTCTGGTTGGTGTACCAGTTGGAGCCATCGTCTTCGTACGGATCGGCGTCGATGACAGCCATACCAGCGAAGTCAGCAGAGGCCTTGAGAACAGGCAGATCAATCGCGTCTCCCACCATCTGCGTGTAGTAGTACTGCACAATAGGCTTCGACACGACGTAGGTACCGGGAGGGAAGTACACGAAGGCCGGGGTGACGGTGGACGAATCGCATCCTTTACCGCAGCGGTTGCCAGATGAGATCGCCTGGTTAATCGCGGCGGTGTCATCCGTGGAGCCATCACCTGTTCCTGGTCAGCGAATGTCTTCATGTCTTGGAGGCAGGGTACATACCCTTCGCGCCAAAGTCCTTGACGTTGCGGAATACTTTATAGTCGGTGCCGTTGCCGAAAGCCACCACGCCTTGGCGCTTCACGTTGGCCACCCAGTAGTTGGAACTGGCGGCCGCAGCCACCTCGGTGGTCGCCTCCAGGTCTTGCGGCATGGGAATGGCACTGACCAAGCTCACAAGGAGCAGAATTTGTGCGACGAACAACATGGTCGCTTTGTGGAGAAACGCCATCTTCAAGACAGCGGTGAATCACTGATCCGGCAGAGATAACACAGCGAGGCAGGTGCCTGGATTATAAATCTCGCGAGCAAGCGGTACTTCAGTAGCCAGCACTGAAGGTATACAAGATCGGGTGATCGGGCAGACACCGTCCAGAGGGGTGTCGCGCAGCAAGCTATCGCCGGTCACACGAGGGAGTCAGGGGGTGCGAGATATGGGGATAATCGCAGAAGTCGGGGATCGAGGGCGAAAGAAGGTCAAGTGCCTTCAGATCCCCGCGACAAAGAGCGCTAACAGGGAGAGCGAAAGCTCTCGATCAAAGAGTGAATATGTCAATGGACAAGGATGCAAACAAACAGCTGACAAGACAATGCCAGCCAGAATCAACAAAGAAGGAATGAATGAATGAATGACTGAATGAATCACAACCAAAACAACACAAAGAGACGGGAACGAGGGAATGAAGAGCGAAGAGACAGCGCGTGCAGAACAGGAGAAGCTGGCGACTAGTATACCTAGCCCGATCCGCGCAAGTCTGGCTGCTAAAATTAAAGGTGATAATTATAATAATCCTTCCGGTACCGCCGTCCAATCGACTCGAATCCACCAATCGCCGCCGCAGAAACCTGCAGATCGACCCGCAGGACCAATGGGCGCTGGCGATCGCCAAGCGACGGGCGACGCTTGAAACACTTGACTGGAGGGGGATCAGGGGTGAAACGATCGAGCGCAGACTAGACGCCGGTCAGTTGCGCTCCATTGGCGATGAGGCCACATGAGAGGGTCATACCGTGTCAGAGGCAGTGGCAGAGGGTTGCAGTGGAATGCAGTCTGCCCCAATTAATCACACCCGCACAGAGTGTGATGAGGAAGGGACGGTAAGAGAGAGGATGGAGGGTAGAAGGTAGAAAGAGGAGAGAGAGAAAAAGAACCCTGCTAGATTCCTCGTGCATCGGGCTGATTCCGACTATATACCTCCTCCCCAAAGCCTAGGGATTCGATCAACATATCCGTCGCTTCTCAGCTATGTCTGCGGCCAGAATCCTGGTTTCCCGCGCGAATAGTGGGAACGCCATGCTGCGATAGAGCCAACGCGTAGGGCAACTCGACTACTGACGAGGTGGCGCCGCGTCTTGGCCTGGAATTTGCAGGTTTCCTAGGGAATGGCAGCGCCGAATCACCGCGGATGAGTGATTGGCGAGCATTCCTCGACTTGCCATATCAACGCACCAGATTGGGGTCTGGGCAGTAATGTCAGACTGCCTGGGTGGACTCGGCAGGGAAGACTGGTGGACGAGACTCACCGTGTTATTCTGCATAACTAACCAGCACTAGGACTGGTAGTATCGACTGGTGCCTGGCATCTTACGCGCACACCTGATGCCGACGCGTGGAGGAACAACAGCCCGTGACCCACCCATCCAGGGGAGCTTCACTACTCCGTACCTGAAGGAGACCTATGGAGGCATGTCTTTCTCAGTTATCGGCCTGAGAGGGAAAAAGAGAAGAGACCAGAAAGTACTCGACTGCGGACCGAACTCGACCACCCACTCGTACAAACCGCAGGCCAAGCTTTTATGATTCACTGACCCGAAATGAACCGAAGGACCCGCTCCAATTAATTCCTCATCTGTTAATTTACGACGAACTCGACATACTCCTGTTAACCCTCCAGTCCAAGGTTCAATCCACCCAAAGTCTAACCATCTGCCGAAGTAGGTCGCCCGGTTGCTAATTTGCACGCAACTCAAACCACCCAAACCGTACAGCCATACCTCGCCCCTCGATGGTCTCACTTGTCCGGTCTCTGCTGAGTATTTCCGGAGGGCCCAACAAGCCCATAACCGTGAAGAATGTTGCATCCCTTGACTCGGGCGGTATCTGACAGGGTTATCGCAGCCTGACTTGGTCGTACCGATCATCTGCATGGCCGCAGTCGGACTACTGCAGCGTCCGCCGTTCAGGTGGTCTGGTCTGGCTTGGCCTTCTGCCTGGAAGGGAGGTCGATTTGGCTTTTATTCTAAGACGTGAGATTCTACGGTTCCGGTCACCAGCCATCCCACCGAACATGGTTCCTCGTCCTCCAACCCAAACGGATCGGTCCGTCGTCCATCCTTGGTTACGAGCGCCCGGTCGAGGGGATAATGCGCCCGTGTTTCCTCGAATTCTAATCCCAGCCCTGGCCCTAACTATAAGGCGTTGCGCACCGCACACGCCAGCCGACGGACTCCCTCTTCCAATCGGTCCTCGTGCTCCCACGCAAAACACAGACGCACCCCTCGGTTGAAATCGTCCGGTCCAGCTGACGGATCGCCCTGGACTTGGAACAAATTACCGGTGGCCACCTTCACCTGTTGCTGCTGCAGTGCGACGGGCGCCAGCTCACTCGCGCGCAGCGGAGCTGGCAGCTGCACCCAGATGAAATACCCTCCCGCGATCTCCGGCGTGGAGGGCAGGGTGACACCCAGGGGGAGCAGGTGGTATCGGATGGCCCCCATCAGCCGATGATATCGCTTGGCGTAGCTCGGTTTCAGCGACTCCTCCAGGAACTTGGGGAAAATCCCCGTGGGGAAGAGCTGGTCGATGATTGCGGCGGCGAGATGAGAGGGTGCACCGCCCGATCGACTCGAGCCTCTATAGCAGCCGTCAGGTTAGCTCGGAGTTTTAAGTCCACGCAGCTTTGGGTTGTCTTTTTTGACGATGCGACCGGGGCAAAAGGGAGCACGTACGCTTGAGAGATACCAAATGCCATTTTCTCGGTCCCTTCGGCCCATCCGGTTCGCGTACCGGGGCCGATCATCTTGCTGAAGCTCCCGTTACTTACTGCGTTGCCGAACTCATCTTTCGGTCCGCCATCCAGGTAGCGGTCCACGTCGACGATCCGCGGAAGTGCAGCTTTATCTGGGTTCGCGAGAGATTTGCTCGGATCGGGCGACCATTGCAGGAAATCATACACGTCGTCGGTTATGATCAGAGCGTCGAACTCCCGCGCCAGCCGAACCAGATTCACGCGGTCTGAAAGCGACATGGTCAGGGTTGACGGGTTGGAGAAGGTGGGCACGCCATAGATGATGTGCTTATAGATCTTTCCCCATGGTCGGGACGGCTTGTGAGTCTTTGGTCGTCAGTTTCGCATCCATCAGAGCAAAGGGGGGAACGGGATCAACTACAACCCAACAAGAACGAGGGAAACAGAAAAGGCCTCGGTCCTGCCCTTCGTTTCATCCCCGTTCTCATCGGGGGATCGATCATACCGGTTCAGTATTCCCCTTGGCCTTCGCCTTCTCTTCAGCTGCCTCCAGCTCCCGCCGCAGGAAGGCCAGATCCACGCCCGACTCATCCTCCGGGACGCCTCGCATGCGACCCGTGAAGCCGGCATCGTCCATCATGCGACAGGCCAGGAAATACGTGGGCGCCACCATCCAGACATTGCGCGTGTACACGGGATCGGTGAAGACCTGCAAGATGCACGCCAGGTTCTGGCTGGCACCACCCGTGATACAGATGCGGTCGGCCGGGATGGGGTCGCGCGGCTGATAGAAGCCCGTCAGCCACTTGGCGACGTGCTCCCTCAACGGCCTATAGCCTTCGTCAGGCCCGTACAGCATGGCTTGCGCGCGGACGTCGGGCGCCGCCATGACCGCGGCGGACGCCTTAGCCATGGCGCCCATGGGCAGTAGGTTCGGGTCTGGGTGGCCTCGGAAGAGATCGATCACATCTTGTCCTTGGGAGCCCATGGCTGTTTGGTTTGTTCGGCGACAAGGCTCTGTCAAGGAAGGTAGGTAGGTAGGTAGGTAGATTTGGTGGTTTGCTGGGCAGGATATTCTACCGGATTGCTTATCTTCTAGGTAGGTAGTGACGGGGAAGCCGAGTCCTTGTTGATCCGGGAATGATCTTATATCTCTATAAAGCCAGACCGCCACTTTACGCTATGGCAATGGCGAATCTCTTCACCGTCACCGCTGCATCCAATCTTTCCGGATAGAGAATGAATGTATGATTGAATATTGCTGCATGCGGGTTGACAATGATCGGCGATGATTGGCACATCCCCGCCAAGATCCATACGGCCGGCCCGTCGTAAATCCGGCTCCGATAGATCTGAGTCAGATCTTATCTAAGCGGGCCGCATCAAGGGGCATCAGGCAGAGAGGACAAAGACAGACTGCGGAAAAGCAACCGACAGGCAACGCCGACCGAAATACAAAACAAACCAGAAAAAGAAAAAGACTCGTCACAACCGGCCCATTCCGGCGTAGTCCAGACTCCACCGTCATGGCCGCAGAAGCATCCGTGAATCAACGGACCCGACCTGACACGTCAAGCCCAATCATGCACCTACGTATGTCTATCTCTGTACCTACCTCCGCCCGTCTCCTTAGTTCCGGACGTAGCCAGTAGCAACTAGGAGATTTCCTGGAGTGGCCACCGGCCAGTGGGAGTTTGCGCTGCGCACGACCAGTGAATGGCGATATTGATTACTTACTGCGGAGGTGAGGTTGCTATTCTTAGCCTGTGCGCCTCCTCCAGTTCTTCTTTTCTTCTATCCTGTTCCTTGACGACAACTAACGACGAGGATGCTGCCGTTGCCCCCTCCTTCCTACGGAGTACCGCGTACGTCTCCAGCGGACGACTCGATCGGGCTGGCTTGGCTGGGTTTGTCCGGTTTGTCTGGTTTGCTTCGGACGCGGTGAGCCACGGAAGCACCGCCAGTTTTTGCCCCCCTTCTGGCGCCGTCGCCCCCTCTTCCAACCTCGCGGGTATTAAACAGAAACAGGAGGTTAGAGATTCTCCTCCGTGGATTGATTAACTACGGAGTCGTGTAACCTACTAGGCGACTAGGCAGTCGGTAGGATGAGCAGATGGGGTTTGTCCATGGCCTCCATGCCTCCATGGCCTCCGAACTAGCCTAACCCCCTCCTTGTACTCCGTAATATGACTAAACTGACCCCAAACCGGTTTCGAGAGCGTTTTCGCTTCTCACTACTCCAGTCCGCCGTCCGGAGTGCTTAGTCTGAGGGGCAAATAATCTAGTGAGGTGAGTTGGTTGGGTTGATGTATTGGTAAGGTGGTGAGGGTTTCCTTTTTGTTTTTGCTTGCTTTTGCTTTTTCCTGGGCGGTGGTTTGACTTTGGTTTACCCCTGGATCTCAGGAAGTAAGGAAGTACCGGTGGGCGGACCGTCCACCTGTCAGATATATATTTGTTTCGCTCGGGACAAGCACATCCAGGGGACTGGCGACAACGCTACCGACAATTTCGGATCGGATTCGTCTGTCTACCGTAGTTCCTGGTCATACCTTGGATAAATATATATGCGATGCACATTTATCCGTACACAGTAAAGGCCTACCCTCCGTAGGTACCAGGTAGTACGATATCTACGGAGGACAAGACGACCGTATGTACGGCGCCTATAGTCCCGTATCAAATGCGCATACATATTCTCCCTCCATGCAGGAGACACCCTCAATGCAAAGCAAAATCCTGCATACCGATCTTTAGTTCCGGAGGTCTCCGTCTGTCGCTACCTGCGTCTCTGTTCCTACATACAGACAGACATACATGCATCCACCCTCCGTACAGCAGAGCCCAGAGCAGGAAACCCCCGAGTCTCGGCACCCAGCGAGGCTGACCGGAGGGATTCACGATTCAGCCGGAAAGCCAAGTCGACGAACCAATCCGCGACGTTCCATACGGGAGGGGAGGCCCAATCGCGCCTACGGTAACTGATCGCGACGATTTGACCCGGATCGTTGGAACGCAACGCAGCGAGCAACCGAGTGCAACCGCGACAGGATGACGTCTTCGATGGGCTCTAGCACCGCACCGCACCGCACTCCGTAGGTAGACAGACCTCTAGGGGAATCGTTCCTCCGATATGCGACGCCAGAACTGCCCCAGACATACGACGCAATGGATGCCTTGCCGGCCCTGTTTTCGCTGCCTGGTTGGCCCCCATCAGCTATGACGAGATCCGAGCAGGACGATGCGCATGTTGACATCAAGAAAAACGAAAAAAAAAGCCCGAGGGATTTTACATTCGATTCTGCCTTGGGGGAGTGAGGGGAAATAACTCCTACTTCCAGGCACAGAATAATAATACGGAGTAAATAATAATAATAATAGGAACACGAAGAGGAGCAAAAAAAAAAAAAAAAATAAAAAAAAAAAAAAACGGAGAGGGAACTCCGCACACCGCACTTAGTTTTGACCTTGGGTCTTTCACAGCCTATTCTGACCCTCTCGAGGTCAACAAATGAGGCTATTGCCATGCAGTTATGAACCCATCGGCCTCTCCTGAGTGCCCTCTAAGCTCCGTCCAAACCCACACAGCCTCTTCTGCTCCCTTCGGCCAGCCCACTTGCTCCAATGGGGTTGGTGTGCTCCGATCGAAGGCAAAACATCAAAAAAAAAAAAGAGCAGGTCACCCCACTAATTTGAATTTTTTTTTTTCTGTCTGCTGTCTGTCTTGTCTACAGTAACTTACACAGGTGACAGAGTATTGTCTCTGGTGGCTCTTCAGAATGACCATGGAGGGGTGTCGTGCAGAAAAGAAAGGGGAGGAAATGGAGAACAGAAAAGGGCGAATAGGATTGTGGAAATGTGAATGCGATGGCGTCGGAGGATCTGATTGGAATAAATTCTGAGCATAATAATACATAGGTAGTCTGATCAAAAAAAAAAAAAAAAAGGAATAAAAAAAAGCAAATAAAATACATAATGGGGAGCCGTGACCCTAGTTAATAGGCCTATTATAATTAGAAAAACAAACGAACAGCAGGAGAAACAGAAACTGGCCAACCCAGAATAAAGAGGATTCTGATGCCACCGCAGTCTTTCCTGGTGGCCGTGGGAGTTGTTGAAACCGATTCTCTGACTCTGCGTGATTCCTTATAAGCGACCCCTTCTTGCTTCTTGCCGGAGAGATCCAAGACTATTGATTGAAATCACGCTCTCCCCATCGGCCAGGTCGCATGAATATTGAATGGATTTTGCCCGGTCCCACCCAGTTTAAAAATAATCCTGGACGGTCGAAGCAGCACCAGAAGGCCGCCAGAACCTGCGATCCATCCCCTCCATATTAATATTAATATTATGAAATCTTATTGAAAACCGAAAACCGACGCCAGAAAAAAAAAATAACGTCGTTCTCCCGCCGTTCCGCTCGTCTCCCTCTCCCTGCTCCTGCTCCTGTTCCTCTCCCTCGTCCTTTTCGGTTCATCTTGGATCTTGTCTCTCTTTTCCCCCATACCGTCCGTCCATCTATCCATCCATCTATCCACTTTCACGGCGCCCCCGGACCAACCACATTTTCTCTCTCTCTTCCTCCCTCTCACTCACTTTTCCTCTCCTCCTTCTCTCTGTCTGTCTCGCTCGCTCTTTTCTTGTCTCTCGCTTTTTATTTTTTTTCTCCCCCCAACTTTCCCTCTCTTCAGGTTTCTGCCATCAATTACTGCGTATTTGATTCCATCATTCTTCGGATCCCTCCTGCCGATCCATTCCCAAAATCCAACCCGCCCACCAACCAGTGCTGGCGACACATTCACGCCGAAACCTTCAACCAGCGACGGGGAATTCCTCGTCCACCACTGTCTAGACAGTTTTTCGCATGGTTGGGTGTCGTTCGGCATTCTTTCTTACCTCACTTGTTCGTGACTTCCCTTTCTCGTCCCGGTTCTGGCCTTCGCCGTAGTCTGGCTCATTCCCCTTCCTTTCTTGGGGCCACGCTCTTTTCTCCGTGCTTTCGCCGGACTGACATCTTCTCCTCTAATTTTTTTTCTGGTCCTCTAGTATACAGTGACATTCAAAGATGTTGTCTGCTCCCGTGAAATCGGCCAAGCGGATATCTTCGCTCTTTTCCCTGGGGTCGAATAGAGATTCTTCAATTCCGTCCTCGCCTAGTTCTCCGAATCCCAACAGTTTCTCGCGATCCTCCCCCGACCAGCAGGCTCAGGATAGACGTCGAAGCACTTCCCGACCGACTCGTCTTTCTTCGGCCCCCTATGTCGACACCTCAGAGCCGGTTCCCGCCCTGTCACCGAATCCCAACGACAACTACGACCTCGATACTCCCCTGCAGCCTCCTCCCTCCCTTCTCGCTGTAAACCAGGACCTCGCCAACAGCGCTCCCAGCTCCCCCGACAGTGGACGGCCCCAGAGCCGTGGCCGCCTCAGGAGCTCGAGCCGACCCAACAGTTCCGCGGGGTTGTTTGTTCCCGGGTCGGGACCCGACTCGCGACCCGGAACCCCCTCCTCGAAAAGACGCAGCTGGCTTCCGGGACGACAGCGCGCCAGTTCCGTCGATACCAGACAGGCGAGCACCAGCCTGCCGAGTGCTTGGATTGCCGGGCTGGATCAGAAGATTCTATACGATCTTGAACCCCTGTCGAAAGGCGAACAGGTATGTGGCAGCCTGATGGACCCCTCTCCTGAATCCCCCAACGTCTCCGTTGGAAATTTCTCAGACGCCGGTCACTAATCCAACTATCACGACAGATCCCCGAATTGTGGAATGAGAATGGCGACACCTACGTTTACCTCTTCCCTCAAAATACCGGCCGATCCGCTTCCTTCAAGCTTCACTCCAATGTCTTTGCCGAATCGCCGTCGCTCAACTTCCTGGCCCGGGGATCGGATCCCCGTTCTCCCAGGACCCTGGAGGAACAAGCCCAGTCCCTGTCGCTCGGAAGCCCCGTGATTGGTTCTCAGTCGCCCCCGATGTCCCCTCAAGACCAAGAGCAGCTGCCCGAAAACGACAATGACAGTACTGGTAGTAGAAGAATGGCCTTTGTGGATGACGAAGGACAAGACGAACTCCAGGAGCTTCACCTGTATCTGCCGATTCCCCTGAACTGCGACGTGTCCAACCCCATTACGCGCCTTTCGCAAGAGGACACGGAGACGCTTCTTCTCTTCCGCAACTTGTTCGCCTTCCTGTTAGGACAGTCCCTCATCGCCACTCCGAAATCCCCATCGCTCTTTTCGATCTTCATGGACGTTGCCGGACTACTCTCCCGTTTCGAGTTCTCCAACTTCGACGGGTCCAATTTTGGCGAGACAGTAACCACTAGCTTCGGTAACTACTGCGACGAATTGCACCTTGCCGATGTGCGTAAAAGCCGAGAGAAGACCCTCGAAGCCATCGTCCTAGGAGAGCGACTGCGGTTCTTCCCGCTCTACCTGGAAGGCTTTGTACATGGTGTAGGCAAACTGGACGAACTCAAGCAGCTGCGAAGCCCCAAGTATGGCCTTATTAGCCCCGTGAGTCAGAAGCGGATGGAGCGAGGTTTCATCGACCTCGACACGCGTCTCCGGGTGCTGTACAGCAAGCTCGACGACTTCGATTTCCCGTCGGTCTTCTCCGGTTTTGCCAACTCGGCCACCTCGGTCGAAAGCAAGGTCATCCGATTCAAGGCGTGGAAGGCTGCGTTTATGGAATTCCGTCGCTTCGTCATGCAGTACTACCGACAGCGGTTCGGCTCCTGGCCGCCCAAGGCGCGGTCCAAGAAGAACCAGTTCGAAGAAAGTGGTCTCAACCGCCAGGTCCTGCTGGAGCTGTACAATGACTTTGCCAACCTCTACGACATGCTGGTGGATCGCACTGCCCTGACGACCCGAACCCTGGACATGGCCGCTTCCGAAGAAACGGAGGCCTCCGACCAGGACGAAGTGACGCACCGGGCGCTCCGTCACGTCATGAGCGAGTACGATCGAAGCACGCCTCCCGTCCAGCCGCCGATCCCCTTCGATATCCCCCAGATGCCCGACCTGCAATCCATCCACCGGAAGCCCCTGGATGCCAAGAAGGAAGCCAAGCTGAAGCCGAAGAAGCTCAAGGATGCCGACATCAATGCCGTTCTGATGGGCTCCTACACCCGCGAGAGTTTGCGACCGACGCCGTTCATCGAGGCCTTCATGCAGTTTGAACGACGACAGGCGCACGGCAAGAACATCATGGACATTCAGGATCTTCGCTGTGGACAGTGGATCTTGCTTTATTGCATTATCCAAGCCCTGCCGTTGCTCATCGTGGATGTCCAGGACATCAAGTACAACGAGGGGGTGGAATACTTCCTCTGTATCGCTCCTCGCGGCGGTGCGCCCTGGACTCACAACGACGGCAAGACGGCACGCAGCTGGTTCGGTGTGGCCGGCGGAGCGGGTGTCGTCAGTCTGCCCTCCGACGTTGTCATCAACGGTGTCGAGGGTATCTACCGTCGTAGTCACTGCTGGCGGGTTGCCGAGCAATGGGCGGAGAAGGATGCCATTTTGGCGCCGCCGACCATCGAGGATCCCTACGATAACGAGTCGTCGTTGTCCTCTCCCTACCAGGGCCAGCACTCGTCGGCCGGCTCGTCCTCCGAGCAACAGCAACAGCAACAACAACCGGGTCAACTCCCGGGACCTCCGACGCCTCTTTTGTCTCCTGGCGGTGGTCTCACGCCACCCCCAGCCATTCCTCGCCAGCACTCCCCGGCTGCCAGCCGTCGTGCCGAATCGCATCGCATGTCCATCGCCCCGGGACTCGAAGCCTTGCCACTCCCCGCCGGTGTCGCTCCGATTGACCCTCCTACGAGACCGATCAGTCGGTTGAACCCCAACATGAGTTTCGACGATATTCTCAAGCAGGTTCCCAACCAGAAGGGCCGAAAATAAAGCCGGTCCTCTTGACCACGGCTGGGGTCTTGATTCCTAGACTTGTTCTGTCTTTTCCTTTCCTTTTCCTTTCCTTTCATAAAGCCCGACCGGGCCTACGACATATCTTCCCGCATAGCTGCATTAGTAATTCCATGTCATTCAGCTTTTGTGTCTTGTCGTCCTTGCATTGTTGGTTCTATCTGTCTTCTACTTTATGTTTCCATTTCATTTCCTTAACTGCAGGGTTTCTTCCCTATTGATTATCCCCTGGGCGCACACAGATTTACACGGACCAAAAGGCTGAACCGGCGTCAACGCGAGACTCATTGGAATTTCGGGGAAGAAGAAGACGAAGAAAATAAATAAAAGAATGTTTAATATTCTGTCTGCAAAGCGCGCATTGTGTTTGATTCGGAGGCATCGTGGCCATGATTTTTGAATATCGGTCTCCTTTTTCTTTTCCTTTCTCTTTCACTTTTTCTTTTTTTTTCTTTTTTTTATCTTGCATTTTATCTCTCATTCCCTTATCCTGTTCTTTCTTTCCAGCTTCTGACATGGGAGAGTCCTGTCTAGACCGATTGTGAAAGACTGATTTGATGTTATTTAACCATGAAACGGATAGAGATAATAAGCCCCGGTGTCGGGCTGTTAATACAACCAAAGCCTCCAGTTTGGAGATTGCGCAAGATTTGTTGGACTTTGGGTAATCGTCTTCGTGTGACGAGAATTGTGTGATTCCAGCCCGTAAGCCACAACAGCCACATGACTGGCGTAGTGTCTTCCCGTCTCTCTCCCTCCCTCTCCCTCCCTCTACGCAGTACCTCTATCTCCATCGCTAGTCTCATATCCAATGAGAAGAAACTACTGACACAATCATGCACACTAATCGAGTGGCACAGTTTCGGAAGGAATCAAAAAGATGAAGAATACCCCGCCAACGCGACGATGGGCGTCTCCTGTCCCACCGCCAGTGCGGCGGAGTCTTGCTGATCGCAGGCCTTCATGCAGCTAGACGACACCGGCCCATTTCTTATTTGATCGGTCTCGTATTAGATGCGCCCCAGGGTTTTGGCTCAACTTAGCTTGACAGCCTTGCAATTTTCCTTTTCCGTGCCCCCCGGTTTGATTTTTTTTGGGGCCGCCAGACCTGGCCTTTTCTCCTCTTTCTCTTTCTTTGACTTTCTTGGTGTTGGTTTTTTTCTGGCTCTGGTGACCTGTGCGTCTGCTTGTGCTGGCTTTACTGCTAGTTATTGTATTTGTGATTGGCATTTCTGGTCTCCTGCACAGTTGGTTGACTTGAGCGAGTCGGGGAGGGGAGAATGACGACTTGTGGATGAGGAACGACGAGCACCGAATCTAGCGGGGATTGACTGCTTATTTACAAGGCCTAATTTATAGGCTCGTCGCTCGATATTTCAGACGACCATGTCGCGCTCCCGCTCCAGCATCACCAGCGACAACAATGATCGCTTGGAACCGCGCCTCCTCCGCGCCGTCGAACATGACGACCTCGACACCCTGCGCCACGTCGTCGACCTCGCGCGAGACAACGGACAATTCGGCGAGGGGTTCCTGCGCGTGGGACTCATGCGCAGCTGCGATCGCGACAAGGCCGACGCGACGAAGTACCTGCTCAGCCTAGGCGCCCGGACCGATGGCGGCACGAACAGCAACCGGCCGTCGCCGCTGCTGCGCGCCGTGGAGCGCAATCACCCGCGCATCGTCCAGCTGCTCCTCGAGCACGGCGCGTCGGCCGAGACCCGCGACAAGAAAGGCCGCACGGCGCTGATGACCGCCGCCTGGCGGAACCACTGGCACATCCTGCAGGTGCTGATCCAGCGGGGCGCGGACGTCAACGCGAAGGACCACCGCGGGCGGAACGTGCTGCACAATCTGGCGGCGGACAAGCAGTGCGATTGGGGCGAGGACGTGGTGAACCTGCTGCTGAAGACGACGTGTCACGTCGACGGTGCGACGGGGCAGGACGAGCTGGGCCGGACGCCGCTCCATTGGGCCTGCGCGACGGGGAAGCGGCGGTTCGCGGAGCTGCTGCTGACGAGACCGAATGGGCACATCGTGGACGTGAACGCCGTCGAGTCGAGGAACAAGACGGCATTGCATCTGGCGATCGCGCATGGCCGCGAGGACATCGTGCAGCTGCTCCTGCGGCATCGCGCGGACATCGGCTCGCGGAGCGACGGCGGGTGGACGGCGCTGCATTATGCCTGTGACAAGGGGTTCGAGGAGCTGGTGCGCATGCTGCTGCATGCCGGCGCGAAGATCAACAGCCAGTTGTTGAACGGGGTCACGCCGCTGCACCTGGCTGCGCAGGCGGGGCACACCGAGATCGTGAAGTGCCTGCTGGAGAGACAGGACTTGAAGCGGCGAGTCCGCGATAACTTCGGGAGTACGCCGTTCCTGCGCGCGGCGCAGTTCCGCCGCAAGGACATCGTGTCGCTTCTGGCGCCGTTTAATAACGTGGGTGCGCTCTCGGCTGATGCCAGGGGTGCATGCGAAGGGTTCGAAGCGACGGTGGTCGACTTTGGGAACTTCCACAATGAGAACCGCGTGAAGAAGACGAGCGTGTTTAATCTGCTCTTCGGACGCGATGCCGAGAACCCGCGAAAGCAGGCCTTCAACTCGCTCCCGGCAGACAGTAAAGCCACCGATTTCCGCTGGATCCATCTGCCGGCCAACAACATGGCCTGGGTGGAGGCGTTGTTGACCAAGGCGTTTATTGAAGAGGGGGCGCAGGATGTGGATAGCTTCAAGGGTCTCGAGCGGTCATTCCGCTATCAGCACCGCGGCCAGCGAACGCATGCCCACTTCATGCGTCCCCTGTGTCAGAGCTCGCCTCGAGCGCCGCGGATCCGTGCGGAGGACAGCTCCGAGGAGTCGGTGGAAGACACCAACGCGCCTCCGCGCATTGTCATCAATGGAAAACCTCACGAGGTGTCGCCCAAAATTCCGGCTCCGGGTCAAAAGGGCAAGAAGCAAAAGTCGCAGGGAGGGAAATCTGAAACCAATTCACAGGATGACGGCAATGGCTCGCAGGGGAAGAAAACCAGTAAGAATTCCAAACGAGGGAAGAATGGAGGGGGGTCAGCATCGAAGTCGGATTCTCGGTTTCATCCAAATGAGAAGCATCGCTCGCCGCTCTCTTTCTGCAAGGACTCGGTGTCATGTAACGTGTGCATGTTCATGCCGTACTTGCATTTTGAGACGGCCGAGCGGCGCCAGAAGATGCAGGAGGCGATCCAAAGAGCCGAGACGTTGAATCTCCCGGCCCCAGGCATCAATCGGTCTCCTACGCGCGATGAGATGCTGATCCGAGCTCATCTGGCATCCTCGTCGGCATCGCTGCACGTGCGACGAACGCTGGACCAGTTCTTCTACCCGAACATCGACACGCAGATCCGCGATCAAGACCAGGTCGTCTATCGGTATCAGACCAAGGGACAGGGCCGCGAGAGGTACTGGGCGGAACCGAAGATTTTCATGGTCGACCAGCTGTGGATGTGGATCATCGGCACGAATCTGATCGTGACTAGCTTTCCGCAGCGCTGGGACCAGCCGAAGAACGATCCGCTCAACGTGCTGGACGGGGTCATCGAGGACATCAACTCCAAGACGCGCGAGCCCGTGCGGTCCATCTACGACCTAGCCATCGTCATCACCAACCGCTGCTCTGGCGTCTTCGACCGCCATCGCATGGGCGACGAGGAGTACCAATTTCTGGACATGTTCGAGGCATCTATCGGTATCGCGACGGATCGCGAGACCGTCCTCTTCAGCCGGTTCAACCGCGCGTCCGCACAGGCATCAGACTGGCTCAAGAGCCACCGCAAGCTCAGCCGCTTTGCGCGTGCCCGAAAGAACGAAGGCACAGATGCCACAGACCGCCGCGACGACAGCTTCCTCTCATCCTGGTCCCAAGAAGACGAAGAAGAAGAGCCCCTCTTCGTCGACAACCTGCTCGACATCGGCCAGGAAACCGACCTCCTCTCCGAAGCCAAAGACATCCGCGACGAGCTCAACATGATCCACACCGTGCTGCAGCACCAACAGCACGTCCTCGCCGACCTGCAAGAAGTCATCTGCGACATCTACCACGGGCAGCAGCGGTCCCAATACGAAGCCAAAAAGCGCTTCAAAGAGCAACAGCGCACGATCGACATGCACATGAAAGACATCGAGCGCATGGACAAGCAAGCCGAGCGCATCTACTCCTCCATCACGGACCTGCTGGACCTCAAGCAGAAGCACGCCAACGCGTTCGAGGCCCGGTTCGCGCGCGACCAGGCGGCGGGCACCACGCGCCAGGGCAAAATCATCATGGTCTTCACCATCGTCACCATCATCTTCCTGCCGCTGTCGTTCATCACCTCCTTCTTCACCATCGACATGCAGGAGTTCCCGCACGCCCCGAACGGCGACTCCCAGCTGCGTCTGCCCTACGTCGCCAAGTACACCTTCGGCATCGGCTTCGCCATCTCCATCCCGCTTATCCTGCTGGCTCTGGCGGTCGACGACATCGGCGATGGGTGCCAGGAGGGGATCCGGCGTGCGCGCCGGTGGCTGTCGATGCGTGAGACCAAACGGGCGTCAGACTCTGACGACTCGAGCGTTGGCCTGTCGGCGTTGGAGATGGAGAAGATCCTCAGTGTGCGGCGCAGTGTGGATACGCAGTTCTCGGGGAGTTTGTTGCCGGTGTCGACGCGAGGGACGGGGCGCACGATGGGGAAGAGTATGATCGTGAGGGATGAAATGTATTAATGTGAGATGATTGATGATGTATGTATAGCATAGTTATGATAAATAGAGCAAATGATTATTTAGGTCTGAAACCCAGGCGGCTTCTGTACAGGTGTATTATCTTATTTCCCCTTAGCTTCCCCTTAGCAGGATAAGCTGAGGATCACCAGTACTAAAATTTCATTAAAGTAAAGACAGGTCTACAGGGGTTCGCATGTGGGATTTCGATAGTAGGAAGGGTCGAGGTGGTTCAAGGAAGACTTCACACTCTCTTCCTGATCCTACTAGGATGATTACGCTCGGAGAGAAAGACTCTAGTTGTAGAAATGCGTCCATAGTTTGGGCCGCGTAGCTCTGCATCAACACCTTGATAGACTATAAATACGACGTCGAGGACGGACAATATCGACCCACATCGGATCCGCTGGTGGAATTTTCTCGCCAAGTTGAGGCCGATTTGTCCAGCCATTTGCTATATCTTCGAACCCTACACCCCTCTATCCTACGTGACCTATCTTCATTCAACTCGTCTGAATAAAACCAACCCAATGCCCACCTCTCCATACCCTCCCCTCGACATCCCCAACCTAGACCTCTGGACATTCCTATTCGAACGCAAGAGACCCTTCCCCGATGACAAAGGTAACCTCCCTATCCCCCACCACTATGTCTACGTCCCACAATAACCCTCGAAGTGATCTTCCGCGATGCGGAGTCCAACCGACACTACACCTTCGGGGGCGTCCAAACCGCAGCCCTCGAGTTCGGCAAAGGTCTCCGGTCTCTCTTCGACTGGCAAAAGGGCGACATGCTGGCCCTTTTCACGCCGAATAGCATCGACACTCCCGCGGTGATGTGCGGAACCCTATGGGCAGGGGGCGTCGTCACCCCTGCGAATCCGGCATACACGGTCGATGAACTTGCGTTCCAGTTGAAAGCCTCGGAAGCGAAAGCGCTCGTTACGCAAACTGCCCTGTTACATGTTGCTCTCGAAGCCGCACACAAGGTCGGGATCCCTGAGGATAGGGTCATTCTGATCGGGGACGAGCGCGCCCCGAATCCAACCCGGGTGAGGCATTTCTCGTCAATCCGCAACACATCCGGCGCTACACGCTATGTCAAAGTCAGAGTGACCGAGCCCAGAGAGGAGATGGCGTTCTTAGTTTTCTCATCAGGAACGACCGGGCTTCCGAAGGGCGTGATGCTTTCGCATGCAAACATCGTAGCGAATATTCTGCAACATGCGGCGGGCGAAGCTGGCCGCTTGACATGGGCCGAGGACCGCGTTCTCGCTTTTCTCCCGTTCTTTCATATCTACGGTTCGTCTGCTCCTTGCCCTTTCCTGATCTTGTAGAGGATATGATATGACATGACATGCTAACGCCGTACAGGACTGACCGTTCTAGTCCACAAGGCGCTATATACGGGGTACGAGCTCGTAGTGATGAGCAGCTTCAGCATCGAGAAATGGTGCGCGATCGTGCAATCCCACCGGATTACGTTCGCGTATATAGTCCCACCGGTGGCTCTGCAGCTGAGCAAGCACCCGGCGGTGGGTAAGTATGATTTAACGAGCCTGCGCATGATGAATTCAGGCGCTGCGCCGCTCACGGCGGATCTAGTGGAGGCTGTTTATGCTCGGATCCACGTTGGGCTTAAGCAGGGGTATGGGCTTAGCGAGACCAGTCCCACGACTCATACCCAGGGCTGGGACGAGTGGCGGTCTCATATCGGGTCGGTGGGAAAGCTGCTGCCGAACCAGGAGATTAAGTTCGTGGCTACGGATGGTTCAGAAGAGAGCGAGGGCCAGGAATTGCCTGTTGGTAAAGCAGGTGAGATATACCTGAAAGGACCGAATGTCTTCATGGGGTATTTCAAGAATCCCGCTGCGACAGAGTCTGCGCTCTCGCGGGATGGGTGGTTCCGGACAGGGGATGTGGGGTACCAGGACGAAGAGGGGAATCTATATATCACGGACCGGGTTAAGGAGTTGATTAAGTATAAAGGGTTTCAGGTGGCGCCGGCTGAGTTGGAGGGGGTTTTGGTGGAGAACGAGGCTGTTGACGATGTGGCGGTGATTGGGGTGGAGAGCAAAGAGCACGGCACGGAGGTTCCTTTGGCGTTTATAGTCCGGAGTGCGAAGAGTAAGCGTTCCGGGGTGACTGAGAATGAAGAAGCAGGGAGGATTGTTCGGTGGCTGGATGGGAGGGTCGCTCGGTATAAACGACTGCGAGGAGGGGTGCGCTTCGTGGATTCTATTCCCAAGAGTGCGAGTGGGAAGATTCTTCGCCGGGTGCTCAGGCATATTGAGCAGACTACGGTGAAATCCAAGCTGTGATTCCTGTTTCTTCATTCTATTCTTATTACTCTTATTACCCCAAAGCCTTCTAAACTAGGGTCGGAGTGCTCGGAGAAAGATATCCCAACCCGGTTCTATAGCATTGTCATCAGACACAATTCCATTCCTGCTACTCAAAACACTGCTGAATAATATCCCTCTTCGTCAAACTAACTGCCTCTACTACCGAAGCAGAACTATGCCCGGATCTTTTCTTATATAAGTCACCGTCCTCGACCGCAGGCGAGCAACGGAGAGGGGAAGGGATTGGCGTATGCAGAGCTACCAGGGCGACTCAATAATCAGGACTCACCGCGATCAGTAGAAGAGGGCCCAGGCAGTTAAAAACTTCAATCAATTAGAAGTTCTTATAGATGTTGAAGAGTCAATTGAATCGAACTATGCCTGATGACCCATATGCTCCAGTTGCGATTATGTAAGCCATCATACGATGTCTCCATCTTTTTATTTTCGTCTTCCACTCCATCTTTCTTCCATCTTTCCTTCATCTTTCTTCCTCTCTTGTTAATCTTCAACCATCTCACATGCTTCAAATCCCCATCACAAGACATGCACATGCATGAACTGTTTTCAACGTCCGAACCACTCGGATTCGGGACTTCAGCGATCCGCGACGCTCCGCTGTGGAACTCAACTAAACAAATTAAACTCGACCAGGCAAATGGCCGAGCCGCTGCAGTCCTCGACAATACGAACAAGAACATTCATGGCGATTGAAAATGTGGATCGGTCCGGAGTTCTATTCTTCTGGCCGGCGCGTGACCATTGAACCCCTTCCGGACTATTCATAACTGCTATTATTCAACCCGCATCCCGATCCTTTTTCGCCCGTCCGACTATGACTCTGACGGACTCGGAGCCTTCCTCCCCGAGACTCTGGCCGACTTCTTCAGTGGAGCAGGGATGCCTCGGTGAGATGGAATCAGCATGGAAACTTCGTGGACCGAACTTCTTGTGTTTGAACGGACCGGGTTCTTCCATTGCCTCCTCGATGTTCCGAGACCGCAGGCAAGGTGTATGAGGTCATCATGTGTCAGGACCGACTCCCCGACAGAAACAAATTTTGTTCTACCTTTTCACTTGAAATGTTCTATACAATTTCTACCCGCTCTTGTTAGTTCAATTGCACGGCGCAATGAAGGTCCTTCTTGCTGTGCCTCGCAGCACACTGTTTTTACGGTCTACTCGTCCCCGTCCCGCTTGTCTCCGGAAAACCCGCGCCGCCAGGTCCTTTGCAACGCAAGTCCATCATTCCACCGCCATCCCGGAATCCGATGCCAATAAAGAACGAGTCGTGATCCTCGGATCTGGCTGGGGCGGATATACGCTCTCGCGAAAACTCGCCCCGCAGTCGTTCGCGCCGGTCGTCGTCTCCCCGCGCTCCTACTTTGTCTTCACGCCGCTGCTGACCGACGCCGCCGGCGGATCGTTGGATTTCTCGAATATCGTGGAGCCCGTACGCGACCCGCATGCCCGCGTTGATTTCATCCAGGCGGCCGCGCGCAGCGTCGACTTTCAGAAGAAGACGGTGCTCTGCGAAGCGACGGTCGTGAAGAGCGGCGTGACGGAATCGCCGCGCACGCACGAGAATGAGCGCGAGACCGAGGAGGGTCCGGAGACAACCAAGTACAAGCCCATGCAGGGTGCGCGGGACTGGGAGAAGGGCGAGATGTTCGAGGTGCCCTATGATAAGCTGGTGGTTGCCGTCGGCGCCGTCAGCAAGACCTTCGACACGCCCGGCGTGCGGCATAATGCCATGTTCTTTAAGGATATCGGCGATGCCCGGCGCGTCAAGCGTCGCGTGCGTGAGTGTTTCGAGCTAGCCGTCCTGCCGACCACGAGCCCCGAGATGAGGCAGTGGTTGCTGCATTTCGCCATCGTGGGCGCGGGCCCCACCGGCACCGAACTGGCGGCGTCCCTGCGCGACTTCATCTATAAAGATTTAGTGAGGCTGTATCCGGGTCTTCAGGGCATCCCACGCATCACATTGTATGACGTGGCGCCGAAGGTGCTGTCGATGTTCGACGAGTCGCTGTCGCGGTACGCCATGGAGACGATGAAGAAGGAGGGCATCGACATCAAGACGTCGCATCATGTGCAGAGCCTGCGATGGGGCGTCCCTGGAGCTGAACCGCCGTACCCGATGGATCCGAAGCGATGTCTAACGCTGACAACGGAGGAGGAGGGCCAAGTCGGCGTCGGCATGTGCGTGTGGGTCACGGGGAATGCCATGAACAAGTTCGTGCGCAAGTCGATGCAAGACGTCGAGAAGTTTCCACATGACTCGGCCATAGTAAAGGAATCACCATCATCTCCTGATCCCGAAGGGTGGCACGTCAAGAAAGCCCCCAAGGTGGGCGCCCTGCTGGTAGACGGCCACCTACGCGTGCAGCTCGAGCGCGAAGACGGCACGACGGCCGTCCTACAGGATGTTTTTGCACTCGGGGACAACGCGATGCCTGAGACGGGCGCGCCGCCGGCCACAGCGCAGGCGACGTCGCAGGAAGCAAAATGGTTGGCGACGCGTCTTAACAAGGGCGATCTCCAGCAGAGCGCGCCGTTCTCTTTCCACAACATGGGCACGATGGCGTATATCGGCGACGCAAAGGCGTTGATGCAGCTACCTCAGGAAAACAATGGCAAAAAATACCTGCCAGGCCACTTGACAGGGCGCATGGCGTGGATGGTGTGGAATTCGGCATATTTGACGATGAGCATCAGCTGGCGCAACAAGCTGCGGGTGGCATTCCGGTGGTTGTTGAATAATATATTTGGACGCGATGTGTCACGGTATTAGGACATCGATAATCCACTCAATTTCCTAGACATGTGTACCTGTGTTCCTACGCAGCTGCAACACTTTTTCTTTCCATTTAGTACACCCCTCGCCGCTTTAACTGATTATCTAGTTTACCCACTTAATAAATAAATGAATAGCATTGTAAAAGAATGAATAAACATAGTAATAGATCCTTTTACTTTGTCATGTGGAAGCAAGATCGTCTCCAACAACAGCAAGCTGAGGTCACGAGGTGATGAGCATCCACCCCTTTCTCTGCCTGCATTTGATTCATTAACCTTGAACATTCACAACGCGAGTCAGATCTCTTCCTCACATCCGACGAGATGCCCCCAAATATTGTTTCTTCATCGCACGAGCTGGAGTTCAAATCATTTCGAGATTGTAATGGTGACCATCCTTCCCAGACCTTGGTGTTCCACAACGATTCCTTTTCATGGTGGATCAAAGTTGAGATAGCCTGGTCCCTGCCGGAGTCAATCCGGAAACTGGGCTATTTCAAACGTCAGTTTACGTTTCAGGAATTCATCCAGGCTATTGACTTTGGTGAACTAGAATTGATGGATGATACTGTGACACGTATCAGTCTAACACTGGCCGAGAAAAGCCACAAGCTGATTCCGATTCGGAATGACTACTAGACAGAGGCAAATAATTTGTTATCTATTGCCGATCGAATTTTTTTCCAGGTCGAAGAAGATCCTGGGAGAACTGTCTACCCGCTTCTGGACCAATCTCAAGATCTACATGCCTTTGAGGCTTGTTATCTGAAAGACGAAAAGGTCATCGCCCCAACCGTCTCCACAGTCAATTTCAAGCAGAAGCGACTCGCGTACAAAAAGATCAACCGCCCTATCTATGTCCCAGGAGACACGGAACATATCCTGAATGAGATAATCGCCCTCGCGAAATTTCGCGGACAGCCGAACATTGCCCAACTAATCGGCATTGTCATATCCGATAATCCGTACAAGACCGGTCCAGCGACAATCCCGTCGCCGGTTATCACGGGATTTCTCCTTGAATACTACCCCGAAGGGTCTCTTGATCAAGTTCTCGCAGAGGATAATGACCAAGATGATTCGTTGCTGAGACGATGGGCACTGCAGATTGGAGGAGCCTTGGAAATGTTGCACATGCAGCGACGGACCCACCTGGACATTAAACCCTCGAATGTCGTTCTAGACTCCAGTAAGAATGCTATCCTTATCGACATTAGTGGAACTGGTGGGTATGGATGGGAATGGCTCGCGTTGGAGATGCAAAAGACCATTGAACAAAATATTGCAACACCTCCTGCTGGCACGTCGTTCGACAAACGTGTCGCTACAGACTGTTGGGCTTATGAAAAACTACTTTCGACGATGGCTACGAAACTTGGCACTAGCAGTTTAGACAAAAGGTTGCAGTCTATCGGCGATGACCTAACAAGGACGGATCCAAAAGCTCGCATTTCAATAACCCACGCTCTCGAGAGGTTACGGGGTCAGAAGGAAGAATACTAGCCTGTTCTTCTCACTATTGTAGTGCTTGGAATATACGTCTTTGTCTTTCAAGCCAATCGGAATTTAGCTGTTATCTGTTACAGCTCATCAAGAACGTAGTTGAGTAAAATAGTAAAACATACGGATACGCCTTATCACGAAGCAAGGAATGCAACTATATTGGATTGACACTAGAACTGTTCACTCCATAGTAAGAGGAACAAGACGTTGAACTGAATGCCAGTAATGGCAGATTAGACCTCTATGACTGGTGTCCTTGACTTCCACAGCTGTCCTCGATTTTAGCAACCCATAAACAAGACTCAGAATATATTATCAAATCGACAGCGCCTACCAGTTAAGGTTAATTTACTACTACTAATTAGTAGAGCTGATGACTGGTAGCAGCTCTCCAGATTAAAAAGCGATTTTAAACGTTAGGAGCGGAGGGAGAAAGAGACTAGGAAAGAGAGTGGACATATTGCCATATATAACTGGCCCGAGAAATATTGCCTGGTTCTGGTTGCAATAGACTGAAAGTAAAAAATTAACTGTGCCTTCTAAATAATTCGAAATCTATTATTTTTGCGCTGTGACAGCAGATAATAGTTATTATGCTAGCATTCATAATACGTACATAATTTATGAACCATTTTTCTAACGAAGATGGAGGTTGTAACTAGAGATCTCGGACTACGAGTAGAGAAGTAGAAATAACATACTCCGTAGATTAAAATAAAATAGCTTTTTCCATTAGATAATCCCGGCGCCAACTCTAGAATCCTTTGTTTTGGCCCCTTCAACTTCCCTCCAACTCAAGCCAAGCCACCATGGCTTCTCATCCCAGTAAGTCCCCCATCTAATTTCGAGCTCTCGCTAATGTCGCCAGCTCCCACCCTTCGTCGAAGTTGTATTTTCTGCCGCACGCGCAAGATCCGATGTACAGGGGGTCACATCTGCGCTGCATGTCGCGAGCGTAATATCGACTGCGTCTACAGTCCCGAGGCTCGTAAAGGCCGACCTAGACGAAAAGTGCGACATGACTCGTCCACCAGTCCTGCGGCCGCCGAGACGCCGCCTGGCATCACGACGCCTGCATCGCCCCAAACCACGCTCGGCGAGGACCTAGAGCAGCGTTTCAATGCCTACTTCATCAGTAATCCGGGCTCGCGATCGAATCTGTTCCAGAATTCCATCGCCTCGTTCTACAGGCGGTCTGGGCCTGCCCCGGCTGGTCCAACACATCTCAAGTATGAAGAACTGCTCTCTTTGATGGGCCTTGAGATGGTGGAGATGCTGCTGCTGCGTCTAGGGCATTTAGGATGCGAGAGACCCGAGACAGTGACGAATCGCAACGCGTTCATTACCGGATTGGCGGCCGATACGACCGCGTCGATGTTCGAGCCGTCGCAGCATGAGAGCCCACTGCCCGCGCTGGGTTCGCAGCGTATCCTCCAACTTGTCGATCTATGGTTCAACGTGCATCCGCTGTCGGCGCTGGTATCTAAGACCCTTCTAATCAATCGCATTAAGGACGGCACGGTCGACGAGGCCCTCCTCGCTCTTATCCTCGCTGATGCAAGCGAGTTTTACCGCGCCCGAGTTACTAGCCACGATGCCATTGACACCGAGGTCCTCTTCCAATGGGGCGCCACGCAGCTCCAACACCGTCCGGCCCTCCCCTCGCTCTCCACCTCGCAGTCCCTCGTCCTGATGGCCTGGCGCGAGCTGTGCATCGGCCACGCCCGCCGCGCCACCTGTCTCATCGGATACGCCTGTCGCAACCTCGCGCGACTCAACGAGCAATGGCAGCGCCACGAGCGCAAAGACACTCGCAAACTCAACGGCATCGCCATCAGCGACGTCGAGCTCGAGATCCTGCAGAACATCTACTGGTTCTGTCTCTCCACCACCGCCTGGGCCTTTATGCAGATCGACCAGCCCTTCTCGCTCTTCGTGCCGGACGAGACGCCTGCCTTTCCCTGTGTCGACGAGTCATCGTCCGCCTTGCTCCATCTCGATCGCGCGTCCGATCATATCTCTACCTTGCCCGCGCAGACGGCCGCCCTGCGATCCCTCTGGCCTCTCAGCCAGATCAGCAGTACCGTGGGGCATATCTATACGTTGTATCTGAATGCGCCGAAGGACGCAGGAGAATCGAGTACGCCCTGGCAAACGAGACACATTCATCAGCTGCATCGACTGCTTCAGTCGCGGGTGGATCTCTCGGCGTTGGCGCGTGAAATCCGCGGGATCCTGATGCAGGCGATCCGTGCCGTCGAGACGGAAGTTCGGACAGGTGTGACGCGGTCACAGCTCCTGGTCGCTTATCATACGATTGCGATTCATATGCTGTTTCCACCGGCAGGGCCCGGTTCACTCGATGAAGACGGGAATGAGGACGTGACGGATGCGTTCTGGCACTCTGTGCAGGCTATTCTGGGCCTGAGGGATGTTGACGTTGGAGAGGGGGTGTCTGCCTCTCCATCTGTTTTCTCCAAGCCCGACTCGGCCTCTATAGCACCTTTTATATCCCTTGCGATAGACACCTGCACTCGCGCCTTGACCCATCTTTACCATCATCACCATGCAGCCGCCAACCAGATCCAACCCCAATTCCAACCCCAACCCCAAACGCAAATCCTTCTCGACCACACGACGCACCTCCACTCTGCCTGCCTGCACGAACTCGAAACCACATCGGCATCATCCTACTCCATCCTCCGCGCGTCCAAAAAACGCCTCAAAGGCCTCAAACTCGCCCTGCAGAGTCTCGGATCGCCGCCGTCGCTGCCGGAGCTGGAGCTCCCCGGGGTGGGCTGGACGCCTGAGGGTCTTTCGTCCTTCTCCGGACCAGTCGCAGGGGAGGGGGCGATGGGGGGTATGTCAGGGGAGGGAGACGGAGATGGAGGGATTCTGACCGTAGATGGTCTCGGGGGTGTGGATCCCTGGGCAGGGCTGGAGATCGTGGATCCGTGTTTCTTTGCGGATGCGTCGGATGGGACAGGGCTGTTGGGGTTCCCGGGTCTGATGACGGGGGGGAAGGAGTTTAATTTCGATCTGGATTTTGATTTTGTGTAGTCTCATATTTCCAATTTGTATTATATCCATCTATCCCATCGACCAAGGACCTAAATAAACGAGTAAAAGAAAAGGAAAAGGCTAACCGAACATCGCAACCAAAACCATTCAAATCCCATCCCACAACATAAAAGAAAAGAAAGACAAAACCAATCAAGCCGTCAAACTAACCACCCTCCCCTCAAACTCGCCCTTCCCCTCGACCAACCTCTCAAACATCCACGCGCCAACATCCTTTCTCGAAATCGTATACCCAACCGCAGCATCGTCATCGACCCCGAAGCGAATCTTCCCAGCCCCAACCCCCTCGCCCGACGTCAACAAACTCGGCCTGAGAATCGTATACCCGCTCAGCGCGCGCTCGCCCTCTGGCTCCCTCCGCATCTCCCCCCGGATGACCTCCTCCATCACGCGCTTGTCGTCGTGCGGCACCTTCAGCATCCAATGGTACAGCGGGATCATGGCGATGGGGATGTCGCGTTTCGACGCGATGCCGGTGGTGCTGACGACGATGAGGAACGGCTTCTTCCTCTGGCTGGGTGCAGCGGTGTGATTGCCCCCGGTGGAGCCAGACCCTGACCCGGTCCCGGACCCAGCCCCCGCGAGACCCTGGCTCTGCAGTCCGCGACACGCGTCCAGCACCGCGCGCACCGCATCCTGACAGATAGTCGGGTTGTCGAGGGTGGGACGCAGCGGGTTATCGAAGCGCGGGGTGCCGCCGACGCCGGAGACGATGAAGTCGACCAGCTCACCGTCACCGTCTGGGCTGGAATTGGGAGTGTCGGGGGCTGACGCAGACGCGACGATCAGCGTCCTGCGCACGGCGTCGGCGTCGTCGATCGAACCCTGGATGACGGCGAGATTGGCGGTGGGGACGGTGACGTCGTGTTGGTGGAGGAGGGCGTGGAGTTTCGGGGGGGATCGTACCACTGTATTTTTGTGGGATTGGTTGGTTAGTTTGAGAGGGATTGGGCTTGTTTGGGCTTGTCTTTTCTTTTCTTTTTTTCTTTTTCTGGGTTAATGGAGGGGTTGGGGATGTGGACTTGGACGTACGGGCGTTGCAGCGGTAGCCGGCCTGCAGGGCGGGAATGAGACAGTTCAGGGTGCAGCCGCCGGTGGCTCCGAAGAAGGCGATGGTTTTGGGGCGGGGCATTTTGATCACGGAGGAGGGAGGAAATGTTGATGGTATATGAAGTACTGACTGTAAATGGTATTGATGGATAGAGTCGATCTGGAATGATCAGCTCTCAGCTCTTATACTGAGTCGAAGGGTGAAGTCTCCGCGACTCGACGGAGACTTTCTTGGCAAGGCTCCGTGGCCTCGTGGCGTCGGCGACTTTGGATGTCGGTGGCGGACGTGGAGGGATGGAATTGGATCTGTCTTTCAGTCTGTCTACTCCAGTATTTGTGTGACTGTCTGTGATCGTAGTTGGTGGTTAGATCTCAGCGTCCATTACTCGATCGGGAGTGGATAGACCGTTATGAGATGGCAATTATGACTGGCTGAGTCAGATGCCAACTTATGCAGTCGTCTGTCTCGTTCGAATTTCAGATAAATTAATTTACTTTCGCCGAAGCCCAAAGGACATTAAAATTAAAATTAATCGCCAGCGCTCGGATGTTCCACGCACGTGCCCTGCAATCTTGGATCGTACGACTTCAGTATTTAGTACGAGGTGGTTATACGATGGACGGACGATATACGATAGACGATGAAGGTACAGATCCAGACGAGTGTTGTCGACTACACACTGATAACTGCACTGCAAATCCATTGCAGAAGAGATCCTCATTAAAATGAAGGACCGGATTACGTCAGATTTTGGCCGAGGATTCTTCAGTGAGAATCAGTAGAATTAGAATCACTCGAACCCAAAGGATCCAGAACGATCGCCAGAAGAGGAAGAACCAGTACGAATACCACTCCAGAGGGTCAAGAACCTTTAAATCATCCCTGACTCCATCCAACACGTACTCGTAGCCGCCCGTCTGCGAGTGGACCCTCTCAGCACTAACCATGGCTCAGCCCCAGGGGTTTCATGATGATCTTTTCTTAGACCCTCCGGAGTCTTGAGTAAGATGCTGCCTGTCCCCCTGACGTCCAATTGACACTTGCCCCCAGATCGTTTCACCTTTTGCTTTCCTCTGCTCTTCTCCCTTCCTCCCTTCTCTCCTTCCCTCCTATCTCGACTCCGACTCTCGACCTCGACTCCTTCCTCGCCTTCCTCTCCTCCCTCCCCGGTATGGACCCGGCCTTCCGTCCGTCATGAAATTCTCCAACTTCGTCGCGGGCGCGCTCGCCGCCTTCGCCCCCCTCGTCCATGCCACCAACTTCATCGCCGCCGACTCGCTCATTCAATGCGGCGACAACACCAAGCTCTCCGTCACCAAATTCTCCGTCCTCTTCACCCCCGAAAATAAAACCCTCGAGGTCGGTTTCGAAGGCTCCACCGCCATCTCCGGAAAGGTGGACATGCAGGTCGACCTGATCGTCTACGGCTACAAGGCCCTGACCGAGCACCTCGACCCCTGCAGCTCCAAAGGTCTGACCGGTCTCTGTCCGATGACTCCGGGTGACCTGGACCTGAAATCCGCCAAAATCGACGTCGGCTCCGATGTCCTGAGCAAGATCCCCGGCATCGCCTTTAACGTCCCCGATCTGGATGCTCTCGTGCGCATCAACGTCAACGACAAGAAGACCGGCGACAGCATCGCCTGCGTCGAGACCCAATTGTCCAACAGCAAGTCCGTCTACCAGGTCGGCGTGTCCTGGACCGTCGCCGTCATCACCGGCCTGGGGATCATCATGTCCGCCGTCTACTCCGTGCTCGGTCACTCGCAGACCGCCACCCACGTCGCCTTCAGCGCCATCTCGTTCTTGACCTTCATGCAGGCCCAGGCCATGGCCGGCATGATGTCCGTCCATATGCCGCCCATCGTGCAGGCCTGGACCCAGAACTTCCAGTGGAGTATGGGCATTATTCACCTGGAGGGCTTGCAGACGCTCTGCACCTGGTTCCAGCGCGCCACCGGGGGCACCCCTTCGACCCTGCTGTCCGACCTGTCGCACACGTCCGTCATCGTGCAGAAGCGCTCGTCCATCCTCTCGCGGGCTGCCAGCGCCCTGGCGCGTCGTGCCGACGAAGGCGCCGGGCAGGTCACCGTGCGCGGCATCGAGCGCGTGGGCTTCCGCGCCTCCATCGAACCCAGCAACGTCTTCATGACCGGCTACTTTTTCTACTACTTCATCGTCGTCGTCATCCTCATCTGCGCCCTCCTGACCAAGCTCATCTGGAAGCTCCTGAGCAAGAAGCGCCATCTGCCCGTGCAGCTGACCGCCGGCTGGACCTCGCTGACCCGCGGCACGCTCTTTCGCCTGATGTTCCTGGGCTACACGCAGATGTGCGTGCTGTGCCTCTGGGAGCTGACGCACCGCGACTCCGGCGCCGAGATGGCCCTCGCCATCTCCATGTGGCTGCTGACCTCGCTGGCCCTGGGCTGGGCCACCTTCAAGATCTTCCAGCGCGCCAAGCGGTCGATCAGCATGCACAACAGCCCCGCCTACACGCTCTACTCGGACCCGACCTGCTTCAACAACTGGGGTTTCCTGTACATCAACTACCGCGCCACCGCCTACTACTTCATCGTGCCCATGCTCGTCTACACCATCATCAAGGGCATGGTGATCGCCTTCGCGCAGTCCGCCCCCGTCGCCCAGACCGCGCTGATCCTCGTCCTCGAAGCCATCATGCTGATCGGCGTCAGCATCATCCGGCCGTACATGGACAAGGGCACCAACATCTACGGAATCGCCGCGGCCGCCGTCAACTTCCTCAACTCGGTCTTCCTGCTCATCTTCTCCGACGTGTTCAACCAGCCCGCCCTCATGACCGGCATCATGGGCGTCATCTTCTTCGTCTACAACGCCGTCTTTGCCATCGTCATCCTCATCTGGATCCTGCTGGGCGTCTACCACGCCATCCGCCTCAAGGAGCCCGACTCGCGCTACCAGCCCATCAACGACGACCGCAACTCCTTCATGCGCTCCGGCGACCAGATGACCACCGAGCTGGACGCCCTCGGCAAGTCCGCCCGCGGCGACCTGCGCTTCCAGTCCCTGGGCGACGGCGACGACTGGAGCCCCGCCCGCGAGAAGGCCCCCGTCTGGAACAACGACCCCTACCACCACAGCGACTACGGCCACAGCGGCAACAACAGCCCGCACACGATGGCCGGCGCCCGCTCACAGACCGATATCGTCGATCTCTCGGTGCCGCTGGTCCCGAGCGGCAACACCCACGACGCGCGGTACGGCCAACCACAGTATGGCCAACCGCAACAACCGCAAAGGATGTTTTAGTTTCTGTCTGATACCTACGAGTGGACTTTATTTTGGATTGTACATAAAACCGCTGTTCTTTGATGTCCTTTTTATCTTTCTTGTTGATATTGATATCTTGTAGCATAGATTTGGAGTTTCAGTGCCGGAGTATATACATGGATTTAATGTTTGTTGATGATTTCTTCCTCACCTGCTATTCATATTCATCTTAATCTTCATGCTGATGGTTGCTGCCTAAGGATTGGTATCTGGATCTGGATCTTAATCTCGCTAACACTAATACTAACACTAACATGAACAATGAACACCCACTGCCGAGCACGATGTCAGATGCAATAATACCACCCAAGACTCAAATTTGCCTGGGCAGTGCTACTCCGTACCTTAGTGAATGCTACTACTCCGTATAGGTACTAATTAGCCCATCCGGGCTCATCCGACCGGTGATTTCTCCTTTAAATAATGGGTCTGGTTTCAGGTGGAGTTAGTGTGGAAGGTGGAGTAATTTGGTAAATTACCTACTTCGGAGTGGTCGGTTGCTCAGGTACGGCGTTTGGGAGTTAGGCAGTAGGATTTACTATTGAGATTTCGATCCAGGGACAGGGATAGGGTCAGGGTCAGGGGATCTTGGTTCGCTTTGCATGTCTAGAATGGTCGTGGTTCGGGTGGGTTTAAGTAATATTGGGATGCCCAATGTGGTTGTGTTGTTGATTTTATAGGAAGAAATCACTATACTTGAAATTGCTAGTTATTAAACAGGGGAAATCGGTAAAATGCTTGGCATTCGATTGCGCGTCAAAGCTCTACACGGCCCTCCCTAAATTGGTAACCGTGAAGCTGATTTGATTTCCGAAACAGGTAATTAATGCTTGACAACGTCCGAAGACAAGCTCGAAGCGATCGCTATACTGAAGTTTCCGAGGGCTTTATCCAACATGGAGATACAGAAAAGAAAGACCCGGCTCGCGCAGTTTGGCTCTACTAATGGTAAGCCACAATCGCGAAATGCCGTTCAAGCGACATTAAACGACTCTACTCTATCCGAAGAAGAACCGTCCAGAATCATTTAATCGCATTTTACCTAAAGAACTTGACTATTTTAATATAACCTTACCTGGGCTCTATATCTTAACATCGGCTTTTCTAGAAATATTTAATATTAATAATACTATCTTCTCTCCCGTCGTCTCCCTACCTCAGATGTATCTTTTGCCTCCCCGCTTCGAGAATCCGTCCTCTTGTTACAGACTAGCCTACTTTAATAAATACGAAACAGGACGTGAACGATCTGACGTGTCAAGGGTCTGATAGCAACTGACTAGCCTGCAGATCACAGTTACCATTATCTCATGGAAGGCCTGAGCCGTTAGGCATCTGGGACATGCAAACAGCTGTTTGCTGCGGAGCTCCTCTACCCTTTCATCTCCTGTAGATAGCTGACCAGTCAATTCACCAATGTATCTTGAAGTGATTTAATGCACCATACTGGGCACATTTCATCAGAATATCAACACAATCATCTCGTGCTATCCTGGAGTTTTACAGAAGCTGCATGATCGCCTCATTGTCTTCACTGTGGATAGGGAGCTATATTGATGTGAATGGTCTATAATAGTTTACTATGACTTTATCATATCTTGACTACCAATACAGACAAGTGTTGCGACCCGGCCCAGAGATATCACACCAGAAAAGCTCTTCTCTATGTACGTTCAAGGCCATTTATTTCCAGCTGAGCTCGAACAACTATAAAGGCTACATACTGCCTCTCTAAATCAATCGGACAGCTGTTTCTCATCTTCAGCACACAGTCAGATATTGAGTGTGATAATATAATGAACTGACCGAAACACTATGCAGGAAGTTGAGTTTGAAAGGTCAAAAGCATCACAATATCACATACCACATCGGACGGTATAGTGACTGGCTGATGAAGTCCGTGGTTGATGACATCCGTGGACAGGATTGGTGGGATGTCACCATTTAGACAGGGATTTTAGGCTATAAAAGGGTTTCCATCCTGCTATTGTTTACAACCTGTACCCGTTATAGTGACGTTCGAGCCTAATGTGACTTACACGCCAGTTACCTCTTATGTTATCCACAACCCAGGGTGAGTTCTTCGCCCCCATCATGTTGACCAGACGAGATGACTGTCTCTCACATAGTGCTCCCATCTCAACCCTTGATTTCCGAAACCACGAAACTTCGAAGCGCCAAAAGGCACATTAAAAAAAGAGAATGAGAACTGGACAGAAAAACCAGAAGATAGCGCTGACCGTCAAGATTCCAACGACAACCCAGGAATAGACCCAGGAAGTTGGCCAAAGTAGGGCTCTAAAACTCTTCTGAAATCCAAATACGCGGCTACGCAGTGCCGATCAAACAAGCTCACTTTAAGAAAGTTCAGTCACATCATGCTACGGGTAGAGGATACGAGCCAGCCAGTTAGAATCAATCTCTTGATTAAGTGACAGTTCCATTAATAACTCGCAATGCCCCAGCCGGACCAAACCAACACTTGGTCCAACAGCCTCGAAGAGTATGGGGTTAGCCTACGTCGTCAGTGCGCCAAGCAACAAGCGATAATATTATGATCTTCTCATTCCATCCAATAAGGACAGCAGCTGCATTGCTAACTGTATAGAAGTTGGAACCGGTAAGGCTGGGTTGCCTGCCGAGATTTCATCGTCAGGGGCGGATACTTAGAGTGAACCGTCGGGGGCCAAAAGCGATCCCGATGAGGGAGGTGTACAAGGCTGTGGTGTTCTAACATCCAACGTTTAACTATCATTGACCACTGAGCCGCAGTTCGGCGTGGACCGCAGGATTTAGATCTGCGCGCCAACCCATACATATTCTTCCTCAGGCCAACAGACAAGAGTCAATGCTACTCCGATAGGGTCTTGATGCGCCCCCACGCCGCGAATCATAAGGAACAGGATTAGCGCAGAGCAGATGGCAGTGCTTGTTTTGTATGTTCCTGGCAGGATGTATGCGCTCTCATACGCTGTCGTATTTCTTTACAGTATGGAGGATCTGTAGCCTGATCAATTTGAAACGGTCCCAGTTTTCATCAAATGGATTTGGATGAGTCGTTCGCTCGATGATATAACTGAGCAGTGTCCAGGCTTGCCATTGTTTGATTCACAAATCCCACATTCGTTTACTGCCATCGCGACACTGCAATATGCATCCCCTCTGGGCCGTCGGTATCGGCTCCGTCCTTCTGGCGCCTGTCCAGGGTTTCCCTCATTCTAGTTCATTTGCTGTGTCCTGCTCGGGCAATTGCTCGTCGTCAATCGTTAGCCCGACTGGTTCGGTTCCGGTGACTCTGAGCGATACGACTGCTGAAGTTGCAACTACTGAGGCTGCGACTACTGAGGATGCAGCTACCGAAGATGAAACTACCGAGGCTGCAGCTACTGAGTCCGCAGTTTCGACGGACACAGGATCAGTGCCTGTCATTCCATCTCCATCCGTTTCGGCAGATGGAGAGACTACTTCAGTGCCGGTGATCCCTACGTCGGGGGGCGTCACCTCTCCGTCGTTGGACTCGTCTGCATTGACTGCATCCACGGCTGTGACGAGTGAACCTGCTTCTGAGTCAGAGTCAGATGCCACCGCTTCTGATCCTACCGAGCCCGCCACAACTGATTCTGAGCCTGCTACAGGTTCCGAGTCTGCCACTTCCAGGTCGTTGATCTCGTCTGCTGCAACGGGATCTACGGTTGTCACTCCATCTCCCGGGTCTACTGGCTCGGCAACTACAGGGTCTGAAGCCGTGACGTCGGGGTCTTTGATCTCTGCATCGACGGCATCAACGGCTGTCACGAGTGAGCCTCTTACATCGTCTGCCTCAAATGCTACCGCTCCCATCAATTCTACAGAGCCCGCAACCACTGGCTCTGAACCTACCACTTCCAAGTCGTTGATTTCGTCTGCTTCAGCAGGGTCTACAGCTGTGTCTAGCCCTATAACAACCGATGCATCCGCTACGACCCCGGAGTCCACATCCAGCTCAACCGGCACTGAACCTTCGGCCGAATCTTCCACCGAATCTTCGAATGAGTCAACAGAAACAGCAGGCGAGTCTACCACCGACGCCCCCTCGACCGACTCCCCCTCGACCACCGAGAGCCTCTCGACCATCACTTCAGCCTCCGTTTCCCTCGAAACGGTGGCCACGCTCCCCGGCATCACGGACAACACCATCCTCGAGACCACCAAAGACGGCCACAAGACCAAGGTTCCCGTGTTCTATAACTGTGACTGGTGCAATGGAATCGTGGTCCTGTGGGGAATGGGTGCGTACTCCATCCACGAGACCCTTAATCTATACTGACAATCACAGGGGCTGCCAATGGCATCTATCCCCCACCAGGACCTGGATGGCCAACTGTCACCATCGATGACGGCAGCCCGACTGCCGAGCCTACGCCTGATGGTGATGACCCGGATGACGACCCCGAGCCTGAACAGACGGCGTCAGACAGCAGACCGACCGAGACGGCCAAGAAGACTTCCGCCGAGGAGTCATCCAGCAGCTCTACCCAGTCTTCAAGCACTGCTGAGTCCTCGAGCACCACCCCGTCTTCGACGTCAGCTGCGTCAACCACCTCCACGCCGTCTTCGACCTCGAGCACGCCCTCCTCAACCACTTCTCCATCCACCTCCACGCCCAGCTCGACCTCAACCTCAGCCGATGTCTGCACGCCCAGGCCCCGACAGACGATAACCTGGCGCTCAAGAAGCACAACATCCTCTCCCTCCTCCACCGCCGCCCCATCCACCACCAGCGGCAGCACCCTAACAACTACCACCTCGCCAACCACCACCAAAGCCCCCTACACCGTGACGCAAGACAACAACGCCGTAGTCGCCTGCTCCGACTACAACGTCACCACCATGTCCAACCCATTCCGCGTCTGGCCCGTAGTTTCTGCCTTCACCATGACCCTCTGCCAGGGCCAGAACTCCACCATATCGACCTACGTCCCGCCCACCACAAGCACGACCTCGACCTCCTCCACGCCCAGCTTCTCCGCCACGCCCACCGAGGAAGTCGCCTGCTTCGAGACGCACGGATCCAGCGACGCAGACAAGCTCGTCCTCCAGGGCAACCTCGAGGAGGGCGTCGACGAGTACTGCCGTGGCGGCGACTCCGAGGACGAGATCCGCTCGGACCCCGACAGCAAGTGGAAGGGGAGCGACCCGGTGCAGAATAATCGGTTCTTCGGCGGGTATGTGTTCAACGACGATGCGCCGGAAGAGTGTCATCAGATCTGGAACGATGATTCCACGTCGTTTGTGAACTCGTTGTGTTCGGAGCCGATGCAGGCGATTCGTGAGAAGTGTGAGTGGAATGGTGGCAGGGTGAGGAATGCTTGTGGACAGTGGTGGTTGGGAACATGTCCGTTGGTGACTTCGCCGTATAAGGGGTATAATAAGTGTGAGCCGAATGAGCAGGATACGATTTGATTTGAAGGAGTTGAGTTTGTTTTAGAGGGGGGATGTTGTTAGGGGAGTTCCTTCCTTTTATGTATTTTCTGTTGGTTTCTTGTTCATAATTCGAGAAAGAATACATACATCTGATAGAAAGTGTACCTTCTTATCCTAATGCCACTTGAGGTATTAAGGACTTGCAGTGAATGTTATTGGTTTCGCTCAACCTCCAGTCTTCCACAAGAATTGACATTTTGAATTTCGACTCTGCATCATCTTAACATTGAAGTTGAATCATCACTTCCGGCAGCCAAACCTTTCAAAAAGACCTTTCATGAAACGTGACTTCCCCGAGTCAACATTGCAGACAGCCCATCAACAAATAAAAGCGATGGCTTCGAAATCAACCCGAGTCGGGAAAAAGAATGTCAATAAGTGGGCACAGCGCTTAACATTTCTAAATGAATGCAGTATACTAATCTAGCGCAAGATTCCAGGGAAGGACCATCGACATAGTCGTGGGAGTCGAGCGCAAGGTTTACAGCGTCCACGAGCAACTGATTCGCGCCTCTTCTGTGTTCTTCGACAAGGTCATGGCAGGCGAATGGACGGAGTCCAGGCAGCGCACAGTTCAACTTCCAGACGATGACCCGGAGATATTCGCGCTCTACGTACACTGGCTCTACTGCGGCACCCTGCCTGTGTTCTGTGATGAACCAGATCCCGCCAAAAATGATGAGTACATGGGTCTAATCAAGGCCTATGTCCTGGGTGATAAGCTATTGGACGCCGAGTTCCACAACGCCGTGATTGACGCTATCGTCGAGGAAAGTCGCTCTGAGGCGCAGGACAAACATCTTTGGTTCCCTGGGGAAAAGGTAATCGAATATGCCTACGAAAACACGACCGAGCGGGCACCAATACGTAGGCTACTCGTTGATATGTGGGCGATTTATGCGAAGAGTTCGTGGCTCGATGACCCGGAGGAGAGCGCATATCTTCCGCATACCTTTCTTCTGGGGCTGCTCTCCAAGCGACTGGATTCAAATTTTGATGCTAATGAGTCTATTGAGGCCTGCAATTATCACACCCACAAACACAGCCATGATAACTTATCGCCGCCAGAAGAGAAGTAGTTCAAACTACAGTTTCATGGATTTTGTGGCAAGTTTTTATTTCCTTCTGTGTGTTCTGAAGAATTGACCTTCTCAATCTGCATACTGTCCCTTTCGTTTGGATTCTTGTATGGAGGGCCAAAGTCCCAGTAACATGCTCTCAGTTACACTTTGGGAAGAAGCTAGGCACGGATAATATTCTGCAAAATCTTGCTTCTATTCTTTGTTTTATCTTTCTCTTTCTCTCCCCATTTTTATTTTTGTTATTTCCCATGCTTCTTTTGCTTTTGCCGACTGGTCTAGGCCACTCGCTGTTCTAGTTTATGCATGATGCAGCCGCCAGACCGTCATCAAATGAGAAGTCTTTTTTCCCTATCAATCAGGCTGCCGCCTGTAACACTGGCGCCTTATCCACTTCATTCAGACAGGATCTACGCCCAGCGTAAACTAAGAATCCAGGCGGCTAGTAGAGCAGCGTATCTTCTATAAAAAAGTATCGAATCCCTGGAAATTCTGTCTCGGCTCCTTTTAATTCTCCATGTTTATTCATCTTTCTTTCGATTCCAACCCAATACCATATTCCACCACACATAAAAGATATACACCTCTATAAACAGACTTCCTCTTCAAAATGCCTCTTCGACCAAAATCCTCCATCGCCGCCCAGTACGAAGATTACTCCATCTACATCATGCTCAAAAGCCGCGGTGCCCTCCCGGGATTCCACTGGGGTCTATTCATCCCGACCAGCTCTCCAGCCGGGGAATTATGGCACGCAACCAACGAGACCGGTGGCTGGGTTGTTACGCCCACTTCGACCAACGAAATCCCCTTCTCCATGGCCCTTGTGCTGGCCTATAAGATCGGTTCTATTAGTCCCAGTGGGTTAGGAGCTGTGAAGAATATTCTGGATAACGTTCCGTACAATATATCGCACTCGCCAAATACAAATGAGCCATTCTCGTGCCGTATTTGGGTGAAGGATGCTTTGGTTCAGCTCCGTGAGAATGGGTTCATGCTTCTGAGGGATGTTTCGGAGATCGAAGAGGAGTTGATTGATCGAGCTAGTGATCATAAGGAGAGCGTGGAAAGAGGTGAGGAGGATGCTGTGGTGGGGAGCTTTTGAAATGGATTGGCATCAGGTGAGAGAAGGCTTAGATGTACAGGGGTGAAAATAGTATCTCAAGTCAACTGAGCAAAAAGGCTCCCCGATTCATCATCCAGAGTAACGTAGATTCTATGACCGTATGTATATCCGCCTTTGATGATTGAGATGCTCCTAGAAGCATATTAATGCGCTAAAATAGATACATAGAAAGAAACTGAAGTCCGTAAACATGCATCCAAAGCTTCCATCAAGGAAATTAATCCTAAAGTGTAGGATGCACGCACATCGTAAAATAAATCCTTAGAGCTTGTTCCGAAGTAGGGATAGATACCCGATCGAGGGTAGTACACTAGAAGATCATGGTCCAAAAGAGGGAATTGGATTATCCTGCGGGGGGTTGGGGGGAAAAGCGACTTCGTGAAGAAGTAACTAAAAGGGTTGTGCCGGTATGGATGATAGAATGCGGGGGGAATGAAAGAGGCTATACCAAATGGGTACCTCTCCGCTATCTTCCCATCTTTTCTTCATCACGTCAGATTTCATGTTTCCCCATTCTTGCGAATTCCCTATCCGACACTCAAAGGCGCGTCCATTTAGCTTTGGAAGATGGATACAACGAAGGACCAAGAAGAAACGACGCTCCACTCCCTGTTCGGTCGCAAGGTTGTCCGAGTCGGCGATAATCTCGCGGTGAAGTCGGGCAAGAATCTCCGCTCCCACAAGCGCAAACACTTCGATTTATCGCGGCAAACACAACCATCCCGGTTCCTAAAGTCCACGATGTTCAATGGGAAGATGGCAAAGTCGTGGCTATAGTGATGGACTATATCCCTGGCCAGCGGCTCGACGAAGTGTGGGACACTCTAGACCCCGACCAAAAGCTCCCCATTGCCGATGAGCTAAATTCCTATCTCTCCCAACTTCGCGAGTTGAAAGGCGACTACATCGGCGCTATTGATCGCGGTCCGGCTGTTATTGGACGCCGTATACCTATCGAATGTGGCCCGTTCGATTCTGAGCAACAATTCAATGAGTTCATCTTGGGGGATGTTGTTCCGTCAGCACCGGATTTACTACGGCATTATGCGAAATTCGCGCTCGAGAATAATCATCACATTGTTTTTGCTCACGCTGACTTTGCACCTCGGAATGTTCTTGTCGATGGAGGTCGAGTCACTGCCATCCTGGACTGGGAGGATTCGGGGTGGTACCCGGAATATTGGGAGCATATTAAGGCGCTTGCACAGTTAAAACCGATGCCTGACTGGCCGGAATATCTGGCCCGCATTCTTCCTCCGGGGTTTGAGAGAGAATATATAGGCATGTCCTTTCTAGCTCTGTTCTTACGACACTAACAAAAAGCCCGGGTGAACCGGTTATGTGCATCACGGTTGTAGATCCATTATGAAACACGAAAAACAGCGCAGCATTACGGTATTTGGTGAAGTCAAGCGGATCGCTCGCGTAAACGAGTATGGAAACTTTGGTCAGCATTTCAACGATAGACCAAATTGTTGATTTGGCTGTTGCTTTTCAAGGTGTACAAAACGGTGATTTATTGAAGGATTCGGGATTTTGATTGTCTGGATGAAAGTGAGTAATGTTGTGCCCACAGGTCAAGAGCTGCACATCCTAGCAATATTTGACGAGGGTCGAGCTGAGCAAATGGGAGCTAGGATACCTCCATAATAGCCAAGACAAGGCTAGGAAACATTCTCATTTGGCGCCCACCGGCCTTCTAGCTAACTAGGCAAGTGATTCGTGCGTGCACGTAAACGAGGAAAGCGGCAATATTGTAGGTAGGTAGGTAGGTAGTTTCTTTTATAGATCTCCGTATTTTCCAAATGTGTAACTCTTTTATCCTTATGTGCTATATTTACCATTGGTCGAAACGAGAGAGGACTATATTCAGAGATAAACGTGGGAAGAGGAAGTAGGATACAATCGTCCTGTTGGCGCTAATTGTACGGAGTCTGGCCCTGATTTACTGTAACCAATATAGTAGTACACTTGGCCATTGCTTGTGTATTGGCGGCGGTCTCATCATCTCATGATTCAAGTTGTTTGTAAAACTGCTTTACTGAGCTTGCATTTATCCTGGGCAGAATAGAAGTCAACTTACTTATATGAATTTCAAACACCGGTTTGAAAGGACCCATCCTAGGCAATATTCTCAAAAATAAAACCATTCCAGAAAACATACAAAGTACAGGGGCAGACTAAAGACTGACAGAATGCCTCAGGCACAGCGATAGAGTTGATGAGTCAGCGGCCGATTGCCTCGGCTCCTGATTTCCCCGCAAACGCTGTTGACCGTAACACCTGCTTTCACCTCCATTTTATCATCCATCCTCCTATTTCACGTAATAGCTATAATTGGCCATCATGTCCTCAAATATAACATATCCTGGGATTGCTCAACGCAAGCAATCCCATCTTGATGCTCAAATCCCCGCAGAATGGAAGCTCCCCGCATCGTTTATCCCCGAAGGGATGCTCTCCATTGCGGACTCCATCACCAACGTTAAAGAATACCAATCCGTCAACGTAATGGGTATCCCGAGGTCCTGCGGACTTCTTACGCATCAAGAGCTGGCTATCACAGAGAACTACGATATTCGAGCTCTTCTGACGATCATCGCCGAAGGAAAGCTCTCAAGTGAGGAGGTTATTCGGGCATTTAGTAAGGTTAATAGTTCCTCTTAATCTCCCTAATCCAAAGTCTCAACATAAACTAACGAGAGTATTGCAGAGAGCGGCTATCTCTCACCAATTGACTCGCTGCTTGACCGAGCCGCTGTTCGACCGCGCTGTCGCCAAAGCTAAACAACTCGACCTTCACCTGCAACAGACCGGTAAACCAATCGGTCCGCTGCACGGCCTCCCCGTCTCAGTCAAGGACCCCTTCCACGTCAAGGGATTCGACTCGTCTCTTGGCATCGCTGCTCTGGCATTCCAGCCCGCCACGGAAAACTCCCCCCTCGTCGACCTCCTGGAGTCCCTGGGCGCCGTCGTCATTGCCAAGACTAACGTGCCGCAGACCATGGGCGCCCTGGACAGCTGTAACCATCTCTTCGGACGCACTTTGAATCCTCAGAACCGCAAGCTCACGGCAGGAGGAAGTACGGGCGGAGAAGGAGTGCTGGTGGCCATGCGCGGGTCGATGGTTGGTTTCGGATCTGATATCGGAGGCAGCATCCGTGTTCCGGCAATGTGCAACGGTATATACGGATTCAAGCCCAGCGTGGGGAGGGTGCCGTACGGAAGCCAAGACGCGGGCATGATGCCCGGGAACATGCGTGTGTCTTTACAGGCCGTGGCGGGTCCGTTGGCGCGCTCGGTGGCTGATTTGGGGGCTATCATGGAGGAGATTGTTTCTCGCGCGGAGCTGTTCGGGGAGGACTGCATTCCCGGACAATGGCGGGGCGAGTTTCCCGCGCAGATGCCAGATACGCGGAAGCAGAATCTGACGATTGGTGTGCTGCGTTCGGACGGCTTGGTGGAGCCGTTGCCGCCCATTGCTAAGGTTCTGGATGAGGTGGCTCGGGCGCTGGGTCGCACGCCTGGCGTCGAAGTAGTCGAGATCCCAGTACCGCCTGCTCTAGCCAAGTGCCAAGCCATAGCTGGCAGGCTGATGGGCGCTGATGGAGGCAACAGCATGATGGATCTGCTTGACAAGACTGGAGAGCCTCTGATCCCCTGGCTCCAGGGACGCACCAAGCGCGGCAAGGAAATGACCGTGACACAACTAGGTCAGCTGCAGGCACAGCGATCGGTCATTGAGCGGGAACTACTGAAGATGTGGAACCAAAACGGCCGACGCGTCGATGCAATCATTCACCCCGTGGCGCCTCACCCGGTCCCTGAGATCGACCGGTACAACGCCGTCGGGTATACGTCCAGCTTCGTGCTCTTGGACTACCCGGCAGGCGTTATCCCGGTCAGGCCGTTCAACCAGGGAGATCTCGAGAAGGGGAAGGAAATGAAAACTCCCCTGATCGGCAGCTGGGATAAGGCCAATCGGAAGCTTTGTATGTTCGGCTTCTACACACCCCTGTTGACTTTGCTAACTTGAACAGGGGACGAGCAAACCGTCGACCGTCGAGTATACCTGGACTCGCCGCTGAGTATCCAGGTTGTAACACCAAAGCAGCGCGACTACGAGCTCTTCCGGGCCATGGAGATCATCGACCGTGTTGTACAAGCAGACAGGAATATCAGGCCAGCCTCGAAATTGTAAATCTAACCTGCTAAGAGCGATGCCATGTCAAAATGATATAGTTTGTATGGTACTCGAATGAAATTGAACCATCTACCTCCTTTCTCTCTCTCGATAATTTACAACCTCCCCCGCAAATTGGCACCCCCATCCGTCACCAACACCGCGCCATTGAAATGCCCACCAGCCCGACTGGCCAAGAACACCACCAATCCGGCGATATCCTCCGGCCTCCCCAGCCTCTTATTCGGCGACTGGTCCTCCATCGCACCCAGCCCACCCTGCAACTCAATCAGCCCGTTCGCCATCTTCGACGGGTAGAATCCCGGCGCAATCGCATTGACCAGGATATGCCGGGGTCCCAGCTCCAGCGCCAAGTTCCTCGCCAGATGCAGCGCCGCAGCCTTCGACGCCGAGTAACTGAACGTAGCATTCTCGCCCAACGACCCGGGGATAATACCAGCCGCGGAGCCGGTGATGAGCACGCGCGAGGGATCTTCTTTATTGGCATTCACCGACAACAGCGGCGCGAACCTATCCATCCACGCAGCTCAACGTTAGCCATCTCATCTCATATCATCCCCAACCCAACCAAACACCAAAACCACCAGGAGCAAAACCTACTTCTGAATCGTATAAAACACCGACTTGACATTCAACTCCATAACCTTCGAAAACATCGCCTCGGGATGCGTCTCGAACTTCTCGCCCCACGTGGCGCCCGCGTTCGCAAACAGAATATCAACATGGTCGGTCGTCTTCTTGACCTCCTCGACGAGTCGGTCGAGCTCGGCCACGCGGCTGTTATCGGCAGGGATGGCGATGGCGACCGCGCCGGGGCGTTTGTTGGGCAGGGCGTTGAGCGCGCGCACGGCCTCGTCGCAGGCGGCAGCTTTGCGTGATGTGATGTAGACTTTGGAGCAGCCGGCTTGGAGGAGGCTGGTTGAATGGGGTTGTTAGCGGGATGTAGTTCGGGGGGTTGGGTTGCGCGACAAGGGGATGGACATAACCCGATCGGATGGATGCAGACAGGCATAGATAGGGCTCGGAAACCGAATCCTCACAATTAAACACCTTATATATAGTCTGGAGTGCAAAGGACAAGACAAACTCAAACGTAACTTGACTTACCCACTCGCAGCGTGCAGGCCCAGCCCGCGCGAACCGCCCGTCACGACAGCGACTTTGCCATCGAGCGAGAAGATCGAGTTGAAGTTGGAGAGCTGGACTTGTTCTTCGGCGGACATGGCGTTTGTGCTCTGTTTCGGTTTTTGATTTATTGGTAGATGGCTGGTGGATGGGTATTATGGAGATAAGGTACTTGGGATGGGGGAGGTGATTGTTGTTAAGATGAAAAAGCAGCCGAGCTAGAGCTGAGAGGGGAAAGTGCCGAGGTCCGACTGAAAGGGGCAAATCGCGCTAACCCCGCATTTTTGATTAGATCATTTCTTATCGTTAGGACTTCTGGATGGTCAAAACAAGACGGGCGCAGATCTGTGAGGTTGTGATAATGTGATCAGTGTATTTTTTGACTTGACCTGGCGATGAGATGTCTCAATGCTTTAAGCATGAATGCTATGCGTTCCTATTGAGTATTTGGTCACTGATAACTGGAGTCCAAGACTGGAGAGCTACGTGCCGATCGGCCATTGCAATTGTGTTGGTATATATTTTAAAAGAGTTAATCTGCCCAGGTTAGTTAAATTCCCGCTGCCACTCTACAATCCTAGGGGAGAAGGGAAATGTATTTCCTTCTTTCACTAACATATAAGGACCAAAAGCATTCCCATAATATGTATGCAAGAGATCAACCACTACAGAGAGAGCGTTGAAGACCAATTTGGCCACAAGTACCAGCAGATAAATTTTTCAATATTAACGAAAAGATGTTCAAACATTGCAACCTGGAATACACACCACTATCTTCTGGACTCAACTGTCCTGCAGAAACCACTGCCGACAAGCCGAGCCGGGTAAATCTCGGATGCGGCAGCCACCCCGACCGGCCCGAAATTTAATACTGCATGCGGATTGACTCAAATGAATACGGATTATGGTTGTTAATTGTAACTTAAATTAAAAATGCTAAATATACGATTAATATTTTTTTTGTAATTGAAACAAGAATTACCCCCGGTTCAGGGTTTATATTGAGGTCTGGTAAGAACTCCCTCCTTTTGTGTCCTGGGTATACCATTCAAAGCAATTTCCAAATACTACATTTCGCGGAAGCCTACATTACGATATAGAAACTGTACTCTGAAAGGGAGGGAAGATGTCACTGGAACGACATAGCTTTATTCAATAAAGTCTACATCGCTGACTTGAAAATATATGAACTGATTCTAGGAAAGAAATAGTTGAGGAATGTGAGGGTTCTGAAAGGGTCTAAGGAACAGCCTAGCTGAACCAGCCGTTGTTCTGCCATTTGATCTAAAGAAAAGAAAGTCAGCATGAACCGATGAACAGAATAATGAATTCCCAGAGCACTCACGTAAGAAGCATCAATCTTCTTCAGGTCACCGACGCCAAGGTTTCCAGCATCAATGGCAATCTCATGCTTCAGGAGCTGGATGGCGCGCCGGACGCCCTCCTCACCGTAGGTGTTGGAATACATGAAAGGACGGCCCAGACCGACAGCCTTAACACCCAGAGCCAGGAGCTTCAGGACGTCGCCGCCGTAGCGGACACCGCCGTCAGCGTAGATCTCGATCTGGTTGAAAAGGTCCGGGTCTTCTTGGTGGATCTCGAGCGCGACCTCGAGAGGCGACGGGGTGCCGTCGAGCTGACGACCGCCGTGGTTGGAGAGGATGACGGCCGGAGCGCCGTGCTTGACGGCAAGACGCACGTCCTCGACGGTCTGCACGCCCTTCAGGATGACCGGCAGCGTGGTGAAGTTCTGCAGCTTCTTGTAGTAGTCCCAGGTGATGTAGGTGTAGTCGCTGTCGGCGGAGCCGACGCCGTAGCGGTTGGCGCGGTGGCGGTTGCCGTCGGAGGCGGAGTCGACGGTGAAGACGATGGCCTTGGAGCCGAGCTTCTTGGCGTGGTCGAAGACTTCCTTGGTCTGGGTGTCGTTGGAGTTGAGGTACACCTGCTGGAAGATGGTCTGCGAGCCGTTGGAAGGTTTGGCGGCGGCAATCTCGTCGAAGGAGAGAGTGGCGTAGTGGGAAGGAATGTAGAGGATGTTTTCCTTGTACGCGGCCTTCACGAAGTTGGCCTCAGCTTCGGGGTGGGCAAGACCACCCGACGCGCAAGGACTGATGTAGAAGGGGGCAGAGAAGTTGTGGCCCAAGATCGAGGTGGACAGGGTGGATTCGATGTTGGTGATGTCGACAAGGGTCCTGGGTCGGAAGCGGAACCGGCCGTACACTTCCAGGTTGTTTCGGTAGGACCACTCGCCAGCAGCACCGTTACGGTAGTAGGTGTAGGAAGAGTCGTTCATGTACCGTCTGGCGGCCCATTCGAAGTCGGGAAGACCAAAGATCTGGTCCAGGTCGGGCAGTTCACCCTCGGGGGTGTTGCCAAGAGCAGCCTCGATACTAGAACCCGGTTAGATGTATGTCCATAGAAGACAGAGAGATGTCGACCTACCCAGTATCGGGCTCATTGAGGAAAGGCCGAGTGGCAAAAGCCGCCTGAATGAGCGGAAGCAAAAAGAATGTGGAACGCATGATTGAAAGAGTGACTTGATTGAATCTCGTAAGGAACGTTATGCGATGATCTCTCCCTCATCCAGGAATCCCATCTGGGGGGACAGATGCAGTAGTTAAATGCACTCTCGCTGCTAAGCTCAGACTGTGCCCTCCAATTGTTCATTTTCCTTCGGGGTTCGTTCATATCTGCCGGCGTGAAACATCACCAACGAGCTTCTCCCGGTGGGATATTGGCATCCTGTTGGTTTCGCTTGGCAGGCAGGCTCCAGTAATCTGCTCAACGTCGCAAGTGGTCGCAGACTTGCTTGATAATGATGACGAAGATTCTTCATACTACTAGTAATGGGCGGAACATTGCCGGAGCGATGTCACTAGGGAAGGAAAGGAAGGGACAGTTAGAAACTAGGGGCCTAGTCTCTACCCAAACCAGCTAGACCCTGTCTCAATGGCTGTAAATGGCCACAACGTTATCGTTAAGTGGGGTCTGGTTAATATATCCCAGATGACACCTTCGACCTTATTAGGCTTTAGCACGACCAGCAGGAGACCCCGAGAAGAATCTGTCATCGACCACGGAGTAGGACAGGATGAAGACGGACGTCGGCCTTATCTCCGTTCTGCACGCCAAGAAGGGGTTTAATATCGCGTATGCTTGGCACCGTCGGAGACGCCACTTGGTGACACTCACAACGTGGCAAAGTTGAGGTAAATCCGCGATGTCGGCCATTCGCAAACCCTAATGGACGGGATCTGGTGTCCACCGGACTCCGACCTCATTCCGGATGAAACAGAACCCGTCCAGGTACGAGAACGAGATGGAATCCAGACCCCACGGAAAATTGATGAATGATCGCATCATTTCCCCTCTCCGTCCGGTTGGGTTAGACTGGAAAATTCGGTTGATCGTGGCGTCGCAATCTTATCTTGATCCGGCAGCCGAAAGTGACAGGGTCCCAACGGAGTCCCTGATCGTGAGTGAGTGAGATAATCCTAAGGAGACTGCAAATAAGACATGATTTGAACATGGATAACGTGCTCTGTCGAAATAAAACATCTTTGGCCCGAAGGTTGCTGTAGTCCTGAATGCTAGGGATATTCGTCATTTTAGCCCGGTGATCCCGACAGTAAAATTTTGTTGGGCTTATTGACTCTAGAATCCTCGAGAATAGATTGAAACTGCCAAGGAGCACCCTATTTGAAAAGCCTAATGGCCGTATTTCGGAGAAACATAGCATCAGATAAGTCGGATTGCGGGTCTGTCCCGAGGTTTAGTGCCGTGGTGCCGTGGGAGGGAACCCTGAAGAATCCCGATTTCTCGTGCGCTGGAGCTTTCTAGATATGTTCGAACTCGACTGGTTTCTTTTGATAAATTATGCCAAAATTCGGCGAGTCCAGAAAGTCACACAGGTAGGCCAATTAGTCATGTCTGCAGATAGCAAGGTTGCAATGGAACTAAGGAGTGTACAAGGGCTAGTTTATGCTAGGCTCAGAAGCGCTAACTCGGCCCCAATTCGCACAATCCCACGCAGCCCGCAACCCCTGGACTCTGAGATGTCAATATATACCGCGCTTGATGAGATTGAGTGGCAAATTGAATAAATTCGCGCTCGGTTTCTTGTTCAATTTCTAATTTCTATTGGGTCTGATGATGCCATGTGCAGTACGCCACAGTGGTAGATCACCATTAATGACAACTAGAACAACGGAGTTAATCAAAATGAGCACGCGGTCTGATTGAAAATGAGTGTCTCATTTTTTGCTGCCAGTAGGCACAGTGACTTCGAAGTCCAGCATTTTCGGCCTCATCAAGCTGGCCAAATGATTTGTGACAAGAAATACTCCATGTCAATCAAGCAAACATTGGCATTTGTCAAGACACAATCTCCAAAGGTGTCTAATTTTACCTTTCTAATTTTTCCTACTTCAAAAATGGACTGAGCGATCACTGGTGGCCACTTACTATTGCTACGGATTTCAGTCTACCAAAAATACCTCTCGTCGTCCAATTTAAAACCTGGCTCATTGCGACCGACAACTGCTTATTCATGCTTGAGGTACGGTGAGAAATGTCGCAGTGCACCGTGAATTGCCCCTTGTGGCCGAGAAACTTCAGGCACTGATTCAATGACACTTGCGTGGGGAGTCATAGTACAACTCACCAGGGATGGTTAATATTGTTGGAAACAGATAACGCCAGAAAGGACCGATGCCGAGTAACTGATCTGCTAAATAGGGAGGAAAAGATCTCGCTACCGCTACTGATATATTCTCTAGTTCATTGTCTAGTTACATGCCAGTATACGGAAGGCACAAGAACCATTCATGCCCCAGTGCCATCGACCACAGGCGCCTCCACCAAGTACGAAGGTTTGTCGGCTACCGACGGAACTTCCACAAGCTGCCGAATATGATCATTCAGCCAGAATCTCGCAAGAACAGAGGGTTCGATCTTGGAAGATCCTGCAATAAAACCGAGGCATTTATCGGGACCAGCGCTGCACTCGCATCGGAAGGGCTGGACCATCTCCCATTCCGTGCTCGGATAGAAGAAGGTCAACTCGTCGCCAACTGCTAGAGGTCGGTCCTCTGAAACGCGAACTTCGAACCGGGTTATGTCGAAGACCAAGCTTGGGTTGCAGGAATGGTTGCAATACACGAGGTCGGAGTTGAGCTCGATGCGGGAATCCTTCCCGGTGGCAACGGATGTGTAGGTGGTGTGATCGACCAACGTTGCGGTAGAGATTTTGGCGAAGACTGCCCCTGCGGGAAGGGAGATGAGGGAGCGGGCAGCAGACTTGTATGGCTCGTCGCCTTTCAGGACCTGAAGACGACCAGGGTGGCTGGGTTGCGCCCAGAACGGAATGAACTCAGACATAATGATATGGGGCTTAGAGGAGATGTTCAGAAAGAGCTTTTAATTGTGAGTTGTAGGGAAGATAGATCAGATGCCAGGTACGAAACTCATCTCGCATTAATACCTCGATGTCGAAAGGAAGAGGGGTCGAAGAATTGATTGCGTGGTCCAGTATGCAGGTATGTGAACACAGACGCATGATGCATTTCAGCTTTTGCCGATTCTTGCCTTGAACCAGCCCTTCAGCTGAGGCTGGAGCCAAGGGATCGTTGAAAAAGAAATCACTTCACAGCCCCCGTGACTTGTTTCGAAGGAATAGTTAATCTAATACCACTGCAGGCAAATGAACCAGGCGCAGTTATTACGTACATACTTGGTTACTATTGCCACGATCTCATTACTAGCAATATGTATGGTTGGTTGCAAAATTGGGGTTGCATAGCTATACGTAACTTGCAGGTTTAGTCCTGTTGGTTCATAGAGATCTACATTTTATATTATATGCATACTGACATAATCCTGCAACATAAAGAAGCCTATTGGTCGGGTTCTACATTCTAAAGAAGCTAGTAAGCTTGCAAGTTCAATGTAACATAACGCGATTGTATAAGACGCCAGTGCTGTGGAGATCGTGTAGACAGAAGCAGACAATTGGACGAGAGAAGTTCAGCTCATGCAGTGTGATCGACGAACATGCAAGAAAAACACATTAGTTTAGAAGATCGAAATTGATCGACATCAGCTGCAGCGATTGTCATGCTGACCTCATGCGGAGTAAAAGACTGGACCAGAAGGAAAACATTTAGTATCTGCTCCATGATGTTGCCCCTGGTGTTTACTCTTGTCTTTGAACTCTTCTGTGTGAATTTTGTTGCACAGATAAAATATGGGAGACGCACAATCTACCAGGGCTCCAGTCGTCGACGAGGCGAGTGTATTCCCAATATTCAACACTTGCTTTGACGAAGAGGATGCCCACAATTCAATTCCAATTGAGATTTTCCCACATGATGAAATTCTCGAATTTACCAAAAGAAACGAAATTGAGCTCTCTCAGCTGCTCCAGGTGGCATGGGCTATTCTTCTTAAGTCCTACATAGGGACAGACCGACCAGTCTTCAGATACTTCAATGACCAGCATTTATCTCAGAAAAGCCATAGGATGCTTTGCTCTCTGGATATGGAAGAGGATAAAGAGATATTTGACCTGACTCGGAGCGTTGTCTACACGGATGACTGTTTACGATACAGTGAAGACAAGCAATTGGATACCGCAGTCCTGTGGGACTGTCCTAACACGACACATTTGGTATGTTGGCTCTAACGAATACTGGAATCACATGCTAACGAACAGAACAGTTTAGTGTTTGTTTCGTGACGCAGACCCAGGGCGACTCATGGGGCTCATCTCTGTGGTATTGGACTTCTATTCTGTCGGAAGAACAAGCACTCCATGTTGTGAATACATTGGGTCAAATTATCGCGGAGCTGGTCGAGAAGCCAAGGTTGAGCTCCATCAATCTGTGCACAACTCATACTATCGACCAACTGCGCCAATGGAACTCCGAGCCTCCAAGAAAAATAAATACCTGTGTGCATGAGCTCATTCTCGAGAAGTGCAAAACGCATCCTGAAGCAACAGCAGTCTCTGCCTGGGATGGTGACCTCACATATCATGATCTTGATTTCCTGTCCCATAAATTGGCATCTCATCTGGTATCCTATGCTGTGGGTCCGGAGAGATTCGTGGGCCTCCATTTCGAAAAGTCCAAGTGGACAGCGGTGGCCTTGCTAGCCGTTATGCGAGCTGGAGGTGCATTCGCGTTTTTCGACACCTCACTGCCTCGAGCTCGCATGCATGAAATGTGCAACAAGTTGGATGTGGTCCTGATTTTGTCATCGAGGCACCTGACCGCCGATGTCACGGGGCTGGCCCCTCAAATTATCCCCGTCGACAACGAGCAACTTGACTTCCTCCATTCATCCTATGATCTGTGTCAACACAATTCGAACGTCAAACCAAGCAATGCGCTCTTCGCACAGTTTACTTCGGGGTCTACTGGCACCCCTAAAGGTGTTGTGATCAATCATTTGTCTTATTCCTCTGGCCAAACGGCCTTCGCAGACCACATCGGACTGAACTCAACCAGCCGAGTCTTGCAATTCGCGTCTTATGCCTTCGACCTTAGTGTTCATGAGATTTTGACAACGCTGATCGTCGGCGGTTGCGTTTGTTTGCCGTCTGACGTGACGTGCAAATCGAATACCCCCCTAGCGGTCTCTCAATTTCGAGTCAATTATCTTGCGTTGACTCCCACAGTTGCTCGGCTTTTACAACCCTTAGATATACCATCTGTTGAAACCCTTGTTCTGGCAGGAGAGCTCCTATCTTCGTCGGATATAGCAAGATGGCAGGGCCACGTTCGTTTGGTTAATATGTATGGTCCAGCTGAATGTTGCGTGTCCACGACAGGACATATGGTTTCATATGGCGAACGGGAGTCTGGGGTGGCGGGCTCCGCAATTGGAGCAATATGCTGGATTACTGATCCTAATGATCACCATAAGCTGGCCCCCATCGGTGCAGTTGGTGAACTTCTCATAGAAGGTCCGACAGTGGGAAGGGAATACATTGGCGACCCTGAAAAGACGGAAGCCTCCTTTGTCCCCAGTCCCCGCTGGCGATCAGCTTTTCCAGATAATATACATGGAAGGATGTATCGCACCGGAGACTTGGTTCAGTATGTCTCACATGGTAAACTGAGAATCATCGGTCGCAAAGATGAGCAAGTCAAGCTTCGCGGCCAACGGTTAGAGCTGAGCGAGGTCGAGCACCATATGAGCAACGCCTTTGCTGCGAAGCAGACGGTAGCCGACTTGGTGGTTCCAGCAGAAAGTGGAGGCATTTCTATTCTAGCCGGTTTTATCTTGGACCAAGGGGATGGAAACTCACCTACTGCGGCGAGTATCATTGCCTCGCCATGCCAGAAATTTCGGGACCTCGCCCAGAGAGCCATCTCTGAACTGTCTGTCAAAGTCCCCGGATACATGGTGCCATCTGTCATGATCCCAATAACGGCTTTCCCAACCACCAGAACGGGCAAGACTGATCGAGTGCGATTACGAAACGAGGCCTCGAAACATACGAGAGCTCAACTGGAGAACTTCAGCAAGGCCATGCAGGAGAAAGTAGCTCCAGATTCCCCAATGGAAGTTCTGCTACATCAATTAATCAAGGAGACTTTGCATGTGACCGATTTTGGAATGAATGACAGCTTTTTCTCCCTTGGTGGGGACTCTGTCCTGGCCATGAGATTGACAAAAGTTGCAAGAGAAGAGGCTGGAATCGACCTTTCAGGCGAGAAGATTTTCAAAGCGCCCGTTCTATCAGACCTCGCAAAGCTCATGGAAAGCTGCCGAAGCCTTGTCCAGATTCCCCCATTCTCCTTACTTGGGAAGTCAGGACTTAGACAGGACATTATTCAGACGGCCCTGCACCTTTGTGGTCTGTCGTCAGTCGCCGATATTGATGACATCTACCCTTGCACCCCCTTACAAGAGGGAATAATGGCACTGTCCATCACCAGCCCCATGGCTAAATATGTCACTCGATCCGTTTATCGAATCCGACATGCTATCGATATAAAAAGATTGAAAGACGCATGGGCCATGGTCCTCCACAGCAATCCAGTCTTGCGCACACGAATTATACAGACTGGATCTCAAAATACATTCCAAGTTGTTGTTCGACAAGGCTACTCGTGGCACCACGCAGAGAAGCTACAAGACTATATTGATCAGGATGAAAAAAAGGGTATACAGTTAGGGAGCCCTCTGATTCGTCTTGCATTGCTCCAGGACAATGGCCGCAAATACCTTGTCCTAACAATCCATCATACTTTGTACGACGGCTGGTCACTCCCTCGAACCCTTCAACAAGTGGAAGGGGCTTACTATGGGGAAAGACCTCAGTCACAACCCTTTAAAATATTTGTGGATTATCTTCTGAAGCTGAATATGGATCAAATGGAAGAGTTTTGGCGAGCCGAGCTGGAGAACTTTTCAGGGCCGTTGTTCCCCCAGCCTCCTTCAGGAGACTATAGGCCCACAGAAACACATAAGATGAAACGTTCGAAATCGACGCTGCCAATGAAGACATTTTCGGGGGTCTCTCTAGCAACTATGATAAAGCTATCCTGGGGTCTCACCTTATCACAATATTCAGGGGTTGACGACATAGTGTTCGGCATCACGCTTGCAGGCCGCAATGCCGCCATAAGCGGCATCAATGAGATTCTCGGGCCAACCATCACCACCATTCCCCAGCGGATAAAATTGGATGGTTCAATGAAACTCGAGGGCATCCTTCGCTCGATCCAGGAGCAAAATACCGATCACATGAACTTCGGACACTTGGGCCTTCAGAGGATTGCTGCACTCGGGCCTGGTCCTGCCGCTGCCACCAAATTTCACAATCTGCTGATTATCCAGCCGTTCTACGATGAGGACGCACTGACTATATTCAATAGTCCTAAGGACGGTTTGTCCACGGAGATTGTTGACAACTACATTCTTACCCTGGAGGTCAAGCTTGGAAAAGAAAACGCAGTCCATCTCGAGGTAGAATATGATCCGGCAGTTATCGCGGATTCGTTGATGGGCAAGATCCTGGAACAATTCTTGTATAATCTCGATATTATCATCCAGAGCGGAAACAAATCGCTTTCGGAGCTTAAAACTGTCAGTCGCGCTGACCTTCGAACGCTCCTCACGTGGAACAATCATCTGCCAGAGGCGATCAATTGCTGCGTTCATGATATAATCAACCGGGAATGCTGGGCCCAGCCTCACGCGCCTGCTGTCATAGCATGGGATGGAAAGTTGACCTACGAGGAGCTGGAAAGCTATTCCACCATGCTAGCAGCGCACCTTCAGCAACTGAACGTCAGCTGTGGTCACTACGTGATGATATATGTCGGAAAGTCTCTTTGGACTGTGGTCGCAATGTTGGCAGTGATGAAAGCAGGTGGTGCATTTGTGCTTGTTGACCCAGCGCAGCCCATTTTGCGGCTACAAAAGATGTGCGAAGATATCCAGGCAAAGACTGTGATTACATCGGGACAATTTCTTTCCAATGCGACCGAACTCAAACTGCAGATAGTTAGGGTTGACAACGGGGGTACCTGGAAAACCAGCAGCACACATTTGAAGGAGCCTGGGGTTTCTCCATCCAATGCAATTTACGCAGTCTTTACCTCGGGTTCAACAGGAAGACCAAAAGGAGTTGTAATTCAGCATCGTGCCTTCACTACAAGTGCCATTATGAATGGTGGGAAGCAGCACATAAACAATTCCTCCCGAGTGCTACAACTGGCATCTTTTACATTCGACGCTTCGATTGCAGAGATCCTGTATCCTCTTATTCACGGAGGCTGTGTTTGCATTCCTTCGGAGTCAGACAGCCGAAATAATCTTGAGCAGGCGCTTAATGACTTCGAAGTAACCTGGGCTACTTTGACTCCTTCTTTAGCACGAGCACTGGACCCACAGAAGGTGAGAACGCTCCGCACTTTGGCTCTAGGTGGGGAAGCCATGACAAAGTTGGATGTGGCCATGTGGGCAGACCGGGTTCAATTGGTGAATGGTTATGGGCCTGCTGAATGCTCAGTTGATACAATCATTCAGCCTTCTATTCATCGCGACTCTGATCCTGCGAATATTGGCCGAGGTGTTGCTGCTGTCTCCTGGATTGTAGACCCCCAAAGTCCCGAGAATCTCACACCGATTGGCGCGCCGGGCGAGCTTCTGGTCGAAGGGCCAATCCTGGCTGAAGGCTATCTGCGAGACCCACAAAAAACCTCGTCCGCATTTATCCAGTATCCAGATTGGTTGCGTCGGTTTCGAAACGGTAGAAAGGGCCGTCTTTACAGGACTGGCGATCTGGTGCAGTATAGCCCACAAGGCGATGGCACTTTGCAATACCTCGGACGCATAGATAACCAGGTCAAACTACGCGGACAAAGAATTGAACTGGGAGAAGTGGAACGACATGTGTTGGAGTGCTTTTTTGAAGCAAAACAGACGATCGTTGATCTAGTGACACTGGCAGACCCAGGATCATACCCTGTTCTAACTGCCTTTATTCTGCTGAGTGATGCTCAACCCGGAGAGGAAGAGATAATTGCAGGGGCGAACGCCTCGTTCAGATCTCAGATTGAGTCTGCTGAAAATCTGCTGAAATCGCGCCTCCCAAACTTCATGATTCCAGCGTTGTTCTTGCCTGTTAGCAGGATCCCACTCAGCCCCTCTGGAAAAGCGGATCGACGTCAACTTCGGGACAGGTTATCGGCCTTATCCCGAAAAGACCTACGAGTCTATAGTTTTCCAGAGTCAGCAAAACGCCATGCCTCGTCCAAGGCGGAGTCTGTATTACAGAAAGCTCTCTCTACTGTCCTGAAATTACCGTTGGACGACATTGGAATGGACGACAACTTTTTCCATCTTGGAGGTGATTCTATTGCGGCGATGAGATTAGTGGGTGTTCTTCGAGAATCCGGATTTACCATCACCGTTGGCGAATTATTCGGCCATCCGTGTCTTGCTGATCTCGCCTTGATGGTTCGCCAGGAGACCAGTCGTTCATTCTCGGTGCCCATTGCTCCATTTTCTCTCCTCGATCCAGATACTTGCATGGACGTTATCAATGCTGCGGCTCGTGAATGCCGTGTCGACAGTAATGACATCGAAGACATATATCCATGTACTCCGATGCAAGAAGCGCTTTTAGCATTGACCATCAAGCAACAAGAGGCTTACATGCTGAACATGACTTTCGACCTTCCAAAGCAGATTGACCTTGATCAACTTCAATCCGCTTGGCAGGCTGTTTTCACTGCCAATCCGATTCTTCGAACTCGTATTCTTGGAGAGCACCTGAGTTCAAATGTTTCTTTCCAAGTTGTTCTTCGTGAGAAAATCCAGTTTTCTGCGGACCTGAACCCGCTGGTCATCGCGCCCGGTCAGCCACTCAGCAAACTTGGTATCTCACAAGACGAGGACCACGTCCGGTTGCATCTATGGCTTCACCATTCCTTGTATGATGGTGCCTCGCTGTCGAGTGTCTTAAAACAGGCGGAGGAGGCATACAAGGGAGTACAGTTGAGACTGCGTCCCTTCAATCCATTTGCAGAATACGTGAAAAACCTTGATAGTGTAGCCAGCCAGAAATTCTGGGCAGAGGAGTTTCAAGATCTGAATGCCGCCATGTTTCCACCACTTCAGACAAGACCAAGCATTTCATCCTCTAGGGAGAGCGTGTCATACAATATTTCCCTCGACCAAACCTTCGCATCAGAATTCACGTTGCCAACCTTTATCCACTTGACATGCAGTATTGTGTTTGGTCATTATACAGCAAGTGATGACATCGTCTATGGACTCACGCTATCAGGGAGAAATGCCCCAGTAGCAGGTGTTGAAGATCTCACAGGTCCGACAATTGCCACGGTACCTTTTCGAGTCCAGCTGCTACCTGCACATACCACGAAGGAATGCCTATCTCGGATACAAAGTCGTCTAGCCCTGATGATACCACATGAGCAAACAGGGCTCCAGAGGATACGGCAAATCAACCAAGAGACAGCGGTAGCCTGTGACTTTCAGTGTCACATTATCATTCAATCGTCCGATGAGAGCTCGGAGGACCAAAACGCACTTTTCAAAGAGCCTCCATTTGAAGAAGGCATATATTCAAACTTTGCCAGCTCTCCCCTGGTGCTGATTTACACACCGTCTGCTGACAAGAAGAATTTGAAACTTACAAGTAACTTCGACTTGTCGCACTTCAGTCGCATAGAAGCCGATACACTATCCCACCAGATAGAGTATGTCTTTCAGCAAATTGTCAAAGATCAGAGCTGCACCATCAGAGAAATAGAAGTCGCCAGTCCTCACGACTTATCTAGACTGTCTGGGTACAACATGACAGTGCCCCAGCCGGTGGATTCACTGGTACATAAATTGATTCTCGAGCAAAGCCGTCTGCTACCATCAAAGACAGCCATCGACTCATGGGATGGGGTTCTTTCATATCAGGAGCTGTACGAACAAAGCTCCCGACTGGCTCAGCATTTTATTTCCATTGGCCTTGGGGCCTATCCAGTAACTGTGATATGCATGGAGAAATCACGCTGGACCGTGCTGGCCATTTTCGCTGTTCTTCAAACTGGCTCTTCCTGTGCCCTCATTGACCCTTCACACCCTCGCTCAAGGATGCAATCAATAATCAGCCAGTCGGCCGCAAGATATGCGGTAACTTCACCCACAACAAAACACCTTGTCGAGTTCATTTGCGCGAATGTTGTTGTTGTATCTCAATCTCTGTTGGATGACTCACAACTTGCGGTATCCCAGATCAGACAAATGCCATGTCCAGCAGATCCTGCCTTCGTTATCTTCACCTCTGGCAGCACAGGAACACCTAAGGGTATTGTTCTGGAGCATCGAAGCATAGTCACCGGTCTGCAAAACCTTCTTTCTCCCTTCAACCTCGATAAGCCATCGAGGGTACTTCACTTTGTATCGTATGCCTTTGACGCGAGCTTGATAGAGATACTGGGATGCTTGACTTCTGGGGGCACCCTATGCATACCCTCCGACACCGATCGGACTTCGAATCTGGCTGGCTTCATAAGACAACATCAAGTTGATTGGGTATTTATGACTCCGTCTGCATCGAGTCTTCTACATCCATCAGAGGTACCCTCACTGAAAACACTTGGCTTGGGAGGGGAACCTCTCACGTCAACCATCGTTGATCAATGGTCGAGCAAGCTCTCGCTCATTAACATCTACGGTCCAGCCGAATGCACATTTGCTGTTGCGGTTGGAAAAGTTCCAGAAAGTGGCTGGGTTCCTGGCACTATAGGCCCTATGGTCAATGGAGCTGGGTGGATCACTACCCCTTCGGATCCAGGAAAGCTAGCAGCATGGGGTGCTATCGGTGAGTTGCTAGTTGAGGGGCCGATTTTGGGCAGAGAATGTATTGGCGATCCGGAGAAAACGGCTGCCAGCTTTGTTCACAACCCACCATGGATCACTCGCTTCCGTGGCCCCGGCGAAACACGCCTGTATCGCACTGGAGACCTGGTCCAATACACTGAGGATGGTCTAATTCGATATGTGGGGCGCAAGGACAGACAGGTAAAGCTCAATGGGCAGAGGATTGAGCTTGAAGAAGTTGAAAGTCATTTGAAGAATACTTTCCCGCCACATGCGACTGTCATAGTGGAGTTGGTTGTACCTCAACAACCCAACACTCGTTCTCGACTCTGTGCATTCATCTGCATGTCCGTGAATGGATCAAACGTCTCAAGCACATCTAATGATGAGTCTATGCTAGCTTCATCGAACGAAGTGTTTCTTATCCTCAGTCAGAAGGCCAAGCAGCAGTTATCAGCTTCTCTTCCTCTGTACATGGTTCCTGGAACATATATTCCATTGAACTACGTCCCATTCACTGGTACCGGCAAGACAAACAGACGCTTGCTGAGTGATTTGGCGGCTTCTCTGGACAGTAAACAGCTCGATAGTCTATCATCTCAAGTGACATTTCAATATCCAAACACTGAGATGGAGACTATTCTTGTTGAGCTTTGGGTCGAGTTACTGGGTCTGTCTGTGGAAAAGATTAGTACTGCTGACAGCTTCTTCCATATTGGCGGTGACTCAATTGCAGCCATGCAGCTAACTGGGATTGCACGTCAGCGAGGGTTGTATTTGACGGTTCCCACTATATTTTCTCACCCAGTGCTCTCGGACATGGCTTCGAAGATGACGGGAGTTACTTCCGGGCCCGACAAAGTCATTGAGCCATTCGCACTGCTCAAGGAAGAGAGTACTGAAGATATCATTAAGGCCACCGAAGATCAGTGCTCTATTAGCCGAGAGCTAATAGAAGACGCTTACCCATGCACACCGCTACAGGAGGGTCTCATCTCTCTTTCTATGAGTACGCCTGGAGCCTATCTGGCTCATTTCAGCTACAGCCTTCCCAACGACATTGACATCCCTGGATTCCAAAAGGCTTGGCAAGACGTTGCCAATGCGAATACGATTCTGCGGACAAGGATTGTACAGGCTGGCTCGTTGTACCAAGTTGTTCTCCGAGAAGAGCTGGCTTTGAATACGATTGATAGCGTTGACAATTATGTTTCGTCTGTGTCGGACAAAGCCAAGTATCTAGGCGAACCACTGATTCAATTAGCGACCACTCAACTTAGGTCCGATGATACTAGAGATTTTTCCCTAGTAATTCATCATGCTCTTTATGATGGATGGTCATTGCCATTGGTATTGAGCCAAGTCCAACAAGCGTATGAAGGACATTCAGTACCCTCAAATCCCTTCAACCGATTTATCGACTATCTCGCAAGGTCTGAAGTGGAGCGTACTCGGGAGTACTGGCGTACACATTTGCAGAGCTCCCACTCCGCGACTTTTCCTGCGCTTCCTTCGACTGATTACAAGCCGTTCACAGATGCGATAGCTCAGAAATCGGTCGCACTCCAGCCGCTGTCCGGGGTGACAAATGCCACCCTTCTCCAGTTTGCATGGGCACTTGTACTCTCGCAGTATTCTGATTCCAATGATATTGTTTTTGGTTTAACAGTTTCCGGAAGAAATGCCAATCTGGAAGGAATCGACAGTATAACAGGCCCAACGATCACCACCGTGCCGTTACGCTTCCAGTTCAAGCCCGAGGAGTCAGTCTTCCATGAGACGTGCCGGCTTCAAGAACAGATGGCTACAATGACCCCTTTTGAGCAATTTGGACTGCAGAATATTCGTCGCTTAGGAGGTGATGCCGATGTCGCCTGTCAAATCCAAAACTTGCTGGTCATTCAACCGCCTGCGACCAAGTCTACCGATGAATTCTGGGTACCCGTTCAGAATGCAGGAAGCTCAGGGTATTTCAGTACATATGCGCTCGAAGTCACTTGTGAGCTTTCGGATTCCGAAGCAAATATCACGTTTGACTTCGATCAACGGGTGTTGGAGTCTCGGCATGCGGAACGCATTCTCTCACAGTTTGTCCACATCATACAGACTGTCCAGAAAGGTCCTGACAACAGCATCCTCGATGCCAAGTCGCTGGATCCGAACGCATATACTGAGATAGCACATTGGAATGCTGTACCAGCAAAGCCAGTGAATCAATGCGTACATGAAGGCATCAAACAGCAGTGTTTAGAATCACCGGGCGCGTGGGCTGTGTGTGCATGGGACGGCAATTTCACCTACGAGGAACTCGATGACCTGTCGCTGATCTTTGCCGTACGTCTCCAGGCTCTGGGTGTTGGTCCAGAGACTTTTGTCCCCATTCTGGCGGAGAAGTCAAAATGGGGCGCTGTTGCAATCCTAGGAGTAATCAGATCTGGTGGTGCGATTGTTCTCCTCGATCCATCGGTTCCCTATCAGCGTCTACAAACCATATTTCAAGACATTGACGCTCGTATCGCCGTGGCTTCGGCCACATGTGCAGAGCTTGCAAGTCAGCTAGCTCCAACAGTTGTCACAGTCGACCAGGATCTCCTGTCCGGTGGAAACACCGAAGCGTCTACTCTCATGGAAAAGACCACCCCTCGCAACGCTTTGTATGCGATATTCACATCGGGCTCAACAGGAAAACCGAAAGGCATCGTTATTGACCATGCTGCATTTTACACAAGCGGAGACGCCCAGCGCAAGGCATTATATCTCGACTCCAATGCACGAACACTTCAATTCGCTTCCCATATGTTCGATGTCAGCATCGCCGACTATCTATGGACATTCCTTACTGGAGGATGTGTCTGCATTGCATCACAGAGTAGCATAAGAAACGACCTCCCTGGCGCGATGAGAGAGTTCAGTGTCAACCGCGTGGACTTGACTCCTTCTATTGCTCGCGTCCTCCGTCCAGAAGAGATCCCCGCTCTCAAGACAATACTCCTTGGTGGGGAGCCGCTGTCGCAACATGATGTTGAAACATGGGCAGGGAGGGTTCAGCTCGTGAATGGCTACGGACCCTCTGAGTGTTCCGTTTGCTGCGTACTTGCCGACGTGAACCCGAATTCTGATCCTTCAAATATCGGGACGACGTTTGGGGCCGTATCCTGGATTGTGGATAAAGACGACCACAATCGACTTGTGCCTATTGGAGCGGTTGGCGAGCTTGTACTTGAAGGCCATACGTTGGCACGGGGGTATCTCAACGAGCCTGAAAAGACAGCAGCCGCTTTCATTGAGTCCACGCCTCCATGGCTCGAGGGGCTGAGACCTGGTGCTCGGATCTATAAAACTGGAGACCTGGTGCAGTACAATGCCGATGGATCCCTCCGATACATTGGTCGGAAGGATACACAGGTAAAAGTTCGCGGCCAGCGTGTGGAGCTAGGAGAAATTGAACAGCAAATTCGCCAAGCGAGCCCAGCCGTTCAAGATGTAGTGGTTGAATTGATTGTGCCAACACAGAGGAAGACCGGGGCAGTCTTGGCAGCCTTCGTGGTTCACGATGGCAAGCCAGAGAGCGAAGCTGGAAAGAAGGAACATTTGCATTCGGCAGTCTTTCTACCTCCGCATCCCAACCGTCGGAAACAGTCACAGGAAGTAATGACAATGCTGCAGAAACGACTTCCGTCCTATATGGTGCCTGGCATATTTATTCCGATGCTCCAAATGCCTATATCACCTAGCGGCAAGATCGATCGACGGCTTCTTCGTGAGCGAGCTGCAGCACTTTCCAGAGGTGATATCGAAGCGTATACCGCCAGTCTTGTTGTCAAAAGGCCTCCAGAGACCCCTACGGAGAGAATAATCCAAATGGTCGTAGCCGAGACTCTTCACATCGAAGCCTCGGAGGCCGGGTTAGACGACGATTTCTTCAGGCTTGGGGGTGATTCAATCATCGCGATTCGCTTTGTCGAAAAGGCACGCGTGTCCGGATTTACATTCAAAGTGACCGACGTCTTCAAAACTCCTAAACTCTCCGAACTAGCATTGCTTGTCGAAAATGAAAGTGGCACTAAGCATGAGGTTTCAGACGTCGCTGTCAGTGAATGTTTCGGCTTTGCACGGAAAGAAGACCTCATTCAGAGGCTGACTTCGTCAACTGATATTTTGTTCACGTCAGATGAAATCGTGGACGTACTCCCTGTCTCTCAATCCTCTGAGCGATTTCTTCTGCAGCCGCCTGAATATTGGGTTCTAAATCTCGAGGGCCCTGTTGATCGAGGCCAGCTTCAGTCTGCCTGCACCACGCTAGTCGAGCGACATGCTATTCTGCGTACTGTGTTCATCTCGTATGAACGCACGTTTGCTCAAGTCGTCGCTTTCCATATCGAAACCTCCGTCCACGACTATGGAGTGGTTCCAAACATTCCAGAGTTTGTGGAGAAATATCGTTGTGATGACACTATCGCCGTGCCGACGCTGAACGTCCCTGTCACTCGGTTTGCGTTCGTTCAAGATCCCCAGGGCAAAAAGGCTTTGATAGTCCGACTGAGTCACGCTCAGTTCGACGGGTACTGTCTTCACGTTCTTTGGGATGATTTGAAGCGACTCTATGAAGGTGCCAGGCTGCCTCACCCCACGGAGTATTCCGCACACATGAAGCAATGGATCAACAGCCAGACTAAAGACGCTTTCACCTTCTGGAGAAATACACTGGAGTCATCGAACGTCTCTAGAATTGACAACACCATGTTCAGCGGAACAGACCATCTACAGCAAGACGTTCGATTCATCACATCTACTCAGCTCATCCACCCCAAGCAGCTACCCCATGAAGTGACAACCGCCACTGTAGTCAAAGCTGCTTGGTCTTTTCTACTCGCACAGTTGACAAGTGCACATGACGTGGTATTCACGCAGACCTCGAACGGACGCAACAATGCAACTCCATCGACTCAGGATGTCGTCGGCCCTTGTCTAAATTTCATCCCTGTCCGGGCGAAGCTAGATCCCTCATGGACATCTCTTGACCTAATGCAGTTCCTACAACGCCAGCACCGAAGAAGTCTTAACTACGAACTTTTGGACTTCCGCCAAATAGTGGAACATTGTACCCCGTGGCCGAACGGAACAACTCATCAGAGTAACCTTGTTCATCAGAACATAGACCCAGATCTGCCATTCGCTTTTGGTGAGGCACAGGCACAAGTCACTTGCTCTTATGAGTGGCCTCGACCGCCGGATGAGATTCTGGTCGAGTCAAAGCCTCTGGAGGGTGGTTGTTTGCAGATCACTCTGGATACATTGAGTAATATTTTGAGTCAGCAGAATGCGGACCTGGTTGTGGATAGGCTTTGTCGGATTATTTGTCTGTTTTCGGCGTTGCCGGATGAGCCTCTTGAGATATTGCGGTCGAGGGTGTTGGCGGATTGATCTTTTCGGATACTTTGTCAATTTTTGTAGTTTTATTTAGTTAAATTCATCTTTCAGTCGAATAAACATTGACATCTCATTACCACCTCCGTGCAGACCAAACATCACCTATTCGGCTTAATAATATCGCGTCTCTATAATTGGCAACAGCCATTTCAACCCGCCATATAGCACTGTCATAAAGATCTAAGAGCACCGGCACCGGCCCTTCCATAGCTGGTGGGACTAATAACCTCCAATCAGTGACATTAAACGGAGCTAAAGGCATTTCGGTCAAAAAGAAGCCTCAACATCCACTCAGACTCACGTACGTATGTACAAGGAAAACCCCCTCGAAGGATCAGTCTCTCTCGGTTACGATCAACTTTAGGGGCAGTGGGTCAGCCTCTAGAGGCAGTTTACCCGGCACTGCTGGAAGTCGGTTTGTTTCTTGCGAATACTCGATATTTGTGCGTGAAATGTGCATAATTCTGCATTTCATAGCTCGAGATGACGCATTAAGTTAACCAACTAATATACTCGGGAATTTTGTACGTGTCACAATGTAGGAGCACTTTGCGGGCTGAGACCTGTACAATATGGTGTATTCTTTAACGACTGTCCCACAGTTTGTCAAAGAAGGTTTTAATTTAAATGATTAATTTTACTGCTCTAGAGCCTTGTACGGTTCAGAGAGAGCTATGTATAAAATTCTAGCTTATGATTGCTATCTTCGGCAAACTAAGTAGCTGTTCCATTGATCTTCTAGCCATGCTCGATGACGGTTCTTGTATAGGCTGGGATCATTCAAACCGACACATCCCAGACAAACTAAAATCTGTTTCTACTGGGCCGGTTTTATTAGTGAACGCTCACTGATCACTAATACCAAAGGCGCTTTTTATCAAGGCGCACGCAGAATCCACCGTCCTCTGAACCCCAGGCAGATTGATGGAGGGATTAACCTCGACCAGATCCATAGCAGCCAGGCGGTTCGTCGCGCTCACTCGACGAGCAATATACTGCCCTTCTTCCAGGGCCAGTCCATCAGGGACGAGGTGTCCCGCACTGGGCCCCCATTCCGGGTCCAACGCATCGATGTCGCAAGACAGATGAATCGGAACGGAGGAGCCGACGTAGTCCAAAACTTCGTCCATGACATTTTCAATGCCATTTCTGCCAGTCAAATTCATTAGTATCTTGAGAGAATAGAAAGAGACAGTCACTCATACCTTCTAATTCTTTCCATATCGAAAACCTTGATCCCATGGGCCTTGATGGTTTCTTTTTCGGCATCATCAACGTCGCGAGTTCCGACGTAAACCAGCCGCTTGACGTCAACCTGATGTTCCTTCTGTATCCAGTTAAAGATCCCATCTCCCTTCGTCTTTGCAATCCCCGTTGCAAACGCAAGCGGCATCCCGTTAATATTCCCACTGGGGCTTGTTTCGGGCGTGTTGATAGATACGTGCGCATCGACACAGATGACAGCAAAATCCGAGCCCGTTCTCTCCCGGAGCCCTTTGCTAGCACCCGTGAGACTTCCAATGGCATTGGAGTGGTCTCCTCCAAGAGTCAGAACAAGGCTACCATTGCGAGAGTGATTGTAAGCCCGTTCGCTGGTATACTTTGTCGCGGCGCTGACAGCCCGAGGATTCTTCATCCCCGCGAAGTCGGGATCGCGGGTCTGAGGGAGGTCTGCGCCGTCGAGCTTGTCATTGTCGAGTTGAACGCGGGTAAAATGTCTTTGGAGTTGAGCGAATAGACCAGAATCTAGAATCGCTGATGGGCCGGCGTCGGTGCCAGCTTTGGGCTATTTGTTATTGGTCAGTATGACTCCAGAAAGCGAACATGGGGATAGTGGTGGCTTACCGCTCCTCGACAGAACCCGGCGGACACAATGGCGAGGCTTTGAGCTGCCTTGCCCATGAGCTTTTTAGGGGATGCCATTTTAGAATTCGAGCTTATTCTGGGGTGTTTGTAGCAAGAAGGAAGTCAACATCGGGGGTCTTGTACAGATCTCACTGCCCTTCCGGGTAAAGTTACCTTTAACAAGTGACCCACTTCGAGGCCGAGCGTTGTCTCCATCGCATTTCCCTTATAAGTTGAGCGCAGCCGAGGAGGGCATTATCCATCGTTCAATCTCTGCTTGGGTCTGGCCTGTTGGGCCTGATCCTCTCTCTCTTAGGAAACAAGTCAAGTTTCGCTAAACGAAGTCTAGGGCTCGTCCTTCTGGGAAGAGGGCCCACTTTTGCTCTCAGAAACGACATAACCCATGGATGTCTCGGTGTCCTAGAAATTCAGTCAGAAGAGGCTTTATCCAGATAGTACTTCATTTTTATCTTGACACGCAGTTGGTCCTTCAGCGATATTGGCAACCCATGCAACGATCCAACTGGTTTCTTATGGGTGGCGAATTATTCATCGAGTTGTCTGGCCTGCTCCAGCGCCATCTCTAGAAAGAATTCATGCACGCAGTTGAGCTACCATCGGTCAGCTTAATCAAGTGCGAAATCTTGTCCTCAGTCTCACCAGCTGCTGCGCCACGGCAGCTCTCTTGCAAAATGCAAGTGTTACATCGACTGCTTTAAGCTTCCCGGTGGCTAGTTGACTGACAAGCTCTGTCGCGGACAGATTCGTCACTTCTAACTCGAATGCCGAGAGAATGCCACATTGCTGGGGTATATCTATCACGTTCTCTTGGGTGGGCACAGGAGTTCTCAATTTCGCTTCTCTTTTCTGCGGCTATTGTCTGCCAAGACCTTGTGGGTGCCATGATGCTGGTTCTATTTTCACAAGTATTATGCTATGAACTGAAGCACGGAGGAAGCTTTTATATTGTCGAGCTTCCATCCTCAGTGGGTCTCGGTCAAGCGGAATCGAAGTCATCGCCGGTCCGGTCATGTGCGGGGTAAGTATATCCTGCAACGATCTTCCTCTCCCCTTTGGATCCTTTTGCCTATCGCTTGGCTTTTATTGGATGCAAATGAGCTTTAGTCATGATATGATACATTTTCATTGAGCCTCTATCGGTTCTCAAACGGCTCATTCACTCAGTAAGTAAAGGTTTCCGGTGGACATTGTACGTACCTGCTACACCGGGACATCATAGCCAAGCAGACTGATAATCGAGTCGACTTACTTTTTGATTTTTCCTTTTTTGAATAAGAGACGTGCCACGAATATGGTGCAAGTTAGAATCCAATTCATAGTCACTGTGACTCTGAGGAGATCATTTGCAGGTACATACATTGAACTCCCACGACAACATATTAAAGCCTCAGATGTCAACTTGAGATCCATTTCGAAGCTGTCCACATCGAGAACCCGAATAGAGCGTTAGGTACGTTTTCATGTTAGTTACTTCAATATATACCTAGTCAGAGGTTCTGTAGCAAATAGTGTATTGTTGCGCGTCAGGAAATGCATAAAAAGAGGGATATGAAAAAGTGGAGTAGAGATATAGACGTTCATAAATTGGCGCTTGTTCGCCTGACACCTCAAACTCCCAGTTCCTATAGAGGACAGTCAAAACATAGCTTGGCAATGGCCATAAAGAACTCGCCTTGTCGGGATTTGCGCCGATAACATGTGGTAGAGGAGAGGCAGTTGTTTGGTTGAACGGTATGTGACCCATGGATCCATTTCCAGATCAGGATTCACTCAGCCTATCAATTCCAGGCTTTTGCCTGGCTTAATCACTCCGGGGAACTGGATGTTTCCTTATTCTATCTATTCACCAAACCCGGGTTCTCCTGGACCCGGTTTTGTGTATAGAGAAATAAAGAAAACAGGGCAGGGATGAGCGCCTCTATACTTACCATGTCATTCGCAGGTTTCCTGTCGACGTGGATGAAACCTTCTTGTCCCGCCGACCAACAAGCAAGCTTACCTTCGTTGCATTCGATATATAGGTGACTCGGTAGAACCCTCTTTTAGCTTCCTGATCAGCCATACCACCAGACGAAGAATCATGTCGGATCCAGTCATTCGCATCTTCCCGGCTACCCTCACGGATAACATGAACTATACGACCCCGACAGATCTCGAAGCGCTCTCTGCCATTGAGACAGCTGCTTTTCAAGTTGGACGAAGCTGGAAGATAGGACCCTTCATCAGCTCATGTTCGGGCCTCCGTCCGCAATCAGCCAGGCCCGCCACGCCGAGGAGCTACAAAGGAAACTAAAAACCGATCCTACAGCAAGAATCTACAAAGCTGTCCTCGTCGACGATTCCGTCTTTTCTCGGAAAAAGGAAGCCATTGTCGGCTTCGCTTTATGGAACTTCTACGATTCCAAACATCCAACACCTGTACATGTCGGACAGGATAGGGATGAGCAAACTTCACTCTCTCGTCCACAGATCTTTCACGATTCCTTTGGCGCACTGGCTGACAGGAGACGCTTTTTCATGGGTGAAGGGAGATTTGCTCGTATGTCTCATTCGATTCTGATCTCTGAATCGATGTTAACATACTGTCTACACCTAGATCTCGAAATACTGGCCACGCACCCATTATATCAGACTAGGCATCGGGAGACAGCTACTTCGTGTGGGTCTACAGGAAGCCGATCGAAGAGAAAGTCCTGTTTGGGTAGAGTCGACACCGGAGGCATATTCACTGTATTTGTCTCTTGGGTTTCATGGGGTCGCCACGGTTCGCATGAATCTGAGGAAGTATAGTGGGAAAGGAGTAGTTCCAACCTACTGTATGTTGAGACCGAAGCTCAAGAAAGGCACCGTTTATGAAGAACCAAAGGTACTTTGGGTCAAGAGGCGTAGTTCCTAGATCTAAAACTTATAGTCTAGAACTCATAGGGAATTGGTTTAGGTTTGCCGCGTGCCATTCTTTGACAACCCTCTGTTTTTGAAACCACGGATGGGCTCTTGTATACCGGTATATATACTCGTTAATCACTCCAGCTGTTGGGTATAGCTTTAGCCGTTTCGTTTCCCCGTCTGGCCAACTTATCGTCAACATCATGTCTCCATCTGCATTTCCAGTTCCCAAGGAACCATCCGAACTTGTACCCCTTCTCACGGAATCCCACCATTCCGGGATCCCCATTCGGCTAGCAAGTGCAGCGGAAAATGCGAAATCCCATTACAAAAGCAACAGCACAGTTTCGGGGATCACACCTCGCGATGAAGACCTCCCCACCTTACCGCCAGGCATCGAAAGAGCCCAGTTCAACGTAGCAATTACGGACCTCGAGTCCCTCGTCGGCTCAGAAAATGTCGAGTTAAACACCCAACCCCTAAACGATGGATGGTATATGGAACATCCGTACGCTCTAGCCCTAACCCTAACCGCATATGATCTGTCCAAGCCCTAAGACACCAGTAGAAACACCCACGACGCATTTCATCTCCTCGATCCGACCAACACGGTCAGTTCCGCTGCAGTATATCCCAGCTCGACTGAAGAGGTCTCCGCCGTGGTCAAATGGGCCAATCACCACGAGATCCCGCTGTGGCCGATCTCCATCGGACGGAATCTGGGCTATGGGGGAGCAGCCCCGCGCGTGCGCGGAAGCGTCGTTGTTGATCTCGGCAGACGTATGAATGAAGTGTTGAAGATTGACTCTGTGCAGCTATGTTGTTTGGTCGAGCCGGGGGTGTCGTACTTTAAACTGTACGAGGAGGTGCAGAAATCGGGATATCCGTTGTGGATTGATACCCCTGATATCGGGGGTGGTTCGGTCCTGGGGAATGCGGTGGATCGGGGGATGGGGTATACGCCTATGGCGGATCGTGAGTGCTCACTTCCCTCCATCATTTTGACATCAGGACTAATGTAAAATCGAGACTTTGCAAATCATTGCGGACTAGAGGTTGGTCATTGGAAGCATGAGACCTATTCGAGCATGCAAACCGACTAACATAGCCAAGGTAGTTCTTCCCAACGGCAATGTCCTTCGAACCGGCATGGGCGCTCTACCCGGCCCAAATGGCCAGGATAATCCGACCTGGCAGGCCTTCCAGTATGGATATGGGCCATACATTGACGGTATCTTCACGCAATCAAATTTCGGCATCGTGACCAAGATGGGCATGTGGTTGATGCCGGAGACGGATCACCTCACCTTCGTGGTTGCATTTCCGGAAGAAGAGGACCTCCCAGAAATAATTGAGACCGTGCGGCAGTTGATGGCAAAAGAAATCATTCAAGGCTCTCCTCAGCTCCGACATGTCATCCAGGAGCTCACTGCCACAGGGATTAATCGAGACGAACTGTATCCCGGTGATGGACAAGTGCCATCTGATGTCATTCGCCTCCATGCGTCGACACTGCCCTGTGGTGACTGCTCGTGGGTTTTGTACGGTATGGATTATCTACCTCTTCTACCCTAAACTCAAGACTAAACTCCATAGCAACATTATACGGAACGCCCTCACAGATCCAATCCGATTTAACCACAGCCAAAAGCGCCTTCGCTCAATGTCCAGGATCCCGCGTCCTCCTGCCATGCGACCTCCCTAAATCTCACTATATACACTCATGCGCCAATGTATCCTCTGGCGTTCCTGAGATTCGCGGCCTAGAATGCCTGAATTGGAAGCATAACGGCGCCCATCTCTTCTTCTCGCCAATCTGTCCGCCCAAAGGGGACGATATCCGCACGATATACGGCATCGTCTCTCGCATCCACCGAGACCATGGGTTGGATATATTCCCTACGTTCTGTGTCGCTTTGCGTGAGATCCATCTGATTATTAATATTATTTACGACCGAGCAAGTCTGAGTGAGAAGCAGAGGGCGGAGACTGTGATGACCAGGATGATTGATGAGTGTGCAGCGGCGGGGTATGGGGATTATCGGACGCATATTCTGTTTGCGGATCAAGTGGCTGGGGCTTACTCATGGAATAATCATGTCTTGTTGAAGTTTCATGAGAACATGAAGGATATGCTGGACGAGAAGGGGATTTTGGCGCCGGGGCGGAACGGGATTTGGCCACGGAAGTATCGAGAGGGGCTTATTGCGAATGGGTTTAGGTCGTAATGTTTATCCTAGCAAAGGCGTGTGAAATCAATTTGTCTATGTCATAGCTGCTTTTGACAAAGTTCATTCTGTCCTCCCTGAATGGTTCTCGCCTTTACCGAGTTAGGCCGATTTACCGCCGATCCGCTTAACCCTATATCAACTTGCTGAAGCATCAAACAGGCCTGGTCCAGCAACCTGCTGTCAAAAGAATAGCTGAATATCATCAACCTCTCTGCTTAGCAATAGAATGTACTTCGTCTGTACCCCACCCCAGACAATGACCTCATCCCATGGTGAGCCAATAGGATGACCAGAAATGTGCTCAATTGCGCGCATCCAAGGTCCCCTTCTTCCCCTCCTCGACCTCACTCGATAAGCGAAGTACCTTGGGAGTGATTACTTCTTCATCACATATTCCCATTCTACTCTCTGAAACTCCCTCTTCATCTCACTCAGTTCAGCCTTCTCAATCCCCAAGCCCATCCAACAATCAACCCAACTAACCACCAAAATGGCCCACCAATTCTCTCTCCCTCCCCTCCCCTACGCCTACGATGTAAGCCCCTTTCCCCCATCAACCCTCTCAAAACCCAGAAACTGACTGTGAAAAGGCCCTCGAACCCTCTATCTCCTCGCAAATCATGCAACTCCACCACCAAAAACACCACCAAACCTACATCACAAACCTCAACGCCGCCCTCACCTCTCTCCAAACCGCCCAGTCCGCCAACGACGTCCCCCAGCTCATCGCCCTGCAGCAGAAGATCAAATTCAATGGCGGCGGTCACATCAACCACTCACTTTTCTGGCAGAACCTGGCGCCCTACGGATCCCCAGATACGGAGGTCGAGACCGTAGCGCCATCCCTGAAGGCTGCGATCGAGACGCAGTGGGGGTCTCTAGGAGCGTTTCGGGAGGCGTTTGCGGGGCTGTTGTTGACGCTGCAGGGGAGTGGATGGGGCTGGTTGGTTAAGGTGAGGAGCTCGGGCGAGGAGAGGTTGGAGATTGTCTCGACGAAGGATCAGGATCCTGTGGCGGAGGGGACTCCTGTGTTTGGAGTGGATATGTGGGAGCATGCGTATTATCTTCAGGTTTGTTTTTTCCTGTTCCTTGGTCTTGTTTTGTTTTGTGTGTTGAGGTGCTGATGGTTCTGCAGTATCTGAATAACAAGGCTTCCTACGTCGACGGCATCTGGAAGGTTATTAACTGGAAGACGGCGGAAGATCGGTTCAAGAATGGTGTGCGTGGGGAATCGTTGTTGAAGCTGTAGATTGTTTCCAGTTGGTATCGTCTAGTTAGGCCATTGGAGTGATAGTCGATATTAGTGCGTATCGATATCCAGAGCCTTCGCATTTAACGTCTTCTTAACCAAAAATCAAAGGAATCATATTCCTACAGTAGAGTTTGTCTCCTTCTAGGCATAGATATATCATTCTCCTCCACCTTCCTCTCCTCCTCTCGTTCAGACATGGACGTTCCAAATCGATTAGCAGCCCAGATCATCATCCTGTCCTTTTCACCAACAGCATCCCACCCCGGATTCTCACAGTTTCTTACTGCCTCATCAAGCCATTTATCCCACGCTTTCGTCGCAGGAGCAAAACCCCCTTTCTTAATCCACTCAATCGACTTAGTGGCTCGAATCCCATGCCACAAAACCTCAGTATAGTTACTGCTTTGAATTGTAGTATTCATCACAGCGTCAATCATCCGCAACTCCCAATGCCACAGCCGACTGACTTCCGGCGTTAACGCACAGAACATATACACCACGTTCAACGCCAGGTACGAAATACCCAATGTGACCTGCATCGTCCACGAACAGTTCGACATCACCACAATGCCAACCATTAGAAACAGCGTGCCCACGTAAATAAGAACCCGATACGCCGCCCCCGCTACGTATCTACACCTCCCCTCGCCGGTGTAGAGCAGCCTCGCGACTTCCTGGCTGCAATGAACCACGATGAACGCTCCTTCGCGGGTCCGAAGCGCCAGGTCCCCTGGGGGGTTGGTCCCGGAGACTCTTGGTTTCGCATCGGACTGCCAGAATGACGCAGCGCTGTGGAAACTGCTGGCGAAAGAGACTAGGGGAATTGCAACGACTGCGGGCCCGTCGCGGAGCACGATCGCCCAGGCTAGAATGCCAGCTGTCTAGATGGAACTTAGGATCGTGATCACCTTCAGTGGTGCGAGGGCTCGGACGGTTGCTAGTTTATCGTGGGTTCCGTGAGAGGCTGGCTCTTCGGTATAGGCCATTTTGATGCTCATTTCTTGGAATTCGAAAGGTTGGATCAGGTCGAGTTGGTGGATTATGCTGGGGAAGTAAGGCACGCTTTGTAGCTGGATCCCCGTGTGGATGCCTACCACGGTAACGGGGGTCGATGGGAGTGCTGCCCGGCGGGAAGGTCGGATTAATGCATGTGGTGCGGGAAGTAGTCTTGGGAGCAGGACTGTTCGTGACGCAGTCAGAGGCTGGACGACCTCGTCGATGATGGACTCGCCGATGATGGCAAGAAGACCCACGAGGTCGAATTTCCAATCGCCGTGGGTCGTCGGGAAGTCCAGGCCCATGTTGATATTGGACCAGGTTTCAGGTGGAAGTTTTGGTGTCACAGTCTCGTTTTAGAAAATGGTCAAGGGGAACATTCCTTCTATCGTGCTGTTCGATGCCAAGATATGATCGAATACGTGGGGTCAGCTAAAAAATTAAATCGGTGGCTGGGCTCAGCTCATGCATGCCAAGCCTACATCTTTATATCGTCCCTAATATTACCGTATTCGGGCATCGCGCCCCCTGAATGTCGATCACATTTCCTAATTATCATTCTAATGTTTCTGCCCAAGCCTTTCTATTAGGCCTTAGATCCAAATCATAACGCTCAAATAAGCAGTCATGAGCTCAGTACATAAATAAAACTCCCTAAAAACGCCTCCCAGCTCCAGTACCCCAGATATTAACCGATCTAATCAAACCCCACAATCCCCATCCCCATCCCCTGTCCCCCAACCGATACTGAGACCTTCCTCCCGACAATCCCGACATCCGACACGTCCAGGTCTAGTCTTTCCGGCAACTGCACCTCGAAATCTGTACCGGTTTGGTCTACCTCCAGATCCGGGCTCACGAAGAATTGATGTAGGGGAGGCATTGTGCTTGATTGGGACGTGAGATCGCCGTGTTTTCTAATGGTAGGTGTTAGTTTCTTCTTACATCTAGTGAAATATAGACCGATAAAAAGAGGAGCAAGGGAGTTCAATAGGGAGATATGCACGTACTCGATTCTCAAATCCACCCCTTTTGATCCACGGAATAGATCAAGCATTGACGAATCTTTGATCCGGAAGACAGCTGACGTCCCGGACTCGATGTCCTTGAAGAAAAGCGAGTACGGGGCCAGAGGAATAGCGCCCTCTGATGATGAAGGGAACATGATGGCAATGCGGTTGCCGGAACTGGGTCGGGAGGGTCCACACATTTTTCCTTTCTTTTCTTCCTTCTCTGGAAGTTTGTTTCTTGGGATAAGGCGAGACTTGGATAGCAGTAGTATTGTTTGGTCCAATCCTGAGGTCAGAGTTAGGGTTTGGAGGATCAGGTGCGGCAGAATATATAGTGGTGATGGATAGCACTGGCAGAAGTGTTCAAACAAAGCGATCACCCAAACACAAAGAAAGTGAATGGTCTTTATCTATTATCTCATTCAGCCACGTACGCTCTTTATTACGAATAATCCCCTCTCCTATGCGCGTGCCCCCAAGGTAGTCGCAACTCTCAAGGTGCTCAAATCCGCGCAAATCCACGCATCTGTTCACCGCCTGCCTTGTCGGATGATCCTTGCCCTGTAGGGGGTCCAATTATTGGACTTGAGCGCATTTTATTTTCTTGTATTATTAAAGAATGGCTGTAGCATTGGAAGGAGTGGAGTTCTATTGATAAGTTCATATCAGGTGTGTGACAAGTGTTTACTGCTTCCTCATCCAGTCGCCTCGGTCATGCTCACCAACATACGCTCTCGCCAAATTGGCCCGCGTAGAGCGCTCGGCATCCAAAACATATCGACGAATTTCGTCCGGCTTCATCTCTGGTCGCATACTAGAAAGACTGTCTAGGATTCGATTCAATCCGGCTTTAGCCTTAGCACGAATCGAGGCGAGATCATATCCAACGAGGAAGCCATCACGCTTCCTGATAACCCCGTCCACCATGACCGTGTCGACGTCCGCGGCCGTGGAATGCAGCACAGCCGTGCCAAGAGGATATGCCGATGAACTTAGAGAGCGCCTGTTGGAGATGAAAGTAATGTCGGCACGCTTTCCGGGAGTCAAGGTACCGATGCGATCGCCCAAACCGAGAGCTTCGGCGCCGTTGCTCGTGCCCCAGATCAAGGCATCACGGGCGGTGTAATGCACGTCAAGCGCGACTCTGCGGTCCCGTTGTGCCCTATCATTGTCGAGACATCGCTGCAGCTGAAGGGCTAGTCGCATCTGGGAGAATAGATCCGGCGCGACGCTCGTGGAGGTGTCGATACTCAGAGAGGGTTTGATGCCATGTTCGATGCAGGCGCGCACAGGTGGGATTCCCATGCCCATTTGCATCTCTGTTTCGGGAGCAATAGAGACCTTACCACCCGATTCCGCAATAAGAGTTATCTCACGTTCGGAAAGACTGGTGCAGTGGACATAAACGTGACCCGGCAACATCAGGTTGTGATCGGCAAGCTCCTCGAGGCCCTTGGTAATTCCGGAGTTGACAACCGCACATGTGTGAGAGCAGCAGAGCATGTCTTGCTCCTGCGCAAACTTGATCTCCTCGATCGTCAGATCGAAGGGAACGACGCCGAGCGGACTGAGCGCCAGTCCGACTTGTACCAGTTCGTCGCGCGAGTTGGCATCCCGGAGGGCGCCAACGTGGGCCAGTCGGGCTTGCCACCCGGGCTTCCCAATTGGGGCATCGTCGTATGGAACGTCGCTCATGCCGTAACCGAAAAAGGCACGAATTCCAGAGTCCTTCAGGCCCTGTAGCTCGGCTTCGGCGTGCTTGCTCGAGTGGAAGGTCTCGCATGTGTCGAGAATGGTCGTGACGCCGCTGTCAATAGCCTCGAGCGCACCGACCAACGCCGAAGTGTGCATGTCCTCGGCCCCGGTGGCAGGTAGCCACCTCATGTAGGTGTTGGAAAGGAAGTGAAACAACGACTGATCGACACCCAAGCCGCGAGTGAGCGACATGGAAACGTGCCGGTGCGTGTCAACCATGCCAGGGATCACGACGCCATCTGTGGTGTCGATGATTTCAGCGTCTGCAGCCTTCAAATCTTCAGCCTTTCCAACAGCTTTGATGACGCCGTCTTCGACTAGGACGGCACCGTTATCGAAATCGCCGAGAGAATCATCCAAGGTTGCCACGAACCCTCCTGTAAATAGATATTTCCCAGGCATTGTGTCTGTCGAGCGTTACACCAAAATAGAGAAAAGAAAATCAAATGACAGTGGTGATATGAAATGTTGGTGACTCTATCGACTGTCTCCTTCACGCCCCTTTTATGTCTCCCGTGCCCTTGGTGGATTCAAGCCCCGAGTCTCGGAAATCCGTCTGCCCCGAGGAAGATTCGGTCTGATTCCGATGATCTGATGATCCGTGGCTTGGTGACAGAGTATTCTCACAAGTTCATAGCGATACAACTGGGTTTTGTGGACTCTTCGCAACAATGAATGCAGTGAATCAACGCGCTTGATGTGGTATGTCCCACATCGTGGTCTCCATTTTCCACAACGCCAGACCAGTGAAAGGATTCATTCCATGAAACATTATTCGGGGACTCGGGAGCTCTTAATGCCGAGTATGAAATGTGGTGGAGGACTGAAGAAGAGGAAGAGGAAGTGGAGGGCAAAAGTTGCCGGTGGGTTTTTCCCGAGTGGCTGCTTCCGCCCCGCCGGCATCACCGGATCCCCAGCAATTTATGAACTTCATCTTCTCTCTTCATCCACCGGCATGGGCACCGCGTACACTTGTCAGACATGCCATGTTAGCTTTTCGTCCAGCAGCCATCTGCGTCGTCACGAATCATCTCGTCGGTTGCCCTCCAACTCACCTTAAACAAATGGGTTTCATTTAACCAGGCTTGGCAGAAAAGCGCCCGCGCTCTCATGATTGCTTTTTCTGCGAGCGATCGTTTCATCGAAGGTTGTAAACAGGAGTTTATCATCTCCTCTCTGCATGTAACTGATTCTGTTGTAGCGACACTGCGCGCCGTCATGCCGAAACGTGTGCAAAGAGAGGCACTCGGCCAATGCCTCGGTCGAGAAAGAGAGGAAAACCCCGGCGGTCCTGCGACTCCTGTGCTCGTATGAAATTTGCTTGTCAGGGAAATTTGCCGTGCAGTTCCTGTCAGGCGAATTCTTTGGTTTGCACTTACGATCGGCTGCGAATTGATTCGTCCTCTAGACCTAGGAGTCAAAGGGACAGTGGGGACCCTGGAAACCCCATCGTGTCGTCGGCATCTCAACCTCCTACAGATGACCTACTTAAACTGAGGATTCCATTCCTGCTCAACTATTATAGCACGGGAAATTCGTCTTCAGGTTTCTACCGAGCGCTTGAATCTGGACGATTGAAATCGAACCCCGACTATGTCTCGTCTGCTCCATCATATGAGTCGGACGCCACCCAGCTGGAGCTTTTCGATGAAGAGCTACTTAGAAGTGACGGTCCTCTTAGCAGTAATCTCTCTTGTATCAAATCAGCTGGCCAGAGGAACACTCGCCAACGCCTTTCACTGTACAGAGATCGTGGTATGGAGATGGTTCAGGAACTGCGAAAAGTAGCGGAGAGCCACGAGCCTTCTTTAGACGGTACGCTGTCTCACTCTCTCAACACTGCGGTATCCCAAGGATTATTTTCTGGGGCAAATATCATCATCTTCACGCAGTTGTATTTCGAGCGTTTGCATCGTCATTGTCCGATTCTGCATGCGAGTTCATTTCGCATCGACTCCGTCTCACTGCCTCTGCTCCTAGCTATCTTTCTCAGCGGATCAATTCTCTCGCACCCCAGGGATACATTTGATCTGGCTCTTGGCTGCTTTGATCTTGCAGAGGAATTCATATTTGCCTCAATTTCGTCCGGTTTAAGTCCCCAAAAAAAGCAAACGGACCGTGAGATGTCCACAATTGCCGAGTCTCTCATCGCAGCAGTCATCTTCATAAACTTGCAAATGGGCCGGAATGACAAGACGGTTAGACTGAAACTCTGCAATCAGCATTTTCCGGTTCTACTTGACACTGCAAGGTCTCTGCGCCTCTTTCAGTTGTCTCATAATACCGGCTTGTCTTCACAGACCGATGACTTAGAATTCATCTTGAACGAGACATTGATTAGGTATGATCATGCATCATGATCAACATAATTCGCGATCAATTCATATTGAACCTCTTTAGAACAAGTACCTACATGTTCCTTCTTGACTGCCAATTCGCCATGTGCATCGGGTCTTCTTCATCCATCGCTATCGACGAGTTAATCTGCGACCTGCCATGCAGCGAACTAGAATTCTCCATCGGAGACCCGGCCTCTCATTCATCGACCAATCCCTCGGGCGACCACCGCCTATCTTTGAAATCATTTCTCGGCCTCCTAATGAATAGCAAGGATGACCGGTATGGCGACAATAACCCAGCCCTTCAAAGGACTAGCATTTTTGGACTTTTCGCCATTGTTTGCGGTAGGTGTTGACCCCAGTCCTTCCTTTTTTTTAGCCTCAGAGCTCAGATATCCCCATTAGGACTTCTCATCTCCATCCGCGCTGCTTTCCACACGCGAACTATCCAGCATGAACGAACCCGTTTCCAGCGCGCTCTCTCCCGGTGGAACTCCATCTGGGATGCTCTTGTACCCAAAATCTCAGCAGATGAGCTCGCCATGGTGGGGTTTATGTCGTGTGCGAAAGAAATTTGGCTGCTGACGCAAGCCCTGCTCAGGCTTGATCCCGGGGAGTACCTTAATGGAGCGGAGTGTAAGTCCGCGACGCCGTTGGGGTTCTTGTTGCGGTGCATTCAGGATGGAAGGTAGGACTCGAGCTCATCAGGTCACTGCTAAGTTTAAATATGAGCATGCATGCTGTTGGTACATGATTATGATGTCTGTTTTATGCGTCCTTCCCGTCTATAACATTGAAAAGATAATATTATGCCTGCACTGCCACTCGACTTTCTAACAAATAGTTCGTTTGGACCAGACTTTGACTTGTTTTACTATACCCTTTTGGCGCCTGCAAGATTAACTATATTGGATTTCTTCATGCGAGTACAATACATTGCGGCTGGATCCCGATGGAACCAGACCCTTTCACATGATGAGGTGAATTGTCATCCAGCAAAGGGATTGCAAAGCCTTGCGTTTTGTTCAGCATCCATCCTGCCTGATGTCGCTGAGCGTCTCTCTGCGTGAAGCCCAGCAGTTTGCCGGTCGACTCGGCGAAGAAGAAGCCGCGACCATGCAGCATCCAGCGGATGGTTGGGCCCGAGTTTTGGAATGCCGTCTGGCATGCTGGACGGATCATTCGCCGGGCGCGTATTGCGCCCCCTGCCCGGCTTCGCGAATTCTGTGCCGTTCCCATCTACCAGGCTAGTCTCACGCTGTGGGCTTACGGCCTGATGTCCTGGGGTATGTCCGGGGTTGGCTCCGTGGTGGTAGTCTCCATTAATGAGGTGACGCGGGTATTTCTCGACGGACCGGAGGGTCCTGATTCCATTGCATTTGTCATGTTGGGAAAAGGCCAGCCGGGCATTTCCACGAGGCTGGACGGTTCTTTTGCGCCATTGATGGATATTCAAGCTACGATGAATGCCGCGTGTCATGTCTTCCGCCGGAATTTTGGAGTGGGAACGGAATGTCTGCCATTGCTACTCGACGGGATGATGAATCTGATGACGGAGCTGGGGGTATAGATTCTGAGTCGTTCTTTGGTGTTTTTTCTGCGGGTTAAATGTACTTTCTGTGGAAGAGCCACCGTCTCTTATGGTGTATTGAAGAAGCCTTGATTGTCATCCCTCGTTCACAAAATAAATGGCTGAAGTCGCCAAGTATTCTGTTAGCTTTCTTTCCGTGCCTGCATCATTCCGCTGCCCATTCCACTGCCCCTTCCGACCGGCGAGCCATAGGCACGCCCCCAGTGGGAAAGTGGGAGGGGGCTGAGGCTGCTAGTCGGCCCATGTCGGAATAAGCATGTCCAGAAAATGGGAACTGATCATGCCAGAGTCAGAATCCTCGCCGTTACCCCCACCGGCTTCAGGACCATTTGGTGAGCAGCTCCGGCTTGACATCCGCTGGGTTATGTATTCCCGCAGCACAAAATATATCACCACTGACGTGACAACGTAAAAGCAGGCACGGACCTATTGTTCATCATATAACCCTTCATTCGTAAAAACAGGATACCATGGCTTTAGAGGGCGATAAAGGCTTGCGCATACTCATCGCGGGTGCAGGCATTGGAGGCCTGTTTGCCGGGATTGCACTACGGCAAGCCGGGCACTGTGTTGAAGTCCAATCCCCCCCCCCAAACCAATAAATTGGGTGATTAATGACTGTTTAGCAGATATTCGAGTCCTCGCGGTTTGCAACAGAGCTGGGAGCTGCGATCCACCTTCCCCCAAATGTCAACGGACTGTTGCGAAGATACGGCATGAAGGCCGAAGACTTCCAATGCAACAACGCCCAATTTGTATGACCAAATCAATGTACTTCAGAACCGCTAACAATCTGCTTACCTGTTCTCGTCCAGGCTACGGTTTTTGACTCGCAGGGCAACACCGTGAGTTCTAAGGATGTCCGGGGCTTGCAGGCGTTGTATCCATTTGTAAGTTGCCCCTTTTTCTTGTGGTCAACAAGAAGCTGATGGTTGGAAATTCGACTCTAGCCATGGCAACTAAGCCACAGAATCGACCTCCACGAGACTTTGAAAGCGAAGGCCACCAGTCCAGAAGGACCCGGGACTCCTGTTACTATTCACCTCCGCTGCAAGGTTGTAACCTGTGACCCGGACGTGCCTTCGTTGACTCTAGGTGACGGTCGAGTGATACAAGGAGACCTTGTCATCGGGGCAGATGGCGTACATGTCGGTATTCTGCGCATAGCCTTGAAAATAGGGACTGATCGTTGGCTGTTTCCTGACAGTCCGTTTTGCGAAGCATCATTAGCCAGGAGGACATACAACCCCAGCCCTCCGGTGGAAGCGCCTTCCGGTTTCTGATCCCTATCTCGAAAGTCGAGGCCAATCCTGAAACCCGGAACCTCGTGGCTCGCCCCGGGGAGATCCAAAGATGGGACGGGGTGTACAAAAGGCTCGTCATATATCCTTGTCGGTGCGTGCTACTTGAGGTATTGCCGTTTTCCCCGCGTCCTAACTTTTCAAAGGAATAACACCGAGCTTAACTTCGTCTGCTTGCATCCAGATGCAGAAAGTCAAAACAGCACTGAAGGTCAGTTTCGCCCAGCTTTCTACCCGCTCGAGAGAGGCTCTGATTAAGCTGCTCCAGGCTGGAACATCGCTGGATCCCGGGACCACCTGCTCGAGGTCTACCGGGAGTTTCACCCGTCCATGAAGGCACTCCTTGCGATGGCAGATCCGGCATCCATCAAGCTGTGGAGACTCTTGGACCGCAAACCCTTGGCGACATGGGTGCATGCAAAGGCCTGTCTGCTGGGAGACGCCGCACATCCTTTTCTGCCTTGTTAGTGTTTCCTAAGCTAGTCTATCTTATGCGAATCAGCTAACAGACAGCAGATCAGGGACAAGGTGGAGCTCAGGCGATCGAAGATGTAAGTATTCAGCTCCGTGGCTGTAGGAATTCAATGACCGACGTATCCTAGGGTGCTGCTCTGGCAGCGCTATTGCCCGTTGGCACTTGCCCTGGTGATGTTCCAGCTCGCCTCAAACTGTACATGAAGTGTCGGTATGAACGTGCGACCCTGGTGCAAGATTTGTCTCGTCAAGCGGCTTTCAAAGTCAGCGCCGATGATGATGTAGGAGGAACGTCTACCGATCGTGAGTCTCTTTTCCTCCGTCTGCCCTCTCAAAATGAATCGATCTATAATCGCTGACTCCCATCTCCCATCAGCTCTCGAATTCATGAAGATAAACTTCGGACACGATGCCTTTGACCACGCAACCCGTGTTCTTTTCAAAACATACGGTACAATCCATCGTCCCTCCCCGAACAGCGCTGCATCCCCCTGAAATACTAATCCAGAGAGGCAGGAATTTCCGGTCATCGATCCACGCTAGACATCTCTTTCGGACCCCCAATGCCCCTCCCACGAGGGTATCTGGATTCACTAACAAACACGCCTAGCTTGCTGGAAGTGCGATTTCGCACTCGCAGAAACTACCTGGAAACGCTTCTTCCAGACTTCGAATCGCGTATCGCTGCCCCGGGAGGTTGGGCAACTGCTTCCTGGGTCGTCCGCCACGCCAGGGAAAATGGCTGTGCTGTCAAAGATCACAGCCTCACCAGCGTGGCTCTGTGTATCCACGATGCCCTGCGCACGGCGGATGCAACGGAGAAAGAGACGCTCCAGCCGGTGGTGTTCACTACTGACCCGGACTTCATCCTCGCCGCGGGCAGAGAAATGGACGCGCCGCTAATGCTGGCGGAGATTAATGTATCTGGGTCGGGCATGGCCTATAACGTTAGGCTGGGAAAGCGAGGCCGTGTCTTCATGGAGATTAGTGTTCGTGGGCAAAGCTTGACGAACGGGTCCAAAAGTCGCTCTGGTGACGAGGAGCAGGCCGCGGTGTCAAAGGCGTCGGTTTCGATGACCAGGTCGAGTCCGGCTGAGCTGGAGATAGAATTTCCCGGCATGGGCCATGTTCTGCGCCGCTTGCAAGGGCTGGACATGCATGAGATGGAGGTAGTGAGCTCGGTCTGACATGGGGATATTAAACCGTTGCGGTGGTTGTCTCTTGGAAAGCTTGAACCTTTCTTTGTTATTTCAGAAACACTCGAATATAAAGTTTTGCTTTCATTGGGATAATCGCCCACTAGATTGAGATACTTATCATCAAACTGATAAATGTTGAAGCGCTTAAATAGATGAAAGGTCTCGAAGGGCTGACTGGCTAAAACCCACTGCGGGTCACATGTAGACTAACTAGATCAGGCCGGCGAAGGCCTCAGGCTCCAGCACGTTATTTCAGAGACGCTCGAATGTCATTTTGGTTTCATTGGGCTAAATTGAGACACGCATCATAAAATACATACAATCACTCCTTTCTCCTGCTTCACTGGTATTATCGCATTCCAAGAGAACGGGCTCCTACGTCGGTAACACATGAACAGTCTATATATAGTGCTGGCCTCAATGAGGCGTCGTGTCGTCAAAAGGTATATCATCGACCGGAATCATATCCCCCGTCCGACACCTTATTACATACACCGATCCTGGAGACGTGTAAAAGAAAAGAGATATACAGCTATATCTTCTCTTTCCGTGCCTTCTTCGCCTGTCCACCACCCAGTGGCCTTAAGGTCTTATACCACTGCTCCTCCAACACCTGATGGCTCCGCCCCCTTCTCTTCTCCTCCCACTCCCTCTCTACGCCCCTATACTTCTCCATCTCCTCCCCAATCCACCGCCCACACGGCTCCATCACGGCCCTCACCTCCTGGAACGGCATCAAATGCCCCAACCCGGGCAGCGTCACCTCTTTGACCCTCCCCTCGGGAATCCCCCCCACTCCCTCCAACCCCCGTGCCACAGACCTTAATCCCCTCACGCATTTCATCCAGACTCAGATATGTCGCGCCACCCAGGACCCACAAACATGAGGGTCGCAGAGTCTCTAGACGCAGGAAAACACTCCGTGGCTCAGGACGATACATCGGGATGAACGCAGCCAGGGGGTCCAAGTCAGCGTGCGTGGCGCGGGGGATCCGAATGGATCCGGACGCAGGGTCTCGGACGCAGGGTCTCGGACGCAGGGTCTCGGACGCAGGGTCTCGGGCGCCGAAGTTCTCGCGGATCTGGCCCAGCAGGTCATGGTACTTGGTGGTTGTGAGAGTCACCGGGATGGAGGAATCGGAGGACGTCCCCAGACGGGCCTTCACGGCGTCGGCAGCTCCCGGAACCCGTATTGCGCCATACGCTCCACGCAGCGAGGATCCCAGCCGTGCAGCATTCGGCGGTTTGCGTGCAGGGCGGCCTCGCGGTTGGGCCAGACGTCGTCGCGCCAGAGAGTGTAGTTGATGGGGCTGAGGGCGTCGGTGCCGAAACCCATGGGTGGAGGGGTGAGTTGGATGACGGGGTCGAGGAGGAGGAGCGTGGTGAAGAGGCGCGGATGGAGGTAGGCGAGGTTGGTTCTGGAGGTAGCGTTAGTTGTCTGTGCGGTAGAAGGCTATCTAGGGGAGGTAAGTTGTGAACAAACATGATGTTCCCACCGAAGCTGTGACCAATGCCAATGAGTGGGCGAGGCATTTGCTCGCGGAAGTGGTTGATAAGAAGGAAAAGATCGCGGGAGTGATCCATCCAGGAGCCTTAGGATAGAAGATTAGCTGTGATGATTAAATGCATTGCGGATTTGAGAATAACAAACAGTCCATACTAAGCCTATCCTCGTTCAGGATTCCGCTCGAATTCATACTCGCACAATCTGCCACCCAGATTCCACGAATCTTGAACCCATGGCGCGTGGAGTGGTCCAGCAGCTCATCCCATAACGGCTCGTACAATTCCTACGGTCGAGGTGAGCATAGAAAGCCATATAAGGGGGCTGGGGTTGTTACTTTGGGCAATGCCGTTCCATGGGCGGCAATAAAGGTGATGGCATCTGCTGGGACGGGCTGAGGTTGATCCTTGGGAGTGTATTGCTTGATGTGCAGCTGTAGAACATCTTCCTGGTTGACAGTGCTGCCGGGGTATTCGCGGATATGACAGCCTGGGGGGATGTGTTCGGTGATGGTAAAGCGATCAGTCGACATGATAGGTTAAAGTTGATGAGAAATATAGCGTATGCTATCTTTAAACAATACGAGTTCTGGATAAATAGCGAGGCGGAAAGAACAAAGAAACGAGGTCCAGCCTGGTATTTATATGAAGACAAGCAGGATCAGACCGTTTCTTAGCTTCCTGGCCCTAATTATATTAACCAACGCCACTAAGCTTGTCCTCTCCATTTCGATTATATAATGAATGAGCAAGGATGCTGAGTGACTAATTTTGTCGTTCTTATCCCTCTAACCTATCTACCTGGTCACCTTTATGCAGGTAATCAAGGCTTGTATGACTTCAAGCCATCAATCCAACGTTGCATGGCCAGCCCCGTCAGCCCTCGTATAGGCAGGATATGCGTACTACCCACATGTGCTACATACACGTTGAATATCATGCAGAGGTGGCATGCGCCCATAAGAGGAGCTGAGGCTCACTGTCCGGCGCCTCAAGTCTTGATCTCTTCTCCATTCATTTGATCCACCGTTCCATATGTCTGACATCCCACACAATGACATCTCCCCCGAGCGCATGAGGGAGTATTGCGGCGACGAGCTCCGAGATGTCGCTATCGCTTTCATCATCATCGATACCCTCGCGGTCGGACTACGCTTTGTCTCCCTGAGACTCAGCGAGAAGCGATTCGGCATCGACGATCTCCTCACCATCCCTGGCTACCTCTGCTGCATGAGCCTCAACGTCCTATCTCTCGGTAACCCAACCATCCTACCCACACATCACCATCGCCTTCCCCTCTAATCTGACCCTATCCCAGTACTCATCAATGCCGGCCTCGTCGGCTACCACATGGACGTCATCGCAGCAACCAACCCGCACCTCCTCGTCCCCTGGGCCAAATGCCTCTACGCCACGCCACCCGTCTACTCCGCCGCCTGTTGCTTCCCCCGCGTCATCCTCCTCACCCTGTATCTGCGTATCGTGCACGCCCAGAAACCTTACCGAGTCGCTTGCTTCGCTTTGATCACCTTCGTCGTCGCTCTGGGCGTCGCCGATACCCTAGCCGGCGCCTTCGAGTGCTGGCCCGTCGCTTACCTCTGGGATAAGTCCATCCCCGACGGCCACTGCTTCGATATCCCGCTCTTCTACCACTGGGGCACCCTGCCCAACGTCCTTGTCGATCTGATGATGTTGATCCTCCCGCAGCCCGTCATCTGGTATCTGCAGGTCCCTGCGCAGGTTAAATTCGGCCTAGCAGCTACCCTGCTTACCGGTAGCATGTACGTAAACCAGCCAGCTCCAGCTCCAGCGTCCCCTCCCTAGTCAGTCCGCTATCGATGACATGAGATAACCCTCCTAACATCCAACAGCGGAATGGTGACGTCCATCGTCCGGTGCGTGGCCTTTTTCACCAACGACCCTCTCGTCGACGGTACTTGGAAGTCCGTCCTCTTTCTGAAATGGAGCATCATCGAGCCGGGCGTCTACCTGATTGCGGCCTGTTTGCCGTGCTATCGGCCTCTGGTTAAGTTGGTCTTGGGTCGGGGATATACGGCGGTGGAGTCAAGCTGTAAACCTGCGAGTCCGGTGGCTTCGGTGCGCAGGGACACCCCGGTCTCGGGGTCGAATTTGCATCGTTCTGTCTCGGGGGGATCGGAGATGGATTTGGAGATGAGGGCGTGTCCTGTGCGGGAGTTGGACCGTGGTCGATTGAGTGATGAGTTTAGGCTAGTGGGGGGTGGGAGTGTTTGAGGGGGTGGTTTGTTTGGGGTGATGATGTCTTGGATAGGAGGATCTGGTGGAGGTGGTGAGAAATTATGTATTATGTCTTTGTCTGCTATAGCGATTGATTTCGATAAAGTACTTTGTTTCTTTTCCTCCGTTGCGAGCTCGAAAACAAACCAAAATAACCCCCCTGGTACGGAGCAAGATTACTATAAGTCCAGCTTGTCGCCCCCCTCCTCCACTTTCCACCACAGGCCACCCCATATAATACACTACACCACCGATTTTAGTAATTCTCGTCTTCCATCTTGGTTGGCTGGCACTATGTCTCTAAACCTGGGGAAGTTGCATCTTGCTGATCATGGTCCAAACAGACTGAGTTGGTGTTGTTTGTACGGGGTAAGCCATGAGGCACTCAGGCAAATAAGAACACCCCTGGTCAATGTTGGTGGTGGCTGGGTGACACAACGACAGGGGTCTGTTGGAACATTACAGCAGATATAGGCGCATGTCTGTTCTCCCCGATGATAGCTTCCTCTTTACCGGTTCTTATTGATCTGAAATTGGAATAATGCTCTTTCCTAGGGATAACTCTGCTCAAACTCGCATGCTTCAGTACTGCTAATTATATATTGATCTTAAAGCTTTTTGTATCTCGGTCCAACCTCCATAACTTGGTTGCTTTATACCTTGATGCATTCCGTAGGGATTGTGTTTACTATGATAAAAGGGGTAAGTGCATTTAATTTACTATTTATTTACGGCCAAGTATAGACTGCAAAACCTTTAAATGCTTTAAAGACAATTGGAGCTAGATCTCCCGATAGCGCTTGGTTTTTTTGAGCAACCTTCCTCCAAAGAGCGGAGGGCAGACAGGTTCTATAGATGGTTGACTTACTCAATAATACAATATATGGATGCTGGTATTAGGTCGAGATTTGGTCTCCATCTGCTATTGTGTTACTTATTTATTCTCATCATCTATCACCTACTTTGGCAAAGGGTGGAATACGTGCTAACTACCCCCTACCAAGGCACAGGGATTTATCCGTATCAGGCATCTAGACAAGTGGATAAGAAATGAGGAACTTGTTTCCACGTAGAGATTCTTGAAGGTAGAGTTGATTTATTGCGACTAGGCTGACGTTGAGGGTACTCCATTTGATAGGAGACTAACGGCAAGCAACTACTAGCCAAGCTTTCTATATATTGACGTCTGTCTACTCTCCGAGAAACAAGGAAAGACCCTCGCCAGCACATGACTTGACAATAAGAATATAAATACTCTACTATGCGTGCAATAACTACGCAAGACATGTCCTTGTATTTGTATTAACGATGATTGTAGAATTGCTTGTCAGTAGACTGCCAAGTACAACCGTGTTCGGCATCTATACAACTCTAGCATGCGAATGCTGCCAGCACTCCCTGGATTAGCAATAGTCCATATCAATAACTTATACTCGGTTTAGTATGTACGGGAGCTGCATCGTCTAAGCGTCTATGCAACCTGAACCGGGTGGGCCTCGGTGTTGTAGACAAATTTGTTGCCCTGGCCCTTCTGGACTTGCCACGCCTCATCTGTCACGGAGTCAGAGATTATCTTGTGTTGTGCAAGAACAACTTACCGTCCGAATGAGCCAAATAGACGTATTTCAGCACCTCCGCGAAGATGAAACTCTCCTGGTTGTCATCCTTACCGCCGCCATTCTCGGCGTTGACGTTCTTCAGGCCAGCGAAGCCGGAGTCGGTGCGACAGTACTTGTTGACTGCCACGAAGGCGTTCCACACCCATTCGCGATACTGCAATCAATTAGTCCACGTCTTTTCTGGTGTCCGACAAGCCACGTTGGGTCCTACCTTCTCCTCGCCTGTCACGCGCCAGGCATAGTAGAAACTTTCAATCACCTCCGGTCGCAGGATGTAGACACTGCTGCCGATGTAGAAGCCCGCGCGCTCGTACAACGCCTTCTGGCTGTCAGGCACGTTGTTGGGGTTCCAGCTGAACGTCTCGGGTCCGATTCCGGTGAGGGTCTCGTTGTAGGTGGTGTGGCATCCGTTGACCAGGTCCAGGCCGAATTTGATGAAATCGTCGCGGTCCAGCACGGTGCCTCCCAGCAGGAAGCTTCCTCCGTCAAAGCAGGTCAGGTGCTGCGAGCTCAGACCCAGGTTGCCGTTGTTGTACGACGCCAAAAAGGTCAGGTCGGGGCGGGGTTCCGGGTGTGACGCGAGATGCTTAATGCTGGACTCGGCGGCGGCCACCCAGCGCTCCTTATACTTTCCGAACCGCTTGGGGTCGTACACATACATCTTAATCAGATACTCGTAGAACGAGTCGGCGCCACCGTTCCAGCTGACCTGGGCGTCGGAGAATTTTCCAGTCCTGATATCAATGTGACTGCCGACCAATCCGGGGAACGGCTCGGCCTCCTGGGGCTGGGGATCCAAGAGGTACGACTGCGCTTTCTGGCTGAGTTTGGCATACTCGGTGTTGCCGGTGAGATCCGACAGGCGCGTCCATTCCAGGACCAAGGTTCCGGTAACGGCCAATCCATTGGTCGTGGCGTGGTCATTGTCGTGCGAGGTGATGTTGACGTTGTTGTAGGGAACGCCCGACGGGGTGTCGAAGGCGAATTTCAGGATGTCGGCGAGATTCTTGGACTGGGTCAGAAGCGTCTCCACCTTGCTCTTGTCCTTGATCAGATCCGACGCAGGGCCCTTCAGCAGGTCGTACCCGGAGATCATGCCTCCCAGGTAGCGAATGGTGGTCTCGAACAGACTGACCATGCTGGTGGTCTTGGAGTAGTCGACTTTAGCGACGTGGTCGAGAATCTGGTCGACGATGGTCGCATTGCCCATGATGATGGCGGTGGAGAGAGCATCGACGGCGGACGCACCCCAGCCATTGCGGGAATTGCCAAATCCGTTGGAGATGGGGTGCAACTCATCATTGGGGAAGGCGTGTTTGTAGTAGCCCTCCCAGGCGTGCACGAAAGCCTCCTTGATGGTGTCCGCACGCGACTGGGATTTCTCGGGCTTCAGGAGGGGCTGCTCATGGTTGTGTTGCGGATAGGCGAGGGAAGGAGTGACGAAAGCCAAGGCCGTCAGGGGAAGGAGAGACGGCAAATGCATGGTCGAGGAAGAACGAGTGACACTCGACCGGGGCAGACAACGAGAGAGCGTGTATACTCGGGGTTAAGTGCTTCGAGAAAGCACCGGGACAGCCAGGGGGATATTATTCTGTACTATCAGTGGGTCGTATTAATAAAAACAAAACAATCCAAAGGAGCGACAGCCCGACGGAGCAGATGGATGCATATAAATAAGGAGGGACGAAGAGGGGGGGGACGATCAGGGACTAAGAAGGACACTAAGGAGCGAACTAAAGTCCAGGGAGAAGATGTCGCGTGGGGAAGGAAATCCAGCGAGCGGCGCCGTGTTAAATGCTGCCGGCCTGGGTGCCTTAGTCACGCTGCCGAGGGATGCAGGGGAACGCAAGGAGGCATTCCGCGTTCATTCGTCCCATTTGTGCTCCAAGCGAAAGTCAATCCTCGATCTGCACGCAGATTTAGAATTGTCACGGCCAGGCTGGATCTATCGCCAGATCCGTGATCCCAATGGAGCCCGGATAGACCCACCGACTAGTGACGATGGACCACATTCGGCAGTCGAGGAGTCTAGCTGCTTTTCTTTTCTGCTTTTCCGGCTTTCTTGTTTGCTTTTTCTGAAGAGTCCAAGCCCGAAGGAGCCCGTGGGTTGTGACTGGTGCATCTTGTCTAGTCCTAGAATTGAGCAGCATTGACACTAATATCCACACATCATCCGACCATCCGCCTGACTGCCTGAGCCTCGGCGGCCGGATGGGGCAATCTCCATGTCTCTCGGAGCTTCGATTGATGAGTTGCAGGTTTTGGCGTCATTGGCAGATCTTGGCCAGCGCTCAGGTGGTCTGAGAGCTGTTGCTGGAGAATACCAAAAGGTATACTCCGGAGTCGTCAGGATCTGTAAGGCTGTGACAGTCATTCACGGCGGGTACTGAGTACCTCTCCTTGCCTGCTGTCCTGCCGGCTCTGGAAGTACCCGGTACTTAGAGACGATCTTCGCATAATTGTGCATATTTCCCGCTGAATCAGCAATGCGGACCAATCAGCGGCCATGGCTCTGCTGTCATCCTCACGATCATTGGCAGCCTCAGCCCCTCAGTCTCATCCTTCTCGCAACAATAGGATTTGGGGAAAGATAGAGATAGACCAATCTAATAGGCAGTGTATCACTCTTCCAGTTCATCCACAGACACCAATCCATGATGCCTGTTATTCCGATGCCGCAAGCAGCGAGCCACGGCACCAACCACGTGCCTCCGTGCGGGGCAGCAAGAATTTCCCGATGATTCACACTTCGCTTCCCCTCAACGCCTGCTTTGCTCCTCCTTCTGGGGATCTTTGTTTTTTCTTCTCTCTTGTCTGTCTTCCAATCAGCCGAGATTGGTTCCTAACCCTCCCCAACCATCCTCATCCCCCCTTGTCATCATGGCCACGCCCCTCCTGGTCTCGTTCGACCCCTCCAGCCCCTCCGATGCCGGCCTCGCTCTCGATCAGATCGCCTACTTCGGTCGCGTCTTGATCAAGGTCTCCAGTCTCGCTCAGGCCGAGCAATTCCTGCGCGCCAACTTCCGTCTCCTCGATGTGTACGTCGATGCGACCGCCATTGCCTCCTCCGGTGACCTCGTTGACGTCCTGAACGCCGGTGCCGCCAAGATCTTCATCACCCTCGAGCAATTGACCGCCCTCTCGCAAGAACAAACCGTCCCCTCGTCACGCGTTGTCGTATACGGCTCATCCGATATCCAAATAGATGCCTTCCAATCATGGGTGGCCGAGAATGCCGAGCGCAAGGAAGCCGGTCTAGCCACCGAGTCGGCCGCCGTCAAGGCCCTCGCTGACAAGCTGGGAATGAACCTCGAGGCTCAGAACCTCTACCGGACGTACTCCGGTTCGGTCTCGGAAGAGACCCTGAAGGATACCCTGACCCAGGGTGCCGTCAACGTTGTGTCTGCCGATGCCTTGACTTTCGACCGCAACCAGGCCGATGGCAAGATTGTGGCCGCTTCTCTCATCGCGGCGCGTGCGGTGGCCGACCAGAGCAATGGTCTTTATGCCACCACGGTGACCGACGAGCGTGGCACCTGCTTGGGTCTGGTTTGGAGCAGTGACGAGAGTATCTCCGAGGCCCTGCGCACCGGCACCGGTGTCTATCAGAGCCGAAAGCGGGGTCTGTGGTACAAGGGTCAGTCGAGCGGAGATGTGCAGGAGCTGCTCCGGGTGGGTTTCGATTGCGACAGCGACTGCTTGGTGTTCACCGTTAAGCAGATCGGTCGGGGTAAGTAGCCTTCGTGGAACAGATCAAACCATAACATAGCTAATGCATATGCTCGATTAGGTTTCTGCCATCTGGGAACCGCCAGCTGCTTCGGCCCGTACAACGGTCTCTCGCGCCTGCAGAAGACTCTGCAAGAACGCAAGGCAGATGCACCTGCGGGCTCCTATACTGCCCGACTTTTCAACGAGCCCAAGCTCACCCAAGCCAAGATCATGGAGGAAGCCGACGAGCTGTGCCGCGCCAACACCAAGGAAGAAATTGCCTTCGAAGCTGCCGATCTTCTCTACTTTGCTCTGACGCGCTGCGTTGCTGCCGGTGTCAGCTTGGAGGATGTCGAGAGAAACCTCGACCTCAAGAGCCTCAAGGTGAAGAGAAGAAAGGGAGATGCTAAGGGACCCTGGGCGGAGAAGGCTGGCGTTGCCCCGGCTGCCCCGGCTGCCCCGGCCCCAGAGAGCCAGCAGCCTCCCGCAAAGACGGAGGAAAGTCGAATTGAAATGACGCGGGTTGTGACCGCCTCGACGTCGGTTGAAGTGGTCCAGGACCACCTCAAGCGGCCGTCCCAGAAGTCCAACGATGCCATCGTTGGTCTGGTTCGCCCCATCATCCAAGATGTCCGCGAGAACGGCGACGCCGGTGTGTTGAAGTACACCCACAAGTTCGAGAAGGCGACTTCTCTGACCTCCCCGGTCATCCACGCTCCTTACCCCGCCGAATTGATGAAGCTGTCTCCGGAAACCCAGGACGCTATTGATGTTAGCATTTCCAACATTGCTAAGTTCCACGGAGCTCAGAAGAGCAGCAACGACGCTCTCCATATGGAGACCATGCCTGGCGTTGTCTGCTCTCGCTTCTCGCGACCCATCGAGCGGGTCGGTCTTTACGTCCCCGGTGGTACTGCCGTGCTGCCTTCGACCGCGATGATGCTGGGTGTCCCCGCCATGGTGGCCGGCTGCAAGAAGATCGTCCTTGCCTCGCCGCCCCGTGCCGACGGCAGCATCTCCCCCGAGATCGTGTACGTGGCGCACAAGGTGGGAGCCGAGAGCATCGTGCTAGCGGGTGGTGCCCAGGCCGTGGCCGCCATGGCTTACGGTACCGAAAGCATCAGCAAGGTGGACAAGATCCTGGGTCCTGGCAACCAGTTCGTAACGGCCGCCAAGATGCTGGTGTCCAACGATACCTCGGCCGGTGTCAGCATCGACATGCCGGCCGGTCCCAGTGAGGTTCTGGTGGTGGCCGACGAGCAGGCCAACCCGGCATTCGTGGCCTCGGATCTCCTGAGTCAGGCCGAGCACGGTGTCGACTCGCAGGTCATTCTCATCGCCATCAACCTCAACGAGCAGCAGCTCCAGGCCATCGAAGACGAGGTCGACAAGCAGGCTCGGGCCCTGCCTCGTATGGATATCGTCAAGGGATCTCTGGAGCACTCGGTTACGTTTGTGGTCCGTGATCTCAACGAAGCGATGGCTCTCAGCAATGACTACGCTCCTGAGCATCTGATCTTGCAGATTCAAAACGCCGAGGCCGCGGTGGAGCAGGTGCAGAACGCGGGCAGTGTCTTCATCGGCCAGTGGACCCCCGAGAGTGTGGGCGATTACTCGGCTGGTGTGAACCACTCTTTGCGTAAGTTTATCATTGACAGAAAGTGAGAAACGGAATGGCTAACTTCTGATAGCAACCTACGGCTACGCTAAGCAATACTCCGGAGTGAACCTGGGATCATTCCTGAAGCACATCACCAGCTCCAACCTGACGGCAGACGGCCTGCTGGGACTGTCTCGCACCGTCGAGCAATTGGCCGGTGTGGAAGGACTGGAGGCGCACAAGCGGGCTGTCAGCATCCGCGTGGCGCACATGAAGCAGCAGTAATTTCCGATTTGTATATGCGAGCATGTTTTTAATATGACGACCTAGATGGATATATGGGTTCTTTCCGAGAGTTTACGACTGATAGATGAGTAGCAATCAAAAGTCCAGTTTGATTCTTTCATAGCGGTGGTATCCTCTGTAAACCTCTATACAAGCACACAAATCCTAGATGCAACTTTTCCCGGCCATATTAAACGAAATAAACAAGTGATATAGAAAAAAACCATCATGAATCGTAGCGATCCCGAGATCACCTCTTGCGCTCCCGGATCTTCCACTTGATGCCATCCTTATTCGTGCCTCCCACCGAGTTGTCCATGCGAGCCCGCTGCCAATCCAGCTCGTTCGACGCCGCCGTGATATCGGCATACTGCTTCTGCAGCGCGTTCAGCTTGTTCTGGCGCGCCTCGGCCGCTCGCTTTTTCGTCTTGCGCATGCGCCTCGCCTCCACGAGAGCTTGACGTTCCGCCTCGAGTTCTTTCCGCGACTTCTTCTGCTGGCGTTTCTGCAGCTGTCCAAACGAATCATCCTCCTCGTCGTCCTCATCGTCATCATCATCCTCTTCATCCCTCAACTTCCGACTCTGCAACGACCTCTGCTCCATCTGATCATCCGCAAACACCATCTTTCTCGGCTTGCGAGTATCCTCCTCATCCCCAAAATCAAACCCAAACTCGTCGTCGTCGTCCTCCTCCTCCCTCTCCGCGTCCTTCCCCTTCTCCCCAAATATCTCCTGCAGTCCATCCTGCAACCGCACCTCCTGCTCCAGCTTCTCCATCTGCCGACGCACCCGCTCCCCCACCGTCCGTAGGTATCCCGCATCCTGCGTCTTCAGCAATTTCACCGCATCGTGGCTCAGGCCCGCGGCCGACGCGCGGTTCGAGGCGCCGTGTTTTCCCGCCTTCGAGGACCCCGAGGACATCATGCCGAAGGCGAATTCATCGGGGTTGCGGTCGCGGACCTTCTCTTCGAGGCGCTTCAATTTGGCTTTTTTGGCGTTGTAGTCGCGCGCGCGGAGCGAGTAGTCCTATATTTCGAACAGTTTGTTAGTGTGCTGTACTATGAGGCAGAATGGGGAGGGAAGGGAGAGGGAAACGTACCTTGTGCTTTTCTAGGATACCCCATTTCTCACGGCCTTGGATTTGACCTCGCTCGCGGTGCTGGCGCCGTTGGACGGCGTTGCGCATGGACGACATTTTGCCGGTGGTTTCCCTTTTGTGGGATCTAGCTGGCGATGGAAATATTCAAATATGAAGAAGCGAGATTCGACTGTCCAGCAAACCCCAGGAATAAAAGAGAGAAGCTGCGTGGATAGAAAGCCCGACGTTGAAAAAGTCAAGTGTAAAGCAAAGCAACTCGGCGGAGAAAAAAAAAGTTCGGAGGCGGAAGCAGTCCCGTGCCAACCAGCCAGACTTGCCCATCCGGCGGAGGCGGAGAACTTCACTGCTGTCACTCCTCCCAGCAACTGCCCTCCCCAATTGCTCCGCTTCGGCCTTTCGGTGAGCGTCGAGAGTGTGTCCGTGTCTGACCGTTTGGAAACTGTTCGCCGGGGTCTGAATTGCCGTCTCTGCTGCGTCTCGTGGGCGATTGATTGATCGATTGATTCATTGCTTGGTTGGTTGATCTCCACCGTGCGATTGATCATCCCCTCGACTCGCCCTCTTGTCTTCGGCATATACGCTTCTACGAAGGACCTCTATACTACCTAAGCTACCTATACATATACCGATACCGATACTCTCGCCTCGAATCCTCAACCTCTCCTCCAACCTCTCAATCCGACAAAATGTCCACCCCATCACCACCAACAGAACCGCAACCGCCCAAAAAATACAACCTCCGCAACCCCCTCCCCCTCTCCGCCGCCCAAGAAGCAGAAGTCAAGCAAATATACTACAAGCGCGTGCGGGCCCTCTGTGCGCCTGAAATCAAAGGTCCGCCTCGGGTCCTCCCCTCCCTCCTCCAATTCCCTACCCCCCACCCAACCATTGTTATCATATGATGCCCTACCTCCAACCAGCCCAACAGAACCAGCTAACAGCGGAATCAACATCTAGCCTTCGCCGAATGCGCCGTCAACCGCACGGTAACGGCCACGTGGGTATGTCGGACGCAACGACTCGCGATGAACTCGTGCATGGTGGCGCACGCGAAACCGGAAGAGGAGGATCGCGCGCGCGAGGAGTGGTTTGCGACGCATGGGGAGCGGAAAAAGGCCAAGGAGGAGGAGCTCGCTGGCGTCGAGAAGCGGAGAGAGGTCGTCATTAAGATGATGAGGGAGGATGAGGAGAGGAAGAGGAGGGGGAATTGACCTTCTTCCCCCTTCTGTTTCTCTTTCTTCTCGAGATTGGGGGGGTGTGAGTGTTTGATAGGGTTACTTGCTGCTTAGACGGAGAGAGGACGTGACCTACGCCCGGAGATGTATATTGGGCATGGCGTTTTTGTTTTGCTGCTTCTTGAAGCTTTTGCTTAGCATGGGATTTTCTTTCCGTTTTTTCGGGTCTGTCCTGTTTAGTTGATGGACCTTGTTGTATGTATGTCTGCATGGTGGAACTTGTATTGTACAGTAGATCATCTCACTCTTCTTTTCTTTTTTCTTTTTCTGTCTCTGATAGTTCATTGGTCAGGATTATCAGGTAGTAGCAAGATAGTATTTCATTTCCGATTTGATGCGCCCAAACTCCCATTTCGCCGGTGAAAGTACATAAAAAAAATCCAGATAGATGCATATAAGATCCCGGCTCAAACATCCGTCATAGTCTTATCCTCGCCATCATCTCCCTCCCCCATCGCCGTATCCTCCCCAAACACATCCTCCATCTTCCCATCCTCCCCTCCATCCTCATCCTCCTCACCCTCTCCCTCCTCCGTCCCCTTCACCCCATCCCCAGCTCCCCCACCACCAGCACCACCAACCTCCATCTCCTCTTCCTCCTCCCCCTCACTCTCCCACTCATCCTTCATATTCCACCCGGTCCCGGTTAAACAAAACCTCTCCGGCGGCAGCCTCATCCCGCCCATCAAAACACTCTGATTCGCCGCGGGCTTATTCGCCTGCTGCCCGGCATCGAACCCACGCGTCGCCCCCGGCAAGGTAACCCGATTTCTCTCCGCCGCGACATCCAGCAGAAACTCCTTCGGCAGGCCCGTCTGGAACTGGTAGTGCAGTCTGGAGGCGATGCTCAGCCGCAGCGCAGGGAGCGAGACGCCGTTGACGTCGGCGCCTTTCGCGGCGGCGCCGGCCCCCGAGGCGTCCACGGCGCCCACGTAGCCTTCTGTCGCGAGGTGCACCGCGTCGTGGAACACGCTGGAGGTGTAGCGGTATGCGAAGTCGAGGAGCTGGAGGGGCACGCGCTCCTGGTACGAGGTTACGCCGAGAGAGGCGAGAACCATGTGGATGAGGCGGACATCGCGGGGGCGGCGTGATTTGCCGGAGTCTTTGAGGGATGTCGAGGGGATTTGGGTCGGTTGGGAGGGTTGGGCGGGGAGGGTGGTTGATGTGGTTGTTGGGTGCGTGGGTGCGCCGTTGGTTGTGGGTGGTTGTTGGGGTTGTTGTTGGGATGTGTGCGCGGAGGAGGGTTCGGCGGGGGGTGTGAGTGGTTGGGTGGATGGTGCGCCGGTCGGCTGGGTTGGTGAAGCCATTGTGAGAGAAATGTTCTCGTGTCAGGTCAGCTATGCTGATATGAGGTGGATGCGGTATACGCGGTGGTGATGGTGAAGACCGTTGCGAGGGATGACGGGGGACGCTCCGGAGGTGGCGACGAAGAGTCTTATTGGAACATGGTCAGGTAGAGCTGGATGACTGAGAGTAGATCGAGAAATGCGACTGGGGATTGCGGTGGAGCGACAGTCAATCAATGGAGAGAGAATGAATTGAATGGGAATGAATGGATGAAGTCGATGGAGCGGCTTTCTTCCGGAGGCGCTAACCCTTTTAGGCATCTGCTCGGTCTATGCATTCGCCCTTTGAATGGCTTATTGAAGATTATTGAGCCATACGAACAATGGAACAATAGAATAATAGAATAATATAATAATATAATAGTCAATTCACTGAGATCAATCCAATAGCTCTTGTGTAATGATATATGCCGATGTCTACCAGTCTATCCCAACTGTGCTGTGACAACGTCTTGACTGTACAACTCATCCCCGAAAGGAAATCAAACAAGCTATGCATGCAACCATTCTAAACGCCGAGAATGCATAAACGAGAACCCCTTGAAGTCGCGAATGCAAATGACATCCGCCAGGCAAAGCATTGAAATCGTGGGTATTTATATCAGCAGCAAATCATCTATACCGGCAACACGTTCAAGAGTCTCCAGGCTCCGGAGACTGTCGCGTCTTCTTTGGTGGCGAGCGTGGAGCTTCGGCAAATTGTACCGTCTCGCCAGGCTCCCCTGTTTCCTCTTCCTCTTCGTCTTCGCCTTCATCGATGCTTTGTCCGTCGGCGAGACTAGACGGGTCAATGGAAACCTGCGAGATATAGCTGGCTCCGAGCTCCTCCTCCGCCGTTTCTTCGTCGACATCACTGCCCTCGTCATCGCTCAATTCGCCGTCATAGTCATCATCAACATCCTCGTCCTCATCATCTGGCTGGTCGTCATCTTCGTCTTCATCCTCGCTATCCGTGCTAGAGAAATCATCAAGATCTGGTGGAGGGTCCCGCCAATAGGTGAAGTCCGTGTACTCCTCACCACCGGCTTGGACCAGCAAGCTGGTAGGCGGGAAAAAGTGGTCCAGAAGTTCGCCCATAGACACGTAGCTGCTCTTGTATTTGTTCAGACTGAGAAGGTCCAGGGACACCTCGGCGTTGGAGTTGATCGTGAAGATCCGACTGGACGGGATATTGACCGACCGATAGCTGAGCGCATCGGTCAGGCGATTACCAAACCCGGCATAGAATGGGTTCTCCTTTCCGTTGAACAGGCCCAAAATGTCGCGCAGGCAGGCCATTTTGAACACCTCCGGTTTCCTCAGGTATATCTCTCGTCGGAGGGCCGCCATCGTGCGGTCAGGACTCATGATCGTGGGACCCTTCGGCAGTCGATAGCCATCCTGGTTTACCCCGTATATGTAAGCCCTGGTGGTGTCTGCCTGACCGACGGACCGGCTGGTCAGGTACATGATGTTGTAGCCGTTGTTCACGATGTCCGTGTACAGCTTGGCCACTCCAGCATGTGTCCAGTCACGGCCAATCATGTTGAGCACATGACCAAGCGCGTCAGATCTGCATTTGCATTAGCACCAGAAACAGGTCATAAGTGTCCAGGAGCAGCTCACTTAGTAATGGTCCCGTCGATATCCGAGATCACGATGGGGGTATTGCCATTCCACAAGTACATTGTAGCTGTGCAGGTCGCCTTGTTAACGCTGAACGACATGTCGTTGGCGCCGGGCTTCAGGTTTAGCGCCTTCAGTTGATCGCTTGTCAGACGCAAGGTTTTGGCATAGTTGCGGGTGGTTTCTCCCGGGGTAGGGGACTGCGGAGGGGTGGGGAATCCCGGCTGAACATCGGATTGAGTGCGATAATGCCGCGTAGCCATCGGAGTTCCCTGAAGAGACCGGTCGCTGTCACTATGATACCCAGGGTCCGAGATGGCATTTTCACTCATAGCAGAGCTCGGTCTCATCGAGTTGAACGTGGCTCGCCGATCGGCAGCGTCTTTCGCCTCTCCGCTGCTGTAGATCCACAGATTGCCGTGCTCATCAGCTCCGATCAAGGCGCCAATGTCATAATTTCCTTCCAGTTCCTCGGCCAGGATCTTTCGTGCAAGAACTTCCGCCCGCAATGCATCTTCCTCGTTGCTTTTGTACCCAGTCATGTCGAGCATCAGATCGCCCGTATCAGTAACATGGGATGGAATATTAGAGGCAGTCAATTTCTTGGAAAGAGACTCGGCGCGCGAAACAGCCTCTCCGGGCGACACCGGTGGGGGGCTACGAGAACGCCGACCCTCGCTCGAGTCGTCGGCGGGAGGTGTCGAACTGCTTTCTCGCTCGCCATAAACTTGGTCAACGACACTTGGACCGCCTGGATTCTCGGTTTTTCCTAGAAGAATTTTGGCCGCATCGACACCATCCAGGTTCTCCGGTTCATCGCCAAATGAGCCATGTCGGGACCTGCCCAGATGGGAATCATCTGGCGATCGCGACAGCGGGGTAAGTGTACCTAGATGAGACGTAAATATATTTTCGAAAGAGAGAAGAAAAGAATCGAGGAGTCGTACCTAGATCGCTGGACGCCCGCGTGACCCTTGACATTATCGGCAGTGTCGAAGACCCTTTCGAGTCTTGGTTGACACCCATCGTCGACGATCGTTCGAGATCCAGGTACTCGGGTTCTTGTAGAGAGGTCGGAAGATTCTCTTCGCTGCGCATCTTGGGGCTGGCGGACGGCGACACCAACGGTGACGTCTGCAAGGAGGCGGGGATCTCATCCGTTGTCTCGAAGATGAAGAATGCCTCCCCACCTTCGCCCAGCTTCATCGAGTAGTCTTGCTTGGCTCCATTGACTTTGAACTCGACCTTGAGACTTGAAGTCAGACACTTGTATTGATCCGGGAACCGATCGTGCAGACGGGCTTTTGTACCTTCTTTTCATACGGGCGGAGCAAGGAGAACTTGCCGAAGCGAACATGGAACGGCGAGCAGGCGAGGGTTCCTGCATTCGAGCACTAGTCAGCCACCACGATCCCCTCAGGATAATGGACACAGATTCAAATACCATCTTCCTGTTCGATCACGATTACATCGATGGCTCCGCTCAAAGTGGCTGGATTGATCGAGTTCCAGGTCTTCGAGACGGAGCCGCTGATACTTCGCACGTACTGCATCCCGCGGATAGCACGAGGCCGAGATAGGCCGATGGAGGGATGGAGGAAGGACGAAATGCAGGGGAAAGATCCACGGGGGGAATAAAATAAGGAACTAAAGTATAAAGTGGGAGGACAAGAAGTCGGACGATGGCAAGTTGCCGCCTACATACGGCCCATGTGACAGAGCCCGATGCGAGACATGCCCAGAAACGAATGGAGACAATGCGCCGACAAAGAATGGGCGCTGACCGGGCGGAGGGACAGCACGAGACCAAGCGAGTGGACGCAAGGGATGCAACGGAATGAGCAGCAAGCGATAGAAATAGAAATCGACGTGTCGAGAGGCAGACGTAAAGTCCAGAGAAAAAGGGTGAAGATGGTTGGGAGTCCTCAACGGTCTCCCGGCCCAACTCAAACAGTTGGACTCGGCCAATCATCCAATGCCTTTGCGTCCTCGGCTTCCGGAGAGCGCTAGTCCCCATCGGGCCACTCTGCAGCTGACGCAGCCCTGAGTCATCAGTCACCTGACGCCCCACCGGCGAACTTCCGCGGGCTGAAAGTTGGAGATGCGAAGGGCTTCTCTCTCGCTCGTTGTCGGGTTTGGGTTGCCAACGCTGGGATGTATGAGCCGTTGTATCTTTCCTTTGACCCCTACCCCAGTGTGGTCCCCCGTGTGAGGGTACGAGGCGTCATGGCTCTCTTCCTCGCCGTCACCATCCTTTGGGCTCTGATCTGGTGAGTTTTCTCCCCTCCTCGCTGTCCGCTCTCGGCCTAATGCCATGGCCTTCTAGGCTGCTATACCGTGCATGGCAGGTCTGCCAGACCTCCAACGATGTTCTCGTCGAAAAGCTGGGCTTGGATATCCCTCCGCCGCCAGAGGTTACGTTGGAGGAGATCACTGCCCGTGAGATTCGCATCGCTTGGAAACAGCCCGAGTTCCATAATTCGATTCACAAGCATATCATCCAGGTGAACGGCACAAAAGGTAGGCAAATACATGTTTCTGGTGCTATTCTATTCGGTTTCTCTCATTTGATTTTTTTTTTCACCCTCGATCTGGAGTTTAACCGTCATCTTAGTGGGCGAGTCGAAACGAGCCGAAACCGCAGTCGAAATTCTAGATTTGGTCCCTGGCAACATTTACCACATCTGCGTCCTCTCCGTCAGTGCAGCCAACTTCCAAACGCCCAGTGCTATCATCCATGTCCGAACGAAATCTCTTCCTCTGTCCCAGGCGCAGCAGAACGCCCCCGTCGGTGGTCCCTCCATTCGGGCGTCGATTCCGCGCTCGACTGCCGGCCTTGCAGCCCCTTCGGCCCCCATTATGTCTCGCGAGCACAGCGGCGGTCAGATCCAATCCAAACGGTCGTCGGCTGGTCGAAAGCAGTCCCCCGCCGCCAGCGGAGCGGAGGCTTCTCACAGTCAGTTGGAGGAGCTGCAGAAGAATATACCCGGCAATGATCGTGACGAAACCCTGGAGAAACTCGCCGACAGACTGAAATCATTGCAACAAGAAAACGAGAACGTCGAAAAGCAGACCACCGATGAAGATGAGGAACATGTTGCGCTACTGAAAGAACTCGAAAAACAGCGTGATGATCTACGGAAACGGGTCAAGGAGAAGGACGAGGCTAGTGGAGATCTCAAGAAGCATGTGTACAAGCTTGAAAGCGTCAATCGCACCGTGCAGAGCGAGAAGGCTAAGCGCCAGCGTCTCCTCCAGCAGAAGGAGTCCGAGCGTAAAAAGCGCAAGGATGACATCGTGCGATGGCAGGAACGGATGGCGCGGATGACATCCGATGCCGAGGGTGCGAAGGAGGAGAAGGAACGCATAGAAGCAGATGGCAAGGCTCGTGCCGATGAGGTGCGGGAGAAAATCGCCCAGCAACAGGCCGAGATGAAGGTGGTCGACGATGAGATCCAGGACAAGGGTGGCCGCGTCAAGAAATTGGAGGAGGAAAGAAAGGATCACCAAGCACCCGACAGCGAAGATGGCAGGGAGCTGGACCGAATCGACAACGACCGGGCTCGCCAGTGGGAGATCAAGCTGAGCAATCTCCATGCACGATACGCTACGCTTGTAGGCCTTCATGCGCAGGCGCAGCAGCAGTATCAAGAAGCGCAAGAGCGTTTCAAGTGGTTGACCTCCCAGCGACCCGGAAGCACGGCGCCGTTCTCTCTGCCTTCTCTGGATCTCGACCTGTCTAACAACGCCACCATCCGTCCTCGTCGTCACCGCAGTTCGCTTGCCAGCAACGTTTCATCTCCCATGAACTTCTCTGCTCTAGAACCGTCGTTTCCAGGTGGCATCAATTACAATCCGCCCTCCACAAACTCGCCCACGTTTGGCCCGACTCCTGCTTTCTTCAATATCAACAACGGAATGACTCTACCCGGCCTTTCGGGCCAACCGGACCCGCTTCGTTTGGAGTCGGACATCTCTTTCAGCAATCCGCAAATGAGCCCACGCGCCGACGCATTGCTACCGTCGGATCTTCTCGGGGATGAAGAGTCTCCAGAGCTCCCACGGCCAATAGTGCGCCCTCGATTCCCGGATCTTGAACCGTCAGGTACCCAGCTCGAGAACTTCCCCCACGGCCCACCATCACCGGACTCGTCCGGAAGTCAACCCGGCAGTATCTTTGCCAGTCCGCATGAAAGCCAGAATCAAGATACCGAGTCTCAGCCCGGGCATTTGGGAGATGCAGAGGAGGCGCCGAAGAGCGCAACCCGGAGACTATCGGGTCTCTTCAATTTCCACCGGCCTCGAGGGAAAACCCTGGCAGATGAGCCGCCTCTGCTGGGTTCGTTGAAACCGGGACAGAGCCAGTCCTTCCCACGGAACCTTGATGAGATGGACCCGATTGGAGCGAGGCGTCGTCGGTTGAGTTACACCGGCAACTGGGCCAACCCAATCTCGTTACTCCCCAGGAGCAATACCACCGGAGTGACGAACGACAGTTCCTCGGATCATCTGCCATCTCGACGGGCCGCTTTTTCGAGCATCTTCTCTCCCAGCCGATTCGGATTCGGCAGCGGCAGCAATTTGGGCAAATCCGGCGAATCGTCGGACCTGAATACCGGGTACAACCAATTCAGCCCTAGACATGACCCGATCGATCCGTCCTCGATCCTGGGGACTGTTCGGCGCGGCTCATTGTCGCCGCGGCCATCGTCGACATTTTCATTCGACAACCAGCTGCCGCATCCTTCCACAGACAATCGGCACTTCGGCTGGCCCTCGACCGAAAAGTCGGACCACCGAAGTCTGCTGGGCTTTGACTGGACTTCCCCGTCGACTTGGTCGCGCGTGCATTCGCGTCGGCCATCCACGCAATACGGCTCTTCCGGCCACCTCCCCCTCGGACTCACGGGGGAGCCTGATTTTCCACAAGACTCCTTCGAGAGACAGGGTCGGCCCCTTCAAGCCCCAATCGGTACACGCCCCTCATCTTCCCATCGACCCGTTACTCCGAAACTAAATCCAGCGGCCCCTTCTTTCAAGACCATTTTTACCGGGAAACGCTCCGATAAGGATAAGGAGAAAGAGAGGGCTAAGGACAGGGACCCCGACGCTTCGTTTGAGTTTTTGATGGACGACGGCTCACCCTCCGAGTCTCGCGCCTCTCGGGACTCGCGATCCTTGTCAATCCTCACCGGAGACTCGCACGAGTCGTTGGAGCGCATGCCGTCTGCAGCTTCCGCGGATACCAACAGTCCGAAAGAATCCTTCATCCGGAAAATCACGCGCAAAGGTAGTTCGGGGAAATTCAGTTCGTGGAAGGACCGCTCGGGACTGTTCTTCAAGAAGGGCGATTCGTCCCAGGGCGACATTGAAGAGGACGGGAACGGCGAGTCCCAGCTTGCCAAAAGTATGGACAGTACCGTCTCCAGCGCTCCATCAGCGGACAGGTCGACGCGAAGTAGCCTGGGTTTCTTCAGTCGAAAGTCAAGGAAATCCGACAAGGCCGCCAGCGAGACGAGCGAACGACCGAGCGAACGCAGCGAAATCGGCGATGACGAAATTCCGGAGGAAACCACTTCATAATACACCTTCATTGGCAATTTTCATATTTTATAGCGTCTGTCATAGATAGATCCACCCTCATTTCTGTCTTTCCTTGGATTGGTTTATATTTTCATGGCGTTGAACATCACATGGTTAGATTCCAGGATAGCAGATATTTTCTTTGAAGTAATTCATCAGGCCAGCTCAGTCTTACGGCCGAATATTGAATCATCATTCTTTCTGAACTGTAGTTGAGAAGTATATTTTGCTGTTCAAACGTATCGAAGTGTGATAAATGTCTGATGTCCGCAGTCGGTTAGGCCGTTCCGCACAACTCTAGATTTCTTCCAGAACGAATCGCTCTTCTCCGCTCTCCTCTCGGCACTCACCAGCGCCGCGTAAAGTACAGTAGGATATAATATAATCCAATATGGCAAACTCAAAGTATACATCTTTCCTATGCCCCTCTCCTTCTCGACTAATTCCGCGGGTTGATGGCTAACACCCGGTCTTAGATATGAGTATGTGAAAGCATTCGAGCAGCCCGACGTCCTGCTCCCCAATACTTGGATCGTCGTGCGAATCGATGGCAGGGGCTTTCACAAGTCAGTCGCCCTTAATTTTCCAGTTCATTTTCATTTCAAATCCTCTGGGGAATTTTCCCTTGCCAAATTGTCCTCGCCATCCTCGGATCAGCAAGATGCTAACCGGCCATCAGACTCACCGATCGCTATAACTTCACTAAGCCTAATGATCGCCGCGCCCTGGACCTTATGAATGCCGCCGCCGTCGAAGTCATGAAGGATCTTCCTGACCTGTGTATTGCGTATGGCGTTAGCGATGAATACAGGTCAGTTGTCCTGTCCTGCTCTTCCTCGGCATGATATTCATCCTCATGTCATATCTACCACCCCGGCGTATTCAGGACATAATATATACTAACCCTCCCTAGCTTCGTCTTCCATCCAAGCTGCCAGCTCTTTGAGCGACGGAACGGGTAATACATCCCATCCCCTCCATCGTGTACCCTTACCCCTAGGGGGTCTTTACATGACATGGCGCAACTAATAGATTCCAATGCTAACTGACCTCTCCAGCAAACTCGTAACAACAATCGTCTCAACATTCACAGCCCACTACGTGTATCTCTGGAACTCTTATTTCCCTGATTCGCCGCTCCAATCGCCCCATCTGCCGTCGTTTGATGGCCGTGCGGTCGTGTATCCGTCGACCCAGAATCTAAGAGATTATATGAGTTGGAGACAGGTTGATTGTAAGTTTTCCTTTTCTGTTAGGCCTGTCCCTGCGCTTGGGTCTGGGGTTGGATGGGGAGGGAGCTAACAGGGAGCAGGTCATATCAATAATCTTTATAATACGACGTTCTGGATGATGGTGCTGAAGGGAGGAATGAGTAATACAGATGCGGAGCAGGAGTTGAAGGTGAGTTGCGCTGCTTTTCTTTGCATGCATTGTGCTGCGTGGTGTTCTGCTTCCTAGCTCGCTGGATGGCAGGCACTACCTACCTACTGCTAATACTAACGGGAAATAGGGTACTGTATCAGCAGACAAGAATGAGATCCTGTTCAAACGGTTCGGAATCAACTATAACAACGAAGAGGAGATCTATAAAAAAGGCAGCGTGGTCTATCGTCAAGTATGTCGTGCATGCATATATGCATTCATTCTATATCCACCCTCGACTAACCCAAGCCACAGTATCAACTAGAGGACGTCAAATCGAAAACGACAGTCCAGGAAGAGCCGGCGTTGCAGGAAGGCCAAGTCTCGAAGACGCAGCAGGAGAAACTGCGTAAACTGCGCCGAAAGGCCCAGGTGGTTGTTGACCATGTCGACATCATCAAGGATGAATTCTGGGAGCGGAGACCGTGGATTCTGTCGGGGAAGCCGGGAAAGCTGCCTGCTGAGTAGAGTTGAGGTTTTATGAATGATTTACGTTGGGGCTGAAATGCCCGATTATGATCTTATGATCTATACTTGATTGATATACATTGCTTTTGTCTACTCAACCACCGTAAGCCGTGCCAAATGGGTATCTAAAATCTATCTATCAACGGCCAAACCGCTATGAAATGTACACACGGCAACAAATACTCAAAACGTCGATCGCTAGTCATCAGCAGATAGGCTGTGTTCAATCCTGCGTCGATTTCGACTTCGACTTCGATTTCGACTTGGACTTGGACTTGGGTTTCTCATCAGATGAAGACGCCGCCTTCTTGCTTTCCTTCTCAGCCTTCTTCGCCTTTTTCTCCTGCTTCTTCTGCTCCTTCAAGGCAGCCTCGTCGCGGCCACTCGACTCAGCAGAATCCAACTCCATCGACACCGGCGTAGGATAGTCATCCTCCGGCTTATGGTCCTTCTTCTGACGCTTCAGCTCCCTCCGCGCCGCGCGCTCCGCCCTCCTCTTCTCCTTCTCTTCTTTCTTCACCTTCTTCTCTTCCCTCCGCACCTGTCTCGCAGCCCTTCTCCCCTCCTTCTCAGCCTTCCTCTGCTTCTTCTCCTCTTTCCTTGCCTTCTTCACCTCCCGCGACTCCTTCCCCCCTTCAACACCCTCATCCCCCAACTTCCTCTTCTCCCCCTTCCCCTTCCCCCCTCCTCCTTCTCCTTCCCCCCAACTCCCCCAATCGTCCCCGGCACCGTCTCCCCCCTCACAAAAAACCGATAAAGCTCACTCGTCAGCGCATTCGCACGACTGAACCCCGCGCCAGCGGTGGCCGGCGCATCGCCGCCGACGCCCTTCAGCGCGTCCTCGAACCCGCGCAACCACCACTGATTCGTCGGGTCCTTGGTCGTCTTCTTGCCGACGCCCTCGTTGCCCTGGCGCCGCGCGACGAGCAGGGGCTTCGTCAGACCCAGCCCCCCGTGCGTGCCGGGGCGGCGGTTCGGGTTCAGTGGATTCCCGGGTCCGGACCAGCCGTGGCGGAGGAGGTAGGCTTGCGGGTCCATTTTCTTTGGTCTGCGGTTTGGTGGGTGCTGGGGTTGGGGTTGGGTGTGTCGTGTTGGCGCTGGAGGATGAGTGGGTGGTAGGAACTCTGGGTAGGGTAGGTGACTAGTACTCGGTCCTTTTGTGAGACAGTGAGGGGTTGATTGGGTTTCCACTTCGGAGGGAGGAATTGGCTAAGAGGGCTGTGGATGCGCGCGGTAGGGGTTGATAGGGATGCTGCGTGTGATGGGATTTTTGCGGCGGCTCGCTGGATGGATGGATGGATGGATGGTTTTCAATAGCGCTCGTCCTTCGGCGTCAAATGAAAAAAGGCAGAAAGTGAGGCAATCTAAGCGCTCATGCCTGACGCCCTGAGCAATATATATAAAAATAAAAAGGGGAAAATGAAACCCCAGTCGCGAACCCGGAAGAATCAAGAAAGAGTGAGGTGAAAAAAAAAAAAAGTTGGAGAAGGGAAATCATGTTCCCGCGGAGATAAGAAAAGATTTTCTACTCCTTCTTTTCCCCGCATGGAAAACATAGGGCAATGATTGAAGTAGCATTACATCAACCGGTCGCGTGGTCTAATGGTTATGATATCTCGTTCACATCAAAGTGAGCGTCTCCTGGTTCTCCAGCAGTTCCGAGATGGTTCCCGGTTCGATCCCGGGCGCGACCAATCTTTTTGCAATCTTTTTGTTTTTTGTTACACGCACAGTAATTGTAGCTAAGCTACTTTTTAAATTTTTTCTTTCTTTGTACTTACTATATATAAGATATATATTATATCCCCTAGCTTTTTGGGTTTTCCATCTGATGTTTCTTTGTCTACTTCTTTTTGGATGTCCTAACCGTGTCCTGCAAGGTGGGTGGATTCCAGGTGTGATATATATCTAGTGTTCTAGTCTCCGATAGCCGTAGAAACATGAGTTTATACCACGAACTTCCTAGAAATAACCTAACACTACCATCTAATCTAATACGGATTGAACCGTCCCTTGTCCTTCCCCTTCTTTCCTCTAGGCCGTGACGCCTTGGCCGAAGCATCCCCTGCGTCCATTCCCTCGGCTTCCGGCTTCCAGGCGCGCACCACTCCATCTTCCCCGCAGGTGAATACCGATTGGGACTGGAAAACATTAGCTACTCCAGCCGGCTGAAGCGACTTGGAAAACGAAAACACACCTGTTCATCCACATACACAGAACGGACAATCTCCTCGCCGTGACCACCCGGGAGACGCCACAGGTTCTCGCGGTCGAACTGCCACGACGGGTTGGCCGACAGAGGAACCAAGTCCAGGCGTTGTTCGCTGACGTCGCTGGTTAGCACGTCCTGGCAGGCCAAGAGACAGCGAGAAAAGGGGCAGGGATGCTCGTGAAAATGGGGGCTGGCTGAACGCACCTGGTATTGCCAGCAGCGATGTACTGACCCTGGCTGCCAATGCACAGCTGCGCGATATACTCGCAGCCAAGCGGTTCTCTCAAGTTCCCAAACTGCACGGGATCGGGCTCCTGCGCCTGCTCATCCGGGTCCGTGGCCGGGTGGATCGAGAAGACCTCGTCGTGGCTGAGCGCGTAGATCGCCCGCTCGGTAAGAAAGCCGGCGTGGTGCACGGAGCCATGGTTGATGACCTGAACCAGGGCATCGTCCTCATCGGCGATGGTGGTGTTGTAAATGTTCACCAGACCGTCCGTGCTTCCGGACAGCAGGAGATTCTTCTGCGTGGGATGGTATTGAAGCTGCCAATCAATCCCCGGTCGATCCTCGTTAGCTCAGTGAAGTGGCTATGTGTTGTATGCTCATTTGCATCTTTCCTTTTTTTAATCTAGAGCGGGTTGGATGCGGGCTGGAAAGGAGGAGAAAGTACAACGCACCTCAGTTACGTCGTCATTGTGGCTCTCAACATACTGGAGTTGGTACTGTCCGGGTGATCTGACATCCCTGTTGCGTCAGTTAGCAGCTCGCAGAATCGAAAAATTGGTTAAGAAGTCAGGAGTCAGGAGTCAGAAGAGGGGAAGGAAAAAAAAATAAAAAATAAAAAAAGCGAGACGGGTTGATGCCCATCCATGAAATCCTTGCCCGACGAATCGACCAGACCGGCTTCATGAACAGGAAAAAAAAGTCCAGGACGTACCAGAATGCAACGACTGCCTGGGATGAAGCTAGCTCGGTACCAGCAACGAGACTGTTAGTTGCGGCACAGCAGGCGATGGACAAAACCGGGGCTTGGTTTGCTGCGGCAGTCGAAGGTCAGCATGCAATCATCGGATGCCGTGCATTTCAACTAAGAAATTAAACTTCGAGAGTTGGACAACAACTCATCACAAACATGCATGATAGTAGATTCATCCCGGAATTCGACATTGTGGAAATGAGGGGTTGGAGATGGCCACTCCAAATAATCATGATCATCGTCGAAAAAACAGCAGCCAGAAAGGAACAGGAAAAATAAAATAAAAAAAAAGAAAAATAAAATAGCACTTACATGTCTCCATCCCAACCACGGCGGCATTCTTGCCCTGTCGTAAATCCCACAGCTTCACTTTTCCATCTCTGCCCCCCGTGGCTAGTAACTGCTGCTTGTCATCGTAGGACTTCAACGACGTAACTCCCTCGTGGATGTCGGTAGCCACTAGAGACACATGGTTGAGACTAGCAGCGTCGAAGGTGCGGAGAGAGTCATCGGACGAAATGGCGGCAAATAGACCCGGGGATGACGCCTCAAGGGAATAGATGTAACTACCCTCCGCCAGGGAGAGCGAGGACGAGGCCGTAGCTTTTAGCGTATGCATGGCGAACGAGCTAGACTGTGATCGCCTGGCCAGAAACAAAAAGGAAAAATTCCTGCGGTAGACTGAGAACCACTCGTCGATGGGAGGTAGAAGGAACTAGGTCTCAGCCTCAAAGCGATAGAGAACCCCTGCGCCAGACAGTCTAATACGAGATTTTACTTGGTGGAAAACCGCCTCGACAGTTGTTTGTCGTTGTTTCCCACCCGAGGATGATGCAGAGCCGTGGCTTGACGGGGAATTCGATATCAAGCCGAAGGTGGGTGTGCACGGGAAACCTCCGTAGCCTCAAGTATTTTTTTTTCTTTTTGACGTGGCTATTTCCGATGGATATGAACAATCAACGATGGCACGGTGTGATTCCAAGGAATGATAGACAAGCGCTGATCTCGAACCGAGCCGCTCTCTTTTTTTTCTTTTTTGATTTTCCCGGTCTTTCCTTTGAGGGGGAGTTGATACTGGAAGAGATCCGGAGCGGCGGAAGCCAAGAATTTCCTTTTTTTTTTCTTTTTCTTTTTCCTCCCCCCATTTTGAGGCCTTACCGCGGCCTCGCTGCCTGATTCTTGGGACTCGCCAACGGCTACCTCCCCAAGGGTCTTTCGACAACAGCCACAAAATCAATATCAGGCAATACTAGCTGCGACAGCTCAACTCGACCCAAGTTATACATCCGATATTATTATCTTATTATCTAAAATTATTACTGCTCTTCACAGCCGAGCCAATGCAGTCCATCCGTGCCGTTGGCAGGAGTACCCCATCAGATGATCAGGGATGGACATATCCAAGGGTGCGCCCTACGACGATAAGGATGACACGACTCAGCACGAGAATCGAGTCCGATCGATCGTCTGTCTAGACTGTCGAAAGTTGGAACTGCAACCTCCCAAGGCTTTTTTCGCCTTCTGGCCAGGGCTTGCATCCGTGGGTTCCCTCCACGCATCCCCACTTTAGCCTGAGACAGGAGGCCGTTGGAGAAGATCATCGCATGTACCACTGGAGCTGCCCTTGGGCTCCGGAGGCACAACCAGCAGAGGTCTCATGCCGTGCAGATCTGCCTACTCGTGATTGATGAAAGGCTCGCTGCGTACTGCAGGGGTTCGCCGATTACCTGATATCATCGCCCCTATCAATCGCCGAGGACACCCTCGTGATGCGGGGATCGCACAGGATATACCGGGTGCTCGCTGTTAGTTGCCTCGCGAAAGAACCGGTACAGAACTCGGTCGAAGCTTTGCCATAGTAGACCGATGGAATTTACCAGGATGAGCCAAGTAATGCAGGTGATAGGGCAACTCGGCTCCTGACCATTGGTTGGACAATGGGAAGGGTTGAGTATCCATTTCCTGGTCCGATCAGCCGATGGAGGGAGGGGGTAAAAAAAGACAGAGAAAAAAGTCAGCGAAGGTGAAAAGTAGGACGGTATCCTCTGAATGGGGTTGTACTAATATGAATCAGAGGCTGAAGTAGCCACCGGATTGGTCGAGGGTCGCAGAAGTCTATTCGCAGCGTTATGAGCAGGGTGGAGTCCCGGTGGGAAGAGAAAGAGAAAAAAAAAAAAAAAAGAGAAAAAGAAAAAACACAAAAGAAAAAGAATAAATAAATAAAAAAAGAAAAGGCGAATTGACAGGCGCTGGGATTCTGGGTGACCTGCCTACGCCGTACAGAGGGACCCCCCCTCCAAATGGCTAAGAGCACACCTAATTAGCTGCATATGCACTGCCGCAAAAAGGTTCGGGGCTGTTTCGACTGCCCTCCCAGGAGGAGCCCAGGGACGCACCGTTGCCCCTAAGGATGAATACTCGAAGCAGCTGTGGCCAATGACAGTGCGCAAGACCATCCTAGTCCACCGATGAAGCGGTGGCATCCTTCCTGCTCAGGCGACCAATAATTGGGTTGCGTCGAAGGAATGACGGCGGATTGGTTCCTTCTTATGCGACCAGCGCAGTAGCATCTCCGTACCTGCTCATGGCACAAGTTAGTGGCTGAATCGGAGTCTAAGTTGGTTTCCCCAAGAATATAAAACTTGGAAGGTTTCGCATGATCTACTTGGTGATGATCGTTTGATTACGCCCTTGCCCCCTTTTTTTCCGTCCTTGATTTCGAGGGTGGGAATTATTTTTGTTTTTGGTGAATTGCCGTCTGGAGGCGTTGTGCGACAACGTGTCAGTCCGAACTAGGATCGTTGATTTGGAAAAGAACCCTAAAGCAAATGCCACACACCGGGCACTAGAGACGGTCCATTGTGGGATGTGCAATTGACTTCGATTGGGGTATGGTGCCTGTTGGCAACTTGTCAGTCGTCACCGTGCCGTCCCAGCTCAGAACCGACATGGCGTGTCTCATCTGATTTTATTATTTGGGTGGCCCGGGCCGGCGTCAAACATGGACGCGATTCCTCCGCGAGTCAGTCCAAGCCCAGACTCCTCCTCATGATGTCTTGCGTCTTGCGTCTTGCGTCTTGCTGGAAATCGGGGCAGTCATTCGGCCGGTGAAACGAGACGGGAGGGGCGGCGCTGGGTAGGAAAGCGCTTATCCACGATCGATGATATGGTACCGAACTTTGCACTGTTGGCACGAGAGGGGGCGCGCCTCAAAATTAATATCCTCAGCTGGCCTAGAGACTCTAGAGAAAGGGAAGACCATGGTTGAGAAGCAGGCGAGGCGAGACGCCGGGCGAATGAAAGTGGAGAAAGCTGTGCGGTAGATATATCCGACGAGGTCAGCGAGGTGGAGACTGTCGGTCGTGATAGGAGCGAGTCAGAGAAAGCAGCAGCAAGGATCGGTACGGAGCAGGCGAAAGGGACGGCGCAAGTCAGCTGCAGGTCTTGTTCCACAGGAGCATTCCTTGGTGACATTCTTGGGAGGAAAAAGGGGCTGGGTAGGTCTACCAGATCCGTGGTTTGCGGCGCCGAAGGAGAGAGTGGGAGAGATTGAGAGAGAGGTGAGCAATTATGACCGTGTCCCCATCACACTTGGCAGGGTACTATGCGGAGTAATGACGAGAGGCGACATCGACTCGAACTACGGGATCAGCGAGTGCTCTCGATGGGGATTAGATAAGGCCTCGCCCCGTGTTTAGACCGGCAAACGGGGGGCCTTGTCACCCAATGGTTCTGGACAGGGATGACGAGGTTTATATCGTGGCCAGATCTAAGGGGAGAAGGATAATCCTGAGTCCTGAGTCATTGACCTCACACATCGTCATGATTTCTTACTGAAGTAAAAAAAGCTGGCCGGAAATATGGGCATTAATTAATTTTCCATCCAGGATTATGTACGCGGTGCCTTAATAGGCATAACTCCCTGGGTAGTAGGTCCCCATCCAGAAAATATACCTCACCGCCGAAAGACTCAGGATGGTCCATTGACTCCGGAATTATGGATCCTTCCAAGATTACGGAGTAATCCGGGCACTCGCCCCGTCAATCAGTCAAAATCAACCGGTCCATCAATAGACCAGATTGATTTCTCACCTCACGTCGCCAACGGAGACGGACTCGGAGGCGCAGAATGACCGGAGCCTGTCAGCCACGGAGAGCAGGGGGAGGGTGCATGGAGCAGAGGTCGGTCTTATGCATCATCCTCGACCCAGGAATCTGGGAAGCGGTGAAATGATCAGCCCGATCATAGACGCTGGCCAGTGGCCAGTGGTCACAAGGCAGGAATGGGGGGAAAAAAGGACAAAAAGAGCCTAGGAGGATCGCAAACCAGGCCCCCCTCCTCCTCTTCCCCCCAAAGCTCCCAACACATCTTGAGGGGCTGATAGTGGCCTAGCGGATGATGGGCGATGCACGTCCTCGGTCCGTCCGAACTGATATGGTGCTAAAAATGAGTTCGGCGCAAAGTTACTTCGGTCAGACAGGCTGTCAATCATCAAGTGAAGATCGCTCTGCCTGGGCCGGACTTTGGGACGGCGCGTGGGAGGATGAGCGGGTCGAGCTGCCGTCCGAAGTTACTCGGACACCGTCGACCGACCATGTGGGTTTGGTGAAGAAATGAGGGTACTACGGAGCACTCGAGGTAGCAGCCAGACTCTGTCGCTTGCAGAGGGCAACCCTGTGGATGATCGTCGGACGGGTACGGCTCGTATAGCCGTGGGGACGACGCCGTCGGACTCGAGACGATGTCACTGTCATTGCTTAGTCCGATGGTAATGCCTTGGACGCCAGACCTTGCATAGCTCCATAACGCGAAACGAACCGATCCACTTCGAAGCGGCTGCACGCAATGCCGTGATTAGTGACCCTGCGGAAATGGAGGGCTGGGGCCATTTCTGGTTTGCTTCTCGGACGCTACGGAGGAACGCTCGAAGGGGAGCCACGCCCGAAGCTTCGAATCCTGCAAACCACTGCGTTGGTACCGCTGCCTGACGCTGGCCTGCCTGAAAATGCGGGCAGCAACTAGTCCGCCACGGAGAAATCTTACGGGTCGTTGGTTAGTTCGTGGGTGTTAGACTGTTAGTGTCGGGGGGAGACAGGCAGACAAAGGGAAAAGGAACAAAGAAAAAAAAAAGGTTGAATCATCTAATTAAGTGTGGGAGGCGGTCCGCATCCCGCCCGGAAGTCACTTTTCATAGTTGGTTCGGACCCATCAATCTAATTAATTTTCTTTTTCTTCCTTTTCTTGTCGTGCCCCTCCATTCTGCTCTGCATTTTGGAGTGGAAGATGGAAAAGAATAGGGTAGAACCAACCCCAATACCTCCAACCACAATACCGTACAAGGAACGACAACCAAGGGTAATAAAAATATAGCGGCGCCAGGAGAGCAATGCCAGCCGTGGGAGCTAAACTCGGGGTATATTTGATCTCTGGCGGATTTCCTGCCATGCATGCTTCCCTGTTTGTTCCCAACCCGGTCACTCACGGTACGGAGGACCATCAAATTTATCTGACTGCCTACCAGACCGGAGTAAATTTAGATCCTCAGCCATCAAAGACATGTCGATTGTCCGGATTGTGGGTGACTCGACCGACCCCTCCTGATTAGTCGGAAGAAGGAAGTCGAGCTCAGGAGAAAAAGTCAAATCAAATCCTTTAATTTATTCTGCGAAAGGTTATCGCTGCTGGCCGGGCCAGGTTCGATCCAGTCCAATCCTTTACCGCCACTTTATTCTTGATCGATAATTGGACTCTGTCAAATGGTGCGAGGGCCCGAAGACTCGGGTGGGTGATTTAGGGCCTTTTTTTTTTTTTCGTTTCTTTTTTCTTTTTCTGTTTAACCCCCTCTTCTCTGAAATCAATCAGAGGACTAATCACAAACCAGAATTATGCCAAAAAAATAGAATAAAAAAAAAATAAAAATTACAGAAATAAATTGAAAAAAGTCCCCTTCGACATGTGGTTTTCTACGGAGGAGTCCGGTAGTATCGCCGTATTCCTGCACCTCCGACGTAGTGAAGTCCAAATGACCACCGATCCTGACACCCGCACTTCCCACACTTCCGTACGGGTGCCGTATGTACCGGATACCCAATAATATCCGGGGCCACGCCGTGATGGCGAAGTAGATGGACGTCACCATGGACCTTCTCATATCAGTAAAAGATCTCCACGCCGAGGTGGTCCTCGCGATGGCTCCTGCAGTCATCACCGCGAGAAATCGCCCGTCGATAATCCATGTAAACATCCCACTACTATCTAGTGACGGACAAACCCGCAACCATGGTTTCTGGAGGGGCTTCCATGAAGCGACGGAGCCAATGAACCGGATGAATGCAAAAACGCCAGATGGACCATGCTACACTAGTAGCTCAACCGAGTAAGCCAAGTCAGTCCGAGGAGTACATACGTCGATTGTTGGCTGTCCATGCAGACATGGCACATACATCCCTAGCACCGAGTATCCCTCGCGATCATCCCGGCTCGCGCGTGTTGATTTTCTTTCGCAACTCCCCCCTATTCTGGATCCCCGACTCAGTCCCCCGGTCGTCTTAACGCGAAAACATTATCAATCGCTCGGGGAAAGGCAGATTCCCAGCGCCTCAGGCCCCCTACCGGCCCCGCCTTCGCGCCCGTGGACCCAACGGGGACAAGACAGCGGCTGCAGCAACCTTAAAGAAAAGCCCTCCGTCGTTATTATTATTCTTTATTATTTATTTTGGTTCGGATTTTTATTTTCTTTTACTCCGTATTTTCTTTTTCCCTTGTGATTTTTCATTTTTCGAAAAATAAAAAAAAAATATTGATTTGATTATTATTATTCATGCCTTGACTCCTCTGCCATTGCGGTTTTTATTTACAATCCTCTTCGCTTCTCCGCCAGACCTGCTTCCTGCCTACTCCAGTCTCCGTAGTACGCTCCATCCTCCATCCTCCATCTACCTTCCTCCTTTCCCCTTTCTTGGTTGGCGTCGTTCGTGCAATTGACTCGCCTGGCGTTCTATGGTTGACTGAGCTTCATCTGTCGCTCTTGAATCGCGTCCAGTAGATCTCCGAGCCGTGACCGCTACTTTTTTTTTTTTTTGGCCCTGATTTTTCTTTTTGCGACATTATTTAATTCCTCACCCAGTACCTCTTCCTGGTTGTGGTTGTCCATTTTCCCATGATTCCGTTCTGGTCCAGTTAGGTGCATTTGAAAGTGTGATCTGCTGCAAGTCGCCTCTATTTTTATTTTGACGCTGCTTTTTTCTTTTTCCTTTTTCCTTTTTTTCCCTCTCTGGATTCTTTTCATTTCTATTTCTACGCCCCGTGGCGGGCCCCAACGCCGACCTCTTCTACCTCTCATATTGCGAAGAGTATCGTTTCGCAAACCAGTGTGGCATCATCTTTGGAATTTATGCTCTATTCTACCTCGTTCCTGGACTCCCGCGAGTCGTCCTGCTCTATGTTCTGCTTGTCGCCTGAGCTAGATTCCATATATCTTTTCCACCGACTTTTGCGATACTGACATCAGCCCGCCACCTTTTTCCCCCGGGCACTATACCCCACCACCCTCGAAACGACTGATTCTGCTTCTCTCCCGACAAGATCGCCGTCCTGTGCCTTCCCCGATGTTTGGGAACGGCCAAGTCGAACAGCGACCTCTCACCATGGCCGCGCCATCTCAGAATCACTTCTACTCCCAGCCCGCGGATGCGAGCCGTTCGAGGAACAATTCGGACGCCATGGACATCTACGTGATTACCGATAGGGATACTGCGAGAGAGGAACCGTCTGGCTACAGCTCTTGGAACCGCAATGGCTCGCCGAGCATGAACTCTACTTATAGCAAGTATTTCTCTCTGATTTCCTTCCAGTCTTGCCTTATGACCGCGTCCCCCACTTGCCGTTTCCCCCCGCAACCGTGCCAATTAATATAAGTAAGCTTGGTATCATTGGACGACTAATCTGTGATCCCTGATTTTTTTTCTTTGCCTGTATAGGAGTTCCGAAAGACAGTCCTTTCATGAAGAGAACGGACGCACCTACCATGCCTATCGCCGAGGAGTCTACCAGCTGCCGTGCGACGAGGAGGAACAGGATCGCCTCGACATATTCCACAAACTGTTCACCGTGGCTCGCGTCTCGGATGGGTTGATCTACGCTCCTCACCCGAGAGACGGTCGATTCTTGGACTTGGGATGCGGGACTGGGATCTGGTCGATTGATGTGGCCAACAAATACCCTGATGCGTTTGTCGTGGGCGTCGACCTTGCTCCTATCCAACCGCCCAACAAACCGCCCAACTGCGAATTCTATGCGCCGTTCGATTTTGAGAGTCGCTGGGCCCTGGGCGAGGAATCATGGGATCTGATCCACCTGCAGATGGGCTGTGGTAGCGTGCTAGGCTGGCCGAATCTGTACCGCAGGATCTTTTCCCATCTACGAGCGGGTGCTTGGTTCGAGCAGGTGGAAATCGATTTTGAACCCCGATGCGATGACCGCCCGTTGGAAGGGCTGGCTTTGCGCCAATGGTACCAGCTCCTGAAGCAGGCCACACAAGACACAATGCGCCCCATAGCCCATAACTCTCGCGACACCATCAGAGACCTTCAGGAGGCAGGGTTCACGGAAATCGACCATCAGATGGTGGGGCTCCCTCTGAATCCATGGCACCAGGATGAACACGAGAGGAAGGTTGCCCGGTGGTACAACTTGGCCATCTCAGAGAGCATCGAATCTCTCAGTCTGGCCCCGTTTAGCCGGGTCTTTGGCTGGGACTTGGATAAAATCCAGCGCATTTCTCGCGACGTGAAATCGGAAGCTTTCAACAAGGAGATCCACGCCTACAACATTTTGCACATATACCAGGCGCGGAAACCCGCCAACAATTGAGCGTCAACCTACGAGCCGCGCGAGACAGTATGTGCCAACATTGGTCCACGCGCCAGGACGCTGGGTTGACGAGTTGATGAAATAGTATTTCATTCCCCTCCTGAATATTCTCCTCCTCTGCCGGGTGAGCCGGTGTTTTATCTGCGGCTGGAGATCTATCTATTGCCGAGTCTCACCCTCGCCTATACTCTGGGATAAAAGAATGTGCTTTTGCGCATTGATTGTCCTCCGGCGCACCATGATACTCAGAATGACTATCGTGGTCCCGCCAAGATTTAGCACGACGACTAAATGAAACCCGAACAGTTGCTCTGTTCATCCTCAGATACACATTCCTCCAGGAATGGTAACATTGCAAAATATGTCACGACAGTCATCTTTACTGCATGAAGCCAAGATAGCGCTGCTGCATTGCGTTGAGATCTGCTTCTACTTACACCAGGCGACACCTATTCTAAAGGTAACAGTTACTGCGAAGTCGAAGTTGAAGTCTCGATAGAAGAAGACAATGTAAGGATAAAGCATCACCCTTTGGAACACCTGCCGGGATAGATAGGCATTGCCACACGTTCGCATCCAGGGTACATGGAATGGACCTTCGCAAACCGTGTTCTTCGGCTGCTTATCTGCATTTCATTGTCAGGTTGTCTCAAACTCCCTGTTGGTATGGTATGTTAGGTTCGAGCTTTCTTGCTGGTGGCTGTATAGTTTCAGACCAATCTTCCTTTTTTTCATGTTTATTAAGACTTTTGATAAAGCCAAAAAAATATTATTAATACAAGGAATGCGATATTACCTTTGAACCCCTCATTTCTTTACCTAATAATCTACTACGGATACCGGTTTTATTCATTTGTCATATATAACTACTTGGTAGTCGCCTATGCCATGGTCCGTAATGAAGCGTAAGATATGGTGGTATTGGGTATAAATAGGTAGGTACGGTACTTCCAAGATATGGCAACTAATCGTCGCCAGAAACGCTCATAACCTCATAGATGACCTTCAACGACAGCCAAAGAAAAGAAAACCGACATCAAACCCCAACGGTCTAATGATAAAACAAACCAAAATTGCCTTCCATAAATGATGAACCAAAAGAGATAATAAGACAGATGGATAGAGAAAAGAAAGAGAAGAAAGAGATGGGAAGACAAGGGGAGAGGGTAGTTCATCGTCGCCGCTCCCTTCCTCCTCTACCGGTCCCGTTTCTCCCACCCCCGGCCGTCGAGTCTTTATCGCCGTCGTTCATCCACTCGCGACCGGCACCGGGGCTCCGTCGACGCATGGTCCCCGGCCCCACGGCCACGATGTCTTCTTCGCTCTCGCTGTCGGAGATATCCAGGAGGACGGGCATGCGGAAGGATTCGACGTCCTCGTCGGCGCCGCTTTTCTGGGAGTCGATGGTCAGGACGTCGGGAATTTCGTCTTCCTGGTCGAGACGGCGCTTGTGGATCTCTTCGGCGGGGTGGACGTCGAATTCGTCCTCGCGTTCGACGTACTCGACGTTTTCTTCGACCTCGCCGAAGTCAGGGGCCAGGGCGGACCATTTCTGCGGCGTCACGATCGACCATGTGTAGATGTTGCCGGACTCGAGGCCGCACGCGACGACCATCGGTCGGTGGGGGTGCCATTCGACGACGCCGAGCTCTTCGCGCGGCCCTTCGAGGATCTTGACGAGGGAGCCGTGGCTGCGTTCCCAGACGTAGATGTCTGGGTTCATGTAGGTGGATGCGGTGACGAATTCGCTGGTGGATGAGAAGGTGACGTGGTTCCAGCTGAGGCGGTTGACGACGTCTTGGAATTTGTGTTCGACCTGGAGTTTGATGCTGGCGGGTTCGAGGTCGATGCCGAGCTGGGAGAGGTCGGGCATGAGGATTGTGCGGATGACTCGATCGGAGCTGTTGATGAGGAGGTCTCGTCCGTTGCTGGAGAGGCGGATGAGGATCACCACGCCGTTGCAGAGTCGCGTGGAGTGGATGGTCGTGCAGGTCTGGGTCTCGATGATATTGATCCAGCCCTTGGAGGTTCCTGCGATGATGTGATTCCCAAGCGCGGTGAATATGGTCACGCAGGTCGACTGCTTTGCATCCTGGGCCGCTTGCTTTGCGGCCACGGCGGGGTCGACTTCTTCTGACTTGGGGCGGAATGGGGCGGAGGGGAGGATGCGCTTAATCGGTTTGGGAGACGAGACGTCGACGAGCACGGGCTGCTCTTCGAATAGAGAGGCGACAAATAGCAAGCTAGGGAGCGAGAAGCGATTAGAATGCAATGCGAATGTCGGATGCCAGCAACCGAGCAACGAGCGCAGCAACTTACTGGTTGTAAGGATGTAGTTCGGCAATGTATACTGGCGCTTCAAATCGGACGGTGCGCACCCGCGAACCGTCTTTCAGATCCCATAGAATACATTTCCAATCCTGAGAGGAGCTCAGAAGATATCGACCGTCCCTAGACCAGCTTTATGTGGATCGAAGTAAGTCTTTGCGCAGCCGTAAAACATGACAACAAAGTATGGAGGTACCTGAGCGACTGAATCTGCCTCGTATGACCCCGTAGTTTTCGCGCCACCCCATTTGTCTCTATATCGAATATCACCACGGTACCGTCTACCTAGAGTTATGGGTCAAGATTGCTCAGGTGAAAAAGTCCGCGGACTTGATGGGAAAACATACTCGTCCGGAGGCTAGATAGTCGCCCTTGCGATTGAAGCGTAAACATGTCGCATGGCCGCTTCCTGGAGCTGTTAGTTGTTAGGCGCTATTGCCAAAACAGACTTTGGAGTCGTACTCAGTTTCTCTGTTAGGGTGTCCGGGTAGTCCTGAGCCAGGACAAAGGGGTCAATAAGGGAAAGGTTCATTGCGCCGGATAAAGAGGTTGCGGCTTGAATGAAAGTGATAGGAATAGTAACAAGGAAGCAAGGGAAAGAAGAAGGGGGAAAAATTGAACGATCACGGAAGGATCCTAGCCCGGAAAGAAGGCCAGGATGACGGGCTGAGAGCAATCATCCAGTGTACAGGGACGCTACTGCGATTGCCTGCAGGCGCGGAGAATCATGGCCGGCAGGTGAATATAATGAATCTTGGAAGGTTGGAACCCGGGGCTGCTGGGCGGTCAGAAGGCCTCTAAACGGTGAAGGGTAGACTCCACCGCCTTTCCAAGCCTCGCTCTTGATTGGCCTTCAGCCATCGGTGACCGCTGTCTGCCAAGGACTCCGTCTTGGCATCAAGGTGCTTTAGTTGCCACCGCGCTAGTGCCGGGTTGCGGCTCAGAAAACTCGTGCCCCATCGACGACCTACCTGACGTCCAACCATCTCCCTTTCATCACCTCGACACGCTGCTTCCCCATCGCCCAACGCCCCCGACCATCGCGTTTCGCATCGCGATATCACTCTTTCAGTTGGACGATTCGCCTCCATCGATCGTGGCCCCCTTTTCTTTCGCCCTTTTTCGAGTTCGCGACGTCGGTGGATAAGGTCGCAGGCGCCCTCGTGGCAAGGGCTGCCAAAGGCCTCAGCCGGCCAGCTGCTTCGCAAACTCCTCAACTGTCGCTTTTGCACGTCTGAGAGTTAATAGAATCGACTTTTCGAACTGATTATTCGCGGTTTTTCTTTTTCTTCGCATCGCCTGTTTTGCGATTACGTGACCTACCCCCGTCTTATCTCTCGAACAACGCATCTCCGTAACAACCGCCATCATGACGAACGTCTTTTTCCCTTACTCCAAGGCGCCTTTGCGCACCATCAAGGAGATCCAGTTTGGTCTCTTTGCTCCGGAGGAACTCAAACGGATGAGTGTGGTACATGTGGAATACCCGGAGACGATGGTGAGTCTCTTTTCTTTGTCTGTCGGTCTCTAGACCGCCCGGGATGCTAATGGCATTTGAAAACACTAGGATGAACAAAGACAGCGACCGCGGACAAAGGGTCTGAATGACCCTCGCTTGGGAACAATCGATCGGCAATGGAACTGCGAGACTTGTGAGGAAGGCCAAAAAGAATGTCCCGGACATTTCGGGCATATCGAACTTGCCACTCCAGTCTTCCATATCGGTATGTCACCATCTTACTCAATAACGAAAGCAGTTGATAGAGATGGTTGGATGCGGTACTGACGCTATCTTGCTCCCAGGTTTTTTGACTAAAATCAAGAAGCTACTCGAGACGGTCTGCCACAACTGTGGAAAGATCAAAGCCAATACGGTTAGTCATCCCTTACGGGATGGCAAAACTATAGATGGCATTGCTGACCTAGAGCCAGTCCGACCCCAAATTTCTAGAAGCCCTTCGCATGAGAGACCCGAAGCGACGATTCGATAACATCTGGCGCCTGTCCAAGGATGTTTTGATTTGCCAGGCCGACCAACAAAACGACGACGATGACCCGTTTTCGAAGGAGAACTCCAAGCCTACGAGAAACCACGGCGGATGTGGAAATGCCCAGCCCCAGATTCGAAAGGAAGGCATTACTTTGGTTGGAACATGGAAACCTAACAAGAGCATGATGGACGACGATATGGATATGGCACAGCCGGAAAAGAAGACCATCACCCCCTCAGTGGCACTGAATGTCTTCCGCACCATTTCTCAAGAGGATGTCCGCATCATGGGGCTGAGCAACGATTATGCTCGTCCGGAGTGGATGATTGTTACCGTCTTGCCGGTCCCGCCCCCCCCTGTCCGCCCTAGTGTGCTTGTGGGTGGTAGTACGAGTGGCCAGCGTGGTGAGGATGATTTGACTTACAAACTGGCTGAAATCGTGCGTGCAAATCAAAATGTCCAGCGCTGTGAGCAGGAAGGCGCCCCGGAGCACGTGGTGCGTGAATTCGAGTCGCTACTGCAGTACCATGTCGCCACTTACATGGACAACGATATTGCTGGTCAACCGAAGGCCATGCAGAAATCGAACCGACCGGTCAAAGCTATTCGCAGTCGTTTGAAGGGTAAGGAAGGTCGTCTGAGACAGAACTTGATGGGTAAACGTGTGGATTTCTCGGCGCGTACAGTTATTACTGGTGACCCCAATTTGTCTCTGGACGAGGTCGGTGTTCCCAAGAGCATTGCGAGAACCCTGACGTATCCTGAAGTCGTCACTCCTTACAACATCGAGAAGTTGCAAAATCTGGTGATGAATGGTCCTAACGAGCACCCGGGAGCGAGATACATCGTCCGCGACAACGGCGAGCGCATTGATTTGCGTCACGCCAAAAGGGCCGGGGGTCAGCAACTGCTCTACGGCTGGAAAGTTGAACGTCACGTCATGGACGGTGACGTGATTCTTTTCAATCGACAGCCTTCCCTGCACAAGGAATCTATGATGGGTCATCGCGTCCGTGTCATGCCGTACTCGACGTTCCGACTTAACTTGTCCGTCACAACTCCTTACAACGCTGATTTCGATGGTGATGAAATGAACTTGCACGTTCCCCAGAGCGAGGAGTCCCGAGCAGAACTCAGCGAGCTTGCGCTGGTTCCATGCAACATCGTGTCACCTCAGCGAAACGGACCGCTGATGGGTATTGTGCAGGACACTCTTTGCGGTATCTATAAGGTTTGCCGTCGTGATGCATTTTTGACGAAGGACCAAGTGATGAACATTATGATGTGGGTGCCTGACTGGGATGGCGTTATTCCGCCCCCGGCAATTTTGAAGCCCAGGCCCAGATGGACTGGCAAGCAAATGATCAGCATGGCTCTTCCTCCGGGTCTCAACCTTCTGCGTGTTGATAAGGACAGCTCGCCCCTTTCGGAGAAGTTTTCTCCCCTGAATGATGGTGGTCTCCTGATCCATGGTGGGCAGTTGATGTACGGAATGTTTTCCAAGAAGACTGTTGGAGCCAGCGGTGGTGGTGTCATCCACACCATCTTCAATGAGTATGGACCAAAGACTGCTGTGGCCTTCTTCAACGGAGCTCAGACCATCGTCAACTACTGGTTGTTGCACAACGGTTTCAGTATCGGTATTGGTGACACTATTCCGGATGCCCTCACAATCCAGAGAATCGAAAACTGTGTGCGTGCCCGGAAGCAAGAGGTCGAGTCGATCACTGCAAGTGCCACCGACAATACTCTTGAAGCGTTGCCCGGTATGAACGTGCGAGAAACTTTCGAAAGTAAGGTCTCGCGTGCTCTCAACAACGCCCGTGATGAAGCCGGTAGCGAAACAGAGAAGAGTTTGAAGGATTTGAACAATGCCATCCAAATGGCTCGGTCCGGATCAAAGGGTTCAACCATCAACATTTCTCAGATGACTGCTGTTGTGGGTCAACAGTCCGTGGAAGGTAAACGTATTCCTTTCGGATTCAAGTACCGTACGCTGCCCCATTTCACGAAGGACGACTACTCTCCCGAATCTCGCGGCTTCGTGGAAAACTCGTATTTGCGAGGTCTCACCCCGACCGAATTCTTCTTCCACGCCATGGCTGGTCGTGAGGGTCTTATCGATACTGCTGTCAAAACGGCCGAAACGGGTTATATCCAGCGAAAACTGGTTAAAGCCCTGGAAGAGGTTATGGTCAAATACGATGGCACTGTTCGAAACAGTCTTGGGGATATTATCCAATTTGTGTACGGAGAAGATGGGTTGGATGGAGCTCATATCGAGAACCAGCGAGTCGATATCATCAAGTGCTCCGATGACAAGTTCAGAGATCGTTTCCGTATTGATCTCATGGACCCTGAGCGCAGCCTTGGTCCTGACGTCTTGGAGCAGGCCAATGAGATTGCAGGTGATGTGGAGGTCCAAAGATATTTGGATGAGGAGTGGGAGGCTCTTCTGAAGGACCGGGCCTTCCTCCGGACTGTGGCGAAGGAGGACGAGGAAATGATGCAGCTTCCGATCAACGTGCAGCGTATTCTCGAGACCGCCAGGACTACCTTCAGAATCCGTGAGGGAACGATCAGCGACCTGCACCCAGCGGACGTCATTCCCCAGGTGCAGTCTTTGCTCGATCGATTGCTGATTGTGCGGGGAGACGATGACATCTCCCGGGAGGCCCAGACGAACGCCACGTTGTTGTTCAAGGCGCAGCTCCGCAGCCGTCTTGCGTTCCGCAGACTGGTAACCGAGTACTCCTTGAATAAGCTCGCGTTCCAGCATGTTATCGGTGCTATTGAGAGTCGATTTGCTAGAGCTGCTGCCAACCCCGGTGAAATGGTTGGTGTTTTGGCTGCCCAATCGATTGGTGAACCCGCTACTCAGATGACGCTTAACACCTTCCACTTTGCTGGTGTGTCGTCCAAGAACGTCACGCTTGGCGTTCCCCGTCTGAAGGAGATTCTGAACGTTGCCACCAACATCAAGACGCCGTCTATGACTGTGTATCAAGAAGCCCAGAGAACATATGACAAGGAGGGTGCTAAGCAGCTACGAAGTGCTGTTGAACACACTAGCCTGCGGTCTGTGACGGAAGCTACGGAGATTTACTATGATCCGGACATCCAAACTACCGTTATTGAAAATGATAGGGATATGGTGGAGTCTTACTTCATTATCCCCGAGGATGTTACGGACGATTCCTCCCGTCAGTCCAAATGGCTGCTCCGTATCATTCTGAGCCGACCCTCGCTGCTTGACAAGGGTCTTACGGTGCAGGATGTTGCCGCTAGGATTAAGCAAGCGTACCCCAAGGATATCGCCGTTATCTTCAGTGACAACAACGCCGATGAGCAAGTCATTCGAATTCGGCAGATCCAAGACAGCAAGGAAGAGGAAGATGACGAGGACATTGAATACGACGTTACGCTGAAGAAACTGGAGCAACATCTCTTGGATACCCTCACTCTTCGCGGTGTTAATGGAGTCGAGCGGGCGTTCATCAACGAAAAGAGCAAGATCCGTGTTCTCGAGGATGGCTCGCTGTTTGGCAGCAAGACCGACCCACTCTGCAAAGAATGGGTTCTCGAAACCAGCGGATCTTCTCTCGGCGAGGTTTTGGCCATTCCCGGCGTCGACGCTACGCGCACGTACTCCAACCAGTTTATTGAGGTGTTCGAGGTCTTCGGTATCGAAGCTGCTCGTACTGCCGTTCTTCGCGAGTTGACGCAGGTGCTTGCCTTCGACGGTTCGTACGTCAACCACCGTCACTTGGCGTTGCTTGTCGATGTCATGACCGTTCGAGGATATCTGACCCCTGTTACTCGTCACGGTATCAACCGTGCTGACAATGGTGCACTCATGCGTTGCTCTTTCGAAGAGACCGTGGAAATTCTGTTGGAAGCCGCCGCTTTCGGTGAACTCGATGACTGCCGTGGTGTGTCCGAGAACTTGATTTTGGGACAAATGGCACCTGCGGGTACCGGAGAGTTCGACATCTACCTTGACCAGAACTTGCTTAACACCGTTGTATCGAACAATGCCCGCTTTGGTGTTATGGGTGCCATCGGTGCTAAGGATGCGATCATCTCCGACGGTGCTGCAACTCAGTATGACACTGGCTCACCCATGCAAGAGAACGCCTACATTGGCACACCTGATCCGGAATCGAACTTCTCTCCCATCCGGCAAGCGGGTGCAGAGACTCCTGGCGGCTTCACTGAGTACCAGCCTAGCGGTGGTTTCGGTGGGTTCAGCCCTGCGCCCACGAGTCCAGCTGGCTATTCCCCCAGCAGTCCGTTCAGTGCAAACCCGACATCCCCTGGCTATTCGCCTACTTCAAGCTACTCTCCCACGTCGCCTGGCATGGGCATCACCAGCCCTCGCTTCATGACGTCCCCGGGATTTTCTCCGGCCAGTCCGTCGTTTGCACCAACGTCGCCTGCCTACTCGCCTACGTCCCCTGCGTATGGCCAGGCGTCGCCAACCTCACCGTCGTACTCTCCAACTTCGCCAGGCTTCTCGCCTACGTCGCCGAACTACAGTCCGACGTCGCCAAACTTCAGTCCCGCCTCGCCTGCATTTAGCCCGACGTCACCGAGCTATAGCCCTACCAGCCCTGCCATCGGTGGCGCCGGCCGACATCTATCACCTACCTCCCCTACGTCTCCCAAATACACACCCACTTCGCCTGGATGGTCTCCCACGAGTCCCCAGACGTATTCTCCTACCTCCCCCAACTTTGCCGGCTCGCCGACTTCTCCTGGAGGAGCTTCTCCTGGTTACAGTCCGACGTCGCCGAGTTTCAGCCCCTCGTAAGTTCTTTCACCCCCAAACGGGTATAGGAAACAATTCACTAACTTATCTATTCAGGTCGCCCCGTCAGTGAGCTGAGGATCTCGACAGCTAGCTGGCTTCTTTCTGTATCAATGTACTATCACCTGCATATCAGGACACCCCCTAAAACTACGAAAACAAAAAAAGACAGCACATTTTGCATCTTATGCGCGGAATTGGTTGGTTATTTCTTCTACTATTTGGGCGTCTGCAGCCTTTGTTTCTCTTTTCCCTCTGAATGTACGTTGTTTACGCTTTAGCCCCATGGATTTCTTTTAGTCTTTGAAAAACACCCGGCCGAAATTGTGACCGAAGTTTGTTGGCTGGTGATGCATGATTTCGTTTCCCTTCAGAACATGGAAATACCCAGCGTTTTTAGAATTTGAAGAGCTGCGTGGATTGACTCCCTCCGATGTGTTCCAGGGACAGGGGCTGGACACTTGCTTGGACTCCGTTGTTTCCCTGGATTTGCGTGGAGGGCAATTGCTATTCGAGTGTATTAATGATGTGGTCCTTTTTTCATTTCTTTGTTTCTTTTTCTTTTATTTCCTGTACACAGGTTGCACGGATGGGTTATGGACCAAGAAGCTGAAAATGTCATAAAAAAACATAAAAAATGAAAAGATCTTATCAATAACCCTTCCAGAGTAGCTTTTGTATAAGGAGCACGGAGTAGATCATGATGCGTGACAACCGTAAGTCATGTGCCAAGGCCTCGGGGAAATGAACCTCCGCTTGGACAGGTGGCCGGATCCGCTTGCTGGGGACCACTTAGAGGACTTCTCCGCTCCCCGCCGACTTACCAGGCACATAAAGCAGCTCTCGATGACGTTCTAGTTCAGGGCAGTCGTCATGTGCCGCTCATTACTGAATTCAACTGGTATCTTCAAGTCATTATGAGGAACCTACGGTTATGGTACTTTCTGCCCTTAGTGCTTCGTAAGTGCCCCCGCTACCTCTGACTCTCGATGACGCGACAGAGAAGCTGACTCTGTTTGCCTGTTAACTAGTGCTACTGCAGGCCTATGTGGTGGAGTCCAAGGGCCAGACCGACATCTCTTCACCAGATGCTTCTCAGGAATCACATACACGATCTTCACAAGACGGATTTGACACTCGACCGGGCAATGGTAAGTGGCCCACGGCGCATTGTTGGAGTGTACCCATTGAGACGGGACTGACATTCAAGCGATTTTCTACGATTAGAACACGTCAATGCCGCAATCACGATCCTCCACGATTCGAAAATATCAGTCGTACCGTACGAGAAACCATCGGGGCTTATCGGATACGGCTTACATTATGCCCAACAAGCTTTCCGCGTATTGTTCTTGAACGGACCGCAGCCCGAGAATGCTGGTCGACAAAAGATCAACCCGAATCTCGCCAGAGCAGTGAATGAGTTGACGATAGCTGCGGAGAAGGACCAGAACCCCGATGCGATGTTCCTACTGGCGGAGATGAATTTCCACGGCAACTTCACCCACCCCCGGGACTTCAAGCAGGCGTTCCATTGGTATCAGAATCTTGCGTCCTTGACTGGAAACAGCACGGCACAGTACATGATTGGTTTTATGTACGCGACGGGGATAGGTGGTGGAGTGGAGCGCGACCAAGCCAAGGCAATGCTCTACCACACCTTTGCGGCTGAAGCAGGGAACACGAGATCGCAGATGACGCTTGCATACCGGAACCACGCGGGGGTCGGGACTGCCAGAAACTGCGACGAAGCTACGTACTTTTACAAACGGGTGGCGGACAAGGCAATTCAATACTACCGATCGGGCCCTCCAGGCGGTCATAGCATGGTTCGTGAATCGTACCGCTGGGCAGATGAAGAGGGTGGTGTTTATGGCGAGGGTGCCAGCGTTTCCAGTTCCGGACCAAATGCGCTTAGTGATTCCCATGCCAGCACCGATGCCAGCTTGGAAGATGTTCTGGAATACTTGGATCTTATGTCTCGGAAGGGTGAGCTGAAGGCTACGTTCAGTCTAGGAAAAATGCACTATGAAGGTGCCCGAGGCTTGCCTAGAAACTTCCGAAAGGCAATGAAGTATTTCAAGCAGATCACAAAGCGGTATTGGAACAAAGACGGATCCGTGAACCCGAACCACCCTTATGGAATCGAGAAATTGGCTGCGAAAGCGGCGGGTCACCTTGGGTTGATGTTTCTTCGTGGTGAGGGCGCGGACCAAAACTATGCGACTGCAGCCACTTGGTTCAAGCTTGGATTGAGTAACGGTGACTCGCTTTGCCAACATGAGCTTGGGATCATGTATCTTCATGGATACGGCGTTCCGCAGGACGCCTTCAAGGCCTCCTCTTACTTCAAAGCCGCCGCCGATCAAGATCTTCCGGCAGCCGAAACAAGACTGGGTGCTCTGTTCTTGGACCAGGGTGACATTCCTACCGCGACCAGGTACTTTGAGCTGGCCGCACGCTGGGGATGGATGGAAGCCTTCTATTACCTAGCGGAATTATCTAACAACGGTGTCGGCCGGCAACGGCACTGCGGTATGGCCGCCTCATACTACAAGATGGTCGCAGAGCGGGCAGAGGTGATCCACTCGTCCTTTGCCGAGTCCAACGCCGCGTACGAGAACGGTGATAAAGATCGGGCACTTGTTGCTGCCATGATGGCTGCAGAGCAAGGCTACGAAAATGCGCAGTCTAATGTGGCATTTTTGCTTGACGAACAGCGCTCTTTGGTGTCGTTTGATTCGATTTTGCCCGGGCTTAAGAAGACCCGCTCGTCATTGCTTCGAAATGCTGCTTTGGCCCTCATTTACTGGACTCGTTCTGCCAAACAAGCCAACATCGACTCTTTGATCAAGATGGGTGACTATTACCTCAGTGGGACTGGTATCGCTGCGGACGCCGAAAAGGCCTCGACCTGCTACCACACTGCCGCGGAAGCTCACTACAGTGCGCAGGCCTATTGGAACCTCGGCTGGATGCATGAAAATGGCGTTGCTGTGGAACAGGATTTCCACATGGCCAAACGTTATTATGATCTAGCACTCGAAACAAGTTCCGAATCGTATTTACCGGTGAAGCTAAGTCTGCTGAAACTCCGCATGCGGAGTTATTGGAACAGCATCACGAATGGAAAGATTAACTCTATCCAGGAAGATGATGGTAAGTCCATGGCATATGAAGAGAATTGCCTGGCCGGTCTGGTAGTTTAATGAATACTTGCTGACCATGACAACAGAGCCTCGACCTCGCCGGTCATTCAAGGAGTGGATCGCCGCTTTCATCGAGAACGACGAGGAAGAAGAAGCCAATTATAGAGCGCAGATGTACAAGAGAGCCGAGGAGGACGAAGAGGACCTGCTATCTACGGGAGAGTCTCGACACGATCGTCATCAAGATGGTTACTATGACGACTTGGAACTTGACATCGACGACAGTGTCTTGGAAGGTCTCATCATTGTGGCCCTGGCAGCAACATTGCTGATACTTTTATACGTGCGACAGCAACGAAACCGAGACCGACAGAACGACAACGGAGGCGCGAACCCAGCGGCTGCGGCTAATGGGAATGATCGAGGGCTCTTTCCCCGTCCTGGAGACCCGGAATTCGCTCAATGGGTGGCTGGCGGTGTAGGGCATTAAGGGGTACTTTGGGTCGGCCATGATTTTGTACATGCTGTAACCTAGCAGAATTAGCATTGAATTTCATACTTGAATAGTTTCATTTTTGCCTCGGAGATTTAACATTTGCGGGTGCCTCAGGTGTCTGTCACACGTTATCGATAAGCGGCTTGGTTTTCCATCAAGATGCTTTTCAGCAACTCTCCACCTTCGTCCTTGCATGCGACGTCCTAATCTTTTCCACGTATCATACAATGTAACAGAGGATAGAAGCCAGTTCATTCGAAGAATGGGACCTGGAACACTCAATGAGAAGCGTCGTCGCGCCCAGCACGCGACCTCGGCGCTATCCAAGCCATTCAAGTCTCCTCTGCGTCGGCCTCTGCAGACATCAGAGATCAAAGAAGAAACATCGCCCACAATCAAGGAACGCATTTCCTCGCCTGATCCTACCCATCAAGCAAGCGCAGCTCATCCAGCCGGAGAAGCAAAAACAGAACCAGAACCCACAACCTCGACCACGCTTTCTTCATCCGCACCATCCATCAACTCGCCTTCATCCAGCGCCTCGTCACCTTTAAGCTCGCGCAACCGCAAGCGCAAAAACCCCACCAGTCGCTTAACGCCGTCCAAGAAGCCAGTTCTCTTAGACCCAGAGACCACAGCGCTCCAGAAACAGCAAAGAGCGCTTCAGTCCCGGCTTTCGGCCCTGCGGTCGGAGCTGGATACAGCGCGACAAGCTCTCCGAGTTGAGTCTTCGGGTAAGGATACGGAGCTTGAGAAGCTGATCGGGAAATGGAAAGGCGTGAGTCGGAATGCAGCGGAGGAGGTTTTCGCGGGCGCGCAGGAACGAGTCACGCGGCTTGGGGGGATGAAGGCGTGGAGGGAGCAGATGAGGAATAACAATTCGAGATGGGAGCAGGAGGAGATGGATTCATGGTATGGCGGTGCTGAAGGCGACGGGGTCGATGTTGATGAGGAGGAGTTGGAGGCTCGCAAAGCGGAGATGTTGGAGCAATGGGATGTTCCTGGGAAAGAAGCTGAGGATAAGAAACGGGAGGAGGCTACGGAGGAAGAGGTTTGTTTGGTCCTTTGACATTGAATATGGATCTGATAGATGGGCGATTCTAACATGGCTGGCAGGAATTTACTATGGACTTCATGCTGAAGACCTTGAATGTTGATTTGAAGCTGATCGGGTATGATAAAGAGGGTCAGAGGTGGGTTAGAGACTGATTGAGAATTTATGAGCAGAGGATACGATATGAATGGTGTGTACCAAAACAATTTGATGCTTCAATTGATGTTTGATGAACAGTCCATACGTTATTCAATCCAATCCAAACACACTTGACGCTAATCCCCCGCTTGACCCCGAGCCATGTGGGTCTTGGATCCTTATCTGCTTCTCTTATCCATTTCTCCTCTTTCCCTGTCATTGATCCTTCATTTCCTTCACTGATGCCAATTACTCGATTGTGTTATTAATCGACCCATGCCTTCGAGTGCCAAAATCCCGAGATCATTAGCATGTGCTCGATGCTTTCGTCTCAAGCGCAGATGTGACCATGCAAAGCCCACATGTGGAGAGTGCAAACGCAGAGGAACCGAATGTCTTCCTGTGAAATCAAGCAAGGATGGCGAAAATATCACAGTTTCCTTGAATTATTTAAAGAGCCTTGAAGCCAGAATAGCCGAATTGGAGGGACCACGGGATAATGCATCTAGAACATCTCTGCAGGTACGGGATATCGGTGTGCAGACAGACCAAGATAATGTCGCTACTGCCGATCCTCCGCATAACCACACGAGTACGACTAATGATATTGATATATCCGGGGTTGACACTGCGATCATGAAAATGGCCACACATGAGAACCACCCGACTCTGGAATCTTGCTCGTTCTTTCCGTTTGGCTCGACCCATACCCCGGCTCCTGGAGCTGACACCATTCTCGCTGGTTCTCACCCCGGAGCGCAGCGACTGGAGGCACCTTTGATATCACGGATTGCATACGAAATGTACCCTCCGTATTCGAGCATAGGATACTCTCCATGGACAGACAATGAACAATCTGAACCTCTTACCCATCTCAATGGTCAACCACTTTTGCTAGAGGAAGTCTACACTAACCTCTACTTCACAATCACGCATTGGGTGTGGCCATTTCTTGACAGCAGTGCGTGGAGAATGTGGTATCACGAATGGACAACCGAGAAAGAGACTGAGCAATGGAAAGGATTTTTCATATTGATGGTCCATGCCATTGGGGCTTTGTTGCATAACGGACTCCATCCTGACCAGGGCTATGCGACACGTGCAGCAGACCTCTACACTTCTGCAATGACTTATTACCCTTATGTCATGGGCCATTCCTCCGCCATTCTTCAGATTAAAGCGTCGATCCTGATGATACTATACTCTCTTCATTGTCCCTCGTCAGAAGAGATCGCCGTTACCGTCTCTTCGATCGTTCCTTTCTGCGCTGCCACAATGTCTGAATTACGGAAGCAGTCTTCTGATGTCGGAGATGGGACTGACTATCGAGATGAAACCGGAGAGGCAATAGGTGAAACTCTCACTGAGCCCTTGTTTATCACTTGCTATATGTTAAACGAGATTATTGTTTCTGGATGGGATAGACCGGTCTCGGCGGCTTACAGGGCCATAGACGACGATGTATGAGTGTTTTCGAGAAGAGCAAAGGTCTGGAGCTGACAAGGCTACAGATGTATACATTGAGCAACGAAATGCCTTGCTCCTCAAGTACAAACAGTGCCCTGAGACACCTGTTCAGTTTGCGCAAAATCCAGGCTCAGATTCGTCGACAACGAGATAGATCACCACAAGGCCAAGACGCCGGTGACTCGCTCCTGAAGTCAGCGCTTGATACGTGGAAAACGGATATACCCCGATACGGTATAGAGGACAGCCCGAGTACCTACCTTCATCCGCTGTGGATGACAAGCCTTTACGGTTATAGTGTGATTATCCTGATGCAAGAAAAGCGACACCGCCTGCAGCATGAGGATTTTGAGGATGTTCTTTCTGCCTGCGTCGAGGTCTGCATCAATTTTAAATGTCTTCTGGAAGAAGGCCAGGTGATGTGTTATACATGGTCCGCGGTGAGTTTGGTCAAGTCGAGATACTCAAGTGTTCTCCATATGCTGACATTCTTCTCTAAGCTTGTTTTCCAATTCATGGCGGGCATCATGCTTCTATATGCGTTTTGGGTTGACTATCGTGAGGACATACCAAAGCGACAGGCTTTCGATGCATTATGTACTTGTGCAAGTACGCTATCTCACTTTGCTCAACGTTGGGATGACGCAACGTCCTATATCAAGGTGTTCAACTTCATCCTTCGCGAAGCCACGTGGGTTCCGGAAGATCTAAGGGGGCAGTTGAACTCTGACTGTACTCGTGAGGAATTCGAATATTGCTTGAAGCAATTAAAGAAGCAATACTTGCACAAGGGTGTTCTGAGTATGATTGAAGATATGACATGAAAATATGGAGCTGAATTATGATGAAATTTGCACATATGTACATGTAGCTATATTGGATAGGAAGATCGCAGTTATTTGTACAGTACAATCTAAAGCAATATCAACTTTCCAGCTGCCTGCCCAGTCGTTGTCTGTGCCACAATAACAATGATTGTCTGGACCAAAGCAGGACTGGACCACCGTGTCCACGTGCGGTCACGTTCTGACACGGGGTACTCCGTCGTCAGACTCCACTTGTTCTCTTTCGTCTTCACCTCAACTGGATTGCCATTAATATGACAAGACAGTCGACTCAGAGGCTCACAATCATCGAGTTGCAGATATCCTTCAATCTCGAGACGGACTGTCTCATCTGAAACATGCTTAGCCTGTTTAGTGACCTCAACGCGAGGCATTGCTGGTTGCACCTCGCTTGGTATGGAATCTTTATTTCTCGCATATATAAGATCCGAATCCAACTGCGGCACAAGCGGTGGTAGCACTCGACTTTTCGTCATCTCCTCGAAAGCATACGCATATCGAAGAAGACTTTTGTCGTCGTACCCTTTACCAGCGAACGTCAGATTTACTGCCATTCCCGTATCCTCCATCAACCCCATCGGAACGGAAACAGTCGGAACACCAAGATGTCGAATCTCTCTATTTCCATTGGAATATTTAACCCCGTTCCGCCAAGCATACTGAGAAGCTTCAGGATCCACGTCTGCACGAGCACTCCCGACATCACCGTTTGCGGGGAACACCACAGCATCCAGACCATGGAGGTCCATCCATTGCTCTAGTGTTTCTTTTCGAGCGTTTTCAAGGGCCTTCAACCCTTGTACTGTTCCGGGGATGTCATAAATAGAACCGGTTTTGGTCTTAGGATACTCGACCATCTCGTGCCATCTGAGTTGGTTGGCTGCGTCGGGTGTCCCTCGGAGCGAGCCTGGCGCGAGCGGGAAGATTGTGTCTGGGTCGACACACGACAAGGAATGCAGACCAGGCTGGTTGTTGTAGGATAAAAAGTCATCCCAGATGTGTGCAACCACTTGACATCTTTCCATTGATGGCCAGTCCTCAGGGAGATCTTTCACGTTCACGAGTTGCCCCTCGCTTGCTTTGGCTTCATATGTCGTGACTAGTGGGAAATCGACTTCCACCACTGTCGCGCCGCATGACTCCAACGCTGCCTTTGTCGTCTTCCAGAGCTTGAGCACAGAAGGTCTGGTGCACACTTTATCGGGGAGGATGTCTTTGCCGCCGATGTACATCGACGGTACGCCTAGCCGTTTTCCATGAAGGGAGGTTGGGTCCTCTAACTCCTTGAATAGTCGGGGTCGGATGGTGTCGACGGAAGGCAAAGGGATGATTTTCTGCTCGTTCCAGTAATCTCCTGAGGGTGTTTTATCGACCACCGCAAGAACATCGAGAACTTGGAACAAATCGGACATGGTGCGGGTGTGAGGCACTAGTACGTCACATGTTGGGTATAAGGGCCATATTCCTCGGAGCGGTAAGAGCCCTCTTGACGGCGTGTATGCAATGATTGCATTATTAGAGGCCGGGGATCTGCCCGAGGAAACAGTCTCGGTCCCCAAACTGAAAGCACAAAAGTTGGCCGTGGTGGCTGTGGCAGATCCATTCGACGAACCGGAGGCATATCCCGCTGTCAAGTACTCCATGTTGTATGGACTTTCGGCTCTTCCATACGACCCACGCTGCATGCCTCCATAGGCCATGGCCGGCATATTGGTTCTGCCTAGAAGAACGGCCCCTGATTCCCGCAGGCTTTGCACACATGCGGCATCGTCTGTGGCGACGAGGTTTTCGAAAGCTGGACAGCCGCTGGCAACGGTCATGCCCTTGACCTTGATGTTATCTTTAACAAGGTAGGGAATACCCTCGAGACGCCTCACTGGAAGACCAGCTGCACGTCGAGCATCGGAAGCTGCTGCTTCTTCGAAGACAGCAGCATTGAGAATGGGAATGGCGCTAAGTTTGAGTCCAGCTGCATCGTAAACGCTAATGCGTCGGAGATAGCGTGCGACTAATTCGACGCTTGTGATCCATCCTGAGCTCAGGGCTTGTTGAAGCTCAGAAATGCTGGCGTCAAGGAGACTGAGGGTTTCAGGTTTCTGAGTGGATGGCTTAAGGCTCTTATCAGCGTGCTGATCATCATGGTGTGGCATCAATCTTCGGACTCACAGGCTCCATGGTAGGCGTTCTACCCAAACTCTTGATAAATACTGAAGCTCCCGAGGACTCGAATCAATGGTTTGCTCAACTCAGATTATACGGGGGATTGCTCACCATTTATACCAGTCTCACTGCGTGGAGCCCCGAGCTGATACTTTATACGACGACCGCCTCAAAGTGGCCTGACCTTTCCTTCTTCCCTTCCAACAGCATTCCATCACCACTAGATCCATCATCCACTGCGACAGAGGGAGCCTGGAGAGAGCGGACAAAACTCCGCCTGGTTAGTCATGCAGCCCTAATCGGCATCCGAGCGGACTTTTGTCCGCTCTCCCTCGTGCGGAGTTGATAACGATCGGGGCAATCTGAAAGGGCAACGCGACGCCAAGAGATAGCACTTATCCGTTATCAGCCTGAGGAACTAAAAAGAGAAGCTTAGATCCGAATCAGTGTTATCTTCATGCAAGGGTGGGGGAAGGCCATCCCTAGTATTTAAGCCCTGCCCCGGACCGAGTGGATTCCATTATCCACGTTCTGTTCATCACCATGTCCGAACCCAAAGATACCAAAGCGGAAGCGCTGAGCACCGACAGCGTCGACAGGAGAGAGGACCTAGCATCGGGAGAAATCCGAGACATAGCAGCTGAGCTGTATGCCGAAGCCGATCAGTTATCACCCGAGGAGTTGGAACGCGAGGGAGCTGAGGTGCGCAAGCTTTTAGACTGGCGTATCCTGCCTATTGTAAGTGGCTCCACTCTCTCAGGATCTCACAGGAGACAACTGACAGGTGGAATATCAGCTCTATGTGACTTACGTCATACAATTTTTGGGTAGGTGGACGATCATTCCAGAAGTTGGGGATTTTGGCTGACTTCGTAATTACCATAGACAAGCTTTCTCTCAACTATGCCTCGGCTTATAGCCTCATCCCGGATCTTGGTCTGGAGGGTCAAAGATATTCATGGGTTGCAGCCATCTTCAATTTCGGTTATTTGTTCTGGGCTGTGGTATGTAGATGATCGAAAGACTTGATCTACCAGAGTAAAAGCTGATTGCACCTTCGCTCTAGCCATCAAATCTTATGATCCAGCGGCTGCCCCTGGCTAAGTACATGGGAACAGTGCTGCTAATCTGGGCGGTTCTTATCGTGGCACACATCGGAGCGAGGAACTATGCCGGCATTCTGGTCTTGCGATTCCTCCTGGGAATGGCTGAGGCCGGTGTCAGCCCATGTAGTAAGTCCCCAACGCTCTGCCGAAATCCCCTCGAGCAAGCACCTAACCAATACAGTGATGAACTTCACATCAATGTTCTACAAACGATCCGAGCAGCCCCTACGCATGAGCCTATGGCTCTCCGGAAACGGAATGGCGACTATGGTAGGAGCTCTATTGGGCTTCGGACTCGGCCACTCCCACAACACCAGCCTCAAGAGCTGGCAACTCATCTTCCTCACCATCGGCCTCCTGAACTTCGTCACCGGATGCCTCTTTCTCTGGCTCATGCCCGACTCGCCCAGCTCCGCCAAATTCCTCTCCCACCGACAACGCATCGTCGCCGTCCAGCGCGTCTCCGAGAACATGATCGGCGTCAAGACCAAGCAGATAAAACCCCACCAGGCCCTCGAAATCCTCTCCGACCTCAAAGTCCTCTGCTGCGCCCTCATCGGCCTCAGCTGCGGTGTCGTCAACGGCGGCGTCTCCAACTTCTCCTCCTCCCTCATCAAAGGCTACGGCTTCAGCGGCCTCAACGCCACCCTCCTCCAACTCCCCACCGGCGCCATCGAAGCCCTCATCGTCCCCATCTGCGGCCTCATCTCCACCTACGTCCGCGACTCCCGCTGCATCGTCCTCGCAACCGTCTGCCTGATCCCCTTCGGCGGTCTCCTCGGCATCCGCTTCACCGACGTCCAACACCGATGGACCCTCGTCGGCTGCACCTGGCTCCAGTACATCGTGGGCGCCCCCGTGATCGTGTCCTGGAATATTCTCTCCACCAACGTCGCCGGACACACGAAACGGTCGCTCTCGAACGGGCTCTGGTTCGTCCTCTACGCGGCTGGGAACGTAGCCGGCGCTAATATCTTTTTCGAGCGCGAGGCGCCGCGATACTATTCGGCTCTGACGGGGCTGCTGATCTGCTACGCGGGGATCATTGTCTTGTCGGGCGTGGCGTACGTGTCGATGCGGTTTGAGAATCGTCGGAGGGATCGTCGTATGGCGCCGGAGGAGAGTGGGAATGGGCGCGATCAAGCGGCGGTGCTGGATGGGTTTAAGGATATGACGGATATGGAGTCAAGGAATTTTCGATATGCGCTTTGATGTGCGTATAGGTGTTGCATGCTTATAATGATGGATAGAGCTGCTTTTAGCTTGGTTCAATAATTTTGTTAATTATGATAATGATACTTACGAGAACAAATATAACCGCATTGATATTCGCCTGCAAAATGAGGACTTACTACAACGTATTACGTGCTGGAAGTTGTGTGGAAACACAAGTTAGATAGCTAGGGAAACGAACCAGTTGTATCATTTGACAATTTATCAAAGATTTCCCGAAGAAGGTTCCAGCAACGACAACAGTGTGACAAGGTAGTGGGCATAAGAACAATGGGATGAGGTTCATGGTTCTCAGGGTTGCTTCAATTTGTTTCATCAACATGGACCACGTCTAGCCCAAGAGAAACAACCCATTACAAAAAGCTAGTCTCTCCCTCGGTGATGACAATTTCACTTTCGATGACCACGTTCGCCTGCTTCCATCAGTACTAGGTGGAAAAATCGTAGATGAATCATCTTACCTCGACCTGGGACTCAAAAGCGTTGGACATCTCGTCAAGCTCAGTGATAATGGGATCCTCGGCCACGCGCTTCCTTCCACCATTGGGAATCTCAATGGTCACAGGACTAGCCTGATACCAATCAGACGAAGTATTCATCTCTGCAATTCCAAATTCGCCCGGAATCCAGTCCGCGTCCAGGTCAAAGCCTTCCATGCCGGGCTCGGATTCAAAATCAAAGATCGACTCTTCATCTCCAGCGTTCTCCTCATAACGAGCGGAAGTGTCTGGCGTCACCAGACCAGAAGATGTTGAATTCTCAGCAGGCTGACTTGCCGGGTGACTGTTGTTGGTGGAAGGCCTGGCGCAAAGCCTCTCTGCACTGCGAACAAGAACGTACTTGCGAGTTTCTCCTGTCAGTACACACGCCCCTCAAAGAATGAAAGATCGAACAACTTACATTTGGCCACATGTCTTCCAGCCTGGCATACCACTGAGCCGAAATCGGGTGCCTGAGGTTCGACAGGGTCCTGACCGACTCGACCTTGTCCGAGCCACGAGCAATCTGACGGGCAATAAAAGCACAGATTGCTGCCTCGCGATAGTGCCAGATTTCTATACAGAGTCTGTAAGTTTATCTAGATGGACTTGGTAGAAAGTATGGCATCCTTGCCTTCAAAGGTGCGCACACTCTCTGCGATCAGCTCGACGACATCTTGGTGCTTGTAGATGTTGAAAAGGTCCCAACTGTCCTCGAGTAGACGGCGATTCATATGATCATTAACCCTTGATGCTTCCAGGATCGACGAATCGGTATCCATGTTGGAGTAGTCGTTTGAAACGGAATGACAGGTTCCTGGTAGAGAGACAGAGGGGCGTTAGCTTCGCGAGGGGGGTCTCTCAGCATGAGCTAGCTGGGTCAAGGTCAAATACCCTTGTTTCACTTCTCTCAAACCTGAAGGGGAAGCTGTTCAAGCTGGGGGGTGCAACACAGGCTAGGTTTAAAGAGTTGACTGCGAACAGAGACGGTGCTTTCTGGAGCAGAACAAGGTTAGTTAGAGAGGGAAGACCACGAAAGAAAAACAGAACCGACAGTAATATAGTGAAATTGGAAGAAATAAGAACCTCTTTAAGCTGTAAAAGTTGCCAGAGCAGATGAGATGAAAGAAGGAGAAATGGGAAAGCAACGAGATCGGATGGCAGAATTTGCAGCAAAAACAAGACAGAAAAAAAAGTGGACGGAATACACGAAAGTCAGATCTGTAGGATCCTATCTTTGTTTACTGAAGGTGACTTGCTGCTAGGCGATAAGTAAAGACGAATTCTGCAAGTGTAGAGAATCAAAGAAGAAACAGAGACAAGGAGTCGATGAGATGAGAAGGGAGAGGTAAAAGGAGGGAGGAGGTTGAGGAAACGGAGGAGGCAGAGGGGGAAAGTTCTGGCTTGCGTTGGTGACTGAGGCTTTCCTTTTTCCCACTGTTCCAGATACCCAACTTCTCCTTTTACTTTTTCACAGCCTTCGACTGACTAACATACTCATAATGATTGCGAAGACTTTCACAATGACTTCCTCACCAGGTGACCATAAAAGAAGTCATCAAAACAAAGATTCCTTTGCGTTCAGGTTCCATCTATGACATTCTCCTATAAAGTGACGAAGTATATCCTCAGTCCTTAACACCGTCACATCGTCAACGTATTAAAAGAGCTCATGAATCATCTAAAAGGCCTCACCCACCCGAACAAGAGGACAAAATCAAAGCAGCTATACTCGGTCATGAACAGTTGGATCCAGATTCAGTTTCGGTAAGATCACTTCCAGAAGCGAGTGTGTCCAGGGCTCTATTCCACTAGATGGAGGTATGCCACACTTTTTATCCTAGCTATACTAATTCGAACGTGCTTGACTAGGGAGATGCACTAGATATACCTGCTACACAACTACTGACGGGTTATACAATATTCCAGCGAAAGCCCTACAGAGAGCAATACATCCAGACATTTAAAATGTCTCAAAGTCCAATTGCTAGCATGAACTTTCCATGACAATATCCTCAAGAAGAAACTGTTCATATCTCGAATATATCATGGAAGCTTCAAGAAATTCTTATCGAAACACCCCTGAAAGATATCCTCACATCGTCCATTCCCGATCTCTTCAAGAAACCACCTCCAACGATCAACAATGCGCTACATAATCAAGAATATGTGACCGTGAAACAAGTTCAACACCAAAGTTTTGCGAAATAGCCATGATACCAGCCATCGCGCCGTGCTCGCCCTTTTCTGCGGCTTATATCCGGGCTACAGGTAAACATCTGCATTCAGACTCAGCTAAAGTAAGATTTTGATACATAACCTAAATACATGACTTAATCCAGCCCCAAAAAAGCGCATCCATTTTCAAAAACCATAAACACAACACCGTGGCGGGCTCGCTCAATGTCGTGTGCTTACAGAAAGCGGTGATATTTACCAAAACCGGATAAACGACACTTCATATAGATCAATAACACCCGATTCTGACGTTGAACTAGTGTGGTTCATCCAGCCCATCATGCATATCCATGCAGTCTAGTTCCACGGAGGCTAAATCCGTGTCGCGGAGACTCCGCCGTGTCGGATTCGGCTGGAGCGAGATCGCGGTGTCCACTTTGCAGACTAGTTTGAAGGAACTGCGGAGTACGTCCATGAGACCAATGTTCTTTGAAGAGGTGGGCCTATGCAGTGGACCATTTTACATAGGATGTTGGACAGTAGTGATACTCTTCTGTCGTAGAGAGCAGTCCGGATTATAGATGTCCAATGAGGGTTGAAATTCGAAATATGTCCCATGACTTCATATTGATTGCATAACTAATGAAAATAAACTAGGGTAATACAATGGCTACTGCCTAAGTGGCTCTTTCCATCCTTTTATTCCTTCTGGATGTACTGCTCGAAGATCGGACCAATCGCCCGGGCACTTTCCTTGGGGATTCGCTTCTGGTTGTTCTCGTAGTCGACGTAAGTCACGCCGAACCGGGTCTCGTACCCTTCGGCCCATTCGAAGTTACTGTAATAGCACCGATTAGTAAGTGCTGATTCGCTCAGTGTAAGTCAAAGAGGGAAACATACTCCATCAAACTCCAGGCCATGTATCCTCTCACATTTACACCGTCCAAGGTGTATGCATCAGCCATGGCCGCGATATAGTCGCGGAAGTACTGTGTTCGGAACTCGTCCTTGAGGAGCTGATCCAAGGGCAAATCGTTCTCATTCTTCAGACTTGTGCCGTTCTCCGTGACCAAGATCTTGGGCTGGTTGTATCGGTCACTGAGCCATTTGAGAAGTTTGCGGAATCCGATCGCACTGGGTCGAAGCCAGGGAGACTGTGTCTCGGGGCCTACCCACTCCCCGTTCTTGTTCTGGAGCAGGATCTCCAGGTTGCCCGCAGTGTCGTTGGGGTCGGCCTCGCCGGTCTTTGCTTTGATGTAGTTGGCGCAGTAGTGGTTCATGCCGTAGAAGTCGTTGCTGCCGTGGACTAGGGCAATGTCTTCGGGAGTCCACTTGGGCAATCGGTCACCCAGCTGCTTGACCATGCTGTCGGGGTATTTGCCGTGATAGATAGGGTCGGCAAACCAGGAGATGGCGAATTCAATTTTTCGGTCGCAGGCTTCAACGTCTGCTGGGTTCTCGGGGTCCCAGGGCTCGGCCCAATCGCCTAAGTAAATGTTAGAATGGTCTATTTCCGGTGATTGTGCAGCAAAGGTGCCTTACCATTCAGGGTGATACCAATCTCACCACCGTCTTGGGCCTTGAACTCGTCTCTGTAGATCTGCACTGCCTTTCCGTGCGCCACCAAAAGGCTGTGTCCCACGATCCAGGGCTCCGTTGAGCCGTCTCCCACGGGGTTCCTGGCCCGGTCACTAGTTCTGCCGGGAGCAAATTGTCCCACGTTGTATCCCAAAACACTGCTGCACCAGGGTTCATTGAAGGTAATCCAATGCTTGACCTTCGATCCAAACGCCTTGAAGATCACCCGAGCGTAGTTAGCAAAGTCAGCAACGAACTCCTCCTTGTTGAGAAGACCGCCGTAACGCTTGTCCAGCTCATCGGGGAGGTCCCAATGGTAGAGAGTCACCAGAGGAACAATTCCTGCGGCATGCAAGTCGTCGATGAATTTGACATAATGCTGGATACCCTTTTCATTGACAGGATCGTTACGGCCTCCAAGGGGGATGATACGAGACCTAGATATAGGAAGAGGACATTAGGAAGGCCTGGATAGGTTTTGATAGAAGAAGAAGGAAAAAGGAAAGGTTGTCTTACCAGGAAATAGAGAAGCGGTAAGCCTTAGCACCGCATTCTTTTAGCAAAGCAATGTCCTCGTGGGTGCGATGGTACGAATCACACGCCACATCTCCGGTAGCGCTGCCGGCGATCTTTCCAGGAATCTTGCAGAAAGTATCCCAGATGGACGGACCGCGTCCATCCTCCTCAACGGCTCCCTCAATTTGGTAGCTGTTTGGAGAAAAGACTTGTAAGCAGGGACACCGAAAGAAGACGACGACGATCCTAGACCCACCTAGCCGTTGCAAATCCCCAGAGGAAGTCGGACGGAAGAGAAGACGCCGATGTGGACCCCATGATTGCTGGAGTTCAAGGATACAGACGATAAGCAATTGGTCTTCAAGTGCAAGGCAATGAAGGGCAACAATCGGAGGGATTTAATGAATGCTCCGTAGATCGAGATTGAGACAGCATGGTGGGAGGGAATGAGGGCGATATTTAAATGATTTCGGACAGCTCTGGGGCCTCCCCGCAAGAGGATCAAACGATGGAGGGGCAAGCGGGGACATGACCGGGGGATCGAGTAGCGAACATGGATGGAAAAGCCACCGGCGACCAGAGCGACGCCGAGATGAAGGCGAGAGAGAGACCGTTCGTTCCTGGCGGGGCAAAACGAAAGGGAGCGGATGGACGGGCCGCCTTCCGACTGGATTCGGATTAGTCTGGCACTACGCGGGTGTCTGATGTTACGATGGATGGATGAATCATGGATGAATGGGCGAATTGATGGGCAGTAGTAAGGAGTCTGGCCAGCTGCAAATATCTATTCCTCGCTCGTAAACTTCTCCCATGACCAACGCTTGGCTCTGTGCTCTTCCACCAACGCCATAAACACACTTTGCTATGCGAGAAACCAGTAGATACACGAAAGAAGCAAATGTGATAAAATAAAAGGAAAATAAGAAATTCGGTCGTGTACCCATGGCGTCGTGCAATCCTCCCAAAGTAACTCTGAATAAACACCCATATGCTTCACACAAGACTCAAGACATTTCCATCGCCTCTAGCTCTTCACCCTCCATTTCATCGGCCTCCTCAGCCGCAGGGCCTGGGATGGCCAGTTGCGACGGCTTGTGCTCTCGGCCGTGGCCTCCGAGCTCTCCAGCCATCTCTAACTCGGACCCGGCGACGACGCGGCTTTCGATATCGACCACCCCACATAATTCAACGAGACTTTGCCGACTAAGGGACCTGAACCCGTCAGTTCGCACGATGCGACCCCAGTGGCCAAGACAGAACTGCGCGGCGCGGCGCATGAGCCATTCCTCATTCGTCCGGCCAGCTCGTTCCCAGATGATGGCGGCGTTCTCGATATCCAGCTCGCGGCTCAGCCGGTTGACGCATAGCAGACGCAACGTGGGCATGTCATAAAGATTCGCCATCACGAGCATACCAGCCACGTCGATGATATCGGGGCAGTATTCCGAATGGGCCGAGATGCTGTCAGTGTAGAGGTAGTAGAGAAACGCGCGGACGACGGAGTAGGGTTCGGGTATGTGCATTCTCTTGGAATGATATTCAGCCATCTGGGCCGAATACAGCCTCTTGAAATGAGGCCATCGCAGCTGCAAGATCAGACGATGCACATGGATGGGAGGAGACGTGGCCGCGTTATGAGGGACCAACTCCGTTTGCAACTGCAGTGGAACGCCATACTGACATGGATCTTCTGAATCGTCCTGATCATCCGGATTAGCGGTGATTACAAAGTCAGCACCAGTACCGGATTCCGGCGGTTGGTCGAACACGGCCAGGAGATCCGAGCCAAGGCCAGATATTGGTCCCAGTCCTAGCCGGCCGCCATACATCGTCCGGCTCTGGTTTGGTGAAAATTCCGCCATCTGGTTGCCCAACAGCCCGTATTTTTCCAGGTTGATGCAGAGAACCTCGCTCATATGGTTCTCATCGCCAGTTCCGGGGGTGGCGGCGGAATCCAGACTGCAGCCCAATAACCAAGCTTTGGTGCCGCTCGCATCGATAGTACAGTAATGCCAGCGATATCCGTTTTTGAAGATTTCTTGGCCATCGGCTAATCTCTGCCATCGCAAGGAATCAAGATCCAGGGACGACAAATTGCACTCGTCGGCACGCACCGTTTCGGACGGGGTGATCAAGTCCAGTAGAACGCCGGATGCATAGGCTTGGAAGTGAGTCCCGGAAAACAGCGCCGGGACATGGGGACCAGAGGTGAATTTGAGAGAAGAAATTGCTCCGGGCGCAATGGGTTTCCGTCGGTTGGAGTTGCGAACTTGAACACTTCCCGAGTTGGCCGCATAGTTATTGGATCGGGCATTTTGGTGATGCGATGAGGTACTAGGCAGTCCATCTGGGCTATGAGTAATCCTGCTGAGCTGAACATGGGAATCCACGGTACCTTGAGAAGCTGTCATTCCGAGAGAGGGAACGCCTTTGAGATCAAGCCACCAGATGTCGGTCGTGCGCTCCATATCCGGATCGAGACCTCCAAATATCCACAGGCGGTCGCCCCAGACCCAGGCAATGTGGTCAAATCTGGCGGTGAATCTCCATGTGCGAGACCATGTCCAAGTCTTCAGGTCGAGGTACGACAGCTCGTCGAGGACATGATTCTCGCCGGTAACTCCTCCAATAATGAACAGTTTGTCATCATGGATCACGGCAGCATGGCGAGCCCTTCCGTGCGGGATCGGTCCACGAATCTCCGGTTGGTGCCAGGTAGAGGTTGGGATATCCAGAATGACCACGTCCGAGAGGTGTTCGCGATGCTCGTTTTCCCCACCAAAAACGATCAATTTGTCTCCATTGTGAAGGTTGGCAGTGTGTCCTGGGCCGAAGAGAAAGAATATTAGCGGTCATTCAACGCATGTGGCATACGGAGGAAGATAAAAGGCAGAGGCGACCCACCCATGCGGACCCCAGGAATGTCCCCGTAGTTGTCAATCAGCTCCCATCGCAGAGTAGTCAGATTGAGTCTCAAGACATGATTGTAGACTGCAGCATGATGTCAGTGACAGGTTGATCCCTGTAAACGCTGAGCGACAGGCACTGCAAGGGGCAGAAATGAACCTTCATCTGTGTACTGATCAAACCCGCCAAAGGCATAGATCTGATCGTCGTTGCAATACGTCACCGAGGCGTTGACCAGGCATGCCGGAACATGCCCCTGGGCCTTTTTAATACTGGGGCCGCTCCCCCGGCGACGAGTTGCACTAGTGGGCATGAGGAATGCCTGGTCCGATTTCTGATGGTCAGGAGGAAGGGGAGACATCGTAGAGGAGGTAGCCCAGTACGGTGGGTCCGAGTGGAAATGCGAGACCGCCGAAACGTTACTATTCCTAGTAGTGGAAGTTGGTTGCCGCGCCATCAGGGTCCGAAAGGAGGTGGGCTGAGAGGCTGGGCGGGAGCCACGGGCGGTAGGGAATGAAATGACACGGGGTCGTGGTGAATGATTTGACCCTCCAAGATGAGAGGGAATGATTTCACATGATAAGAAGCAACACAAAGACCGGTGGCCCTGCTGCAGACGTGGAAAGGCGGCGACAAAGAGAAGAGTGCACTGAGGAAAAAAGTGGGCGCCAAGGCCGATCGGCGACAGGACGAACAAGAGCCTCATGTCAGGTGGGCGCTAGGCCGCATCGGGGCTGGCGCACCCGTACCTCCAGTAACCGTTGCCATGCCAGTGAAGAACTATACCCTCTATTTATTCTCCTTTCTGGCTCGTCGCTCCTCCCATCTCTCCCTCTCCTCTTCATCCTCTTCCTTTTCTTCGGTATATACTATTGCGTGCATACTGTATTGCCTCTATTCGGGCTCAGTCTCTCGTATTCAGCATTCTATTGCTGCATCTTACGTCTCTGTTGCATCTTCAGTCAGTATCTTCCGGACACCGGACCTGGCCTGAAGCTTTTTCTCTTTCTACATCTCAGGATACCGGCTGGCTGGTCTGAGCAAAGTATCATATACTATCATGGCTACTCCTACCGTGTCCACCCCGGTGAAAACCCACCATGGCATCTTTTCGAGCAAAACTGCCGGCGGCCGTATGCCACTCACACCATCGCCCCGTACTCGAGCGGGAAGCATGACGTCAAACCACTCCTCTCCATTCACGCCGCCTCGCCAGCCTGCGGAGACCGGCAAGGATCATAGCCGGCCTGTCTACGGCGGAAACCTTTCCTCCCTCTTTGCCAAGTCCATGCCCAAGGCTTCCCGGGCCACAACCTACCGCGAGTCTCCCAAGTCCAACATTGCTCGCACCCGCAAGTCTCCTCGACACTTGGAGCTCGGCGTTTCCGATTGGTCTCTGACCGGTACTGGGCCTTCTTCGTCTCAGACTCCATCCAAGGAGCGTCTGCGGAAAGACGTCTCCACTCGGACAAGGTCCGGAAAGACCACCGTCCGTATTGCACACAACGCTGCGGATCGGTTCATCCCCAACCGTGCTGCAAGCGAAGGACTGGCCACGGCGGGTACAGCTAAGCCCGAAGAGAGCCACAGGCCCAAGACGAGCGGCAACGAGGGTTCTTCTGTCCTTGCCAGCGCGGCCAGCGCGTTTGACATTGGGGGTCGAGGATCCGACGAGGATCTCACTGCAGCCCTTGAGAACCTTGGACTGGATGACACTGAGACATCTACAACTTCGTATACCAGACCGGCACCGGATGCAGTCGCTTATGAATCATCTCTGGCCGACGCATGTGGTGTGAACCTCAACACTCGTATCCTTGCCTTCAAGCCGCCACCCCCAGAGTCCTCCAAGCCCATCGATCTGAGAGCCCAGTATAACCGTCCCTTGAGGCCCTCTAAATCCAAGTCTGCTCAGTTCCGGCGGAGAGTTCAGACGGCTCCTGAGCGTGTTTTGGATGCGCCTGGATTGCTTGACGACTACTACCTGAACCTTCTGGATTGGAGCTCTGGCAACCAGGTCGCCATCGGTCTGGAGCGCAATGTTTACGTCTGGTCTGCCGATTCGGGATCCGTGGACTGCTTGCTGGAAACGTCTCCGGATACGTACGTGAGCAGTGTCAAATGGAGTGGCGACGGGGCCTATGTCGGCGTTGGGCTTGGAACCGGCGAAGTGCAAATCTGGGATGTCGAAGAGGGCACCAAGCTTCGAAGCATGTTTGGCCATGACTCGCGCGTTGGTGTTATGGGATGGTCCAAGCACACATTGTCCACCGGTGCCCGGAGCGGTCTGGTGTTTAACCACGATGTACGCGTCGCCCAACACAAAGTGGCAGAGCTTGTTTCCCACACCTCGGAGGTCTGCGGTCTGGAGTGGAGGCCCGACGGCGCCCAGCTGGCCACCGGTGGCAACGACAACCTGGTGAACATCTGGGATGCGCGGTCGCTCAGCGCACCCAAGTTTACCAAGACCAACCACCGTGCCGCGGTCAAAGCTCTCAGCTGGTGCCCCTGGCAACTGAACCTGCTCGCCACCGGCGGTGGCTCGTACGATCGTCACATTCACTTCTGGAACACGACGACCGGTGCGCGGACCAACAGCATTGACACCGGATCTCAAGTGACTAGCTTGCGGTGGAGCAACCACTACCGCGAGATCGTCAGCTCCAGTGGATTCCCCGACAACTCTCTGAGTATCTGGAGCTACCCGACCCTGGTGCGCAACGTTGAGATCCCTGCGCACGAGACTCGTGTTCTGCACAGCTGTCTGAGCCCCGACGGTCAGCTTCTGGCCACCGCCGCGGCCGACGAGAGCTTGAAATTCTGGAAGGTCTTTGAGCGCAAGGCCGGAACCAGTGCCTCCGCCTCTCGCGAGGGTGGTGTTGGCAGCAAAGCCCAGATGACCAAGTCGATGACCATCCGGTAGACGACGGGTTGCCGGGAATGGAGGGAGTTTCTTGTATTCTTTTTTACTTTCGGGGTTTTTAATAGTTGGATATCACGGGATGGGAGTTTTTTTTTTGGGTCATTTCACTATTTGGCAGGGTGTTTGCAGGAGGACAGGGCGTTTGTATTTAGAGTGATAGCAGTATCTGGGAGAGGATGCTTGTACAGAATCATAATCATATGGATGCGTGTATATTCTGTTTCCTCAGCAGACTGAGATAAGCTCCCGATGGCGCTAGCAAAATGCGGGTGGTGACTAAGCCGCCCGTAGAGGACGGATTTCGCCCGCGGAGAGCGACTTTCACCTCAACCAATTCCCTCTGGCAGCTTCATTCGCCTCTTGGCCTCTCGCGTTGCCCCCGGTTTCTCCTTCATTTTGTGACAATTTGGCACCTTCGAACTCTTGCCCTTGCTCTGATTGCTGCAGGAGTTTCTGTCCATAACATCAGCCTCACCTCAGGTGACTCCGCAGCCCGTCGCAATTCGCCCGTGGCAACCGACCGCTGCGACAGACGATCTTCCCTTGGGATCACCATCTCTTCGACTGAACAGGTTCTTTCCTTTAGATTCCTGTTGCCTTTGCAAATAGAACACAGTTTTTTACACTCCCTTGCCTATTGCGCTCTCCGACAAGAATTCACTACGAGTCCTTGTCCATAGCAACCATGTCAAACCAGCAGGTGGTAAGTGCTTCCTCGAGTAGCTAGCTAGCTCTCTGGTTGGTCTGAACTGGGGATCCCTTTTCTTTTTTCTTTTCCTTTTTTTGCTTGCCTTATGTACTTTTTCATAAGGCGTTCTCTTGTTGAGGTTTCCCTACCTGTTTGCTCATGTTTGGAAACTCCCTTCATTCGACCCTCTTATGTGAGGAAGTTGGCTCACTTCCAGTGAATCACAGGGCACGGTGTTCGATCGCGTCATCCAGGAAGTGTGCGATGCTTCTCAAGTGGATTTCGAGGAAAGCGGAGTGGACCAGCAAACGCTGCTAGACTTGCGCAACGTGAGTGCATGGAACGGGGGGTCTCTGGCATCCAGTCTCTCCCTGGGCCCCGGCGGGGTCTGAGAGTTGCGGAAGGCGGCAAGCGCCTCGGGGGGAAGCGCCTGCTTTTGAGTCTCTTTTATATCCGGCCGCCTTTACCCGCTCCTTAGTCTCCCGCCAAGCCTGCCCTCCCCCCTCCTGTTATGCTCTTCCCTATACTGACCTGACTCGCCCTCAGAGCTGGCAGAAAAAGCTGTCGTCCCTCGGGGTCGCTCATTTCCCCTGGGATCCTACTCCACCCCAGCCTGCTCCTGCTCAGCCTCAGAGCCAAATTCCCCCTCCCACCACGACCGTCCCTTCTAATGCTCCTCGACCTGCTCCCTCCCCTCAGACCCAACAGCCGCAGCCACAACAGCACCAACAGCCGCCCCCGCTGCAACAACAACAATATGTCCAACCTCAACAGCCGATGCCGCAGTCCATGCCGGGAACGGCTCCGCCGATGCAAGCCCCTACTCCCGTCGGAGTGCCCCCCGGTGGGATGACCCAGGCGCCTCAGATTAAGACCGAACCCGGCGTCGCTGCTCCGCCCAACTTGCCTCCGATGAACAATATGGTCCCGGCCAACTCTCCCAACCCGCAGTCAGCTCGCGAACGTGCGGCCAACATGCTGCATCAGAGATTCGGCGCCGCTGCTGCCAACTCGGTCAGTCAGTTGCAGGCTCAGTCGCAGCATGGCCTGGGTCTCCCCGGTCAGCCCCGTCCCCAAGGCATGCCACCGGTATCAAATGGCCAGGGACCGCAGATCAAGCAGGAGCCAGGATATCCTCCTATGCCCCAGCCGCCTATGAACAATTCTCAGACGGATGGTTCCGGCGACGACGCCCTTTCCGACTGGAAGGCTGAGGTCGCACGCCGACGAGAGGCTGCCGAGCGCCAGGGTGGCGCAGGCGATAGAATTCTTCGAGACCATATCAAAGCAAGCATGCTTCGGTTGGAAGGAGGTGGACTCATGTTGCCTCTGGAGGAGCAGCAAAACGCGCCCAAAGCATCTGCACGTGCAGTTGCATCTGCTTCAAGTGTAGACCTACCCGTCGGTTCTACTCCCACCCCGACTTCGTCCGACGAAGTATCGCCATCCGCCTCCAAGGCTCCTCGGCCTCAATTCGACGGTCCCGGAGGTGATGACGAAAAGGAAGAAGACGACGAAGATGCCATCAACTCTGATTTGGACGATCCTGACGACCTTGTCGCCGAAGACCATGATGCGGAAGACTCTGTGGGTCAAGTCATGCTTTGTACATATGACAAGGTCCAGCGGGTCAAGAACAAGTGGAAGTGCACTTTGAAGGACGGCATTTTGACGACAGGAGGTAAAGAGTAAGTGTCTCACCTACCCCTCTCTCAAGTGGAGCTTCTATTAACCTTCAATAGATATGTGTTTCACAAGGGCCAAGGTGAATTTGAATGGTAAATGGCTCGTACTTTACCGATCATTGTTTCAACATAAATTTGAATTCTTCATCTCCCATCTGTCCTTTTCTTTTCTTTCTCATTAACCCCTGTTCTCATCATTTTTGAAAACTTTCCCAATATCCCTTTTTCACATTTTCTCACGTCCTTGAGTAAGACATGAAGAAAAGAAGACAGCCCTGTCGATTTGTGTCATGTGCACCTCGTCAGCGAGGATTTTCGACTTGGACGCTCGCCTCTTTTCTTTTCTTGTTTAACGCTTTCCATTCCCATTTGCCGCAGTATACTCTATCTACCAACGACTTTTTTGTCTCATGAAGTATGCCAGGATGTCTACGCCGCCCGGACTTTGATTATCTCCATGTTACCTTGCCACTTTGGATGCACAATGGCGCTTATGCAGGTGGACGTTTTTTACTTCTTTTCTGCTTGCTTCTATCTTTTTTCTTTATTCCAGTGTACTAGAATAATCAAATGAATGAAACTGGAGTTATGCTTTTGGTACTAGATTTTAGAAATAGACTGATATCAGCGTACTTAGTAAGTAGCCTTGCTGGAGCAATACAGTAAGACCCGACCGCCGACGTCCCACTGTTTTCTTGTCAACATAGCAGTGGAATTAGTTCCAACTATCAGTGGTTTTCCCAATAAAACTAGTAACCCCGGGAGAATATAACGGTATCAACTTGCGCAGACAGAGTTCATGCCTCAATCCAGGCACGGCTATATATCTTAACGGCGTCTACTACACCAAAACCAATACACAAAGCGATTTAATAATATATTGTCCAAACTTTTTCTTTTCCACTATAAAACAAAGCTGAAGCCATGGGAATCAAACTAAACCAAATCTATGAGCAAAGTCAAAGTATGTGCAGCAACCGCAACTCCAGAAGTCTCCGAAAAACACCACGGACAATAATCGATAAGCAAGGAGTAAGAAGAGGGGAAAAAAGAGAAGGGAAGAAAAAGACAAAGCAAAGCAAAGTTAAAAGCAAAAAAAAAAGGGAGTCAAAGAGAAAAGCCTGTAGAACATCTATCTGCAGGACGCCGGGAGTTCGCCGTGTTCCAAGTCTCAGTTCTTGCACGCTGCAGCAAAAAGTCCTGTTTGCAACAAACCCAATCATATCCAACCTGACCGAGTCCCAACAGTTGATTTTGTACTTTTGATCCCCATACTATCCAAACTTTGCCCGTGCTGGTGTTCTCGGGCTGCACTTCGAACAGAGCACACACGTCATAAAGATATGCATTATGGAATGGAAAAGGCGGAACACTCAGAACCATGACACGTGCATCCAAGACTCAAGCAGAAGCAATCCAATGAAAAGAGAAGAACTCCGCGATGACGGAAAAAAAGAAACAAACACTCGTATCGACAAGGTATAGCGAGTTCATAGACAACAAGTCATTTGGCGTCTCCAAGATCTTAGAAAGGACCGATCTATTACCAGACCAACGCACCCGGGTCTTTGATAGGACGTTCATACCGAATTTAACTCCAAGCCACCAAACCGGTTCATTAATCGTATGTCGCGACGAGGCCGTTAACAAAAAGAGATATCGTCGAATCGAATTATGTTGGGGAGAAAATATAAACAGTTCTTCCTCGGGTTGGACAGGGGCTGTCTATAGAAGCCCTTCCTCACCAATGCCAGGTAGGCCAGCTCCGGCGACGTTGATATTCTGACCCTGCATAACGCCTCCACCAAACAGGTTGCGACCAGCGGCAATTTGGAATTCGGGATTACAGGGCGGAGAGTGCGATTTGTGGTACTTGAGGCCATTCAAGTTCTTGTAGCGTTTGCCACACACTTCGCAGCGGTAGGGCTTTTCTTTCTCCATGCCGAGGGTGCCAGGATATGGAGCCGATGTTTCCGGGTTGACAATCGAGAAAGTGCCGTCTGCGTTATCATGTAGTTGCTGGTTGTTGTGGCCGTGCTGAGAGGAATGGTTAGTTTGGGAAGCACGAGTGTGGATCGCGGATCTACTTACAGCCTTGTGATATTTCAAGCCATTTTGGTTCTTGTATGCCTTTTCGCATCCAATCACAGGGCACCTGAAAGGCTTCGGTTCTTCGTTGGGGAGCAACGCGGTGGTGTCGGGAACACCGGCAAGCAGCTGCTGCTCGCGGATCCGGCGCGCAATTTCACTGTTAGGACCGTACTGCGCCCCACTAAGTTTGAAGTGGGCGTTGGGAGAGTTGAGTCCTCCAGTGGGACTGAACAGACGTTTCGCAGGTTCGTCAATACAGAGATCGACCATGTCATTGTTGCCGGTGAACCTGGCAAACTGCGACTGGCCCTGCATCATGGGGTTGTTTTGCATGGACATGTCGCCAAACGGACTGATCATGCTATCTTCGAGCTCTGCCGGGGTTCCCGGAGCGGACGAATCTGGCGTGGTTCGAAATTGGGAGTTCTGCAGAGGATTTGCCATCAACGTTGGCGTATTTACGGAGGAAACGGTGGGGTTGTTCTGCAAAGACAGGGGGCGCCCAGAAGCCACCGGTGTCCCGGGCTGAGAGCCCTTGAAGCCTTGATGACTCGGTAGCATCGACAAATTTAGATGGGGCACTCTCTGGTTGGAACTGCCAAACCCTCCTTGGCTGTTATCTTGCGACGGTGGCGAGAACAAATGGGAGGACGTGGGGTCGCCATCGCCCATCGGCTCATCTAATTCCATGTCGTCGATGGTGTCCATGTCCGAATGAGGCTGGATGGTTTGGTTCTGGCTTAATTTTCGCTGCATGTCGAGAGTCCTGTCAGGCTGAAGCCCGCGGTTCTGGTTCTGGTTCTGCTGGCTGTGCTGTTGCGCGATCGCAGCTGCAGCCAACGCAGCGCGGCCATCGGCTTGACTAGGGCGATGTCCTCCCTGCTGGGGAGATTTGGTAGCATGGGCTTCTTCGTAGTGCTGCAGAAGGTCGTGGAGAGTCGGCAAAGTCACATTACAACACTGGAAGTCGCGCATGAAGTTTGCTTCTAGTTTCGGTAGGTAGGAGGACGAATGAAACGAAGGCGATTGAATATGGAACGGAGAAGTACCGGTCATAAGAATACTGGAAGTGTTGAATCGTCAGTTTCCACAGCATGACTCGCGCATTCGAGACCTCTCATCTCCGATGGAAATGGCGGGAAAATTTCATAAATGGCACAGAAGACAGGATAACTTACTCATCGCGTATCCAGCTGCCAACGGACACGCCGCCCCAGCTCATCCCCCCGACCAAGCTTCCCGCCAGAGACTCGCGGCGCTGTTTATCGCGGCTGGAGCCGGATACAGAGATCGGTTTCGTACCGTTTCCCCAGTGTGCAGAGGCTGTCCCGACGGAGTCTTTTCGAGGAGGGGGAGCTTTAAACATGCTCAGTCCGATGCCGTTGGCATGGGACAGACTGCCCGTGCGTTCGCCATTGCCGGCTCTTTGCAAAGCAGAGGTGAGGTTCGATGCCTGCTGTCCCGGGGGCGAGACGGAGCTCTGGCGGGTGGCGATGTCAATCGGAGCGGCTGCGCCGGTCATAGTGACAGAGATGAGATAGAAATATTGCTAGAAAGAGGGAAAAGGACAGTCGTAATATCCGGAGCAGTGAAGGTGCGAGATGCGAGGATCGACGGCCGGCGAAGGAGTTCAGTCTCAAGGTGGAATTCGAGGCCACAGAGCGACTCAAGAACGATTTCCCTGTCCGGTCTGCGCAAGTGTACGCCAGACCCGAGAGGAGCGGTTACGGGATGGTCGGAAACCCAGCCAAACGCGCGAGTTGAATCACGGATCAAAGGATGAAGGAGAGAAACGAGAGCTTCAGCGTCACTTCGGACGACTCGGGCATGAAGAAGGGAATCCTCGACGGATGGTTTTGGGCGGGATCACACAGGGGAGTGTCCACCCTCGGATGTTGTCCCGCTTTGGACTGCGGAAACGTGACGGATTCGGGCAAGGTGGCGGCACGTAACAATATGATGCCGATCAGCTCTCCAAGCGACGTGAGGAATGAACGACACCGGATGGGAAGCTCGAAGTGCCGGAGAAAGAGTTGGACTTGGATCCAACGAGATGGAAGCGCAAGGGAAGGACGACTTCGCGAGGAGGTGGGAGGAAAGAGGATGAGGCAACTGGCGGAAGGTGATGGTAATTAACCTGCGGACAACCGCCGGCTGCAGGTGTAATACACGCGTAATACGGGCCTAATACCGCCGAGAGCGACCGTGCAATTTCCTACAGTACGAGGACTGTACAGTACATTACCTACCTTACGTGCGCCGTACGTAACGGATTACTCGACGGAGCCGCCGACCGAGGATTCTCCTGTCGCCTGAAACTCTTGCTACCTCCCTCGTTGTTATTCACTAGTATTGACTGTTCAGTCACCTGGAGAGCCCCTCTCATTTTACCTTCGGATGGAATGTCTTAGGGATGATCCATGGGAAATCCGAGCCGTGAACTACAGGCGACTGTGCAGTTGGTGGGACCGTTAGAGCCGGTGGATTTGACACCGCTTGCAGGCTAGCGGCCTCACTAGTGTTTCTTCGCAGAGTCGATGATGATTCAATATTTCAGGAGCGTCATTGCATCTTACCGTACGCCTGTACAGAGTACGGTCATCGTGTTATCAACGCCCAGAAGTTGGCCGTCGCTCCTCCTGCGTTGTCCTTGCAACGCTGGCTCCCTCCGCGATGATTTGCCAACCCCGTCTGACTCGATCGATGACTCGACCGTATACTTTGGACGTGGTACGGCATGTCCTTCCTCCTTCGTTTCGGCTTTTACAGCCGATGGAGGGGATGACGGAAAGGAGTGTGCCATCCATGGTTCTCCTGGGCTCTTACTGCTTCTGACTATTGCCCGGCATTCGTCACCATTTCGCCGGACTGTACGGGGTATATGATTCTGATCTGAGGGCTCATGGAAAAGGGGCCGACCGATCGTCGCCCACGGGACTATATTCACCGTCCTAGATAGATCTGAGATGCACTGTTGTCACCCCAAAAGGCTTCCCCACACGGTCCCAAAAATGAGTGTACCCCGTACCGCCGTTAAGCTCAATCTTCAGCCACTCCAGAATGACCGGAAGATGAAAACTACTACTCCGTACTGTGCAAGTGCATGCGTGCAGAGCCCCCTGCGTGTGGAAACGCTATGGTTTGGGACGATGGATTTGGCTCCCCAATCGTTCATGGAAAGTTGGGGCCAGGGTCTCGGAGCGTTTAATATTGCCCTAACTGTACGGATCTAAATCCAATGTCACGATCAGGGGCCATCTCGCTATCTATCTTTGCGATGGGGGCCAAAGTAGTAGCGTCTATCCGGATCGTCCCCGCCACTCTCCAACTCCCCCCCATTCCAAATGACATCAATCGGTCGAGGGGAAGTTGTTCGGGGGAATCCAGGAGTCAGGCAATCAGACACGACCAAGTCAAACACAAATTGGCGGTCTGTCCAAAAGTACGGAGACAACGGCGTCCAGGGGAGTCAGCGCTATGATTCCGGCGCTAGCCCAAGCAACTTGCGTCGCGTCCGTTGGGTGGTATTGGATAGATTTCACGGAAGTAGTTGATACTAATTTCGAGTCGGAGTTCAGTTGGCTCGAGTGCTGTTGTGATAAGACGCAAGTTTCCCCCAATTTTGGACCAGACAGAAACGATCATCCCCCGCCCATTCGAAGACCGATCGATACTAGAGTCGGGACCAACACAGCCTCCCTCGCTCTCTCCAATGACATGACAATGACGCCGGAATGCACCGTGTCTTGGCTTCGACGCTAGAAACACGGCAGAAGGATTCCTCGAGGTAGCACGGAATATGATAGCGTACTGTGATACACCGCTCTATCCGCTCGAAAAAACAAAATTTAAAAAAAAAGGTGGAATGCCAGGGCTCGCATGATCAATAGTCAGGAATACTGTGCACGAGGTGATACTCCGATGCTCTCCTTACCTATCCACCGAATAATGAAGTATTCGCGCCGACGAGGATCGAGTAACTACTAATTACAGTAGGGAACTGATTTGTTCCGTGTTTTAGTCATAGGTTCACATTGAAAACTCGCCACTTCTGGAACTGCGCTTTGCTTTATATTACGCAGTAACCTTAATGGGCGATAGACGATGGACCTGCCTCGACGGAGCAGTCTCAAGCGTCATGACCGAAAGTTGACGCATCCTCGGCTCGTTGTAAGCGACCCTAATTCGGAACACCGCCGATCTCCATTGTCCGCCTTGCCACGGCGGTTCGACGTGACAAAAATATCGGTACCCCGAATTTGACAGCTAGCCATCCATCAGGCACACCTTGAGCTATCTACTATGTATCTCTCCCCGAGCTTGATTGTGGAGATAATGATGTATCCCGGGAAACCGCCCAGTTCCGAGTGATGGAAACCCAAGACTGGAGAGATCCGAACGAAGCATATGAGTATGGTGCAACCCCACCATGTATACCCGTACACACAGACAGCCCTAAAGTGATATACTCTGTACTCGGGGTGCTCTTAATGGCATGACCGGCAGTCGCATGTCCTCATTCCGACACGATGGAGCGACTTGCCATCCCTCACAGCCGAGTCCGCGGATCACAAAACGCCACCTGTGCTTTTGTTCCTTACATGTGGGTTCGTCGCCATCTGATGTGAAGGTGCAGACGCGGAAGAATGCTGACGAGGTGGATCTCGGGCCCATTCACCTGAACCTCTGCAGACTGCCGTACGCAGCGTTGTGTCGCACTGCTGCGTACGATCCGCAATGCGCAGTCGTACCTCTCCGGTGGGGGATGCATCACACCTGCTGGGGAAGTTGTACGGCGTAGAGGATCTGTCTACTTCTCTTCAGGCGATGGACGCAGGCGCGTCGCTCTGTCTTGTGATCCTTGTGCCAAGATGCAATTGAGTTGCGAGCTCTGTTGCTATTGGCTTTTTGTTCCCCTGATCGACAAACACAAAAAGAAAAAAAGAAAAGAAAAGAAACGATGCATTCTGATCGGAGGTCACCTTCTGTCTACTTTCTTTTTGACCAGCGACATACTACGGAGTACACCGTAGTCCGTACATACAGAGGTGGGCTGGATGCAATCAATCCCGATGCATCCCACCGCTCATGGCTTTCTAATTTCTACCGTTGCAGAAAGGGGTAAAGCCGCAAGGACTGGATCAGATGGTGGGCTGAGTGGAGCAGTCCACGGGGGGGGCAGCAGCGATCTAAAACCGTAGAACGAGCAGCATGGAAGTCGAGGCGAAACGAGAGGCTGGTAAGGCTATTTGCAGCTGCGGTCTTCTAGAAAAATGGGCGAAATTGACGAAAGAAAAGGCGTGGCTGGCAAAAGAAGGTTCATTTTCGGTGGGCTTCGATCCACCCCGTAATATTACCCCGTTGTGTACGGTAAGTGGGATGCGCCTGCCGTACCGCGTATGCCGCCGTGGTATTGCAGGCCGTACGGTAACTTTCGCACGGAAAGCGACTTTCGGCGACATCATCACGTCCGCACCGCCACTCACTGCTGCCTGACCGCCTTGGTGCGCCACACGGGGTCCCCGCCACCCCTGCAATGCAAAGCATGCAAACCGCGGCGTCTCTCCGCTTTGGGTGGGCTGCGTCTCAAATTTTTTGGCGGCAGATCGATCGCTGCAAGTCGGACCACGACAGGGACTGGGCATTGGTTTACCTTCTCTCTCGCATCCGTTACCTTGGACCTCCATTCCATTAGGCCATTGGTTTCTCTTACTAAAACAGTGGCACTGACAATGGACTCAACCGACGCCCAGGCGCAGCCGCCGCATGCAGAAAACCCACCCACTGCGCCTATCCCCGAACAGCAGAACGGCGCATCGGCCGCAGAGGGCACCGAGGGCCCCCCTTCGAAGAAAGCCAAGCTGGACGAACCTGCGACCTCCAATGAGGAGAACGCAAATGCTGGCCCTCGGCGTTTGAAGGGAATCGCCGCCATTAAGCCAGAGTACGTGTGCATTCAAGTCTGCATACAATTGGCGTGGAGACATCACAGACTAACTTTGGACCAGGTTCCTCGTGCAGCAACTCCCCAACCGCAGACCCGAACCCGAGCAGAACCCGGATGACGCCGCGGAGGCCGCCGGCCACGACGATCGCGACGGCGGAAACAACGACAAGCAAGACAAGAAAGATAAGAAGGAAAAGAAGAAGAAGAACAGCGGCGCAAACAAGGCACGCTCGTTTGGAAAGTCGCAGGATGCGAAGTCCCTCTGCCCAAGCAGGACCTTTGCGCCGGAGTTCTCCCCGGGCGCCTGCAACTGGGGTGACAAGTGCCGCCACGAACATGATCTACGGACGTACCTGAAGGAACACAAGCGCGAGGACCTGACCACCTTCAACGGTCTCTGTCCTGTCTGGGATGCCAGGGGCAAGTGTCCTGCCGGGTGGAAGTGCCGTCTTGTTGGCTCCCACATGGTGGAACGCGAGACCGAGGATGGGAAGAAGGAACTGGTGCTGACCGAGGATGAGGAGCGCAAGAAGAAGGCGCAGCCAATGGTCCCTTGTGCGACGGAAGATGGCAGCGTGAATGTGGTTTCGGCGGAAGATAAATACGGGCTCGCCAGGAAGAAGACTACGCTGCCCCGGGCCGAAGCGGTTAACAACTGGCTTGAAAAGAGCGGCAAGGAGTTGGAAAAGAGTATACACGGCCGACACCAAGACGGGGACGCGAAGCCCGAGAACGAGGGCGAGGAGAAGGAACAGAGGGAAGAAAACCGGGCTCGTTATGTCGAGCCGCCGTTTTTGCCATCGGAGAAGCGACGGCTATACTTTGGACCCGAGACCCCGGCTTTGGCGCCTTTGACCACTCAGGGAAACCTCCCCTTCCGGAGACTGTGCACGGAGCTCGGCGCTCAGTTTACCTACTCCGAGATGGCCATGAGCATGCCCTTGATCCAAGGCCACAAATCAGAATGGGCTTTGCTGAGAGCCCATCAAACTGAGATACTTCCCCCGACGGTCTCCATGAAGGACAACGTTGTCCAGGGCTACGACAACTCGAAAGATATGAAGTTCGGTGCTCAGATTGCGGCAAACAAGCCGTGGCAAGCGCTGAAGGCCACCGAGGTTCTGTCCCGCTACACACCTAACCTGCGTGTCATCGATTTGAATTGTGGCTGCCCGATTGATCTTGTATTCCGTGAAGGAGCCGGGTCTGCTCTTTTGGAACATCCGGCGAAGTTGGAGAAAATCGTGCGCGGCATGAATGCAGTTTCGGAAGAGATCCCAATCACTGTCAAGATCCGCATGGGAACCCGGGACAATGCGCCGAACGCCACGAAGTTGGCAGAGCGTATGATTCTGGGTGGTTACGAGTATTCCCTGATTAACGCTGGTCCTCCCGGTGCCGCGGCTATCACTCTCCATGGACGAAGCCGACAGCAAAGATACACCAGATCCGCCGACTGGGGCTACATTGCCGAATGCGCTGCCCTCATCAAGCGCTTGAATGAGCAGACTGCCGACGTTACGGACACCATCCGCGAGCCCGAGGCACGGTCGCAGCCCAACGGCGGAAAGACATTCTTCCTCGGAAATGGCGATTGCTACTCCCACGTTGATTACGATGAACATATCAATAACTCCGGCGTTGACAGCGTCATGATCGGCCGAGGAGCTCTGATCAAGCCCTGGATTTTCGAGGAGATCCAGGCGGGTCAGTACCTGGACAAATCTGCGTCTGAGCGTCTGGCGATGGTCGAGAAATTCGCCAAGTACGGACTGGAGGCATGGGGATCTGATGAATATGGCGTTGGCATCACCCGACGCTTCCTGCTCGAATGGCTCAGCTTCACGTATCGCTACGTGCCGATCGGAATCCTTGAATATCTCCCCCCTAACATCCAGGATCGGCCGCCAATTTGGAAGGGCCGTAACGACTTGGAGACTCTTATGGGCAGTCCCAACTACAAGGACTGGATCAAAATTACGTAAGTTGCCTTCCCCTGGGCTGCTAGCCTGCACTATCACTAGGTATACATCGAATGCTGACGGATTGATCAACAGGGAAATGTTCCTTGGTCCCGCTCACAAGGACTTCAAGTTCGAGCCGAAGCACAAGTCCAACTCGTACGACGAAGCGGAAGGATAGAATGGTCATGAAAATTAGAAGTCAGATAGACATGAAACATGAATGTACATGCACGTTACGATCCAGCCCTGGATCTCTGGAAAGTAGACCGTAGAAAGCGATTGCCTAGGCTCGGTCTCGGCACGTGGTTCGCGCCTCGAATCCAAGGCAGCGCAGTCACGTGCCGTGTTCCCAGCTTCAGGCGGTGATGACGTCTTCCTCACAGCCGAAACTGCAAAAAGACCACCTCGTCTCCGCTGGACTCGCTCCGACGCCCCTGATCTCATTCCTACCCGGACTTCATCCGAATTTTGCTTCGAAGGCTCTTGGGTATAAATCCTGAGCTGGTTTTAATCTCACTGGACCCCTGGACGCCATCCCTGGCACACATCGACCTTTGTTTACATTTTCAATCCCTTTTCCCCCCTCCCCACAACACCCTTGACCGGTAGCTCAAGGGCTTCACAATCAATTCTCTCTTGTTCAAAGCAGTATTTCTTTCAATATTCTAGGCACAATGACTCTATACTACAGTCTTGTATGTTTATCCCCCTTGTTGGTACCCTCAATCTGTCTCGTTGATCTTCGCCGATGCTCTCTGCACCTGGCAGTTCCGACAATTAACGCATGACGCAATTCATCAAAACAACATCGTTCGGCATATCAGAATCCTTTTTCTAACTTAGTGTCTATAGGTATTCTGCCTCTTGGTGTTTGAGATGGCTGTCTTCATGGGCCTCATTGTCCCTATGCCGTTCGTCGTTAAGCGGAAACTGTTTGCTTTCATTTCGGAGAGCCCGGTTGTAGCGAAGCTTCAGTATGGTTTGAAGGTAAGCTTCTACATATGGTCTATCCTTTGGCTACTTAAGATATGCTGACAACCTTTCAAGATCACCTTTATCTTCATCCTTATCCTCTTCATTGACAGCGTCAACCGAGTGTACCGTGTGCAGCTCGAGCTGGCTGCTTTCCACAAGGATGGTAGCCATATGGGGTGAGTTTCCATTATCCCAAACCCTTGTTTACTACGATCTTGCTTGTGTGTGTTTCTATATGGGTACAGTCTGCTAATGTCAATTCGTAACCGCTAGAGCCGCCGCCCTCGGCACCGACCGCATGGAAGTGCAGGCCCGGAAATTCTACTCCCAGCGCAACATGTACCTCTGCGGCTTCACTCTCTTCCTGTCTCTCATCCTCAACCGCACTTACAGCATGATCCTGGACGTCCTCCGCCTGGAAGACCGCGTCAAGCTCCTAGAGGGTGACAAGAAGGCCGGCGGCAAGGACTCCGCCCGTGTCGCGGAGGCCGGTGATGTCGGCGAGATTGGCCGTCTGAAGGAAGAACTCGCGGCCAAGGACCGTGACATCGAGACCCTCAAGAAGCAAGCCGAGGGTCTTACCCGTGAATACCACTCCCTGGGCGACAAGGTCTCTGGCGAAAAGGAGGAAGGCGCCAAGAAGGACCTATAGACCTGTTTCTTGCTTTTGGGCGGAGTTAGGTCCGATTTGTTCTGGTCGATTGATTGCTTTGTCCGCTCCACCGATGGACACATAAATTGGTCTGGAATGATGAGTTAGTGGAGAGCCGATCCTATCCCGGTGGGTAGGGCTGATGGCTTGTTGTCATCACGAGTTCGGGCATTTATTTGAATGTTTCTTAACTTGTTTTGTGATTTCCGCAGCAGCAGTAGCGTTACTTGTGGAAGACTTGTTTTAAAACTGCTAAATGTTGATAGCCTTTAATGATGGTTTATCAAAGTATTGTTTTCTAGTACAGGTTTTCTCTTAAGTGTAGATGTGTTTTCTGTTGACTTGGATACTCATGGGAGCTGCATATCTCTGAACTGCATAGTAAATATGATATGTCACGTACATTTTTACCTCGACAACATCCGTAGGCTATTTAATGCTTGAGAATAAGCTTAATCAAGCTTATTTATATAAAACATTGTAATATACTTAGTCTTCATAGGCTCTAGATAAAGGATTCTCAAGGTACTCTGTTGCATTGTGAGTAGTTTACATTTTTTATAAATCCGGTAAGATCTTCATAAGTATACTGAATTATACAAACTGTAATGCCTATTGACCTACACTTGGGGAGATATAAAAATTATAAAAATGCTATTTAGTATAAACTTCGAGGCGTGCAGCTGGCATATGAGATATATTGACGTAACCAAACAAACGCCATGAACAATCAACATAGCCTTTTCAAGCCTGTGATGAAATTACCTGGAGAATGAAGTTTTACTAAGAGATATATTGGAAATAGTACATTGACTTAAAGAAACCTCCATGAGTAGAAGGTACTCACCTAACTGCTAATACCCTCAGTCACATCCAATCTTCAAAGACATAATCATTTTTATTCGATTCACTCAGAGACAGCTACCTACCAACTCCGACCAGCATCACCACCAACTCAACTCACCTCAACTCCTACCACCAAAGCCCCAAACTCCCCTAGACAAGCCCAGCCCAACCAAACCTAAGCAACAACTTGCGCCCCCATTTTCCACGAACTACCATCAAACACCCTGGTCCAGACACTCCCCGGATGCTCAAGGGGCTTGTGGAACAGATACACTTTGCCCGAGACAGAAATAGAATCCAGCTTCGTGCCGGGATAGAACTTCGCAACCTCGGTGGACTTGTCGTGGTCGTAGCACATGATCATGAGCGGGGTGCTCTTGGACACGTAGAAGATGTACGGCTTGTCTTCGTTGGAGGAAGTAGCGGTCGAGAGAGGGGTGTTGATCTCGACTTTGTCGTTGGTCAGGAGTTGTTTGTGGTCTATAGTATCGTGGGGTTGGGTTTGTTAGTTTGGAATGGGATTGTTCTAGTGGTCTGGGTTAGGGTGGATGGGGAGGCATACCGTTCCAGCTGTCATAGCCACCGATGTACTCGGTGATGTTACCGTCGTGGTCTTGGAAGTAGAGTTGGTTGGTTGGATTGGTTAGGTTGGTGGCTAGCTGAGTGCCAGGGAGGGCGCTGGCGGAATTCTCAGGAAGGATGACCTGGTAGGTCCATTTGAAGCTGCTCTGCGAGCCGCTGCGGAGCTCGGCGACCTGGGGATTGCCGGATTCGGAGTCCAGTCTGGATGTTTGTAAGTGGTGAATGTCTCAAATGGGAGAGTGGGAGGGTTGGGACAAACTTCTCGAAGAAGATCCACTGGTGGGCGCCAGAAGAACTGTCGTGACAAACTCCACTGGCAAGACGAGAGGTCTGGATGGGTGCCTTCTTGATATCATCCGAGAGGTCACGTTCCTCCCACTTTGTGTTGTCAATGGGGGTTTTGACCACCTCGTGCAGGATCCCAGAGGCATCAAGGTAAACGACGTGGATCTAGCACATTCAAATTAGTCTGGTATCTGCGAAAGTCATGGGAAGGATATGCTACCGAGGACTTGAATCCTGCGGTACCGTCGTTCTTGACGTAGTAGGCCGTGATTGGAGAGCCACCGGCATTGAGCTTGGTAGCGACAGCGCTGGAAGTCTCGGTCCATTTGGATCCGTCGGAGGATGTCACTTCACGAATCTCGTTGGCATCGTTCTGGTAGTAGACATAGATGGTAGAGCCATCAGAGACAACAGCGAGATCACTGGTGACAATGGCGCCCATGGTGAATGATTGCGTGGTGGATGTTGAGAATATGAAGAAGATTGGAGTTTTTGATGGTTTGGTTACCAGCAGGTAACAGCGAACTATTTATGTTCGTCCCAGGAGAGAAAAATCGCGTATACTGGCATCAAACCTGCAAAATGACGATGTCGCTCAGAGTCTCATAAAGCCATACGTACGTGGCGGCGTCATTTTTCGACATCATACCGAGCCAGCTACCAAAAACCAGAAAGACCTTACTGGGCAATCGGTGTCTTTGAGGTCATATGGGCAATTTGCCTGCATTTCGGCGCAGCTCCAAACGCATGAGGCAGCATTCCCCAGAAGGGCAGTCCATCATCGAATAATCTAGCTAGCCACTGCGGTTGGTATAGGAGCAAATAATACTCCGTAAATCGGCATTTCTTGGGCGTGTTGCGCGGGTGGCGTTGCTTGTTCAAATTCCTCCGTGGCCAAATATCACGAAGCAAACGGCGTGTGTTTGAGCACCTTGCTTCTTCAATCTGAGTATGGTCGTGGCGGTCTGGTTCACAAGATGATTCTCCGGATATCCCACTTTCAGTTGTACAGATACGTAATAGCTGAATGATAATCGGAGCCCGAAGCCCGTACTTCGAACCGACTGGCTGCTGGAATTGAGACATCAGCACCTTTGCGTATCCATTAAGTAGTTTTGAGCACATCAATATCTTAGTGGTCTTCGTCCAAGAAGGAAAACAGGCAAAAAAAAAAAAAAGAAAAAAAGGTACCGGCCTTCCCCTCTTCCTGTCGGAATACGTGGCGCTGCTGAGAACCCTGACCCTGACCGGATCTGCAAGCTGATGCAAAACATACCTTAGGGCCGATGGAGAAAGAGCGGGGTGACGACGGTTGAGGATGGATGCGAGAAGGTTGCTGGACTGGGATATCTGTGAAAGGTGGTTGTCTGGGCAAGGGTTTGTTCTGTCACCTGACCCTCAGTGTTTGGCTTGCCTCAGGCACTGGGGGTGATGGGGGAAGAGTAGATGGCATGAGACAAGACAGCTTCAAGGCCAAGGGAAAGGAAAATGCTGCTCATGCAATAGTGAGCCATCAGAATAAAAGCTGCAATGCTTTAAATGGAGATAAATGTCTAATATGATGTTTTATTAGGGTATAGATCACATGCAAGCATGTCCAAGAAAGGTCAAAATCCAGTTTACGCTGTCGATGGCTCGTTCCTTCGTGATGCCTAGATGAGAAATGTCCAGAAGCTTGGGAAAACAAGTTCTTCCTCGAAGATACGTCGCACCTGAGCCAGGACAAAGCGCTCAACCTTCCCGACATTCTTCAAGACTTGTTTCCCGTCTTCTTTGCGTCCGATTTCGCTCTCGACGCGAATTTCTCGCAGTAAACCCCCTTGGCGTTTGGGTGATGTGGATGGATCGGCCCCAGACCGGCTGTGGTCGCTCTGATCTCCTGTCTCCTGCTGGTCAGATCCTATCAAAGCATCGGCATCCTCGGCTGATAAGAAACAGAAGTGCACTCGTTTCCGAATGTAGGCGATGACTGCAACTCCGTCGAAAGTAAGGCCAGTGACGTTGAGTTTCAAAGGCAACCCCACAAAGCTAGGCATCGGATAATCAAGCAGAATCTCTGCAGTCAACGACAAACGGATATCGCCCGCGTACTTAGCGTGACACATAACCTGGAAATCTTCGGGTTTTCGCTCCCTCATTCGAGGAGGAAGACGAAGAGGATCGCCCTGTGCACCGTCATGCTGATCATCCCGATGCGATCCGTTCCCCTTTCCCATTGTACTGTCTCCGCTATTCCTTTGCGACCCAGACGGATGAGAGGGATGGGTACTCGACGTAGAGGGGCGCGAGGCCGGATTGCTAGAATCAATGTCGGCGTCCGGGCGCACGCGGGTCGGGGTAGACGGATGGTGAATATTTCCAGGTCGCATTCCAGGATCACCCCAGCCGCTCGCGAATGGAGTCCCGCCGGCGACCGCTGCAAGAGGGGTTTGTGTCCCCGACAGCCCGCCAATGGACATGAGGTGATAACCGAGTGTTGACGTTCCGCCAGGAATTCCAGGAGTTCCAGCTCGGGGAAGGAAATGAGGATTCAGGTGGTCGCTTAAAGGCATTGGTGATCGTAGGACCGAAGGTTGATAGTCATCATCGAATGGATCGCGTAGCGTGTGGTTCATGGTCAATTCGTCTCGAAATGAGGAGTCGTTGAGATCGGAATGACCATGCCATTGATTGCCGTGGTCGGAGACATACTCCTCGGACACCTCGGACGTCTCGTCATCTTCGTCCTCTTCGTAGAAATCGGCAAAGGGCTCGCAAAAGTCCTTGATCTCAAGATCGGGCGGAATGGTTCCGAAATCGAAAGAATGGACTTGAACAGATCGGATGAAACGTGGGAGGGCCACCTGCTGAAACCTATCGTGAATGAAAGAGCGGATGCGCTCCGCCAGCGCCTCACCGTCTGGACCAGAGGTGGCAGTCCCCCAGTTGACGTCAATGGACATTACATGTGCAACTGAAATATCTCGACGGGGGTGTGGAATTGGAATGCAGAAACAAAGCCGACGCGACGGGATGAAGCCGCAACGTCACTCTCTTGGCGGGGTCACGTGCGACCCGTGGTTGTCTCACATGACATCTACAGGAATTGACCCATGTGAGATCATACGGCGTACAACTATGGAACATACTGTATTGAATGGATTCCAAATCCGAGAATTACAAATGGCATGGCATGTTGTCTCTTCGAATCATAAGCCCCGTGACTGAGCCAAAAGTCTCAGATTGGCAAGCACAGCTGTGGTCTAGAATAGATTGTATTCAAAGACATGCTGCATTAACGCTGCCTCAGCCTTACAAGACAAGTCTTCGCAAGATTAGATTAGCCATGGCCAAAGCTCGGATGACCAGACAGGGCGCAGGGGTGATCCAGCGAATGATGTACCCATCTCGCAGCGTTTGGCCCCAAGCTCTAGTAAGCAGATGCTGTAACGACCAGCGAGTGAGATATGGGGTCGATAATGGGGCGGGTCTGCTCCTTGACGTAATACTCCATCCATTCTCTGTGGTGACAGATAGAATTGGTTGTTTCGCCAATTACAAATTATGGATAGCCTCGTCACGGAGAGATTGCCGGCTCCTGCATTCTCGGCGTCACCTCTTTGGCTGGAGATGCGAAACGATGAGTTGTACTTTGGTGGTGATTTATTGGTGCCCTATACAGAGGATCTCTCTATTTATTTGGTGACCGCAACTGATTGGTCATGATGTCATCAAGGTCGTTTCTTCAAAGGCGGCAGCGACGGAAACGGCATTATTCTTCGATCTCGCTGGGAAATTGTCATTGTCAGCTCTACTGTTCTCTCAACTGACACGGAAAGTGCAATCTTGTTGAATAAGTCCAAGATATCTTGACCAGCAGCCACCGTATTTGCTCCTCTGTCGCCGTGGCCCTGCTGGATCATTGTTTCTATTGAGTCTTTGCGGGGCTTAGCCCAGGATGGCGATGCGGCCAGGGATGCATTCTCTAGACAAGGCATTGTCGCATTCCTGCTGCGTGATCGAAGCCAAGTCAGTAAGCAAAACGGTCTGCATGGTAGCGCTGATCTATGATAACGGCAATCATGAAGGCTGAGTGATTTATTTTAGGCCCACGCAGAGAGACATGAAGAGCCCCAGAGCGAAGAAGCCGGAGCTGAAAGCCTGAGGCTGACGACGGGTCGCGCCTTCTCCATCCGGTCGGACGCCCCCACGTGACAGCCACGTGACTGTCACCAAACCACGCGGCATCGACGACACCTGACCAGGGCCTGGTCCCATCTGCTCAGGGCATCCCACAAGCCTCGAGTCGAAAAAAAAGGCATGAAAGGCGAGAGAGAGGTATCTCCAAGTGTTTCGGACGACCCGGGTTCGTCCACGATTGACACATTGGGGACCCCGTTTCCCCGGCAAACGGCGCTCACACCGCTTTAGGTTTACTGACCCAGCAGTCTGGGTCACCAAATATTCCGGCTCTGCGGCGGTCATTCTTTCGGGGATGGCACAGTTCTGCGGCACTGTGCGTAGGACGGCGCAATCACATCAGAGGTGCGCGGGCCAGCTGAGATGAATCATTTCGACATCCTTCTAGGGCCTTTTTTCCACTGTGCCACCATGTTTTCTCCCGCGAGAATACTTTCCAAGGGTTCTATCTCATGTCATGCTATTCTAGCAGCCAACACTTTGCGACCTCCTGCAACGTTCATTGGTTTGTTTACGGGCCTAATGAGCTGTCATCCATGGAACGACTTGACAGGGGGGTCTGCTTTTCGGATTTATTTTTGCTGTTCGCTCTAATTCCCGTCCTGATTTGTCTCAACCCACTTCATGGCTCTCCTCTCCTGTGGCCGATCCGCAGACAGGTTGCACCGGAGTCTCCGCATTTCCTTTCTTTCAACAGCCGTCGAATGATCTTGGCGTAGTGAAAAAATTACGCCACCTACCTGTCGTTGCGGTCGTGAACTCGCAGATGGCGCGGCGCCTCCCCCGGTCCCAAACACGGACAGTTTTCCCTTGGAGAGGAGAACCAATTTCCCGACCCCCTTTGTCCTGAGACTCTTCACAAGATTTGGAAAATCAACTCGGGGAGTTCTCGGCATTCCAAGTTTGGGAGTACCCAATTCTTCCTAGCACACCCGGGAGTGGTCAGCCAGGCAACTCATCCTCGCTAATATACGCGCGGGTCCCTACCCTCACTGAGTCAGGGTACCCTTTGACTTCCCGCGTTCTTCGTTGGCTCCTGTCAGCGAGGATTGCCACCAGATAACTGGCGTCTGTGCTCCGTCTCGGTATCTGATTTGACGGTTCGAGATCAGATGATGAGAGTTGCCTGCGGTGCTAATGCAGCCCGCTGGTGTACCGCTGCTAATCATATCTTGTCCAGGACCCCGGGAGGGAAAAAAAATTTTATTCCCCCAAAATAGTAGGGTTGTATAAGCGATTGGGACCACCCACGCACACACCAGATAACGCGATCACCGGGGTTGAAAAATGAATTGGGCACCTATGGCCTGGTTTTCATGCACCACTGCTGTGTCGGCCAAATTAATCGTTGTAGATCAACCTGTTCCAAGGGGGGCGTTAAGGCATGTCTCCTTTGCCACAGAGGGGGATTATAATCACGATGAAATCATGGGAAGGCTGTTTCCCTGGAATTGCTCTCTCCCGCCTTCCCAAAAGATAGGAGGCAATATTGGTTCCTCCCGAGACGGTCTCCATCGGCCACCCCGACGCGTCGCCTTCTGGAAGACCCTCGGGACAGGAACAACTGAATTCAGGACCTTCGAAACAAAGACCGCAGATACAAAATACCTCGTCCAATTTAAATTTAATTTAACTGTCTTTCATAGTGTGGTGTTCTTCACCTGCTAGTGCTGCCGTAGTGCCATCTTGCCTAGATAGTTGGCCCATGCATGTGTAACCTCATCAGGTTAAGACACATAGCTACTTTACTATTGCAATGGACCAAATGGCCTGATACCATCTAGAAAAGCCTCAAGTAAAAAAAAGCCCCAGAATGAAAGGAACGAAAAAGGAACGTAACATTAAACTAAAACTATCCCGCGACATCAAAAAATACCAAACACTGCCCGGCTGACCGATTGTCTGACTGACGTCTCGACAAGCAGCGTGCAAAGAATCTTGACTAGCATGCACGCGAGCAAAAACAGTAAATGGGTGCCAAAGGGGTTCGCTGAAGAGATGAACAGCTCCCATGTGGGCATCGAGAAACAAGTCCCTTCAAAACCCGGGAGCGAGCAGAAAGAAAAGAAATCCAAAAAACATCAGAACTCGAAAACATCAGAACTCAAAGAAGCAACATAAGACATATATGCATATGCTATAGGGGGTAGTTATAAGAAACGTTGATCAGGCGCAAACAATGGCAAAAAAACAGATTTTTTTTGGTTGGTTTTTGGGGCTTTTTCGTTGCTGATCGAATGAAGTCATCGCCGTTTCTCACTCCTGCGGAAAAGAAAATCCCTCTTGAAAATACATGGAAGCGGTGAAGAAATACACAGAGCTTGAGATGGTTCGGGTTTGTCGAAGGGGGGACCAGGAGATGTCCTCAAAGTTGCGACTCGGTGGTTGTCGAAGCAGAAGAAAAAAACAGAGAAAAAAAAAGCGCATATCGAAGGGCCGGCGATCGATCGAAGCTCACAGCCTTGAGGACGATTTTTCTCTCATTTACCCCCCATGTTCCTATTGAATAGGCACCCAGTCAGCCCAAAAAAAGCCGTCCCTAAAACTTGCTCGGCTCTGGTTGATGATCTCCCAGAGTTGGTCCATGCGCTACTCACCTCGCTCCTGTACTATCTAACCTCCATGGGCAGGGCAGTTGTAGCCCTCACGTCGGCGGACCTGCTGTCTCACTCCGGTGCAAGAAGTGCCTCTCTTTGCACAGTAGACGACATCCCCCTCGGGGTGAGTGCAGCCACAGTCGTACTTGTAGAAATACTGAGAGCACATTTTGAAAATTGGTTTTTGTGGAAATTCGAAAGGTGTGAAGGAAGTGGTGCGACGTGGTTTTAAAGTAAAAGTAGAGACGAACGGATTGGGGTCCAACGGACGAATTCTTTGGGGGTGCAGTTGTCAATCGATAGAGAAGGCTTCGGGCTCAAAGAGATTTCCCTCGAGGAGTGAACTGGAGAGAGAACTGTTGTGATGATGTTCTGAACTTTTTGCCGGGTCAAAGAAGCCTTTAAATAAGAATCTCCCGGCCCTGGGCTTCAATCCAAAATGATAGAGAATGACTGCGGTCGACTGTGCCGCAACAACACCCAGCTACACCAAGAATTATTAAAACATAAAAAAAATAAATAAAAAGCATTATCCAAGGGGCCCCCAAAAAATAATAATGGGAAATTAAAGGGAAAGGCAAAAAAAAGAAATAAAAAAAAAGATTGCGTACGAAACCAAGAGAAAATGTAGGAAGATGAGTCAGGATAATAGAAACTACACATGCAAGTCGATATTTTCCCCTTGTCCTCCTTCCCAAAAGGTTGTATAGGATTGCGCCGTAGCAGTTGGTGACTCGATCTACATCACGTTCAAATGAAAAGTCTCCCAACGGATGATTCACGCAGCAAATCGAAGCTCGCTTTCTCCCGAGAACTACTGCACCAGATATCCCCAACAGCAGGGGGAGAAAATTGCGGTTATGCGGATCACCTGCGACAGTGGCGTTTTGGTCTTGGGGGGTCTGTCTTGAGTGCTTTTTCCCAAGAGAGGTTAATGGGGTATCGCGGTAATCCAGGTCATAGGCAGGGTCTGCTGGCAACCCCCTGCCCCGAGCTTTCATTAGAGTTCCGCAGATGCATCATGGGAAAATAACCTGACATCATCTTCAAGGCATTGCGGCAGTCGTCTGGATGGAGAGGGCTTGTCACATATGCAGGTGAAAAAAAGCCAACGGTGTGCTATCAAATCAATTCTCGTAGCCGACCAACAGTGTTCACGCCCCCTTCGGGGTCATGCCGCAACCATACATGGCTCCAGACGGTGCATCTGACGAATGTCACGCAGGCAATAAAAAAATCAACCCCCTCCATCTGGCCCTTACATCAACAGACGGCATGATTGTCAGGCATCCCACTATCATGTGCTCGTTTTGGCCCTCGATGGAGGAGGGGAGACAAGGATGATGTCTGGGAAAAAAGACGCAGCCCAATGTGATCGTCCCGATATCAGCATGGTATTCCCGGAGGCCATGCCCTCTCGGCTCCGATGCTCGCGTACCTGGTTGCGCACTGCGGAAAAGTGTGCGGTGGAGGCTAGCTCATAGGCCACCTTGATGCTCCAGTCAGGGGCGCCGCAGTTTCTGGGCACTTCTCTGTCCCACATCAACATCAACCGGTCAAGCAACCTCCTGCGGATTCAGCCAAGGCATATCGGAAAGCCTCAAGGCAATGCCTTTGGGGGCCTCGAACGGCGGAAAGCAGAGATTGAATCTGCACGAGCTACACTGCCATCACATCAAGTTTGGATTCGCTGTCTTGGAAAGTCGACCAATGCATGGAGGTCAAGATGTTAAACGCAGTTGGTGACATCTGCAAGTCATGAAGTCATGAGCGATTTTTTTCTCTTCTAGCTGATGTGACTATTAGTTTACTTTTTTTTTCTCGCTTCCTTTTTTTTTTTTAATTCTCGCGGGCACAGGGCCGTTCGACGAACGACAAGCAATTGGGGCCCGAGCTAAGTGATAGCATTCACGGTGAGAGCAAGAGAAAAACGCCCCGTTGGTGTGATAATGGCACAGAGTTTCTCTATAGCATAGTCAGCTAACTTAGTGTCCGGCAGTGCAAAGCAATCTCCGCCTATCGTTCTTGCGTCGTTTTCCACCAGCAGCTCGGCCCTCAGGCGCTCTAGCTCACCTGAAAGGTGACAATGGATTTAAGGTGTCGGCACAGCACCTGCGGCGCTATGTTCCTGCGAGGGAAGCAATCTTCTCTGGCTGCTAGCACGCCCCGTTCTCATTTCAGCCGCTGAGCATCCGCGCCACAGGCCGAACGGTCGAGCGATACGGCGCGGAGAATGGGGGCGCTAACACGGCGACAATTGACAGGTCGCGGCGTGATGGCACGGCCTTCACCTAGCCGCCGTTGGGTCTGTGAAGTGAGCTCCGAGCGGGGCTCCAGAAACCGCAAGATTCTCGAGCCGAGAGGGGGGAAGCTGGACCGGAGGGGATTGCGAGGGCAGACAGAATCGACTGTTGATGCTTCGACGCTGCGGAGGAGGCTCTGGGGCACGTGACCTGGCCAGTGCTGCGGCCGTTTCTTTTTTTGGCCGGCGGTTTTTGGGGTCCGTTTCGTCCTTTTCTGCCTTACCAGAAGGCATTGCATTGCCTCCTCGTCGGTCGCCAATGATTGGCGTCGCTCCAGGGACCGGTTTATATATATCGCTGTGCCCCGGATGTTACGTCGATGCAGCCCGGCAGGATCATTAAAATGCGATGGTCCCAGCTTCAGCTTCGCGCCCGTTGAAATCCAACGAACCCTCCAGCCCGCCTGTCTTACTTCTCAGGATTCAGCAGGCGCTTACGGCGAAATTCTAGAAAGTCTCACCGATTTCCAAAAACAGAGGGGGGATGGACAGGAACTATGCTTGCCAAGCAGTCCAGGAATCGGTCATTGAGGTCATGTGGGAGACGAAAGGAATGCAGAGTTCGAGTAAGAACGCAATCCCCCCCCACTCAACCCCGATTCCCACTCTGTGGGGGGAAGGCGACAGCACTTCCTCCGGACTATGGACACCGGCGAAAGGGTGATGGTTCAATCCCCATCAATAGTCAGGGCACGTTTCTTGGCTCTCCTTCCTGGTTGCTGATCATCCGAGGCTGAATTTTCGGGTCGCGTCGGCCCTGATTAGCTTGTACGAGGGACAACAGTTCGGCTTACACAACCAATCGATAACTCCCGCTTGGCGCCTTTCATCGCTGATTCCTCTGAAGGATGATTTATCCAATGAGGCTGGGGTAAAAAGATGTGCTGGAGCCAAGAGATGCACACGAAAGGCGAGATCTTCCAATAATGACGTCCTTCGAGGCCCCGCCTTCTCTGATAAGCAGGCGTGAAACATGTGAATTACGAAATCCAGCGTGTCCGATCCACCATCGGACAGGAAGAATTGGTCGCTTGGAGTCGAGGACCTTTGTCTCTCTGGGTCTCTTCCACTCTGCAGCTGGGGTGGTTGCAGTCGATCGACAGTCGTCCCGGATTCATCCACAAACCCCCGTTGCCCCTCTTCCTGAGACCCTGCTTGGCCGACGCCCTCACATGTATAAATAGGTAGCCGAATCCAACCGAGAAAGCCTTCTCTCCATCATTCTTAAACCATCCTTCTGCTTTCTTCCGAAGAGAAAACTACCAGACTCCAAGTTTCTACACTCTAAACATCCTTGTTTCTCATCTGAAACCTCAGTCAAAATGTACTCCTACACTCCCACCCACAAGTTCCTCGTTCTGGCCCCTATCCAGTCTGGCCCTCTCTCCGTCGCTGCCGACCAGCCTGAACTTGCGAGCCAGGCATCCTCGACTCGTGAGCGTTCCAGCAGTCAATCCTCGACTACTTCGACCGGGTCCCCGCTGGGTGCCGTCTCTCCTCTGCCCAGTGGCTTCTTGTACCTCGGACACGATGCCGGTAGCACCAGAAACTAGCTGCGAATCGTGATCCGCAATCCAAGCATTGTCACTGCATGAATCGCGCTGGACACGATCACGTCAGCTCGGTGTATATTCCTACTGTGCATGCTGGCCTGACGTTCTTTCTTTTTTGTTTATCTTTCCTTTCATTTCCTTTTGGACGGACAACAAAGCGGAGGGGTGCAGTGTCATTGTTTTTTTCTTTGTTTCTTTGCTCTGTTTTAGCCTCTATCCTGTCATCTTACCAAGTCCATGATACCATCCCACGATGTACAGCTGGACCCCCGGAGGAAAGGGGGTATAAATGTTTGCCAAGCAGACGAGTTGATATTTGCCAAGTCTTGTGCAATCTGATGAATGCAGCTTACGTTCCACTGCCAAGCAACAATAGACCAGCAGATCGCCCTCGGTCCGACCGCCAAGAACCCCTTGGGGAGGGAGGGGAGCGTAGAATGTAGTCTGAAGACAGACGATGTCGATCTGGTTTCTCCGTAGGCTAGGAAGGATCAATTCGGTGTCTTGTCGTGGTCTTGGGTCGTATCCAGCTGTCTTCTGCCAAATATCGTGAGATCATCCATCCGGCGAGACATGCAACCCTGCAGGATGATAGGTAGACTAATCCACATCAATACACCGAATGATATGATATCACTGCCAGACATCGGTAGATCGACTTTTTCTTACCGCATCCGGCACTCACTTTCATTGCTCAAAGAAGTAATCCAATCCTCGCCTTTTTCTCAATCCCGTTTCCCTTTCATACAACCGTATTCCAATGTGAACCGCCCATGTCGCCCGTTCGAATTCAAAGAACTCCCAAAAATAACCATAAAAAAGAAAAACAAAGTATCAATGCAGTCCCAAACCAAATAACACCCATCCCTTTATGCACCCTTCATTGCACCAACAAGGATCTAGACCCGGGCCGCCGGCTTATCAAACTTATCTCAGACCAACATGTTTCCCACCCCGGCTCTTCATACATCTAACAGTTTGGGCACGGACAGGAAATTCATTTCCTAAACGGCCCCCACGTCTTTCTCCCCGGATAATAAAGGGTCAGTTAGGCACTTAGGTATGAAACAGGACCATGTAGATCATCTTACTCTCATTAGGTGATAAATAGACTAAGTGCGTTTCTACGCAATGTTGTAATGTAGGTATCGGCTGCCACGTACACCTCTACGTACATCTACATGCATCAAAGTAGCCAAGCCACCTCAAACGGCAGATTGCCACCTTCAAGATCCCAGAAGGCTATCTTGTCATCCCACATTCGACAGCCAAGCCCCCACCCAACCCAACATTAAGTTCTTCGCTGGTTCTTATCCCTTGCGCAAGGCCAGACCTGAACGCCACTGAAGAACAGCGAGACCCCGGGGCTCCCTGCCAATGAGAGGCTCGCGTTGGCACCTGCTGATGAGGACTCGAAGTTATTGAGATACTCCGTCGCAAGAAAGCAGTTCTGCATGTCGATCGCGATATGGCTTTCTTCGACTAGACTTGGCTGGACTGAACTGGACCGGGCTGTGTCATTGCGTATACGTATAGCTAGGTAGGTACTTCTCTGTGTCCCTGTCGGCTTATCTCTACCACCTCACCAGGGATGTGAAATAAAGTCTTGGCCCGCTCGTCCGCCCAACCCAAGCCTGCAGGCTGCAGAATCATACACCCACACTGGCCTTGCCAAGAAACGAGGGAGCTGCCGAGGGGAGGACAGCAGGATTGTCATGGGGCTTTTCCGCTTTTCCTTTCTCTCTCCCCCCTTCGAAATTTCCTGTTTCATTTCTGTCTATCGCTATGCTATGTCTATCGTCTTTCCCCCTTGTTTAAAAGAAATGAGTGGTATTTTGTTCACATTCTCATCTCAGACCCCACCACTACTACTACCAAACACAACCCTCAAAGAACTATATGCATACACCATCGGTCCCCAAATCCACAGGTAACTTCCCACCCATACATAAAGAAATGCACCGATAAACGACTCCAATCGATCCCCTGCTCGGTCCAGCGGACCGAGGCGGGACAAGCCAGATCTATCTCCGTGCGTGTCTCGGCACATCGACCGTCGCGATCGGATTGCTTCCCGGTGGGATTCCATTGGTGGGATTTTATGCGAGCAGCGAACACTCCGGACCGTAGATGACTTACCGATTCTAACTTGTTCTGTTTGAGACTCATGCACGCACGAACGTATTTTCTGGGCGCGGATGTACCTAGGTGGTAGGTTCCGCTGGGTCTATGCGGTGTTCTGCTGGAGGATCTCTTGGTGGGGGATTTGTTAGGGTAGGAAGGAGAAGCTGAATGGTTTTGAGAATATATTTGAGGGTCTGGTAAGTTGGTATTTGCTATGGAATTTGTATGCTTGCTGTGGGGAGGAAAGATGAAGGTATTTATTTACACTAATGATCGGAGTAATGTTTCAAAAACAAGTACTGTCAACAACTGTAAACACTGTCTAACAAGCGATCTTAGCCTTGGAATCTAAATAAACGAAAGACACTATTTGGATATGCTGGAGCTCTAGTCTTAGACCTTTGCGCGCTTCTCGAAGAATTTTGCTTCTGAGAGGCTAAACTGGCAGGAATCTCTGGTAATTAGGGCTAAAGAGAAGTCTGAGTTTTGCATTTCCAGCACATTGTTTTCCGACGGTTTACATTTTTTAGTTTTCTATTAAACTCAGCTCTACTGTAGTATCGCTGAAATTATATTCCTATGCTATTGATTACTCGTGGCTGTAAGTTGACCGTCTCTATTTTGTGGACACCGCGTGTAGTTCGTTAAATTTCTAGGGTTCCTTTAGGTATCCACGTTGTCCGTCAAATGAGGGGGACATTCTCCGTTCTCAATCAGTATAGATAAATCATGATATACTTTGAACTTGAATATGGAGGGTAATAGATCTGAAATTCCTTTCGGGGCGATAGAATGTTATTATCTAGGCGAAGAGCGCCCAGATATCTTGGCTCGAATTTCATCAAGTCTTTTAAACCCCTTTATCACTGTGCAAGCGGGATTGTGTCATGACCTTCCTTTCTGGAGGAATATTTACCAATACATAAGAAGGTAAATGCTCTAGTGCTGTCTCGAAGGACACCAAAGGCAAAGCAATGTCGATGCGATGCACTGCATCTAATAAGTGTATGTCACTGCATCTGTAGCAACTTGAAGCGCGCAAATATATGGAGTAGGGTTTGAGCTAAACAAGCTCAGGTGACTGAACAGGCCACCCTAAGGATATTTAGCCCTAGTTCCTCGTCTTCCGACTCAAGCCACTCCAGCGGAACCAAATTAAGGACTCCACAGCTGTAGCACTTTATTGCCACTCCGGCACCTTCTGGTAATGGGGCGTTCTGCGGTCGTGGCGACTCCAAATGACCTTTTTGAGATGAACCAGGACCTTGGCGCCGGCTTCGGAGGTTTCTTAGGTCATGATTCTGGAATGTGGCTCTAAGCGTTCCGTGATAATTTCGAGCCTGACTTTGGTAGCCTGGGAATTATGGTAGATAGTTGACACACTAAGCCCGTGACTTTCCTTCTTTAAGTATACTCAAAACTTGCTAGAAAACACCTACCAAGGGTCAATGTCGGTTGGGATCCTTATACAGCGATTCAAGTCAAGCAGTGATTGTAAGAACACTCGGCCTGTTGTTCAACGCCGAATCGAACCATATACTAGATCCCCTTGAATAGTCTAAGAGTTAATTATCCAAAAGATGGAACTGGTTCGATGCTGCTTACCATTTCTTCCACGTGATGGTGGAAACTTTAGTATCCGCAGAAAGAACAGGAGAGCTTTTTGCAACTTCCACTTGTCGCGTGGCTTTTTGGAACGTTGTCAAAACCTGGCAGCCTACGCTCGGGCATTTTACCAAAGAGTATTAGTTGAAGACAAGAAGCGGCTAGAAAAATTAAATTTTGCTTGTTCATTCACTGATTGAGCAAATTATGTCTGATTTGGGTTAGTCTTGGTCTATTTTCGAGCCGTCTGATCTTGTCTAATCATATCTCCTTTCACAGGTAGATCCTCAGCTGTCATTTCTGCAGCAGGTCACTTTGTTGCTCGATAACCTACCAATGACGACTCCATTTTGAGCGCGTGAGAGGAAACGATCATCGAGGTCTATAAAACATCTATGCCTTCCTGGACTCATTGCCACCAGCAAAACATCAAGGCCCACTCACTGCGTGCCATCCTATTGCGACTGGCGAGTGCTCGGCTCTAGTCCAGTTAGTATCCCCCACAACTCGTATAATGGATTCCGGCGTGGACACCGCGGGAACCGAATGTAATCTAGACGAGGCCCGACCACCAGTCAAGCCACGTCGAGTGGAGCTTCAAACCACGCAGTAACCGGCTGCGAGAGCCAAGACGAAGACTTTTCTTAACGAACTGGGGGCCAAAGTGAGCGGAGTTGCAATCATTGCGGAGATCTTGCTATGGATTGCAGATGAAGGTATATGTTGAGTGTTCGTATATATGCTAATCAGAGCTGCTGACAGGGTGACGAACGAGTGCCGAGTCTGTGGCAGCTGCTGGGCTGCTAAACGACGTTCAAACCATGATTGTTTGACATTCCCGCAGACTGAGGCAAGTCAGCTTGCGTAGTCTTCAGACTAAATCTCAAAGCTTTACGTCCTACTCCGTACTTCAAAGCATACTCCGTATGCCCTGCCGGGGCAGAGGACATGACTCAAGCACTCCAAAGCAAAGTTATCAATCTCCGTTCCAGCCCACACCGTGGCGAAATATCAGTCCGGTCTGTCCCAGGCAGCCATGGAAATGCCTCGGAGATTGCATGGTCTAACAGGGGCTCCACCGTGCTGTCTTACTCCTACCGGTAAACACCGCCGACCACGTCCGAACAGAACAGACGGGGTGGATCCCTTACGATCGATTAGATAAGATCAAGTGGAGCGGACTCCGGCCAAGGCTCGCTCCGAGTGCGTCCACTGGGCCACCATGAAGGCTTTTCTTGCATCAAATCAAGCATTTTGGCCCCCTGGTGGACTGGCCTTGGCCCTGTTGTTCATTCCAGAGCAACTCGGCCGGATCCTTTGCCACGCACACCGACAGGGGCCCCCCAATCTCGGGTCACGAGAGGGAAAGTTTTTAGCCAAATAACTTCGGATTTGACGAGCTGGCGCTGGATACTAGCTTCAATTAAGACATACTAGCTCCTAACGGCCTAGGGGGTCGTTTTAGAAAGATAGTGAGCGGGACCGGAGTCGGTCTCTGGTACGTACAAGAAATTCTTGTCACCCATGTGGGACCGCAAGGGATGGATATGTGCATGGTCCCATGAGTCCGTGCCGTTTAAATATTGCTGGTTTTCTCTTTTCCCGGTCGGTTTCTTTGGTTTGCAGGCCTATCTTCAACTATACGACATCCCCTCCCTCCTCCCAACATGGATACCCATAAGCCTCAACCCTCAGCTGAGGTTAGCCAGGACCCAGTCTCACTGGATGCAAAGCAGATTCGAGACTCGGAAGATGAAAACCAGCAGGATGGTGTTCGAGTGGCCGAAGCCGTCACCAAGACCTGGTCTAGGACGTATCTCGTTATAGCATATGTTAGGTGAGCAAGGCTGAAGGAAGTCCTTACATCTGCGGTCATGAACTCACAAGAAGTCAGTATGTGGCTAGTGTATTTCATCAACTATCTCAACAGCAGTTTGACCGCGAACCTGGGGGCCTACATTACCAGTGACTTCTCGGAGCACTCGCTGCTGTCCGTTATTGCAGTCGTCACCAGCGTCATGGGCGCCGCCTGTTTGATGCCTATCGCCAAGGTCTTGAACTTGTGGGATCGTATAACCGGGTTCATAATCATGCTCATCATTGCCATCATGGGCTTGATCATGATGGCTGGCTGCAATAACATTGCGACGTACTGTGCCGCTCAGGTAAGTTTTATTAGACAGAGGGCCAGACCGACCATTCTCTGCACCACTATTCGATTGCACCGGCTAATTCATACCCAAAGGCATTCTACACCGTTGGCTTTACCGGAGCGATTTTCTGTATCGACGTGATGACCTCAGACACTTCTTCACTGCGCGATCGAGGTATCGCTTTTGCCGTCACCTCCTCTCCCGGCATGATCACTGCCTTTGCTGGCTCGCCTCTGTCGAACCAGTTCCACGAGACGAACTGGCGCTGGGCCTACGGAACCATTTGCATCGTTCTTCCCGTGGTCGCGGCACCCTTGATCACAGTGTGGCAATTGACCAAACGCAAGGCGGATAAGGAGGGTCGACTCGAGTACAAGCCTCGCAGCACACGAACTTGGTTTGAGAGCATTTGGTTCTACGTTGTCGAATTCGACGGTAAGTTTCTCTTCTTCAACCGTTGATCTTATGGTCATGTTCCATAACTAACTCCTGCTTTCAAAGTCATCGGCATCTTCCTCATGATCGGCGGCACCATCCTCTTCCTCACCTCCTTCAACATCGCCGGCAACACCGAAAACCAATGGCGATCGCCCAAGATCATCGCCATGATGGTCGTCGGATTCTGCGTCCTCGTGGCCTTCGTGGTCTACGAGCGCTGGCTCGCTCCGAAGCCCTTCATCCCATACTACCTCCTCACCGACCGTACCGTCATCGGCGCCTGCCTGATCGACGTCGCCTATCAGATCTCCTACGCCTGCTGGGCCAACTACTTCACCTCCTACCTGCAAGTTGTCTACAACACCAGCCTCACCCAGGCCGGCTACATCTCCGCCATCTTCGACTTCATGGATCCCATCTGGCTGATCGCCTGCGGCTTCTGCATTCGCTACACCGGCCGCTTCAAGTGGCTCCTTTGGATCGCCGTGCCCCTGTACATCCTCGCCAGCGGCCTCATGATCTACTTCCGCGCCCCCGGCCACAACGTCGGATACATGTGCATGTGTCAGATCTTCCTCGCCGTCGGAGGAGGCACGCTGATTCTCATCGAGCAAGTCTCTGTGCTCGCGGCGGCGTCCCACGAGGACTACGCCGCCATGCTGGCGCTGCTCAGCACCTTCGGCAACATCGGCGGCGCCGTGGGTAGTAGTATCTCCGGCGCTATCTGGACCAATACCCTCCCTGTCAAGCTGCGGCAGTATCTCCCCTCCGAGCTGACGGACCAGTGGAAGACCATCTACGAGGACTTGGAGGAGCAGCTGAAATATCCGGTCGGATCGGCGGCTCGCACGGCCATTCAGAACTCGTATGCGTTCGCCCAGCGGAACATGATGATTGCCGGGACGGCGATCATGGCGGTTTCCATCGTGGCGGTGGCCATGATGCGGAATATCAAGGTGCAGAATAATAAGGATTTGAATAAGGTGTTGTTTTAGGTTGATCGAGGTCTTCGGTGTGGATGGGGGGATGGCAGCTAGCCCTAATTATTATTTAACTGGTTATGATTACGTCTGTTTGTGACGTGGAGATTAATGCGAAAAGTCTGAATTTAATTGAATCTTCTTTCTTCGAATACAAGTACCGTTGGGAATAAATAACATGGATTACTATATTGAAAACGAGCAATAACCCTCACCTCTTTGGGTCGCAGACTTCATGGTCTATAAGAGCTATCCACTTATCACATCGTTAGTTGGTCTTACTTGGAAGGTTCTTTTCCTGCTTTTGGCTTTTGTTTGTTCTGATTTACCAGAGTAGGTCCAATCCGTCTCCCATCTTACTTCATCTTACTTCTATTCGTTTTTTCTGAATTCTCAGCAAAATAAAACATGCATTCCTTCAACAATATCACCGTGCGGTCTTTTTTTGAATTGACGAATGATGGCTACTGGGGTAGGGACCTCGAACAGGTAGGCTAACCCACAGCTTCATGTTGTTTGGAGAAGAATATGAGATAAAGTTGATTTTGAATAGCAACAATGGATTGAAAAAAGAATCGGCAATATTCCCGAGGGCAACACAGTATGTTTACCCATCAACATCAACGTTCTACTGTCTTATGCTCCCGGTTTGAAAGGGACAGCTGGAAGAGTAATTTCTGTGATTTCTAGGGACCTGTGGAACATCCCATCCTTAGTAGAAAATGCAGTTTTTCAAATTGACAATTGACAATCTATCTATGAGGTGAGAGGGTATGACTTCATAACACAGGAACTAACAAAGATTAGATGACTATAGTACTAACTGGTGTAGAACACTTCGGACCGAGGATGTATATTTGCTGATGTTGTAATCGAAATCAAGGCGTCAGATTGGTCAGCGCGGTTATCAGCCGAAGGAATATTCATGTCGACGCTATCTCGAGTCGCACTTGTTCTCAATCACCTGCAATTTATCTCAAGCCATTCTTCAATCCAGCCGTTGCCAACCTAAACATCTTGGCTCGACTCACCTATCCCGACTACCATACCCTGCATGCCAAATCCCGTCCGACCCTTAATATTATGAAACTCCTTTCCCATAGCTCTGCAAGCGTTGATCACTGGGCAGAAGTAGGGAACGCCCAATTCAAGCATCTGCTACTCTCCAACAGAGACCGTGAACTCGTAATACTGCTGACCACGTCGAAATTCAACTCCGTCTACGAATGGACTCACCATCTTCCCGTATCACTCAAGGCCGGTGTGACCAAAAAGCAACAGTCAGCTCTCGAGGCATCCGCCAGGCAAAAAGATTATTTCGTTGACGCGAAATGTGACGGCGAGGCGGGGTTCAGTGCGAAGGATCTTACCCTGCTTGCCTTCATGGAAACAATCATCCAAGGACCGGAGGTCAGCGAAGAGCTGTGGAGGCGTGTGAGGAGCGAATTCTCGGACAGAGAGATCGTGGAGATTATATCTCTTCAGGTATGTGTTAACATGGATGGTGGTGGAATTAGAAAAGTCTAATGGTTGTTATAGGGGTTTTATTACACCTTTTCGCGATTGACGACCGTCCTTCAGTGCGATTTTGATGAATGGGCTAAGCCTAAGCTCTGAACTGGTTCTAGGCTAATGACGTAAATTGATGATGTCTCTTTTCTATGTTATATCGCAGGGATTGTGCTAGTGAAGGTCCATGTCTATTCCTGACATCGGCAATTCTGCTAGGAGAAATGTAGACTATCTAGGACATTTGGGCAAACATTTCAATCCCTAATCAGCTCGTCAAGCCATGCCGCATAGCACAATGGAAGACGGTATACATCTGAAGGCGGCTAATAAGAGGAGATGGATGGTCTTCCCAAGTAACGCAACTGAATAATGGTGAGCTCATTTTGTTGATATAATCATAGTGTTAACGGGAAGGACACTTTTGTGGACGTTGGTTCATTCTCAATCAACCTTTCTGTGAGCCCAGCAGCATATTTGACAGTAGATATGACCATTTGGCTAGTTATTTATATGCCGAGAAATCGGTAGCCGAGGTAGAAGACCTCTGTCGTGACTAGTATGTCGTTCTGGCAAGGAGAACTCTGGTTCATGTTTATGCCATGCCTTCACAATATCTAGTTTAGGTCAGTTACTCTGTATGTATGTCCACCCTTCTCACGGCCATGGCAGCGCCATCTAGTACAGTGCCATCATCCTCGACAGAGACGTGGTAAAACCCGCCATGCAAAAAAAAAAAAAAAAGCGTCGTGGCCTCCACTACGAGCCGGCTCAAGACTTCCGTCCATTTAAGTTGCATTGTGCAAGGCGTTCGGAAGATTAAACTTTCATCTATCCCGACGATAAATATAGCCAGCGCTCGATATTCCTTGCATACATGCTCCGTCGTTAAGTTAGTTAAGTTAGTTGGTGAAGGTAGTTCCAGCCTTGTGGGCCTGTGTATGTTAAGATTAAGGGTGAAGTTAGGTTCAACAACCTCAAGCAGTATGTAGTATTATGTTTTATATGTAACCTTACTTGATGGTTTCCCGGGCGATGAATGACTATTGTCAACACAACGCACAAAAGGCACGAATAGTTACTAGTAGTACGACTATCCATGGGAGAAATTCTCGACACGCCAGGGAGAGCCAGATTCCAGACCGGAGAACGGTGTCTGGATCCAGTAACGGCGTGGCAGTCCTTACTTCTCGGTAGTTATAGGGATTGGCTAATGGATCGATCCCTTTGTCGGGCTCCGGGACTATGCAGTACTATCGGGACCCTTGGAAGAGACCCCTGTTTTGATGCATCACATCACCAACACCACAGCATTCTAGTGATGTCCTCCGTGCGGAATACGCGACGATGTGAAAATATCAACCAGCAATGGTATTTTCCACGACAGACGCACTTCACCGCCATTCGAATTATGTCATTTACGGGGGGCAAAGAATCCAAGACAAATCTAGCGGTGTGTGTTCAGCATCCAGCACACCAGCTAGGCTAGTACCTACCCTACCTAATCTACCGACACAGTCAGGAGATAGTTAACAAAGCAGAATGACTAACAAAATAACAGCTTCAGCTCTTTTGGGCGCCAGTTCTCGCCACCAGTAGGAGTCATCCCGGGCGGGGGTCGCTACGGTTCGTCGAGGCTTCGCGATGCGGTGTTACGTAGTGGAAATTGGGCTGTGAGACCTCGTGAGGATTTGCTGCGGTTGCGTTGCACGGATCTGGATTTTTTAGTCGGAAAAGCAATAGAAAGGGTCATTGTTGGGAGGATACTTAATCTGCTATACTATCTTTGATCAAGGGGGTTGTTTGGGACGGAAGAAGGGGTTAGTTACTATGGAGATATTATTGTACGAAGGAGAATAGGTAGGATAAGCGGTTTAGAACTCAATACCGAGTCACCGACACAGCAGCCCAAGAATGGTGATATCATCAGCGAACGGTTGGCAATCGAAGTGGGCTGCGGTGGAATCCAATGGTCAAGAATCTGTCAGGATTTTAGAAATTCTTCCTATCGTCTCCACTTCTTCGGCTTCGAGGGTCTTGGGCTGGCTCTTGGTCTGCAATTACGGCGTACCCCCAGCAGTGGCCATTCTGCGCCGCACATACACCGCACAGCCTGGCATACGACTGCCGAGATAGACGCAGCCATCGCCAGGGGAATTCGAATTAGGGGGGCTGTCGGAAATTTGATTTCCTGTCGGGCTGTCGATCGGGTGAGAGGTACGGAGTGGTTCTGGATCTCTCGTCGGGCTTGCATTGCTCGGTATTTTAGGTTGGAGATGCAGGATTCCTGACCCACCGCGGTTCGATGGAGCTCGACCGAGTCAGAAATCAGAATGATGCATATGAAATGTTCAGTCAGGATATGAATTCGGGCGGCTGTGATGATCCTGTAATATCATCATCAGCAGGATGAAACGCATTGAATGCTGTAACACCTGCGCCCTTGCGTGACGATGCCGTACGACGCATTCAGGCCCGTCGGCTGCAGGAGCCGTATCGACCTCGCAGCTGCTGAGTCGGCTTGGGTATTTTTCGCTCAGGAGTCATGTTAATGGATTATGTGTAGATTATTGTGGCGCGAGCTAATCTCCAGGTCCACCGGTTCGCCTATTTGCTCTGCATTGGATCCAGAATATGTATTATAGATCACCCACCTCTACCCGATTTCCGACATGTCGCGCTTAGCCCGGATATATATATGAACCCATGAGACGAGCATGTGTTATACATCAACCTACCATATAGACCAGCATATCGATGAACTATAACAGCGCAAGCCTGTCTATAGTCTCAGGAACGGGAGATCATGCAACTGAGCCAGTCCTCCAAACCGTTAGACCCAGTCCCAGACATAGAGTTCCGTAGTGGACTCCGGACTCCGTGCAGTCCAGACTCCATGCCGTCCCATTCCACACACCGACACCGATATTCCTGATCAAATGATTCAGCCGAGCATTATCCAGAAAGGACGAATGATGTAATGGACACGGACTAGCGCCCTAGATCAGACCACTATCTCCAGGTAGCCCAGCCGCCAGTCCGTGCATCAGCCTCTCCGTCGTTTTGGGCACTCGACGAGGGAAATGAAAATTCCAAGGCCCCAGTCATTTGGAGCTGAATGCTAATTAGTCAGGCCTGAACCCTGGCGGACATCCCTACCGTGGATACGAGTGGAGCTGGAGGTAGATAGCGCTCCGTCGGAGGTCGAGCTCTGAGGCCGAAGGGGCGGTCACTCCCAATCACTGGGAAAGCTTTTTTTCTCCTCGAATTGGGCAGCGATTTTCTGACGATGGACCTTGGACTCTGGACTCTGGACTGTGTACTCGGACCTCCCGTGAACATCGTTACCGGGACAATGGGAAGCTGAATCCTGTCGCCGAAAGCGACTCCGCCGAGGGGATCATGGCGATTAACTCAGAGAGGTTAGAAAAACAAACACCGCAGCGAAAAAGAAAGGAAAAAAGGCTGGCCAAAATGACCGGACGGGCAGCAGAGCCAATGACGGGGCCCAGCGATATGACGATCGACCAGGATCGATGAAACAATGGCTCCGGAGCCCCTGATGACTTGGCAGTTCTCTCCTCCTACAATGCAATTGATCTTGACCACGGAGCTTTTGCTGCGTCGACAGGAAATAGGATTATTGGATGAGGTGTCGGTGACTCGGTCTTCTCCTGACTATCACTCTGCATGCTGTCAGTCCGGAGTCCACGTTACGATTAATCTCCTAACGGTGATGATTATTCCCCTCGGTAGAAACCACTCCGGACGAAGGATAACTGTCGCTGGGGCCGATTTGCTATTAATATCCCTGGGAGCTACTCCGTAACAGCGTTAATATCGTTAATGTCATTCATATCACGTCCATCCGGGCAATGCAACCCATGATCGCTAGAACTCGGCGTATTGACACGGATGGTTCATTATTCAATCGTAAATACTAATCTAATACTAATACTAATACTAAATACTACGTAGGAAAAGTCACAAAGTCACTAAGACCGACCGAGTAATGAATGCGGTGCCAGCGCAGCACTCAGACTGTCATCTCTATCTCGACTTCATCCTCTTCCCCTTCGTTGCGTCGTGCTTCCTTCTTCGTCTTCCAGTCCTCCTGTCTTCCTCCTGTGATCCCAATATCCTACTCTATCAAGTTCCCGCCCCTTGGCCAATTATCCGGTCCTTCTTTGGGGGCTTGAGTTCCCACCGGCACTCTTTTCTCCCCTCGCGCCGGCCCCCTGTCCGCAACCTCCACCCGCCCCTCAGCCTGGCTTTCCCTTCACTTCTCTCTCTCCCTCTCCCGGTCTCTCCCCATCGATCATGCTCTGCTTTGCGGCCGACTCCCGTCAATTTATTCTGTGTTGAGTCGGTGGTCGGGGTGATTTTTTTTTATTTGTATTTTTTTTCGGCGCGACAATTCTTGATTTCTCTCGCTGCCTAAAGAACAGGAGAAGAAAGAAAGAAAAAAAAAAGTGGCTCGTGGTCCAGCGCGTCTCCCGAGGCTTTGCTTCTCCTTCCCGCGTCCGACTCTCCGATCTTCCCAAGTCTCACATTCTTTCGAGCCGCAAACCCCTCAAGTGGCGGTTATCGCTGGAGTCAGAGGTGTCATATCCCGGGAGTCAATTCTGCTGTGCAGCTTCTCGCTCTCCATTGCGCTTAAGAGCGACCGCATTTCCTTCCGGGGAGAAGCTCGCTCTGCCACGGCCAGAAGAAAACAACCGTCGGTTGCCTTTTCCACGCGTCCCTTCAATTCCGTTCGATTTGCTTCTCGCCTTCTTTGTGATCCGGCTGGCTGTCCTTCTGACCTGGTGTCCTTTTGATATTCCCCATCGCTGCTGTCTGCGTGGCTCTGGCCGTGAGTTGTCGCCCTTCCTGTTCCCCCTGATCGGTGATCTCAATGACTCCGACGTTATTAACTTTGGAACCGCAGCTGCCCGACCGGTAAGATCATTGCCAGCTCATCCATCGCATTCCGACTAAAAGAAATTCCATCAGCAGTTGGTGAGCGAGATTAAATTCCACAAAAAAAGAAAAAAAATTACGATTAAAAGATTGCAATCGCCCTGTGGATTTTTTTTTACGTGTCGGATTTCTCTGGTCGCCGATCGCAATTGGTTTCGACAAATCCCAAAAGAAAAAAAAAATCCCACCCACGCGTGCCTGAAGAGGCTGTCTCGGACTAGGTTCTGCTGCGCCTTCATCTATCGAAGGTATGTCTGCTGCTACGCAAGCAGTCCCTCAGTATACCCCCGCCCATTCCGCCACTTTCACCCTGCCATCCCATCAAGGCCCCGCGTCGCCTTCGCATCGCGGTCATGCGCAGCACTTTCCCGAGCTCTTGTCTGGTTCCACGCAGCGAACGCGACCGTCCACCGACCCGCACGGCGCTACTACCTTGAGCAATCAACTAAGACTTCAGCAGCCATCTTCCGTCCCGGTCCCGACAGCTTCTTCGGCGATGAGCGATCTCCAATCGCAGTCGTTGCCTCGCGCTACCCATGCTTCTCCGGCCATGACCCCTGCCGCGCCTTCGTCGGCCCACGGCAGCAATCGATCGCCCATGTACCCGGATCTGCTCGGCGAACCCCCCGTTCCCCCGCCGAGAACCTCGTCGTCCCACCGAAGCCAGCACAGTTCCAACGAGAAGGTCTCGAGCTCCCGCCACGGAAAGACCAGAGGCGACGACCGAAGCGCAAGCCACCGCGAGAGGAGGGGCGACGGTTCCCGTTCCCGTCGGCAGGACACGAGAGCGCCCGAGGATCCGTCGAGAGGAGCGGACGCGACCACTCGAAATCAACCTGCCGCCACCTTCGATCCGTCGCAGCAGTCGGACGGCCGTATGGAGGCATATCCGGGTCAGGGAACGTTGGTCAAGGAGTCGAGTACCGTGATCAACCAGGTGCTGGTGAGCGACCCTTCGGTGGACATTGAGCGAGAACAAGTCCGACAGACTGGCTCGTCGGTCTCTCCGCCCCCCGAGGCGGCTCCGCCGTCAGGAGGCCTGGCGCTAGTGGGGAGTGATGGTGTGGACGACGGAGGTCGCGGCGGGCTGCGCAGTCGACACGACTACACCGAAAATACGATTAAGCGTAAGGAAACGACGTTTGGCCAGTACATCCTGGGGCAGACGCTCGGAGAGGGTGAATTCGGCAAGGTCAAGCTGGGCTGGAAGCGAGACGGCACCATTCAGGTGGCCATCAAGCTCATCCGAAGGGAGACGCTCGGTTCGAATCCCAGTCGGTTGCCCAAGATCTATCGAGAGATCTCGATTCTGCGGGATCTTTCGCATCCGAACATTGTTCGACTCCACGAGATGGTGGAGACCGACCGACACATCGGTATCATCATGGAGTATGCGTCCGGCGGTGAGCTCTTCGATCATATCTTGAACAACCGATACCTCAAAGACAACGCTGCTCGGCGACTCTTTGCGCAGTTGGTTTCCGGTGTCGGGTATCTTCACAAGAAGGGTATTGTGCACCGTGATCTCAAGCTGGAGAACTTGCTTTTGGATCGGAACCGCAACATCATCATCACTGATTTCGGCTTCGCGAACACGTTCGACCCGGTCGATGAGTTGGGCGAGGAGATCGAGTACAACCTGACGAACAAGGATTACGTGAAAAGGATGCGCCTCGATAAGACCAATCACAAGGGCCTGCGACGGGGTGATCTGATGCAAACCAGCTGTGGTAGTCCGTGCTATGCTGCTCCGGAGCTGGTGGTCAGCGATTCGCTGTACACGGGACGAAAAGTCGATGTTTGGAGCTGCGGTGTCATTCTCGTGAGTATCGCCCGGCCGAGCCAAGCACTAAAAACTAACGCGCTTTCTCTTGCAGTATGCGATGTTGGCAGGCTATCTACCTTTCGACGACGACCCCGCTAATCCCGACGGCGACAACATCAACCTACTTTATAAATACATTGTCACCACTCCCCTCACTTTCCCTGAATATGTCACGCCCCATGCGCGTGATCTTTTGAGACGGATTTTGGTGCCTGACCCACGGAAACGGGCGGATCTTTTCGAGGTTGCACGACACAGTTGGCTGAGCGAGTACTCGCACATCGTGTCGCACATCACCAGCAGCACGACGAAAGTGGCCGATATCGCCTCCACGACGGTTTCGACGGACAGTCGCAAAGAAGCTCCATCCCTGGCACGCAGCGCGTCCGTCAGAGAGCCGCCCAAGACGTACCAGAACTCAATCCCGTCGCTGGGTGGCCTTGTCCACCACTCCGGGGATATCTCGCAAGAACAGTCCACGGATCGGTCTAAGACGCCCCGGGATACGAAACGGCGAACGGTTCAGGTTGAGTACGTCGCTCCTCAGTCCCAGACCACGAGAGGTGAGAACCCCGGTGATATCGATGGGCCTGTCGCGAGCTCGTCACGGCCCGTGGAAGCTGCGCCGACTCGTGCCCGATCCAACAGCCGCGTGTCGGAGAACCACATGGCCGCCCAGCAGATGCCCGAGGCACCGAATACGCGCGCCGTGGATGCTAAGCCGCCCGTCGAATCGACTCCCGCCCCGGGACACCTCCCTCGCTCGACGTCGGATTCGACAGCGCTCACCGGGACGGGGACCATGCCTCCTCCGCACGCCGGCCGCCCTACCACGGGAGCTTCCATGGCATCCTTCAACACCGGCCGCTTGCCGTCGCGAGGCTCTTACGGGCAGCCCGTGGCGCCGACGGTGGCGGCGACGAATGCTCAAGGCCGGTTGGCGCAGCCCAAGAGCAAGCAGTACGTGATTTCGGCGCCCATGCCCCAAGATCCGTCGCAACCGAGCCCGACATCTATTGGTCGCCCGAGTGCCCAGCAGCTGCCGGCCAAATTCAACACGACGCCCCGGCAAGAGCCCCCCAAGGGCCACAAGCGATCGAACACGGTCTCGGGTATTGGCGAAAAGCTGTTTGGACGGTCCGGGTCGATCTTCGGAGGTCGTGGAAGCCAAGCGAACAGCTCTCGGCAAAAGAGCGGCAAACGGTATCCTCCCACTAGCATGCGCGATCCGTATGCGGGCGATGACGGCCGGATGTCTGTGGACTCGCGGCGTTCGATTCAGTACGGGTCCAATCGGAAGATGAGTGAGACGGGCGGCGAGAGCAGGCCTCGTCGGTTTTCCCTCCTGCCTACCTCCTTTTCATTGAAGGGCTTCTCTTCTTCGAGCCGGTCCCAAACACCGGATGACGAGTTGCAAGCCGAACGGATACAACAACAGAATTCGTCAACCGGGGCGATACGACCCCGTGCACGCGCTACCAGCTACGGCACTCAGGAAGCCATCTCGACAATGCCCGAGGGGGCCCCGGCCGACGACGTCATTACGAACGAGGAACCGGTGAACTACCAGGCTCGCATTGATCAGCAGTTTGCCGTGCTTCATGGCGCTAACTCCGGATCCCATCAACCGACGTCTTACAGCGCCTCAGCCGAGCAGGTCTATCCGAACGAGAACGACCATTACTACCGGAACCAATACGCCAACCATTCGGCACCCAACTACTACGACGAGTACAATAGCCCGTATGATAATAATTCGTCTCGTCAGTCCGTCCAGGCCGGCCGGTCAGCCCGCGGCGCAGGAGTTCTCCAAAAGAACCACCGAAAATTTGCAGACGCCTACGAATCCGAACGGGACCTGTCGCACCACCCCGGCAGCTCTGGCGCGGCTCGTAAGGTCATGGACTTCTTCCGTCGACGAGCCAAGTCCAGAGCCGGGGATGACCGGTAGATCGGGTCAGACCGTTTGTGTCGTCGCGACGCGCCGCACCTTAATTTGACTTCAATTCGTCTCCTATAGTTCATTACTTTCTTACTTTCTCACCGGCCGATTCAACCAGTCGAACGTTGCCTCTGGTGGATGGCCTTACTCCCAATCGATCGCCTTCAGGAAGAAGCAATATAGACAAGCAGATTTGGTCTGACGGACTTCTGTACCTTGTGCTTCGGTCATTTGAATAGATGGATATAATCTCAGAATTTGGATTGAACCGGAATCTCGACCAAGGAGATTCAGGCTCCAGGAACCGTCCGCACAACCAAGGCTCGGCCTCCCTCCCGAAGCAAATTGGATGGATCGAAGACACGTTTCGATTGGCGCTTTCACTGGAAGGAGGATTTTAGTCCACCGGGACTCTGAGATTCCAACATTGAAAGAGCAAAAGAGGTTATTTGGATACCCCGTGATACCCACGCAGCTTTTGTACTCGTCCCCTTTCTGTTGCTTGCAGCTTATCGGTTTGTCCTCTTATTTGTACCAGCAACTGTTTCTTCCCCGCGTGCATATCCATACTTAGCATGGGTGTTTTTTTCTCTTCTTCTTTTTTATTTTCTATTGAGTTTATTTTATTTCCTTTGTCGAGAATAAACCCTTTTTTTCCTGTTTCTTTTATTTCCTTTGTTCAAATTTTCGTATTCATTTTTCTTCTTCTCTTCCTTTCTCCCTTGTCACTATATCTTTGACTGTAAATTGACCCTGTCTTGCTTTGACCCAACCAACCATGTTCTTTTTTGTTCACTACCTTCTTCTCTTTCCGAAGCGCTTTGAAAGAGTTCCATTTGCCAATTTATCCGACAGGTTTTATTGAGGGTAATTTAATATGTTTACCGCATCGGTCATCGTTGCTCTGCTCTGGTCTCTTGGCCTTAATGTTTTATCTTAAATCTTAAGTATACCTGGATTTGTGTTATTGGCTTGTTCTATTGAATTGAGCAGCGATCATTGCTTTGCTTTCTTGTATTGTTGTATTGCATCACTGGATTGCTTGTTTTTCCACTCTATGGTCATGCTCCATTTGGCATATAGCGAATTCGGCAGCGATTGGTAGTTGGTTGAAAGTAATCCGATCCATGAGGGTTCTTTGGTCAGACTTGTAGTTTTGGTTTTGTTCTCGGTGGTTCTTGTGGTGATTTCACCTCTCTGGAGCGTAGAGTTCGGTTTTCTGTATGAAATGCGGAATCGATGCCTATAAATGCATTGAGATGGATGGGAATGTAATCCTATAGTTCTGCGACAGTGTAGGTCTTTGTATGTACTAGTCGAGGAAGATATTCTATTCTTTACATACTAGGATGATAGTAGTAGACTGGGTTGCTTTGCGTTACTTATCAGTTCCCTTCATCTTCGTTAATTCTCTCTTCCTTTCTGGAAATAGCTATCTAGGGCGAAGATCTAGAAAGTAGTCTTAATTATCTTATTCGGGGTCACGTCACTGGCATTTACCGCTCCGGACGTGGGTTGAGTCTCAAGGAGCAGGGAGGTAGGTGGGTTGGAATAAAAGAGTCTATATGAAAGTCATGTTCATATTCCTGTCCTGTTCGTGTCCATCGTGTCTATCAAAGTGGATATAACATCGAGAAGTGACATAAATCATCAAAATCGCCAGAAATAGATATACCAAAGAAACAACTCATCCCCGCCGTGTCCAGTCCATCCAAAACTCAAGAGAGGGTCATCACAAGATTGACACGCAATCAACGCTTCCCTCCCGACATGCCGCCGCCGCCGCCGGCGAGAGACATCGTGCCCGAGGCCCCGTAGGCCGGCGGCGGAGTCGGGCTCGGCGAGGGGCGTCTGGCCACGGGATCCCGACTCGAACCGGGGACTCCAGACGGGACCTCGCCGCCATCGCCGGTGCCGACCACGACCTGCTTGCCGTCGCGCATGCGTCCGACCACCATGCCCTTGGCCACGGACTTGAGCACCGCCTTCCGACTCACCCCGGACGCATCGATATACACCAGCCCGACGTTCTTGACCCCGCCGGTCAGGTCCGTCGCCACGGACCCGGCCTCCGCGCCGTACCGATGCCCGATCATCTGACTCGCGGCCACCGACCCCGTCGTCAGCACCTGCTTCGCACTCTGCTCGATCCCATCCGCCAGCGTCGAGAACGCAATCATCGACTTGTTCAGCATCCCCGGCTTATACTCCCCATTCCCGTTCCCGTTCCCGTTCCGATCCACCCCCTTATTCTTCCCTGCGTTCTCCTTCCGTCGCGCCAGCGTCGCCCCAAAGTTCTGCGCCACGCGTCCAACCTGCCCGACCGTGCGCGCGGAGATATCCGCCGCGCTGTGCGAGAAGTCGCCGATCTTGCGCACCCGCGTGTGCGTGTTCTCCGAGAAGGTCATGGGCTGGGGGTTGGGCTTGGTCTTCTTCGTGAAGCTGTCGGCGCCGCTGACGAGCGCGTTGGCGAGGTAGGTGGACCCGGTCACGAGGAGACGGGACGCCGTCGCGGAGGTCTGCACAATGGTTGAGTTCTTGTAGGCCGGGTGGCGCGCCATGCGCAGGTATTCTTCGGATACGTTGCTGACGCTGATCTCGTTCTTTTCGCCTTCGCTGGGGAGTTCGACTTCCACGGGTCCTTTTGGGTATAGTTAGTCTCTGAGGTTCAAGGAAAGGATGAAAAAGAGGGACAGAGGGGGGAGAGAGAGGGGACATACTCTTAGACCCAGGCTTCACGCCAGGCTTCTCAACAACATCATACCCCTCCATCTCACCGACCACGCTACCATCTTCCTCGTCGACCAGGACGATCCGCCCGTGAGCGTCCTGCTTCGTCGCCGGGCCTGCACCAGCCGCACCAGCACCCGCCGAAACATACCCCTCGCCCGGGGCAAAGTTCGCCGGATTATACGGCGCAGGACCCTTCGGGGGCGCGGCACGCTCCAGGAACGCGGTACACTGGGCGAGGATGGTCTCGAACGTGTCGACATCCTCCTGGGTGACTCTGTCCGGGCCGGCGCCGATGCCGGGGAACTGGATGCGGATGAAGGCGCCGGCGTCCGGGCCCGTGTCCCATCGCGGGATCAGGTAGCTGTTCGGCGGCTGGTGGTAGATCTGGGTAGTGGCGGGGAGGGCCAGGTCCAGCTCGGGCGGCAGGTGCAGGTGCAGGTAGAAGTCCTCCTCGGGCGAGGCTTCGGGGGAGTTGGCGGGCGCGGTGCTGGTGGGCACCATTAGGAGGGAGAGGGTCTGGGGACCGGACGGGGTGAGGTCCTGCTCGTCGCCATGTTGCAGGTGGAAGGCTTTGATGTTGTTGATGCTGTAGAGGAGGCGGGGGTCTTGGGCGGGGGAAGTCATTGTGTAGTTTTGTGGTTGTTTGTTGTAGAGGATGTAATAAAGAAGAGAAATGAATTAATTCGAGCAAGAAGGAATAGATGAAGTCAATGGAAGATTGCGAAAAGACCCAAATTAATTAAATTAATCAATCGGTGATATCAAGGCGGGGCGATGACGCTGCGGGGACTCCGAGGAGGCAAGTTGGCAACCGCCGGCAGCTGTCGTTCTGCAAAGTCAGACAGCGAGGAGACGAGAATAGGCAGAAGGGATTCCAGCAAGAAGAGTGTAGAGAAATGCTCGGGGCCTGCCAGCAATAAATAGCGACCGAGTCTTGGGCGTCTTGGAGCCCATTCGTCACGCGTGATATCAGTCCCTGGCTGATGTAATCTCAGGATGCCTTCTGATTGGGTCTTGGCGTGCTGCGCCACGCGTCCACGAGCACCGCCACATCGACCACCCCGTGAGTGGCTGAAGCCCTCACTCTCTCTTTCTCTTTCTCTCTTTCTCTCGTTCTCGGATGGACTCTCATCGAACGAGATCTTCTGGATGAATCATGAATGAAACCTCCCCACTGGCTGCTCTCGCAAACACATCGCCATCTAGAACCTTCCCTCTGTCCACCCCCCCCTGCTATCCCCCTTCCTCCATCCAACACCTACGTAGTCCTACCCCTCTTGACATCCCACCCTTGCAGTTCCTGGCAACATCTCCGGCTTAGCGGCGCTTAAGGACCCCTTTCTTTCGAACGACCGACGCCCACTATCTCGTAGCTGCAGCCATGGCGTGCTTCCAGATCCTCTCCGATCTCCATCTGAAGACCCCATCGGTACGGCGCGGAGGCCGGGAGAGTATACTAAATGAGTGTGCGATAGTATCGGCTAGAAATGTGCCATAGGCCTAATTTTCATCTTTTTTTTTTCTCTTCCGTTGGTTTTATAAATTGATGTTTAACGTAACTAAGTTGGCGCAAGCGCTGAGTGCCCCAGATTGATTGCTGTTTGGTTCGTTCTGACCACGAAGATCTACTCCACGGTTTTTCTCTTTGCATTGGAGTTTGGTATCGACGTGGACGATGATGCATAATGATCATTCGGTATGATAGAACCGTCAATTATAGAATGCGAGACCGGATGATGGCGCAGTTTTCCCGTAGCCATGGACCTCGCCGCGTATTCCCCCTACTTGAGCGGTGAAGACACCTCCTGGCGGAGATCCATTTGGAGTCTTCCATGTGTTGCTGAAGGGCAAGACCCGCATGTGCTCCGGATGTAATTTCCCCCCGAGACCCTATTCGCTTCCATGGATTCCTCACGATGCAGAAGCGATAAAAATATTTAGGGTGTTTTAACACGCCCCTCTTGGCTGCAGAATCAGCTCGGCAGTTTTGTGCTTGATTAAACCGACTTCCGAGCGAGATTGATTGGTCGTGCAGAAGCCCTACCGATTTTAAAGTTCGGAAATCGCCCCATCTGCTCCATCTCGCTTGCTCCACTGCCGCTGCTGCATGATCATTAATCATGCTCACGCACCCCGTCTCCTCCTGGCGCGGAAGTCCCCCGGCACGACGGATGTTCGGAGCTAAGCGAGTTGCACTCCAACTCATGCGGACTGGGAAGGCAGTTTGGTCGGCGACTTTGACTTTTCGGCGCCGTGTCACCTTCGCGTCTGGAAGGACGTAAAAGAATAGGTCGGTTCGGGGAGGGAGATGCAGACAGCCTAAAGCATTCCTGCTGTACCAAGGAAAATTGCATCCGTTGGCTGGTTTGATCTCTGTGAAAGCATAAAGAAGACGCACCCGAAGAACATGCTGGTCCCTGCTAGATGACGCAGATAGTCTGCTATCTCTTGAGAGCAGAACGGACTCCCAGATTGTTTCTGAGATCAACAACTGGGGACACTTGACCAGGATGAAAAGGTTCCCCGATCAAGCTCGTGGACGTAAAGGTAAAACCTCTGCACGAGGCCGATTCAACTTTCGAGATAGCAGCCCTCTCAAGACCGGTGCACCCAGTCATAACTGTACTCGGTTCTAGGCAGGTGCTCCGGCTGCTGGTATTGTTGAGCACTCTGCAGAACAGGATAGCCGCCAGCTTCCCTCTCTGCTGACACATTCGGCACCGAGACCGATCGTTGACCCCCCGTGAACGGGATTGCCTGTTGAGGATGAGGCGCCATTTCCTCCGGGTGTGCGTGATTGGCACCCCCCGGGCCATAAAGGTGCGCCGGGTACGCCTGAAACGCGGGTCCCGGTGGATGTCCGCTCCCATGGGCATTGTACGCAACGTGCGATGCGGCCACCGGCATCGCGTTCGGGGCTCGAAGTTGGCCATCAAAGACGTACGGCGGTTCCACTCTGTTCGAATAACCTGCTTCCGAGGACTCGCAGGTGGATGGGGATCGCGTCGTGCCGTATTGCTGCCAGTCATGCGGGACCGACACCTGGCTCGACGTCGAAAGGACTGACGGTGCTCTGGAGACTGGAGTCACTCCCAGAGACTCGGGATACTGGGTCGAAGGAAGCATGTACCCGGACGGAGTACTAGACGATCCTTCTGTCACCAAGGAGCCGGACAGTCAGTAAAAAAATGAACAAAAAGAGATGTAGTAACGGCAGGATAAAAAGGGAAAGGAAGAGAGCAAAAAAGGAAAACTAAAGGATTCTGGCCACCCACCGAGGTTAGAATACCCTTGACCACTTGTCACCATCGACAGTTGATGTTTCAGCGTCCTGATCTCACTCTCCAGAGCGGCATTCCGTCGAACAACATCATCGTACTGTTCTCCTTTGGTCTTCAGCTCAGATACCTGATGCTCCAGGCGCTCGATATGCTCTTTCGTCCGTTGACGGATGGTTCTCTGGGCCTCTCGATCGTTGGCGCGCTTCCTTTCCAGCTGTTCGGCAGAGAGCGAGGTGACCTTACGCGTGCCAGCTCGGGACTCCCGCCGCTTGGAATGAGAGGCTTCTGGATTAGTGCTCATGATGCGTTCGTAGCCCACTCGGGGGGATTCAACAGGCAGTTAGAACGCGTCCTTCGAAGGGTAAAAATCATGGATGTCGAAGCGAGAGCGATGCATTCCAGGTTAGACGTGGAGCACGAAAGAACCAGAGTCGCTTCTCAATATGTGACTATAGTCGTTCCATGTGCGTGGGTCGCGCTAAAACGCTGTGATTTATGCCAGAGGGGAAGGGCAAGAGGCCACTTGATATAAACAAAGGCGGGTGGATAGATAAGTTGGTAATCTTCATTTAGTGCATGGAGAGAGGGTCACGAAATGACCCGGTCTGCCCAGAGGACGAGCCGCAGGAGAAGTTTCGTTCATATACGGAGTCGGCCAGATCCCTATCGGAATTGGGCACACAGGACCCAAGGAGCGAGAGGCAGAGAAAAATCAAAAAACCCAAAATCCAAATTAAAAAACAAAAATAAAATCCAAACGCAAGAAAATTAACCAAAATTACACCCAAAAGCTCGGTCTCCAGATCGTCGACGGTCGATTTCTGAGCAGGCTAAGTCCCAACATTATTGTTAGTCTGTTGCAACTTGCAACCAGCGGGACCCTCTGGCCCCTGAGATAAGCCAATAGGCTCACTTGCAGCAGCAAGAGAAACACCTGGGAAAAAAAAGCAAATTAATTCCAGGTGTGGGAAGGGGGCCGACAATGGTCATGCCCTTTTTTTCCCTCCCAGAAGCTATTACTATGGGTCTGCGCTATGTGCACATTCCGACCCTCCCGACCTACAAGACTGCTCTAAATTCGCAATGGGAGGGGAGGGGGGGGGAATCCTCGGCACCCTAGATCGGGGTTTGGTTCACCAGCGTCCAGGGGTAGGGGGGGCTGTAATGCTGGTAAGCCAACCCAGTCAGGTGCCGGGCCCTGCATCGGTGTATCAAAGAGAAACTGGCGCGGCTGTCATCGTCCTGCGAGCCATGGCATCTTGAAATTTCTATCGGCGGGTTGGATTGCACTCCGTACGGTGGACGGAGGAGGAGGTCGAAATGGTGGCTATGAGTTGGTGGGCCCTGGTACGACCCAGACCACATGGTGAGCCGAATTAAACTCTCAAACTCAAACGATTTCTCCCCTTTCCTCTCCAGCCCGCGAGCCTTGGTCGGCATTTAGGATAGATCCGGATCGCGAGCCAAAAAGAACGGCGTCTCGGTAGTGTGGGAAAATAGCACACACAAGGGGCAAAAAAAGTGGACAGATCACCCATGCAAGCGATGGAAGTCGCATGAAGGTGTTGGAATCTCGATGCCCATGGGCCCACGAGGCGTCGGCTTCTTTCCTAGTGAGCATCAAATTCTTATTCGGGATGGATTGATTCCCAGGATCTGCTAGCCTTGGCGATGACGAGATAAACAAGCGGCTCTCAGTCTAAGATCCGGGCGAATCGCACGTCGGTATAAAAAGCACCGTCCAGTCACCTATGCCCAACAGGGCTAATTGTTTTCAAATGTTCCATGGCTGCTGTTTCGGATCTTGGATAGGAGTCAGCAATTAGTCCGTAGAACCGTGGGCAATGCTCGCCACGAGGTCAGGTAGATCGACTCCACTCCCACAGGAGTCCTCCAAGAACAAACAAACTACGATTCGTGGTTCGAGGCGGAACAAAGCGAGGACCCAGCGGCGTTCTGAATTATCAACCCACGGAATGGGTCTCTGCGCCTAACGAGATCTCCGAGGACGTACGCCGTAAAAGTGAAAAGGCTGGACGGGCTCCGTCGCAACTCTCTCGTATCGGGGAGGAAGTAAACCCCGAATGCGAGATGCGAGGGGGAAAACCCCCTAAAGAATCCACTTTCAAAACGAAAAAAAATCAAAACTAAAATAGTCGACGGACTCCACGGTCTGTTGTTTCTGGTGCGATCGTGAGCGGGAAGGACGGCGAGGCTGGTTGGTACATGACGCACACCGTTCCTACCACGGTTAGTCGTTCATCTCCAGAAGATCCAGAAATCCCACCTTTTTTCTCCTTCCGCTCCCATCCGTCCGCTTTGGCGATGGTTACCCCCTGGTTCTATCCTTCTGTCTGCCTTCTATCTGCCTTCCCCTTTCCTCGAATTGCCGAGGGTCCATGGAATTATTGGTCAGGAAATCTTCTCCATCGGCTTTTTCAGATCTGGCTCCAGATCCTAAACGAACCCAGGAATGCTTGGAGCTAGTAGACTAGGCGTTGACAAATGCTTGAAACATCCCCGGGGTTTTGTGTAACAGACTCTAAACGAGCCACAGACCTTTCTGTAACCTACTCCGTAAGAATCACCTCCAGCCCGAGAAAAGGCTGGTACTAAGGCGGTGCTGTGGACCTGGCTGCTGCATAACATAGTGCTGAGGCCGCATAAACATGGAGAAAGGGTCGTGTGCATTTCTAGAAACTGCTGGTGATCGTCTGTCCCACGGGTGATTATTGATAATGGAAAATGACCAGTTCGGCGTCCAAGGCAGCTGCACGCTTGGCTCCCAACACCATCCTAGCAGAATTGTCGCCCCCAAAAAATCGAAAGCCAATATCACATTCTCATCGAGACGCTAGAATGCGGTGATAGCGTCACGCCCACGGTCGATTCGCTGCGAATTATAACCACCAAAATGCAAGGTTGGCTGGCCAGTTAAATTGCGCCGTGGCCGTCAGTTGTGGCCTTGGGAATGCAGGTGGGATGTTGGAACTTGGAAGCGCCGAGGGAGAAGAGCTAAGGCGGTTTCTTGCGCACCCTCACTGCGGCACGGCACAGGATTGATACCTATCCATCCTATCCTTGATTAGCGCCTCCTTTTGGTTCGTATTTCCTTGTCATCCCAGGCGAGGGGTAGCTTGCTTTAAAACCAACGGTGGTTGTAGAGGATCCAATAGCACTGGCGCGTCGGAAACCGGGAATCAGGAAATGACGCATGTGGACGACGATTCCTGATCGGGATCCAATAAGGTCAGTATGAAAAACAAGTCTGGAGGTGAGGCCTGTCTCCCCGAGGGGTCTTGGCGGCGAACAACGTCACCCATGCCTCCGTCGGCGTTTGACTGTTTTGATAGGTATACTGGAGTGAGCAGGTTGCCTTTTCGGCGCAGGCAAAATGACGCGGCAGGTCACGATGCGCCTACCGGTCTAGAATGGCATGCGAGGGACAAGTCCCTTGCGAGAGACTGGCAACGATGGAGCAACGATGGATGGAAAGGAGGACGAGGGGAGATGAAGGATGAGGCCGAAGAAAGTGGGATGGTGATGTAATCCCGTTACCGTACGGGTCACGCCCCTCGCATACTAATGGCCCGTTGGAGCCGTATGTATCGTATTGGCCAACTTCCACGTCGCGTCTTTGCCTGCGTCTCTGCCATCCCATCGTCGCGCCACGAACTGTGGGCAAAAGAAACTGGCGAACATCTACTGAATGAGTTGGATACCACGGATCGTGTCGTTCACTGATCAATTGCGATAATCACTAAGCTCCCCTGTCAATCACCATGGACCAGAGCTATAAAGCTCGAAAAGAAGCCTTCGTGTCCAATCTTGCCGGCGGAAGCATTCTGGAGATCAATGCCGTCACTCTGGTAGCTCCTGTGGGTGGCCCCATCCGATTTCTTGGTATCGCTTATACTGATTTAAGATTTCATTCCTTGACTAGGCCTCGGTGCTCCTTTGGTCGGTGTTACAATCCCGTCTGTCCTTCTTCAACCCATACGGGGGCCCTGCTCTCGTCACCGATTTCTTGCTCAATGTTTTGGCAATCTTATTTGCGACCACTATCTATGCGGCGGCGCCATGGACCTTGAACATCCTCCTGGTATCCCCGGCTCTCCTTCTGCTGTTCACATCGCCGGCGCCTCGTCCCCAGCAGAAAGCGAAACCGCCAGCCCAGAAGAGCTCGAAGCAAGTGACGGATGCGCCCGAATCTCTTCCCATCCACCCATTCCTCACAACCTACCGTGCTGCTATGATGATCGTTACCTGTGTTGCTATACTCGCGGTTGACTTTCCCATCTTCCCCCGACGGTTCGCCAAAGTCGAAAACTGGGGCACGTCACTGATGGATTTAGGCGTTGGGTCTTTCGTGTTTTCCGGGGGGGTGGTGTCTGCTCGCTCCCTGCTTAAAGGACGGACGAATCCATCCGCGAAACCTCCTTTGTTCCGCAGATTGACCGGCTCCTTCCGTCATTCGATTCCTCTACTTGTGCTGGGTCTGATACGACTGTACAGTGTTAAGGGCCTTGACTACGCCGAACATGTCACAGAGTACGGTGTCCATTGGAATTTCTTTTTCACGCTAGGACTGTTACCCCCGTTCGTGGAGCTCTTTGATGGCCTAGCCACCTTTGTCCCCTCGTATGAGCTTCTTGCTCTGGCGGTCGCAGCGTTGTACCAAGTAGCGCTTGAGTCGACAGATTTGAAGGGCTACATCCTTGTTGCACCGCGCGGTCCAGATCTGCTGTCCAAGAACCGGGAGGGTATCTTTTCCTTCTTGGGGTACCTAGCTATCTTCCTGGCCGGTCGTGCCGTTGGCGTTCGTATCATACCCCGTGGCACGAGCGCTTCGAAGTCGCCCAAGCATGCCCGGAAGGACTTGCTCACGAGCCTCGGAGTACAGAGTCTCGTGTGGATCGGGTTATTTACGCTGAATTCCACGTATGCGTTGGGCTACGGAGCCAACATCCCCGTCTCCCGCCGCCTAGCGAATCTTCCCTACGTCCTCTGGGTGTCCGCCTTCAATATTGGTCAACTCTTTCTATTCTGCGGCTTGGAAACTGTATTCTTCCCCTTCGTCCATCGTTCCACCGAGAAAAGTGGAGAGACGGAGCGCGTGGCACTGGCGACCAGTCGTATCATGGCTGCGTTCAACAAAAATGGGCTTGCCATCTTCCTGGTGGCAAACCTTCTGACTGGGGCCGTCAATTTGAGCGTCCCTACGCTTGACGTCAACACGCCGCAAAGCATGGCGATCCTTGTCGCATATGCCGCGGTTATCACCGGCGTTGCGTTAGCCATGCAAAAGGCGAACATCAAACTAGTTCTGTGAGGGAGTACAACATGTGGTTGGATTAGTGTGTATATAGTGACAAAAAAAAAGTAATTGTTTATTTTTTCTCGAATTCTCCGCACCAAAGATGTGGATCTCGTGGCGGGGGCGAATTAATCGGAGAAAGTCCAAAGAACGAGACTCTTTGACAGTTGAGCCGAGGCATCACGCGCCATCAGGTGACTCCCCACCTCGTAAACGTCGACTTGCGACGCATTGCAATCCTCTTCCTTTTCTTTCCCTTCAAGCTATCTCGATCGCAAAGCCATCATGGGTTCAACCACCGACGAATCGCAGTTCTTCCACTATCCGGAGGTCCGTCAGGGACCGTCCGCCCCGTACCAGAACGAAGACCAGTCGATTCCTGTTTTTCGCGGCACTCCTTTGGCTATTGGCGCTGCCCTGTGAGTACTGAGTTTTCCACTGCCAACTTTAACTTGGCAGTTTCGCGTGGTGTGCTGGCTGACTTTGGCTCTCTCTCTGAACTCAGTATTCATTCCGTGGGGTTTATCCAGAGCTACTTCTGGCGGAATGCCGGCTTTGACGTCGTTCGCGAAGTTCCGCACCTGCAGCAGTATTCCGCCCGCTACGACCCTACCGTGATTCCCATCCATGATGCCAACGCCTCGCCTCGCTCCGATCTCCCTGTGCCGACGGAAAGGCGCAGAGGCTCCTCGGGCTATTACACCTCCGCCGATTACCATGCCCTCTTCAAGTCGGGAGAACTCACTCCGATCGCGGTCGCCGAGACGCTTCTTCCTTTGATCCGTCGGGACGCAAAGCCCCCCGGAAAGCATTCCATCGCATTCTTAGAATCGCAAATAGATCGGGTCCGTGCCGCTGCGGAGGCTTCCACGAAAAGATACAAGGATGGCAATCCCCTGGGTCCCTTGGATGGTATTCCCGTGGCGATCAAAGACGAAGTGCACATCGAGGGATACCGTCGGACGCTCGGGACCAAGTTGGATTTCAAAGGTGACTTCGAAGGCACCTCCTGGTGCGTGAAGAAATGGGAAGAGGCCGGCGCTATCGTCGTCGGAAAGACCACCATGCATGAGCTTGGCCTAGGTGAGCATCCCAATTCGCTACAATCAGGCCACCAACAAAAAAGCTGACAGCGTTCTCAATAGATACCAACAACAATAACCCCAACCACGGCACTCCGAGAAACCCCAGCAACCGCAACTACTACTGCGGAGGCTCTTCCGGGGGATCCGGATACGCTGTGGGTGCGGGCCTGGTGCCTATCGCTCTCGGCGCAGACGGCGGTGGCTCGATTCGTATCCCGTCTTCCTTCTGCGGCGTCTGGGGTCTCAAACCGTCGCACGGGCGAGTGAGCGGTAGCCCGACTGTGTCGCTGGCCTCGACCGTGGGTGTCTACGGGCCGATCGCTGCCAGCATCGACGACCTGGCTCTCGCCTACCGCATCATGGCCGCTCCCGCCCCCGTCCACGAGGATCCCATGTCCGCGGCCTTCCCCGACCCGCTCACCAGCATCTCCCCATACGAAGCCCGTCCCAAGAACAAGACCATCGGCATCGTCAAGGAGTGGATCGACCGCGCCGAGCCCTCTGTCCGCGCTGTCTTCGACTCCTCCCTCGACTTCTACCGCAAGCAGGGCTACAACGTCATCGACATCAACATCCCCTACCTCCCCGAAGGCCAGCGCGCCCACGTCCTCACCATCATGACCGAAATCGCCTCGGGCCTCTCCCCAAAGCAAATCAGCAACCTGACCGCCCCCAACAAGGTCCTCGTCTCCATGGGCATGTGGCAGATCGCCGGCCAGGACTTCCTCGCCGCCCAGCGCCTCCGCAGCCTCCTCATGTCCCACCTCGCCCACCTCTTCCAAACCCACCCGGGCCTCCTCGTCCTCTCCCCCACCACCCCCATCCCCGGCTGGAAGATCAGCAGCGACGCCGACCTCTCGCGCGGCCTCTCCGACGGCAAGACCTCCGTCCGCAACATGGAGTACGTCTGGCTCGCCAACTTCACCGGCTGCCCTGCCATCAACATCCCCGCCGGCTACGTCCAGGACGGCACCCGCGTCCCCATCGGCGTCATGGCCATGGGCGAATGGGGCACCGAGGAGGACCTCATCGCCTTCGCCCGCGACGGCGAACCCATCCTCGATCTTCCCCAGAACCAACCCGCCGCCAAAGCCGACGAGCAACCCTCGGGTCTGCAGATCCCGCAAGGCGAGGGCTCCCTGTGGGAGGATATCGTCGCGAAGGCATCTGCGTCGCAGCAGTAGAAAGCCCTTACGCCCAGCTGGATTGGGCCGTCTAGATCGGATGTTTTCATGGTTTCGCCTAGACGGATGCATTGATTGCGTGTGTATGTTTTATAGCGCCAAGATGAATGTGTGAGTGAGTGAATGTGCATGGCATGATGCATGGCTAGCTTAGTTTTTTTCTTTTCTTTTCTTCTTTCTTTGACTTCCTTTCGGTGGCTCTTGAATTCTTACTTTTTTGTAATTTCATTTACTATCTTTCTTATCAATGTCACCGATTCTTAAGTCATATTGTTCTTTTCGTACTGGATTCCTTGTTCTACGGTGTCAGACGCCTCGATACAGTTCTACTTGTAGTTGAACATCGCAAGAGCAGGTCCACGCGCTGGGTGAAGCCTATCAAGAAGAATTCCAAGGTACTGTTCATGACAAGTACTAAAACTCTCAAGTTTTTTTGAGGCAATGTGAAACGACTAGAGGTAGGTAAAAATACATTTACACGAGGAGTTTCATCGGCTGAAACGACCTCAACATAGGAAAACCTCTGAAGCCTTCATGAGCACACCGACACCAATAGATATAATGATAGCCGTGATCTTCGAACCGGACCGAATCCACCCATCCCTATTATACTGACTTTCATGAAAAATACACGAGTACACAGAACAGAAAAGTAGTAACAATGCAAACCGTACCATAAGTATTCAACATAAGCCGTACTCAGTCATCCGCCCATGGAAAAATCTAACATGCAAAATAACAATTCGTGATAATGGAAATGAGCATTAGCGGTTGTAAAGAGTCATGTGCTTTGCACTGAAGTTGTCTCGGAAAAGAATAATGCCAGAGGATATTGGCAGTGTGAGGTAGTAGTTCGGCTCTCCAGGTACTGCAGAGACCCATGACGTTCAGACAAGACAGTTAGAACCGGCTCGAACAAGCGGTCCAAGCTCTGGCGACCCGGTGGTATGTGCTGAATGCCCGGGAAATCCGCCCTTTAGATTAAGATGTTCTCACCACGGCCGGGAACGCGGATCGTGCATCCTAGGTTCTCCGTCTCTGCCAATTCCGTGACTTCGCTCAATATGCGCTCGGCGACAGGCTCGTCCTCACTCATATCATCCTTAATGTGAATGAGAAAGATGGTCAGACCTTCTAGAGGTTTCTCCTCTTCCGACCACTTAATATCATCAGTCGTTTCCTCAATGTCGTCGTTAGCAGCAGCAAGGGAGCCGCTTGGTGTATCCGCAAACGTGACGGTGCTTGTTCTTCCTCTTCCTCGCTGTGTCCCCTTTGCAGATGAATGAGATTTTGATCTTCCGCTTTTCTGCTTGGCACTGGGGGGCTCTTCCGGGGCGTGTTCCTGCTCTGGTGGTGTGGCACGTTTGCGTTTGTGGCCTGCCCCGTGCTTCAACTTAAAGACCAGTCGAGCCAGGACCTTGAGCTCCTTTATTAAGTGGCGTGGGCAAAGGTGACCGTATAGAAACTCGTCGGAGACGGAGTTATCGTAAGAACACTCGATAAATATGGCGCGCAAAACTTTGGAAAGCACCTTAGGCGCGGCCTTTTCCCAGACACGCTGGTTGCGCGGATGGATCGAGATCGAGTCCGGCTCGATGTCGCCGAAAATTATGATTTCTATTCCTGAAGCATGGTCACGAATGAAAAATGCGGAGCTTTCGACCGCCGTACATACTTCCCGTGGGGACTGAGAGGATTGCGACTGTCCTGTTGCAGGTGAGAGTAACGGCCTGTCGACAAAAGAATCCTTAAGTCAGCCCTCTAAAATAAAACAGCGGATCGATATACTCACGTTGGGTTATCGACCTGAAACAATACAGGATCTGCTGACGACGGCAGGCTCAAGCGACGAGGGTTTAGATCAGGTGTTGAAGTGGTGGGCTGCTGTTGATACGGCCGTTTGCATCGCCCGTGACTTACGGCAAAACACCGGGTCGTAAGTCCCTCGCAGGCGCGAACATATCCTTTCTCTTCACCTCGGCCCATGTGTGGGTTGCCGCCTTCCACCAAGCGTTGGAAAGTGATGAGCCCCGCTCCACCATCTTCATCGGTGAGATTTGGCCACAATATCTCATTGAACATATGCTCCTTGAAGGCCGAAATGACGGACGGCAGAGCAGTCAGACGTTTGGGACCGCTGGAGGCTTCCAGAATCGGCGTGTTTACAACAAAGCCCGAGATGTGGTCCAAATGAGCATGCGTGACTAACACAGGTCCGACGATCTCTCGAAGGATGTGTGCAGCATTCGCCTTGGCGGTTTTGTAGGGCATAGCCATACCGGAAAAGGGCCCATTGTCGTCACTTGTCTCTAGGACATTTTTAAGTCCGCATAAAAGGGTGCCAGCATCGACTGCGATCATCGAATCTGGTCCCCAGCTTGTTGAGGTTGATCGAACTAGCATTCCAGTAATGCTATCTTCACATGGGCCTCCTGTCGGTCCCTTTTGAGACAGGTCAGCAACCATTATGCGCGTCAAATGCCGGATCCCGAAACTTGCCGAGAGCCATGCGCCATCGAGAAAGCCACTTGGCTCAAGAAAACCAAACGACCAGCCCAAGTGGGTATCGGCACAGAAACATGAGGAATCATGGGAGAGAGGAACACGATTTATGGCAAAATAGAGGGGCGATCAAAAACAAAAGGTGACGTGTAGATGGACACGAAAGGCCAGGACCTACCAAGACAATCACTTGTAAGCCTCCATCTGCTGTTCCTGATGCAGGAAGCGTTTCAGTCTCGACTCCTCCAGCCTTGGATACCATCTTAGTTTCGCTTGCTGCTCCCTTGTCCTTGGCTTTTGATGTCATATCGTGGAGTAGAGCTAAGCCCCAAGAGAATAGACAGACTTTCAGGCAAAATACGTCGACAAGAGGAGACGCCTAGAGGCTTCCTTTGTGTCCCTGTCTCTCAAACAATAAAGAAGGTCAAGGATGCTGTTTTGTGAAAGTATAATGGATTTGCCGACCCCGAGCAAACAACGCAGATGTTTACGGCTTTATGCTTGAAAACAAAGATATTAAGGAAATTCCACTTGACCAGCAGCGTCTTTGTTCGCTGTCAGGGGAAGAGCAGAAAATAGGACCAACAGCAATGATGTTGCACGGGTGAAAAGGGTTTCGGCAGGAGATTCGCTGCTGAATTCAAGCCTGCGCGTGATCGCTCTTCCCTCTGGAAGGGAGCGGCTGGGCGCAGGCAGGCAGGAAGAGGCCTTAACTCTCGGATCTGTAAATTAGAGGACGGTTGTGTCACCACCACCGAGACACAAACGTGGATCGCCCAGATGATGGGATTCCAGAAGGAATGGAAGGAACAATTGCTGTCGATCCTTTTTTTTTTTTTTTTTTTTTTTTTTTTTTTTTTTTGCCTTTTTCTTGATTGGTACCGTTCAATGATTCGATTCGATGCAGAGGGTCGGCGTTTCCCGACGAGATCGAAGCAACCACCGCGATACAGTACGCAGTAGGAGGCTGGTTCTCGCTTCCGCGCAGCTGTAAATGTCTCAAAGAAAGTATTTCCCAATCATTGAATCATCCATCTAGCTCATCGCCATGAATTGATTCATTCCGCGCATATATGGCTAGGTTAGCTTGATGGGCCCCGGTCGGGAGGGTTGGGTGGACAAGGCAGGAATCAGAAGGCGTTGTGAGAGGTCCAATTGCCCCCTGTTGGAAAGGTCGAATCAAAGAAAAGAAGGAAATGATACAGGAACGACCACACCGGAATCGCCTAGATATAAGGAATTCCCCAGCTTCAAAAAGGCGGAGAAGAGAGAAGTGAACCGGGACAGACAGGGCAGGGCGATCGGGAAGTAGTAGATCAGATTAATTTATTAATTGGTTAATGGATTAATTAGAGACGAGGCAGGGGCAAATGACGAAGGATCGCGCCAATTGGGGCCAGATAGGAATGAACGGTCGGTCAAGACTCCAGAGTAAGCAAGCCATGCCTTTGCTACTCGAGCGAACGCTGATCGTCGAAGCGAAGCGGAGAAAGACAAAGTCGCAGTCACAAAGAGACTGTGGAGAGATGACGTGATCCTCTCTGGCTTAGCGTCACCTGAGTCTTTCTTATCCTTATCGGCCTTATCGATAGTCTTCCTTATCGAGATCGTCTCACCGCCAGCAGGAACAAGTCGCTACGCTACGAGGTACTCCGTACTGCGTGTACGGCCATACCATGCGGACGCCCGCAGGATCATGGAGTGAGAAAGCATGTAAGCATGGTGGTAATCCTAATGACAGATGGGGGATATCAATCGCTGAGACCTCCAGATTCCGTATGTCAATCTGGAATAAGATGTTCTCCAAACGCCGCGGAGTTCAAATGAATTGTTATGGTTTTGGGTTCGAGTGCAGATAACCCTCCCGTTGCTTCGAGCTCAAGGGGATGATGCACCGGTGGGGAAAGAAAAACATATGGGAAACATGAAGAGGGGGGAAGAAAGAAGAGCCAGTCCCTATATACGTAAAAGAGTCATCACTGCCACTACCCCGTGGCATACCGCCTCCCATGAAAAGTTCGACCGTGAAAACTCGCCCATTAAAACGCCAACCCCGACCGCTAAAATCAATGACAGAAATGATATCGACATGGTGAACGGCTCGAATGCCTATAAACACAAGGGGACCTCGCCAATTACCGAAAGGGGCCCGGAGGAGAAAAAACATGTGAGAAACGATAAAAGTGGTTTAATGGTTTTCGTCCGTGGCATTTCTACCACGGACATGGTCCGCGTTGCCAACAGCGGCATCGTAGCTGGGTATGGGCGGTTGGTATTGCCGTGGAATGTCCTCGCTGTTGCGGGGACTCCCATCTGCGCTAGAATAATCCGGGGGAGGAGCTTGGTCGGCATCGTCGGCATCGTGCGTGGTTAATAACGGATCCTGCTCGCCGTCTGCGCCATTTGTCCGACTGGAACCCTCTCCGGCATCTTCATTGGAAGGAACATGCGCTAATTGAGCGAGCGAGATATCGGTTGGGGACCGCACCGGGCCAGGGCTGACCGAGGGTGCAATCCGAAGGGTCGAGCTTGTCCGCGCATTGCCGGCATCTTGATAAACACGGTGGGAGATCTGAGCAGCACTCTCGCGGCCGGACTCAAGTAGGATGCTACCCTGCTCGCTTCCATAGGGCGGAGGGGGAGCCAGACTACCGGTCATGGGAGCCAGACCCCATTTCTTGACATTCGCTTCAATGAAGACAAAGCCCATTTGGCCAAAGTTGACGTGCACAGCACAGGGTCCATTCGCACCGACCGTGGGGAAGAAATTCTGCGCCTTCTGACCATGGACCACATCTTCGAGTTTCTTTCCGTTGCGGGTGAAGAAAATTGTACCCGATCGAGGCCGGTATCCGATCCCAACGACATCTCCTTGGAGGAGATGCGGGCCATATGGGCTGGACGCGAACGGTTGGTTGTATCTCCGGTGACCCGTGGACTGGTAGGCTACCGAGGACTTGTGGAAACCTATAGGAGAAAAGAAGAATTAGCGATCGGCACAATACTGAAAGAAACAAAAATAGTCTTGCCCAAGGGACCGAGCGTACCAGGCAGTCTGAACAGTGGATAGGGTTTCGTGGTCATGCCGATGCTGATAAGAGTGGTTTCGGGCTTATCGTATATCTTCGCCTCCCAATAGTAAACGTCGTTCTGCTTTGGAACCGGGAGATTGGTCTGAACGCTGCATTCTGAATCGTAGAACTCGATTTCCGTCCGGGCCTCGACAAAGCAGTTGGCGATTTCCAGCTCCGGTTGAAACTCCCACGCCGAGACGCCCTTCTCTTGGATCGCAAGAAACTGAGACAGCGAGATATCGGTCTGCATCGACTCGGGCGGGTTGCCTTCGACAAATGCTAGAGAACCTCGAATTAGCGAACCGCGCCACATCGATGGCTGCGCATCGTTATCTTCCAAGCTCACCTTTCGCTCTCAAGTACTCCGATCGCGACAAATCATCCATGGTTTCCAACGCCTCCGACTCCTCCCGCAAGAAAGCCTGTTCATCGTCGAATTCACCGGGTCGACCGATGCGATCCAAGATGATTCTACCACGCCGAGTATACTTGAAGAAGAAGAACACGGCCAGGACGACGACTGCGACGGCGGCCGAGCCAAAAGCGGACAGGACGCCGATCAAGATGCCCTTGCCGGTCGAACTGGGCGTATTGGCAGCGGCGCTGACTAGACCGCCATCTTGACTTCTGGCCGACATCGCCATACGAAGGGATTTGACGTCGGGGGCGACGGGGTCGGGGACGGTGGCGGGATGGGGGGCTTCTGCGACCGGGAGAACGGACGGTGTGCGGCTTATCACGGAAGTGGTGAGGGTCGTCGAGGGAGCATCCCAAAGGGCACCGGGCCCCGATGCTTCAGATCCCCGCATCGTTCATTGACTGGATTCCGAATGGGAGGTCGAGAGAGAGCAATTTCGGGGAGTATGGAAACAAAAGTTAAATAATCACCGACAAAAGAAAAGGGAAGACCGGCAGAGGAGGACAGGGGAGTGGGAAGGAGAGGACGATGATCCAAGGTAGACGGCAGGGAGAATTGGGCGAGAAGGAGTAAATGACAGGACGGTACAAGACAAGACGGTCACTGCCTGGTGTCATGATTACATGTGGCGAGGCACGGCCACCGCGACGCTTCCGGGCGATGCGTTCAGATGCATTTTTGTCCGAAGTCAATCGGCCAATTCGGTAGGACCATCGTCGCACAAGTATAATTAATGCTGCAGTCTTAGTAGAGTCTACGGCAATAAGGCAGTTCTTAATCTGAAATGTTTCAGGACGACGCAGTAGATGCCGAATAATCCCTCTGCCCGGGGCGACGACGCAATGACGACAATCGCAATGTCCTGGTAAGGCTGCCGGGGTAAGTAATACCGTACCGTACGGGTACAGAGCCTTGAAATCCAGGACTTCCAGATCAGCCTTGGAAGTCGCCGCTTTAAGGGCTTGGCAGAGCCAACCGTCGATTTATCAGGCATCGACGACGCCCACGTTGTCTCCTGCCTTGTCCTCTCCGCCAGCGATCCCTGGCAGTTCATGATGAACTTCTCCCAGGGGAGATCACCTGGGATCAGGAGAATGCACCCCTATGCTTCTCGCAACTCTTCACTCATGAAAATCCATCCCCTTGCTTCGGCCTTTGTCTCCCTCGAGGGGTCAACCCGTGCCTTATGTCCTTGTCAATAACACGATAAATTATAGCCATAATAGTTACCACATGATCGAGCATAGAATGCCAACTGGCAGTCGTCTCGTCACGAGTACAGAGCACCATGGAATTAGCTCCACCAGAAAGTAATGCCGGGCTAGCTCTCGGTCTAGAACATGTTCGTCTGCCAACGTTTGCTGTATCCATCTGTCCTACGGGTGCTCCCTCCACGGCAGGTGCGGTTGCACAGATTCCAAATGTGAGACTCCAACTGTATATGAAATTATGAATAGCTTACTCCTAGTATGGCCTTGGAAATAACCTGCAAAGGCCGTCTTGACCGCTGTGAATAGACAAGGTCTTTTTACAGTCATCGAGACTTTCTCAGCGCAAGATAATGGTAATAGGATCCAGGCAGCAGGCAATTAAGACAAAGTAGCTACCTACATTCCACGTCAACCAGCTTCGTCAGGTGCCTTGCAGACCGCTCGCGGGGATGGACAATAAATAATCTAGTAGCTCAAGTATCTCATACACATTATGCTAATTCTTTGCAACCCTCGATCTTCCCCGCCTTAAACAGTGCGCCCAAAATGAACTCTCTTTGTAACTATGTGAGAATACCCCATTGCTCACTCTGTGGCCAGAGGTTTGATGGAAACACTGCCTTTCGTTCAGGTATGCCCGGCTCAGATCTATCTACACTTTATACTGATATTGTCAGTAATATTGCGTGATATCCCAGATTGCGACCTATTCATCACTCGGTCCATACGCTTTCCGGAGAACAGTCATTCGGCCTACTTGGAAGAGCTAGATATCAGGATTTCCAAACACCCGCAAAGGAAAGCTAAATACGCCCCTTCTGTTCATAGTTCCTGTGGAGCAGTAGGGGTGGATCTACTAAGTCTTCGCACTATCTACAATCTCGGCATTGCAATGACTCCACTAGTATGGGCTGGGCTTCCGCAGGAGTTTTACAGAAGCTATGCTCTCTCTGAAGCAAGACACTCATTGCTTGAAGCTTCCCAACGTGGTGAAGGTGATACTGTGCTATGTGAACTGCTTAAGAGATGTGGAAATCTTCCTGTTGAACTGACCATAATAGTTTGGGATTTTCTTACCCCTGGTACTGTTAGGTGTTTACTCGCTCTTAACGCCGCAAAGAGGATTTGGTCAAATATTCCTCTTTCTGTTGTTAGTGCAACTGTTCCTTTACATGGAGAGATTGTGGTGTATTACACGGATCGCATTAAGGAAACATATGTCTGCGGTATTCGTCAAGGAAACGCATTATACGGCCACGAAAGCAGATTTTCTGTAAATGTCCCTGTACCAGCTTCCAGTGCTGTATGCATCTCCAGTCTGGGAACTTATGGACTTCAAAAGATGGAGTTCCTGACCGAGGCCGAAACTGATTTTACCGACATGATCGATCAGGCCATGGATGCAAGGAAGCTGGCTTGTGTTGTTCCTTGCCGAACAGAAAAGCCGCTCTCTGTGGAGGTCGACTGGGATGTATGGAACCTTTAGCTGCGATGAAGATGATTGAAGCTGACAGCAAGCCTAGCTCTGGAAGATTTCAAGCGTCAGTCCTCACGATAAGTCGTTCTTCGGGCATGATTTTCTTTGGGTTCCTCCAGTGCCTTATGGCCATTTATGTCTGCTGTCTCCAGATCTATTTTATAATTGGCCCCGGCATTTCGACTTCGCAACCCAGTCTCAGCGACTCATGGCATACATACCTTTACGGGAAGGCAATCTCTTGTATGGTCTTACTGCATTCTGCTCTGACCGGGGATTTGTTGGCTTGGGAGTCCACTTTTCCTCCCGCGGCCAAGATTATTCCGTACATTGGTATGGCAAACAAGAGGGCTGTCCTATTCATATTCAACTTGACTGCTCAGATACCATAAGCTCGGTGCATGTCTACTGGCATACAAGCGACTTCGGGTTATGCCGTTATCTCGCTGTAGGACTGGCTGGCTTCTGCTTTTTGAACCTCGCTAACATACTCTAGGTCACAACTATCAGACAGAGAACATTCTTTCTTGGGCCACATTTTTCGCCTTCTAAGACAGGCATGGAAACTATATCCGGTCCAGATGATGGAGACATCCTAGGCCTGTACTATGATGTAACTCCAGGTATCACTAGCTTCACGAGCATGGGTGCAATCTGTCGACCAAGGAATTCCTCCATGGGAGGAAAACATGAACAGTCCCTACCACAAATGCCAATAAGTTCTGATATGACTTACTTTTTGAACACTTCACCGCTCACTAGCTTCTTCTCACAGGCCCCTTTAAGGGATATCGAACTGATCAAAGCTTGCTATGTGGATTATCGGTGTACGGGGATGCTGCTTTGCTACACGGACAACAAAAGATGCATCCTAGGCCAGTGGTATGAAAGCACCCGCATGCAGCCGGATATCCAAGAAATGTTCCTGCAGCATGATGAAATACTTCGATTTTATTTCGCACGCGACGATCAAAACCAGCTTGTCACTCATGTCAAGGCCCTGCCGGACACTGCGCCCGTTGAAACAGAAGTAGTTTCGATTGACATAGTGGATGGTGTGAGTTATAACAGTCGCATTACTGCGCCTGGCTAATACAGAGCAGGATGAAATCATATGGATGTTTTCAGGCGATCATGATATCATATACAATGGCTCTGAGTAAATTTGTTATAATATACATAGTACCAAGTGTATCGCATACCTGGGCTGGCTCGAATAGTTTACTCCGTTATACACTTCAAGATTGTTGCATTTCACCTCTACTTTGATATGCTCATATAGCGTGGTCTTCCAAACTACCAATTCCTACCTTCATCTAAGCCGAAGAGTTGAGAGTACAATGGCTATGAACAGTCGCGTTGTGACAATTTGGAAGCAAATCAAAGTGGTTGGTTGATGGTGTAAATAATGGATAAGTTCGATAACTCGATATGACAGATTACCTAATCACGGGTCCATCACCGCATTCAGGCTGCCTTGTATCACTTCCATCTCCCTGTACTCCGTCTCCATGCCCCCTTTTTGCTTCATCCTGTCTTGACTTTTGTAGCTATATAGCTTCATCATTGTACTTTATTTCCTTGAATCAAGTGCATGCTTATCCCCACATTGTGAGAAAAGAAATGGGGGTCCGACGTTGTTTACCGTCTTCCATAATCGGCCCGGATGACGCCTGCGATATCCGAATCACAGTGCCAGGCAACGAATGCGACAAATACCCAGGTAGGCCTCACCCCCTGACTCGCTTTTCATCTAACCACCGCAATCCGAACTCATGGAGTAACGATTTCAACATGAAGGCTAACCTCCCCGATCGACTCCAGCCAAACAGCACGCGCGCAAGACGGCGTTGAAGCTCGGTGCCTCGTCCGGCCTGATCTATCTCGCCGGCCAACCCACCATCAACTGGGGCGACTCCGACCAACCGCGATTCTTCCGACAAAGACGCTACTTCTACTACCTCACCGGCACCAACGAGGCTGATTGCCATGTGACCTACGACATCAAGAATGACCTCCTGACGCTCTACGTGCCGGACTTCGACCTCCATCACGCCATCTGGATGGGACCGACGCTGACCGTGGACGAGGCCCTGCAGCGCTACGACGTCGACCGCGTGCGCTACCATGCCTCCCTCTCTGATGACATCCAGTCCTGGGCCCGGAAGTCCAACGGCTCCAACCCCATCTACATCCTCCACGAGACGCAGAAGCCCGCGATCCCGACCACCGGTCTCCACTTCGACCATGACCGTCTCGTACCGGCCATGAACATCGCGCGCATGGTCAAGGACGAATACGAGATCCGCATGATCCGCCGCGCAAATGAGATCTCGGGGCTCGCGCACCGCAAGATCCTAGAGACCATCCACAAGATGAAGAACGAGACGGAAATCGAGGGCCTCTTCCTCGACACGTGCGTCTCGCACGGCGCAAAGAACCAATCCTACGAGATCATCGCCGGCTCCGGCGAAAACGCCGCCGTCCTGCACTACGTCAAGAACGACGAGCCCCTGCACGGAAGACAGCTGGTCTGTCTGGACGCCGGCGCCGAATGGAACTGCTACGCCAGCGACGTGACGCGGACAATCCCCCTGCCCTCTTCCTCCTCCTCCTCCCCATCCTCGTCCTTGTCATCCGACTGGCCCAGCGACCGCGCCAAAGCCATCTACCAAATCGTCGAAGACATCCAAGAGCGCTGCATCAAGCTCTCCAAGGAAGGATCCAGCTTCGCGCTCCTACAAAAGGTCGCCCGATTCTACACCGTCAAGGGACTGCGTCGGCTCGGCGTCCTCCGCGGCAACGACATCAACGAGATCCTCGCGTCCGGCGCCTCCAACATCTTCTTCCCGCATGGCCTCGGCCACCACGTCGGCCTCGAAGTCCACGACGTCACCGAGTCCTCCAACACCCCCCAGGACCCATCCAGCATCAAGCAATGGGGTGGGCGGGCTTTCGTCCCGCCCGTCCCCGTCGAGGACAGTACCCTGACAGGCTCCTCCTCTTCTTCTACGCGGTCCGACCTCTTCGAAGAAGGCATGATCATCACCGTCGAACCGGGTATCTACTTCTCTCGGTTGGCGCTGCGGAATGCCCGCACCCTGCCTCTGGCGAGGTATATCGACTTCGAGGAGGCGGAGAAGTATCTTCCCGTCGGGGGCGTGCGGATCGAAGACGACGTGTTGATTACGAAGGGCGGGCCGGAGAATCTGACGACGGCGCCTAAGGGGCAGGAGATGCTGGAGATTCTTCGTCGCGGGATCGATCGTTAATGGTACCAGCTGTTCTATTCTTTTCTCGTGATACCAGCTAGATAGCTACTTGTTTACTTGTAGATTCGTCTACGTAGGTGGAAACATCACTGTCGGGGTTGTCTATCATGTTCAACACAATGGCCAAACCACCGACAATTGCTACGAAGGGAATGAAAGTAATCAAACACCTCAAACAAAGATCTTCCTAACTAGAAAAATCTATTTCAAACAAGTTATTTAAGAAAAAAAAACGAGGCACAGAAAAAAAAAAGGTAGTCTAGTGACAGAAATATAATACACCAAAGTAGTTCACGTTAAACACAGTTAAATCTATTTGGCGATCTCAACACCACCAGTGGCGCCCAAGATACGCTTGATGTCACCGTAGATGGCGAACTGACCGGCGGTCAGGGTACCAACCATGAACAGACGGGCACCGATACCGGCGTAGGAGCCCTTGAAGCCGAGCTCCTTACCGATCTTGGCCAGACGGGAGATGGTACCCTCACCGGGCTCACCGGGGGTCTTGTTGATCTTGGAGAGCATGGTGTCAGCGGGCTGGGAGACGAGAGCGGCGGCGAAACCAGCGATGAGACCGGAGCCGAGGTTGACGGCGGTCTTCATGCCATCGGAAGCGGTCTCCTTGTCGACGAACTTGTAGGCACCCTCGGCGACCTTCTCGTAGACGACGAACTTGGACATGGTGTAGGGGACCCTGTGGATATAGTGTTAGATACTATGGTTTTCACTGACTTGCAAGCCACGCAGGCTGTGGATTCAATGGAACTTACTGCTTGAAGAGAATGGGACCGAATCCAGAGTAGAAAGCACCGATACCCTCGTTCTTGAGGATCTTACCGAAACCGCTCAGGAGACCGGAGGCGAAAGTGGGCTGAGAGACGAGACGGATACGGGTGGCTTCCAGAGGGCAGAGGGCGATATCAGCGAAGAATTCGGCGGTGGCGGACGAGGCGAGGTAGATGGCGGTGCGGTTGTTGGAGGCAGTCTCGAGACCGAGCTGGTTGATCCACTGCTGCTTGAAGAACTCGTAACCTCCGAACTTGAAGGCACCCTGGAGGAAGTAACCGGCGGCGGTAGGACCGAAACCAGTCAGGAGAGCGCCAGCACCCTCGTTGGCGATGACCTGCTTGAATCCACCAAGCATGCCACGGTTGTAGGTGACGGGGTCAAGCTGGATACGGGTCTTGACGCTGGAAGGGGAGAGGACAGGTCAGCGAGATGGGAGAGAAAAACAAGGCAGGTCGTCATGGTGAATCGTGTTTTCAACGGCTCGAGGTTTTGCGTTTTCTTTTCTTTCGGCGCAGGGAGGACCAGGACCGGAATCACGCGCGTTCAAGGCGATCAATGCGACGAGGGCGATATGACTTACACATCGACGGGGGTCAGAGCACCGTGAGTGACGGAGCAGCAGACAGCACCAGCGAAGGCGAACTTGGAGTAGAGCTGAAGACCGCTGGGGGCGGCAGGGGGAGCGACGGCGGCCTTAGCGGCCTCCACGGGGGAGTTGTTCGTGGCGGACATTATTATAGGAGTGTATATGTGCTCTAAACACTAAGAAAGGAAGAAAGAAGGGAAAGAGGGAGGAGAGGAGAGTGGGGGGTGGAGGAAGAGCAAGCGATTGAAGCTTTGCAGAGTTTGGGATGGGAAAGAAAACGAGGCCCTTAGACTGGGAAGAGGATTTGAAAGGGATGGCTCGGCTCGACTGCCACTAGCGGCTCCGAACCCGAAAACTTTTCGCGGCCAATGCGCTTGCCACCGTCCACTCCGATCGTCCGGTCAACGGAGCATGAGGATTGTCGACAGGATGTCAGCGCTCCGGAATTGATGTTCTGACATTGGTGTTCTGGGGGCTAATTGTCCTGATCCTCGCTGGTTAAAGGACACATCGCATCCCGACCGTCCCCTTGTTTGTATTGACGCCTACACCCGACCGCATATTACAACTAGAACTACCTACCGGCGGTCGCTCGAGTTTTCCGGAGATACGCCGTCATAATTGACATCATGGAAGATCTGATATTGAAGACGCGACTAGGCTGTTTCCATCCATAGTGGCGTTCGTCCCATTTCGGCGGCATCGGCCTCAGGCAGCGACAGCTCCCTACGTCGCACCTCGACTTCGACGCCGATCCGGGATTTAGGTGTGGCAATGCAGAATTAAGCATTCCAGAAATGAGGTCACATCATCGCATCAACTCATTCTCGCCGGAATCGCGGTGGAGAGCCTTGGATGCGATGGACACCTCAGGCAAAAACCTTATTCTGCAGGCGCTGATTGGTGGATTCCGGGGGCTTCCGCGGCTTCCGGGAATTTAGCCGTTTTATTTTTATTTTCAGTGTTATTTATCTAGAGAGCCTAATCGCTGGTTATTTATAGACGACAACGTACTCGTGCATACAGTGTATAGTCTCGGCAGGAAAATAGTATATAGAGAAAGAGCTATACGATGCCGTGTTTATGGGTTCAAATACCTCAACCCCTTAAAGGAATCCAACGCTGTAGCCAAACCAGGGAACCCTACAGGCAGAAAGCCACCGACCAAAATAAACAGTTCCTCCCTTACAGATTCATCCAGCGATGCAAGCAAACACCCAACCCTTCCTTGCGAGCAAAAAGGCAGGTGCCTGTCCCTGTGTCACATATGCTGCGGTTAGTCAGGTATATTGCAAAGCCACCGCGACAGGAGCCAGCATGCAACACACGTCAGACACATGATAGATACGCTACGTTTAAACCTTGACGACGCAGGACGCGTCCGTCGTTATATAAAAGACGTTTCTTCCTCGTTCTCTAGAATTTTTCCAAATTCTGATCCCAGTATCATATAAAAATTGACGGCTTAATTTTTCGTCACGGCAATTCAATGCTAGGCTTCCTCCAGTGCCTTTACCCGAGGAGATGGGAAAGGCAAAAATGGAAGGAGATCGAAGGTGCGCAACCCTCTCAGAGATATGCTGTCTAATCGATGTTAATGATAAATCAGAAAAGGCAGAAAACCTGGAGAAACTCCCGTCATGGGATACCACAGACAACCCGCTCATGATGCAAGCCTTCGAATGGCACGTCCCGAATGACCAGGGACATTGGCGCCGTCTGGAGCAAGCTCTGCCGGACTTGAAAGCGATCGGAGTCGATAACATGTGGATTCCCCCAGGGTGCAAGGCGATGAATCCCGCAGGAAATGGCTACGACATCTACGACCTGTACGACATCGGAGAGTTCGACCAAAAAGGCTCACGGGCGACGAAATGGGGCACCAAGGAGGAACTTCAGTCGCTGATGGCTTGCGCCCAAGAGCTCAGTGTCGGTGTCTATTGGGATGCGGTGCTCAATCACAAGGCTGGGGCCGACTTCACGGAACAGTTCGCAGCGGTCAAAGTGGATCCGAAAGGTAGGCCTGCTTGGATCTTGACGCAGAGCTTTACAGTACAAGTCAACTTGCTAACCATAGAAACCACAGATCGAGACGTGGAGATCTCAGCACCCGATCTGGTGGAAGGATGGGTCGGGTTCGACTTCCCCGGCCGTGGCGAGAAGTATAGTTCCATGAAATACTCACGGCATCACTTCAGCGGCGTGGATTGGGACCAAATGCGCAAGACGAACGGAATCTACAAGATGCTCGGGCCTCACAAAGGATGGGCTGAAGACGTCAGCAAGGAAAACGGCAACTATGACTTTCTGATGTTTGCCGACCTGGACTATTCCGATCCTGACGTTCAGGGCGACGTGCTCAACTGGGCCACATGGATGAGATCCCAATTACCTCTCAGCGGCATGAGGCTTGACGCTGCTAAACACTACTCTGCGGGCTTTCAGGCGAAATTGGTTGATCACCTTCGGGAGACGTTTGGACCGCGTTTTTTCGTCGTAGCAGAGTACTGGAAGGGAGAAGTCGAGCCTTTAAGGGAGTACCTAGAACAGACACAATATAGAACGTCGTTGTTTGATGCACCGTTGGTTGAGCGCTTCTCAAGTATCTCTCAGATGAAAAAGGCGGATCTTCGGCACATTTTCGACGGCACGTTGGTTGACTGTCGACCGTCACACGCAGTTGTAAGTCATCTACCGCATTCGATGATTTTGAATATGCTAATTGGTTTCAGACATTTGTAATGAATCATGACACTGTAATAGAAACCCTCTGTATCTCCATGCCTGACTAGAGCTAACCATCTCCCAGCAACCAGGGCAGTCTTTAGAGGTATGATCAATCCCCACATTCTCTGTTCCATCTAATCTTTTCTGATAGGCACCGATTGAGCCATTCTTCAAGCCTCTAGCATATGCTTTGATCCTATTGCGGGATGCAGGACTGCCATGTCTATTCTATGGAGATCTCTATGGCATTGGAAGCGACGTCGAGAACCCGATGACACCTTCCTGTGGAGGCCGACTACCGGTCCTTGCCAAAGCACGCAAGCTGTATGCATATGGGGAGCAGCAGGACTATTTTGACCAGCCTAATTGCATTGGTTAGAGCCCTCTACTGCCCGTGAGCAAGCAAGACATGAACACCTGCTAATGATTCTAGGGTTCGTTCGATATGGTAACCAATATCACCCGGACGGTCTTGCCTGCGTCATGAGCAATGCCAGTTCTTCCAAGAAACTCATGTATGTTGGACGATCGCATGCACGGGAGAAATGGAGCGATGTGTTGGAATGGCAGACGAAGACTGTCACCATCGATAAAGATGGATACGGTGTTTTCCCGGTCGCGCCGATGAGTGTTGGGGTCTGGGCGAATACCATGGCGAAGGGACGAGATTCGTTGAGAGTGCGATTGTAAGTTGTCTTGATTGTCTTTGGCCTGAGTTTTGTTGACTGATATCTGGTTTTGATAGTAATTATGAAGATATATGCGGTCGGGGATAATGAAATAGTACTTGAAAGGCGGAGGGAACATACTATGTACAGATAATGCTTGCATTTTTTTTTCTTTCCCAGACCATGTTTCACCTCCGAGGCACTCCAATTGTAAACTAGTACTATTCATATCATAATTCCGTCTGCCATTTAGAACCTTTGGAAGGCTGCCAAGAACTTCAGGCGTATAACCAACCTGGATCTCCCTTCCCCACCCAACCCCTCCAGATCATCTGGTCCAGTCCTACGAATTGACCGGAAGTTAAATCCGAAATACCGACTCATTCGGGACTGAGGACAGCTCAACGGCCTCAAAATGGAATGCTTCCTCGCCTCCGATTTCTCGTCCTACGTCGAGGAGCTGATGCGACAGAACCACGTGCCTGGACTTGCCCTCGCAGTTGTCCAGAACGACCAGGTCGCTTCGGCAGGCTACGGGAAAGCATCGATCGATCCCCCAGCCCCATGCACAGCAGACACTATTTTCGACCTCGCATCTTGCTCGAAGTCATTCACCGCTGCCTCCATCGCATTGCTGGTCGACGATGAGGCCTATCCCGAGATCCAATACGATGCTACCATGTCCAGTCTGCTGCCGGATGACTTTGTGATGGCCAGCGCTGAGTACACGGAGGGAGTTACAGTCGAAGACATATTAAGCCATAGATCTGGCATGGCGCCGTAAGTAAACACGCTTTAATCTCGTCCTCTATTGCAAGAATCAACCTCTGATCAGACACCGTAGTCACGATAACTCGTACATGGGCGTACGAGCTGCGCAGCCTGACACCGCTCGATCCATTACGAGAAATCTGCGGAATCTCCCCGTGGCGGCGCCCCTTCGCGCGAAATATCGATATTGCAATATGATGTACACCGTGGCGACGCATCTCATCGAAGTGAAAACGAAAAAGCGATTCTCGGATTTCCTGTACCAGCGCCTTTTTGGACCCCTCGATATGCAGTTGACGAGTCTGCAGCCCGAAAGTGCTCGAGCAAATGGCCATGGAGACCGTATCGCGACCGGGCATTGTTGGGATAAAGAATTAGATACCTACCACGGATTCCAAAGCCCGGATTGTCCCGAAGCCCAAGGCGCGGGATCCGTAATGAGCAGCGCCAGCGACTTCGTTAAATGGGTCAAGGCTCTGATGAATCGTGAAGGCCCAATCAATGAACGCATATACCAGGGTCTGATTCGCATGCGCGCCATTAGGAACCCCGCAGCCAGGAGATTAAAACCACATACATCGCCGGCTCTGTATGCAGCCGGACTGGAGGTGTACTTCTATCGAGGATACATGGTGGTAGGGCATTTCGGGGTGACTGCCGGGTTTGCTAGCCGCTTCTTCTTTCTCCCTGATTTCAATTTCGGGGCTGTCATTCTAGGAAACGCAGATGGGGCTGGTCCTGTTGGTACAATCCTCGCTCGAGAGCTGATTGACACGGTCCTCAAAGTCCCGGAGATCGAACGTCCTCGACGAAAGACAAGTACAAATGCTAAAAATAAAACACCTGGTCAACCCAAAGATGCCGGGAAGAAGAATCAAGCGAAGAGCAAAGCAAAGACACAGAAACCCGGCATTCCTCAGCCACAGGCAATGCTTCTCAGCAACTACATTGGGATATACCGGCACCCTGGGTATCACAAACTGACGGTTGAAGTCAAGGACGAGAAGCTCTTCATCAACGCGACAGATCGCTCGTTTGGATTTACACTCTTGTTCGAACACTTGTCTGAGGGAGCCAAGTATACTGCGCATTTAAGTGATTTCTTAGAGGGAGGGGATGACCCGGTTGAAGCTGAGTTTGTTATTGACGAAGGTCGGGTGGTCAGGCTGGGGTTACACTTAGAACCTGCATTAAGGGAGATGATCTGGTTTGATAAGAGATTAGAGGGAGACAGACCATCGCCAGACCGAATAAACCCGAACGACGTCGAAGAGTATCTCTCTGTCGGCCCAAGGATTCGGCTCTGAATCATGCATTGAACCTCCTCGCAGATCGATTACGCAAACCCGACATCTAGACTGTCACCACCTGCGCGATGATGAACGCAACTTGACAATAAAAATAGAATCCCAGGGTTCTGGTTCAGCCGATATTAATTGCCTGACTGTTTCCCCATTCAGGATGTCGATGCAGGACGCTGACGGGATCAACGGCCCTGAGTCTTGGAAGGCTTGGGAGACACGGCACAGGTTAGTATGATGAGGGGATCTCTCCGGACAGGGATGCGATCGATGGAGGTGGCTCATCCTTTAAGGTTCCCAGAGGTCGATAGATATTCTGGAGTTGAGCCAATCGGTTGGATGGTTCTCTTGACCAGACGCACGAGCGACGCATGATCCAGTCGGAGCAGATGCTCTATAATTAAATCCCTGGTATGACAAGAATCCGCACCAAGTCAGAGCAGAGCAATAAATTAAGGGCAGCAACTAGTTTCCGACCGATTCCCAATTTCCCTCCGCCAAACCCGACCGATATTATTAGCCGGGGTCATTTCTCGTCCCCCCGCGAGATAATTATAGATCGTTCGCGTTCTCAACGGTGCTGTCGTGCTATCGCGCGATGTTGTTTTCTATTTTGATTCTGGTTCTAGCTCCAGCTCTGAGGCTCGCAGGAATGAAGCCATCGGTGGCGGAGTTGGTCGCGGATCTTGGATTTCTTCAGAGGAAAAGATGAATCCGCCAATCCACGCTAGGGACGGACGGACTCCTTCATCGTCATTCCAGTCTCTGCATGTCACACTTGCTCTTGGGGGCCGTTTCCCCCGTCAATAGTCGGCTCTTGAAACTCGCCCAAGATGTGGCTGGTTTATGATCGCCCTCCTTTTCCTTCTTTTTCCCAAAGCTCGCTCACTCGTCCACCTCGTGTTATATAACTGACGTATCCCATCCCCGTTCCTAGAGGATCGTCGCCCTACTGTCGCTTGCTTGCATTTGCCTCGTTTCTCGAACTTAGACTACTTAATCGCCTCGAGCCCCTTGCTGACATCGACTCTGGTACCAATTCATTTGATCATCGCCTCCATTTATTGGGTTGGATTTCCACCCCGCAGGCCGTCAGCTCCGGTGGATATAATTTCCTCTCGATCGGCTTTTGTCTCCTTCTCCTTATTAGTTACCACACGGTCGCTACCATGTCTTCACCTACTCAGCTATACCAGGAGGTGGCATGGGTGCCACAAGAGCAGACGCCGGTTCCAGAGCATGTGCGATCGTCATGGAGGTTCCTGGCGTCGTTGTCGTCCAACCTGCTGCTGATCGGGTAAGTAGCTTACCCCGGCCAGCTTGACGTCGCACGTTGACTGATCAACGATCGTGTGCGCAGATTTCTGGTCATTCCATTGGCCTTCGAAAGCCCGACGCAGGAACCCGTCAGCAAAGTGAATTCCGTCGTCGCCGCTGCGGTGTTGATTGGATTTGCCGATGCTTTGGTGTTGATTCTGATCTGCTTCCAATATGACAAACGCGAGTACCTGATTCGATCCATCTACCTGTATGTTGCCCTCCCATCGTCCATGCGTGGATCCATGCGCGAGTTGATTGAAGACTAATCTCACCCAGACCCGGGTTAACCGCCAACCTGATCGGCCTGCTCAACGTGATCCTCAATATCCTGTGTCGCGATCTATTACCGATCGGTGATGTCGAGGCCGCCAGTCTGGGCCTTGCCTGTTCGTTTGCCTTTCTTCATGCCCTAGGCGCACTGTGGGTGTACGGTCGGATGGTGGCCGAAGAAACTCGGATGTACGGACCCAAGAATGAGGCTGCTCTTCTGACGGAGGAAGAGATGCAGCGGCAGCAGCTTCTCCGGCTTCTGCAGGAGAACAATAAAAAGGGCACAAGCCCCAAGGTCACACAGAAGACGTTTCAAGTCAAGGTCCCCGAGCGCATCAACCCCGGCAAAGGCTGGGATACGTTCATGCCACCTCCTCATGAGGAAGGCTACTTTGCCGGTTACACTCGGGGGAGATAGATTGATAGATCCGTCAAGGTATGTTGAGGTTTATCTTCGAATTGTGTTCGATTTCTGACGAGATTCAGTGTTTTTCCCATTCTTCGCTCCTCAGTCCCATAGAAACCCCGGCGTTTTGGCCGAAGGTGTATGACTGAAGTCACTCCTTTGAAACTATCATCACAACGAAACATTCCATCATTAGATCTGATCTGCCGAGGATCATCCCTCGCTTGGCAGAGCGCGTGCCAGACACCGCGTCAACGTGATCGTGACACCTCCAGTGACTCTCGTTCCACGTCACCTCACGTGCTTGGTTGCTGATCGCAAAGGCGCATTCGTCTTTGCCAGTTGTATTTTTATTATTCGTCGTGACTCGCGGGAAACAGCGGTGGAATCTGGTCAGGACTGGGATGCAGCGCTTCCTCGGCTCCTCGGCTCCGTTTTCCCGCGGTGAGAAATGATGATTGTGCTAGCGATATATATAGTCCGAATAATCCTAATGATAATGATAATAATGACACACTACCATTCTTGGCCTGAGAGAATCCAGTGCGTGGAGGGAGTGCAAATGATCATCGCGAGTAATCAAACTCGGCTCGACGAACGCCTCGGCTATTACCCGATTAGGCATCCCCGTGCCCGCTCGAACGAAGTCGTCAGCCGCTTCTTCTCTTTTCCTCTCTCCTCTCCTTCATTTCACATTGCATGTCCCAAACCCCCTGGTCGCCTTCTGTTCCCGACCAGAAACAATCCACCATGGATAAACGAGTCACCCTGTTAGAGCCCCCTGCGTTGGATGCCTCCAAGGCGCCGATCGAAAATGTCTTGGAGTTGACGCCGGTGGTAGACATTGGACCTGTACGTCAACCTTCCCCTCTTCCGTCTGCCCCTTGCATTCCTCACGTTCATTCTAACCCACGTCTCCTGTCTCCTGCAGGATGTATTCACCAACACCCGACCTCTTTGGCACCCGCCCGGAGCGCGGGGCATCTACGGCGGCGCGGCAATCGCGCAGTCCCTTTCCGCGGCGATGCGGACGGTCCCCTCCGATTTCGCCGTCCACAGCATGCACTGCTATTTCGTGCTGGCCGGCGATTCCGAAATCCCGATCCTCTACCATGTCGAACGAGTCCGCGACGGCCGGAGTTTTATCACGCGGACGGTCCAGGCCCGGCAGCGCGGGCGGCCCATCTTCACCACCACACTGAGCTTCAGCAAGGCGAACAGCGGCGGGAAGAAGAAGTTAGAACATGCGACGCCGATGCCGACCGTTCCGCTACCGGATCTTGCGCCGCCGGGCTCGAAGAAGCAATTCGACGAAGGTGGTGGCGGGCCATTCGAGTCGCAGAAGGCGGGAGTCGTGAACCGTAAGTGTTCGAGAATATGAAGTTCTGTTGGCTGGCTTGACTGACATACATGGCTCGGTTCGGTGCAGGGGACGCGAATCCCGCAGATAAGCGTCTCCGACGGTTCGTTCGAGCCCGGGGAAGGATCTCCGATGGCGGAGGCCATCACGCCCATCTCTCGGCCCTCGCCTACATCACCGATAGTTATTTCGTCGGCACCGTGTCGCGTGTCCACGACATCCCTCGATTCACGTCGCCCGGTGAGCTGAAGCAGTTCTTGAATGCGCTCAAGAACCCGTCCGATCTCGATGATGAGGATATCTCGCGGGCGCTCAAGGAGCTGAAGGAGGAAGAGACGGCCGAATTGCGGCGCCGGCTGGAAGGTGCGCTCAGCAAGGCCACGGATGAGAAGAACAAGGCGGAACACAAGGAGGTCGGCATGATGGTCAGTCTGGATCACTCGATCTATTTCCACAATCCCTGGGCATTCCGCGCCGATGAATGGATGCTCACGGAGATGGAGAGTCCCTGGGCCGGCGAGGGTCGGGGCTTGGTGCTGCAGAAGATGTGGTCGAAGGATGGGACCTTGATTGCCACGTGCACGCAAGAGGTATGTTGAGTCTGTTTTCATTGCTTTCACTTTGAGTGTCAGTCGGTTGCTAATGCATGAGGTCAAACAGGGCGTTGTGAGGCTGAAACAGGATGAACCCCCTCGCTCGAAGATATAGATGATTTGCTTTTTTGACGACACTTTTTGGGTACCTTGCTTATAGACAGAGGATGGGACATGTTGGTTATATGTTCCTTTTGCTTGATCTTCTTGCTTTTTCTTACATCTGGTTGAACATATGGCGTCGTATAGCGCCTTTTCTTGGTCTCATTGGAGCACCTGAAGCTCATTGAGCTTTTTTGATTTTTTGATATACATACATATATATACTAGCTGTATAAAATTTAATTACAAACCAACCACAACGGACGTACTAGAGCCATGATCCTGAACATATCTGCATACATTGACATCATGATGAAGCTAAATAAATACACAGCAACCGCAAAAGGCCAACCAAAATTCGACAAACATGAAAAAGTAATCTCAGACAGCCAACCAGAACAAGGACAAAACCAAAAATGAAACAAAGTACAGAAAGCCTGTGTTGCAAATCAGAAAACCGCCCAGCCGTTTTGTCATGCTCGAGAGACAAATGCAACCAATGCAAATAATGCTACAATTGAAGGGTTCTTCCCCTCCCCTTCCCTCTCCGTCTTCTCTTCATCTCCTTCCCGTCGACAGACGAGACCCTTCAAACCTCCAGCTTCTCATTCTCCTTCTCCTTCTCTTTCATCGCCTCTGCTTCCTGTCGCTGCTGCAATTGGCTCTTCCATTCGCAGAACTCCAGCGCTTTGGCCCCCCAGACCTCTGCCCCCTTGTACTCTCCCACGTAATCCGGCCAGCTCCGGATCTCCTTAGCCAGATTCTGCAACTCCTGCATTGGCAGCTCGTCTAGCGTCGTCAGGATGGTCTTGACGCCAAACACGATCGTCCCCGTGCGGGGAAGACGGCGGAAAGTCTGGCGCTCTCGCCGGATGACGATGTCCTGTGGCAATGGGTTCGGGTTGTCTTCTGACAGCGTGGTCGGCCGGTAGAGAACCTCGAAGAGGTCTTCGTCGGGGCGCTTGACTTCAACGAAGTAGTTGGATCGTTCCATAGGAGAGGATGGAGTCAGGCGTGCGAGGAACCTGTGATCATGGAAGGATTTGTTAGTCGTCATGCGCTAGCTTCTCCGACAACTGGTATCAGAGTGTAAAGACTAACTTGCTGACAGAATTGGCGACCTGCTGGTGCCACAGCGGAACTGGGTTGTGAAGTCGTGAGATCGTCCATCCAATTCGCTCCTGCACTGTCCATCCTACCGGGAACAGACTCGCGCTGGCCGCTCTAAATCCCCGTTTGGTCAATAACATTCCTTCATATCACTCTGAGGCCCAAGTTCAACTCACAGGTAATATTCGTCATCCGCATTCTTCATCAGAATGCTCAGATCCTCCATGGTCAATCGCACGGCGATTTCCAACGGATCCACGTCCCGATTCTGGCCACCATAGACAAAGGTTTCACCCGTCATCTTATTGTGGATGGTCGTTTCGTCGCCGGACCTTTTCCGTTCGAACATATCCGAGAATCGCTGGCAGAGGAAATCGACCACCTCCTCCAATGCCTCCAGACACGCCTCATACGATTCGGGCAGACACTGCAGCACCTTTTGCTTCTCCTCCCGCAGCAATTGGCTCCGGATCTGGTGCTCGTCCATATAGTTCTTGTCGACGGTGAGCCAGTTCTGCACGTCCAGCCTGCGCACGTCCATCATCACCCGGTATCTCTCTCGTCCTTTGATGGGCTGAGCTGGGTAGGGTGCTATGCGTTTCAGGTCACTGCAACTTGTGCGCGGCGTTGGTTTTCGGGACGTTGGTTTTCTGGACCATATCGACCGAAGTTTGACGATAACGAGAGAGAGAAAGCACAGCGCAAGCGCGCTCCATGATAAGACATTCATCGCCGTTTCTGAATGGCCGGGTTGCCACCAATGCAAATGATCGAGGATAATGATACACAGCGAGAGGGGGATAAACGAGAAAGTAGCGAAGAGAAAAAGAAAAGAAAGAAGACCTCGGAGAGTCAGAAAAAGAAAGAAAAAGGTAAAGATCGATTCCAAAGAAGCTTTTTTACAGTCTCACACTGAATTCAAAGATGCCACCGCAGACCAGGCTCGAAGGAATGAAATGACCAAGCCAACAAAAAAACATTGCAGGAAATCTTCTTGCCCCCTCGAGAGGGCGACGAGCTAAAATATATTTGCCCGGCCGACAAAGAAAAGAAAAGAAAAAAAAAAAAAAAAAAAGCTTGGAAATGAAGATCCTCCTGGTCAGACGATTAGCTACTATGGCGCCTTCTCTACATTCCGGATTCAGGAAGCTGGGATGCACTCTGATACGTTCTGCCTTTTCCCCGCAAAAGCCGCAATTCGCCGCCCCCAAAAAAGAAAACAAAAAAAAAATCAGAAAAAAAAAGAGAGAACCTGACAGCATACATGATCCACATGATCCAGCTGAGATAATGCTGCTCAGCTTTCAATGCCATCGAACTCCACTGAGGAGAACTCTAAGTGGGTAACGAGGAAACGCACCGGTAGGAGGGTCTCCGGCCCCCCCTCCAGGGAGTTATGGGCCCGGACTAATTGATGGACTGACTACTAAGACGGCGAGTTTGGAGACTGTTGCGGTGCTAATTGCCCCAGTTGGTTGGAAACTAAGTATGTATGTATGGTCCTAACTCAATCCTATGGGAATCGTCAGGCGCAGCTCACGCGTATCATGTCCGTGCGCAATCCAATCTGAGTGAGAAAGTGAGAGGCGAAAACCAAAATAAACCCAGCAGGCGAGAGGCAAGAGGCAAAAGGCAGGAGGTAAGCCGCAAATGAGACCAGAAAGAGCCCGAAAAATAAAAAATCAAAATCAAGAAAATTGACCAGAAAAAAAGGCCTCGTGAGCTGACCCGACCCCCGAATCTGGAGACGGTTTTCCCCCTGTTCAACAGTTCCTGCGGTTCCGCTCCAGCGGTATTCGTCTTTTTGTTTCCGACGCCGACGCAGGCAATCCCCAGAATGGTATAATTCCTCTCGAAGGGGGAATTGCAACTACAAGAAATACCGCACTGTGGCATGCTAAGCCCCCATGTCGACAAGCTGTCCGGTTTTTAAGATGCTGCATACTGCATCCAGATCGTGCATACGAATGGGGGGATGATGGAAGTGGAAGGGGGGTGGAAAGGGAAAAAAAAGGCAGACAGGCAGGTAGGCAGACCGAGAAGCCATAATCGTCAGCACCATTTGTTACCAACCACCGTCTGTACGACCGACCCGAGAAAAAGCAAAACCAGCAGCAGCGCGTGGGTTTTTTTTCGCACCCCCTACTTGCGTGGGCCGATCCCAAATCGGCAGCTCGATAGTGACACAAGGTGTGGATGTAAACGAATGACGGGGGCGATTTTGAAATCCTACAATCCTACAATCCAGGTACTGAATCTGACTAAACCACCACGGGGCGTACGCATGTACATCATCGAAAAGTCAGTTGCCTGTGGGTTCAGACTGACGTGCTGGCATGCGCGAGCCGATGGGCCATTCCGGGCACGACGACTGGTCCGGATGAGTCTGGGCCACGGGCTGAGAGACGAGACTAGGTTAATAGAAGAAGGTACGCGAGTCGGCACTGACGTACCATGAGGCGTCCTTACAGGTGCATCAACGAAGGGGGAGGGGAGACTGGAGACCCTGGAGGTACTTGGGAGGTACTCTGACCCGAACAGCCCAGCGGCTAGTGGAAAATCAACAACAACCCGGCAGGCGATCCACCAGGCGGCCGAGTCCAGAATTGGTCTCGCTCGTCTTGTCTAGTCTCGACGCAGCAGCCGAAAGGGTTGCACGACTCCACTCTCTCGAGCCAAAGACTCGTCCGGGGTTTTGCGCTGCAACCGCCTAGTGGGCGGAAAGCGCGCTTGCCGCTGCCTCTTTTCTCGGTCGTGACTTACTGCCATTGAGGCCAATGTCTCAACCAAGAATGCGTCTTTTTTTCCTGCTCTCACTTGACTTTACCCTTCTCATACTTCCCAATCCACAATGGAGATGCTGCGGACACTGGTGCCTTTTTTTGTCTGCCTTCCTTCTGACTGTAATCCGTCCACGGGTTTGACCCCCTTCCGTGGGTCCCTTTTTTCTCACCTTTCCTTTTTGGTTATTTTTGGGATGTTTACTTTTTTTCTTTGGAATTTTGTTTCGTCCAGCCCAAGACCAACCCGGCTCCCCCTCTCACGGCTGACCTACAGAAACAAAGAAAATCCTCCGAATGATGATTCTTGTCCCACGGGATATGACCTCAGCTCGGGAACTGAGTTTCCAGCCCTATCTATCGACCTGCAATATCAGAGTCAGGAGATGTTGCCCTGTCCTATCACACACTACAGAGAAACGGCATCTTTCCGAAGAATGGAGAACAATACCCGTCATATCGTACCATATCATTCTTCACTTGTCGACGGTTGCCCACTCGCCTCACTTCTGAAGAAACTACTCCGTAAACACAGAGAATCCACCGATACTGGCCTCTACTAAGATGACCCATAAGACTTACAGAGCACTACCTACGCAGGAGGACCCAGATCCGAACCGACGAATCACCACCGCCGATTACTTTTTCCTTGAACGTGTCAAATCCACATCAGCAGTCAACGAATCGGCCCGAACTCCACATCATACCCATCGACCCCATCGTCCATGTCCATCCCGAGACATCGACCTGTCTAGACACCTGTCAGACGATCAAAACAGCACAGAAAAAGTACGAATCGCGCATATCACATCCATGCACAGATCATAAAACGAACAGGAACGGGTACAGACGGGGACGGGTACGCAATGCACCAGGATGGAGAATTAACGGCATGCCCGTTACTCCATCAGGAGATGGCAGGGAAGGTGGGTAGTCCGATAAAAATAAATCATCGCCGTAATGGGCCTGGGAAAAACAAATGAGGAGACCGGCCAGTCTCGACTCGATCGACACCCACCGAGGTTCCCAACCCCCTTCTGGGCCCTTCATTTATTTTTCATGTCGATATTCACTCGATGCAGAGTCCCTGGTGGGACGAAGGAATCGGTGGGACCGCGGCGTTCAAGACTAAGGGTTAGATCGATGGTGCACGGACATGCTAGTCGGCTCTAGTTTCGTGATGGTTCCTTCGGCAGACTGAGAGTACGCCGTGGACTGTAGACTGTAGACTGTAGACTGGAGACTGAAATGAGGCTATACTGATTACTGCGGAGTACTGGGAAGCACCTGCTGATTGACTAGATTATGACAGTATCACTCAGCACCACCCTAGAGTCTCCGGGCAAGTACGGCGCAGTCATAACAACTAGCAGTAATGATAAGCAGACCGTCTAGGTTCTCACTCCTGAGCCCCCAGAAGCTCCTACGCCGTAAGCTAGCCTCTTATCAGAAGATCAAAACACTGTTCTCCCATTCCATCCACCTACATGAACCAACGGCCTAGACAATCCACCCATGTGTGCCGTCACATTGCTTTGTATATCCGCCGTACCTCAAGAGTACATACCCCGTCCGGGGCTCGCCAATCGCCAGAGCCCGGAAGTACCGTCGTACGTAAAGTTCTCCGCAGTGCTGGGCAATCCGGATCGCATCCCCGTGCCTTTTCCTACCTGGGATAGGATCGGATCGGACGTAAGAACGGGGATGCTATTCATTAATTAAGTCAGGCTAGGATGGAGGGAGGTACTTTTGTGGGTTTTCTTTTTTATTCTTCTTTTCTGCCTAGGTTAGCTACCTGCATAATATTACATGAACATGTTGGTGTGGGTGTTTATTTCTTTTTTGCTCTGGGTATTGGGGATTTTATACTGATTTCTTTTGTTCTTTCTTATTCTTCTTATTGTCTACTTTCTTAACTATTTCTCAGCATACATGTCTATTATTTTCTCTCTGCTGTGTGTATTTGATTACCGTCCATCTTTCAATTATGGGTAATGAAGACCCCAACAGCATCACATTAAAAATATACCCGGTATATATATATACCCAAGAACCCAAATCCAGGATTTGCCACAAACAACCCACCCTTTAATTCCAAGTAATCTTAAAAGAAACGGAAATAAACCCCGGTATACCCTCCCCTCCCCTCACCCTCTCTTCCTCCTCCCCAATACTAGGCACCTAAGCTAAGTAGTCCAAGCATAGAACCCCCTCATCGACAAAAGCACCTCCCCATAAAACCCAAAAAAGCAAACAGAACCACGCTCATGCACGAACCCCATCCCACTGCATTAGTAATGACTTCCGAATTCCGAACGTCTGAGCTCAGGCTATCACTTCCGCTCCTATTCGCTGATCAGCGGTGCATTGGCAATCCGGGCGCTTTCTTATGTCATTGTACATGGAGGTACATTAGGTTGGTTGGGGCTGGGGGAGGAGATCTAGAAGGGTTGGTTATTCCATAGTTACGTTGGTATGATGTATGATGTATGATGTATATGGGTATAGTTGTGTAGGGTCGACCGGTTGTGGATTGTGGCAAGGGTAGGGGTTGTGGTTTAGTGCTGGCTGGAGTTTGAAATTGCTCTGTAGGTAAGATGATGATGCATTCATTGTGTTGTATTGCCTTGTTTGGAGACGTGCTGTGCATATAGACTGTGGTTGTTTATACTATACCCCAGGTTCCAGGATCTAGTCTAGATTCTGTTACATCAATCCTTGATTCAAAGGAGGTACATACTAAAGGTAAAGTGTATCTGGCCTGAATATGTTGTGGTCTACTTCATATTCTCTTTCTACTTGACAATAAAGTTAACAAGATAGTATATCAAACATCAAATATACCCATGCCTATACAAACCCACCAATTGAACAGAACACCCTCGCTACACCCTACCCATCCCAATACCGAACCATTCTACATCCTGACCCTACTCAATCATACCCCCCTAACCCATAAACCCACCCAACTAACCAGTATCAACCACCCTAGAAATACATGCCCAAACCTCAAAACCACAACCTCCCCTCAACCCAATTAAAATTATAACACCACAACTATCAACCCCCAAAGACAAGGCCACCCTGTCAGCCAAGTACCGACAGCGGGACGTGGCTGGCTGCAATGCCAGTTCGGATCGCGATTCTGATGTCATGGCTGGGGTCACTTCGCTCAGGTGACTGAGACTGACTGGGTTGGTTTGTTTGCTTTTTCCGGCTCGGGTTCGATTCGGACTGGAGGACAGATTCATTCAGTCATTCGAATATTCATTCATTGAGTGGTTGATTGCATGGGTTGGGGCTGGGGTTGACTTGACATTAATATTATTCGAGTTAATGTCTCATGTCTCATGTCTGTCTCTGTCTGTTTCTCGGGCAGTAGGATGGAGGGCTCAAAATGATGAGAAGATGGAGTAGCCGGAGAGTGCTCCATTGGCGATACAGATGATTTTCATGTTGACACTGACTCACGAGGTCATCCAGGTTATGTTGGGCATCAATCTACAGCTCTTATATCATGTAACCCAAATCAATAGATTCACTGGGTCAATCCCCAGTATCAAACCCTCTAAGTCACACTACCTAAAGTCATCTCTAGATAACAAAGACCACAGCAGACAGACTCAAATCAGCTCAGACATGGATGATGGTATCTGGCCATTATCTGAATTAATAAAAATAAATAAATCAAACCGTCAATGCTTCATATGAAAGGTATCCAATAAACAAGAAATTCAAAAATGATGTGCTGGGTGAAACATCACGCCAAAGATATCAAGAGAGCCTTGCCCTTTCTGCCTGAAGGACAAAGATGGGCTGGGCTGCGAATGAAACGGAAGAAGGGATATAGAAAAAGAACGCCCGTCCATGTAGTGCTTGCTGGTTGGTTATTCGTGACTCGGGGTAAGACTGCCCGACAGCCGTGCTCCATTTGGCTTCCCGTCTTTCTTTTGTGATTTTATTTATTCCTTTTTGCCCCAATAGGAAGTGGTCAAATGGATAAATTTCCGCACGTCTGACAAGGCGAAAATATCTCGGAATCAATTTACCGGAACTTGGCCCGGCATCGTCCCATCACCTCGCCCTGGCAGACCAACTCGGCGCTGAATTCACTGCCATCAAGCGTGAGGTAGATGTCAAAGTATACCCGATAGAATGTTCCTTGAGGAGTGTCCATGCGCTCGAAATCTGTTTCCAGATTCTTGCGGGACAGATCTGACGTGAGAGTCACGACCTCCTTAATACCTGTATCGAATAGATTAGCACAAATCTTCTTGTTACCAGAAAGAAAACTTACGAGGATCTTTCGTATACTCCGGACACACGTCCTCGTCACACGCGTACAAAATATCCTCGTACATAAGCGTAGCACCTGGTGCGACCTGTCGGAAAAAGCTGACTTTGACTGGCTCGCCAATCTTGACCCGCTCTCCCTTCTGCACGAAGATCTGTCGCGTGTACTTGCATCGATCTCGACCGTCCAGACTAGGCACCCGATACTGCTCGGGGTGATATCCCTCCTTGAAGGGTTGCAGGGTGGCCATGAGGTAATGCCGACGGGCGACACGGTGCGTGATCACTCGCTCTGTGATACCCGCCGTCACCGCACCCTTGACGATGGCGGCGACCGAGTCCATGGGTCGTACCACCTTGGTCTGATACTGCGGGGGCACGTGGAGCTTGATCTGCTGGAAGAGATACTCCGACGCACCGAATCCTCCCACCACGAGAACGTTCTATTGCGGTTAGTTTGTACAACCCGAGAAAAGCCGAATGCAGACATACCTGGAGCGATCGATTTTGCGCTTGGATGGCGATGATCTGATTCCGAACCAACTCAAGAATTCGGTTGACGACCGGCTCGAAGCACTGAAGGATCTCTTCGTTCGTGAACGTCATATAACCTTCTTCGATACCGGCATCCGGGAAATCCGCCTCGATACCAACGTCCACCGCCCACTTCTGTCCGTTGTTACGGAAGTCGGCCTTGATCCGGTTCTCGAAGTCCATGATACACTTGGCGTACACCTTGCCGGCCGTTCGCGAGCCGTCGGGCAGCTTCATCTTGCGAATCTTGGCCCGGAGAATGTTGCTGAAGTTTCGGTTGAGAGCCGTTGAGCCGCAGGAGTCACCGGATCCTGCCGTGCATTCGGCCACGCTGAAGGGCTGCTCCTCCTCGACCTCGTAGGCGATCAGATCGACGGTACCTCCACCGCAATCGACGATCAGGATCGCATCGCCGACCTTGAGATTCAGCAACCCGGTCTTGGCGCAGAACAGCGCCGCCGCCTCGGGCTCGGAGATCAACGTCAGACGGTTGTCGTTCTCGTCCCGCAGAAATCCCGCTTGCAGGGCCGCCGCACGCGTGGCCGCCTTGCCGGCATCGTTCCAGATGGCGGGCACGGTGAGGTAGTATCGGATGTTGCGCTCCTCTCGCGTGAACACCTCGCCCAGGGTCTTTTGTAGTTGGTTGCGCATCGCCTGACGCAGCTTGAAGAGGTAGTCGGCGGCGACGTCGATTTCCGACTTGCCCGGCGGTAGCGGCGGCAGGTTGATGGGATCGATATACGTATTACCGGAGAGCATGAGCTGCAGTTTGAACCATTCCACCTTCTGCACCCCTTGCTTCGGATATCCGGTGGGGGCCAGAGCGTCGGCGATGTCAGGACCCCATCCTACTACTTTCTGATACTGATCGTAGTATAGCACTGTAGGGATCTACAGGGAAAAGAGTGGAGTTAGCACTTGATTCTTCCCCGCCCGGACGGTCGCCTTTCTGCGCGCGCGCGACAGCACAAGCCGGACTTGCTCACCTTTTGTTTGGTATGGGTTCCCGCTCCCGGCCACTCCGTGATGATATCCTCTCTCGCCTCGTTGTTGGTCGCAAAAGCAAAGGCCACGCCGGAGAATGTCGTTCCAAAATCAATACCGACGATGAGTTGGGCCTTGCTGCGGCCGGCGCCTTCGACTTCGACGGCGGGGTTGCGGACTCCGTACTGCGGCTGCATGCCCGGAGCCATGCCGTGCGGGACGGGCTGCTGCTGTAGACCGTAACCCGGCGGAGCGCCCATGGGCTGAACCGGCGCTTGTCCGTATTGCAGGTTCGTGTTGAGCGGTGGCGGATGGTGTGCTAGTTGCTGGCCCGGCGGCATCGGACTGGTGGGTCGGCCGGTGTTGTACGTGTAACTTGGGGGCCGACCCAAGGTGTTTTGGTTGTTATTCATCGAGAGGCTGGTGGTGGATGAACTGTGACGGTCCGAGGGAGGGGAGCTCGGGGAGGTTGACACAGCGGGGACAAGCGTATTGCTGGACTGGTTGGAGGTCGGTTGAGGAGGCGCCACGGGGCTGCTGGAGTGCTTGTTCCGGTTCTTCCAGGTGAACGATTTAAACCGCGAGCTCATCAGGTCCATATGTGACCACGATGGAGGTCAACGGGGGGGAAAGAGAAACAAAGGACGGAGAAAAAGGGGAGGGCGGAGACAGAGTAAGCGAGGGGAACGATCCAAGAGGGAGAGAGAGGGGGAAAAGAAGGGGGAAAAGGAAAAAGAAAGGAAAGCAAACACCGAAGGGGAAAGAGAAACGAAAGCGAAAGGCAGGCAGAAAGAAAGAGGCAGTGCCCGGGATCGCTCTGGCGACGACTCCGTAGTTGCGCCCGATGGGAGATGGGGCGGGGAAGTGGAAAAACACGGAAGGAATCAAGCCAGACGGAGAACAGGGGAGATGAATGGGATGGATGGACGATGGATGGAATTCAGGCTGGGATTTCCGCAAGATGGAACGGACAAAAACAGGCCAGCATTCCGAGAGCGAAAGACAGGCCGAAGAAGCGGTGGGATCGGAATGAGCTGATAGTAAGAATAATGCGAGCGAAGGATCGAGGAATGGAAACCCAACGGTTGGCGCCGTCTGATCGGTGGGAGTAGGGAGTCTGTCTGTCTGTCTGCCTGTCTGCTGTCTGTCTAGTGCTAGTCAGTCCAGTCTCAGATGGCAGGATGATTGATGGATCAACGATGCTTCTTTGTATTTTTCTCCGCCACGCTCTGGAGACGCTCTTTCTGCGTTGCCTTTTGGTTGGAGGCCCGTACCATACCGTACGGAACGGTACCAGACGGACCGGAGACGAGACCGGATCAACCGCGTTCCACATGGAGTTGAGTTCATCGCGGGGCATTCGTTCTTCGTCTCTTCCATGCCCCGGCATCAAATCATCTCGAAGACGGCTGCCGATTTGGTTGCCCATCCAATGCCCCTGATGTAATCCTTATTTCATCTGCATTGATTACAGTCATCAGCGATTGCCTTGCATGTCGTTCTCGTCGTCCACCCGGAGTGTGCCTGAGCGACCCATGGGACGGGCGCAAGGCTGAGCCGGGAAACTGTTCTTTGTTGGTCTGCGGCTGAAATCACGCCGTACGTTACGGTCTCGTCCGGTCACATACGGTACGGTACCCCCCGCTCACCTGACGAGGCTCAGGCAACGAGGCGCAAGTTCTATACTTAGATTGGCCCTGGCCGATTCTTGGAAAGGCTTGCAGCGTCCCCCGTCTGGAGAAGCATATCGGCTTTTAGGTTGCATTGTTCTATATTTATTTTCATTTTTTTACTTCTTGCGAGCCACCCAGTGCGATGGCTTGTACAGTGGCTGAAGCATGCTCTCCCGGTCCTGGATGTAGCCACACATGCGCCGCTCCTCCACGGCCTGCCGCGTCTCGATGCTGAACCCCATCCGTTCCACAAGGCTGAATACCTCGTTCTCCGTGAGCTCCACATTTCCAGGCTCGCCGATGCCCGCGCTGTGGCTCTCGTCGCCCGGTTGGTCGTGGTGGCTGCGGTTGCTGCCATCCTCGAAGTGCCAGAGGAGGGGACCCACGTTGCTCCAGATGCCGTTGGGCTTGAGGCAGTGCCGGATGCTCTCGATATACCGGATCAGGTTGGGTGCCGTGTCGATGAAGAAGACCGTGGCCACCGCGTCGAAGGTCTCCTTGTTCGACGGGTTGCTGTACAGCACCACGAAGTCCGCCGCCGACATGCTCATCGTGCCAAAGGGCGTCCCGGGGCTGTCGTGCGCTTCGAGCATCGCGGTGCCTGGATGTCGGTCGGGGATCATCACCTTCTGATGCTGCTGCTCGCGCGATATCAGGTTCGAGAAATGGAGTGCGAATGGGTAGAGAGCGTGCTCCTTGGGGCCTGCAGTATGGTTCAGGATCCAGCTGCTCGCCAGCAACTGATGGTATGAGATCTCATTGCCCTCGGCCGCGTATCCAGCCCGGCATATCTCAAAAACCAATCGTCCCAGCCCGGCCCCGGGGACCAGCACCCTCGGTTCCTCGTGAGAGTCCTGCCTCTCGCCGAACTCGTCCCGCAGGTCTTGGAGCACCGGGTCGTAGCAGACCTCCCTCTCCGCGTGACCCTCTGCGCTCCAATCCCGATAGAACTGTCGAATGGTTGAATGGGCTTTATTGACATCCGATGTAGTAGCTTTGTCTCGCCAATTTTGCCGGGGATCTTCCGTGTAGGGGTCGACCGGTAGTCCGAACGAAGCAAGTCCGGTGGCTAGAATAGCGTCCGCGATATCGGCATTGACATCAATGGCGTCGTCGACGCGGCTGAAGTTATCTAGGAGGTTGAATGGCGGTTCGGCGAGCATTTGCCAGTGCGCGGATGGCAGCGAGTAGAACGCCTGCCGCCGACGATGCGTTGTGTTCATGTGAGCCGTCCTCCGATATTGCCTGTAGTTGTACAAGATTCAGCATTCGTTGTCAAATTGGATTGTGATGCCATGGAATTGATCCGGATGAAAGATAGCATAGAAACATAACAGAATAGCAACAACACAGACGCTAGAAAGAGATCCAATTGCGGAGAAATGCAGTTCTGGTATTGTTGACAAGGGAATATGTTACACAAAACAAGAGAAACAGGCTTATCACTCATACACACCTATATGAATCCAACGCAGCAAACAGCACTCGTCTTTCCTCGGGGTCATTCAGAGGATCGAAATCGCCAGCCCAGCTCCGAGTCTCCTCCGACTCATCATGAGGGGTCGGTTGCGATTCTGATGCCATGGCGAGCTTGTAATCGAGGGATAACACGGTCCTTTTGATGGGCAGACAGAAACAATAACAGCTAGGTATAACGCCGATGCAAATCAATTGATGCGCTGAATGAGAAAAACCGAGCAAATCCAAAGAGGGGCGTGAGGGGGAAATTCGAGATGCCACCGACGTTCGAGACGAGGTCAGTGGACCCGCTTTGTTTGGCGGGGAACTCCAGCTTCCATCGCCAACGCTTCACCGTCCGGCAACAACGCGAAGCAGCGCACCTTCTCAACGAACACGATCAATTCCTCGCCGCTCTCGAATACTCGATTCCTATCTCCTCTCCTCTCCGCCCGTCCACACGATCATCTCTACAAAATGACCACAGCAGCCGAATCGGCCATCCCGCCGCAGACCGACCAACCTCAACCGCACGAGATCTCCTTCGCCCTGCCAAAGGCACTTCATACCACGGCGCATATCCACTTGACCATGCTAGAGACCTGCACCACGGTGTTTCTATCGACATCGACGCCCGGAGACTCGGGCGGCACTGTGAAGCCGATGGGGAGTTTCGTCTATGCCATGCCGGATGTGAGTTGATCAATTTCACCGCTGCGAAGGTTGGGTTCAAGACGATGGGAAGATCACGAGATTATCGAACCAGTCGATTTCCTCTACTCTGCCAGAGTCATTCCCCCGGACAAGAACCGACCACCCTTCCCCCCTCCCCCTCCCCCATCCCAAACTACACCGTACCACCATCCACCAAGCTAACAAACCTCCCTCGACAGCGCACAAACCCCCGCACCGCCATATCCACCACGCTCTACACCTCCCCCACGGTCGAATACACCACCCGCGTCGCGAAGATCCTTGCCCGTCGCACGCGCGCCCCCGTCTACGTCGGCTGCAGCATCGATCCGACGGCGCTCAGTCTCACCGTGGAGGAGGAGATGGAGGGATTGACCAAAATAGTGGATACGATAATGCAGCGATGGGAGCAGCGGAAGTGAATTGCTGCCCCTCCGTCCCTCTCCCTCTCGCGGCCGGTCACTTGGTCAATTAGCCGAGTGTTGACCGGTCAGGGCCAGGGTCAAAGCCAGGGTCATTGTGTGTTTTGCATTTGCAGGGGTCGGTTACAATTCATGAGCGGAATACGGAGTACAAAGGCGTGTTCTGTGTGCTATATTTGCATTTTCTACTGCTACGTCAAGTCACGTCGCTAGGTGTCTACCTACCTACGCCTAAAGTACATGCGTACATGAGTCCTAGGTACAGTACTAGGTGCAGACGGTCGTGATCGGGATAGTGGGTGAGATTGGAGTTGAGGCTTTTTTTTTTCTTGCTTTGGTTGTTTGTGATTTTCGGGGTCTTTTTCCTCCGAAGGATTCGTGCTTAGGATTGATTAATATAATATGCAACTACGGCTGCAGCTGCGCCGCATTCGAGATTGGTATAATCAATTAGATTAAGGTGAGATTGGATGTCTGAGATGGTAAACACCACGAGCAAAGTGTCGAGCGCCATGGCGTGGAATTGCAATTAGCGGATGAGATCAATCAAGTTATTTACTACTCGGAGTGCTAATGAGAATCAGATACAGAGATTAGAAGAATTGAAAGATTGATTAAACCGAGCATCAACCTAGTCCAACGGAGTCGTTTTACCCACTCACCACGTTCCTAGTCTTCACGCCGTACGGAATATGGATTACAGACAGGTCAACAACACAAAATCACTCACCCCCACCGTAACAAGAAAAAAGCCCAGAGCCCGAGAAAAAAAAAGAAAGAAAAAAAAAATAAAACACCCGAACATCCGAACATCGAGCCACGAACACAAACACGAACCCCGGTTGGCCGGATATATAAAGCTTGCATGACAGGGAAGACGTCTCGGGCTGTCGGTTCCGGTGAGCGCTGGCTGGTTGCGCGGTGTCTGAAACACTCCACTCGCTTCCTGTAGGCTGTAGGGTGTGTGTACTGCGTAGTACCTGGATCCCGGTCATGGTGGACTGATTGTCCACTTTTTATTTCATTTTTATTTGATTATTTTGTTGGGAAATGAAAAGGAAAAAAAAAAAAAAAAAAAAAAAAAAAAAAAAAAAAAAAAAACAAACGGGGACAACAGGGTAGTATTGATTAGGTAGTGATTAGTGATTCTGACGTTCGCATGTTTGTGCGACTGAACGGACAAGGTTTGGCTACTAGTTCGGAGTTGCGTTCCGCGGTGGATATCGTAGGTTGCACTGTATGTCTTTTTAGGTAGTCTTGACCGAGTGGTCTACAGACGACCTCCAACCCAGGGAGTAGGAGCAGGAGGAGGAGTAGGGTATCGCTCCGTCACTGGATGATAATAATGGACGGGCTGGGTTTGGCCCTGGACCTGGGTGACACTGCGTCCGACGGAGTGCTTCGGAATCCAGCCCGAAAGCGAGGGAGCATGGATCCGAAGTGGAGCGGGCTTCCGTGAAGTAGTATTTGGATGTGGTTGGAGGAGTACAGGGAAGGAAGTAGGTCAACATGAGATATCCCTACAGCGGACTATCCTACTCTGGCCTCTAATGGCAGAGAACAGGTTCAGCTCCAGGACTAGCCAGGCACCCGGACAGGACCATCAAGGACTAAGTATGCAGCGTGTCGGCGTCGCGAATCGTAGCCTGCAACCTGTGCATGTCCAAAATTAGACGCCCCTGCTAGGTTCCTGTATGTCGCATGTCGCATGTCGCCTGTCGCCTGTCATGTTGTATCGGAAACCCGGAACCCCTCCTCCTCCCCTCTCCATCCTTGTCTTTCTAGTTTTTTCGCTAGGCACCGACAAACGAGAAGTGTGGGAGGAGGGCAACATCCCTGGTTTCTATTTCTATTTCTGACTCTGGCTCTGTTTCTGTTTTTATTCTGGTCGCGATTCTCCTCCCTGCTCCTGCTCCTGCTCTTCCCGCACATCCGACGCCAAGCTCCTAACGACGCAACTAGACATGTCGCTGTCTCGATGCAGCCTGAGATACCAGGTAAGTAGTGCTGTGTACCTGCCTCTGGAGGTCTTTTTGGGGCTAGTCGGGTGCGAGGGATTAGTGTCGCCTCTTGCCCGTCTAAGGAATAGATCTATGGCCTATCTACTGCGTATGCGTATGTATACTCCGGACTGAGCGATTCAGGCGACATAGCCTCAATACCCTGCCTAAGTGCAACTAGCCCAGGTAAGTAAGAAAGTAGTCGTCTGGGCACGAGTCCATTCGGAAGCTTCGGTTCGGTTCGATTCAGAGCGAGGGCTTGGTCTGGAGGGAACTGAGTCAGGTGTTTGGTTTTAGTTTTGGTTACCGTGTTTTATTTTGTTTTGCTTTGTTTTTGTTTTTCTCTTACGACGGGTTTCAAATTCAAACGTTCCCGCTGGGTCCATGATTCTCGGGATTCGGGTTATTCTTGGTTTATCTCGTTGTTTGCAATTTGCACTTCCCTGCGGTGCACTGTTACTGTATGCGTATGGGATAGATTGGTGGCATCTATCCGCTAATATTAGGTAGTACGATGAGATTATGCGAGTGACGGCCAGATTGATTAAGTGGACTGGACAGAGGAGGGGAGCTAAGAAATAGTCCGTCCTTGCTACGGAGTCCTCGCTGAGTCTCCGGTCTCGTGAGGACTACGGCTAGTCTGCGACAGCAGTAGTCGGTGGATTCGCACTCTGAACATGTGGGAACGAAACGAGCCAAGCCCGGGCCCCGACAGATGCTCATTTCAGATAAATTGGCTCATCGATCATGATGCAATACTTCGATGTAGATGAGGGTAAGGCGTCCTGGCTCTTTGACTTATCCTAGACTTCCTGCGGTCCTTGGTCTACATAATGCATAATATGTAGGACAATGAAACTGAACCACCCCCTCGCACAGCCAAGACGCATAAGACGGAATCAGACAATGAAGACATGCCATGCCATGCCATACACCCCGGGATGTGCCACGGAAGTCAGTCAGTCAGGTCGGTAGGTCAATGCATCACCCACGTGGACCGTTGTGTCCAAGCGATGTCGACATCCTCATTGCCACCGGTGATTGGACCTTGGCGCGCTTGCGCTCGTCAAGGCTGACGAGACGGAGGGAAACCTGCCTACGGACGGGACGAGGCCAGACCAGTCAGAGATCGCGTTCGACACGAGATATTTGCGGTGTAGAGTCTAGTCTGTTCCTAGAAAAACTGTACGGAGAAGGTGTGGCCATTGGTTGTGCCCCATGCGCGGAACTCGCCGAGATTAGGTAGGCTAGGGAGACTCCGACCATCTAGGCTGTAGACTATCCGGGTTGGCTTGGTTCCGAATTCCGTCAACATTCCGTGCTCTTGCTGTCAGGTTGAAGTGGCATGGCCTAGTGTGTAGCAGGCAGTCAAGCAACCGGAAGAAAGAAAACGCAGCCTCTGAGATGCAGGAATTGTCACGGACACCGTCTCATCACAAACCGTGGACGCACATGACTTCATCCGCCCGTTCGGGCCATACTCCGTGGTCCAGAGTAAGCATGCTAACGAGCAGCCTAAGTCGCCGGGCTAGCTGGATGTGACCCATCTCGGCCGTGACTGGGGATTGACTCGTTTCGAAACGCAGCAGAAACCCACCCGTAGCCGACAGAAATTGAAGCGCGCAAGGGTTAAAGATAGAAACTGGAAAAACCCCTCACGCTTGACGCTCCGAGAGAAAGAAAGAAGAATAAGGCAAGATGGGGTGCAGCGACGGACTGTCACGGGAAGGGCCACCTGGGGCCGGAATCCACGCCTGAGCCAATGGGCGTCCCCCCGACGAGCGTCTTTCCCGTGCTTCAGCCGTTTGACGAGGTAAATGGCTGCTAACTTTGGCCGTGGCCCACCTGGAAAGAGATCCGATACCCGCACTAACCACCCGGGCGCCGAAGGAGGCAGTCGGTCAGGTTCAGTCATTCAGGAGGGGTCGTGATGGTCGAGAACGACATCAGGAAAGAATATGGGAAGGAGCGTTGATGACGCTGCACTGCGCTCGCATACTGGAAATGACAGGAGCGCCGCGTGATCCTGAGAGTCGTATACCCCGAGCCTCGAGAGATCAACAATGTGATGATGGATTGCAGCCCGCGACCATGCTATCTGATCACAATGATAATCTTCGTTAGTGCGGGGGATGGAATAGAGAGACAGAAAAAAAATTAATTAAAAAAAAAGACAGTAAAAAAAAGAAAAGCTGCCCGGTCAGAGCCTTCTCCTTCTCAGCCCTCCAGGCTAGACTACGCTGTTTCAAGCAGCCAACTCCGCATGGAGTAATCGGCGCCTACGCCTCTCAGCAACCACGAAGGAGCAATCATGCAATCACCGTCGAGAGGGGGGGAATCAACGATCGGAATCCTTCCGTTTCGAGGCGAATTGCCTCCTGATATGCCGGGAAGGGGTTCGTGCTGCGCACTTCGAGCCAGCCCCAATGCGCGAAGGAGGAAATGGGGCTCTAGGGGGGATGAGATGCTTGCTCGCCCAGCTCAGAAATCTCGCACAAAGTCCGTCGGACAGATAGGGATGGGATCCTTGGCTGGGGAGGAATGCAAGGAATATGATGTATTAGGGGCATTTCCGCAGCTAAAATTATTCGCGACAGTTTACAATAGATGAAGCCGGTCAATCGGGAGACGCAGGGATATATTTTCCGTGGGCAGAGGCCGGAAACTTGCAGGGTGCAGAAGCAGCTGGGAATGGCACGAGGAGCTCGGGCCCAGACCCTGTGCCCTATGTTGACATTCAAAACGGAAGGCGATACCTGCTAGCGGCTTGGGTCGGGGCTTACTCCGTGGTTTTAGATGCATGGACTAGGGACTTCCGACCGGGATGGGGAGGGGAAGACAGAAAATAATCTACCACGTACCAGCGGAGCATCCTATTTTAGCATGCTAGCCAGCCACAGTCCGAACATCACGACGATGACAAGCCACTAACGGAGCGGGTGGACAGGGAGTGGCAGATAAGTGTTGACTTAATAATGCCGGCTGGGCCAGACCGAAAGCAAATGCATCATGGGAAGAACCTTCTTCTTGATCGACACCGCCACACGCACGAGGCAGCTCTCGGTCCACCGTAGGACAGAGTACGTTGCATGGAAGCCTTGGGAATTAGTACCCATATCCTGTATAGAAAAGAGAGAAAAAAAAATTAAAAAGATAAAAGAAATGAAAAGAAAAGAAAAGAAAAGAAAGAAGAATGAAATCATTCGGTGGTGACCGATCCGGTGAGGCAGCCGCTTCGTACTCCGTATTATCCGTGCCATGGAGACTCGTCTGGCTCTTACGGCCGCCGGCCGCTGAATGGGTTGAATTCGGACAAAACGCGGTCAAAACCTAAAGCCAAGCGAAAAATCTCCGGGCGAAACAAACACAAAATGGGCGGGATTTTTTCTTTTTCGTCTTTGGTTTCTTGGTTCAGGGACTGGGTCTACTGAGCATGATTGGGAGCGGGGAACATCTGTCGGGATTCGCAGAGCTAATCGTCGCCTATGATTGATTGCTTGCTTGGATTTCTTCTCCTGCCTTCCTCGGGGTTGGACGGTTTCATCTTCCGTTTGGCGAGAATTGCTTTTGCAGAATGTCCCTTGAAAAAAAAAAAAAAAAAAAAAAAAAATTGTCTTTCTCTTTTTCTCTCACAAGTCTGGAGGGCAGTACTCCGTAAACACTTCAGCCATGAGCCAGTGTATCACCGGTCCACCCGCTAACCTTTCCACCTTACCGTCCCGGTTGTCCATCCGGGATGGGTTTGCCTTGCGTCTGGCCAATCAACCCTGTCAACCTCTCGGCCCATGAAGCGACTTCAACAGATCGTCGCAACGATCACAAGAGATTTTTCTTTACTCCATAATATTTTCTGAGCGGTTCCGTTGTGCTGATGACGTTGACCAGCCTTAGGACCGGAGGGGAAGGAATCACATCCAGGTCGAACCTCTATATTCCGACGAATTATAGGTACGCCGTAGCTGTCCAGCTGAGCTAGCTGGACAGCTAAGTTGGTCTCTGTAGACGTACTTGGTACCTACGGTAGTCCCTCCTGCATGGCCAAACTAACTTTCATGCCTTAGCTTGGTTGGGACCTAGCCACTACGCAGCAAATGTCTATCGAATCCGTCGTCAGATTCAGGGGAGCGTACGGAGTAAGCCTAAGCGCAGCCAGCACAGACGCCCCAAGAGGTATCGGTGAAGAGGATGGAAAACGAACAGGAATAGTAATGGACCAGGGATCCAATCAGACCATAATTCCTAGAGGCGAAATAGGCAGGTAACTTCAACTTAGGTTTTAAAAGGTACCCAGGGAAAAAAATTGACTTTCCATATTTCCGTCAACCAGTCAATGGTTTGGCCCAAGAAAAAAAAAAAGAAAGAAAAAAAGAAAAAAGAAAAAAAGGCACCACACTGCCGCGCACACCACGCTTCCAGTAGGAAATAAATATTAATGAAAGAAAAAAAGAAAGAAAAAAGAAAAACCAGCCCGTCGGCTCTTCGCTGCAGACCAGACCCATCCACAACCACCACTACTGACGGTTGCCGTGATGATCATCGAGCGAACCGCTGCTCCTTACGTACGGACTACGGAGTCCATGTCGGTTAAGGGAGAACAAGACCTCGGATATGCTGGCGGGTGGGAATGTCAACCACAACAGAGTTTAGCGTTTGGAAAAAAGGATTCGAGCTCCGAAGGCTGTCAGAGTCATACAAAAGAAAATAATTAAAAAAATCAAACAAAAAAAAAAATTGAGTAACCAGTAAGCACCCACACCAGGTATCAAAGTCCGGGTCCATCCATCCACGCAAACAACGCATGTCATTCAGAAGGTCTAGATAGATAGCTCTGACCACGTTGACAGTCCTCACACCGTTCGGATCCTGCAATCGGAATGGTAGAAGCTCACCCAGTACTGCTCGCCTAGTGGGACTCGTGGACCATAGGAAGAACGACCGACACGTCGTGATCTTAGGGATGATTACACTGCCACTGCCGATCTCGGGATGCCTCCAACGTTAGCTTGGAGGTCTGACCTCCCCCCCATTCCACGTCGAAGCTCCCCCTCTGTCGATGCATGGCCAGGGCCAAGCCGTCAAGGGTCAGGCATGAAGAAAGAGGAGGGAAAAATGCCACTGTCACGACTCAGGACTCAAGACTTTCCCCCGCGTCAGGGTGAAAATAGAAAGTTATTTACTATGTATAGCATATGCATGCCTGCCTGCATGACGGGTGCAGTATCTGCCCTCGAATATCGAATCACTATAGATTATGATCAAACGATTATGGCCAGGGTTCGGGAACGGTGACCGGGAGATGCATTTGCCCTAAGTTTAACGCTGCGAAGGATTCATGACAGTCTACGGAGTAGATCATCGGGGAGCTGTTAGGCGAATAATAAAATCAAATCAAATAAAATGATAAAATACAATAAACCAGCAGGGAATGGAATGATATCAGCTTGGATTGTTCTCGTGTTGCCCCTCTCTTCTTCTCTTTCTTTAATTTTCCTCAACCCAACTAATAAGCTATACGGAGTCGTCGTACCCAGTGGGATAAATGATGATACTATATTAGAGGCAAAAGTAATTTATAATACTAGGCAAGTTATAATGACCGAGCCCCGAAAAAAGAAAAAGAAAAAAGAAAAAAGGGCCAGTGCCCAACTCCTAAAGTACAGCAGAGAAACTAAACTCAAAAGGATGTCGGCAGAAGATTCCTAAGGATATGCTTCTGCAGTAAGCTCATTTGCTGATCTCCACCCTCCTCGATCCGATTTGGGTTCGAACTGGCGTCGTTTCAGTCATGTTTTTGGCTAGCCGGGGTCAGCCGAGAGACTTTCGGAGTCGTTTCCTGCCCATGGGTCGACCCTGAAGGTGGGATGCGAATGAAATGGATTTCGGTGTGGGTGTCGGTGCGACGCCCATGATTGGGAAGCATCGAGTGTCGATCGGGGTGTCGCTGGTGTCGCGAAGCATTCTGCTTCGGGGAGGCGAATGGGAGTTGGGAACGAAGTCCTGGATGAAGCGGTACCTGGAATCTGGTAGTGGTAGCATACGAGGCTAAGAATATCCAACATCATCTGTACGGTCATAATTAAAGCTGAGAAGTTTTTTTATTTTTTGTTTTTTTCCTTTTTTTTTTCTTTTTCTTTTTCTGAATTTTCTGTCAGAAAAAAAAAAATAAAAAAGAAAAGAAAATCAAAACGTTTCATCATTGCTCAATAATCCCCATCATCACCATGACTGCGATCTAATCTTATTAGGTTGATTGGATGACTCTGTTTTTTTATTTTTCCCTTCTTTTATTTTTATCATTGGATTATTTTTATTGCCCATTTCCCCTGCTCTGTCCGACTCCGACTCGACTGGATCATTCTTCTTATATTAAACATCACTCGGGATCATTCATCTGGCCCCCCCGTTGCCCCATCGCCTCTGGATTCCTCTTTCTTCCTCCCTTCCCCTCCTTGGATTTCTATTATTAAATATTCTAGAAGCACGAAAGAAAAAGAAAAATCAAATCGAGTCACGGAAAACAATAGGAAGATCGTGGTCCCAATTTCCACTCCGTCAGCAATTGTTTCCCTTTTTTTCCCTGTTCTTTTTATTTTCTTTTCCGTTCGGCGCACACATTGACACCAGCCTCGGTCTTATTATTGGCTTACGGTGGAGGTCGAGTCGTGTTATGAAGATGAAATAATCCAATCCGTCGCCTCAGCCACCTCCATCTGTCCGCATGTCAAGTCACCACCATTGATCGCTCCAACTCTAATCGCGCCAAACAATTGACTGATTACCTACACACTGGCCCTTCGCCCTGAGGGTCTCCCTCCCCGTTCTCATTCGCCACGCCAGAACCCGGAATATCGTTCATCTCTGGGGTCGGGATTTCCCCTGTTACTTTGTCCTCCGTCGTGATTGTCCTTACTGCCTGCCAGTAGTCTTGGTGCTGCCTACCTATACTAGTCCTCGGGTTTAGTGCCGCTTCTCAGCCCGCGATTTCTCCCGGGACGCATGGGAATCATCTTCTTCCCTTTCCTCTCCTTCAACTATACTCCATTCACTATCTTCGTGCATTCCTTTTCGCAGACGTTGCGCGGTCGTGGCGGGGTTTATTCCACTCCTTTCACCCAACCTATACCATCCCCGTCCCCTATTCTTACCGTCTACTCCCTTATGAGCTTGGCTCTCATAGTCCGAAATGCAGACACATTATTTTCGCTCGCCGAATAGCCAACCCCAAGCGGGTGTGCCGTACGAGTTACCCCCGGTGCAGTCGGTAACTTCACCCTCGGGGCCCTTCCAGCAGGGCCCTCCACCGGGTGCTCTACTTTCCGCTCCGCCGAGCAGACCCGAGAGCGGACTGCGCATGCCCCATCTACTGCAGCCGCTGGCCCAACAAATACCCAATCAACCTCCTCCCCCTCCGTCGTCGTACTCACGCTCTTATGAGTCCAGCGGCTCGCCCGCGGAGGGTATCTCAATGCTGCCCGATGCGCCGCCGCTCAATGGGCTGGCATCCGGCCCCCCGGGAATGCTTCAACCCGGGGCGGGGCCGCAGCAACAGCAACCCTTGCAGCAGAAAAGGGCCTATCGCCAGCGGCGAAAAGACCCCAGTTGCGATGCCTGTCGCGAGCGCAAAGTTAAGGTATTCTTGGCTTGATCCCTGTTCGTTTTTGGCTTGGCAAGTCGCCGTGATTAACCTTTGAGCCAATCTACTAGTGTGACGCTTCCGAGTCGTCTAGCTGCACCGAGTGTACGAATCGCAAAGTGCGCTGTCAGTTCACCAAGGAGACCAACCGGCGCATGTCTTCCATCAAGTGCGTTTTCCTCTGGTCCGCCGTTCGATTGTTTGGAGACCACCCCTGCTGACCCGATCTGTAGACAGGTGCAGGATCTAGAGAAGCAGCTCATCACGACCAAACAGCAGCTTCAGCAGCTCCGATCCGGCATGCTGAGATCCGACAATCTGATGGACCTGGATATTGACGGTGCCGGACAGCCGCAGCTGAAGTTACCGGACCTTGGATATCGCCCCCAGCGCCGGCCTAAGGCTCCCATCGCCCAGGATCTGACCGAGGCACGTGTCAACCTGCGCAAATACGGCAGAGGCATCATGCACGTGCCCACGCCATATCGCCAACAGGGCCCCAAATCCCTGCTGACGACCGAGAGCCCGCCGCTCCCTTCGAAAGATATCGCAGATCGCCTTCTGGCGCAGTATTATGCGTGCATCCATTCAGTCCTACCGGTCCTGCACTGGCCAACCTTCATCGCCGAGTATGAGAAGGTCTATCAAGCACGCTCCCTTTTAGGGATGCCACGCGAGTGGGTGTCCGTGCTGTTTGCGATCTTCGCTTGCGGCTCTCTTCACATGCTGGAGGAAACGAGAGAAGACGATGGCAAGGAATTCATCAAGATTTCCTGTGGGGTCATCGACGTGTGGCAGGACAATTTCACTCTCGACCAGGCGCGGGCGGCCTTGCTGGTCAGTATCTTCTTATACGAAGTGAATTCGAAATCTGCCAGCTGGGTGTGGATCGGTTCCGCAGTCAGGGTGGCCCAGGAGATCGGCCTCCACATCGAATCTGGGCCGTGGTCTACCCTTGAAGCTGAGACGCGAAGACGACTGTGGTGGGGGATGTACGCTTGGGATAGGTATAGCAATCTTGGGTCCTGTTCTTTGTAATCACTGTACGCTGACGATTTGTCTTTCCCGCAGGCTTCTGGCTCTTGAAATGGGCAAACCAGTTCTGATCAATGATCAGGACTGCGATGTCGATCTCCCTTGTCCTGTCGACGAGCAGTTTATATCAGATGGCGGGGTTGTGCCCGAAGGCCAGCAGACGACTGCCCTCCTCGCCACCATCCATGTCGTTCGATCAATCGGGCAACTTACGAGGACGTTGAGGTCCTCCAATATCAGCCCGGCAACGATTGACACATTCGAGCGACATTTCAATGCGTGTCTCGCCACTTTCCCCGCGCAATATCATCCGAAATCCGACCAATACCTCGATCCCCGAGCGCTTGACCCCATCATCTACCTCCAAAACGCTCGTCTCATCCTCCACCGCCATAACATTAACCCGTTCTGCGCGCCCGAAGTCCGTGCCTCGGCCCTCGATTATTGTGTTTCGACGTCTCAAGACACCGCGCGTCTACTTTCGCGATGCATGCGCCACCCCTCTAGTCCCCAGGGTTTCGGGGCAACCAATGAGGACTGGCGACCGTTGCTTGCCTCGTCGGCGGGAACCACGATGTGTACGCACATCTGGCGCTGTGCACTTATTCTGCTTTTCCGGCAGGATTTCGCCACGGCTCTGGTGTGTATCCAAGCAGCTGCCGCAGTTGGAGACTCGCGCGCGTTGAACGCGGCATGCGGGCGGTATATTGTTTTCTTCCTGAAATGCCTTCTGGACCGACTCCGCCACGGCGACGATCTCGAGCGAGACGAGGAAATGATGGCGTACGTCTCGGGGGATATGCAAGGCCACTGCGACGGGAGCTGGGTGTGGCAAGGCAGCGAGACCGGTTCCCAGCTGGCGGCAATGGCTTCTACGATCGGGAGCCCGGTTTCAATGGGGCAATCCGACCCCAGGGACAATATTTCCACCGACGATGCCGAGAACACTGAAGGTTGGCACTGGGTTGAACAGACGGTTCGTTACCTTCACGAGAGACAGCTCGAGCAGCAAAAGGAGTACGAGAGAAGAGACGCGCCGTCGTTCCAGAATCCACCGGAGTCTGCGTATCTCAGCCCCGAGGCTGCGGTTGGACGGGATGAGTCCTCGCCCCGACGCTCGAGCTCGTCTCATTCGCGCATGACGATCGCCAGCATTATATGATGTTCGGGCATCCAGAAGAGCTCCGAGCCGGTTTCCCTACCGTTGACTTCGATCTGCACCAGAGAAGAGCCGAAGTGGAGTGTATTAGTACTGGTATCAGGTCCGGTCATGGGGAAGGTCACGGAGCATGTGACACGAGGTTATGCATTACGATCAATTTATTGATGATCCACATCCACTCGCCTGTATATAGTATCACCGTATGACAGCTATCAAGATAAATCATTCTTCTTGGCCATAAGAACCGAATCGTAGTAAAACAATCATTGACACATGAAATTTTCTACCCCCGCCGTCTAGTAGTACGTGATCCTGCTCAGTCACCTCAATCTCTAATATTCCCAGAGTAGGAAGAAACAGAACACCCCGAATATCATGTCAGATCAGATCCGCCCGGCTAAACAGTAAACACCTCGAGATTAATGCATTAATTTTCTGAATTTGTTGGTTTCATAACGTTAAGTCTCCAGGTTAATACTCCGGCCGAACCGCGCATACAGCGCCACCTTCAGCTGCTGCAGCTCCTCGCGCAGATCGCCCAGCTTGTCCTCGAGGCCGGAGACCTCGGTGTCGATCTGCTCTGTGGAAGAGGACAGCAGCGACTGCGCTTCTTCGAGCGGTAGCTGGAAGAACGAGTCGCCGATTTTGTACCTGCTTGGGTTAGACCTTTTTTTTCTCCTATCGTTTATGGAGATAGGTTGAGATGGAATGGAGGTGGGTAAGGGGAGTGAGTACTTACGGAACCAATTCATCTTCATCCGCCAGTTCCAGTTCCGTCGAGACTTCCTCGAGATCTTCTTTGTCTTTCTGTAGAGGGGAGGGGAGGAGATTAGCCAGACCAGACCAGACCAGACCAGACCCTCCTGAATCCCAAGCGGTAGATAGATAGATAGACGGCCACCACACCAGACTAGGGGAACGAAATGAAAAGGACAAAAACGCACCTGCTTCGCCTTCAACAGATCCTCCAGGACGGTCTCCCGCTGATGCAGGCGACTGAACCTATTGATCTTCTCCTGGTCCTCGCGACGGACCTCATTGTCGTCGCCGCCGCCGACGGCGACTTCGTCTTCTTTCGAGAGCTGCCATGTTCATGTCTCAGCGTGCTTACGTTACATTTTCCCCCTTTCTTTCTGCGTCGTAGCAGAAGGGATAGAGGAAAGAAAGGATCGGGGGATTACCATGCGCGTCTGCATCATCTTGAATCAGGGAGGGCAGCTGGTGCTCTTTCTTCTGCTTGCTTCTGTTTGGTTTCTGATGGTCTTTTGGTGGGGTGGATTGGGGTTAGTCAGCGGTCACGTGGTGGAGGTGCAGTAGATGGTGAAGTATTCAATTTTCTATGCGTCCTGGCGGTTTTTTTTGGATATGGTGAATTGAGAGTTAGATATGTCCTAGTTGAGTTGGTTCTTAGTGGTTTATCTGGCTTTATTGACTGGAGGGTGATGCTGTGGCATCACTGGAGACTTGGGGGCTTCGTTGTATATAATTGTGCCAGCTTCGAGTTGGATTCAACATCGACTGACTCACTATTTTATTATTTTTATTATCATTATTTTTTCTTTTCGACATGAAATATTTATCTTGCTTAGATTTATAGATGTCACGTACGAACTACAAGGAACTGTTGTGAAATATTGATTGATGCTCAGTACTACTGGTATATGGTCTTGCCTGTCTACAAGTTGTACAACCTCATGGCGATGCTTTATCCAGACCAATGGCTGTCACATAATCCCATTGTGCTATGAATGGTCGCCCTTAATTGAAGGATCGCCAATTCTCGATTTCATTAGCAATTAATAACATTAATCACTGCTCCCACGCAGTCACGCCGGTCGGGTGACATCATCACCCTCGCCCATCATCTGGTCGCTCCGAGCGAATCAGCCTGCGAACATTTGGCCAGTGAGCGCACAGCAGCAAATGCGCTTCCGAAATCCTCTCTATCTTCTGGAGGCACAGTTCATCATCCCTCGAGGCTCCAACACTCCACGTGGGCTGTGTCCTGGATAGAAAAGATATTGGGCACACCAGAGTCGAGCCAGCCGACGCTCGGAGAAAACCAACATCCCGAACGCCGCATCGAGGAGCTCGTCCAGTCTGCCAGACCAAGCCATTCCGCCCCAGATTCCTTGCCTGCCTGGGCTTCTCTCGACAACCACTGTCATCTCCGACACTCAACGACCCAGACATCCCTCCTTGCATCGGTCTGACCTCTGCCCTTCTTTGGCCTTCCCTTTTCCGGCTCCCTGCCGCCCTGCGAGCTCTTCACGGCCATCACCGCCGATCCCATCATCGCGCAAACAATCCACCAACCAACCAGCCAACATCGAACGAGACCCGGTTACGACTTCACGCCTCTTCCTCCTCCATCATGCGGGTATCCTCCGCCCTCTCCTCCGCCGCCCTCCTCTTCTCCGGCCTCGCCTCCGCCCGCGGCTTCGACTGCAAGGACATCGTCGTCGACAAATACAAATATAACCTCAATCCGCTGGGCGGAGTGCACGTCCTGTACGATAACAACGTGACGGAATCCTCCTCGGTCAACACCACCTATGTGCTGAACATCTGCGGGATCCTGAAGGGGGCGTCGAACCGGGATGGGATGAAATGCGGCACTTCGAAGAACAGTACGTGATGGCATCCTCCTGCCCACCTATTTCCATCCTGGCAATCCCTCCACCCCGTGAAACTGTAACTGACCACCCCTCCACTCTAGTCTGCGGCTTCGAAAAAACACATTTCCCCGACGGCGCCGAAACCAAGAAACCCTTCCCCATCGCCGGCCTGGAACCCGGCGGCCACGGCTCCATGGAGCCGCAGATCACGCGGCTGAAATCCGACGACTCCGACCGCGAGGGTCTCCGCGTGAAGCTGTCCGGCGGCAGCTACGAGAACGCCGACGGCAAGAAGAAGAAGGCCGGCGCCGTCATCGAGTTCCAGTGCGATCCCGACCGGTCGGGATTGGAAGGCCTGGAGTCGACGAAGGACGAGGAGATGCGGCGTCGGGAGGAGGCCGGCGACGCCCAGGATCAGCAGAGTCTGCAGTTTAAGAGCTTTGGGCTGGCGGATGACGACTCGTATGTGTTGCGCTTGGACTGGAAGACGCGCTATGCGTGCGATAACTACGTCGATGATAAGGAGGGCGATTCGTCGAGTCATTGGGGGTTTTTTACTTGGTTGATTATTATGTGAGTTTTGTCCCTTTGCCTGGGTTCAGAGAATCCGGGCTCTTGTTGAGATTGACCCCCCCGTGTGCTGGACTCTCCATATATTCGAAAGCTAACGAATATGAATAGCCTCTTCCTCGTGATCGCCGCCTACCTCATCTTCGGCTCATGGCTGAACTACAACCGCTACGGCGCTCGTGGCTGGGACCTGCTCCCCCACGGCGACACCCTCCGTGACGTCCCCTATATCTTCCAGGACTGGCTCCGACGAGTCATCAACACGCTGCAAGGGTCCGGTTCCAGAGGAGGCTACAGTGCGGTGTAAGATGTAGATTTCGAATCCTCTCATCTTTTGCCTTGCTTTTTTTCTCTTTCTTGTGCTTGTTCTTTTGGCTGGTTCTTGGGCATCTCGTTTGCTTTGCTTCTTTGCTTTGTTCCTGGTTCCTGGTTCCCCTTTTTGTGGTTTCCCTGGATTGGTTCGGATCGGATCTCTCTTGCTCTCTCTCTTGGTTGGGTGGCTGCCTCGGTGTCGATTTTCCTTTCTGGTTTTGCTTCTCTGGGGTACAGCCTATCTGTCCATTCAGGATAGGATGAGCTGAGCTGATAGAATGGGGAGGGTGAAGTCGTGCTGAGGTAGCTATCTACCTACTTACTTCCCTTTATCGCGGTACCTAGGTATCAATCGGGTTGGATATGGATACAGATACAGATTTACAATTTTTTATCATGTCGATCTACATTGTATGAATGGAATGAATGGTTTCCGATGAAATTGAAGTTGATTATGAAACTTAGCAGCTGGAGGGAAGAGGGATGAGGACGTCGGGTATCTTATACCTAGGTAGATTTGATAGATGATCATAACAGATACTTACTGCTACTTACTGTCCACTGTCTACGTGACCTACCTGAGGTGGTAACTCGTCAGTGGAGGATACAGCACGCAATCTACAGATCGATCACGCAAGTCCGGACAAGACACGATCGACCGATCACACCAATAATACACTCTCCCAGACAAGCACGACATCAAAATCAAATAGCATGGGATGAAAAACTGGGGTAGTATTCGATAATCTCCCAACATGCAAATCCATCACGAAGAATAGAGTTCCGATCATCAAGGTAACATCGAGTAAAAAAAGCATTGCAAATGGCGTCATCACGGCTAAGATCTCATCATCAGGAGCGGTGAACCCGCAAAAATCAGAAAACAACACGTAAAGTATAAAAAGGCGTTCGTGCCCCCCCTTTTTTTGGGGGAGTTTGGCTGGTGGAGTTGGATGGTTGCAATTTCCCCTTCCCTTCCCCCTTCCTTTCCCTTCCATCCCTACTTGCTCTCTCAATTTCCCATCCTCAGATCCAGACTCCGGGGTATCCTAAAAACTCTACACTTTCATGGCGAATTGCTTCAAGTAAAGGTAATCCGCCATGTTCAGGTCCACGGATCTGCGGATCTGGGCGGCGCCTTCGGGGCCGTACTTCTTGGTCCATTCGGCGTCGAATTCAGCTTCGGTTTTGACGGGGCGAGCCTGATGGGATATGTTAGTTGACCTTGTTTTTCCTACTCATGTTCCTTCTCATCTCTCATGACCTTCTTGTCTTCTCTATCACGCTTTCTCTTCTGAGTCGAAGAAAAAGGAAGAAAGAGAAGACAAAGGGCTGAGAGAGGGAGGGATATCAAACTTACATGCTTTCTCGCCACCAGTCCAGCCGATTCAATTGCATCGTTATGGAACCCCCTCCACTTCTCAAACGCCTCACTCACAAACCGATGGTCATCCTCGTTGTCCCAGTCCAACATGCTGGGGTCATAGTCGATGCCGACGCTGCGACAGAACGCCTCCATCATCGGAGCCGGTTTGTCCAGCATGTCGTCGGCGTCGACAATACAGATCTCGGCACCGGATTCATGGCCCGCACCGAGTCCGCCGACCACCGGCTTCAGCTTCTTCGAGCTGCCGTCGATCTCGTCGGCGTCCTCCTCCCTCGTCGCGACGTGCGGACCGATCAGCCCGACGCTGCGCAGGTAGTCGAAGGTGCGACGCACCTCGTCGTACCCGGACTCGGCGTGGTCATAATAATAGAAGCCGGTGACGTCGTCCAGCGGCGGGATGGTGCAGCGGTAATACGACGGCACGCTGTAGTGCGGGTCGCGGATGAGGAAGGCAAAATGGAACTGGGAGAGGATGGACAGGGGCATCACGGTGGGGTTACCGGGCTCAGGCAGAGTGTCGTACGGGAGCGACGAGGCAGTCTGCTTGGACTGCTGCTCGTGAGTCCCATTTGCGACCGGCTCTTCCTGCTGGCCATTCGGCTGCTTCTCCACACCGTTGGTGACCCCGTCGGGGTGGTGGTCGGAGGAATCATGAGCGACGCCATTGCCGTTCATGCCTCCGACCGAGGCGTCGTCTACGGGGACAGAGCTCTCAGTGCCAACGCCGCGCTTGATCCTGTTCAGCGATGGCGCGATGCTGACAGGCTTCCCACTGGGAGGAAGAAGATAGTGGATGATATCTTTGATGAAGATTCTCTTGCCCTGCGAGAGGAGGTAAGTATTTCTGATAGAGCAAGGACGGACGATGAGAAAACCAAGGGTACGATGAGGATTCGGTAGAGAGAAAGGACAGGGAAGGTTTGTCCGGGCGGACGGCCGTTTAAGATCCGTCGTCATCATCTGTGTGCCCTTGGTTGGTGTGGTAGGAAAGTAAATCTCATCCCGTATCTGGGGGATTTCCGTAGGAGACTCATCACCGGCGTGGAAAGAAGAGTCAAGGAAAATGAATAGAAAAAATGCAGGTGCTCGAGAGATCATTTTCATCTCGTCTCGTATCATCGAGTAGAAAGAAATAGGAAGGTGACTTGGAGAGCTCTTTCGATTCCCTACCATTTCCGACCCATCGAATCGAATCGATCAATCGAATGAAGCCATGGCAAGGAAATTCCAGAGCAGAGCAATTTTACAAGCACAGGTTTCTCCAAGTCGGAGATTTCGTAACGCGAGCACAAGGAAAAAGAGAAAATCAAGAAGATAGAAAGAGAGATCGGACCTCGGAAGCTTCACGCTCGATTCTATCCATCACAGTCCGATACGTGGACTGGCTGAAGCCACTCTCCAGACGAGCCTTTTCATCGTCGGCAAATCTGGTGCCCAATCTCTCGGGACCATAGTAGAAGGCGTCGCCAAATGGCTCGTGGACACATTGGATGGTATCCCGACGAGTCATGAAGACCTTTGGAGCGAAGGATGAATTAGCATATTGGCTTGGCCCTGGACGATCCAGAGGTTTAATCGTTTTGTTGGATTCGATCTTGATGCACTCACTCGTTCGAAAGCCGTCGAGCAGGCTCGGGGGTGAGTCGCCACGAAGATGGGCTTCTGAGACATGTTGGATTGCGTTTCAATTCTCCAACAATGATGTGTCTCTGATCAAGATGAGATCGAATCTATTCCTCTTTCACGGAGGAGATAGACAGACAGACTACTGCCTTAAGAAAGGATGATAGATGGAAGAATTCGGAACCAGTTTGCTAACTACCAGGGAGTTTCACCACCGGCGCAGCTACTGTGATCAAATCAATTCAATCGGCTCACTCTACTGCGCGGCGACAGTATCGTGACGAGGAAAGCTGAGGATAACACCAGTCGACTTGAGTCCGAAGAGCAAGTCGGCAGGATGGAAGCGAAGAGTTGTGCAAAAGAAAAAAAGTCAGATCGACCAGGGAAGGGGCAAAAGGGAAAAAAAGTGGGTTTTATAAGGAGGTAGTTTTGGGAACCGAGGAGAAGAGGAGGAGAGCTGGAGGGGCGATGGCGATACAAGGAAAATCAAACATGAATTAATCGCGATATTAATGGATGCTGGGGTTTCCTTTCTTTTCCCGTGAGGGATTTCATTCCGCTGGTCCATGGAATATTTTCATTTTGATTTTTCCTAATTATTGTTATTACTATTATTATTTTTACTTCGGCCTTCCTACTCTACCTGCAGTTGACGGTAGAATCCATAGAGTACATCCCCTCGACTGACCACAAATGAGACCAGACGAGATCAATTCATGCCCGCCTCTTCCGTGTCACGGTGACCGTTGCTCCAAAGAGCAGGTCACTTCTCGCTTTCTAGATGCAGCAATTACGACTTCTTCCCCTTCTCGGCCGCATGAGATGCTGCATATGCAGACCCGGTGAATGAAACGAGACCACACCATCAACGAATCCACTAGCTCATTAACTAGACCTCGACTACTGTATCTGTACGGAGTGAAATAATAACCGCCGTGTCTGCGCTGCGTCTAGAGACGCCGGACTTCACTAGACGACGCACGATGTCCACGGCAGATGCAGCGGTTGCCTCGTCTTTTCCCGTTCAAGGCATCCGCACCGGACGTGATAATGCCACGATGGAACCACGATTCCGTAGGGAACAGGCGACGGTCTGGGGGTGAGGGGCAGGGCAGGTCCAAAATAGCAACCCGTTGCCATTCATCGATGGCCGATGCGACAGCAGTGGCACAGTGGCACCGTGGCACGGTGGATAAAAGAAAGATCTACATCGAAAATAAGCCCGTCCGCGACGCTGACTTGCCCAGTGCTCGAACATCCCTCCAATCCTTCCGAGTCTGTGTCGGGCTTATTCCGGGTCCTGAGTGGCCATGCAGAGGGTCTGGACTATGCCCCAAGTGGATTTCAGTTCCTGAGCCATGGCCGCTAATATTATTTTCTCATGCGTCAAGGAATTCAAATAAAGTGGGTAACTTGAACGGTTGACGGAGTTGCAGAGCAGGCCCGGGACTCCGTAGACGGAGAGAGCGCAGAGCTGGGGGGTTTGCCCGCCGGGGTTGGCCCAGCAAGGCTGCACACCAGTAATTGCTTGGAAGACCTGGCCACAGAATCCTTTGTTACCAGGAGTTCTAAGCCAGAAAAACCAGGGCAAAATGGGCGGCGTTCCCACTTTTGACGTCACGCACGGGCTGGGGGGAAGGGGATGACATTGACCTGGGTCTTGGTCGAATGGAATCCCAGAGGATGATCCAGACGTCGAGTAAAGGAGGGGGGGAAGGTGAAAGACCGGAAGCAAAGAAGGATAGGAACAGTCTAGTCCGTCAAATCAGAAACGAGTCAGATCCGATGGATCGGTTGGCATTTTGGCATGGACTCTGGGCGAGATCCCATCGTTCCGAGGTTGACCGGAGGAGAGTTCTCGCGGAAGGCCATCGCTGATGATGATGGATATTATCATTTGCTGTTCTCGCATGGATGGGTCATCGACTTTTGCCTCCGGACCCTCTCTTAGTGACATTTTAGTTGGCCCTTTAGCCCTCGAGCTTACCGGCCGACAGACCATCGTGAGACATTTAATGCCAATCAATGCAAATGATCCTCAACGTGGGGGCCAGGCGGACTCGTATCAGGTTGACCGTGGACTGTCATTCGTTTCGCATTCAAACGATGCGGGATGCTTGAGGTGGCTGGTCGATCCGTGTTTTGATTGGATTTATGGAATGGATTTAATGGAATTTTGAAGAACGAGAATGCGAGGCCTTGATTCTTTGTGTTCATAAAGCTGGAATTGGAATAGCTGAGTAAGAAAGTGGATGGATGGATTATGTCAGCGGAGACCGGGCAGCAAGGCAGTAAGGCAATAAGCATTAAGGCACTCAGGCACTCAGGCAAAAAGATCATGGTAAGGCATTAAGGCATAAGGCATGAAAGTAAAGGTCATGTGATATCAGACATCCCACGGTATTCCTCCGTGGTGCAATTGGATCCCCAGCACATGCAGCCGGGACGGAGCCAGAATGACAACTCTCAGCATGCCACGGACCTGTCTAGACCCATCTTCCAACTGTCACATTTCCCTGGCAACCGACATTCCCCCGAGAGATCGCCTGTCATGTTCCCACATGGCCTGACGACGTCACACCACGTAACCCTCCCGTGGGCGGCTCGGGATGCTTCTGGAAGGCGGTGGAAGAGTCCCGTGTCGTCATGGTGCACCGCGGGACTTCTCGATGCCCAACTCGCTGCTATATCAATCCTGCTCTCGTCCTTCTCGTCCAACCTCATTCTCGCTTGAAGATCATCAATCAGAAGCTTATCCAGACCTCGACTAATCCTCACCGTTGACCCTCTACTTCTACTGTCGCTACCTCTAGTCTAAATCGACCTCGATACAGCCTCTGAACCTCTTGTTTTTCTGTTTGTCCCACCATGAACGGGGCGTCGTTCACAGACCGGGCCAACAAGGCCTTGCTGGATTCCAGCAGCTTGGCTGAACAATACGCCCACCTTCAAATCCTTCCCCTTCATTTGGCAGTCGCCCTTCTCAATCCTTCTCCAGATGAGTCGAAAGACCAGGAAGCTCCGGCTCACCCCTCCCACGAAGGTGCCTCTGCCCCCCTCTTCCGCCAGGTGGTTGAGCGCGCCCATGGCGACCCACAGCTGTTGGACCGCGCACTCATGAAGATGCTGGTCCGCCTGCCCAGCCAAGACCCTCCGCCAGAGACCGTTTCCGTCTCTCCCGCTCTCGCCAAAGTTATCCGCTCCGCCACCGACCTGTCCAAGACCCAGAAGGACAGCTTCGTGGCCATCGACCACTTGATCCTCGCAATTGCGCAGGACTCGCAGGTCCAGCGGGCCTTGGCCGACTCCAACATCCCCAACGTCAAATTGATCGATAACGCCGTGCAGCAGATCCGAGGGTCCAAGCGCGTGGACTCCAAGACGGCGGATTCCGAAAGCGAAAATGAAAACCTCAAGAAATTCACCATTGACATGACCTCCATGGCTCGCGAGGGTAAGATTGACCCCGTCATTGGCCGTGAAGAAGAGATTCGCCGTGTCATTCGCATTCTGAGTCGACGGACGAAGAACAACCCGGTGCTTATCGGTGAACCCGGTGTTGGTAAGACCACGGTCGTGGAAGGATTGGCTCGTCGGATTGTCAACGCCGATGTGCCAGCCAACCTTGCCCAGTGCCGGCTGCTTTCACTGGACGTCGGCTCGCTGGTTGCGGGAAGTAAATACCGTGGTGAATTCGAGGAAAGAATGAAGGGTGTCCTCAAGGAGATTGAAGAGTCCAAAGAAACCATTGTCCTCTTCGTCGATGAGATTCACCTTCTCATGGGCGCGGGCTCCAGCGGTGAGGGCGGTATGGACGCCGCCAATCTCCTCAAGCCCATGCTGGCCCGGGGTCAGCTGCACTGCATCGGTGCCACCACGCTGGGCGAATACCGCAAGTACATTGAGAAAGACCAGGCCTTCGAACGTCGTTTCCAGCAGGTGCTGGTCAAGGAACCATCGATCAACGAGACAATTTCCATCCTCCGTGGCTTGAAGGAGAAGTATGAAGTGCACCACAACGTCAACATCCTCGACGGTGCCATTGTCTCTGCCGCTTCGCTCGCAGCACGCTATCTCACAGCTCGTCGACTCCCCGATTCGGCTGTTGACCTGATTGACGAGGCGGCGGCCGCCGTGCGAGTAACTCGGGAGTCCGAGCCAGAGGCCCTGGATAACCTGGAGAGAAAGCATCGTCAACTTCAGATCGAAATCCATGCTCTCGAGCGCGAAACCGACGAGGCATCGAAGACTCGTTTGGAGGCTGCCAAACAAGAAGCGGCCAACGTGACGGAGGAATTGCGGCCCATGCGCGAGAAGTACGAAAGCGAGAAGGCGCGCAGCAAGTCGATCCAGGATGCTAAGATCAAACTCGACTCTCTCAAGGTCAAGAGAGATGAGGCCGAGAGAATGGGCGATACCCAGACGGCAGCGGACTTGGAATACTATGCCATCCCGGAGACCAAGACTCTCATCGATCGACTTGAAACAGAACGGGCAAAAGCAGATGCCGAGCAGCGGGCTCGTGGCGGTGACAACGGGGAGGCCCTCCTTGCCGACTCGGTCGGCCCCGACCAGATCAACGAAATCGTCGCTCGATGGACCGGAATTCCTGTCACCAGGTTGAAGACAACCGAGAAGGACAAGCTGCTGAAAATGGAGAAGTACTTGGGCAAGCTGGTCGTCGGCCAGAAAGAAGCGGTGACCTCGGTGTCGAATGCCATCCGACTCCAGCGATCCGGTCTCAGCAACCCCAACTCTCCCCCTAGCTTCCTCTTCTGCGGTCCGTCGGGAACCGGTAAGACCCTGCTCACCAAGGCTCTGGCCGAGTTCCTCTTCGACGATCCCCGGGCCATGATCCGATTCGACATGTCCGAATACCAGGAGCGTCACTCCCTCAGCCGAATGATCGGTGCACCCCCCGGCTACGTCGGCCACGACGCTGGCGGTCAACTCACGGAGAGCCTCCGCCGCCGTCCGTTCTCCATCCTCTTGTTCGACGAAGTCGAAAAGGCCGCCAAGGAAGTCCTCACCGTCATGCTCCAGCTCATGGATGACGGCCGTATCACCGACGGCCAGGGCAGAATCGTCGACGCTCGCAACTGCATCGTGGTCATGACCTCCAACTTGGGCGCCGAGTACCTCGCCCGACCCGCCACCAAGGACGGCCGCATCGACCCGCAGACCCGCGAGCTCGTCATGGATGCCCTGCGCGGCTACTTCCTGCCCGAATTCCTCAACCGGATCTCCAGCACCGTCATCTTCAACCGACTCACGCGGCGCGAGATCCGCAAGATCGTTGATCTCCGCCTCGCCGAGGTCCAGAAACGTCTCGACGAAAACAACCGCAAAGTCACCATCGAGTGCAGCGAGGACGTTAAAGACTATCTCGGCGAATCGGGCTACTCACCCGCCTACGGTGCCCGTCCCTTGGGCCGGATCATCGAACGCGAGGTCCTCAACCGCCTGGCCGTGCTCATCCTGCGCGGCGGCATCCGTGACGGCGAAGTCGCTCGCGTCGTCATGCGCAACGGCCATATCGACGTCCTTCCGAACCACGAATCCTCGGATGATGAAGACGAGGACATGGTGGACTCAGACGACGCTTTGGCCGAAATGGAGGACGAAAACGGAGATATGGATCTGTATGAGTAGGTCATACTTTGTCAAAATAGAAAATTGTGACAACAGCAACAAAAAGAAAGCAGGTGGAATTTTGTCGATTTGGTGATGAAGAACATGATTATGATTTGATACCGTTGTTGCTTATTTTGAGCTGGCTGGCTGGCGTTTTTTTTTTTTTTTTTTTTTTTTTTCTTGTGATGTTGCATGGCCTCGTGCCTTTTCTTTTCTTGTTTCTATTTGATATCCCTTGTCTTGTACACAAGGTGCATTTTCTGTTACTAATATCTTCGTTCTAACGATAGTCACATGGACATCCATTGCATAATTCATCGAACTTACATATTGATTCTCTCTTATTATCCCACACTGTAGATATAAATATAACCCACCTTGTTGACCCAGCAAAATCCCCATCTCCATTCATCCTACATACAGACACAAAGAATCACCCCCTCATCTCCCTCTCAATCCTCCTCATCTCCTCCCGATCCCCCCACCACCGGGCCACCTCCCCAGTCTGACAAAACACCACTTCGTCTCCCCAATCCCCCACCCAGCGCAAAAGCCGCTCCACCATGCCAATCACATGCGCCATCCCGCTCGTGTCCGGGTGCATCAGCACCGGAAACACAGGCTCGTCCTCGTTCTCCCGCAGCCACAGGAACCGCTCCTTCCACATGTTCTCGATCACGCGTACGTCGGTGTACCCGTGGGAGTTTTGGGTGTGGGGTAGGTACTGGAGGGGCGTCATGTCTTCCATGTACCAGTTGCAGGGGACGCAGATTAGGGGGCGGCGGTCTTTTCGGGAGGATGGGGCAGGGGCAGGGATGGGGTGCATCCAGGTGGAGGCGGGGAGGGAGAAGTTTGGGGGTGAGAGGGGGGTCGGGAGGGGGCGTAGAAGGGTTGGGAGTCGTGGTCTGCTAGGGAGGCGTCTGTATTCATGTGTGAGTTTGTGAGCTTGTGGGAGGTGATAGATGAGGGCGTGAGCGTATGGGGCTGATGGATGGGGAAGACGCACCGTATTCGAACCCGAACTCCTCGAGGAGGTCCAGCGTTGACTCGCGAAGCTGGTACAATGGCGCTCGGTACCCTACAGGTTTCTTGCCCGTGAGGCCCTGCGCGACCTCGATGCATCGGACTAGCACGTCGCGCTCCTGTTCCGGGGTGAGCTGGTATGCGCCTTCGTGCGCGTAGCCGTGGAGCCCGATCTCGCAGCCCGAATCGACGACTTGCTTGACTTCGTCCGGGAAGCTCTCTGCCGAGTGGCCTGGGATGAACCAGGTGCAGCGGTCTGCGAGGTTGAGTTTCTGGAGCATGCGGAGGAGACGTGGGACGCCGACTCGTGCGGCGAAGAAGCCGGTTGAGTAGTCGGCGAGGATGTTGTCGGGGTGTTGGCCTGATAGGGTTAGTGTTGAAGGGTTAGGGATGGGAAGTGTAAGTACCTGTTCCGAGCCAGCCGGAGACGGCGTCGAGGTCGATTGAGATAGTGACGCGGATTTTGTTCTTGGGCTTGGTGAGAGATCGTGGGATAGTTGGGGCAGTATCAACACTTGGTTGCGGTTGAGGATTGTTGTATTCTTTCCCGATGATTTCGCTTTCTTTCCGGATAAATTGGCCCGTCGTACTTCGATCAGCTTTGACACATTGACCGGATATATGGCCCGCAGCACGGTGGGAAGCTAGGAAAACGATTGTCGTGGCCACGTCCTTCGGTGTTTCATTGCGCATCGACGTCCTAATCTCAATCATTAGTGAACATAATCCATCTGAAGACCTACCTGAGCTAGTGCTAGGGTAAGGTCAAGAAAAGACTTACGTAGAAGCGGCGTCCTCAAGTGTCCGCGTATCAACCAACCCCGGCTCAACGGAATTGATCCTCGCCTTACTGTTCAGCTTCACAATGTCGTCCTGGACACGGCGCACTAGTCCATGCTGCAGCCCTGCCTGACCATTTCCGAGCTCACCTGTCTCGCCCACCACTACGATCGCTAGGTTCTCTAGCTCCTTACCCAGCGCTTCTTGAGCTGTTTTCGCAGATCGCAAGAAGTGCTTTATGCTGAGGAATAGGCGACGGGAGTTGTCCCAGTCTTCAACGGGCAGATCCCAGATGGGATGGTTTCTGCTTGCGTCGGTGCTACCAGAATTTGTGACGAGAATGTTGATGGGTCCTTGTTTGGCAGCTTGGGCAATGCTGGATGCGATGGACTCTTCGTCTGAGGAGTCACCTTTCAGAATGCAGAGTTGATCGCCCTTTTTCGAGAGAGCGTGGAAGTCCAAAGGCTTGGTGTCAAGTGCTGTGACTTTGCATCCTTGATCTGTGGAGGGAGTTAGTCGGTGGCTGGTATGATGAAAATAAAGTCATGTAAATATAGGAATTTGATATGGAATGGGAGGATCCATGCACTGTTGACAGATCCTTAGAATAAAGATATAACGAACAAAACAACCCAATCTCATAGCGTCAAATCAACATTAAACAGCATCACATCATGCAGTCTCGAAGATACGCGGAAAGAACCCAAAGACAGTATAGCATCCAATAACCTACCAAGAAATTCCCGCACTGCCTGCCGTCCAATTTCCCCCGCGGCACCAGTGACCAGGACACGGAGGCCCTCCAAACCCAAGGGGACAGGAGAAGACGAAGCTTCCATTCTAAGACAAATTGCAGATGAGATGGAGATAGAATTGATGGACGAAAGGTGGAAGAGGATGCGGCGAGGGAGGGGAAGAAGACGGTGGGAATTCGGGTGGAGTGACTTGGCGGGGTCGTTGGCCGACGCCAGCGCATGTCATCCTGTAGGCTCAATTATATATACAGATAGACAGCATTCGTCTTCAACTTGAAGTAGCTTCTTTGCGATCATATCAGAGCACCTTTATATGTATTTAGCCTAGTGCTTGAGATCTTGGTCAATATGCTGTTACTTACTGTGTTAACCACTAACATTCTGATATCTTTATTTGATTCTAGGCATGAGTAGGTGGATGAATGATACACTTCTGATCGGAGGTTTCAGAGACTCATTATCGGGTGACTGGCTAATACAATAGGGAAGACAGATATTTTCTACAATGTCAACTTGTGCCAGGAATCAGCATGGACGGCGAGAGTACCCAAGTGGACATATCTTGGGACAGAACGTGTTTGAACAAGATGGTATTTGAGATAGACGCCTGTCCATCGAGTATACAAGGAATCGCCACGAGTTAGACCTCCCAGTCAACTCAATAGATACTAGATATATTATACTCGACCTTCAATGGTCTAAGAATGGAAGGCTTGACGCTATCACCAACAATATACAACCTGGCTCCGCTACCGGTTCACCTGGGCGTTAACTATTACCACCACCACTACTCGACTACTACTACTACTAACGATACTAACAATATACCAAGTCCTAACGGCATGAAATCCATCTCCAAAGGCACACACCATCCGGAAAGACTCATCCGGAAGAGAACAAGCCATTCCACATCATCTCACAGACACCCCTATTCAAGCCCATAGTCAGGTAACCACGAACACAAACCATCACCACACCACACCACCCTCTCCGGCCGAAAGCCAGCTCGGGCATCCACCGCAAACCAGCCATACACAGCTGAAGTGAGACGACCTAGCCCACTGTATCCAGCGACCAGCCAGCCTTGCTGTGCGATCTGGATCCCATCCACTTGGGACATTACGAAGTAAATGCTCTTACTCTGTCGATCCTCGACCACGCCACGACTTGAATGAATTATGGAGAAGTTGTAAACGATTCATTAGAAGTGGAGCCAATAACCACGCCGTATGGAGTGCATGTAGATGGATTTCCTGCGTGGCTCTGGACCGTGACCTCGGACTTTGTTCTACTCCGAATAATTTTAGATGATTGAATGGAAGTGTCTCCACGCATACAAATAGTATCAAACCAGGACTCAAACAACCGAGCCATAGGCAGACATAGGCACGGCCCCCAAGTATTTCGATACTATAGAAAGCCATAAGCCACCGGAAGCAGGGAATGCTAATAGTCAGTCAACGGAACATCCGAGTCCGGAGGAAGCACTGGAAATAGCAAAGAGGCCATTCCGGCCAAAGCGACCGCTTGACCCATAATTCTCTAGTACATACGGAGTACTCTGGGTGGTGCATTGTAGTGGGTGTATACATGTACTAAAGACTGTAAGTGTACTCCGTAAAGTACACGGAGAACTGAGAATCTCGCGAGTGGATCATAGAACGGAAGATGGCCGTTGGAGGATCAGCCGGCGCGCAAAACAAAGTTTAGCGGACTCCAGCGTGTCTCGGAGAGATGACTCTCTGGGGGACTGGTTACGGCTACACTAGCGTTTAGCTTCTTGGTAGTACACCGTGGTAATTCGAACTATCTGATGCAGGGGGCAAGGGAGGCTCTGTTGGCGTTCTAATATTGGTGTTGGGGGCCATCTCGGACGAACAGGATATCTGGTATTCCGTATATCCGAGCGGTTCGTATTCGTTCAATAGCTGGTTTGAGTATGATGTCCTCATACCTTTTTCGTTGAATGTAGTTTAGGGGCATACAGAAACTCTTACCTGATGTAGATGTATTCGTTTGCTTTTCCTTGAAGGATCAATTGAACAACAGGTAGTCGTCTATTAAGTCGGCATGACAGGTTCCTGTTCGATACCGGCATTTATTCACTTGCCTTCTTTTTGGGGCCTTCCAGAACACCGAGATTCAATCTGCATACGAACCTGTGCGCACATGGTCGATCCCCTCTGGGAACATGGCGTCACTCTAGTAGAGCCCGGCACCACCACGGATTGGAGAAAACCTAAAAACCGCCTTGCACAAGCCACTGGAAGCGTCGCCTACTGCAGAAAACAAGGCGCGATTTCATGCCAGCAGAGTTCGTCACTGATGCACCCATCCCTTTGAGAGGAAGTGATAAGCGCTAGTGTTGGTGAGGGACTTTTTAAACTTCCACTATGCATGCATTGTGAAAAGTTATACGCTCGACCCATTTATCGCTGACATCGGTCGAACGTGGTCAGGCCTTGGAACAAACTCCAATAGTTTAAACGGGCGACGCATGCTGACCCCCGAAAGTCAATCAAATAAGCAAGTGCCTTGGTAGGCGTGTCGAAAGTAGAAATGTTCACGAAGGTTTGGAACTTTGATAAAACAGATAGCCTTTTTGTGATTTGGAACGATTTATCTCCGGTAGTTAGTGCCCACTAGCCATGTCAATTATATATCAGGAATCAGAGCAGAGACATAATATACCATAGCGTGTTGTACGAGTCAAATCGGTGGCAAATGAAAAAGAATAGAACTCGGCTGTGCTCGGTGCCACGAGTCAACAACTCTTCCCCTCCATTATTCAGGAGTCCTGTGCAGTCTGCATTAGTGCTGTACAGCTTTCTCCCCACTCAGGGATCGCAGACAACCGAAAATCACTGGAGATGGGTAGATCTCCGGGGCCGTCGGCTAAGCGAGCGAGTTGTGTGCTGACTTCAGTACGGGTTGTGGAGGACAGTGGAATGGGTGTGTTCCGTAGATTTTCTCTCTCGCAATGGCCTTTTCAGACGATCACGGACCTCATCCGTGGACAGGCTGATGAGGTTCAGCACCCCGGACCCCTGGGTGTGCTCTCACGGCGAAGCTGACACCACGATCCTTCCTGAATACGGAATCCGGCGGTGGGGACAGCGCGGTGGATTATCCATGGACGGGAAGGGAATAGTTTCATGGGTCTTCCATCCGTCAAGTCTGCCCCATCCAGTTGAGTTGCGGGTTGCCGAGTTCAACCAATCTTAAATGCCACAGTGGTTTGGATTGGAGATGCTAGATTGTTAGAGTCCTCTGGTTGACGGGCCGACTATTGATTTCTATCCCTAACTGACGTACGTGTGGTGGGTATTGTCGCGTGCACACTGGTTCAGGAGAAGTACAGCGTACGGGGTATACTTGGATCGGCAGCAAGAAGCGTTCGTTGCTGAGCGATCCAACGCATCACGGAGGGTCTCTGCCTTGACCTTGATACCCAGATCGTCGGAGGTCCTGGAGGAAAGTAGCCAGCCAGAGGCCGCAAGGGGGAGTTTGAGATCGGACAATAAGGTTCAGGCACCATCAGGCGGTGTCGGTAAGGCCATCAGAACCACGAGACGAGGATTTCTCCATTCCATTCTGGCGAGGTTGTCCTGATGCCACGGAGTATATCTTTGATCAATCTCAAATTCAAGTCCGTCCGTCTCAGTGGAACAGTTCGCGCATGGGATTAAACCGGAACTCACATCCATCCATCCAATCCGCATTTCGTTGGAGTGTTGGAGGCGACCCAGAGAACGGAAAAGCGTCCAAGCGGCGGGTAAAGGTCGGCTGGCGTCCGACGTTGACGCAACCAAGAAAAGCAAAAAAAAAAAAAAAAAAAAAAAAGTCGGGGCCGGGAGATCTGCATTGTGTATTTGTATTGTTACCAGATGGTAATGCAAAAACCCGTCGCAATTCGACTCGATATTAAATGCTCGTGGAAAATGCTTGGAGCGGTGTCGAAGGATTCATGATTGGTTTCACTTCTGTTTATTCCAGACCGGAGGAAATCGCACCCTCGGGCTGCTGGCTGAATCCTTCGAGCGATGGATTTCAAATCGATAATTTCACTTTCAAACCGTGGCAGGGACGCTGGTCCACTTCCCGCCGATCTTCTCCATTCTTTCTGTATTGATGTTTTCAAGGACATCGTTCTATAGAGTTGTGACATTAGCATATACAGGATGTTTATCGGATATCAAAAATCAGATCGCCTCCCAAGCCAGAACAAAAGAAAAATATGTACAGTGAGTAATCGCCGACAGTAGGGTGATCTAAAAAAAGAAGAAAGAAAGAAAAGAGCGCACAAAAGAAAGGCCGCAAAAAGTAGGTGGCGTTTAGACTGTTTCAAGGCTGCGCGTGACGCTCGTGAGCATGGCCCAGCGCATCATTCCTTGCACGACCGAAATCCCAGTCTTCAGGTTGCCGCGTTTCGCGCTCCACCGTTACCGTCACATCCTGTCGAATTCTTAGGGCTCGGTCGGAGCCATCGTCACTGATATCTCGATCGTCCGCCGGGTCCGTACTAACGTCCGACACGGCCTTCTGCGGTGCATCAACCGTGCTTCGGTTGAAGCTTTGCATATTGAAATCCCCGGAGTGCAAATGACTCGGAGGTCCGTACTGCCGAGTTCCCGATGCTTTGCTGGTCCAAGGTCCGGAGCGGTACCGGTCTGTTCCACGTTTCGAACCACCGGTCCAACTTTTGAGAGCGGGAAATACGTCGCGGAGGAGGGACCAGATCAGCGGGAGATTGGTCACTAGCACGGCCACGGTGACCTCGCGGAAGTACCAATTCATGTAGACATAGGAAATCAAGGCGGGCACGAGACAGTAGACCTTGTTCAGAACGGCCGCAACGATAACGAAGATGCCCATGCCGAAGATGATGACCAAAATTAACTTCTGCTTGAGAGGCACTCGCACTTGTAGAAGGAGAGGGAGACCGATGAGGAGCATGAAGACGTCTGCGGAGATGGAGATGCATCCTTGAATGATCTCGTAGTATTGATAGGTTGAGCATTGCTCGTTGGGGGTGGGAACTGCCCAGTAGTTTTGTAAAGGGCGGCAGATGAGAAAGAGTGAGAGTTCGACCGCAACAAATCCAAGTGCGATGTATATGGCAAGGTAATTAACCCATTTTCGTTGTCGTAGACCTTCTCTGTCGGAGATGTGAGCTTCGTATCATAGCATAGCAATGGGGCGCGATTCCATACGTGATACGAGCATATATCACCAGCATGCAGGCCTTCATTGCCCAGATCGCCAGGACGAATGCGTGCTCGGACACAAAGACCCATTTACTCCCCCGTTCCCGCTCAGCCTTAATCCCAGGCGTCAAGTCCTCGATATCTTTCTCGTCCATCAGGTTTGACCCCCCACCGGAGGCGACTTCGTTCAGAGCAACGCATAATATAGTGTACCAGACGACGGCAAAGACCATCAGGTAGTCGTCCGTTTGTAGATTCGTGATTCCTAGTCGACGTATTCGAGCCACACTGCAAAACACCACAATGGTCAGCGCAAAAGCCGAAGGACGATACCAAGGCCGTAACTTACAACCGCAGCAGAACGCTCAACATGCCCACCGCATAGAGGGTCCATGTCTCCCGCGCAAAGCTGCGTCCATATTCCGGGCCCAGAATTGCCATTCTGCCGTCTCTCAACCTATGAACGCAGGAGAGGAGGGTTAGTCCTATGACATGCACGCAAGGAGGTCAAAAGCCGGGACCAAAGGGAAGCCACCGAATATAAGGCGGATGCACGTACATCTTAAGGGAGATAAGGTTTTGGAACTCGGCGCATTTGCAAGGGGGAACACAGCGACCAGGCCCGGGATCAATCAGCGGCCAGAGTCCGGACTGGGATGTGATTGATTGCAGCCGACGATAGAGGAGAGGAGAAGGCCAGCGACATGATCCAGGTCCATCCCGCCGGGCCGGACAAATTACAGCGAACAGTCGCACTGGAGCACCAAGGCCAGTTGAGGGAAAGGCGCATCTGCTAGGGTGATCCGTGGCTCAGGGCCTCATCGGCCGCGATGCGGGACCGCCCAGCGCGATTCCATCATTCCAGGAACCCTCGACGACCACTGCTACCGGATTGGGCATGACGGCGCTCACGCTGCGCGCTGTGTAATTAAGTTTGGAGGGGAACGCAATTTGATTGACGGGAGCTGGATGGGGAGACCCAGACCGCGTGCAGCCAACCAGCCGGCATCCAGGCGAGATATCCCACTTGGGCAACAGCTGAGGGTGTGCGGTGCTGAATCATGTTACGACGCCTCAAGCCACAGCACGTCGCCGGTGGGCTGGAGCTCAATCTCTTTGTTGTTTAGGAGATTATGGAGGTGGCACTTCGATGCGGCGGAAGTGGGACGAGGAGGCCTGACCGAATCATATCGCAGACAATGCATCCATCCATCCCACCACCGGCGACGGTATTGTTCAATACCAGACGGTGTGCCCCCCCGAGTGGGTCCTGCCATTCTAGTCGCAAGTTAATTTCCATACAGCCTAACCACAATTGAAATAGCGGAAAACCTAATGTCCCCCCTTCTTTCGGCGGGGACGCCTCAGCTTCCCTTGACCGTCCGGCCTTTGCAGGTCAAGCTTGCATCGCTCATCCTCCCGCAAATCGTCCTGTTCGCTCGAAGATCGTCATCAAATCGCCATTGAATCACATCTCGCCCGAGGGTTCAAAGTAAATCGATCTACTCCCTGCGCTGTCACCCTGTCAGTCAGGTACTCATGTTAATACGTCAATGAGCCCATCTCGAATGCTCCGTAAGGGCTGTGCTGCTCCCCCGTGGAGGCGGGCAAAGCGATTAACCCGCTCTAAATATATCATTAAAAAATCACGGCCTGTTATTGGCAGGCCTCTCATGGATGGACGGCACATCCAGCTCCATCTTCCGTGCTCCGTCGAGCCAAGGGTCGAGACACTGCGGTAACTTACTCCGTCCTACGTATTACTGTTCGTTCATAATGAGCTGTCCTGAGTGGGGCGGGGAAACATCGTGCTTTCTGCGGTGTAACCCTGCAGGATGAATACAGCGATGGCCCGGGATATTGGGTCTGGGATTGCACTCGATTTGGCCAGCGCAGCGGGATTTTCGAGCCCTATGGAGGATCCTGCCCATGTCGCGCAGGATCGGTGCATTATCCCGTCTTGGTACCCTTGCCATTCAGGACCGAGTCAGAAATGTCCTCTCAAAGCATCTGGCCTTTGTTGTCTTTGTCTATGGTGTATCCGCACTCCACAGGGACATGTTCATGGGCGAAACTGGCTCTTTCTCCGTAGCCCTAGCTTAGGCGCGAATGCCCCGGTACGTCCGAGCTCGTTCGGAGTACGGAGCTCCCCTATCAAATACTTGTGAACCACCGTAAAACCAAATAAATGAACAATGTCCGGTTTGCTCCGCTTATTAAACCGGTTGCTTTCCCCGGGGAGACCCTATAGGTCCTATTTAAATGAAACTATATCAACAAGCGTCCTGTCTCTTCCTTTCATATACTGTAGTGTATCCTACCCACTCCGTAGAATTGACCGGGCTAGTTGCCTAGTACCAATAGGTACTACAATTACAAACCTATCCGCAGTGAAACTATCTCACGATGTCTAATAATTGACCATCCCGTAGTCCCTGCAGACTAAAACATCAAAATTTTCACGAGGTCCGCATCAGTCAATCCAGACGATGGGCGCTCCGGCTTGGCCTGCAGGGGTGTGAGATACCCTTGTCGCGACTGGCCTATGATGTCGCGGATGCCGACTCCGGCCGCGCACCGCTGGCTACCGGCGCGCTCTTAGAGTTTCCAGCGTAGGTTAAGTTCTTCGATCCGTTTCAAGTCCATTCTCTTTGTTGTTCTGGAATCGTGGACGGTCAATGGACAATGGTTCGGAGATTTGCCTGACCATTCGATCGTGATTTTCGATCCGGCGAGCAGGCCATTGGGTTTGGTGCCTGACCCGGCTTTGTTCCATTGTGCTAGCAGGGATTGTTATTGTTTGTGAAGTCATATCCGGCTATCCGACCACGGGATACTACCTGGACAGGGGTAGCCAGGGTAGGAGAATTTTGACCTCGGCCGAGGTTGATGGTCCAGTACTCCCTATCCTGGTCAGTGGCTTTTTAGCCTTGAATAAAGCCATCGATGTTGGATTGACGATGGAATCTTCATGAAGATCTGGCTGCAGGCCAAGCATCCTAAGGGCAGCACAGGGCACCAAGAACAATGGCAGTGGTCTGATGCTTACAGGATCCGGTTCTGAGTTTCGTTTTTTCTTTTCTTTTTTTTTTCCCTTTCATTTTCAAAATTTCCCTTCCCCTTTCCCTTAGTGACCATGTTATTAATTAAGGTTTATCTACATTGACATCAATTCAGATAAATTAAATTGGCGCTAAGATAGAACCGGAACGTGCGTCGCAATCAGCCATGAATAATTCGCCGTGGTAATAATTCGCCCGATAGCGGCCCTCCGCTGTCATTGGCCCCGGACCGCATTCGCGCCCCAGAAAACAGACTTCCGCGGTGGCAACCCGCCGGCCGTGGTTGAATCGTCCGTGGGAGTCGGTCAATAATTCGACCCTCTCGGAGCGAGAGTTTATGGCGACCACGTATGTCCGCAGAGCAGGAACATTAAGGGCTACACTAGACGAGAATTACCAAAACATTTCGCGCTTTTCGAAGGATCGAGGAAAATTTCTGCGGACTGGGAGTGAGACAGACACGCGAGCTGATTCTGGGTACTCCCTCCCCCCCTTTTCTTTCTTCATTTTTTTTACTGAATTCGAGTTTCGATTGATAATTTTTTCCTACAAGGGAGGTTGCCTCCTGGCAGGTAGGCACTCCGTAGTAGATGCCTGTTGTACAGTCTGCTGGGTAGTGGTAGTACTACATCCGCCCTTGAGTAAACACCCCGCAGCCCTTCCCATCCAGCGGGACTCTGTAGATGTTCAACGCCCGGATTCTCGTAGATCCTCGCGAATGGCCTCCGTGTGGGGATTCCAATGATGCTTAAATGTTATCAGCCCTGAATCAGCAGATTTTCTGGGCAGGATTCAAGGTTGTCCAACAGGAAGGGATCGTGATAAGGCATCTGCTGAAGCTCCCCCTTTGGGAATAGGCTCTCTCCGCGTCCCCCTGTTCCTCTCGTCCAGTCACCGCCGCTCACTGGCCCGCATCAGCCACCCTTCGCCAGGATGATTGGCAGCAGATGGCCATCATTCCCCTTCAAGGGTGTCACGGCCCACCGTCGTGATCCAGCTGTATACTTTGGCTTTCGGCCCTCCCAGATCCTTAAACCCTGGCCCTCCGAACGTGCATGAGTCTTAAAAAAGGTTGGCTATCCTCAGTTGCCTTCCTGCCGCGCCGTTTCTCCTGCAGACGCCATGCTCGACCGATCTTTTTAGTTTCTTCTCGTTTTTCTTCGGCCCAAGTCATTCTTTTAACACGCCTCAGCATTCCTACCCATTAATTAGAAGGCCTGTTGCCCCACGTCTCTATCGGTCGACGCCGTATCGTATATAACCAACGAACTCCCGTCCGTCCGATCCCAACACTCACGTCATTTTCATCCTTCCACCCCTCCTCATCGATCGTTTTTACTCTGACTCGCCCTCGATCGATTTACCTACGAAATGGCACCAACAGAGGCACCTGAAAAGGTGGAGCCCATCGAGTCGTCCACCGAAGACCGGGCTGAGATGGAATTGGTTAACGCGTCCGGCCATCGCCAAGAACTCGACCGGAATTTCAGTTTGCTGAGTATCTGTGCTGTTGCGGTGACGACGGGAAACACATGGATTGCTCAAGGTGGCAGTCTGGTACGTTGTCCCGACGTGAGGGCAAAGACTCCTTACCTGACCACCGCTTGATCTAGGTAACTGCATTGGGTAACGGAGGACCGTCGGGTGTCATTTACGAATTGTATGCTGCGCTTACTCCATCTCCGCTCATTTGACGCCGTTGCTAACTGCATCTCTAGCATGGCCGTCTCGGTCTGTTATTGGTTGGTCGCTGCGTCCATCGCCGAACTGGCATCGGGAATGCCTTCCGCCAGTGGCGGTACGTTCAAAGCTAAATTGCACCTGTGTGGCCGGGAATATCGCTAATGTATACCCCAGTCTATCACTGGGCATCGATCACTGCCGGAAAATATGGCCGCGTTTGTGGATTCTTCGCTGGTTTCTGGAACTGCCTCGCCTGGATCCTTGGTGCTGCGTCCATGTCGGCTATCCTGGGCCAGCAGACCGTCTCGATGTACGCCCTGATGCACCCCGGCTTCGTGACCCAGTCGTGGCATGTGTTCCTTAGTTTCATCATCTGCACGTGGATGTGCTGCTGCATCGTGCTGTTCATGAACCGATTTCTTCCCCACATCGGCAACCTGGGAATGTTTTTCATTCTGGCCGGCGTGTTCATCACGATTGTTGTCTGCGCCGCCATGCCCCATGTCAACGGCACCGGACATGCCTCGAACGAATTCGTCTGGCGTACCTGGCAAAACCAGACCGGATATACTAGCAACGGCTTTGTTTTCGTGGCAGGAATGCTCAACGGTGCTTATAGTGTCGGAACCCCTGACTGCTCGACTCATCTGGCAGAAGAGATTCCCAGGTACTATACCCCTTTACCAATATAACCCCAACACTGAAGTATCTAACTAGCCTGACAGACCGAGCCGGAACATCCCCAAGGCCGTCCTGGCCCAAATGAGTGTTGGTTTCATCACCGGTGTGCTTTACATGATTGCCGTCTTCTACTCGATCAACGATCTCGACGCCGTGATGAACAGCGAATATGATTTCCCGCTCGCCGAAATATACCGTCAAGCGACTGGCTCGCGCGGCGGCTCCCTCGGACTGCTCATCGTGGCTTTCCTGCCCACCGTCATCACCTGCGCCGGCTGCTACATCACCGCCGGTCGTACTCTCTGGACCATCTCCCGCGACAGAGCCACCCCCTTCTCCGGCTGGCTCTCGAAGATCAACTCTCGCATGCACAACCCTTTCAACGCCACCTTGGTCTGTGGTGGAATTGTCACCATCCTGGCCTGTATCTACGTCGGATCGACCACCGCGTTCAACGCCTTCGTCGGCTGCTTCGTCCAGCTGTCCAGTTTGTCCTACTTTGCCGCTATCTTCCCGCATCTCTTGACTCGTCGGTCTTCGTTTACCCCTGGTCATTTCTGGCTCGGACCCGTCGGATACGTCATCAACGCGCTGAGCTGCATTTACATCCTGGCTTTCGTCGTTATTTTCTGCTTCCCGTTCGCGTTGCCCACCGATGCGGCGTCGATGAATTACGCCAGTCTGATGACCGGTGGATTGACGATCTTTGTGGCGATCTGGTGGCTCTTCCGCATGAGGTCCTACGAGGGACCTAAGTTTGTTCCCCTGACGGATAAGATCCTGATGGACGATGCGAAATAGATTTTGATAGTGGCTAGAATTGGAGGAGGTAATACATCAGACCTTTTGATATGATGGGCAGACATTTGCCCGGATTAGATCTTGTGGAGATGTCACTTATAAAATAATCGTCGTTTCGTGTTTCTAGATTAGATCTGTATAGTCCAAGAGGCATCCTGTATTGGCTGGTGTCCAAAGAATTTACCATTTTCTTGTGTTAACTGATCCATTGGTTTTTAATGATGGTTATTATTTGCACGAGTATTTCAAGCATCGGCTTTATCAGGTAAGAATATTGTCTGAGAGAGGTGATATCTGTGAATCCAAGCCATGTAGGGACTTGAATGCATTATGAATCCTAGACTAAGATTTTGAATTCAACATGCGTAGTACTGTTTGTATCATTTGATGCCAATATAAATAATTTCTCCATCCAGCGAAACAAAACCCCCCCCCCCAACGATTTCCCTATCTCCCCAACCCTCAAACAGGACTTTAAACCCCATCCAATCCTCGTACCAATCAATCAGTCCATCAATCAACCCCATCCCCGCAAAACCGAAACGTAAGTCCCTTGATTCTCCCCCCTTCCCAGTTCATCATGTCGATCTCGCACCTCACAACTTCGTACTGATCCGTCTCATAATACCGCAGCTGATCTTCCTCCTCTTCTGACATGATTTCATACGCCCAGCCCTCAACCACCGCCGACTCAGCCCCGTCAATAAGAGCCTTATACTTCCCTCCCCACATTCTAATCACTCCGCCGCGAACAACAGCCCGCGAGAGAACCGGCTGCTCAGACAAGGAAAGCTTCAGCCTCAAGGTCCCGGGGTCAGCAAGCGTGCCGTAGAAAAAGTACCAGACGGGGTGCTGTGTCTGCGTGGGGAGATAGGTATGGTTGGGTGCAGGTGCGCGGAACTGGGGCCGGGTCGGGTCTATGTCCAAGCCCAGGGTTGGTGCGGCGCTGCAGGACGAGAGATCCTTCTGAGCGCGGTTGATGCGGATGAGAGTCGGCTTGAATGCCTTTCCTTGCTCGGAGTGAGAGAGTGCCGAGATAAGCGAGTTCTTGGTGATGCCGTTGATGAGGCAGAAGTGGGCGGTTTGGCCCGTTTCGCCGACGCCTTGGTGTGTGGGTGGTGGGTGGAGGAGTCCAGTGAGGTGTTGGATTTGCGATGCGGTGCGCAAGGGACCTTCGAGTTTGACGAGGTAGCTGGTTTTGGAGGCGTGGTTTGGGTATTGGGGTGTGGTGGGTTTGGTGGGAGGTTGTGGGCTGGTGCTCTGAGGGATGCCCTGAACATACGAGGATGGTTGGAAGAGGTTCTCAAGTCGTTGAATGCTCAGGTCGTACGCCTGGTTGTCTGTGTTGTTTTCGGCCTGGTTGGCCATGTGGGCCAGGCCAGCGAGGTTCTCGAGCTCGTCGAGAAGATCCATGTTTTGTGGTTGCAGATGTTGGAGGAGTGAAGATGGGAATAATAGTAAGATTTGTGAAATGGCCTAGCCTGATGAACTTGTGATGTGGGAGCAAAGATCGAGTAAGAAAGTGGGAAAAAGAAATTCCCAGGAATGACTCACAAGGAGCAACAGGTATGGTCACGCTGCATCAACGTTGGTCGGTCGCTTTCTTTTGCGGGAACCTTACTTCGATGTGAGGTCATTCCCAGATGCTCGAAACTACAAAGCGGCGGATGACATTTCCTCGCTATGTTATCCCGCTGAACACACCTTATTAAGGAATTATCTGTGTTCCGAAAGTAGCTTAGAAGTTCATATCGTATTCTGAACCGAAGAAGACTTTCGTAAACACAGTATACACATCTTGGAGTTAACTGCTTCAAGATATCTAGAAATAGCACCTAATTATATTTTTACGAGAAATGCCATTTACCTGGTGGCGTCTACCTTGTTTTTTATTTGCCCGAGGAATCTATTCTTTGACCTCAAAAGACACGGCATCGTCTGAGTACCCGGGGGAATGCATTAATTTCTCAGATTTAAAACATGATACAAGCCTGTGAACCTTTGATGTCAAGGCTCATGGCACTGCCGCACTGCGCCTACTCCGCATGTTTAATGTCTCCGACAAAGTGGATCCACTACTTAGAGGTAGTATTTCTGTACAGAGGAGAAAAGGTATGCAGGTTACAGTTGGAAACAGAATTTACACTCTTCATAACGCTAGGAGCGTGTATTGCCATTTTACTATCGTGGGCATACCTATATCACAATATCCTGTTATACTAAACCTGAGCTTTTGCACCGCTAGCCCCTGACATCCTTATAGCACTCTGCTTCTCTCCGCATGACGGCATGGCTCCGCGACTTAAGAAGCAACGGCCTTGGAATAACCAGTGAACTCTCCAGATTCCTGCATAATAAGCCCAATCTCATCTTCTGCAAGCGAAGCCAAGGTTTGTTTCTCCGTAGGGGTCCAACCCAGTTTCCGAAGTCGGATGGCGCGGCTTCTTGAATTTGATCCGACGACAGTCGCGGTGTAATGGCCGAAGATATCGCCGTAGTTTTCCTGGGGAATTGCTTTCGGCTTCGCTTCATTGATGCGGCCTGCCTTGTGCAGGATGCGACCGATCTCCGCAGAGCATTCTCCCCAAGACAGCTCATGGCCGTTTTCACAGAAGAAATAGGGGTTTTCTATAAGCTCCACCACGGGTGCATTTTCCATCCAATGCAGCAATGTCATATAGCCCCGTGCTAGATCCTTGACATGGACCTGACTCCAGACAGAAAGACCTTTCCCAACCTGCCCGGCGTAGCCATGTTTGAGCGAATAGCGGGTGATGGTGGGCAGTTGGATCGATGTGCGGTTTGCACTGCTCACACCGTAGATTAGTGGCGGGATCATAATCGCCATCTTAGTGAAATTGGCCAGCTCCTTCCGGGCGTTCACAATGGCCAAGTCAATCTGACGATGAGGTGCAGAGTCAGGTAGTGCGTCAATTTGAGCCGGGCTTTCATCGTCAAACACCGTATCGCTCTTCCAGTCGCCCGCGGCACCATCTGAGAGTAGACTGGTACCACTGGTGTGGATATAGAGTGTCAACAAGCCTTGTCTCTCTCTTTGTCGCAGCCCGTCAATGACTGCTCGCACGGAGGGGAGGTGGTCTGCAGTTGCGGTGTGGAAAACAATGTCACTGGCTGCGACCTGCTTCGATATCACGTCGGGGTCATCGAGTGTACCGATGATAGTTCGGATGCCCAATCTTTCGTATTCTGCAACATTGGATTGTCGGCGGACAAGAACAGTCACGCTGTAGTTCTCTTCGAGGAGATGACGAAGAATCTCCCCGCCGATGAAACCAGGTCCGATTAAAAAGACCGACGAAGGCATGATGGGACGGCTGACAGGCGCGAAATCCAGGCAATTTTAGAAATAATGAGTTGACATGGATGTGTGGTAAGGTTGCTAACGCTATTTAAGGCCTTCAAGCCTCGCACTTGGGATTAGATATGCATTGCGTCGATCGGAGCGATTTGTTGGACTCGGGAGGACTCGATGCTCCAATGTCTCCGAGTCCTGACAAATGCGCTTTTCTTGGCAGCATGTGAGTTGAACTAATTATTTTCTTTCTGGGGGCCAAATAATTTGGTTGGATTTACAAATTTACCATGTCGGAGAAAGGACAATTGTTCTTCTAAACGGTGGTGCTGTGCGCTAACTGGGGGTTGAGATCCATGATGTCTCTCAAGACCAATGATACCATTGATTTTATGGCTCTTCTAAGGCTCGATCTACCAATGGAATACTGTTTCTACCATGGGATAGAGTATTCCAAAGCGTTGGAAAATGTTGATTTTCTGCGGCAAACAGCATCCAGATGGACAGTACTGGTGTCCTTGACGAGGATCCTCATGGATAAACTGGATACTACCATGTACTCCCTGCCATACAATCAGTAGCCATACAATCAGATGTAAATGGAGGCCCTCAGGGATAAGATATCGTAATCAAACCGTAAGATTCCCAGCTCCGACGCACGTGAATATGAGAATGTCATCTTCCTTTGCCACAACTTCGCAATTGATGAGTCCTCAAATCTTTCACCGGGATAGAATCCCTCTTAGAGAAATACATTCAACCTAATCCTCACCACCGGGTCATGTCAGCCAACTTGACCTGCACCTTTTGCAATTCCTCCTTTCGACGGGGGGAACATCTTGGCCGCCATTTAGGCTCTCGTACGCAGAATTGTCAGCCCAGACAACCTAGAAAACGATGGCTGACAATCCCTCACAGATGGTGAAGCGTGACCATATGAATGGTAGTTTTGCGGTACATCGCTCAGGTGCAGGTAATACCCAATGAACCTCGCTGAATGTTATGCTTGGGATCTGACCATTAGGACTGTTCTTGTTGAAGTGATGCCTTAAGCGACACTGGAAAACCTACAAGAACCGTGGGCAAAGTGGGCAGAGAATCCCTACAGCTGTCAACTATCCAAAGAGGAGCCGTCGACAGGCATGCAGAAATTGTTCTCGACTCAAGCGGGCATGTGACTTGAGTTATCCATGTTGTGGCTGCCGTCTCAAAAGCCAGACTTGCGAGTATGAACACTTTATGATGAATGAGGATGCTTTTGGTAAAGATAGGCAGTCGGACACCAGATCGTTGTGCTACTCGGTTTGGATTCCACACTCCTATAACCTCCCAAGCAACCCCAAGGCCTGTAGTATGTGTCATTGTACGCCGGCGCAAGTGTCACCATTACTAGATGGACCCGTATACTACAGCGTGTACTATCTACCAGCGTTCCCCTATTCGGCTATTAAATCTCGTCTGAGGCGATTATCGACTACTATCTGTACAGTACATACTTCGCAGATTATATAGAGACTGTGTTCCCCTATGTCCGACTATCGTAGATATACCCTACCCGAGGTCTTATATAACATTAATAAATAAATATTATAATATGATATAACTTTCTGTAAAGTAACAATATAAAAAAAAGATTAAACCAGTTTTTGTATTATATTCGAGAGGGTCAGAAAAATAATAGAGAAGAACGGCTGGACGACAGTGCTTCAGTGATACCGGCACATATAAAACCTCACAACGGGATGTGATGCAGGCAGACTAGATCCTACAGTCCCTAGTCACTCGACTCCTCCACTCAGCTGCAGCCGAGGCTAACCTAGAGAACGTCGCTGAGACCAGAGTCCTTATCAGTTCTTAATATAGGACCATCCCCTCGTTTGATCCCTTCACCGGATAACCACCCCGTTTCCGAGCGACGTATCCGGCGCTAACAGACGGTCTGGGGTAAGTTGAATCCGGGGTCGAGCCCCAGACTTTCGGCCATCGAGCGCCGAAGGATTCTCACCTTCAGAGCTTGGCAACCGACGGCTTTATATACTGTCGTTGCCATAGTGAAGTGGTCTTCCTTCCTGTCCTCCTCGCCACCTCTTGCCTTCAAACCCCAAGTCAATCCCCTCTCCTTAGCCATGGGCGAGCCCAAGACCGACAATGAATGCGTTCACCTGGAACAAGTCGCCAGCCCGCCCCCTCCGCAGAAGTTTGTCGTCTCACAAGGTGGCGGCGACACGGCGTTGGCCCTCTTCTCCGACCCCAGCCAGCCCTACGAGCCATTGAGCACCCAGGAAGCGAAGAAGCTGGACCGGAAGATCGACTGGGTCATCCTGCCCTATATCAGCGTCGCCTATGCGTTCTTCTACATCGACAAGACCACGCTCTCGTATGCTGCCATCTTCGGCATCCAGGAGGACCTGAACCTGCACGGCACGCAGTACAGCTGGCTCTCGTCCGTCTTCTACTTTGGCTTCCTGGTCTGGGCCATCCCGACCAATCTGGCGTTGCAGCGGTTCCCGGTCGCAAGGTATCTGGGCGCGAATATCTTTGCCTGGGGCGCCCTGTTGATGGCGCAGGCGGCGGCGAGGAATTTCATCCAGTTGGCGGTCCTGCGGGCGCTGAGTGGTGCGGCCGAGGCGTGCGCCGATCCGGCGTTCCTTCTCGTCACGAGTATGTGGTATACGCGCAAGGAACAACCGTTGAAGATCGGGCTGTGGTATACGGCGAATGGGTTTGGGGTGGCGCTGGGAGGGCTGTTGGGGTATGGGATTGGGCAGATCAAGGGGGCGTTGCCGAGTTGGAAGTATGAGTTCCTGATCATCGGGGCGCTGTGCTGCGTCTGGGGGATTGTCATCTACGTCTTTCTGCCTGACTCCCCGGTCTCGGCGAAGGGGTTCTCGCTGTCGGAAAAGAGGACGGTTGTCGAACGGCTGCGAGAGGACCAGACGGGTGTGGAGAATAAGAATTTCAAGGGTTACCAGGTCCTGGAGGCGTTCATGGACTATAAGCTCTACCTGCAGTTCTTGATCTCGCTGATGCAGAGCCTGGTGAACGGTGGGATTTCGAACTTCGGCACAATCATCATCAAGGGGTTTGGCTTTTCGACGTGTGAGTATTCGCCCTTTACTATTTTTGATGGATGAAGCCATTCTAATTCTGGTTAAGTGGGCACAACGCTCATGCAGATCCCGTACGGAGCCATCATCGCCATCTCCATTCTCCTGTGTATCTACCTCAACAGGATTCTACCCCCGAACAACCGATGCCTACTGCTCATCGCCTTTCTCATGCCCAATGTGGCCGGGGCATTTGGTCTGCGCTATGTTCCACAAGACAATCGGGCCGGCCGACTGATCTGCTACTACTTGACTGCGCCCATCAATGCGTCCTTCGTCCTTCTCCTGTCCCTGCAGACAGCCAACACGGCCGGACACACGAAGAAAGTCATCAACAGCGCCTGTCTGTTCTTGGGATACTGCGTGGGAAACATCGCCGGTCCCTTCTTCTACAAGTCCGAGCAATCTCCGACCTACATCCTGGGGATCTGGAGCATGATTGTCTCTCACCTCCTGGAGATCGTAGTTGTATTCGTGCTGCGGTTCCTCCTGGCGAGAGAGAACAAGAAACGAGACAAGCTGCAGGGACTAGACGGCGCCAACGGCCTGGAGCGAGAGGTTCACGAGCAAGACGTGGACGCGTCGGCGTTCGGCGATTTGACAGACCGGGAGAACCTGAACTTTAGATACATTTACTGAGTCGGAGATAGCAAGCAACTACTAGCAGGGGTAGTTGCATATCAATATCATCAGCATCTGCAATGCAACGATCTGCACGACGGATACTTTTCCGTCAACTGGCACCCCCGCCATTTGCATCCTTCACGCCGTCATTCGTTCATCACCGCGTCCAGTAGGAAGTATATCGGTGCTGACCATTTGCTATAAGTTGGATCGTGTCTCGGCTGCCAAGATACTCCAAGGCCTTGGACTGTAGCTTGTCTCGAGCTTTTCCTTCTTCTTCGTCTGTGTTTCTTGGCTTGTCCGTGCCCTACTCTGCCTGCTTTCTCGGCTTCCAATTCCCTCGTGACAATGACAGACCCAGGTCCCAAGGCATCAGAAATCGAGCAGAGAGAGTTCTCGTCTTCTACCAACGACATCGTGAAGCCTGTCAGTCGCGCCCCGCAGTATGTGCGCGATCTGTCGCCCACGGAGCGGCAGCGTGCCGAGAAGAGGCTCGTCCGCAAGGTTGATCTGCGACTCATGATCGTGACCTTTGTCATGTATGTCATGAACTACTTGGATCGGAATAATATTGCCGCGGCGAGACTGGCGGGTCTCGAGGAGGATCTGAATCTGAAAGGGAATCAGTTTCAGGTGACCGTGAGTATTTTGTTTATTGGCTATTTGTTGATGCAGGGTATGTTCTTCCTTTAATCCCTTCCCGAGGTTTCTCTGGGGTTGGAAAGCTCTATGACTGACGGAATTGTATAGTGCCTTCGAACATGATCCTTAATAAGATGGGTAGACCGTCGATTTACCTGCCCAGCTGTATGGTGGTTTGGGGCACTATATCCACCGCGACAGCGGCCACGCATAACTACGCTGGTTTGTTGGTATGTCGGTTTTTTCTTGGGTTCGTGGAGGCTGCTTATTTCGTGAGTTTCCTTTCTTCTCCTACAGAATGATATGAGCTAAATGAACTCTACCCAGCCTGGGTGCCTCTATCTCCTCTCGGGATGGTACACTCGCAATGAGCTCGTTAAGCGCACTGCCTTGCTGTATTCTGGATCCGTCATCTCTGGCGCCTTCTCTGGCTTGATTGCAGCCGGCATCACGGGCAATATGAATGGTGCTCGGGGCCTGGCTGCCTGGCGGTGGCTGTATATCATCGAGGGGGTCATCACGGTAACCCGTTCCATTTATTGCTGTATTAATTCGCTGGTAGAAACTAATATCCTTAGATCTTCATCGCCATCCTGGCTTTCTTCATCATCCCCGACCTCCCCCGTACCACACGATGGCTCAGCGAGGAAGAGCGACAGCTTGCTGCGTGGCGTCTAGAAGAGGATATCGGCGAAGACGACTGGGTGGATAGTCAAGACCAGTCGATGTTCCACGGAGCAAAGCTTGCATTCTTGTATGTTCCACTCACCTCTCGGCCCAGCGGTTGTCACAATGCCATCTAACCGAACTACATAGAGACTATAAGCTTTGGCTCCTCCTCGGTACAATCTACGGCTCGACGTCGTCCGGGACAGTGACGAATTTCTTCCCGACGTGAGTATCTTCCCTCACTTTTGCACCCATTATAAAATCTAACGTGTACCCTCAGAGTAATGAAAGGTCTCGGGAAAGGCAACGTCGAGACCCTCCTGCTCACTACGCCGCCGTACCTCATCGGCGCCGTGGTCATGCTGGCGAATGCCTGGCACGCGGACAAGACGGGCGAGCGGTACTTCCATATCGTCATTTCGCCGGTCGTTGGCCTGGTATCGTTTATCCTGGCAGTGGCGACGACTTCGTTTGCGGCGAGATATGTGTATGTTTTCCTTACTTTCACTTCTTTTTGAATGATGGGTGTGTGCTAACATGAGTTACTAGGGCTATGTGTCTTATGATCGGAGGCATCTACGCAGGCTATGTTGTTGCTTTAGGATATATCTCTAATGGTGAGTATCACTGCCCGATTTTCCACTCCTTTTGTTCAATCATGCATGTCCGCATACTAAAACAAACAAAACAGTCCTACCTCGTCCAGCATCCAAACGCGCCGCCGCTCTCGCCCTCATCAACTGTCTCAGCAACGTCTGCCAGGTCTACGCTCCTTACCTCTACCCTAGTACGTTCTCCTTCACTTATGATAACTCCCTGTACCCGTATCCATCTACAGACCACATGAACCCTACCCCAAAGACAATAAGACTAACACTACCAACCAACAGACGAAGACGGTCCTCGCTACCTGAAAGCCTTCGTCCATAACATGGCCATGTCCGTCATGACAATTCTATTCGGGACGATTCTTCGGATCGTGCTGGTCAGGCTGAATAAGAAGTTGGATGAGGAGGAGGGAGTGGATATTTTGGAACAGAGTCAGGGTCAGGGTCCGGATGGGGAGCCGGTTGTAGTGCGGAGGGGGTTTCGGTATTTGATTTAGGACTTTCGGATGATGGGGTTAAGATTGGAGGTGGATGGATGAGAAGAGAGAGATTGTTCTGGTGGACCTTTTGGTTATTGGGTTAGGGGTTGTTGAGTTGGATGTTTCTTTTCTTTTTTGGGTTAGGCGAGCGTTTGATATGAGTTAAGATTTAGATTACTAGACTGGATTTCTACGACTCATGCCTCAATGCCAAGTAATGTGAGAATTCAAGAAATTGGACTCTTCGCTGGCAATGTGGAGCCCAGAGGACCGAGCCGGCGGGCGGGCAGGTGAGCTCTACAAGAATCTATGACAGTTTATTGAATCCTTAGAGAACTTCTTGTTGGTCTTTGTTGACTCACGTGGTTGACACACCGCGCCACTTACACAATGAGGAATGTGATGCATGAGTGCTTTCGAATCCCAGTGATGTTATGCATAAAGACTAGATCGAGAAGATGAAGCCTGGGCTGAGCTATACACAGTTAAATTACTCCGTAGATTTGATTTTCAGCTCACCTCCCCAGCTCAGCGGTGGATTGGAATGCATTATAATGATATAAGAACAAAAGGCTTGATATACCATTCATCGGATTGGCAGAATAGGGAGCAAAGAAAGGAGATTTCAAGTTGCTATGCGGCTTTTAATCCTGTGTGATGATTTCCTAGATGTACAGAAAGTAGTTTAAGAATTATCTTCAACTGTTGAAACACGAAAAAAATGCCTAAAGTAGTAAAAGAATAGAATGATACTAGCTGCATGATTCTGATTATCCAAGCTCTGGTGTGCTGGTTACATTGATTAATGATATAACACCCACGGAGTAGTATAAATAGGGCCCATCATGCCCCCGATGTTCATGTATCAAGAGCCTTCTCCTTGAACACCCACTCACTGGAGTTACCGCTGCATTAACCGATCTTTTCTAAACCAAAACTCGGACGCTACAATTCACAATGCAATTTTAATCTCTCCTTGTCTTTACCTCGGTGTTTGTGTCCGCTCTCGCCGCGGCCCCTACGTCGACAAGCAGGTTCAAGGAGTGCAGAGGAGACTCTTGATACCCTCAGAGCCCAGGGACTTTGCATGTCGGGTGATGCTTGTTCACAGGTAAGTATACATCTTGATTGGGACCACTCTTGTCGTCTAATGTAATCAATTGCTAACTATAACTAGCGCAACTGTTGCAGTTGGACAGTGGGTGTTCTATTTGCTGGCGTATTTGAAAGTTATATGAATATGAGCTGACACTGAATAGGTGCCTCCCCGTTTGGATGACGCGGGATGGGGAACCTGCGAGGTCAGTAATTTCAAGCTTTCTAAATCAGCAGTTTCTTTCAAAGGGCATGAACTAACACAATATGATACTAGTGCTAGATAAGCATAGAGCCCAGAAAGTCCTGGTATAGGTTTTTTTTGGTCATGATTGACTATGGTTTCCCTATCCTAGAATGCAAATACAGGGACTGTACTTTTTGATGTCGTTTAATCTTCCAATCGTAGATGTAATAATCACATCAATGCTATCAAATTGCCCTATCTCACAGTATAGACCTCCTACCACAACAAGCCTTCCCGTATTGATTCCCACAACTCCTAGATTTGCGCCATCACTAAACCATCACAAAATTATCTCAAAACAAAGTTCGCAATATTTTAATTCTTGAACAGGCGACAGTCCTGCGTTATAAAAAATAGTAGGTAACGCATGGACCATTTCTTGTAGCTTACTATGATATTCCCCTGGATTTGCAGGAGTGCTGTCGACTGATTGGGCGCCGAGACCCTCAAAGTACCTGTCATACTGGTTATAACAAATGTAGTAACGCCCGTGGAAGCAAATTCATGTATGCTTTGTAGCTGAGCAACTACATTTTAGACTGCTACTCAGTCTGCAAATTCATCGAAGTATGTGGAGCTGATGATCTCCGCCGTCGAGCTTGGTCCATCTTTCCGATACCCGGTGGATCGGATATGTACTTCTGATGTATCCGTTCTCGGGAGAAGAGAAGGATCCGGATGAAGGATGGCTTATGCTGTTGCCTACCAATGGATTTCGGATTCGGGTTCGGATTCTGGACGGCCGTGCACAAAATACGTTTTGATTTGGATGGAATCTTGATTACTTGATGGATTAGAGACTACTATACCAACCTCTCGATGTATAACTGCATTACCATGAATATGGTATGAAAGATATATATTGAACGGATAAATTCATCATGCATATTCTCAAGGGTGTATGTATGACCCTATACGTACCTGTTTTTCTATATTATCGTAAATTTCCTGTTGTAGACATCGCCGCTTTACTGAGGGCGCTCAGGGGCTTGCTCAGTGAGTAATTCACATCACGGCTCACCGCTCAGTGAGCACTCAGTCGGTGCTCAGGCTGTGCTCACCCTGTGCTCACTGAGCGGTGAGCCGTGAGTTCTGCCATACTCACGCCCCATTTATTTTGCACAGGTAGTTCGACCGCTGTGACAGATAAACAGCCCTCAGGATTTTCTAAGTCGTTAAATTACCATAAACAATGACGCAAGTCGAAAATATGATGGAGAGTATCTGAACACGTGTGCTGACCTAAAAGTAAAGCGTATACTTAATATAAGTATAATAATAATCATTTTCAAGAAAGCTATAAAGGCAGGTATCCTTCCTCCATGACAGTCAATAGCATGGAAGCAAGATCCCTAGGCATTTCCTGTATCCCCTGAATGCCCTTTCCCTTTTGTTCTCACTCTGCTTATTCAATTGTCTATTCTCATAAATCTCTACGTTCGATCTTTTTACAGCTAGCTGACAAGATGATGGGCAAAAGAATATTTTTCCGGAATAAGGACATAAAGAGAAAGCACTATGAGCGGCAGGCAGCAAATAGATATGTTGCAAAGGCTCACCAAAACAAAGATTCCGTGAGAAAAAGGCATGAGCGGACAGAAGAAACAAAAAATCTACATAAGGAAAAGGTGGCGGATTATCAGGAGTAAGTTGTCTATAGATGGAGTATCTTGTCCTTAAGCTCTGCTAACACAACTTCACCAGGTTTGTGATAGAAGAAGGGTACAAGTCACCAGGATATCGGATTAAGCCTGGCTGTCTAGCACCAAGCATCGTCGTCATCAAAGATTTTATCCGCTCGTACGTCCGTACCGTTAAAGGCACGGGGCGGCTCAGTCAAAAAAAAACAGCCACAGTGAGGACTGCCACAGCTTATGCTGAGCAATTCTTTGGTGGCTTTGAGGAAGCAACTGGCAGTAAAATCGTGCCAGACGACCGTTCGGAGATTTATTCGGTACGCAGATCCTCGCTCCTCAAAGATAGTCAGCTAATTTGGTTGGAGTGGATTAAAAAAACCTTGACGGAAGAAGGTGAAGTTGAGGACATTAAAAAGCAGAAGTTCAATTTTGACCGAAATGATTTCACCGATCTTGTAGCATCAATGTGGACTCGCGATTGTCCCATCTTCATGCATGGACTTCTCAAGGTGTCCATTCTGTTTGCGCTACAGGTTTTTCTCTTCACGGGAGCAAGAATTGGTGCCTTCATCCCAGAATCGAAACGCAAAAGCCAACGAGGACTCCGATATAGGGTAAGATAATCCGACCCAAATCTATTATTCACGGGCAGGCCCTTGCTGACTACCAACAGCATATCCAGCTAGTGCTCTTCCGCAGTCCGAATCGAGACGAACCTTGGAAGATAGGTTGGCGAGTCAACCAGCAATGGCTGAAAAAAAACCGAAATGAAAACTACACGGTGTAGGTGCCTTTGGGATGAAACCATGATTCCCTTTCCTGCATCGCAGGCGTCATTGCTGACCGACTGAGTAGTTTCGGCATTGGCATCCGTGATGACAGCCGACCGCAATTTGCATCCGGCTTGCTGCTCCTTGTCATTGCCCTCGCGCATGGGGCTATCTCTGGCATCAATTCGTTGGCCGACTTGGCTCAGTTTGACCTCCGTGACGGGCGCACCACCGAAATTCCGCTCAGTTGGAACCCAGACGCTTTGAATAAGCCAGTATTTCGAAATGTTACCGCCAAAGGCCCACAGGAGGTGGCCCTCAATAAAGAGAGGTTTTGTACCTTGCTTCGTTCACTCCTTACTGCAGCAGGTTACTCAAAGCACGCTACCATCCACGATATCCGTCGAGCACTGGGCAAGAAGATTGAAGGTGTGTCGTAGTTGACCCCCACTTAACTGTGAATTGAGAGCTAAACACGTCTCACAGCAAGGCATGGCTCTGCACCCGTATCCCAAATATACGCTCACCGGTCCGAATCCACCTACCCTGAACATTATCAGGCGCACTGTTCATCCATTGACACCGTCGGTGATGTTTTGGATGAGGGGGAGGAGACATACCACATAGAATACTTCCAGAGCTATCGACAATTTCGGGAAGTAGGACTTCCCTGCGAGCTACCAGCGGAGATGGAAGTAGCCATAATGAAGATGCCCGAGATTGTCGAAGCCAGAGACCGCATCAAACAACTCCTCGACAACGCAGACCATTTCGGTGCCGCGGAAGAGGAACAAGAGTATAGGAAGCTCTATACTCGTATTCAACTCTCCGAGCTGCATCGCTTCCAACATGAATGGGTACAAGAAAGGAGACAGCGTCGAGTCCTTAACAGAGGAAAGGATGAACCAGATTGGCCCGAAGGCAACACTCGCACGCGTGCATTGGCCCTCATCATGCCCGAACTGGACCACTTGGGAGCGACTCTATCCATCCCCAAGCAACTTGCCTTTGATGAAAGACTGCTCTTTGCGGAACAACTGTTGACACAGTGCCGCCGTGATTACAACGTGATCTATCTCCCCGGTGAGGCGCCGACGGACGACAGGAAATGCCCTGTGCATGATTGCCGAAAGGACCTTCAGAGTCCCACACTCACGCACAGCGACCGAAGCGCTCACATTCATGACTGCACTCGTGGAGACATAGCCCGACGTCTGCATATCGGTGAATCAGACTTACGGTACTGTTACGAGTGTATGACTTGGTGCCCGCAGGTAGAGTGGCGTGATCACTGCAGTTACCACCTGCAATCCTGGAGTGATCTCCATTGTGAAGTCGTTATATGTCGTTATACTGTTATTCGCCCCGGCTACTGCCCTTGTTGTGTGTGGAATCAAGGCCTCCCAGCCGACAAAAGATTGAAGTATTGGACATCGAGCGCGAATCTGAGGAAGCATCTTGAACACAGGCATATTGTTGAGATCAAATGGCCCACAATAGACCCCATATGTGGCTGCCCACAGACATTTGCATCGGAGCAAGAATTCCGGTACCATCTACATGACGTGCATGGTCTGACCGATGGAATCTGGAAATCCAGAAAACCATCATTAAAAAGGAAGAGAGACGTCAAGGCAGGAGTGGGTTGTGTGGAGGAGAAAGCCCATGGGCCAAAACCGAAGAAGATCCAATTCCGACACTATCAACCCCATCAGCCGCCGCAGATAGGGTATTCATATGAACCACCCATACCAACTCTCACGCATGCTCCAACCTCAAAACCCTCCCTTTCTATCTCCAGGGAATATATATGCCCTTCCTCTATTTCCAGCAGAAATGTGGCAAGCAGCCTCGTTAGTAAGGACAGTAACACTGACTTTTCAACTCCCTCGTCTCCCTTGAGTTCACTCCGCACCACACCTGATCTCGAACTCATTGATCCCAGGATCTTGGACCCCATTTGGCCCAAGGACAATTGTTTGCAATCTATTAACAGCATTTGCCCGGCTGCCTGTACCGAGAATGGGGTTCCTCGCACTGGCTCCGAAGAACTGCGCAATGACCCGGTCGTTATTCAGCCTGTTCGCCATACAGGTTTTCACGAAGTTTTACCTAAAGTGTCCCACACCACCACAGAAAGCACCTCTGCGAATATTCCCGCCGTTTGCCCGAGTACCCATTTAAGTGGCCCCGGCATTGGCTCAGGAGATGAACCACCTGATCGCCAGGAAGATAGCATTCTGGGCTCTATGTTTGCCAAAGTCTCCCTTCAGACTTCATCCAGCAAGGGGCCTGTAACTCGATCGAAGGCCAGAGCCACATTGAGCGAGGTTGCACATAGCAACCCTCGTGAGAGGCTGCATCAGATGATGAAGGGCCAAAGCTCAAGACAGAATCAAGCCACATCCCATTCTCCTCGCCAACAGTCTCTACGACAGATTGGGGAGGGCACAGGCCAGAGCTCGCCTCAGCAAATCACACGGTCGCAAGCCAAGAGAAAGTGATCATCTGTAGTTTCTTGAGGGCTCTCACCCCGATTTCGCATTTATCTCGTTAGAGCAAGCTGTCGAACTTGTGCAACAAATCATTTCAAGCGTATGACCATACAGTATAGCACCCTTGCGACATGAAACATGGCTTCTGCCATATAAGGTTTCGTCCTGGGTGAATTTGATACACTTTTCTCCCCTTCCTACGTGCTGCCTTGTTGTATACTTAACTTTAAAATCGCACCGCCGACGCTGTTGGAAATCATCCTAATACATACCTTAAGGAGGTCAATTGATTGTACGGTCGTAATAACTAATTCTTCATATGAGGAAAATTCAATTAAGTTACATCTGGGTGATTGCTATCATGGTAATCAGTTAATGAGTTTTTACAAGTAATCCATAGATCAAGAGAGTAATGCTAAAAAAAGTCCCAGCGTCGTCCTTCGGTCGCTACTTCCTTCATAATATACACTTCTCGCGGTAATTAATATACACAGATATACCATCTGTGCACTGCCACGTCAATCACAAACTGTACAAGGATGGCTGAGGCGCGACGCGGGGCTTCTGGTTGGGCAACAATTAAGAACCTAGTTCAGCGGGGCGAGCAAATAGACATTAGGAGAAGGTAAAAGACCCCTCCCTACAGGTAAATAATAGGAAGGAGAGCTTGAGATCTTCCGGCTATTGGAATATACCTCAATCCAGGGCTCTCCCTCCGTGGGTGGATAATAATTTAGGGAAAGGCCTTCGTCTTCGCGAGCAGACTCGCCATTAGACAGTGCGCGATAAACAAATACCTTTCTATTTGGCCATAATTCTGGGTTTGGTATACTTTCTCAGATGCCCTGAAACGAACGTAGTGAGAGAAAGGGGTAAAGTAAACAAGCCTGCGAGAGCATACGCAAAAGACTACGGCATTTTGCTATGGATGCCTTCCATCCACGCGCTCTCATGATTCGCTTATTTGGTTTCCTCTTTCAGTTAAGTGCTGTAGTAGATTAGGGTTCTAGGGCTTCATGTGCAAGCACCCAGGTCATGATTGCTCCAATATCACGTCTAATGCAGCCAATGTCCTAACACAGCATGCAGATTATTGCCACGCCTGCCCCACTAATATAACACTGAAGAGCCGCTAACATTCCTTTCACAACTAGTTAGCCGCCCAGAGATTAGTTGTAATCTGCGCCATTATATCACATAACGTCTCCTGAGCATTCATCTCCATAAATAAAGAAAAGGGCTACAATTTTATTATATGTATCTAAATTCTTGACCCAGAGCCATCCACAATATGTTAAACCTGACACTAGCTACATCTACCTCTACTCCCTCTGAAGGCTGCCACACCCCAAGCCACACCACCTTCTCCCCCGCAGACGACGACAACCCATTCACCACCACTGGTCTGTCCCTCTTACCACCCCTCGCAAATAAAACATATATAATTCGACAACCTAAGACCAACCTTGCCATCACCCTTCAAAACAGTAACCTTTGTCTGCAACCCCTCGACATCGCCAACACAACGTGTCACTGGCGAGTAATTGTAAACCCGGGCGGCTGGTTTAGCTTCCGAAACATTCACTCAGAGACGTTCATCCGACACAATAATAACATCAAGCGGAACTAGAGGTTCGTCGCAGACGTGCGGCACCATGAGTAGTGGGAGTGCTTTATTACGAAGCCGGCTATAGAAGGACGCTATGAGCTGCTTGTAAAGCATTTGGACGAGTTTCGGGGGATGAGAGTCGGTGGGAATAGGGGGAGGGAGCTTATGGTTGCTGAGAAGGGGGAGAGGGGGGTTACCTGGGAGTTTCTTCAAGTTGGCTAGAGGTATATTTCGTCAATTTAAGAAGGGAGTGTTAGATGAGTTAGATCTACACTAGTGTAGCTCACCGTGTCCACAGACGTTACAGTGCTAGTAATAGATACTAACTATTTCTTCTATGTCTAGCTGTTTGCCAGGCTTGCATTCTTAGGCCACACTATCTAGCATAAATACTACTTTGGCGTGATTTTGAGGTTAGTATTGATTTTTAATGTTTAAGATATCGCCCGGAAACCGGACTCGCTTCCATTAGCTTCAACCGACCCAAATATTGCTTTCTTCCTCCCCTTCCTGTCATTTCAGGGCCGCAGCGTGCGCAGCGCGCGCCTTCCAGTTCAAGCAGGAGACAGTCGATATTCCTGTTTGGGTACGGTTGGTAAAACAACGTTCGGTAATACAAAGAATTGACGGCGTACGTATCAATGACTGATTTAAGACAGGAAAATACATAACATTTCCGAGGGACACCGCCACCTCACCAGCCACTGAAAGTAATACGTTGACAGTGACTGAAAAAATACAGGGCATCTGTTCCATCAGAGGAAGTGTACACACTCCCAAACATCGAAGGTGCACCTGGGTAATTTGATCCGTTGGGCTTGTTTTAGGATTTCCTTCGGCGAGGGTCTTGGTCGCACGGGCATCTTATTGACACAACTTCTATTCGCTAATGACCAGAACTTGTCCACTAACAAATGAGGTTTCCAGACGTTCCTCAAAAACTTGAGACCATGTTCTAGATCGCGCGGACGAGCATCCCCATTTCTTTTAGCCTCGTCTAATTTTCGAAACACCCACCGGCGAAAAGGCGGTGGGTGGGCGGAACGCCACAGATAGTAAAATTTATCTTCCTCGCTGTCAGTCATGGACTATAGAAAAAGTTGCAGGTTTCACTTGGTAGAGAAATCACGAACCCGCCATTGGGAAAGAAATGGTCCAGATTACCGGGCATGTTTCAACTAACGTTGACCATCACGCTGGTTGTTTGCATTTTGTGGCTCGCATGCACCGTCTTCCCCTTCGTTAGTTACGTATTCTTTACCCGCAAAGCGACATGAGTGAGCATGTAAATGTTGCGCGGGCATCGTTTCGTTTTCTCTTAGGAGCGACAGAACCAACCTACTTCGGCATGCCCTCCATTAAGGTGCATCACCCGCGAGCGCCCACCAACCAAATGTCCCTGGCTACGAACTATTAGGTATTCTAGACCGAAAGACGGCCACAGTTCAAAACAACCAAGCTGAAGAGGGGCATTCCTGACGATCGGTCCCTCGGGTCCCACTCCATCTTGCCCGGACATCCAACATCCATTGCGTTGACGAGTAAGATTCGGCCTTCCCTGTGTGCTAGGGGGTTTGAGCATTATCATGTCGCGATGCATGCCATCATAAACTTGGTCAAATAAACATCGCGGCGTCTTCATCCTTCCATGTTGTGGCCGTGTTGTCGACAAGATAACCCGATCAATGTAATTAGTTAACATGCGGAGCTAGCCTATTCTACTACTACTTTTGCCCAGGTACTCCCTTCCAGCTCTGGTCGGCAAGGATCACTGAGTACCTGGCCTTTATTTCACCGGCTTGGCCAGGGCCAGAACTTTGTAAAAGTAACCATCATCCTCGCCATTTGCAAACGCTCCTTCATTTTATTCAATTCACTCTATTCGGGTTCCCCCACCTTGATTGGCTTTCACACTAGGGAACCGCCAGTTATAGACTGCTGGGTCTTCTGTCTCAATTCCTGATCAGTAAAAATTGAGCGTCCCAGTGACCGTGGAGTAGTCCAACCAAAGTTTGTCTTTCGGTTCGGGAACACCGTGTGAGACATTGAAGTTGTCTGAGTATCGAATATTGCCCGCCAAAATCCCAGTCTCGTATAGCCATCACAATTAGTGCTTCCGGGGATCGGTACTGGACATCAAGGATTTAGTGTTTATGTCCAGGTAAATACTTAATTCTGTCCGACCAACATTGCTCGCACGAATGACCGCCTGCTTTAGCCATCGGCCCCTAAATGGAGACACCATTTAGTCAAAGTTATGAAAAGGGGACCACGTTGGGGTGGCCTATTAACCATCAACTATGGTACTAGCCGCAGGTTATTCTTGTCAGTTAAAGTTAAACCCATGAACCAGATGAAATGACCGAAGCGTGCAAATCGAGACCTTGAACGCCGGGCGGACTGGACAACTGCTTTACGTTTTCCCCGGGCGCTAAATAACCAGATCACCCCACCAAATCTCAGACTTGAACACAGTAGAGAAAATGCTCAACCAGCATTAAACACTTTCGCGCTAAAGTTGGGTTGATCTGTCCTTACTCCTTCGCTGGGTAATTCTAGACAATGGAACAATGAACGATCATGTCTTTCAAAATCATCTTCGAGCAAACGTTGTATTACTCCAATCGCTTTGCTAATATTACTGCAAGTTCTCATCGCAGCTTCCATTAAAATGCTGACACTGTCTAAAGATCACGGTTCACTAGTTATGAAGGGCCGATTAACTAGTTAACGTCCGCTTGATGCGAAAGGTCAAGAGAAGAAGACAGTAGAGGTCAGTTGAATGAGGGTTCAGCTTTCAAATATTCAGGCGTTGAAAAAGAGGAGGCCAAGTTAGCTTCAATGGTTTCGGGTGGGTCTACTCTTTCCAAGGTCGAGCATCTCCCTGCTCCGGACCATCTACACTGGTTATACTTCAATACGTATTGTTTTTATACTCGTGCGGGGTGTGGGTATACGGGTCTTAGAGTGGACAAATCGGTTTTCACGAATGATTCAATCGACTGCCCGGCTAACCACCCGTGATATCATATACTCCATTGCACACATAATGCCCTGCTACTAGGATGCACGACTACAAATGCCATCAGCTTTCTCTGCCTTCAGCCTTGCTCCTTTTTTCGTCGGGCATTCTGATATCGCTTCAAAAGTTCTCGTCGTTACGATTGTGATGCAAACGGGCACTGCACCTTCCTAGAATATCTGAGGCGATGAGGCAATGCCTGACTAGATAGTATCTGTGGTTCGCTTCTCTTTGAACAATTGCACATTCTGCGGATCCATGTACTATCCCACGGTATTCCGACTGCTTTGCTCCATAAAGTTGACCAAGGTGGATTTCTTGACTACAACATCTAAAGTACGGATGACAGTCTGCAAAGAATCACTACGAGGCGGAAATTACCAATATAGAGCATAGGAGAAGGTGATCGAATCCTACAACATTGTACAGACATTCGATCGAGAAAGCGATCTGACAAAACGGGCTTATATTGAGAATACTCGGACAAGGAGTAAGGCTTCAGGAGGTCTGAATCCGGTCGAAACTGTGCTGCATAGCAGGCAATTGAACCGAGGATGTGTGATTTTATTTCATCATCTTAACATTTTAGAAAAAAATCATCAAGTAACTATATCATCGTGCTCGAGATGATTGACTGGCACCTGTCTCGCCGCCGAACCTCGTAGCAACAAAAGTCTACGGCTTCATCCCAGTGGGTATTCTGACGCGCGCAAACAACCGTCTCTACTAGTCGGAAAACGGTAAATATAATCGGGTGAATGACACGCAATTCTGACTATTCCCTTTTTCCAAGTCCGTCTTGTACGGGCAATTGCGAAGATCGCGGTCGTTAATGGTGATCGGGCATGTTAACACGGGTATCTGAAATAATTTACTATCCACACGATATTCTCATTCCTTCCTTTATCTGCTGGATATGGGCTATCTCTGTCAGCACGCATGAATGCTGCTGATAGAAAGAAAAGGCCGCACTGAAGCAGAACCAGAGTAAATTGTCTGGAACAGAAGAATGCCCGACCTTAAACTCGGCAATTGCAGTTCAAAGTTGATTTACGAGATACATGTGTGATTGGGTAACCAACATTGTGGTACGAGTTGCGTAACTTGAATTTTTCCCCTTCAGAATCTTTTTATGTTGAGGCCTGGTCCGGTCTGGCGCTGAGCTGGCCATCCTGTCTCGCTATCGCTCTGTCGTTAAGGGCACAGCCTTAGCATGGCATCCCGCGTTGTTCTTTCGAGGTATAACACAGACTGGGCATCCTGACTGTCAGGTCAGCACGTGGCCTGAAGGCATCCCACCGCGCAGCCAGTTTCTCATTCTGCTTTACAACTCTTGGGAAACTGACCGGCTTTACTTTTGGCCAAGTTTTAAACTAAGAACCAAGACAGTATGCGTGGTCTGTTCATGGTTACATTCGCTTGGCCCTATCTAATATCCGCGTTCAGCCTGCTTCAACTTACTTCCAGTTGATTGGATTTCATTTCCTTGGCGCAGTCGTCAAAGACCAGATTCGTTACCTGCTGACAAGGCCGGTCCTCTGTACTTCCTGCAGTGTAAATGCCCCGGTGCTCTCTAGGCGGGATTCATCGTGGGACTGCTGATGCTATTAGGTGACTGGAGCGATACTGCGTCGTGAGGAAAACAGTTGTCATGATTTCAATATTGCACGTTTTTGAGTTAGAGTAAAACTCTAGGGATTTGATCCATTGACCGGGGTTAGTAACATGCGGTCTGGACGAGCAGCGAACCTCATATTTCCAGGTATGATCATTTGTGAGTAATTCAGACTTCAGAGTGCGTGTGAAAGAGCTCGGCTTTGGGGAAGACATGGTGAAGCATTATTGCTACCAGCGGGGCTATGGTAATAGTGATAATCATGGTCCGCCCAATGCACCTTTAAAGAGCCTGCTTATACTAGCGGCGGCGAGAGATATCCAAATTGTGTCACGTTGACTCCCCTCCGGGGAAAACACATTAGCGGATGCACTCTCCCGTAATAATCTTCAAGAAGTTGCTAACATTTGTCCCCACTGGCAGGACCTCTCAGTATTGAACCACCCGCGTGGTTCTCTTCGCGAGCTCATCAGCTCAATGCAGGCCATCTAAAGCTTCTATGGAACGGACTCAGTGCCAATACACGCTCTGACTACCTCTCTGTTCAGCGTAACTATGAGAAACACTGTGCGCTACAAAACTTATCAGCATGGCCAGCGTCAACACAGTCATTGATCTCATGGTTAACCTCCCGACTTCTTGGCAACTCTAACCAAAAAGCAATCAAGCCAGATACTGCACTGGCAGACTTAGCTGCTCTCCGAGCCTATCATGTCGATAACTTTCTTGATGACAAACTCTTCGATAACAAACACTTTCGGCGTCTTGTTGATGGTGCAAGAAGACTCAGCCCAATAACCAAAGTACGGGTCAGAAAGCCCATTTCACGTGAGGCCATTACGAAACTATCATCAGGCCTAGCAACACTTCCGTTACAGTCCTCAGAGATGACTACAGACCTCTCAACCAACACACACCTTTCTGTTTGGTACATATTCCCAGGCCGCGATCCGTACTGCTGTTTTAATACGGTCTGTAAAACAACAGTCAGTAATACAGACAATGGATGGCGTACGCATCGCTTACCCATTAAGACAGGGAGAATACGAGACATTTCCGAGTAACACCGCCACGTCACCAGCCACTGAAAGTAATGTGTTGGGCGTGACCGAAAGATTACAGGGCATTTGTTCCATCTGAGGAAGTGTAGACAACCCCAAATATTGAAGTTACATGGATTATTTGCGGGCTACGGGTGAAGACAGAAGACCCAGCAATCTGTTATTGGTGGCTCCCCGGTGTGAAGGCCGGTCAATGTGGGAATCTGCATGGGGCAAATTGAATAAGATCAAGGAGCATTTGCAAATGGTGAATATGATGGGTATGTTTACGGGAGAGTCTGGCTGTGCCGGTAAACTAAAAAAATACCCGCTTAAAGTACGCCCGAACACGATTAACCAACTGTTGAGTATCACGGTGGCTGAACCTTATGGCAGGGATGAGAACAGATATATGAGACATCCCGCCCCTGTAAAGATAACTCTTCAAGTCATTCAACAATGAATCAATCTTACCCTACTTTAACATGCACAATAGACAGGGTGAGCAATCACTCGCGTCGCGCGAGCCTCCCCACCGGTGACCCAATTAGATCCACATGATGACAGAGGGTCTTTTTTAAAAATGATTTCGCTGGCGACTTTCCGTATTTCTAACTTATCCCAACTTGAAAGCTTGTCCTGCGGTCTGACATATGGTAGGGAATCGATGATTGACAATGTTGAGCTCCCTATAGAGATTGTCCCACAGGAGACAGCACTAAATGCTTCGTCTATCACAAAGAAGGTTGGACAGGCGTCGATGACCGCTTCAATCCCCTTCGAATATGGGTGAAATCTCCACGGCTGCTGAAACACCACGGTGATTCCACCGGTGGCCTGAGGTCCGAACAGTTCAAGAGTTATATCAATTTCATCTTTAGCTATGTATCTGTCTGTTCGTCCTCCGGCAAGCCTTTCTAGAAGCCGTGCACCTGCATGGTTTCCCTGCATTCTGACCTGCGTTTGAATGCGAATAGGTTTGAAGAGGGAACGAATCCGATGGTCAACGGCAACGCCTAGACATACCTCTGTTGGCGAAGACGTGGAGGGGTCCATCTTTGCCTTAATAGAAACGAGAAAGTCAAAATATAGAGATGGAAGAAGTTGAGACCGGTCTTTTGTAGATTCGTTCTGAATAGATGGACGTGGAAAGCCATCTGATTTCCGTCCACCAAATATACCTTTTGCTCGTGCTAGGCACCGTGATGACGCCTTCCTCTACCCCTCTTCTTCCGAACTGCTCATGCATAGCTGTCACAACGCGCCAGAATATTAGAAGTATTCCGCTCTACCATTGAGCTAATAAGAATATATATATATATATATATATATATATACATATACATAATATAATTTAAAATGATTTAAATTTATAGTAGACATATGAAATCACCAATTATAAGTCGTGCTTATCTAGGGCGCTGGACCTACGTGATGAGAGCAGCCTAATCGCTCCTCAATTTCATGGACTATTCCTCTCAAGGAAAGAGGTGAAGTATGATAATACATGTTTTTATTGCTAGACCGATGTAAATTGTTATGTTTATCACTCTAGGGAAGGTCCGATAGGGCTACCAGCCAAGAGAGACAAGAGGATATGAACCCAAGCCGGCCCAAGCCTTACGTTGGGCCAGACCCTGGTCCGAATGCAAACCCCTCTTTACACCAGATGCTCATTAGCACCAATGAGCTTGCGAGATATAGTCATGATCTTAGCTGAGGATGGAGGGGCAGGCTTCGAGCTGTCATTTCGTGCTAGCCAACTTTCGTCAGCGGAAACAACGAAGGAATAAAATTTACGTAGCACCTAGACCTTCATGGATTGATATCACTTCAGTATCCCATTTGCCAGCTTATGTTCTAGATGGGGAGTGTCCCAGTTATCCCAGCCATTTCCCGTGCGGAAAACATCGCTCTGCTATCCCTCCTTCACTCGGCTTCCAGAACAAGCCCCCTCCAAGTCATTCCTACAGCGCCGTCATCAAAGGCCCCAGAGCAATCTGATTCAGCGAGAAAATACGAATTACCAGTCGATAAAGAGCGGAGCTTAGTCGGAGCTCTGTCATTTTTAGCACAAACGGAGGAGGATCCTAACCATATCCCAGCCATCTGTGTCGAACAGGACACCAACAGGTTAAACGTACTTATCGCGATAAACAAAAGCAAATGGTCTGACGGCGATTCCATCCTTCATGCGTTAGAGGAGAGGTTTAATATGATCTTTGCCATATTGCAAAATGTATTGGAACGTGAGTGGCCCAGTGTGTATTGCTATTCGGCAAGGCTGACAACGAATTAGAAAACTCGTCAGTTGTCGAAGAGGATTTGTTCGCGAATATAGTCGACATGTGTTCGTTGCGCATCCTATACAGGTTGGGTTTAAGGGCGAGTAGAAAGCAGACCAGGAAGTCGAAGAGACCACTTAGGGAGATCTTGCAGAACGTAGCAAGGTGTGCCAAACAAGTCGCGGCGAAGTCAGGCTCAAGCAAATCTCTTCGGGCCACTGCACTATTATTCCGAGATAAAGCCAGAGAAGTTACGGGTCTGATAGATTCGTGGCAGGGTCATCAGACTGTTGCTCGCTTGCGTGACTTGGTCAGGGGAATAAACCACTTGCACCAAGTGAACCAGCTCAGCGACCTGCTTAACGAGATACCGGCACCAGAACTACAGAACGAGGCGAAGGAAAGCTTCCTGAACGCCATCGGAAAAGTCTCCCGGTACGCCGAAGCTCCTAGGATACTTCGACGGATAGCAAAAAGGTTCCGCTCAGCACGATATATGACGGCAATCCCCGTCAAACTTCCTAAGGATGCGTTCTGTCTCCCATCGAACGGCGCATACGCTCCTGACATAGGGTCTTCCGTTGCTCGAATTGACCATCAATACTCTGACCGGAAGAGGTTGAACCGGGTTTTCCATCTTCTGGGCTACACCGAGGCGCAATCTGCATCCCTGTTCTCAGGACAGGTGCTCAGGACATTACGAGAAGCTAAGATTCATGCGGAAATCCAGCTAATAATTTACTGCGAACTGCAAAGACCGGCATTTCCCCCCCGTGTCATCTGCTCTAGCAAAGACGCCTGCTTCTTATGCAGCGCGTTTATTTCCCTGCACAAGCAAATGCATACGCCGAGAAGCCACGGGAGATTGTACCCCGGTTGGCGACTGCCGTCCGTACCTCAGTTAAAAGAATTAGAGGAACGCTTCAACAAGACACTTGAGAATTCTATCAAGGAGAGCCTCTCTGTGCTCTTCGCCAGGCAAAGGAAAACAACATACCCGCCTCCCAACGAAAGCACCCTTCTCACCATTCCCATCTCAGAGACAACCATATCTGGCTTGGTGCAACTTGACTCAGGGCAGCTGTCGTGTGAAAAGAGCGTTCAGCTACACTCCCAGACGACTAAGCCACATAAAGTGCCCGAATCTGGGAACCCAAGTCATGCAAGCATTCCCTGTGGCCCAGCTTGCGAAGGCAGCACAACATATCTAGGATTCTCGTCCATAGTCAAAGGCCAGGATCCAGACAGCAAGATAATAATCAAGCGAGAGCTGTCGCAAGGCATAGTGTTGCATGACAGTATCGATCCTGGCGGGAGCTCGGCATGTTATATCGCTGGGCCGATAAAACTTACGATAGAACACGCGACGGGGCTAGAAGGTATAAAATACAGTGTAGAATGGCTCACTGCGGAAGAGATAAAAGATTTGCAGAGTACAGCTCATCCGCCTTTGTCCGTGGATTTAGGATCCCTGGCAAGCGAACTGTCGATACGAAATCACAACAGTGTCTGCATATTGGTGAAAGGAACGGCGTTGAGGCTTGATTGGGAGTCAAAAAGTACATAATCCTTTGATCCGTACTTGAGACAGTCTCCTTGATTGAATGGTTTGGTACTTAAAACCGTCACTTGCTGTTATTTATCATCGGCAGACTCTTCAATCTGAACCGCCTCGATGGAACCATCGAGCCCCAGATAGAACTGTTCCCACGCCAGTTGGGTTTGTAGCGCAGATGTCATTGACTCGGGCTGGCTAACGACTTAGAATTCCCGTCTCGTTGAGCTTCCCGATGCTGTTCATCCCAAAACGCTTGTGAGCATGGTTTGTGAGCCCTTAACTGCTGATGAGAAGTACCACAGTGGGACACGTCTGATGGCATGCTCGGCTGATATTTCAGATTTGGCTCTTCTGCAGCAATATCACTATTTCAGACTAAGGCTAAATGCCCACGCTACTAACCATCCAGAACACGTGCAACTAGCGTCAACGTGATACAAACCCATTGCTGCAAGGAGCTTGACAATGATTATGCATTGAATTCTGTTCTGTTGCCCTAAAAAGGAAGTTACGAAACCACGCCTCTTTAACAGCCCGAATAGGAATAGTGTAGCACAATTCCTGCTGGCAGCCAATGAAAATCTCGCTCAATTCAACCACCGGCCATACCTCCAAAAGTGCGTCAAAATTCAAGAAATCTAGCTAAGCAAGAAGGCAGGATTCTATTAGAAATTTCTGCTATAGTGAATAAGCAAATTACCCAAATTGCTAAAGCTGTGCGTATCTGTAACATACCGCATTCAACTTTACGCTCTCTCTAGATGGTACACTTTCTGCAGTCAGGTCAGGCGTACGAGCACCACCGCGATGCAGCGATTGTCATAATCTAGGACACAGGCGATTACAATGTCCTAATCGAGTTCCTATATAGCCTTTGTATAGAAATGTAATTTTTCGATTGATAAAGGCTCTAATATTTAGCCCCTGGGCAGGAATTGAAGAGGAGGTGGCGGCTCGCTAGTGAAATACGTTAACTAACTAGTTAGGTAGTTAGTTTCAGGGATTTCAGAACACACTACCACCCTATTAGATTCCTCGATATTGTTCAAGTTTTGGGGTAGTCACGGGCCATCGTATTAATTCAGCCAATCGTCCAAATCTTCATAACCCTAGTGTCGTTGACCTCGCTTGATGCAGCCGCTGATTTTAACCATATAGCATATTTATACCATGGTTATACAGAGAAACATAAGCGTTTCTTGAAAGTTAGATAGCTTCTCCAGCTGAGTACGTTTGTTAGCAATGTCGGTCGCGGGGAGTGAAACTTTAACTTTGGGCTGCGATGCTGAGCTGGAACACGGGAAGGATTTGTATGTAGGCGCGTCGTATTTAGGACAGCTGGGATTGAATCTCATTCTAGAAAAGAAGGTTTGTTTTTCTAATATCATACCACGGTGAAGATCTGCGTTTCCTGGGTATGGTGTGGAACACAATGCGACTGGCCGTAAGGCAATGTAAACTAATCCTGGTACTGCTATACAGTCTGTGTTACCCTGTTAATTATATAGTGGGACACATGTCTTCATGGATACCGCATATTTAGAATTATGATCAGAAGTGACTACCACGTTAATTTTACAAAATCAAGAATGCAAGTGGCATCGCATCCTCTGTTGACTGAGCAGGAGTTACTCCTTGTCCAGAAAGAGACGGAAAGAATACTCGGCTACAACTTCAGAACCTCTTCACTTTTGATAGAAGCTCTCACTACACCTGGTTCAGAAGGAGAGGATTTTCAAGGGCATCGGTGGCTAGGAGATTTCGGCATTGATGTAATTCGTTCCTGTGTCACCCTTGATGTAAATTGATGATTTACATGGAATACAGAAGTGTTCCGCTCGTTAGGGTGTTCCACTCACCTGGGAATTACGTTACCTGTTGTCAGAATGTTGCCCTTGAGTCCTAATCGTACCATCAACCACCTTCCCAACGACTTCTTGCTGTCCACCGTGTGATTGTGTTTAATTTCAAGTTCAGCGGTACAGGAAGCTATATAGAGGATATCCTTCGTGATTTGGACGAAGTAAATGTAAAAGCGGATGGGTCGACGAATCTGGGACAGATATTGAAACTGCAACCTGGCGGCTGGTTAGAAACGAGTGTTTGTTAATTCCGCTATTCTGTTCAAGTTGCTCCTTGTTATCCTGGAGTTGGCGGACAATGGATCTCAATTTTGATCTTCCGTTTCAATCTAATCCGTGTTAATTCGAGTGAGCTACCTTTCATGATACACCAGCTCCCTGAGTAGTACGTACCGATTTCCATGTCATACTCATCGAGTGTGATGCCAGCATTCCGGAAGTGCCCTTGGGCACTTTGCTTCCGTGCACTAACTGTGTTAATTCACCATTTTACGAATGTCGAAGGCTCAAAAATCTCTTTCTTCATTGACTCTCTCTTGACTGATGGCAGCACACTTTCAATCGCATACATGACTTCCCGCACATTCAGGTAGCAGTGTGCAATAACCTCAGATCTGGGATTGATCCTCTTCACTTCCACAGGGCTAGCCATATTCTGCTGCGTCGTGGAAACCGCCCTTGTCTGCCAGGCGAGTTGCACAGTGGAATCTCGCGGAAGTGACGTGTGTTCCTGTTTACTAGTCTTGACTACGGTTGATGGGAACTTGTGATAATTACTAAGTACATAGACAAGTTTTCAGGCTTCTATTATTAGTCTCTCCCCGAAGCAGTGGGTGCTGTTCAGCTACCGCATGTAAGCGTCAGTGCTCAATTTAAGAGCGTGAAAATAGTCACACTTACCTAAAACAGCCTCTTCAGAACATTTCTCACTAAGACAAGCTGCGCGATCTATCATCCCGTCGCTCCAACACTACTGAGCCCCATTTTTCGTATCAGCTGACCTACAATTTCCCGAAGCTCAGTAAATCTCAGGCCAGCTGCGTTGATGTCGAACGGACTTATTTGGCGGCAGCGCTTAACGCCCACTAGAAACCGATTAGCCAAGGTAGCCTCAGTATCTCTCACGGGGACGACTTGCAGATTATAAGTCGACTCACCCCTCCGGTGATTATAATATGTTCCCGGGCGAGATCATCTACCAGACCAGTATCACAGAAATCTGATTTTCTTTCTATCTTAACGGTCATGGTAGTGGCGAAACTTCATGAGGGTTTTCGTTGCAGGAGCGTCATCCTAGGCTAAACCAAATCTACCCAGGCTGACAAATTTAAAGTGATATTGAGTGATTTGCGTGAGAATAGGGCGTATTCCAGTAGTCCGTACCGGTTAAAATGGACATGTTTCCCCAGAAGACAACCAGTATCGCCTTTATTGTCTAGTTTAAATTCCGGCCTGAACCGACATGATTGACAGGCTTTTAGTTGACTTTATGACATAACACAAGCAGAACTTTCAACAACGATCCCATGCTAAGCGTATTATTGCGTTTGATTATGGACGTGTTTGCTTAGTGCTTGTCCACATTCTTGCAGAATATTCCATTGCGTCTATTAAATTTTAACCCACAATCTTTCGCAGTCTTCTTTTGGTGAAGCCAGCTCTATGAAAAGATGGGCCCCCGTTAATCATTTTAAGAGGCTGGTAAGCCTGGGTTATTCTACAGACGGTGGCACGTAAAAGGTGGCGTATTATGACACGCAGTACTCCCGTTGCTAGCATAATAGCTCTGCCAGAACGTGGTGCATGAGGAGCTATTGTGTGACTTTTGTTCTTTGTTTGGATACCACGTGGAATATTTAATGGTCACAGAGATGTCTAGTTGTTCCTGTCCTTCCAGTGTGTGGTTGAGCCGGAAACTGTGGGCAATGAAGATGTTTGATATGTTTCGTGTAAAGCTGGCGTCATCAAAATTGGTCCAGGCGGGGCTGCCTTCACAATTTGGGCCGACCCAGGCAAGAAGTTGCAGTGGTGCGTACAGTCCCTAGAAACCATCAGCTTGCTATTTGCCACTGTACGGGAAGCGATAATACTCAAACACATACGCCAGCGGAGGATCGCACGGCCTGGTCAAATGACGCGGCTGCTGCTAAACCAGAACCAAGGCCAAAGACAATCAAAGCTCGAAAAGGAGCGAACATTCTTATCGCGGGTGCCACTGTCAGGGAGGGTTAAGCTTTGCTATGCGCGGCAGTCAAGTACTTATGTGGGATGTGGTTGGTATGATGCTTGGGCCCATGTCAGTCAGCGATATATTCTTTTGACATTCCAATCGTGAGGGCATAAATACTATGGCATTGTAGTTCCTGGCAATCAGCTATATCAATCTAATAGCATGCATTGCAGAACCCAGGGGGTCAATTATTACTATTATTTTTGCCCGGCGAACCGGAGCAAGCAGACTAGTGCGATGATACCTAAGTGGGCAGAAATCCTCTGCCCTGTGAGGCCACCTCTGTGAATAGACGAGAGCTGATGGTCCGTGTTAAAGATGGATTTAATGTTTTAGATTCTTGGTTTTGTTTTTGCGACAGCATATAAGCATTGGCCGTACGAAAGGTCGCTCAACAGCGAACGGTGGAACTAATTCATGTAATGGAGAATTTGTCGTTATGTTAGAGTCAAATACACCCTTTGCATGGTTTGCTTCTGGTTTGCCTGTTTAAAGCACCCTTAACCTGTCCGGGTGGCATTGCCATTCCTAAGATTAAATCGCCGAGGGTGTCCAGGAGGCTATGACTATGGCTATATCATCACTAATTAGTCAAAGTCAAGTTTTCCCACGCTAATATCGATCAAGGTGGCGGAGAACAAACCTTTTATTGAATTTGTAATTGGAAGTCGTGGCAAAAGATAATAATGTTCTGTTTCCATAAGGAACTACATGTTTCTAAGCATGTCTAGTTTAAAAAACTTAATTACACAAACATGCAAAGCCGGCATGTAGTGAATATTGCCGCAATTACTGGCATACAGTAACAAAGATACTGTTGGGCTCAAAAAATTCCTGATGTACAGTAAACATCATCCGATAAGGCGTGTTGTACAGTCGGTGGTGGTAATTCATGCGCTAACCCCTCGCTTTGGCGATATGCAGGATCCAACTATCTAGTCCTTATATATATCTCTGAGTACATGGACCATTACTTCCCAACGAATTTAGAGCCTCGTCACGGCCTGTGGTGGCCTACATGCCTGGTGTTATATTCTGTGGCCCGGTGGCGCGCGGCTTTGAACCTTCTGCGACGCCTCTGCAAAGTCCAGTGTTGAGCCTAAAACGCTACCGTCTTGCATATCATCCTGCTTACCTGGCTTATCTTGAGTTCCTCCTCCCAACGTGCTCGATATTTCATTAATCCTTGATCTTTATATTCAACCTAGCGCCTTTACGAAGTCCCCTCATTAATGTAAATGGACTATCTTTAGGCTTCCCCGAGAGCCAAATCACCAGCACGAAAAACCATGAGTGACGACGATCAAGCATGTGGCTTCATCTAGATTCCCGTCCTACATCGAGACAGAACTTTGACATTAGACAACAATTATTTACTAAACTGTCTTTCTTTATCCCCCAGGATCAGCCATTCTTACCTATCACGGACAATGCTCGACCCGGATTAGTCCTAACTCTACTATCCGAAAATTCTACTCTACAATTTTTGACGTGATATGAGACTTCAGGTTCGGTTTGGTCGCGAGCTTGCTATGCATCTAGCGCAGATACAAGCCGGGCGCAATCACCGAGCTTTCCTCCCGAGACGCAGGTTGGATGTCTGTGAAGTGGAAGACGGCAGGCTGTGCAGTAGACTTCTGATAGGCGAATCACAAGGACATGATTGCATTAAGCCGTAACTATTGACTCCCGCTTGCCTGAAATTCTGATACTGTGGAGCCCGAAGATAACCCAGTAGATCAGGAGGCCAATATAATAAAGATAACTTTTTTACTCCCAAATTTCAAGCGGAATCTCATACAGTATAATATTTACGTCGTAATTCTAATTCGAAACTCTATCTGTGTCGTAGCGTTATGCCCGTTTCTATATGCTTCTGTGACAATTTTACAAAACGATCCACGAGACCAGTGCGTCATTGCCAATTTATTAGCGTTGGGCAGAGCAAACGAGTTCCTATTATCTGTAGTCTCACGACAACGGTCAGGCTGATTGAGCTCCTCTGCCCCCCTAAGATAGCCGCCTAAGGAGTATATTTCCCGAAACTGCCAACGCCGTAAAGAGTCTAAGAGGACCGCTATCCTTGAGGAAGACTATTTTCTCGCGCACTTGCTGGGATATTCAATTATTACTAGATTCGCCAAAGGATTGGTTCTAGGAGTAGTTTCGTTGAAAGAATCCTGTCATGGCTGGAGAGAAAAACGCAAAGATTTCGGTCTGCGAGTGTCAGCATATCTCGCTTACCTAATAGCAGACTTGTAGTTCCTGTGAAAACCCTTTATTTCCGGAACTCATTCTAATATCCTAAGAACATACCTTTAATGTCCAGGAACTCCCTGATTACTAACCGGGGCGCCTTCGCTGAGTTGACACAATGTAGTATAGCGCTCCATTGTCTCTGCTCCGCTGACGGTGGAATGTAAAGAAGGAACACACCCCCGCAGACTCAGGTAGTTATATGTATAAACGGCGAAAGGCTCACTTCATACTTTTTCCACGGATTCAGCAGCTCGATGGTGCCTACAGCTCTATGATTTAACTCAACACACTTTGGCCAATTTGACACCGTAAGGATTGAATTTCGGCTAATAACGAAACATACTGAAAGAGACTGTTTATAGGTTACAAATGTCTGAACCCTTAATACCTTGCCAGTTCATCCTATCAAGTTCGACTGCAAAGCGGAAAGCAAACAGAGCTGCATCGCAGAGATGTCGGAACAACAGGAAGTTTAATGCAGAAAGAGAGCGAGCCTTGATGGAATCAGCTGGAAAGATTGAGAAGTTGAATCAAGAGCGGATCGAATTAGTTGACACGGTTGACTAATTGAAGCAAGAAATAAGTTGCTTGCACGCCAGGTGCCTTGACTACCGTTATTAGCGGGATTTCATATTATATCATGGAATAAAAGGTTAGGGGCCTCTTATTCCTCCCCCGGAGACTCCATGTCGAACTTTGGAAACTCTTGGTACTAATGGTCGTAGGGTGACAGAGAGTCACAGGCAAGGGTCGGATCCTTTGCGAGGTTCTTAGCAATCATCTTACAATATGACCATAGTTGGTTAGGGCCAATAGCTCAAGGATGAAGGAGAAGTTAGATGATGTATTATAATATACTTGATATTTGCTTTTCGCAATTAATATATGCAATTTCACATAATGTAGGCCAGTCATTGGCTGAACTTTGCAGCAAAGCTTAGATGGTCTGGAAGATAGAAATGTCCCTCCGCATGTTAGGCAGAGATATGTACTAGAAACACGGCCTTTCCTGGGCCTTGTGCCAAGAGGCAACATGCCCTGCCCAACCCGCTGTTCATTGTATAGTCGTCCTAGAAGTTATAAATGCTTCTAACAATCGCGTCGTTAGTCCGCCATGGGTTGAGAGTGCCTCGCTACTCGGAGGTTGATGCCGCTAAGGGATTCTCAGATTATCCTCTGGCTGGGAGAGCGAACCGTAGAAGGGGTGCTGGCATCGGGAGAAAGCTACCAATTTTATAAAGGAAATCAAGAGTATCTTCTGCTGCAGGTAGGAGGGGCCTCAGATTTATGTTCGTCTAATCACACTACAACATCAAGAGGCCCGTTGGCACTCACCCGTCATCTAAGGCGCTTGGTGATTCCTGAAGATGTGTTGATCGAGTAATGAAAATGATCGAAGGTAAACTTGAGGGCCGCGAAAGGCTAGTTAGAAGGGGTGAAAATGGGGAGCGCAGCAATGCGCAATACTGCTGATGTGGGATTTCTAGGCGGGAGAATGGCGTGTTGCCTAGTTAAAGCCTCCAGCCGGCAGGGTAAGAGCCAGGAGCCTGACGCATAAAATTGACCACTTTCCTTTATAGGATTCTGTCTACAAATGAGCATCCCGCCCTTGATTCTATATGATAACGATTACCGACGTCGCCTAAGTTATATAGCTGGGCGACAGTTAATGGTCAACTCTGACTCCGATTCTCATTCACACACTCCTGCTGCTACTCCTACTATACCGCTACCGAATCGACCTGGCTGCCAAAATTTACCCTTAAAGCATGAATTGGCCGAGGTGTTTCTGTCGTACACGATGGCTATCCTTACGGCTCCAGGTCGCTCTAGAAGAGAGCTGCTTACCCCGACCGGCACTCCCGAAGAACAGGGAGCAACTTGAGCCACAATCCTTAGCATACCAAACGGGGAGGGACGCGGACATGGAATATGAACGCCGATGGCGCTCACATGCTCCATCGCCCAACTAGCCTGCCAAACAAATTAAAACATGCTGCTTGGTATGTCTGATCTGATTTCAGATATCGCTAGTACTGCGGCTTAGTCGGAAATTACACTCGTGCGGCGGTACACATTCGCACGGTGGAGAGAAGGCCGTGGGCGGAAGATGGAAGGATATAAGTCTTTTTGTGAATGTGTTCTGTTTACTATATTGCTACCCCATTGTACCATACGTGATGAATTTACTCTCCCAATGAGGGGTTGGAAAAAGCCACGAACGCTCGGCTCTTTTGTATCTCGAACAAGGTTCTTTATCTGGCATAAAATCAAAATCCAGGGGCTGTATACAGTGTACTCAGAACTTTGTCTTACGTAGATCGGGTAAAAGCGGTTGTGAAACATGATCGCCCTTTCAGCCAGTGCATGCATAACAAGGAAATAGTAACAAATTTATCCGCGCCCAGTTTATCCCCACCTGCTACGTAAAGCTATTTACAGTATATCACAATAACAAAAAAGCTCTCTGCTTGGTTTGCCACCTCATTAGACTATCTAACTGGCCAGATAGCGCGGTATCCTGATAGAGGAATGCCGCTGTATGTCCATCCCAAACGCTTCGCAAGACTCTTCAAACTTGAACTGCGCCCATGAGATTGTAATAATGTAGCTTGGCTATGAACGTCGTGGAAAGAAGCACCAGAAATGTCAGGCTATGTTGCAGGTGTTCGATCGATCGCAATGGCCTTTCGGTGATCCTATGCCTAGGCCCCGGCACATCTGGCTTAATTCAAAGGTGGCCATTAAACAATGACGACGTATAGATGTGGCAGCCTGTTGTTTGATGAAGCGCTGATGTTCGGTGGAAGAAGTAAGAAGGGCTAATCGAGGCGAACCGGTCATGCAAGTGGACGTCGAATTAGATGTGGTGGGGTAACAGCGCTGTTGGAGTTTAGATGACCGCTGAGTGGCGCGTACAGCTCTTAGTCATAAGGCCGATGGATATTGTCCCCTGAGAAGACTGATTGTATGATGAGATCTGCTAGGTGGCGACGGATGCACGGTGGGAATTCTGTGCTGCTTTCCTTTCCTACCGACGCGCAATCTTTCGAGCCTCTCGTAAGGTATTCTTATAATGGCTGCATATCATCAGCTTGGCTGCGTTCTTGAAGCCTATCGCCCGGCTTTTCGGGTTTGATGCTTGATTCGCCAAGGACGGCTCTCTTTCCGCAAAGTCCCGCTTGATAGAATCGATCTGTCCCGGATATACACCATCAGGTGAGGAAGCGATATATCGTTCATAGTGTAAAGGTTCAATCGGGTTAAGAAATTGCTGCACAGAGGGCATGATGAAAAGCTCGAATATACAGCCACAGAAGCGATGGTTATTTAGAGCATGGCGTAGCGTACTGGAGTGCCATTTTATGTTTCACCAATTTGCATGGGAATCGGCCATTATAGGCGCCAAAGAAATCACCATGGGCTGGGCAAACGCAAGAAGGCACTTCTCTCTCGCAGGAACTCATTGTACCCCAAGATACTCAATCTATACCCCCGAGAGCAGTTGCAACATTCCACTGAGCCGATATATGGCTCCCAGGAACATGCTCGCTCCTTCGATCTATTTATCGGTTTCCGGAGAGCCGGTGACACATCCCGATTATTCGTCGCTGTTGCTTGCTCAGGTTATATAAGTTCACCATTCTTTCGTATCACAACATGAACAGGCTCGACATTGACCGCGTGCAAAAGCGACGACCGAGATCACCATTCACTCATAGCGTATGTTCGCACCTTTTCCCGTCTCACAATGAAGGTGGCCGGACGCTTTCATTAACATACTAACCTATGCCGCAGGACAGATCCCCCGCCTTACTCTCTTATCAACCCCTCGTGTGTCCCCTGGAGCGCAGTCACAATGGATGGAGTGTGGGATCCGATCCGGGTGTGTACGATCAGCAACCCAGAGAACACGACCACCTGCTATGGGAAGACTCGGACCGGGACGAGATGCAAAAACCGCATCTCAAGGGATTCTCGCTCCAAAGCTGCTTATCTCCTGTAGCTTTTGGTGCAGCGGCCTCCGGATGACAACCTCGTCCAGACACTGAGCAAGATTGCCTGGCTCCTACTATGCAAAAGATACCACCAAAGCCAGGAGGACGAACACGTGAAGCCGCTAGTTGAGCACTGGTGCGACAGTGCTCGCGACTCAGGCGTCGAGCTTCAATATCCGGTCGCTGTACGCACGAGAGTCCGGCAAATTCTCTCGTCACTAAACCCAAGGGATCTGACTTCGGGTCAGACTTCGGATCTGACTTCGACGCCATTGACTCCTATGGAGGTTGACCCTCCCTCGGCTGAGCCTTAGTCCATCTATATTGAGCAGCTGAGGCAAAGGCTAGGCCAATTTGAGGTGATGTCGTCTTCCTAACGGCGGATCAAGTTTGGGACCGTAAATGCCGACAACACTCGTATGCCAGTAATCCTCCGTTCACTGGAGCCGAAGGATGATAGCGGCAGGATAATATGCAATATCTGCTGGCAGGAGTCTGCAGACGAGATCGCTAATTTAAAATACGAGCACTGTGAGAATAGCGTGCACTTAGGATGTATGGGAGACTGGCTCGAAAAACGCTTAACTCAGATCAACTTTAACTACCCAATATGGTAGGTTCCTCTTCCTGTTGCCCTTTCGTGAAAATATTGCCTTGCTGACACATTCACAGCCGCGGGGTTTGCCGGTTTAATGCTTTTTATTCCGTCGCTGTGACGACAAAGGAACCAGAGGATGGAATTAACGGTGTTAATGACTCTGTCACTAGCCCAGGGGAGATCACTTCAGCGGAAGGGGCTCGGGCGCAAGGTCTCTGCCGGTCCGGTAGATCCAGGAGACGGCCTGACTACTATGGATAGACTAATAGCCTCAATTGCCGCGGGGAAGGATGAAATCTAAGCCATCTGATGATAAGGCTACAGGAAGGCTGTATTGATCTAGAGTGTGATCCACGGCCTAATTATCCTTTTGGACCACATAGGCCCAACGCGAGGCAAACACCTACGAGAGAAATAGCATCCAGTAATAAATATTTGACTTTTTGTATCCGATTCTATTCGTCTCTTATCTCCTTGGATCATTGAGCGGTCCAGGTTTCGGCTGCATAAACAGGGCATGCGCGTGGATTGCGTCAATGAGTCCACCTTGGCTGCTTGTGGGTATTTGGGCTCCCCGCCCCCGCCCTTACGAGATAGGTTTCACAGCCATCGACCTTCTCTGGCCCGGCCCGTAGATGATGGACAGAATCGGGCAGCACGGTGTGGAAGAGTCCTGTTACATTCGGCCTGCCTGGTGTATCCTAGTGCTACAGTCCCCATTGTGAATTTCCCGGTTGCTTTACTGGCCATGATGATCCCCTCTATGCCCGCGGAGTACCTAATTTCAGGTTCTCAAGAATAGGCTCAAGCTAGGGCTCGCAGTAATTTAGATGATCCTAGAAGAAGACTGGCCGTTCTGAGTCAAAGCTACATTACTAGTGACCGTCAAGTTCTTTTACGGCTGATAATGAAGGTCGGCTATTCTTTGCTGGCGATAAATTATAAAAGCGACCTTGCCCATTGGCCTGGAATGGCATTCTGCTTTCGAGCTCGGCATATTCCGTCAGGTATTACTTTGTATTCAAAGATCTACAATCTACCATGAGCCTGTGAGTACTCGATATCCTTTCGGCTCGTGTGAAATTTGCAACTGATATGATACTCTATGAGAAAAGAAGACTTCTAATGTCGTTATCAGTTTCACTTCAGCACCTAAATCACACAAGCGAAAAGCCGTCCCCAGGCGAACAGCTCAGGCAATTTGCTTTCTATGAGGGATTCTACGAAATATCCCGCCGTTTGATGGCCGTCCTATCAGCATCAGATGTGGGTGCGATGCTCGCAGCTCTTCATGTCAAGCCTTCGCTCTTATTACATCAGGCATTTCCTTCATCCGCTCAGAGATATAGACCGAACAATGCGAACTTTCGAGCCATGGAAGCGTGAGAGATGCCAGATTCTAATTCTGGGGCCTGACACCATGTTGCTAAATTAACGGATTCAGGACCCAGCAGGGTACTATGTAATGAGCAACCACTGGCAGAATATGCCCAGAAGGCTTCCAAACTGCGGCGTATATTCCGGGGGCGCAGCAAGGAAAGAATCAGGGAGCTTTCTGATTTTATGAAGATTATAAGCGAAGAACGAATATTTAAATAGTATCCCCCGGAGTTTGCCGATTTAGTCCCGGTCGCGAATGGCTAATTCAGCACTACTATACGTGGTGATCATGTTGATGTTAAGGTGTTCGATCAGTTTGAGTCGACTTTGATACCAACCTCTCCAGATGATAACGAGCCTGGTGTAATTCTCCGCTTCTCAGGCATGAGGTTTTACTTGCCGTGGAATATAAGCCCAGGTCGGAATTAGATGACAGACGGGCTTCCTCATATCTATGCTTCTAATCCGCCGCATATTGAAAGGGGAAGAGTTAGGCGCTCGGATCCATATGAGGGTAAGACAAAGTTATTTTTCTTTCCTCACAATCAAGAGATTGCAATAGATTGTGTCTATCCCTATCAAACGGGTGCACTTCTAATGTTCGCGTGAATGCTGCATTTCTTTAATGAAATTGCCGCTTGTGCTGTTATTTTTTTTTTTCTTTCTTTCTTTTTCTGGTGATGTAAGTGTGATCTGGGGAAGTGCACTGCTGGGGGTAGAGTTCCGATGCATCTGTACCGAACAACGATCAAAAAGTATGGCTGGACGGGTGGATCAAAAGAATGACTAAGAATCGAATATGCAAGAAATTAGGCGATGAAGGTCTTATTTATCCTTATCTTCTGTAAATACTACTATTTATACAACTTAGGAACCTCAAAGCCCATGGCCAAACTTCGGTGATTTATCGGCCAAGCAACCGTGCTGTCAGGGAGTGATCCGCAGTGGACAGACATTGTTGGGAGCCTTTTTTTTGCGTTTATTTGGGCAGGTTACTGCAATATTCATGGATTGTGCCCTCGGAGGAAGTGCCAGCTATTCCTTAAAGTCAAGCTATTCTATTTAGCCATCAATGTGCCGATTTTCTTGTTTTCACTGTGCAACACCAAGCCCACATACGTAAAGAGGTTGGCTCACTGGCAGGACAAAAAGGACAGTTTCAACATAGGAAGGTTAGTCGCCGCATGTAAATGGACAGAATTGGGCGTACGTTTGCTGGCGGAAACACTGAGCCCCATGATTTAGGTATTTCGCTCTGGGCCACTGTGATATACTTCACGCACATGGGCTTCTTGCACTTCTTTGAGTTTAATAAACTTAAATATTATAGCCAGCGAGAAGGACGTCACTAGTATAAAACCGATTATAATAATAGTAATCAAGGCCATGATAGACCAATCGCCATCGCGCGCGGTATAGATATTAATAAGAGTGGTGGCAAGCCCGGCAGCTGCGTTTATGATAATGGGCCTGGGCTCGGGTCAGTCTTGTCACTTCACGCAATGCGGGAAAGGGAAGAGCCGCTTATATGAAGATCTGATTAGCGAGCCAGATATAATTATGACGCTACTCCCAGTAGAGCCATCCTAGTACTACTATAGACGCAATAAACAGAATACAGGCAATTGCCAAAAGTGGGGGGTTTTAGATGGTATTAAGAACTGCCTATCTGACTTAGTCCTTCGCCAGAGCGTCCTGGACCTGACCAGATTTCTATAGAGCCGTGAAAGTCCCAGGGGCTATAAGATACCTGGCGAGCAAGGTCTAATGTGCTATACTGGCTATAGCGTTATATGTCTAAGGTATGTAATCTACCTCTAAAAGCATTTCTATATACTGAGTTTAACCGGCAAAGGGAACTGGATGCTGAGTTCCGGGCGACATATGTCTTGAGCTAGGATAACAGTCTAGGATCTGATAAAATGTTGGCTAGTGCGTGAGTCAAATTGATAAGTGTAATGGCACACTATAGATAGGGGAGGTTACCGACACTGATGGCTCTATGGTAAGGAGTTGTTGGTGATTGTATTAGTGTCCACTATTTGAACCCAGCAAAATGAGAGGGGGAGTAATATGTTGCCTCCTACACTCGGGTACCTGTCATACGAGCATGGACGACATGCGTAACAGCCTTCTTAGTGCCAGAGCCGACAGACGATTCAATCAGTTGGTCTGGGACAAATGACAGCCAGCCATCCGGCCTCAATATTCTACTGAAATGGCAAAACTGGGGGGAGCCTACGCGATTCCTTTCTTTCCCTGATTGCATGGTAAAGATTTCGATTTAATTCGCATGTATCTAAATCTTCGAGATGCCTAGACACAAGACAGCCATTACTGTCGGGCTGGTAACCGCCCCCACATAACCACAATACTATGAATTTATATAGCCCGGACTCTCATGCACTTGTTTCTACCCTGTGATAATTCTATAGTATGTGTAGATGGTATCTTCACAGAATCATGTGAAGCAGGAACAAATCTGCAAGCGGTATAATAATCTTTTCTGTCACCACAATAATTTCTGGCAGTTGTACGCAATCCGCAGCTGGACCATACTGGAGATGCCAAATAGCCAAATCTACATTTATCAATCGCATCCTTACATTCCTGCCCCAACTAACTATGACATTATAAGTTTCCGACTGCCTGATAAGAGATTCTATATTGATGGATCTAGCGGGAACAAACCTAACCGGCTGTGTATAAAACACCCGCGGATTATAGGCCTTTATGTGCGGCTAATATTATATTACCGCCAGTGCCGTCTCTGAAGGTCCTTGGACGCTAAAGTCACTTATAAGATTAGCTATTAAAATAATAGGGTAGAGTCCTGCCGGTTAAGTCGCGGCGCAAATCTTGATTTCCCTAGGCCTAAAACCCATCTTCCTATTAAGATATCTTATGGCCTGCTTTAACTGGAGCGGTTGAGAACAGAAAAATATAGGTAAATACAGGCTCTTGCAAATAAATACCACTATAATAAACATGTGCTTCCACCAGCAGTTTACAATTTATTTGTTAATAGGGTAGTTACCTATGGTAGTTGGTATATGTATTTTACAGAGGGGGAGTATGATTAATCTTCATTGTCCAGCCATTAATACTTATGTTAGGGTAAAACTCTCACTGCGCTGTGGAGGGGACTATTGTAGTTTAGAATTTTGGCGAATTTAGCGGTTAAACAATAGAGCACATAGTGACTGAAAAGTCCGACACGACGCCTTGCAGGCAATAAAGGGCGGAAAGAAATCACGGTCTACCATGATTAGGGAGCATTCATGCTAGCGAGACAGGTCTTAAGGATCCTTTCATGGGGGAATACCCGGTACCAGGGATGACCAAAATTATATTGGAACTACTGCACGCACTTTTAACTAGGGATGCGGAAGCTGAGAACCACGACTGGGCAGCAGAAATGAATCCATCATTGGGCCCGAAGGGCTGAGTGCTGCTCGACAGCAGATCCAAAGGATCTAACAAAACATTCATGACCAATCCGAAGCCCCAACTAAGATAGCCAAGGGTGCCGATTTAGTACGAGCTCTTATAGAAAGATATTCTAATTTATGTTCGGATAAGGATGACCTCAACCCTTATTCCAGTAATACTACCTCTACTGTTGGGCATTCAACAGTCAACCATTACCGTGATTATGCGCACTTCGCGAGAGGCCCGGTTAAATGTGCGAGGAAGTCAGACAAGGATTTATGTATTCTTAGTCTATAAAAAGATAGTCTTTGGAAAAACCCGCTTTTTTATGCCTTTTGCAGTAAGTAATCCCGATATTAGAATACTGTTCTTATAGCTAAGCTTTTGGCCATGTAGACCTAAGATTAATATTTTTATTACTCTTATAGCTGCCCGTACTATAGCCGGCTGAGGGCTTTAAATTAAGCAACGTTCTCCCCTTAATACTATATTAGAGTTTATTAGACTGACTTTTATGTATAATAATAAAAGCTTCACCGCAAACCCCACTAGAATTATCGGCTAGCCTACATCCTCCACTCGTCCTGGATCATGTCTGAATAATACTGCCAAGCTTATCCCCAGCATAGCTTAAGTGCGCACAGCTATGGATTAACAAAGCTCAGACCTTTCAGGATCCCTCCTTTACATTAGCCACGCTGGTCAAACAAATATAGGGCCTTATATACGAAGAGGTGACCTTTGTATAACTCCGGATCTACGGGCCTTTCACCGTGGACTAATTACAACGTGTGGTGCCTGGTCTCCGTCCGACACAGATGGTACTGGCCCAGTAGGCGGTAGAGCATAATCAGCTCATAATAAAGTGTCTAAAACCGGCTACCTCCGGATTATATCGCACGCTTTATTATATTTTTACGCCGGATATACTGCCAGGGCTCTTAGATGTATCGAGTCCATAGCATAGGAGTCTTAGTCACCGACTCCGTCTATTATAGGATGTCTGGGACCCGGCCGGACAATACTCTTATATTACAGCCAACCGGCTTTAGAGTACGGCGATACGAATAGAACAACAATAGTGGTGGTTGCTTTGGCCTGGGCTATCACATAAAAGATCTGTCACATTTAACCAGCTTATCAGTGTCTTTCCCCATCTCGAGTCGGATGCTGTAGATAAGGTTAAACGGTTTATAGGGCGGCGGGTGTGACGGGTAAGAACGGTATCCGCTATAATAGAGAACATAATATTATATCTACAGCGAAGAAAACGAATCTCAGATACGGACATACGTTACGCACGCAGGCATTTTAGGCCTAGAATAAGAAAGCATGAGGAATCTAGAGCCTTATTTAATAGAAAGCATATATAGATTAGCTATTCCCAGCCTTGTTCATTCTGCTATACAGTATGCAGCGCCTTTTCTGTAGCATGCAAGTTGGATGGATACTCCTTGATAATCCGTAATCATAGAGGATTTACCATACCCGGGATGGAGGCATTCCTATACTTGGTATATTCTATTACTCCTTCTATTCATATTCCCCACGGGATCGTGCCCCTAAGCTTGCCGTAGTGGTTATATAGTTCCTAAGCAGCTTCCTAAACGCGAGAGTGGACGGCCAGCTTCACTTTAGACTCGAAATATAGGAGTAGCGACAACCCCTGGGATACGTTAATTACCACAGTAGTTAGATACTAAAAAATATGCGGACAGTGCTCCTAGAATTAGCTCCCTTACTTCTACTATTCCTATTACTGTTGCTTATCTTTCAGATCTTTGGAATAGACTATTTCCGAGCATGTTTAGCGGCTTGGAGTTGAATTCGCGTAATGTCCAGCGCAATCGTCGACCCACAAGCCAAAGTAATATAGTGATCGAGTGGGTTATTATTACAGGGCAGCGTGCTACTGTGGATAATAAGCGTAAGGTATAACTAGCAGATACCCAGTGAACCAAATAAAACAGTCCTCATAAACATGCTTTAGTAATAGCAATACTACTTGTGATTTTGGTTACAACTATACAACAGCAAGGGGCCACTATCGGGCAATTCCTCTCCAAACCAATGCTTTACGTCATGGGCTTGTCTGGTTAGGTCTTTTTATCTGTTTGGTCACCATTTGCTGGCAATATAAGCATTTCCCGAGTATCTTATAAGCCCACAAACTAGGAAGTATATTAGGGCAAGCAACTTCAGGACTGTCTGTTAATACCGGCCGCGGGTCCCTGTAGAGCAACTGATATAATAAGCAAATCCAAAAATAATTATAGCATGTGTTATTCCTATTGCGAAGCCATTCCTATTCCTGTACAGCATATCAAATAAATACCCACACAAAATGCCCGGTCATAACAATCGGTATCCCATGTGTGTCCTATGTTAAAAGAGCGTGCAAAAGGCGCAACACGCCCCTGGGTCATAGTCTCTGATGTTAGATAGGGTCCCTAACTTATCGCCGAATCCACCAGTGGGAAGCTCTGGTAGAAAAGGGAGTGTTAAGAAGTTCCTCGGGGTAGTGTTCGAGTACTATAATTCCTCGATCTGCAAACAGGAAGACCTAATCCTGCTTTATACACCCAATATACTGGTGAAAAGAATACATATGCCTATGGAAGCCTAGTGCTATGAAAGCCTAGTGCTATCAAGTGTGAGGTCTCAACAAAATATATAACTGCCTGGTGGTTATCTCAGCATGTTTTGGGTGTTACTTTAGTAGTTATGGACTACGGTGCAGGAATAAGGTGAGAGCGAGCACCTTTGTCTAATTTTATGAAACCAAGTGTGAGCTTACTAATTACGGACATACAAGAGAGTCCTATATAATGTCCTTTTATGCTCTTCCGCCTGAGATTATATCGCATATTGCGGACCAACTGGTGTTGATAAAGGACCTGTACAGCCTCTTGAGAGGTAACAAAAACCTCTTTAACATCCTTATTAACGATCTGTATCGAAGAGATATCACATCTGACGGAGGGTCAGCTGTTATATAATACGTAGTCTGGGGGTGCGACCATAGGATAAGCAGAATGCTGGATGTAGGCGCTGACATCAACATTTAATTGCCTAATAAGGTTCAGTCGATAGCACTCATAGAAGCTGTATTGCATAAGTATACCTATGTTGTGCGCTTTCTCCTGGGGAATAGAGCGCTGCCAGATGCTGCTAACCTGCGTGCCCGAAGGCTATTATCTGTGGCGACTAGTAGCTGTACCAACATAGTGATCACCAAAGCTCTCCTGGATTCCGGTGCTAGGCTGAATACTTTAGCATTTAAGAAGCATTTTCCGCTCACGGAGGCAATCCGGACTAACCAGGAATCTAAAATGGTATTACTTTTGGAGCATGGGGCTAATTCTAATATTTTAAAGGATAGGAACACGCTCTTACATGTTACTGCTTCGAATAATACAGCTCCGGCGATAATTTGGATGTTGATAAAGGCTAGTATGCTAGTAGATTCTCCGAATAACTTCGGAATAATAGTACTCCAGGTAGCAACTGCTAATTCGTGCGTACGCGCGGTGCGCGTATTACTACGTTATGGCGCTGATTTAAATTTTAGAGGAACGTACCGGGATAAAGAAAGACCGACTGCTCTTTTCTATGCTATAATAAAGCCGCGAAGCCGCAGGAAGGATAACACAGCCATTATCTAGGCCCTAATCAGCTATAAAGCCTATGTTAATACTGTAAATTCTGAGCAGAAGTCCCCTCTATTATTCGTAATCTTGAAGGGGGTCATTAAACAAGCGCAGACACTCCTCGAGAGCAGTTCCAATCTAATAGCGAGAAACACCGAGGGTAAAACAGTATTTCACCTAGCCGCGTTGTTATTAAGCTGTAGTCTGGATATGTTGATCTGGCTCGTTAGCAAAGGGGTCGATGTGAATAGAATTAAAAGAATAATAAAGGAAACACTGATTTTCAGTGCCATCCGAAGAAGGGGGCAGTTAGAGATCAAGCGGCAAAATAGAGAAAAATATGTCCAGGCCCTTCTATCCCTAGGGGCCTATATCAACTTTCAGAATTTAGAAGAGTTAACACCTATTTCTCTTGCCGTGCGAAGGGGATATGTCGGATTAACCACTATACTATTTGAGTATGGGGCTCTGGTAAACCTGAGAGACAGCCAGGGGCGGCCATCTCTGCATTATATTAGGCAGGACTGTTTTAGATATTAGGGGCAAGAGCTATATTCCTTACTTATAGCGAACGGGGCGGACGTCAATTTTCGAGACCATTCGGGTTATACAGTATTGCACAGACTAATTAAAAGAGGATCTTGGGAGGCAGTCACCGAGTTATTAAAAGCCGGAGCTGATAGATACGCTATAACATATGATAAAAGGTTCCTGCATAATATAGTCCCCCCGAGCCCATGGGCAGAGATAAAGCAGTTATTCATTCAGTATTATGCTCAGTAAGCATAATTCGCTCGCCTCGCATAGCACAAGTGCAGCCTTTGTCTAAAAAGCCACAAACCGCCTATATTTGTGTTGCTCTTTTTAAAGCCTGATAAGCTTGATATGCCTAGTGTTGGGCAGATAATTAGTCAATTCAATTATTGCAAAGTGCCGTCTACCTAATACTTGCAGCTCCTGGGGAAATACAAAAACTCTTAATATTATATTAAATCAAGCTTCACCCACACGATATAATAACAAGTATAGTTTTTTATTAATAATCATATAAAAGGGCTTCTACGCACTAAAGGATAGAGGCAATTTTTGTTGCGTTATATGTGAACGGTATTAATTAGTTGAGGTTGAATCGTTTTAGTGTTCACTATCTATCCATTCCATGCACATTCGTCGAGTCTGCCTAGAAGCTAGCCACCCAAAGATAAAATCCACCATTTTTCTTTTTTGCAACAGGTAAATTGTAAATCCTATTAGATACCTAATAATTTAGCGTTAGTTGGCTTCCTGAACCTGCGCGTCATCCATAGTATCTGAGTAAATCTTATTGTACAAAGCGGTTGCGGTGGCTACCGGTATGCCGCCTCGAGTGACTGTGGCCTCGAGCCAGATCAGTCTATCCCAGGTAATCTTTCGCGAGACAGCTATCAGGAGATCACCAGGGCCAAACTTCCCATAATAGCACATGCTGAAATTTCGGATCCTAGAACGATCTCCACATTTATCGAATACCTGATGACAGAGTAAGTTGACTAGCAACCAGTGACCATTGGCCTGTTAGTCGTGAGGGACAACTGCGACAGCTTGGGTACTGAATTCAGTAGTTGGTTGAAAGCTCACAGAACCCTGGAACTGGCCTTCCAGAGTGTCGAGTCTGCATTCTTGGATAGCTTCGCCGAGACCCTCTAGGTCTGGCAATGGGGACGGCGCACAGCACGGGCACTCTGGTGTCGAGGCTGAGGAATCGGACGGTGCGTCAGCATATTCAGGTAAGACGCTGGGAGGAAGTGCTCGCGGCAGGGTCGGTGTCTCCGGACGATGGACAACAGGCCGAGACATGTTCGATCGAGCTATCCGGGCCAGGCAATTGGGGTAAAGCTTGCGAATGAATGAGCCTTTATCTGCTTTGAAGGGAGGGAAAGAAGTGAACTGTTTGGATACGAGGAGCCGAGGTTGGGCGGCGAATGGTTGACGTTGAGCTTTATATACCAGAACTGTCCCCAGCTGCGGTGCTCATGAGCACTTACCAGATGATTAAATGCCTCCTTGTTGTAAGAATTGTTGTTGGGGTTTTCTAAGTACTCCTAATTGCTCTAAGATCTGCCTTGCCTATTTCCGGTGATTGGACACCTTCCTTTACCTACTCCGCGGGCTTTCCACCACGGGAATAATGTTCCCCTTCAAAATTATAGAGAGGCCCAGTTGAAAAGTAGGATAATCGCCGAGAGAGATCCCTTGTAATTAGCGCGGTCAGATGCCCGGGTATGTCTTAGGCTTTTGATCCGAAGCGAGTGCGTCGATAATAGAATATGTCAGAGTGCTGGTTAAGTAGCAGTCAGCCAGCTTACTTGAGTTACATTTTTGTAGGGACACGAAACAAATGGCCTCAGCGGTATATTCCAACCGTTAACCGGTCAACTCGTCCTATTGTTACCTGTGCAAGGATGCGTTCCTGACATTAGTGTCGTGTGGTTTTGCTATCCGTGCTATAAAGAGCTCGGGTGGCTGTGTCGCAGATGGTGAATCTAGCTAGGATGGCCTGACGAAACTAATCACCGCCTTGGAGACTTGAAATTCGGTGGGCGAGATACGGGCTTAAACGACAATTTTCTCTGTCGTTCGTTTTTCCTCTGCGCCTGATTATAGATTTCATCCCTATCTCTCTTATCGGGGAGGTAAGAAGGCCAGTTGCTCGGTGGTGCTTGCCGCCAGAGCTGCAAGAAAGCCCGGCGAGAGCAGATTATAGAAAATCCGGTCAGCAGGTATGTTAACAATCGAGTTGTCCTGTCATTGATAATATGGCCATGATATGGAAGAACGAAGACGCCGCGATTTCTGTTTGACTAGGATTGGGAATGGGAGGAATACCCAGGCAGTTTTAATGATTTCGGGTGGGTCCGCAAGGTCGGGCACTCCGCCGCAGGCCATCTACACCGGTTCTATTTCAGTATTTTTATGGCCGGAGACATTCATCGTGCAAACAGGAACACGATATCCAGTAATTAAAGGAAGCCGAAGGATATGAAAATATTGCATAGATAGTAAGTCATTGCAGATACCCGAGTATATCACGCCTGAACACCATTAGCCACCACAACCTTGAGCAATTTGCTGGGGCAAGATGGAGTGGGACTAGGGGATTGTCAGAAATGCCCGTCGTTTGCCCGGGTATCTTTAACTGTATCTGTCTTCTCACCAGCATGCATGGTTATTTGCGCGGGATAGAACCCCTATTTGCACATAGTTGTAGACTTTTGCTAAGTACGTGACCCGGTGCCTATCGGAGTAAAATAATGCCCGGCAATCAATGAAAGGGGAGGGTACTGCACGCGAGTTGCACACGGAGCAACTGCCCAGTGCCTACCACCAGAACCACTTTTTTCACTTGCAGACCGGCTTCTGATGCTGCCCACCTTCGCGTCTATATACCCGGACTTTTTCTGGTAGAACGCCTGACGAAAACTGTATTTCCTTATCTTTTGATTCGAGCGGTGAATTTACCGAGCTGATGCGGTAATTTCAAGTTGGCAATCTTTAGGCAGACGGGGGATGCAGCTGGGCCTATCTTATGAAACGGGTGCTTAAAACCTACGTCGCACGTCCAGATCCCTTGTCTTGGTTCCGAGGCCCCCTGTAGTCTCAGCTTTTAAGCACGGGGCTTTTAAGCATAATAGCAGAGAAAGCCATTTTGTTCTTTGTATGGTGTAGTTATATTATTAGGCCGTGACATGCGAAGAAACTAGGCAAAGAAATTTGCCCCGATTAATTTTGTCTAAAACAAGAACGAATACGGTCAAATTAAATGTAAACTTGTTAGTGGGTATCTGGATTTTCTCCCTGGGTTCCAAGCTAGCAGTGGCTATTAGGACCCGTCCCTGATCATAGTTACTTCTAACTAATTTAATTGCATTCAAAATATTTTTTGGAAGACGATAGTTCAAATGTCACCTGGTATAGTCCGCTCACGATAGTATACATTGAGATCTTAAATGCCTCTTTGGGTTCGGAGGGTAGCGATAACCTGATGGTAGAGCAAGTCGACCGGCAGGTAATGTCCCGCGGCTGGCTAGGTTTGAGGAATAACTCGGACCGGGGATCTGATGGTGGACTGTACTGCTAGTGTGTTCTAGAAATTGTTCCTCTAGTAAAGTTTGTTGAATGATTTAATTGGGAGTCAGGTAATAGATAATGGTATTTAGTTTGCACAACAAACTACATGTTTGTAGTTATGTCTAGTATATAGGATTTAGTGATAATATAGCAAAGCCGGCATGTAGCGGACACTGCCGCAATTACTGGTATTTTAAAGATACTGTTGGGCCTAAAGAATTCCTGATGCGAACACCATCCGGCCAGGCGGGTGTTATATTGTAGTAGGTGTTAATTTCTTGCTAAATTGTCCCCAGCAGAAAGTTCGGGCAAATACGGATTCCATGAAAGCACCTCTCGCTTTTGATGGGCAACTAAGTACTCTAGGCGTATTTAGGATTACTCTCTGTGAAACCTTTCCGGATGTGGTCCGCACCCAGTGCAAATTCAATGCACACAAACTCGTTTTATAATTATAATAAGCCGCACGCCTGGATAATTATCACAGTCCTTGGGGAAATTTTTTAACTGCTTTTGCAGAAGTGGTATTAGTATCACCCTTATTCTATATTCAGTGCCACGTTGCCTTTCTCTACAAATACTGGACGGCATGGGTCCTTGATGAATGAGATCCACGGCAGGGCGTATCCGAACGCCATGTGTAATTCTACCTACAGAGGGGCCACGCCAGGAAGCTCCTGAGCTGGTATGGTGGTCTCTTTGGCGGTCTAGTATCGAAAAGCAAGCGCAGGCTTAAAAGGCCAAAGCGCAAGAGCAAGTGTGTCAGGACTGGCTGAAGCGGCTTCGGCTAAGGTGATCCCGAAGCTTTTCTATACCCACTCCGGGCAAAAGTCGCGCCACGCTAACGGCCCCTAGAACATGACCTGGGCCCAGGCCTAACCGATGCCTTAAACTATCTGATTGAAGGACGCAGTTTTATCGCTATTTGGTGGGCTTAAACTTTGGGAAATACTCATCGGTATTCCAGCACCGGTGTGCCGAGCTATGGACCTGTTGCAAGGATATGTATTTAGAAACTTAGTACTTTATTATTGTTGTGCTGAATATGAGCCGAACTTATGATATGAAATTTGGTTGGTATTGTTTATCTCGGATTAAACCGCATACACACAGTATATGTAGTAACAGAGTGAAAAATTACCACGGCTAATATATTTCTCGGAGACGGTGCACAATGTATTTCTGTAATCACCGATTCACCGTAGTAATGCGGTTAAGCGGTGATGTATTGTTTTGAGGCTAGTTTTAATCCCCTGATTAGCTGTTTACCCGATCTTTATAAAATATGATATCCAAATATTGTGCAAATATATAGCTCCCTTTATAAGCTTAATGAAGCCTATATTCGGGGATGGAAGCCACATAACCCAGCCACCATGTTGCACGCCTTACTATTAGAGATTTTCTATATGGTTGCTGATTTGGTATGTCGATCGCCTTCTCCAATTCTTGTTTATACAGATGCTGATTATATATCAGCTACCAAGGCATGCCATTCGATCGATGAGTCAGGTTTCCACAGGATTGCGCGCCACGTTGATACCCCGATTGCACGAATCGGTTCGGTTTGGCACGGGCTCTGAGTGGGCTCTGAATGATCTTAACATTGGTGTATTCTTTAGGCAACATGGCAGCCTACGGGCCGCCCAGCTTCTGTAACTCGCCAGGCGAGTTGTTATAGAGGCTCTAATCTAGATCGCAAGATTCCACCGCTGTATTTACTATATCTCTTCCTGCTTTGCCCCTGTGTTACACGGCCAGCCAGTTCTGGGAAGTTTACCTGAACTGACCGCCTATGAAGTTTTTATGACCGAGCTGTCCGCTCAGTTGCGCCAGGTTTTCACCCTGCTCAAAGCCGACACCCTTTATTTGTTCTGGTGCGGCCCTACAGCCACCCTGGGCATTTATGTATACTGACGGAGATAGCTGGCACCTAGGCACTTGTATGCCCACGGGTATACTTGATCTGAACGGGTATCTGATCTACCACCAGAGAGACATCAAACGGGTTTCGTTGATAACTGACGGAACGTGCCCGCATGCAGGACAGGGTTTTGAAGGTTTATCAAAATTGATATTATTATTGGAGATAGTGTGGGAGGGCATTTGGTATCGCTGGGAGATCGAGATCCTGTGAAAATGCTTGCGACAGAACCAGAGCTATCTGCGCAAGCTGCAAATAGGGTGCCTGCTGTCTGGTGCGGATTACTAACTGACTGTTCCCGAGCTCACTCAGCCCTGGCTAGAACTCTTGTATTAATCACACTCACCCGATCTGTTTTTATCGTTATCTTCGCTATCCCTCTCGAACGTGCATTTTCCAAGTGAGTTATTAGCTTCCACGCGAATTCTGTTATTTCGGTCGCTGCAGGAGCTGCGCCTGCTTTGATGTGGTAATTAGCTGTATTTTTTGTGCTTATTGGCGCAGACGGGGAACCCTCTGTTGTTAAAATGGCTTGAGATTAACAGCGACCTATTCCATGAATCAGATAACTGACTGGTCTATATAGCTATTGTGGAACTTTTACTTTCCTTCCGTGGTCTGCAGCACCTGCATCTTAAGCTGGCTAATTTTCCTTGCTTTCTTCTAGGGTTTCGAGAAGCCATCCTCCACTACCGGTCCTCCTTAAGATCTTTGAGCTTCTACGAGCGTCAGCTACTTGCAGTGGACGAGGAGGGATTCTTCGAGGATATTTGCGATGTTTCCCCACGGTGGACCCGTGATGTTT